AGGCAGATGTGAAGCTCTTTGAGAGGTTGCGCTCGAGACTAAGGCAGGTCAGCATGATTCTCTGATTGAGTGCTCGTAGCTCAACGACAAGCGCTTCACAAGCACTTCCCCATCAGAACTCTGGGACTCCTTCCCCCAGTTAACCTCCTGCTCTCCATATGAATGCCTCTCACGCCTCGACCTGTCCTGCCCCGCGAGTAAAGCCTGACAGAAGCCGTCGCACTTGCCCCTTCCGATACCACAATGGTTTCAGAGTCACTCACCAGGGTTCTTATACTCCCTCCCTCTGCATACTCCATGACGATCCATACCCTGGGCCCCTCCATCATGCTCCCATAGTACTTGGTCACATTCTGCGGTGCACCACCTGCACTCGCACTTCCCAGCATCAGCTGCTGTAGCAGCGAGATCTCCTTCTGGATATCATCCACATCGTCGTCTTCGGTATCGAGATTGATGATCTTGAGTGCGACAACATGTCCTGATGCGACGTGTCTGCCCTTGTAGACTGCACCATAGGCGCCTTTGCCGGCAATCTCTAGTTTCTACAGATGATGAGCGGTGGACGGGTGTTGTGGCTGGGACAGTACCTCGTAGATGGTATCGGGGTTGACGTCTTTTGGCTGTGACTGGAGGGCTGTGAGGTATGCCTGCTCCCTGGAGTTGTGGTTTGGGGGGGGCATGGCGGAGTGAAGATGTGAGTTGTCGATGAAAGAGCGGATGGCCGGCGCGGTGACTTGGTTGTCTCCGGTTAACTTAACTACTATCACTTATCGACTATCTCATAACTCCTATACATATTTCTATCTCATCTCTCATCTGCCTCTCAACAATCTCCCTCCCACTCCCTCGTAAGCCCCCTCCTTACCCCTCCCCCCTGCTTCCCTGCCTGCGCTTGATGAGACCGTCCCCCACCCAGCCAACGCCGTCTTGCCCGCCTGCCCTCGGATCTCTGGGTCTGGCCCCTTGTCCCTTGGGTACACTTCGGATACCACCTGTATCCTCTCAAAGGCCCCTCTGGTGGCACTGCCGCCGCTGTGAAACACGGAGCTGCACAGCCAACGCCACCGCTGCCTTCCGAGTTGCCACCCAACCGCCGACCGCCGACCGAGGAAAGCGAGATACCCTCCCGGGATCGGCATCGATACCGTGATTGTTGCATTGTTCTGCATATAAAGGCTGCCCTTTCAGTATTTGTACTGACTCTTGTTCCGATCCCAGGACACCGACACCTTGACGATCGTATACCTCGTACACCCGACAATACCTGAGACTGCCCTCGCCTCGTGCCTCCGAAGCAGGGCACCAAGTATGTGCCCTCCATGCTCGGGCCGCATGCCTACGTATACTTACTTGACAACTTGTCTAGCTTCTCGTGTCTTCTTCCGATACCTCTACCATGCCCTCAAGCGCTCCAGCCAATTCGGGACGAACCTCTTCACCTCCCCGCGGTTGCATGTTCCCGGGGGTGATTTCGGACCCGACAGACCCGCCACATCCCTCTGAGGCGTCTGGGGGGCACAAGCCACTCGCTGATGGTCGCCGAGAGAGTATCTCTTCGGTCGGTTCTTCGATGAGCTTTGCCGGTGATCAGGCGTCTGGTATGGAGATAGATGACCAATCGACCTCCCCGGCAGAGCTCGATAGTCATGGCCGCTCTCACGTCCAACAACCCCGACCGAGTCCCTATGCTCAACCCGCAGACTGTCATGACCCTAGCTACCTAGCGCACCCGACGACTGCCCACCAAAGACAGTCGAGTTCGGCCGTTCCGATTCGGCCACCCTTTCACCCAAGCACCGATCTCCCTCTTGACACTCTCAGCCGAAACAACTTTCCATCCTATACATCTCTGCACCAAGACAGACCTCTTTTGGCGTCCCGGCCCAATCATTTGGAAGACTCTGTCCGAGCCCACATCCCTTCCCCTGTTAGCAGTACTTTGGGCGTGGCTTCACCCAACGCCCTCGAGCGACGAATTGACAGTATAGAAAGCAGGCTGGATCGCTCTCGCCAGAGGGACAATCGAGGCAGGCTGAGTCCGGGATCACGCCCGAGGCCATACACTACCTTCCCGTATGAAGTCCCGAGTCATTGGACGAACTCCAGTGGTACTCAGCGCCCATCGCCTCCTCGTTCAGGCGCAAGAGATGTTGCACGAGGTGAATCCAGTCATCATTCTTCGCCAGAGATCGCTCCCGCACCCTCTCTTCGGCGGTACCGACATGCTCCTGAAGAGCGTGCCACTCGAAGTATCCCCGTCAATGATGATGCGACAGTCCCATCACCTCGCCCCTCTCCGTATTCATCGTCTTTCTCTGCCTCTTTTGGTGTGATCGAAGAGCCGCCGAACCCTTCGCTCTTTGGACTGAGACATCGTCCTGTTTCTCGGGGGATGCTGGACGAAAACGGCAGCAGCTCGGCGTCACCAACAGAGAATGCTTTCAGCGATCCCCTGGCTTCTTTGCGCGCCTGTACGTTTCAACCCACAACATCTTGACCCTTTGACTGATCAATGTCTCAGCTCCTGACCAATCTACCGCTGGACGCTTCCGTATGAACCACGATCTTCCGCTCCCTTCGCCCGTCAACCCATACATGCCTGGTCGCCATAATACACTCCCCCCGCCTGGGAACCCTCTCGGTGTATGGGATTCAAACATATCCCTTGCACTGATACGCCACGAGGCCGAGCGTACCACCGAGCGAGACAGAATCTTGGCCGATATTCGGGAAAGAGACAGAGAGAGGGGGCCAATAGTATCGGCTTTGGATATCGAGACCGCTGAAGAGATTGCTCGTCGCCGGGTGATGGAGCGTGGGAGACCCGAAGTGGCTGGGCCGTCCCAGGTGGAAAACTCTGGCCGACAAAGGATCATTGAAAGTATCAGGGCACGACAGAGGATGCGTGATCAATATCCCACCAGAGCGAGGCACAGTAACGTCGAAACCGCTGTCGTCGGTAGTCCTGTAGCTGGGCCTTCGGGGTCATCTTCTCTATACCATGACTCTGAGGGAGATCGAGAGACCGGTCAAAGGGAACGCGACGGACGCTTCGGTGCGCATGGCCAACATCAAGCAATGGTACTCGGCTCTGATGGAAGAGAGATGCTGAACAGGGATGTCAACGATTTTGTTGACCGTCGCCTGGGTGCTCATCGAGCCCCTCTTCCCTCTCCAGGATTTACCTCAAATAGTCATGATGTAGGGAGCGGGTCTTCCTCTCTTGGTCCAGGCCCATCGAATGTCCAGCTTTCTTCCGGCGCTCATCCTGTCCACGGCGCCTCTGGTCCCTCTTCTCGGCCACTCTGGGGCGAGGTACTTGAAGAAGGCTCCGCGCAAAGGCCTCCCCGTCGGCCGCCTGTACTTGACCTGCGGAATACGCCCCCCGTGCCTTTCACGCCCAGCTTCGGCGGTCCGTTCGATATGTACAACACGGAAGAAGACATGGCCAATTTTGGCGATGAAGACGACTTCTTGTTGCCTCCCATCTCACCCTGGGGCCAGGATGGGACGCCTGCGTCGGCTATCGCTGCTTTGCAAGACAGCAGCCGAAGACGCGTGCCAACAGAAGTCATTGCCGCCCTCCTTGCCCGACGCCCTGCTCAGGGGGAAGCCTCGAATATGCTGGTAGACCAAGGCGATGACCTTCGCTCCATCATGGAGCACCTTGTCCAACTCGGTGATGGCGGGATGTCGCAATTTGCTTCTCTCGCCGGACTTGGGAGTGCAAGCATTAGCGGGAAGAAGCTGGAGCCGGGGATGGGAGAAGAGGAAGTAAAGGATACGGTGGAGTGTGTGGTCAAGTATGTCAAGCGGTCGCGGGATGAGAAGCGAAGGAAGTGGGTGGGAGAGATGCTGGAGGACATCCCATGGGGACACTTTGGGATCAGAGAGGGGATGGAAAGAGATGAGTATTGCTCCGTCTGTCATGACGATGTGAGTACTTTGATGCGTTTTCCAAGTCCTTTGCTGACCGGGTTGAAGTATGAGCCTACCACAGAGATCTCTATCACCCCTTGTAAACACATGTATCACAAGAGCTGTCTGGCCGTAAGTTGCATCTCTGCCAGCTCGGAATATCTTGTTGACGCCTTTGGTAGACATGGCTGGACAATCCAAAGACGTCCACCTGCCCCATGTGTCGCCGAGATCTCGCAGTGCTCTCGGTCCTTTCTAGTATGGTGCCAGATGGAAAGGTGGAGACGGCTTTGCCGTACTGGCACAGAACTTGATCATCCTGGTTTGTGTGTTGCTTTTTTGAGTGGTGTAATCTTGACTTTCTTTACTTGTCTATTAGTGTATCATTTTTAGCTCTTTCGGTGCCGATGTGTATCATGTTTTGTTCTCACTCTATTGCTTTCCATATATACATGCTGAGTTAAACAAGGACTGTAAACGTATTCATGTAATTCGCTTGCTTCATTCAGTCTTGAGAACTGTTGCGCCGCTCGCCCTTGCTCTTGATCTGATTTCATCCAACGCACAGTCTTTTATAGGGAGTGCTGATAATCGCCTGAACCCAGCCTGAATCAGCGAAAGATTGGAACGTCTGGAAGCAAAAGGCATGGCGGCGACGACCGCGAAGCACACGCGCCGGCATCATGATCGCTTTCATCTCCCGTTTCATTCTCTTCTTCCTCATGACCCGCCCAAGCCAGAACGTAACGGCCCCCGCCCTGCAGCTTTTGAGCTTGCTACACAGGCGCGGGGAGTCTTGATCATCCTTCGGATCGGATCATTGGCAGCGGAATAAGAATGACGGAAAAGTCTAGGTTTTTCGTGGCCATCTCTTCTTCCAGTTCCTCTCTTCGTCCCGTGTGGATGACCAGCAGAAGGCGTGTAATAAGGACTTGTCTCTTATTCGAGGTTCAAGATGAGACGAGTAGTATATCACGCCCACATTCATGCACGCCTGGAGCAAAGCTCCCACTGCATACCGTTCTTTGTGCGCAAGATTCATGTATTCCAGGAGACCACAGACTGCGATATGGTACAAATTAAAACAATGCTAGGGATGCATATCATCAATTAACCTCATCGACAGTCGTTATATACAGTTTTACAAAAGTGTACGAAGTGGTACGTGTGGGTAGTGAAGAAGAGGGGCGGGGTAGATGCTATTGATAGGATTGGACGGGCAGTAATAGAATGAGTAGTAGTAAAAGGTGTAAGAGGGGACAAAAAGAGCGTATAGATTTGTTTCGAAGCGTACCCATGGGTAGGTCCGATTGAACAAGAGGCGGGAGACACGAAACCCGTGTTGGTCGTGTTTTGTGGAGAGGGTCGAAATGCACACAACAAGAAAAAAAGGAAAATTGTCCCATCTAGAAATCAAATTGAAAAAGGTCAAACAGAAATTGACCGTCTCATAGTAGCAAGCACAGGCCAGCAAACACAGCCGCACCCACCCATCCAAAGCTAACGGCGCGCAGACCAGCTGGCGCGGCGGAAGATGAGGATGAAGAGCTGTTGTTGCTGGTGCTGTTGGAGATGGCAGTGTTGGCTGAAGAGTCGGAAGAGGCGGTACCGGTGGCGTCGGACGAAGCAGAAGAAGAAGCCGCGGTGATAGTAGAGGTCGCGGGGAGAACGGCGACGTCAGAGATGGGCTGGGTCTCGATGGCACCGGAGCCGATCATGATGAACTGTAATAGAGTCAGCAGCAGTATGATTAGAGTAGAGAGTAACGCACCTTGCCGGTAGAAGGAACACCGTCAACGACAAGGAAGATCATGGCAGGACCGGGGGGGAAGATGTTGGCGTTGGGAGGCATCTGGCTGGCGTGGATGGTGACCTCTCCCGAAGACTCATCCTTAGTGTAGGTAGAGTTGAGCTCGAGGAACCTTTGGCCAAAGTTCATGGCGTGGGTAGAAAAACCGCCTCGGATGACGACGACCTTGGTGTTGTCGGCATTGGAAGAAGAGTTGGTGGGAGTGTAAGTGACGTTAAAGTAGTCGCCGCCATAGGTCAACGAAGTGGGCCAGGTGGAGGGCTCGGGTCGCTGCTCGTTGTACCAGAAGGGGTACCACCTCTCGACAGAGTAGGACGTGGGCCAAGGGTCAAAGGTGACGTCCTTGTTGGGATTGGAGCCAGAGACCATGAGGGAAGAGTCGGGGAGGAGGATGGCAGAGGAGTGGTACATTCGCTCCTGGTTGGAAGTTCCAATGTTGTCACGGTTCCATCGGCTACCCTGGGGGGCAGAGGGGCTGAAAAAGGTCAGCAGAAAGGAGTGGTGGGCTAGAAGATGACTCACTCGTAGATGGCAGGGGTGTAGAGAGGCTCTTGACCATAAGACTGGCCGATAGAGTAACCATCGTCACCGTAGCCCGCAGTACCCATACCAACACTAGAAGATGATATCAGCCATGTTTAGCGTGTGATCAAAATGACATACCCATTACCCATCCACATGGTACCGTCAGGCAAGTAGACGAACTGTCCCATGGACCTGCCCTCAAACATAGAGTCGTCATCCTCGTACTGAGGGTCGTCGTCCTCGGGGCTGATCCTGACACAAGAGTCATCGGCCTTGACAGCAGTAACGTTGAACTGGGCACCACCATCGCTGGATTGGTTGAAATCGGCGGCAGAACCTCCACAGAAGAGGATTGTGGCAGAATAGTTGTTGGCAGGGGTCAAAGGCAGCATGGCGTTGGCGGCGGAGGCGGGGTAAACTCGAACGGAATAAGGCATGTCGGGAAGAGGAGTCTCCTCCTTGGCGTCAATGTCGTACAAGATGGTCTTGTAGGCAGCCTGCATGAAGAGTTTACCACCGGGCAAGAGCCATGTGAGAGGGAAAAGGTTGACGGGGACAGTATAGTTGAGAAAGTCCATGTAGTGAGACTGGTTGTCGGTCTTGGGGTAGAATTCGTAGGTGGGGTTGTTTTGTTTTTGGGTCGACACGTAACTGCGAGCGGATCAGGACAGGCCACAGACACTACTTTGCAAACTTACCCTCCGTTACCATCTCCGCCAATAACAATGAGGGACCCATCGCCGAGGTTTTCAACTGAAGGGTACCAGCGATTGCCCGTCATTGTGAGATCGTCTCCGCCCTCTTGCCACTTGCATGATCCATCGTCGCATGGTGTGATCAGTCGGATAGCAGCACCTCCAGATGCATCCTTGTAGGGGTCGGCAGTACCGGATGGAGAGTCTGCCAAGGCCACACCTTCATACGTGACTGCCTGGTTACCGCCAAACACTTTTGAAGAAGATTAATTTTGATTCTGATGAGAAGGGGTAAAGATACACACCTGCCCATTCTCCAGTGGCTAGTGATAGGCCAGCTGCGCAGAAAGTGTTGGAGTTGACTTGCATGGCAGTCGCTGTCTCGGTTGTCAAGTCGTAAGACACACCCCAAGCGGGATGGGTGACGCCGCCGTCGTCGGTGACGGTCATTGAGTTGTTTTCGGATTCTGCAAGGGGGGTCAGCAGAGGTAGAGCGTAGCACCGAGTGGATAGCAGCCGTACTGTCGAGGATGTAGGCGGTAGACTCTGTACCCAAGAAAAGCTGCACGGGGTCAGTCAGGGTCCGTGTGGGCGGTGAGGATACTGACCATCTGGGCACTGATACCAGAGTTGCCAACCTCCTGGAAGCCGCCGAGGACGACGCCGTCATCACGCTTGGCGGCGAGCTGGCGGTGTCTGTTGTGGCGGGGGTGGGAGCGTTGGGAGGTCGGGGAGTTGGTTGCGGCGTGGGCGGGGAGTGGGAGGAGGGGGAGGAGGGAGGCGAGGGAGAGGAGGGTGGTGGGGAGCATGGCAAGGAAGGAAAGTCCCGTTGGTGGGGTGTGGTAATTAAATCGAGAACAAGATGAGAAAGAGAGGTTTATGTAGCTGATAGAAAAGGCTGAGGGAGAAAAGGAGAGCGAGGTGGCCCGAGCACCGTGTTTGCCAGGAACGCACCCGCCTTTCACTCCCACTCCCTCCCATCATCCCATGCATCCAGATCCCAGATCCCCCGCCCCACCCATCCACCTACGCCTACTGCCCAGATCCATGCATCCTGCATCCCCCCTCCCCCTCTCCCTCCCCCCCTCCGCCTCCCCCCATCGCGACGTGACTTCTTTTGTGCGCGACTCTGCTGCGTTCCTGAATTGCCCCTTGTTGATCAAACACCCAGAATGCATTGTCCCGCCTCTCGGCCGCCGTATCATCCCGGGCAATCTCACCGCCTCCTTCCATCGCCCATCGCTCCGTTCTCGTTCCACCCCCTGGACTTGAATGTACTGCCCTCTCTCGCGCCTCTGCCGCTCTGCCGTCGCTGTCGATCCACCGAGAGTTTTCCGCGACGGTTTTTCAAACTCTATCTCGCCGCTGGAACAGCCAAACAACACGCAGAGATCTCAGATCTCCAAGATCCCTCTCGTCACTCGTGCCGAACGTCAGCGTCGTGCTTTGGCTGCATTCACATCTTTACTTGTGATGCACAGCATTCGACCATGTACAGACGAGATAATCCGAGGAGCCAAGCCATGGGTCCATGCATGATGCAGGTGCATCCGGCGCGCGCTAGTGGACGGTCTGTGAACAATCTTGTCTAGAATCCATCCAGCCAATCAACGACTTGGGTCATACTTGGCTTGTGCACTGGACATATTCATAGGGCTTCAGTGCGGAAGGCCGACACCGCATATGCACTGATGCATGCCGGGGACCAGGAAGACTGCACACCAATCAACTTCAGGAATGACTTAATCAGGGTCATTCGCCCAACAAAAGGGCTATTCATAGTCCGGAAGTCAGGTGTAAGAGACAAGGCGTCGAGCGCAGGATACGACGCAGGCCCGTGCATGCAAACATCGGTATCAAGCACATATAATTAGAACCACGTCGTGGTTACGTACCGCTAACGAGGAACCCGAGGCTCGTGACGCCCCAAACCTCATCTCTCGGAAAGATACGCTTCACTTCAATGGAGTCAGGCATCAATTATCAACGTCTGGCGTCCGCCTCCGGGATATGGGTTCCAGATCTTGCCGAGACTCTTGTTTCGACGTGTAGCTCTCGGACCGTGACTGATAGGCTCATGGTGATCGAGCAGTCTATCTCGAGTACTTACGTGCTATGTTGCCCTTGACTCTCCATGACGTGACACGCGTCGGTCAATATCGCCATGAGTGTCCATCTCAACACAACCAACGTCTAGAGCGATATGATAGGTGTCCAGAGGAGGACATCATCGCTGAACATGATGAGGACACTGTCGCTGATGGTGTTCGTCTGGTCTATGATAGCACATGCTTGCCATGCCCATAAAGATCCGTAGACCAACGGAAGAGACTTTGCATTGACAATTACGGTGTCCTGATTCAAACTTCACTACTACAATTACGCCTTTCGTCGACAGATAACCACGTCGGTGTTGTAATTGTACTTGAACACCCCATTCTGACCATCGAGTCAGCTTTATTCCCACTCTGCTCTGGCACAAGCACGCACCTCTTGGTCAACCCAGTCTTTATCCCCTTCATGAATGATTCTTTGCAGTGAATCAACAAGCTTTTCCCTCTCCGCACCCTTCAAGTGCTGCTCGGTCAGATAACTCTTGCTCAAAAGCCTATCCAACACCCCCTGTTCTGTCATTTCCGCACTCCATCCCACCTGCTTCTCCTCCTGCACCTCAAAAAGTTCTCCGTATACCGGATTCTCAAACATTTTTCGCCACCAGCCCTTGTAATATTGTGGGGAGCCGAGGTCAAACGGCTGGTAGGTCTTTCGAAGGAGACCCTGCCAGCTTGGAGACTGCGACTCAAGGTTCCAGATGAGGATAAGAGGAGCTCCGGGGAGCAGGAAAGAGGCAATTTCGCGCTATTGTACTGTTAGTTGTGAGCCTCAAAGGTAATCTAGGGACTTGCCAGAGCTGCTGCATGGTCGGGGCACCAATGCCACGCTTGTGCAATGATCACGCCATCGACCCCACCTCCTTCCCGGACATTGGTCAAACCGTACTCTTTCACTTTGCCAAGGGCGTCAAAGCCGCCATCAACCGTGCCAACTTTCCGCCCCTCCACGGCCTGTCCACCATCCAGCTCTTGCCTCTTGCCCAGCCCTGCTTTCTCCAGTTCGCGCCACCAAGAGTTTCGCATGCCCTCGCTCGGTTCGACACCCACAAGCGTATCGATATCGAACGTCGGGTACTCGGATGAGGGCGCGCGCAGAAGGAGGCGCGAGAAGATGCCGGTGCCGCTTCCGGGCTCAATGATCTTGAGAGCACGTGGGGTGGGCGCGAGGGTATCGTGGATGATCTTGAGTGCATCAGCTGGGTAACTCGGCCGAGCAGCGTTATACTATTCCATCATCAGCTGGGTCCATCAGCTACATGACCGTTTTACAAGGTCGTTCGTTCCCTCGCCGAATCCAGTTTTGGCGACATCATGCACGATATACTGTTTGACAAGGTTGGCGATTGTCTGGGAAGCAGCCGACGCTGCGCCGGTGATGTTGTCTGTGAGTGTGGAGTAGGCTGGAGCGGACATGGCTGTCGTTCTGATGAGGGGCCGGGTACAGCGACTGAGGGCCATGTGCAGAATAAGAGTAGAGATGGAAATGAATCAGATAGAATCACACTTGAATCACACTTGAATCACATCATCTCGGGGACTCGGGCATCTGCGGCGGTCGGCGGCGGTCGCCGCCACGGGGATAGATAGTCACCACAGGGCTTACGTACACTTACATAAGCAGACATCCAGCTCGCCACCACCAGCAGCCACCAGCAGCCAGCAACAACAAATCGACTATCGTCCATCTCTAGCCTGCGAATCCATTCAAAAGATACTGCATAGCCCCATCCAGCTCGCCGACATACCAGCTACTGCGTCCGTCTCCAATCCCGGCATACACCATCGCATAGCAGCATACGGCACCTTCCAGACATCATCGCGTGCGCCTGACGCCGACCGGACCGTTTGTTTACAATGTCCCTATCATCAGATCTCGACAAGTGCGTATTGCAACCCGTCTTGGATGGTGGTAGACGTATTCCACAGCTGACCATTACTGCTCGATTCTGTCCTCTCGCAACCCACAACTCGCAATCCTCTTTACCGATACCTCCTCACGCGACTCTCTATATCACCCTGCTTTCCCCATCCACAGACAGATCGAACAACTAAAACGATGCGAGCCGATACCAGAGTCGGCAGTGAAAGAACTGTGTATCAAGGCAAAGGAAATATTGATGGAGGAAGGGAATGTGCAATATGTGGATAGTCCTGTCACTGTACGTCACTGTGCGTCCATGTCATACGGAACAAAACTCATGCGCAGGGCAGATCTGTGGAGATATTCATGGGCAGTTTTTTGACCTTATGGAGCTTTTCAAAATTGGTGGCTTCTGTCCTGAAACCAACTACATCTTTATGGGCGACTTTGTCGACCGCGGCTTCTACTCTGTCGAAACATTTCTTCTCCTCCTCCTCCTCAAAGTCCGCTACCCCGACCGCATTACCCTTATCCGGGGCAACCACGAGTCTCGGCAAATCACACAAGTGTACGGCTTTTACGACGAGTGTCAGAGAAAGTACGGGAGTAGTAATGTGTGGAGATATTGCTGTGATGTTTTTGATTATCTGAGTCTGGGGTGCGTGGTTGACGGCAGGGTGTTTTGTGTGCATGGGGGGCTCAGCCCGGCAGTCCACAAGCTAGATCAAGTAGGTACTCGTCTGGAAGAGTCGAACTGGCCTGACGAGAAACCTAGATAAGAGTGATAGATAGACGGCAAGAAGTGCCGCACGAGGGGCCGATGTGTGACCTGTTATGGTCAGATCCAGACGGTGCGTACTCTTCGGAAGGCGCAGAGTAATGCTGATCCTATGGCAGAGGAGATCAATGGGTGGGGTATGTCACCGAGAGGAGCAGGATTCTTGTTTGGTCGAGACGTTGTCGAAGTGAGTATATGCACCCGGCCATCACGAGTTGCTGACAGTCTTTAGCAATTCAACCATACAAATGAAATTGAGCTTGTCGCCCGTGCCCATCAACTCGTCATGGAAGGCTTCAAACTCATGTTTGACCGGCGTATCGTCACTGTCTGGTCTGCGCCCAATTATTGCTATCGATGCGGCAATACGGCATCAGTGTTGGAGCTGGATGAAAATCTCCGGCAAGAGTACAAGGTGTTTGATGCAGCGCCGCAGGATGCGAGGAGTATACCTCAGAAGAGGCCAATGGTGCATGAGTATTTCTTATAGGGATATCTGCAGGTGAAAGCAGTGAGGGGAGTGGATGGGGTATCTGTACTGAAAAACCACACTTGGTGCAGGGGATCACAAGGCATAGGCCCCAATTTGCATGATGCAACTTGCCAAAACGCTGCGCCCCATCAACAATGGGCCCACGACGCAGTATGATTTTAGATTGCATGATAGAGTATCCACAACGCATATCCAACTATGAGTCTCTATCGACCGATCGACGCTTCACCAATTCCCCCTCCATTCTGCACATCCTCCCGACGAAACGCTCAACTTGATATATACACTTGGGAGAAGCTCCCTGATTTTTCGCGCAACACATGTGGCATCACGCCGTCCCGCCACCCGCACTTCCACCCCTACTGCCACCTCCTCTCCTGAACCCTCGTCCACCCCGGAATCCACCTCGCCCACCGAAAGGACCACGGGTGAATTTCGGAGCGGGAGCGACGCTCACAACCACGGGATTGTCACGAAGAGTCTGTCCACTAGAGTCAGCTCGTTCAGAGATTGATTCACAAGATGCGTACAGTCGGCGACTTCTCCAGGGCAGCAAGCATGGCTTCCTCGCTCGCGAAATCAATGTAGGCAAAGTCCTGCATCTCGTCAGCACATTTCACATCACAATGAAGAGACACATACCCTGTTCTTCTTGGTCACCGGATCAATGATAAACTTGACATTGGTAATTTTTCCCGACTCTTCGCCAAACGCTCCCTTCACTTCTTCGATAGAGGCAGGACTGGGCAAGCCTTTGATCAAAAGGCTCCATCGCTTGGGCCTAGAATCGTTGGGGAAAGCGCCCTTGTCCTGCTGCTGGCCATCCTTGCTTTTCTCGTCGCCATCTACCTCCCACGGGCTCTTGTCCTCGGGGGCTTTGTTCTCGCTGTCATCATCAGCCCACGGGTTGGACTCGGGCTCCTTCGACTGTTCGGTGGAAGTCGAAACAGTGGCAGGGGCAGCAGCAGGGGATGAGGCAGTCTTGTCGCTGCCCCACGGGTTGGCCTCTTTGTCATCTTTCTTGGGGTCTTTCTGCTCCTTTTCCTTGTCCTGAGCAGCTGCTCTGCCCTTCTCCTTCTCCTCTTCCTTCCTGTCAGCCTTCTTTTCGCCCTTTGTCTTGGGCTTTTCATCATCCTTCTTTTCCTTTGCCTCCTCCTTGTGATCCCCCTTCTGGGGCGTCGTAGACACGTCCTCCTTTTTCAGAGTGTCAAAAGGCACACCAGCAGCCGTCTTTCCCTCGGCTTGGGCACTCGCGCGAGCCTGATTGAACATGTTGCTCTGAGAGATATTGGCGGCGTTGGGGGCGACAGGAAGTCCGAAATTACCCCGTTGGCCCCTGACTGTGTGCGGCGGACGCGCTTGGAACCCGCCTGGTCCACCTCCTGGCCCAGAAGAAAGTCTTCCATGACCCTGAGCCACTCCATTTACGGGGCCAGGCCCAGCGTTGAGAGGCGGACGGATGGGCCCACCCGGGCCAGTCTGATTCGAGCGCGAAGGGATTGCTTTGATGGCGTTGGTGGGGTTGGGAGCGGCGGATGTTTGAGCAGCGCCTGTGGGAGGGGCAGGGCCACGGCCGATTCGGTGGGAAAAGTTGGCTCCGGAGGATTTGGTTTCGGAAGAGATGCGAGAGTCGGCAATAGAGAGCACCATGTTGCCAAAGCCAACATCACAGAGACTCCAATGCCAGGTATTAATCCACATGCCGTCATCCGAAAGAGGAACGTTCTCGATGGCTGAAAGGGTCTTGTGAAGTAAAGCAGTCTGTTTGTCGCTATCACTCGCGTCAGCCGCGAGTGCCTTGATACTGGAGAAGACCTACCCCAAAGCGCTAAACACCTTCTCTCGCACCTGCTCAAACAGGCCCTTGAACTCGTCCTTGGCCTCCTGAAGCTTTTTACGATAACAGTCAAAGTCTGGACTGACGGAGAACTCGTTGTAGGACACGGGGTATCGGACTGGACCACGTCAGCTTCCTTCCATACTGAATACAGTAAACGTACAGTGCAGCCCGCAAGAAACGGTCATGTCGGCCCGGACAGCATTCGAGACGAGTTTCATGAGGCCATCCTTGCTCGGGGGAGCTGTCGAGATGAACAGACGTGTTTCGTCGGGGCTGAAAGACTAAGCGAATCATCTTAGCGCGCAATATGCCACCTTTTCAAAAGACTCACGCGTTGAGCTGTATCTATAAGCTCTCCAATCTGAAGAGCCGTAGTCCACATGGTCCCCTGGCCCCCTGCAATACTTCCGTGGCCCTCCCCGTAGTCGACTTGGCTTGGCGTCAGCATCTTCCTTCAATCGTCTCCAAATCACCACAGCATCACTCACAAAGCTTGTGCTGCGCCACGGTACCCCCCAAACCCAGCAACCTCAGCTTCACCCCACCCACTTCCACCAACCTTGACGTGGCCTCGTCGAGCATAGCCAGGTTCTGCACTTCATACTCTCCAGTCCTAAACTTTTCGATAACCTTGACGTCTTCCACAAGACCCCATGTTGTGAAGACCGGGACTGGGAAATTGATGGCTCCGGAGATAAGGTGGGGAAATTGAGAGAGAGGGAAGTGAACGGAAGAATTGTTGAGCTGGTTGATAAGGGCAGTTCGGCCGGCCGGCGGGGGAATGGAAAGAAGCTGGTTACGGGTTGCTGGAGGGAGGAGGGGGGAGTATTGGATGAGGTGACGGAGAATCCTATCATAGCGTCAGACGTCGACTTCCTGACTCATGTACATGGCTAGCTCACTTGTCGCTCATGCGGTCCACGCTCTCAGCTGTCATAAAGCCAAAGTCACCCGTATGAATGACGGCTGTGGCGTCATGCTCCTTGATCAAGCGATTCAGTTCGTGGTCTGTCTCTTGTGGTCAGCCTGGGCGCCTGCATCTAGGCAGTGGCACTCACAGTCGCCCCTGATGTCAGCCACACAGAGGATCCTGCCGGTCTTGCCAGCGAAGATAATCTTGGGGAGCCCCTGGGTAATGAGATTGGGCTTTGTGGCGGGGATGGCCCCGTTCGGGGGAGGCTGGGAGGACATGGTGGGGGTATGGGGAGATGAGATGGAATGACGAGAGATGGGCAAGAGGGATTGGAATGCGTGAGGAGGAGGGCCGTGGGCTGGCGGCATCAAATATCTCGACCACCATCTCACTTTCCAGTTGGCAGTTCACAATAATCACATATCCTCCTCTTTCCTCCATTCTCCCTATTCCTGCTTCAAGCATGTCCTTCGGAAAGTGCGTGTCCCAGCCGTCCAAATGCTCCACTGCTCATATTACCCCAGTTTCAGCTTCGGCAACAAACCAGCTGCAGCTCCAGCGCCCGCCGCCCCGGCAGCAACCTCTCCCTTCTCCTTCGGCAACACATCCACTCAGCCAGCCGCTCCATCAAGCTCATCAGGAGGAGGCCTCTTTGGCAACACAAGCCAATCGCAGCAGCCACCGCAACAGCAGCCTGCTGCGGGAGGGTCGTCGTTGTTTGGAAGTTTTGGTGCGAAGCCTGCTGCCCCTGCTGCAGGGGCTCCAGCGGCTGGAGGCTTGTTTGGTAGTCTTGGTGCTGGTCAGCAACAGCAGCAACAACAACAACAGCCTGCTACCGGTGGAGGTCTATTTGGGTCTACAACGCAACCTCAACAACAACAGCAATCAGGGGGTCTCTTTGGCTCTACTGCCAACCAGCAACCTCAACAGCAAGCCGGCGGCGGCCTATTCGGCTCGACCGGTGGTCAGCAAGCAGGCCAGCAAGCCGGTAGCGGTCTGTTTGGGTCTACTGCTCAGAAGCCTGCCAGTGGGTTGTTTGGTTCAACCACCCAGCCGGCTCAACAATCTACCGGCTCTGGCCTGTTTGGGTCCACATCTCAGCCTGCCCAACACAATACAGGTGGCGGTCTCTTTGGATCTACGACCCAGCCTCAACAGAGCGGTGGGACAGGCCTTTTTGGTTCCACTAGTCAACCGCCGAAACCTGCAGGCAGTCTCTTCGGCAACCAACCCGGTGGTACAAGTCTGTTTGGTCAAACAACACAGCCTGCTCAGAATCAGCAGCAACTCCAGACATCCACCAATGGGACAAGTGGAAGCGGCGGGATAGAAAAGACTGCCAAATTCTCGGATCTGCCCGAAGCCGCCCAGAAGTATATTGAACAGCTCGAGTATGTGTTCTCTCCCACCGCTTAAATAGAACGCTTGAGTAGAACTGACTGGATTGCAGCGCCTCAATCAAAAACCAGAAGTCTGTTGCTACATTGTTAAATACTGAACCTTTGGGCCTTGCGATCTGGCAAACAGGTTTGGATGTCAAGACCGCTACCGAAGTAAGTCAAGGCTCGCACTGCGCTCTGTATAGTGCTAAGGCTTCGATAGGACTACGGCTCAATCTCTCACACCCTAAAATCCCTCAAAAACAGCATTTCCCAACTCCATGAAAAGATGATTGACCAGTCTAGAGATGTCGAGAGGCTGAAGGAGATTTGGGAAATATATTCTTCTGGTGATGCGAGGATGGCGCAGGTGAAGTTGGCTGCTTACAAAGAGTTTCCTCAGGAGTAAGTGTCACAAATCCTTCTCTGATATAGACTGACGTTGCGGTAGGTTCTTCAGTAAAGTGGCAGATCAGATGGAAGAGAAGGCCGCCCGATACAAGAAAACCATCGCCGTAAGCCCTGGTGCAAATGGTAGTAGCATTCAAACTAACGTCTTTTAAAGCAACTCAACCGAGCCATCGTTTCTCTCTCCTCCGAGTCCCATGCCCCGTCACCCCAAGCTATTGCTCAGACCATCAATAACCATCAGCAGGCTATCCTCGCTCTGGCAGGCCAGTTGGATCAGATGCAAGTCAGGATGAATGGGTTGAAGCAGACTTTCGCGTAGGTTGCCTTTGACATCGACTCGGGGTTCTGCTGACACGGATGGACAGCGCGGAATGGAGAGATAAGACTGGATCCGTCCGAGATCCGTTTGAGATGGCTAGAGAGGAGAGAGGTGTCAAGGCATGATCATCGTATAGTATAAGCGAGCATTGTATGCCGAAATGCACCCAACTACAAAATCCCTTCGGTGATCGCATTACATTGCCACTACAAAGTACAATCGGGATACCGCAATCCCCACAGGCTGTCTATTAATTCACATGGGCACCTGATCCATCATCTGATCGAATTCGCCTTGTTCATGGTACCTTCTCTTATCACTATTACTTCTTCTGAAACCTGGCTCCAAGTTGACGGGTCTCCTCAGCGGTGACTGGCTAATAACCGGTACACTTGACAGTCTCCTATGACCACTTCTCGACCCCGATAATTGATGACACTCGGCGCAATCGTCTCCGGCCAGAAGGTTTCTTCTTCCTGCGTCCGGGACAGAAAAGGATCGGTGATGGCTTCCACCATATCCTTGCTGCATTGGCACGCCCCAGGATGAGGGCGCGATGTCGCTACCAGTAAGCCCTGCAGCAATGGTAGGCGTCATTCTTGCATGATTACCCCACCCTGCCGGCTGCTGTCTCCAGTCACCCCAGCCTCCTATCGCTCGAATGCCGTCAGCAGCCGTTGACATTTCTGGCGCGTGCCCCTGGTGCACTCGGCCCATGGAACCATTCCATCCATCATCCTCGCGATATCCGCCCATGCCGATACTTGAAGGTACGATGACACTCCCACCACCACCACCCATAACACTTGACATTGCTCTGGGTCTGCCTCCTACCACACTGCCGACCATACTCATACCAGCACCACTGTCTGCACCAGCGAAGCGCTGCTCACTCCTGATGGCACCCGCTTGAGCTGAAGGCGAATACGTCTCGCCCCCATAAGGGGCCCAGGGATTGCGTAGACCGTTGGACATGACGCTGTTGGGAGCTTGAGAGCGAGGGACGCATTCAACGGCTCGGACCGGTCCTGTGGGCGGCAGAGAGGACCAGCCAGGGTGAAGGAAGGCCCTGGACATCATTGTCTGAGGGGAAGGTGTTACTTCAATAGGCATGGTCCAGCCGAGTTGAACAGTTGATGATATATTCTGCCCCTATTATACTTCTTGCTAACTTGAGTTTGGTCGAATAGATCTGTGCTGCGTCTTGGGGCGCGAAACAACTCTGATAGATGACAATGTTTGGTAAAGTCAAGCCAAACTCTGGCACGGCGAAACGTTGTCTAGTATTTGTATTTTTCGTATCACTGCTCAGAGTTTCCTATGTCCTTGTGGGGGCCTTTCCATTGAATTGCTAGCGACATCCTTTGACCCCACCTTCTGATAGGCCACTCGGAACAAGAATGGATGGAGGATAGCTCATCAAGCTCAAGATACATTCCGTTTCCATTGATCCGCCAGCAAGGAAACTTCCAGAAACTCAAACATCACGACCCTCACAAAGGACATAAACATTCGGACAGAAAGGATAGACAAGTGACGCAAAGCTAGAAAGGTGAGCGCATGGGGTGATGCGCGTGTGAGAGCGAACGTTCGGGACCTAGGATTTCGTCATCGCGAGAGGGTGTCGCTTTTCATAGCTTCGGAAGTAACCCACAGGATGGCGACAGGCGAAGATGTTTAGGGCAGAAGCGAAGCACGCAACATCCATTGTTGCGGAGAGCCGGGGAGCGCGATCCCGGCACGACGACTATGACAGCCGCTGTCGTTTGGAACGGACAGACAGAGACTGACATTTTACAATACTCTATTTTTAAGGTCACGAAGCCTATCCCACGCCACTTCACCATTCCATTTCTCTACATCTCCATCGAAAGTCAAAATAGGAGGCCCGCGCTGTTGAATTGCAAAAGATGCGGCTGTCGAGGCAAATATCGATGCTGCACATTGTAATGGGTATCAGAGGACGGTTTGGTCAAAAGGGCAGAAAAACATCACCTGCTTTGATGTCCCCGTTGGAGAGCAAGAGACCGGCTAACAGTCCCCCAAGGAACGAATTACCTCCGCCCGTGACATCAACCACCTGAGATTGTTCTTCCTCTCTCCAAAATGCGGGAACCCAGCCTGTCCAGTCCGGCGACAGTGTGAATGCCCCTAATTCCCCAGCTCTTACCACTATAGCAGGAGCCGGTACGTTGGGATACTTTGCTGTGAGAAGTTTCAAGAAGGCGCAAGCTGCTATCTCAGCATTGCTGTGGGTTGGACTCGAGACCGGGGAGATGCCGAGGATAGATTGGAGCTCCAGGAGGTTGGGGCTGAAGATAGCAATACGGGACGCAAGCCAAATCAGGTTGTCAGACTCGCCAGGAGTACAGCTGAACTACGCAAGCCCATTCCATATTAGCCCAGATTTTGGTCATGATAATCAGACTAAACAAACCGGTAAGGGTTCCCATACAAGCTGTGATCTCAAATGAGAAGCCCCTTCGTTGACAGCATCTCGCTTAAGTCCTTCTAGCTCTTCAACTATGAGCTTCATACGGGGAGACCCGCAGACAACATGTATCCATTCGGGTGCAAAAGGTTTGGCGAAAGGCGATGGATCAACAATGAGATCCCTGGGGAAGATCTGCAATTGTGGCGAGATGTACTTGAAAGATTGATGACCCTCGCTTGATTGGAGCTCAGCAGTCAGTCTGTACTACCCGCTGGACACTTACCCTATCTTGCGGCCAGAGTAGATATTGAGAGCTCGGGTAGTTGGGCCATCCCGATGTCGGAACCATATCATGTCCTTGCCAAGCCTCTCGAGATCCTCGGTAAACCTTGGAGGAAAGTCAGATCCCTTATCTACGAGCAGACCAACATGGCTCGATGGGAGAAACTGTCGAGCAGCGATCATGGCTATAAGCCACATCAGCTATGCCGGGTCACCGGCGTCTTATATATTGCGTACCGAAAATGCCCCCTCCCCCTATCTGCAGAGTTGTCAGCCTCACACAGTACACTTGCTGGTGTATTACCGAGCCTCACCGCTTCATCTTCTGTGGATACGAGATTCCCGTGCTGATCTGTAACCTCAAAGTGGTCGATAATGAACATGCCTTTCGGCGATAACCGTGTCAGAGCGGATCGATGCGTGAGTGGCTTCGACTCACCCAAGGTGGCCACCCTACCCTTGCCTTGGAGTCGCTCCAGCCCAGGCGGGAAATACACATCAAACGTGTATGGGTGCTGCATAGAGCAAATACGTGAATGGCCCATGAAGTGGCTTTGGACGGTGTTTGACCTGCGTTATCGGACAGGTATCGGGCTCTTGTCTCGGAAATCGGGGCTAACCGCGGCGACCCTGAGGTTATGTAATGTATCATATGCCACGGAATTTGTTTTCTTATGAGCCTCGCGATTTCACCCGAATCAAAGAGCTCCAACTTTTCTCATCTTTCTCTGTAAAGATATATTACCCTTCAGCGATGCCCGCCGCCGTCAGAGAACGCTCCCCCAGTGATGCTGCCTTCGGGGCCGCAAAAAAAGCCCGGTGTCTCGCCGACCAGGGAGCTCAGGCGGCCATAAATCACCCCTCGGCGGAGAATGTGGCTGCTTACAGGGAGGACTATGTCAATGCCGTCCCTTTCAGACACGCCGTCATTGGAGGCCTCTTGAGTGACGACTTGGTTAGTGCCTGCACTGCTCTCGGTGCTGCTAGCACGATCGTCACTATGCTGATGTGATTGTTAGCTCGAAGGTGTGGTGGAAGAGTCCAAAAAGTTTGGCATTAGAGGTGAAGAGGGAAGTCTCCCTGGTTGGGGCTGGGAACACAAGGAGACAGACATCTACAAAATCCAGCAGACTCCCGACCTCTCGTCTCTGAGCCCGGAGCATCTGCCAGATGAGACGCTCAATGCTCTTCCGCTGCTTACCCGATTGAAGAATGCCCTCTACTCTAAAGAGTTTAGGAATCTTGTTCGCCAAGTGACCGGATGCGGACCTCTGTCTGGAATCAAGACGGACCTGTCCTGTGCTCTCTATACCAAGGGGTGAGTTCTAATTCGAGTGCGACCATTGGCGCCTTGACCTGACCAATTACAAGCTCGCATCTCCTCCTCCACGATGATTCGATCTCCACCCGTCTGATCTCATATATCCTCTATCTACCGTGGTCCCCCAAGGATGCTTCTGAGACCACTGATGTAGACCTTGAGCTATCCAAGAATGGGAAATTTCTCAAGGGTTGGAGCCCGTCCTGGGGTGGTGGACTTGAGTTGTTTCCTGTAGAGGGCGACGAGGAGGTTGGTCCTCCCAGTGTGAAGCGGTTGGCAAAGGTCTCCGCTACCTGGGGTCAAATTGTGTTTTTCGAGGTAAGCCTGTCAACCGCTTCCTGGTCGAAATCGTGCTCAACCCATGCTCTCTAGGTACAACCGGGACGAAGCTATCACGCCGTAGAGGAAGTTGTTATTGACGAAGGGCGACAGAGGTTTAGTGTCAGTGGTTGGTGAGTAGAGGCCGGTATGCCTTTTTTGTTGATTGTCTGACGTCAACGAAGGTTCCATCGACCTGTTGAGAGTGAAGAGGGCTTCCAAGTGTTTGACAAGGAAAAGGCCCAGAAGGAGCTCAGTTCTTTGGCACAAATTGTGAGTCATCACCTTACTGCTCACAGCGTAGTGCTCACGTCCCGTAGACTTCTGCAACTTCACTTCCCTTCGTCTCTTACCCTACTCCCCCTCCGGTCGGCCTGAAGCCTTCTGATCTCGCCTTCCTCTCCAACTATCTCTCCGCTTCATACCTCACCGCTCCCACGCTCGAACGTCTTTCCGGACAGTTTGTAGAGGCTTCCGAGATCGTTCTCCACAACTTCCTCCAGCCGGAGCTCGCTGCCAAGCTCAAGGCTGAGACTGAAGGTGTGGACAAGAGGGACTACTCTCCCTTGAAGACACTCTTGACGCCCCAGGAAACTGGTGAGGGCGATGGCTGGGCCATACAAGGTCCCTCATCCAAACATCGTTATGTTGCTCTCACAGACAGCTCCACTGCCACCCCAATCTTCCAATCGATTCACAATGTTCTTTTTCCCTCTGATGCTTTCCGCGCCTGGCTATCTGTCGTCTCTTCATTGGCGCCTACCGGCCATCGGAACGAGGCTCGGCGGTTCAGGAAGGGTCTCGACTATACTTTGGCCAACGGCGAAGGGCGAGAGGGTGACGCCCGATTGGATGTCTCCTTGGGAGCCACCTGGTGGGCGGACGTCCCTGCTGGAAGCGATGAGGAGGACACATTGATTGAGCATGGTGGCTGGGAGGCATACCTTGCTGCTCCCGATGACGATGAGGACCCTGCAGTGTATCAGAGCACCATGGCCAAGAAGCCCAAGCATGAGCACCAGCAGGAGGAGAACAAAGCCGAAGGCAAAAAGGCCGATTCTGCCTCCGAGAAACAGGCTGCGCCACAGACCAACGGCAATGGCGCCAGCAAGGCGGATGGTGGTCCCTCGATCTCAATTGGCGGGCAAGAACTTGAATTTGATCCCAATCAATTTTCACCTTCAGATTTTGACTCTGATTCCGAACATGGCGAGGAAGACGATGGCCCTCTTCTCACCCAGCCGGTCGCTTTCAACAAGCTTCTGCTTGTATTGAGAGACCCGGGAGTGATGAAGTTTGTCAAGTATCTCGGTGCAAACGCCCCCGGAAGTAGGTGGGACGTGCAAGGAGAATATGAAGTCGGCGTTCTGGAAGAGGAGGTTGTAGGAGAAGAGAAGGCTTCAGAGGCATAGGTTTAGAGCATGTGTTTGTCTCTACATTATTATGATATTAGGCTGGTTGTAGACGCGGGCCGGGAGGTAGATACGGCGATCACTGCAGAGTTTGTACTCTATTTACCCCCAATCTCAATTTTCTCATGCATATCCCCCCTAAATTATCATCTTCTAAATCTTTGCATCGCGCCTATATTCCGCCCGGTCCAGATCGCTTCACAAGAGAATATGATGAGTTTCTCACTGCAAGTAGAGTGCTTTTGATGAACGGAATCAAATTTCTGGCGGTCTTCCGGGGAGCCTGATCTATCTATTTTCGGCGTGACCGACGAGATGCATTTGTTGTACATATTATCTCTTCCAAGCGGCCTGCTCGTTCGACAAATTCAGATACCCGGACTAAAATCATGATGAGTGCTTCGGAAGAGTCAGCCATGGAGGACCAGCAACCCATAGCCTCCTCATCTCGTCGTGAGTCTTCGCATTACACGGCTGTCCTCCTCTGTCTTTCATTTTAATGGCCATTACTAGATATCCAAGCAATTCCTACTACGGGCGAGAGCCAGTCACCAAGGTCGCCCAGCAGAAAACGTTTGAACTTGGCAGAAACTACAGGCGAAGAAGAGCCATCTTCTGCGCCAGTCACCATCAAACGTCGATTGATTCGGCCAAAAAAGCTAAGACAGGTTAAGGACGAACCTTCGCCGCCACTTGAAGAGGGTCGGATCTCCATGGTTTCTAGACAGCCTCCTCAAGGATCCCCTCCAGATGGGTCGCAGGCAACGGAACCGACTCCAAAACAAATCTCTCGACAGCCTTCCCCTGTCGCATCTTCCTCGGCCCCATCATTTGCTCCTCCTCGTTCCCGGTTCGCCCCTCGTCGCTCCGCCCATCCTTCCTTGGTTTCATGCAGATCAGTCTTCAACTACACTCGTCTCAACCATATTGAAGAAGGAACGTACGGCGTCGTCTTCCGTGCACGGTGTAATGATACTGGCGGAATATATGCGCTGAAGAAGTTGAAGTTGGAGGAGGAGAAGCAAGGATTTCCTATCACGAGCTTGAGAGAGATCATGGCTCTCATGCGTGCTGGGAATCATGATAACGTAGTCGGGATCAGGGAAATTGTTGTAGGAGATACATTGAACCAGTACGTCTGTCCAGTCTTGCAGTCGTATACGTTTACTGATGCAATATTGTAGGGTATTCATTGTAATGCCCTTCATTGAACATGATCTTAAGACTCTCCTGGCAGACATGCCTCATCCTTTCCTCCAGTCCGAGGTCAAAACAATCATGCTGCAGCTTCTATCTGCAGTAGGCCACTGTCACGACAACTGGATCGTGGGTACCACCATTCCATCTTCCAAAATATGATCCAACGAGCTGACGAGCGTCGAGTAGCTTCATCGAGATCTCAAAACTTCGAATTTATTGATGAATAACAGAGGACAAATCAAAGTCGCCGATTTCGGACTGGCACGAAAGTTTGGAGAGCCTTTGGGGGACATGACACAGCTGGTCGTGACGCTATGGTATCGGTGCGCGTTCTGTGGTACTGCTTCGATGAGCTCAGAAGCTGATCTGACCATCAGGTCGCCAGAGCTCTTGCTGGGTAGTGAGGAGTACTCGACAGCGGTAGACATGTGGTCCATAGGCTGCATCTTTGCGGAGCTAATGCAGAGCGAGCCGCTCTTCCCAGGAAGAGGAGAAATCGATCAGATCAATCGGGTCAGTGTCGCATCACTTTATACGGTGTCAATAAAGCTGACCATCACAAAACAGATATTTTCACTCTTGGGAAGACCGAATGAAGAATCATGGCCTCGATATACCTCCTTGCCTCTGGTGAAGAAATTGAACCCTGTTGGTCCTTTGTAGGTGTCGGCTGAGCTACACCGCGCACGCGACTGACCCGCTATGCAGATACTCTACGCTTCGACAGAAGTTCAAATACCTCACATCGGAAGGACACAATCTGCTATCGTCCCTCTTGTGGTATGATCCTGACAGACGGATCAGTGCCGAAGAGGGAAGCAGACACCCTTATTTCACGTACGTACACCACCTTTCTTCTTGTTCACCAAGCCTGAACGGTCATGTCATAGAGAACACCCACTACCGAAACATCCAGATCTGTTCTCTTCTTTCCCAAGTCAAGCGGCTGGCGAAAGAAGACACAGATCACTCGCAAGCCCCCAAGCACCGATACGGGAAGATATGGTGACCAAGAACAATCTGGCAGACCTGGACGCCCTTGTATGAGGTCTAGCTGAATGGCATTACATATATTCAGGACAAGGACAATCTTCGACGAGGTACAAAGCCCTATGGCTCCACAAAAGATGTATCGAGCCCCTCCGAAAAGTCCCAGATGTTGATCCTGCAGTCTAGACCAGATGATACCACCCGCAATCGATCACCAACGACGCAGAAGATACGGCCCGCGTGAGCGTCTTTGAGATCGGCCACAACTCTGCCAGATTTCCTATTCCAGATCTACCCACGTATTAGCCTACGGGCTATTACGATGGGATGGAGAGGTTGACACTCACTTTGACGGTAGCGTCATAACTCGCAGAGAGCACCACATCCTTGCCAAGATGTACAGATCGTACAAGATCCAGATGCCCTCTGTTGTAGCACCTTGCACATGTCCCAGATGCATCTGGCCTCATGAGCCCAGGTGGACATACACATGGCGACCAAAAGACATCTCGTTCAATGAGAGCAATCTTGGTGTTTCTTTCTGTGAGCTCTGTAGGAATCTGAGTAAGAGGCGGGGATGGGAGGGGATGATGCGCATTGTGCATATTCTCATCTTCCGGTTCACTTTCTGAGGCTGACCACCTGTCCAGGTCGCCATGAACAACATCAGAGACCGAGGGCTGTTCTTCGATAAGGTGAAAGCTCTTGATGGATGCGTCGGAAGATCCCGTGATTATTGTTCCTTTACAAGTCTGTCCTTTGCGAAGAAAAGGAAGCTTTTCGGGTGCTTGGCAGACGTCAATACTGGCGATACCGCGGTGATGACCATCAACGCAGGCCAGGAGGGCGCCTGTATGTATCGACCAGACACGAAGGCTTCTGTCACCAGATGCAGAGACGCTATATAGGAGTCAGTACCTTCCTTGCCCATCATTCAGCAGTGGATACCTACATGAGATCCTTGGACAACCCGACGGCATTGACCGCCCCGCGGTGCATTCGTGGGTCGGTGGCACCGCCGATGACCATGAGTTCTTCCAAGGTGTATATGTCAAAGACTTTGATCGTTTTGTCTGTTTCGGATGTAAGCATTGTGGGAGACTTGATTAACGACGCTTACCTTTGGAACAACTGACAACCCTCTCCTCGTCTGCCCTCACGCAGAGGACCGATTGCTCATGGGCATTCACGCACTTGACAGGCTCTCCACTGCCCCCCTCGACATCCCACAAGCATATCCTCCCATCACTTCCGCCACTGACAGCCATCAGCCTCTTCTTTAGCTCCCTATCGAGAGAGAAGCGCGAAAGCTTAGAGGGTGACGATGGGGAGAGTAGAGGGAGGATGCCGTGCTCTGGTAGCGTGACTATTGAATGTGTGAGGACAGAGGAAGTGTGGCCGCCGTGAAAGATTTTGACCACCCTAGGGACAGGGGTGAGCTGCCAGAGGCGCAAGGTCTTGTCTCGCGAGCCGGACAATAGCCAATCTCGCCCGCTCACGACGTTCCTGTTTGTGGCCGAGTCGTCGAGAGAAGCACGTCGAGACGAGGACGGGACGCCATCAAGAGACATGACGTAGTTCATGACGGAGCGCTGGAATTGCCCCTCCGCCGCACCGGGCAAACCAGGGTTGATCCCCAACTGGACGTTGCAGTCAGGACACACCTGTAGCATGGTAATCTTCATCGCGTGATTGACCAGTGTCAACGAGTAAACGGCCTCCGAATGGCCGGGAAGACCGCCGTACTTGACTGAAGATATTGCGTCGATGGCCCGTGGTTTGGGCAGAGGAGGCGGCCGAGGAACGTCTCGGTGCACTTTCCCTGTCGTAAACGGCTGTGACTGGGATATATTCGATCCGATTGGCCTGGGCGTCGTCATTCGCTTTCGCAGGACATGGTGGAGGATGAGCAGCTGTTTAAAGTTGACTTGGGGCTTGGCCGAGGGGACGGCCATGTGAGAAGCCACGGGTGCGTCTATGATTCTTGCTTCTTGCTGCCGATCCCAAAAGTCCAACGCCTTATGCAGATGAGTCGGAAGAGTTTCTCCGATCCCGGCTCCGCCTCTCTCCCATACATTCCTCCTCAATCCACCGCTCATCCCCAGCGGATCCGCTGCAGCTGCGCCCCCGCTATCATGTTGGGCAGCATGGGCGGAGAGGAGCTCATAGTGGTTACTCAGTCTTTCGTCGGATGGAGATACGTCGAATGTGGGGTCGTCGGTGTCCTCTTGAGTTGAAGGAGGGAGGATACGGTTGGTGGTGATGTCCTGCCAGGTGATCGACATTGGTTTTATGGGTGGGGAGTGAGATGCGCATAGGTATGCCCAAAGTGCTGGAAATGTAGCATCAGCATCACGAGTGAGATTGGCAGGGAATAATGCTCACCTTGTTCACTGCACAGTCTAGCCCACGTTTTGCTGACAAGGGTACAATGCAAAAGATCATCCAGCTCCAGCTGACCAAGAATCAAGAAAGAGAGTTCCGGCGGCAGCGACTGATTGATGTCAATACACATGACAGATTGCTGCAGCATAGGGAGACTCACCCCAACTATATCTTTCTGAAGCATGGAGCTGATTGTCTCGTTGATTTGCAAGACATCTTTGAGAAGTTAGTCAAGCCAAGTTGCCGATCGCCACCTACCATTTCGAGGCAGCGACCAAAGTAAACTTGTTGTGAGCTCTGGCCACAATGTATAAGTCAGCTCATGGCCCATGTAATACCAGACAAGAAGCTGAAACGACGCACCCCTGCGTAGCTTTGGTGGCAACGCGAGCGCGGCCCTCAAGAGCTCGGCCTGTGAGTTCAGATGTCTTTGTAGCGGGGGACTCTCCTGCATGGCAGAGCGTGAGAGACTGTCGGGTTATATCTGTTATGGTACGCCCGTGGCCCAAGGATAAGGGATAGTAATGGTGTGAGAAAAGATATCAATTTAATGTCGAGGAGCGCAGGAGATCAACACTGCAGGAGATTGACTTGAAGACAGGTCCCGGTCCGGCCAGCCTCCACCGCGCGCAAATCTAAGTTTGTATGTATACTTGTATACGAGTACTGCACGAGTACATATCAAGGCTCGGGGCTTGCGCTGGGCCGGTATGCAAAGACTCTCATGGTCATCACCCCCCCAGATATGTAGGCAGGTGACTGGATGACTTGCACCTGGGGGAAAAAGAGAGGCTCTGTCTGCTGGTGACTTCGCTCCTTTAGTAAAATCAGGCTTCTACTCAGTATACTCCATGTCACGGACCCCATGTTCAGCCAAGCATTTCCCCTTACCTGATGATAGCACGAGCTTCCATTGCAGCGAGGTGGTCGGCTTTATGAGAAACAGGGGTGACCCCTGAGCAGCGTTGGATGATAAAAGTCACGCCATAATGACGCCTTCGACAGCGTAGAGACTCCTGGGGGTGCCCCAAGCTGTTCATGCCCCTGATACGATGTGCATGGTGGCAGGAGACCCTTGAGATGCATGGCGGGGTGCCCTCGAATGCATACTTGCATGTAGCGGTGGCAGGCAGGGCCAAGCGCCACGTCGACGGGGATGTCCGCCCGGAAATTCGAGATTTTTTGCACGCCATCGAGGGGGCTCGTCCGAGAGCGCGCCCGGGTGTCCATTTTTTCTATCTTCTGTTTCTATCGCCCATATCATTTCCCTCTTTCTCTCCTCTACCCACACTCCCACAAATACCCAAAATGGCTACCAACGGTAACGGTCCCGCTGCTGCTCTCGCCCCCGGCCAGTGAGTTTTTTTCGCGCGACCCAACAGCTCGCACGTTCTTGTCACAACACTCGCTTACCATCCCCAGCTTCCTCTTCACCTCCGAGTCTGTCGGTGAGGGTCACCCCGACAAGATCTGTGACCAGGTCTCCGACGCTATCCTCGATGCTTGTCTTGCTGAAGACCCCTTCTCCAAGGTAGGTCGCGCCCCTGTGCTAGCTTTACTTCACTTGTTGACATCCGTCCCAGGTCGCCTGTGAGACCGCTGCTAAGACCGGTATGATCATGGTCTTCGGTGAGATCACCACCAGGGCCAAGCTCGACTACCAGAAGATCATCCGAGACACCATCAAGCAGATCGGTTACGACTCTTCTGAGAAGGGTTTCGACTACAAGACCTGTAACGTCCTTGTTGCCATTGAGCAGCAGTCTCCCGATATCGCTCAGGGTCTCGAGCACGGTGGTCTTGACGCCATTGGTGCTGGTGACCAGGGTATCATGTGAGTACCATGAAGTGAACAGGCCAAGGACGATAGCTGACAATCCTATTAGGTTCGGCTACGCTTCCGACGAGACCCCCGAGATGATGCCCCTTACCATCATGCTCGCCCACAAGCTTAACGCCGCTTTGGCCGCTGCCCGACGAGACGGTACTTTGGGCTGGCTCCGACCCGACTGCAAGACCCAGGTCACCATCGAGTACAAGAAGGGCGAGGACGGAGCTATGGTTCCCCTCCGAGTCGACACCGTCGTCATCTCTACTCAGCACGCTGAGGAGATCTCTACCGAGGACCTCCGAAAGGAAATCCTTGAGAAGATCATCAAGAAGGTCATCCCCGCCAACCTCCTCGACGACAAGGTTGTCTACCACATCCAGCCCTCTGGCCGATTCGTTATCGGTGGTCCCCAGGGTGACGCCGGTCTTACTGGCCGAAAAATCATTGTCGACACCTATGGTGGTTGGGGTGCCCACGGTGGTGGTGCCTTCTCCGGTAAGGACTGGTCCAAGGTCGACCGATCTGCCGCCTACACTGCTCGATGGATCGCCAAGTCCCTCGTCGCCGCTGGTCTTGCCCGACGAGCTCTTGTCCAGCTCTCCTACGCCATCGGTGTCGCTGAGCCCCTCTCCATCTTTGTCGACTCTTACGGAAGCAGCAAGAAGACCGACGCCGAGTTGGTTGAGATCGTCAGGCAGAACTTCGACCTCCGACCCGGACTCATCGGTAAGTCGAGCCTTGCTGTGTCATTTGGAATAAAGCACTAACGCCCCTATAGTCCAGGCCCTCAACCTCCAAAAGCCCCAGTACCTCAAGACTGCCGCTTACGGTCACTTCGGTAACCCCACCTACTCTTGGGAGCAGCCCAAGCAGCTTACCCTCTAAGCTGTTTGTCCGTCTCTCCAAGGCTAGCGTTTGTGGTTTCTTTCCCTCCTTCTCTGTAATTCGGGGCATCTGTTAGTCCGGACCCTGGCGCGAGTTCCTCCTCGCACTCGAACATTTTCAATCGCATCTTTGTCTATAGACAGCACGACCTAACCCTCCACGAACCTCCTTCCACATGATATAAATAGCATCCTATATACCCGAACACCATTTAGTTCTCTTTCATTTTTCGCACTTGTCTTTTGGGTTATCTTCGAAAGGCGAGTTTGAGGTTGTATATTCCCTCACCTCTGTTCATGTTCCTTTCTGGGTTTTCAGAGTCGGGTTCGAACAAGAAGTAATAGAAGTAAAAACATATAGATTAGTATAGGGGTTGCGGGAACCTTTCCGGTACTTTTATGCAATGCGCTCAACCGCCACGAAACACATTCTCGCGCACTATGCCATCAAGCGTTATGACAGTGGATGCATGCACTGAACGCTGACCTTTCCGAGCCGAGAGTACTATGCATGAAACAGAGAAAAGGGGCAAGATGGATGATTCAATGCCACACGCAGTAATACCGCCAAATTCCGGGTGCGTAAAAAATCCAAAAACTCGCTCCTTTCTTTCCTAGCTCTCTACAAATCCCAAAAATGGCCCCCAAGCTCACCGGTTTCCCTGGTGAGTCTACCAGAAATCCTCCCCGTGCATAGCTGACATGACATTCAGGTAACTCTCGAGTCCGCCGTGTCCTCGCTGCCGCCGCCCTCGCTGGTGTCGAGCTCGAGCACGACAAGTCCTGGTCTTTCCAGAACGACTGGAAGACTGAGGAGTTCCTTCAGAAGAACCCCTTTGGTTTCGTTCCCATTCTTGAGCTCGAGGACGGTACCGTCATCAGGGAGTCTAGCGCCATCGCCGAGTACGGTGAGTCTTTATTCTCATCAAATGCGAGGGTGTACTCGGGGGGACGAGAGAGTGCAACAGGGAGCAGAGCGCTTTCAAGGATGAGACTTACATTCAGTTATCCCTGTCTTAATGGCTTCGGTCTTATGTCGAGGATTTTCCGGCGGGTGGTACCGTCATACCTCTGAAACAAAGCGCTCTGCTCTTCTCGCTTTAATAGAGGTCGTCTCACAACACGAAATGCGAGCTGACGGTTGCACGATAGTCGCCGAGATCGGTGCCAACCAGACCCTCATCCCCTCTGACCCCAAGGGCAAGGCCGTCGTCCACTCTTGGCAGGCTACCGCCGACCAGGAGGTGAGCAGCTCATTAGAATGGATCAACAAGTCCATTGACTTATGCCCGACATAGATCTTCATCCCTTCCGGTGTCGCCAACGGTATGCTCGCTGGTCGAATTCCCTACCACAAGCCCATCTTCCAGGCCATCGTCGACAAGATCACCGGCCGAATCCAGGTGATCAACGACATTCTCCTCGACCAGACCTTCCTCGTTGGCGAGCGAATCACCCTTGCCGATATCTTCATCGTCACTGCTCTTACCAACATCTTCACCTCTTGGTTTGATGCCGCCGCCCGTGCTCAGGTCCCCAACGTTGTTCGATACGTCAACACGTAAGTCATCTGCCATGATCAAGCAGCACTCTTGCTGACAGTATCTCCAGTGTTGTGAACCACCCCAAGCTCCAGGCCATCTTCACTCCTCTCGAGTTCTCCGAGAAGGCTCCCGCTCCCCAGACCGCTTCCAAGCCCAAGGCTGACAAGCCCAAGGCCGAGAAGCCCAAGGCTGAGAAGGCCCCTAAGGCTCCCAAGGCCCCCAAGGCCAAGGAGCCCGAGGAGGAGGAAGAGGAGCCCCTTGTCCCCGCCGAGGTCAAGGTCAGGAACCCTCTCGACGACCTTCCAAAGTCTCCCTTCAACCTCGAAGACTGGAAGAGGGCCTACTCCAACCTCGACACCCGAGGACCCGGTGGATCTCTCGAGTACTTCTACAAGAACTTTGATCACGAGGGCTTCTCCATCTGGAGGGTTGACTTCAAGTACAACGAGGAGTTGACCATGCCGTTCATGTCCAACAACCAGGTCGGTGGTTTCTTCAACCGTCTCGAGGCTTCCCGAAAGTACCTCTTCGGTTCCGTCGGTGTCCTTGGCAAGACCAACGACTCTGCCATCGCTGGTGTTCTTGTCCTCCGAGGCCAAGACGCTGTGCCCGTGGTCAACGTCGCCCCCGACTGGGAGTCTTATTCCTTCACCAAGATGAACATCGAGAACGCCGACGAGAAGGCCTTCTTCGAGGGTTCTATGGCTTGGGACCTCGTTTTGGACGGTAGGGAGTGGGTCGACGGTAAGAACTTCAAGTAAGCTTGAGGTCCTTCGGTAGAAGGAAGAAGGGTTATTTTGTTTGTTTTTATATATACTAGACACACTCGGCTTTAATGTATTTTCATGACATGAACATTGTATGCACTGTTGACCTGAGAGACAGATTCTGGAGCAGACTTGAAGAATGGGCTTTCACTGGGCCAGCCACCTTTTTCGACCGAGACCGCCATGGAAATATGTAGTGGATGCTTTATAACAGTAGTGTGCATGTGAAACGTCACTGTAATCTCAATTATCGCCAAAGAAGATCACCCTAGTCCTCACGTCAGCATATCGCCCCGTCAGCATCGGAAAGCACACTCACGAAACAGTCACGTCATCTCTCATCCATCTACTGACCTTGCCGCTCAAACTCATCAATTCTCCCCTGAGATTGACATCACCACCAGCCAAACTATTTCTTATCAAATGCGTCGCGGCATTCTCATCGCCTTCGTAGACCCACGTCTCGCCTTCGGGTTGCGGCAGCTCTTGTGCGGGGTAGAGGCGCTCGGAAGGGGCGAGAGGGAAGAGCTTTGGCAGTGATGTCTTGGGAATGGGTTTGCGAGTGTGATGGGAGAGGTAAGAAGCTGTGAGAAGGGCTGCCTCCTCCGAAGTTATTCTGTCCCACACTGCAAGTAATCAGCCAACTTGTTGGCGGGTGACAATCAGTGTATACATACAACCGTCGGTGGCCATGACGATAAACTTGAGCCTCTCGCCGGATTCGGGATGAAGTTTGCGATAAGTCACCTCCGGACGGGCAGTCACATAAGGAGGCGTATAGTTCCATGGTCTACCTGCTCGGGGTTTGCTACCTTCGCTCTTGAATGCGCCTGCAATACTGTCCTGGCATTAGTCGGTCCCCACATGGTGAACAAGACTCACGCAGCAGCCTCGGCATTGCTCCACTTGTAGACAGCATCGCCAAACGCCCTCGTAGGTTGCAAACCACCTTGCACTCGCCCATTCCTGATGACAGTCTCCCTCTCCGAGACAGGATGTTCATTCCTCATCCTCTCAATCTCTCTTGGGTTCTCTCCCATCTGATCCTCGGTCAGTACATCGCATCGCCACTTGCCATCAACACCTTGCCATCCTGCGATAGCACGGCAGTCTCCAGCGAGGGCAACGTAGAGATCGTCATTCTCTGCATCCACAAGTGTGGAGATGGCACAAGCACCCGAGGCGGCGGGCTCGGCGAGAGCGACAAGAGTCTGTTGGGCGGAGGGTGACGAAGCGTCTTTGGGAGGCTTGGACAGAGATGGGATAAGGCGGACCGGCGTTTGACAAATGTTGTCATCGAGTTGCAGGTAGCTGACTCGTTGTGAGCTCGATACCTTTCAGTAAGAGATCGACGTACGCATTTTCAATAGTTTTGGAGACATTTCCAGGAGTCCAAGTCTTCTCCGTCCCGAGCCAGTACCAGGGGCTGAGATATCCAGACCACTGGCTCCAGACTCCCTGATGAGGCGCATAGCCGGCCTGGAGGTTGGCCAGAGACACCGCGATGGTGGGATGGAGCGCCTTCTGGAGCAATGTCGAGGTAGCATCACCAGCGTGGCCATCCATGATGGAAAACATCATCAGATCCCGCTTTCCCGCACCATCCTTGCCCACACTGGGCTCATCTCCACTAAACCACGCATTCCAGAAAGAGCCGACCTTGCGGATTCGTTCCGATGCAGTCTGTTTCCTCTCGACGAGGTCTGTGGACCAGCGGTCTTCGCAAGGGTCGTTCGAGCCTACCCAGTTGTTGTCCCACCGCACGACAGGATTGCCTGTTCTGCCAATAGTGCGACTGGTCTCGTGCTCCCTGATCAGTCGTTCGACTTCGGTATCGGGCTTTCGGTTGAAATCGAATGATTGCACGCCGCGGCCGGTCTGGATGTTGAGCTGGAACTTGGACTCTTTGTTCCTGTTGAAGAAGGAGACGGGGCGGCCTCCGGGAGTAGAGGTGGTGATCTCTTGGTCGCCCGAGGACTCGTACTGGTAGACAAAGTAGGCGGAGGTGAGGAGGGCGACGGAGAGGAAGGCTGTTGTTTTGACGTTGGGGGGTGCCGGGGTGCGGGCTGTGCTGTAGGGGCGGCGGGGGATGCCTCTGAGGGGCAGCCGGGGGATGCTTCGAGCGAGCATGGTGGACAGCGGATGAAAATACAATAAAGTTGTGACGTGACTTGGACAAACAAAGAATCCTGAGTGGGCGGCGATGGGCGCCGAGTATTCCCCAAGATATCATCATTCTCATCCCATACCCTATACCCGCGAAGCAAGCATGGGCGTCCTCGCTCTCCTCTCCTTCTCGCAGGGCATCGCCACCTTCACCCATGTCCTCCTCGCCCTCCCCATGGCCCTCGACCTCCTCGGTGAGAACCGCCCACAACCATAACCATCCTCCGCTCACCCCTGCCAGGCCCTCCTTCCTTCCTCCTGCTATCATCCCTCTTCACCCTCCACCATGTCCTCTACTCCACCCTCCGCCTCTTCCTCAAAAACTCGCCCCTCGCCCCCTTAATGGCCATCCTCTCCTTCCTCTCCCCGTTCATCTCATCCCTCATGGTCGTCATCACCATCTACTACTACCTATACCCCCCGTCTCCCCCTTCCGCGCACTCCCTCCTGCCGTCATTCTCACATTGGCTGGTCAATGTTTTGCCGTTCGCGTACGCTCAAATATTGAGATGGGTCAGCCCGCTCTTCACCTTGCTAGAAGGTATCAGCACTTTGCTCGTCATCCAAGTTGCTGGCCGCGTGGGCAAGGGGTGGGCAGATGAAGAGGACAGCGATGAGGGATTGGAGTGGAGAAGTGTAGTGGCGCTTATCGCTGCTGCTTTGGTGTACTGTGCCGGGTTGGCGGGCATCATCAAGGTGCGCCTCGCCCTTCCGGGCAGAACACAGCTGACTTTTACCACAGACCTTTCCCGAGCTTCCATGGCCCGCCTTCCTCCTGGGCCTGGCCTTGTCGTCGGTCGTCTTCCTCTCCATGATCGGTTTCACCCTCAAACGGACCAATGTCCTCGAAACCAGCTTGGTTTTTGTCTACGTCGTCTACAGCGCATGGCTTTCTGGCGTCGAAGCAGAGATGCCTGCTCGTACTTTTGGCTCTTCTTGGTTCCCCTCCCCCTCTCCGCTTCGCGAGTCATACTCTATACCGGCCATCGGCAAACCTTCCGTCCAGTCCCTGCTATCCTACGCCCTCCATTCCCTCTTTCCTTCCTTCATGACGGTCTCTAGGACTTTGCCGCCACACCTGCTGTTATCTCTGATATACCGAGTAGCTGTCCTGCATTTGGCGGCAAGGATAGTGCCAGTATTGAGACGGGCGAGTATGGGCTGGGATGAGCGGGAAGGCGGTGAGGGCGAGGAAGGTTTCTGGGATGGAAGGACCTTGGGTGACGAGCCTGCTGTGAGTGCTTTCATTTCCTCACGTTGAATTCTCTTGACGATCATCTAGAATATGAGGATTGCCACCGTCTTCCTGTCATACAGAAGAGCCATTCTCATTGCTGTGTATACCCATCTCCTTTGCAAGTGCTCTCGCGTCTTTATGCCGTTCAACGCTGACTAGTCTCCAAGTGCTCGACGGGGGATCCCAGACTTGGTGGAGGTGGATCAACATCGCCCTGCTATTGTCAGTATGGAGTCTAGAATTGCTGTTGGATGCGGAGGGCGACGATACGGATAGTGTGTCAAGGTGGAAGGTTGATTGATCGTCTGTCGTATCTATAATCATAATTGCATGGGCATGTCGTAACTTTGCAATGTTTACCACAAAGCAGTCCAGCTCAATGGATTTTTCGCCTCTTGAAGTTTGCGAATCCCTATGTACATTCAGCGTTGACTCAGTATTGACGATAGGGTCCACTTACGTCCTCATCGTCATCATCAACAACAAGCCTCCTTCTTTGCGTCCCTCTTCTCCCAGCCGTAGCACTCGGCGGAGGGTCATCAAGCGTAGCAGTCCCCGACCCTGCGATACTGGCCTTCTTATTCTTGGCGCTCCTTCCAAACGTCTCACTGGTACCCCGGACAATCCCGTCATCGTCTTCGTCACTGTCCTCCAGGATAGTCCGCTTCTTCTTCCCCGCCGCTGTGGTCTTTGTAGCACCTTTCCCTCTCGTCCTAGACGAAGCAGCGGGCGCCTCAGACGCATCGCTGACCACACTTGCCGCCCTCTTCTCCCTGCCCGACGCTCGACCCGCCGTCGAAGCCGGCTGACTATCCAGCACCCTGCTTCTCTGTGTACTTGTACCCGTCCGCGAGGTCGAAGGTAACATGTCATCGTCCTCACCATCGTCTTCGCCAAAGTCAGTCTCCCGCAAAAGCCGACGCACCCCGGTAGATTGGGGGAGGATGGGACGATCATCGTCGTCGTCGTCGTCAAAGGCATTTTGAGAAGTGGGTTTCTTCTTCTGTTCCTCTTGAGGCCAGTATGCTACAAGCAGTTTAGCGGTTAGATTGAACTAGGTCATGGGAACTTACATTGCATGGACATTGCAGGCTCTTTGAAGATGCTGGCGTTGAGGACCATCTTGAGCGGTGTTTTCCGCGGGGCATCTTTCTGAATGACGGACATGATCAGCTATGCCCAGCACAGCCAGCACAGTGTAAAGACGACTAACCTTGTGGAACTTTTTAAAGTTTGGTTTCCCATCGTCCCCTCTCACGGCCTGCTTCCTCTGTCCCAGATCCTTTCTGAACAGCCCTGCCACCCTCACAATCTCCACAAAGTTCCCCGTCGTTTCCTCATTCTCAAAGTCATCCGACACCTCGTACGCTGGTTTGTCCACTTCCTTGCCCGTCTCTCCTTGTGAGAATGTCATTTGACTCAGGCCGCGGTCGAGTTGATCGATTCTCTCCTTCTCTTTGCGATTTTTGGCAAGGGCAGCTTGGAACGCTTCGTCTCGAGTGGGAGGCTCGGTGTTGGGGGCCCGTTTCTGCATGGTAATCATAGGCCCCTGTCGCCGTTGGGTTTGAGAGGAAAGGTCTTGCGCTTGCGACGATCCAGGCTGGGATGTGGTTGGAGGCTGTGGTGACGCCGACCTGGACCCACGGGCCTGAGTCTGCGTCGGAGGCGGCATCAAGTTCTGCGACTCGGTCCTCCCCAAGCTGTTCCCTCCCACCTTCTTCCCTGCTGCCTGCCTCTTTGTCCTCATGAGCGTTTGCTTGAACAAGTCTGGTTCTTCCTCCTCGGACTCTTCTTGTGTCGCCGTATCGACTTGCATCAGCTCGCTGGGGGCTTTGAAACGCTCTTTGTCTGTCATGCGCCTGCTCGCACTAGTGGACTGCTCTGTAGACTCGGCCATCTCTACGTCTGGCTCGGTCTCGGTCCTCGCTTTTTTGGTAGCTCCAAACGAATTGCCCTTTTTTTCGTACAACGCCTGGACATACTTGTCAGACTCGTCCTCACTGCTCTCTTCGACGTCGTGTCGCGTACGTTTAGCAGAGGCCACAGACGCTGCAGGGTTCGACCTCGCATGCGGTCTTGACCTCGCTGCAGAAGCCGCAGGAGCCGCCAAATCACCCGATGACCCAGTTGCTACTCTTCTTCGCGTGACTGTCCGCATGGGTATGCCGGGTAAAGAAGGCGCGCCGTTGAGCTGTGTACTGGACATGGCTGCGGTGAGGGCAGGGCCGGAGGTGCGAGCTTGAGGCGGCTCAGATTGTAGGGGGGCAGAATCTGGAACGAAGGATGGTTGAGGGCTCGGGCCGCGTGAGGAGCGGGCGTTGGGAGCCAGGTTGGCTGCGGAGACGGCTGTACGTTTACCAACCTCGGATGAACCGGCTGTGACAGGCAACTGTGGATATGGTCAGTACTCGTACTGTTTCGACTTGGCCGAGGAAAAGCGAACCTCGGAAGGAGTATTTGGGGAGGCCGCGTTTCTCCCTCGTCTGTAGACTTTTCTCTGGGGTATGTCGAAGTTGACGACAGACGGTATTGGGTCATTCGGGAAAGTTGATGGGACAACATCTCGAGGCTCGTCATCAGCCTTATCGTTGGTCGGCGCACCGGGACTTGATGGGCGGACGTGAATGGCAGGGGCTCGGGCTGAGTTTTCGCCCGAGTCGGCATTGTTCGTGGTTTTGGCATTACTCGGAGCGCTTGCCTTACTCTCATGTTTGTGGAAGTACTCCAAGGCGCCACCGCTGGTGGCTACACTAGTAGCAACAGCCGCAGTGCCTTTATGGATATTAACGCTGACGTGATTCAGTACTTGCAACTGATTGACACCTTCAATCGAGATGGGACTCACGCGGCACAGACACCTTCCAAATCCTTCATGTCAAAGTATGGCTTGGCCTTGTTGCTGTATATAACAAGTGCTTTTGATTTGCTTCCTGTGTTCTCGACGATTCCCAGCCATTCATTTACAGCCTTCTCCAAAGCTGCACGAGATTGAAGGGGGTTTTCCTCGACGTCCATTTCTCGGACGGTGGCCCCCATGACCTTGAAGAAGTTGATCTCTTTTGACGCCTATAAATAGTAAACAGTCAGCCTCTTGTCATCCCTTGCCAACGATTGGCATACCGCAGATTCTTTTAGGAACAAGACGTTCCACTTTCTGAGATACTTTCTCCTGTCCTTTCCAGGCAACCAGATCCCAGCTGGAAAAGGTATATTTCCTGCTGGCGCCGGCCTAAAATCCTCTCTGTTATCCCCCGGTATTGGCACGTCCATACTGCAGTAAGAGTCCGCCGTTGGGGACCAGTTGGATTCCAGCCTCCCGCGAACATAGTCGAAGAAGCCTGGGAGGATAAGATGTACACCGCCGCAGATGGCGAGGCGACATTCGTGGTTCCCGCGGATGGTGTCAGTGACAAGGTAGGTGGGTAGATCATCCCATAACATCTGAGTGGTCATGAAGATGCCTGAGAGTTGCATGATCAGCAAAAGAACTTGGGTGACTTAATTGACGTACAATATTGCTTGAAGATTTCTATGCATTCAGACGAGGGATGTCGCTGATTACTGTAGAATATCGTCAAGTCTTTCCATTCAACGCTGCATTATGATATCAGCACTGACATTGCCCCAGTCGATTCGACTCACAAGAACCAGGCATTATCTGTCAGATATATGCCTACCACTCCGGAGGCGTTCAGATCAACTGACTGCCCAGCAGTCTCATGCGCTCGGTCGTACTTTTTCAGCTCCGTAGAGACGTCGTGTGGTCCAGCTCCGGAGGGTAGCAAGAGATATTTGTCTTTTTGGACGCCTTTTGTAGATTCCTTGGGTTTCCAACGTAAACTGGGTGTCTCGTGCCGCTGCAAACATGAATGTCAGCATGCATTGCACAGGACATGGTAGATGGAATACTTTGGCAACATCCCAAGGGCCAACACTTATGGCTCCTTCTTCAGCTCTAATATACTTGTCGTTGACACTGATATCACAAGTATCGCTGTTGCCGATAGAGTATGTCTTGTCTTGTTGAAGAGCGAAAGTGAAATCTAAAAGTGTTGTCAGCGTGCTCGTTGATGATGTCGACTCAGCTTACTATTCTGGCCCCTTACTTTGCCCACGACGGTCAGCAGCCACATCTCTGTTCTGTGCTCCACGTCGATATGGACCTTCACAACATTGCTCGTCACCCACATCCTGTCCTAGACCTGTCACCCGTCGTCGCGAACGCGTCGCTGCCGAGCGGCCATGTCCGCCCTTACTCGGCCCGCCGCCAACCACCTTCGACCTGATGATGATGATGCCTTGGGTCTGTGTTGTTGCGCTCAACTTGACCTCCTAGCTAGACCAATACATCTCCCCACCTTCAAGCAGCACTTCCAGCCAACAGGCGCTATCAGCACACTTCAACATCTACACGCCCCCGTTCTTCCCTCTCTCTCTCAGCCTCGCCGCCCAATGATGAAATCAATCAACAAATGGATCTACGGTCCCACCCCCGAAGAGAAAGTCAAAGCCTGGCAGGGAAAGCTGCGTACTCAAGAACGCCAGCTTGATCGGGAAATCCGCAATGTGCGTCCAGTGGTGCCCATAGGCTCTCGAGCTCTTGGGGACGATTCTCTTATCAAGGCTGTCCTTTAGCTCTTGCGGCTCAACGGAGATGGGCAGAGGCGCTGACGGCCCTTGGGAACTAGCTGGAAGTAGCTACGCAGAAATCTAGGATAGAGCTCAAACAGCTTGCCAAGAAGAACGATGTCAAGTCCGCCCGTATCCTCGCGAGGGAAGTCGTTCGGGCCAACAAACAGCGAGATAGGCTTGAGAGCTCGAAAGCTAGAATCAAGAGCGTAAACATGCAGCTTCAACATCAATTATGTATGTCTCATTATACGCACAAAGGGGCCTATAGCACGAGCTGATCAATTACAGCGATGGTTAAGGTGACGGGCGCTTTCCAAAAGAGCACGGAGATCATGAAGACCACAAATGCCTTAGTGAAGCTTCCCCAGCTAAGCGCCACCATGCGGGAAATGAGCATGGAGATGATGAAGGCGAGTCTCCTTGATCCTTTGTCCTGCTCGTCTATTACTCTGTCTGACACTTGTGCAGAGCGGTATAATGGAAGAAATGATGGAAGATACATTGGACTCTGTCAACGACGACGAGGAACTGGAAGAAGAAGCAGACCAGGAAGTCGACAAGGTGCTTTTCGAGCTTACCGACGGCAAACTGGGCCAAGCAGGGGCCGTGGGGGCAGCGTTACCAGTAAGTCCGTGCGTGTTCCGTGGTCATCATGTTGATGGTTCTTGCGCTACAGGTGGAAGAGGAAGAAGAGAACGAAGAAGAGATGGCGCGTATGAGGAAGGAGATGCAAGAGTTGTTGAGCTCGTAGTCCCCCCTCACCTGTTCTTTCTTGACGGAACGCCGGCTCCTCAGGTTTCTGATGATATCGCGTTGGACACTGTTGACTGTTTTGATGATTGTTGGCCATCCATGTGTCATGTGCAGCTTCCAGACTTTCCTGCACCTATGCACTCCACATACAGATACATCCAGCTCCCTTTCATCTCACACTCTAATCAACAGCAACCCCCGCATTCCTCAGCTCATTCTTTGCCTGAGAGATCTCCCCGAGTAATGACTCGTATGCCTCTGGTGTATCGTGAAATTTCACAAGCCCCAGGCCGAGAGACGAGAGCGAGTACGACCCGAAAGAGACGAGGAGCCACCATGGAAGCTGTAGATACGTTAGTTTCACCCTGCAAGATGATATAGACTGATACCGACAACGGGAAGAACCGCCTCTGCTGACTGGGAAGAAAGGAGAGGAACAGGGATGATCTGGTAGAGGGCCAAGATGTAGATGAAGAGTACGGGGATGGCGAGGGTAAGGAAGCGGGTACCCTTTGTCATGATTCACGCAATTCGATTCTGTAGTCGGTTGGTGATGATAAGAAGATGGGGTCTGATGATTTCTGAGGGCAGAGCTTGGAATATGTTTGAAGCAAATGTGACTCGCTCAGAGGGCGAATGCGTTGTTAGTGTGTTGTTGCTATGGTGGGTATTCGCAGAGGCAAGCTTGCTGCGTGGTACGTGTTGGCAGCGGCGCCGCGGTCTGGCTTGATTCAATTACGTAACATGTCCCCGACACGACTGCCACTACTACTATACTAGCTACTATAAGCTACTACTATGATATACTACACTCTTCTATGCCAAGAGGAGGCAAATCAGATACTCCCATATAGGGTGGAGAGCTGTGTTTTCTTGTGGAAAAAAGAATAAGATGGGGTGAAAGGGAAAAAAAGTCAAAAAAGATGTGCGCCAACGGCGATTCGAACGCCGGTCGAATCCTTGGAAGGGATCCATCCTAACCACTAGACGATTAGCGCTGTTGCAGCTGTTTCATTAGAACCAGTGATGATCGCGTTGTTTCTTGCCTTATATGTATTTAGTTTGGTCATCTGATTGCGAGAGTAACTAAGAACGAAACTTCCCTCGCCACCAGGTCTGAGATGTTAGCCAGAGAAACAATGTCCAATTTATTGATGTGTACATCGAGAGCCCTCTGATACCAATGCTGACTACGCACACCGCAGGCTATGATTGACCCAAAGCAAATTCTGACTCCTCGTCTGTAATCTTCAGCTTTTCCTTCTCCCTTGCCTCCTGCGCAGCCGCCTGACGTGTCTTGTGCGTTTGCTTCTTCTTCTCTATTCTCCTCTCCTTGTTTTGCTCCTTGGCCATCTCCCTTCCCTTTCTCTTCCTCTGGTCCCTCTCCTTCCTCGCTCTCTCCTTATCCTCGTGCGCTTCACACCCCATCCCTACGAGCTTACCAGATTTACCCATTTGCTCGGCCTCCTCTTTCGTGTAGCCGCTTTCGACAGCACGGAGTATACGACAATGGGTAATACAAGCACGAGTTGGGCAGCGACTGGCCGCGATACCGCCACAACCCTGTACACAGGGGACACTGCCAGGAACACCTGCGTGGCGCTCATGTCTCGAGACGAGTATGGTACCAGGGATAGAAGATGCTGGGGCAGTAGCAATGTTTGGCGTGTCGAATATACGGCCATCATTCCCTTCCGGGCGAGGCGATGCGGGACGGGATACCATATCCTCATGGCCACCGATCTCAGTCGACACTGGCTTGGCTCGGATTTGTGGCTGGGCGACGAACACAGGCAGAGCCCTGTAGCCCGTCTTGGGGTCGATCGCCGGCGGTCTCCATCCCTCACCCAGCTCTTCCTTCAAAGGCTGGCACCTCGCCGCAATGTCATCAATGATCTCTCTGAAACCAGACATTCCCTCGGTCCACCGACAAGTGGCTATTCTCACGCGTAGCTCTTCGTCGGTATCCAGGACGGGTTTCAGAAGACGGAAGAGGTGCGATTTGATAGCACTACCAGAAGTGGGGGTCTTGAGGGATTCAACAATGTCGAGGTACCGATGCGCAAGGAGGGTGACCGGAGGGTGAGCGTGAGGATGATCGGCGGGCACGAAGATGGCTGGGTTCGCCAAATTCCCCTATAATGAAAGTCAGGTCTGATGAACTGGCTTCAGGTAGACTCTGAAGACTAACCTCGGCAGTCATGACACCATCACAGCCTGTGAATTCCAGACACCTGTCCACATCCTCCCTGTACAAGATGTTGCCATTGGCGAAGACAGGGACCTTGACTGCCTGCTTTACAGCTCTGATCGCTTCCCAGTCTGCGTACCCAGTCATTTGGCCTTTCATTTCTCTCGTTCTTCCATGGCAGGTCAAGATCTGAGCACCAGCTGCTTCCATCATCTGAGCATAGCGAATGGTCTTTTCGATATCGGGAAAGATGCGGAATTTGGCGGTCACAGGGATAGAAAGGTTCTGGTGAAGTGTTGATACTGAGAAATCATATCAGCATCATCGTCTCATAGCTGTATTTGAACTCACTGAGCTTGTGGATAAGATCCCATTCGTCTTGCAAGAAGGACCCGTATCGTCCGCGCTTGGCGATTCCCTGTGGACAGCCAAAGTTGATATCTACGGCATCGCAGCGATGCTCGAGCTTCTTGGCAGCTGCCAGCAAGATTTCAGGGTCGTTTGCACAAAACTAGATGACTCTTTAGACATGTACGAGCTTTCATGACGAATCCTGCTTACCTGGACGATCAATGGCCGATCCCCGCAATCGATCCCCGCTACAGGACCTTCCCCGCCCTCTTCGTCCAAAGTCAGACAGAACTGACCATCTCCGTTCCTCCCCATCTCCCCTTTAGCCTCGAGGAATCCTTTGGCGTGGATCATGGGCGTGTAGCAGATATGCGCCCCTCCCGGATGCCGTATGAGTGATTTGCCTTGTGGGGTGGTCACTGTTTCGATCGGACCAGCGATATCGGGGGGAAGAGGGGCGCGGGACAGGAGTCGCCAAGCCTATCACGCACTGTCAGCATGGTGACGTGTTGTGCGGAGAGACGACTCACCAATTCGCTTTGATCAACCATAGGCGCCACCACGAATTTGGGGCTACCAATCGATTTGTAGAAATCATATCCTCCTAATTTCTTGGGCTTCGAGCTCTCCCCATTACTAGCAGTATTACTTGAGGTTGGGACCGCCTCGTGTATACTTGACTCCTGTCTCTGCACACTCACTCCATCTTTATTGACGACCTCCACAGCGATGTCGGACATATTCCTGGTTCGGTAAATGAAGCTGTTGGGTGGACGTAGGGTTGCTCGGAGTGTTGCGCCGATACGGGCGCTGATAGGAAGGGCCGTTTTGAAGAGTATTGCGGAGTGAGTAGTGTCCAGAAGCAGTATATATAAACAAAATCAAAATTATTTTGGTTCTTCGCCATTCATGGCCGACTGACCTCCACTTTTTGCCTTCTCCCTTGACCCTTTTACTGTTCCTTCGTCTCTGCATCAACGCCTCAAATTCACTTCAATGTCGCACTGCCTCTCCTTATCGCCCTCTCTGTCCCAATCGATCGGCATGGTCCGTTATGCTCAGCTCGCGAGATGCTTGAGCTCGACTGCCGGCGCCCTCCAGCGATCACGGTCCTCAACCGAGAGGTTTTCCGAAGTTGTCAGTGAAACCAGAAGATCGTTTCCACGGGCCGGGCCTTCCAAATATACTCTACCAGTAGAGGTCAATACACCACCTGGGAAGATTTCCCAACGCAAAACCCGCCCACTTCTGCGTCCTTCTCGCTCTGAGACCCCTCCTGAAGCCAGGCCAATGCGATCGTATCCCCATCCACCCCCTCCCACCCCAGAGCAGCCCCTTGTCCGTCAAGGACCGTGGCAGCCTACGAAAAAGCTCACATACTCTGCTATGGCGGGGTTGCGGGCTCTACATCAATTTGATTCTGAACGCTTTTCGAAAGCGGCATTGTCGAAAAAGTTTGGAATCTCCCATGAGGCAGTCACTAGGATCCTGAAGAGCAAATTCCGCGACGACAAGAGCGCCGGAGGGCTGGAGGGAATAGATGCCCTCCAACACGGTCTTGCATTCGGTCAGGAAGAGGCCATGGGGGGGCTGGACAAGCCGACTTTGAAGGGGACCAAATGGGACAGAGATCCTGGGACGAGCGAGAATGTCAGTCCCGTGCCCTCAATCATGAGGGCAATTCAAGAATCCCGGAGGGGTAGATAATAGGATCAAGGGTCTCAAAGTGGACACATCTTGCGCGCGGTCTACCACAACTGGATATGTTGTACCATCAACCATGATGCATGTGCTGAGGGGGGCGTTGGTCGTGCCAGCGAAGCGACCTGTGTCAACAAGCATAATGGTAAGTGCATCATATTCACTCCCTCCGCTTCTCGCCAGAACGCACATGCTGATTCTGTGTTTGAGCTCCTGTCCCCGTGTTTTCAAGTCGCAATGGTACCAACGTAAGGCCACTGGCACTAGGGCTTCATGAATAACATCTATAATCATTCCAAGGCTCTTCTCGGTTCTCCATCTCCACCAGCTGTGCTCCAGCCGATCTCTGCAGTCTCCAAGGCTGCGTCTATCATGGGTGATAGTCGATGGTCGCGTTCCGTTTGATCAGCCAGAACATGGCAATGCGCCTCGCTGGGACAGGACGGTGAAGAGCTCGATGAGCCATGGGCTGCTTAGTCTGCAATTTGCTGGGCCTCAAAAAGATCGTATACGGTATCGAACGGGACAGCGAAAGCGAGGGGGATACCCAGAGTGAAGCTCATTTGGCGACCAACAGTAAGCAACTAAGCAATTAGCAAATAGCAATTCGATCAAGTCATGGGACAGTGTGCCGGGTATGATCTTGCCACCTGTATACCCACCATTGTGTATGAGCCTGGCTTGTAACCGCAGTTGTTTGGCTACAGATATAGAAGAGCAGCGGGCCGGCGGGCCGGATAACGTGTTGTCTCACGCGCCGCGCATGACTTGTTTGTTTGCCCTCTGTTTCTCCCTCCCGCCAGCCGCCAAATTTGTGCCAACCTCTTTAGGGGCACTCGGAGTGGATACTGCTTGAACGCAACAGCAGGTCACATGGCCCGTCCTCCGTCTTGCCCGTCCCCTTGATCGCTATATATGCCACCATCTCATCGCCTCCAAGCAGACATGACCCAATTTAGCTCGCACAATGGTCGTTTTTCCTGCCTCTTGGCTCCTCGCCGGGTTCTGCGTACTACCCCTCGCCACTGCCTACCCCGCCTCTGCCAACACTACCATCGAGGACCATAGCCTATCTAGCTCCTTGTCATCGTCCGGTCCCGAGTCGACGTCTTCAGGCGCGCTTCATTCCGGCCAAGACAGACCTCGCTTCATGTCTCACGATACTCCGTCCGACCACTACCCTCTTGACTCTATCTGGTGGCAAGCTTCCAGTCACCACATCCCTCGCACGGTAGTCCTGGACGGCTGCCGACTTGCAGATGCCAAGATAAAGCTGGAAGAAGGAGACAAAGAGATGCAGGAAGTTCTAGACAATCTGTTGAGACAGGCCAACATCTGGATGGAGCAAGGTATGCCTATTCTGTCATGCACGAGGCCGTCTGATTGATGTGTAACAGGACCGTGGACGGTAGTAGCAAATTCTAAGTCTGTACCGAACGGTACCAAGCAAGTCTTTTACACATCAAACACTGCCCAGCTTATACTGTTGGTAGCCATGATTACGCCTCTCAGGCTCCTTACTGGTGGGCCAACAACTGGAACGATACCTCCTCCAACGAGACATGTCCATACGTCCAGCGTGACGGCGTTGTCAATCCAGAATCCCTTGAATACACCTCCCACCAAGACAGGTTGTCCATGTTCACGGCTTCCTACACACTGGCGCTGGCTTGGTATTACACCGACAACCCATACTACAGAGCGCATGCTGCAGACATCTTGAGGACTTGGTTTATTACCAACTCTACCGCGATGACACCGCATCTGAACCACTCGCAGATCATTCCTTGTGCCAATGATGTAAGCCTCTTGTTCGTTCTATATGAAGATGATATTCTAATCTGACGGCAGGGAAGAGCTATCGGCGTTATCGATTTCTCACAACAGTACACCGACGTTCTTGACACTGCTGCTATCCTCAGCACTGTATACGATGCGACCTGGAATAGCGGAACGGAGGCGGTCTTCCGAGAATGGAATACGGAATATCTTGCCTGGTTAACTGATAGCGCCTTTGGCAAGACCGAGGTGAGTGCATCAAATCCGGCCCTTAGCCCCTGGATAAGCTAACAGGCTGTAGCTCGCTGCCGCTAATAATCACGGTGCTTTCGCCCGTCTTCAAATCGCCGGTGTGGCTGCCTATGTGGGGCAGTACGAGCTCGCTCGCTCAATGACCTCTGGCACCAAGGCCCTGATCGACAATTACATCACTGCCAACGGCTCGCAACCCCTGGAACTCGCCAGGACGCGCTCGTGGCACTACACTTGCTTCGATCTCGTCGCGTACACTCGTCTGGCGGATATAGGTGTTCAGCTTGGAGTTGATTTGTGGGGATATGAAGGTCCAGATGGACAGTCAGTCAACTACACCCTTGCGAGAGGAGCGACGAGCTGATTACTTGGAAGGTCAATATTAGGCGCAATCGATTTTCTGATCCCTTACGCCACAGGCAACCAGACGTGGCCGTACCCCGAGCTTTCCTTCTTCCAATATGCCCCCAGCGATTCTATCAATGCCGCAGCCGATCAGGGCGATGAGGCTGCCAAGGCTGCTGTGCCATATATTGCGTACTCCCCGTCTACTGGCAACCAGTGGCCCTTGAGGCCTTCCGCGGAGCAGTTGGATAACATTGCTTCGACTGGGTAGGACGCCTACGTGAACGAGGCTGTGACCGTTTCTCGAATGTTTGATGACATGTAACACGGCTCTTTACGAGCTGCATGCACCAGGCGACTCGTTCTTGGTAGGGACAATGCATGATGTACGTCTTGATAGGACCAATGACACGTGTAGCTTGGGCCACCACACACCACAGATTGAGAGACATCGACACGCAGCGGCAGGCGGAGGAGCAAATCCCATTGTGGCGCCGGAGATCTTGACCTGTTGTTTGGCGCGTGGCGGCGAACTGATATTGAGATTGGAGATATCCTGGAGTCTTTCTGTTGGCCAGTACGGGACATACGGAACTCCGGATGTGCCTATTGTACGGGCCGACAAGCGTGACAAGAAGCCGAGAACATATAGAAATGTCTCTCTCTAAGTCTCTATATAGTATATGCCATTGATCCTGTAATAATTGCTTCCTAGATTAAAACCGCAGCTTCTGCGGTTCTGCGTTAGTCACCAGCGGGAAATTTAGACCAGAAATCAAAAGATGTCAACAACACGACTCGCGCGCCGACGCGAATTACTTTCTTGTCATCCGTTCACCCTATGTTTGTTTCCGAGATACGGTGCTAGTGTTACTGTTGCCCAAGTGTGATTCGATAGTTGCTACGAAAATGAGAGCTCTGGGCCCCCAATTTCGAGCGTACCCATCGTCTTGTCAGTTCAGCGGGCAGCGGGAGTCATCATGAGTGCGCTACGGCGGTACCGATAACAACAACAGCATGGCGTGGCCCTGCCAGCCAGGCGTGCCCGCTCGCCTCGTGTTTGTGTATGTATATAACATCTCTTCGCAAGGGTTTCATCGACCCACGACTTACTACACTCGCCCTCTTTGCCGACCGGTTCATCGGACACGATTATCATGCTCCGTCTTCATCTCTTGGCGACCTCGGCCGTCCTCTTGTGCAACTTTCCAAACCTGATCGCGGCTCTCCCCCTTTGGGATAGCGCAGCCCATTCAGCAGTCCAAGCTCGGTCCTGTAATACCTCGAGCGTGCCTCAGACAGTGGTCCTGGACGGGCAAAGGCTGGCAGATGCGAAAAGTAGACTACAGGCAGGGGATGATGACTTGCAAGAGGTCTTGGACAATCTGTTAGTACAAGCAAACAAGTACTTGAGCCAAGGTGAGTGGATAACTGCTTTTTCAAAGATATATCGTAGCTAAAGTCATTTCAGGTCCCTGGACAGTGACCGATAACGAGAAGTCTGTTCCAAATGGTACCATGTACGTTTGTCTCCGGACGCCTTTCTGGCTAGTTGACCCTTGGAATAGATACGACTATGCCTCCCAAGCCCCTTACTGGTGGCCAAACAACTGGAACAGCACATCCACCAATAGTACTTCGTCTAACAGCACCTCATCCAACAACGACACATGCCCATACGTCCAGCGAGATGGCGTTGTCAACCCGGAGGCTTCAGAGTACACTTCCAAAGCGGACAGGGCGTCCATGTTCACCTCCTCCTACACCCTGTCCCTTGCCTGGTATTATACCGACAATTCGACTTACAGGGAACACGCGGCCAATATCATCAAGACTTGGTTCCTTGACGAGTCTACGGCTATGACTCCGCACTTGAAGCACTCTCAGATCATCCCTTGCGACGACGATGTAGGTTTCTCCCCTCGCCTTATACAGTGATGCTGATAGATCTTGCAGGGAAGATCAATCGGTATTCTCGACTTCTCACAGCAATATACGGACGTTCTCGATGCCGCAGCGATACTGAGTGTAGAATACGATACCAGCTGGAGCAATGCGACGGAGACAGCGTTCAAGGCATGGAATGGAGACTTTCTCGAATGGTTGACGGACAGCGATTTTGGGCAGACAGAAGTGAGTGGCGTATCTTATGAACACAAGGATCAATCAGCTGATAGCAATTAGCTGGCTGCCGACAACAACCATGGAACTTATGCGCGCCTCCAAATTGCTGGTGTTGCCGCCTACGTTGGACAGACCGACCTTGCGATCTCAATGGCGAATGGGACCAAATCCGTCATCGACAGTCAGTTCACAGCCAATGGTTCTCAGCCCCTCGAGCTCTCCCGAACACGCTCTTTCCACTATTCGTGTTTCAATCTGGTCGCGCACGCTCGGCTTGCGGATATAGGGTACCAGCTTGGTGTTGATCTCTGGGGGTACGAGGGCGCCAGCGGACAGTGAGTCGTCCTCGCCATTAGACCTACAGACTGTACGCTTACTCTATCATAGGTCCATCTTGGGCGCAATCGACTTTCTCGTTCCTTACGCTACAGGCAACAAAACATGGCCGTACAACGAGCTTTCTTTTGTCAGTTATGCCGCAAGTGATCTGATCAATGCGGCGTCGGACCAGGGGGACGAGACTGCCTCGGCTGCTTTGACAGATCTCACGTATCCGTCGATTGGCAATCAGTGGCCGCTAAGGCCCTCAGCGGAGCGTTTGGATGACCTTGATGCGGACGATTGAGATTTACCACTTCCTGCACCTGCATTGCATCATGAGCGACACCTTTTCAGACCCACGCAAGCGCCCTGGGGTTGTATATATCTCCATGTTGAGTAATCTACTGTCGGTGATGATGGACTATTACTGTGGTGGTGGGGCCACGACGGCATTCGCACTCATCCATACCTTCTTTTTATACGATATCTTCTCAAGGACTTTGGACTTTAGGCATATACCCAGCACCTCATTCCTCATGCATGCAACGCAGCTTCTCGAGCCATCACCCAACATGGTGCGAACGCCGCGACTTACTAGGGCCCGTTCCTGAATCAACTTGTGATGCTCGCTTTATTTGCATCTCTCTTTCTCTTTTGCATACCCATCTTCTCGTTCTCTGTTCTCCCCACACTCTTTTGCCCCACACTCTTCTCCTCGCATCGTACCCTGCCTTCTCTACCCGAGCAGACATCATGCTCTTCTCACACTCCTTTGCAACCATCGTTCTCTGTACTCTCACCCTCCCTGTCTCCAACGCACTCCCTGTCACTTCCACCTCGGACTACACCACCGAAGTCTCTTCCTCCGACAACTCTCCCATCGGCGCTGACGCTTACATCCCCGACTCGTCCTCCAATGCGAACAGCTCCGGCACCCCGGCCGACTACACGTCATACGATTGCCCTTCCTCCTCTGTGCCACCGGATTCGCACACGCCCTCCAACACTACCTCGAATAACTCAGCCACTGTGGAAACTTCGACCGCCGGCACGTCTTTCCCCGACCCACCCACCTGCAGGAAGCCCGCCACTGTCGTCCTGGATGGACAGAAGTTGATGTATGCTAAGTGCAGGGTGAAGAGCGGGGATCTCAGCTTACAGTCCGAGCTGAATGGACTCCTGTATCAGGCCGAATTGTGGATGACTCAAGGTGCGCATTTTCTCACCATCACAACTTTCCTGATCTATCCCCCTCTAGGCCCATGGAGTGTTGTCAACAACCTCAAGAGCGTGCCCAACGGCAACTCGTACGTCTTCTTCAACTGGAATGGCAGCCGCTGCACTCTTTCTGACCTACTAGCAGACACGACTACGCCTCCCAGGCTCCTTACTGGTGGCCCAACAACTGGGAGGACCCCGATTCGGGTGATGTATGCCCCTATGTCCAGCGCGATGGTGTATTCAACCCCGAGACCAATCAATATACCTCAAAGGCCGACAGACTTTCCATGTTTGAAGCTTCCTACACTCTTTCCCTTGCCTGGTACCACTCCGACAACTCTTCTTACCGAGTCCACGCCGCCGATATTCTTAAGACTTGGTTCATCAACGAGGCTACTGCCATGAACCCGAATCTGGCCCATTCGCAGCTCATTCCGTGTGCCAATGACGTAAGCTCTGAGCAAGAGAAGGAGATACATAGAGTGCTCACACTGGGCCTAGGGTCGATCCATCGGTATCATCGACTTTTCGTAAATGTATACCGATGTCCTCGACGCGGCTTCAGTCCTCAGCCTGGACTATGACGACTCCTGGAGTCAGAACGACGAGGCCGTCTTTCGGCAATGGAACAGCGACTATCTCACGTGGCTCACCCAGAGTGACTTTGGCAAGGCCGAGGCAAGTCCTTGACGAAAACTCTCGGAACCACATATTGACGTCGGCCTCAGCTCTCTGCTGAAAACAATCACGCCACTTTTGCTCTCCTCCAGGTGGCCGGTATCGCTTCTTATGTGGGTCAAACCGATTTGGCTCGAACGACGGTCGAATCCACCAAGAGTCTGATCGACAACTATATCTCCCAAGACGGCACTCAGCCGCTTGAGCTTGAGCGCACCAGATCTTGGCATTACTTCCAGGTTGGCAGATATTGGAACCCTTTTGAATGTTGACTTGTGGAACTACTGCGGTCCCGATGGACAGTGAGCCCACATTGTTACACCCTTGGCCATACTGACTCTGGCCACAGGTCCATCAAGGGGGCCATCGACTTTTTGATCCCCTACGCTACCGGAAGTCAGGTGTGGCCGTACGAAGAGCTCAACTTCCTTCAGTATGCCGCTAGCGACGTGATCAATGCCGCTGCAGACCACAATGACCAGTATGCCCAGTCTGCATTGCCCGACATCGCGTACTCTCCCATCGGCAACCAGTGGTCGATGAGGCCGTCAGCGGAACAGCTGGACAACATCGTCACGACAGAGTCATAGAGGCTTCCTGGAGGGGCCGCTTATTGGCTATCAGTACTCATTATATCAATATATCAAATGCAGCATGGATGTTTTGCTCTAGAGTGGCCCATATGTTGCTGCAGTGTGATCAAACCTCCATGAAATCTCGATTCTGAGTATCTATAATGCTCTACAACACGATACACACAACACAACTCTATGCTATATCATAGGTACATCTTCCGCGATCAGATAGACGGAGTCAAGCGATCGTACTGATAAGGGCGTGAATGCCTGGTTTCATTGAAACTGAATCACTCACCTTGATCCACTGGTCTAGAGTCGAAACCTCTCCCGCCACTTGCCGAGCTTCGACCCACACCCACAGCTGATATGGGAGTTAGCCATGATCTACCATTGTCATTGACCACGAATTACCTTGATCATAGCCAGGATGTTTCCTGTAGGGGTTGCCGATATAGCCTCTCTTGTGCCCATCTGCTTGCCCAACTGCCTCAGGATAGGCAGCGCCGATTTGAACAAGTCCATCTCTGGATCCAGCTGCCTTCCAATCCCTTCCAGCAGCAAGATGGAAATGACCGTGTTGACAAAGTCGCCTTCCATCTTGACATGGTGCGTTCGTACAGCCTTGAGCACGTCGGTGAGGATGTCACTGATCTTGATCTTGGCGAGGGAGAATGTTTTAGACTTTACGTTGAGCACAATGTGCTGCATTTTGAGCGCAAACGTCTCTTCGTCGACAGCAAACTCTGGCGTTCGGCATCGCTCAATCATGAGTTTCCCGACCTTGTAGCCATCAAATCCTGCCACAGCTTGGAAAAGATCCAGGAAGTTGCGCCTGTTGGTATTGTCGAGTGTAGTCACAAGACCGGCATCAATAAAGATCAACTGCGGCTCGTAGCCTTGGTCGTGGAGATCTTCGAGACGAGAGACCCAGGTCTCTGGGTCGCGCGAAATAGCGGCAAGATTATGAACAATCTCTTCGCCAGAGGAGACGGTCTCCTGGGAGGGAGCAGCCGTTTCGCCTTTGCCAAAGTGTGAAAGGAGAGGTGCGAGATAGTCGGTGGTGGTGGGTTTATAGAAGCGAACCATGATATTGCCTGGGTGCAGGTCACCGTGAGTAAAGTTGTCAAGCAGCAACATTTCCTGCGGTTTCATCAGCTCTATCACTACCAAAGGGAAAGGAATACTCACCAAGAAAGCATCGAGACCGATGTTGGCGATCTTGTGATCATAGGGTCCTCCCCCGTTCCTCAAAAAGTACTTGAGTGGCAGCGCGTCCTCAAATTCCTCCACCAACACATCTCTCATCCCAACTCGGTCCTCTCCTCCCCCTTGGCCCAGCTTGATCGGTGTCGGGAATGTTACCCTCCTTCCTCTCCTTTTGAAGTTTTCCCGGAAGGTATCAAGGTTGTTGACTTCCACGCGAAGATCCAGCTGAGACTGCATCATGTCCCCGAACACCGTCACCTCCTCCGGCAGCGAGAACCACTGCATACCGGGGAAAATGTTGATGAATCGGGCAAACAGAGACATGATGGTGATATCGCGACGAATGGTGGTGCGTGCTCGAGGGTGGATAACTTTGATTGCCACACTGGGGGTGGTTAGAGGCTCTGTAGAGTCACCTCCACCGCCTCGAGCGCTGGCAAAAAGCTGGGGCTCAAGTTTCGCTTTGTAGACCTATCCAGGCTATTAGAGAAGTAGCAATGCGCATTGAGAGATTCTTACTTGAGCGATGGCACCGCATCCGATAGGATTTTCGTCAAACTCTTCAAAAATATCCTTGAACCCTTTCCCAAAGGCCTTCTCCAACATCTTCTTGGTGTAGTCGAAACTATGCGGTTTACCATTTGAATGTAACTTGCCCATCTTCTCACAAAGCTCCGCCGGGAAGAGATCCGCCCTGGAAGCTGCCCATTGACCAAGCTTGATAAAGCTGGGACCGGCACGTTCCATTTGCTTGACGAGAAGGTCGTACCACCAGATGGCGCCCCAGTTGGCTTCGTCCTCACCGATGGCTCTACCCATTTGCCTCCGCTTGCGAGTCTCTCCGAGGAGAAGCATGGGCGACAGAATGATGACGGGCAAGAAGAGGGCGGCGAGCTGGAAGAATCGGAAGAGAGTAGCGATAGGTTCAATGATGTATTCTTGGACAATGTAGGTGACTGTCAAAGGTGGTTCGGCAGGGGAGGACGCAACGATTGTATCCTTCTCAGGCTGGGGAGCAGACGAGAGGTCATCGGCTTTGACAGTCCTCTGGCGAAGGTAGATGATAAGACCGATACCGACCCCAGCCATGACTGCGAGCCTCATGGGCTTGGGGTCCCGAGCGCCACCATGTCCAGAGGGTTCACCATGGTCTCCAACATACTCCCGGGAGGATCCAGAGACGCCCCCCGCGTTGGAGTTCGAAGCAGCAGGCGTCCCACTACTGGCCAATGTTGCGAAAGGTCTGGTCACGTTCTTGAAAGCCTTCCAGCCTTCTCCTTCAAAGAATGGCGCAAACCCAGTCTTCTGCTTGCTGAAAGGCTGGTTCACACTTTCCTCTGCCCTTTTCTTGATATCCTCCCAAACTGCAGTCTTTATGACCTCTCCCCTGATTTTGTCAAGCTCGTTTTCAAGTGTGATGAGGTTGCGTCTAGCCGGCGCGGGGGCTTGAGCGTTCATCCGCCGAGTGAGGTCGTTGATCTGCTTGACATTCTCCTGATGGAACTTGAGCTCCCTCTGCTCCCATAGGTCGTCCCTCTCTGGGATTGTGTGTAGGGGTGGAAGAGGATGAAGCGAAGTCGAAGAGATGACTTGCCGGACTAAATGGGTTCTGTAAGTCGTAAGAAGGGTAGACCGGAAAGCGCTCAAAGATGAGTCGAGGTGATTGAGGAGCTCTATCCAAGGAGGTAGAGCGCCTTGACGCTTGACGATGCGGTTCATGAAAAGCTCGCCCCGTTCTGAGGTGATGGGTTAGTGCAAAGTCAAGAGTCGTATTGCGATACCCACCGATATAGGGATTGCTAGCTTCTGGGTCGAGAGCGATGGGTTTACCCTTGCCCTTGGTCGTATTGAAAAAACCAGCATCTGCCGATCGATCAGTAGGGTCTTACACAGTAGGAGACTTGCTCTCACCTTTGGCTCGCTGTATCCGGTCTTCTACCAGCCCCTGCCAGGCTCGCAGCCCGCTCGCGCCTCCTCTCCCCGCTCCAAGTACACTCGCTCCCTTGATCTGCCTATTCCCCATGAAAGCTTGTTCCTCTCCCTCTCCCTCATCCCAGTTTTCTGCTTCTCCAAGATCCACCAAGAGCGGCCCCTTCCCACTCAGTCCTAGCTTGTAGTCCAGGGCGCCTTCTCGAGCATTGTCGAGTCTGCCTATCGCCTTGCCAGACCGACGGGCTTCCTTGACTCTGGCACGCGTCTTGCCATCGGCCCCTGGAGGTAGCTGCAGCTCCAGCAGATTGGTCAACGAGTCGCCATCACGCTTGCTCTTGATGAAGGCGCCATATTTGATATTCGGCTCTTCTGCCGCTGCCTTCTCGCCAGTGTAGGTCGAATGCCATGGGCGATGGAGATGTGGAGGCAGTCTTGTTCTATGAGGCTTCTCCTCTCCCTCTTCGTGAGATGGATTGGGAGGCAGCTCCACACCCGGCCCAAGGCGGGCATCAAGCTTGAGACCCTTCATCCACCCTTTAATCTTGTCGTCTGCCGCATTGTGTTTGATACCGCCTGGATTCCTGAGCGGTTTATTGGCATCGACGAGCATACGCAGGACGGCGTCTGAGGTGGATTCGTCTCCAGTCCAAACGGGCCCCTGTGTGTGGCGGAGAGAGTCGCGGTCGGTCGTACCAAGAGACTCTTCGGAGTCGGCCTCAGCGAAGAGCTTGGCGCTGCCAGTAAGATGTTCGCCCGCTGGAGGGGGTGGGGCCGAGGAAGAGGCAGACCGAGTGGCGCATGAAGGTTTGAGGGTGCGTGGGCACAGTCGCCGGGCGACGCCAGGCTGTCGGAGGAGCATGGGGGACCGGTGTTAGCCCTGTTGGGAGATGAAAGATGGAAAGAAAGAGAGGAGATGAGATGAAACCGACCGATGATGATCTCATGGCCCGCGTGCATCGACACCTCCACCGCCACAGATGTCTATCGCTGCATTCTACATATGTTGTATGCATACAAAACCATGTCCGGCCCCACCTCCTTGACCACAACCCACCCACTAGCCCAGCCCACCTCAGCCGCAGTGGCAGCAGCAGCAGCAGCCCCGCCCTCGGGGCTCGAAACGGATGACGTATCAGTTGCGCCGGCCCTCGACGAGGCAGATGCCGAGACGCTCCAAGAGGCGCCCACCAGCAGTGTGTTGGTAGGAGATAGGGACGAGGGGGATGTGCAAAAGGTGGCAGAAGGGGCAGAGGGGAAGGGGGCTGTACCGCCTGGGTTGGGAGTCGACCAGGGGAGGTGAGATGAGAAGGGTAGTCGTCCTAAGGATCCGAGATGCTGGCGCACATAGGGAGACAGGGGGAGAAGTAAGAGGCAATTGTGGGCCGTCTCGCATATGTGGCATGGGTCGCCGTTTGACCTACTTATAGGTCTTTGATAGTATCAATCTAAATCGGAGAAAGCGTGAAAGTGTTGAGCGTTGTATGTTCTGAACAGGGATATACACATTCGGAGGACTATAATCAAACAACTACATGGTTTCAGTTCTTACTGAGAACGAGTTAATCAGAATATGGCTATGTAATCATTGACCCGGTCCTTGGCATCCTGAGCGATGCACTCTGCTATCCAGGTCAAGTTCCTGACCTCCTGCTCCTTGAGCTTGACCAAGCTATAGAAGACGCCATACTGGAACTGCTGCAAGAAGCTCTGCTTGTTGAGCTCCACATCCCACTTGAAGAATTCGTCTTCCAGACTTGAGCTCGCCTCGTCCACGCCCGCTCCGCCCCCAGAGGTCACGCCGGCCTTCTCAAAGAACGCCTTGTACTCTGCGATATGGTCCACGGCCGCGACTACCGCCTCGACATCGTCTGCCCTGGCCAACGCATTGTTGCCTTCTGGGAACAGCCTTCCAATGGTAGGGAACAGCTGCGCCCTCTTGTCCTTTTCGAGACCAGCACCGATAGAGTTGATGGTGATGTTTAACGTGCGGCGGTCGGCTTCAAACGATAAGATACGCGACATGACCTCGGACGTGGGGGAGGGGAGGGTTTGGCAAAAGGCATGGAAGTCTTCCAGGTAGGCCTTGTATAGCAAGTTGCGCATGATCTCGATGTTGAGATCCGTGATCTCGTCGACCGACAGGGCCTCTTGGAAGTATGGCGCTGCCCAGCAATCAGCTTCGTCCTCCATGTCAAGCACAACCTGGGCTTACCCAAGGGCGTCTCTACGATCACACTGTGGTACAGCTCCTCAACCTTGGTAGCGGCGCTGAGGGCCTCCATACCCTCAAACAGCCCCAAAGGATGACACCTCTCCCTCAGATCCCTCATATCTCGCTCATGCAGAGTACCCAGAGTGAACAGAATGACATTGTCAATCATGTACCCGTAGGTAATGTAGTCCAAAAAGGTCGCCAGGGGCTCGACCGCGTTGGTGCGGAGATAGTGGAACTCGGCAATGAGCTTTTCGGTAGCCTTGTCGGCGATGGTGGCGGTGGTGAGAGGTACGGCTTGGTCGCTGAGCATGTTGCCATAGTCGGTAGAAGAGAGCTGGGTGCGAAAGTCTGCAACATCGGGTCAGGTCTATCCCGATATGGCGTGAATCACGCACCGTCGAGGTTGTCACATTGGGTCAGGTTGTGGTACTGGTTTTGGGTAAGGAGGGCTCCTTTGTATCCTCGAACAACACCCTCGAGGTACCCTGCAGACATCTATTGGGTATGATTAGCTGACAGCCAGCTGGCAAGGTATGAACCGGTACGTACGTTGAAGCCGAGAGCTTCCATAGTGAAAGAGTCTTTGGGGGTGGAGAGTTAGGGTAGGGAAGTATGTACGTAGTTGAAAGGGCGTTCTCAGGGAAGCGCCAAGGGGCCAGGAGAGATACAGGATTGCAGGAGAAAGAGACACGGACAGCGAGATACCACCCCTTGTTGAAGCGTCACAGCTCATGGGCGCATTACGTAACGTATATTGCTCCCGCCGACGCGCGCTCGCGAAGAAGGTCAAAGAATCGCTGAAAGCACCATGACTTTTTCATCCACAAATACAAATGAACGTCCTTGCTGATCAGGTAGGTCCAGTGGGTAGCGGGGATGGGGGATGCTGATGCTGTGGCAGGCTACCGAAGAAAGGGGCGAAAACGCCCGTCTGTCATCCTTCGTGGGTGCCATGGCCTTGGGCGACTTGGTCAAGTCTACCCTTGGTCCCAAGGGCATGAACAAGATCCTGCGTGCGTTCTCTGGTGGGGAAAAGTTCTGGTACTGATAACCAACAGAATCGGCCTCCAACAGCTCCATCACCGTCACGAACGACGGCGCCACCATCCTTAAATCCATCCACCTCGACAACCCTGCCGCCAAAATCCTCGTCAACATCTCCAAAGTCCAAGACGATGAAGTCGGAGACGGGACCACCTCTGTGTGTGTACTTGCATCCGAGCTTTTGCGCGAGGCCGAGAAGCTCGTGACCGACAGAAAGGTGCACCCGCAGACTGTCGCGGAGGGATACAGGATCGCGAGCAAGGCGGCTTTGGAGGCTCTGGAGGCTTCAGCTGTGGACCACAAGGAAGACACTGCCAAGTTCAGGGAGGACTTGTTCAACATCGCGAGGACTACTCTGAGTAGCAAGGTGTTGGCCCAGGACAAGGACTACTTTGCGAACCTTGCGGTGGATGCCGTGTTGAGGCTCAAGGGGTCAACTGATCTGGAGCATATCCAGATCATCAAAAAGGTCGGCGGAAAGTTGACAGACTCTTACCTTGATGAGGGTGAGCAAAGCGTTCATCTCTAGAGACCAGAACTGACTGTTTCAAGGTTTCATCTTGGACAAGTCTATCGCTACCAACTCCCCAAAGAGAATAGAAAACGCCAAGATCTTGATCGCCAACACCTGTATGTGTTCTCCCCTTTATCCGACTCTGCTGACATTGCATAGCCATGGACACCGACAAGATCAAGATCTTTGGTGCCCGAGTTCGTGTCGACGGTACTTCCAAGCTCGCCGAGCTTGAGCGTGCCGAGCGTGAAAAGATGAAGCAAAAGGTCCAGGCCATCGCTGCTCACGGCGTCACCTGTTTCGTCAACCGCCAACTCATCTACAACTATCCCGAAAACTTGCTTGCCGAGAACGGCATCATGTCGATCGAGCACGCTGATTTCGAAGGTGTGGAGCGACTGGCCCTCGTCACTGGAGGTGACATCACGTCGACATTCGATGCCCCCGACAAGGTCAAGATTGGTCGATGTGACTTGATTGAGGAGATCATGATTGGTGAAGACAAGCTCATCAAATTCTCTGGTGTTGCCGCCGGTGAAGCCTGTACCGTTGTCCTCCGAGGTGCCACCTCCCAGATGGTCGAGGAGGCCGAGCGATCCTTGCACGACGCCCTTTCTGTTCTCTCTCAGACCGTCAAGGAGACTCGTGTCACCCTTGGTGGAGGCTGTGCCGAGATGCTCATGTCGTGCAAGGTCGAGGAGGCTGCCAGGACCGTCAAGGGCAAAAAGGCCCTCGCCGTCGAGTCCTTTGCCCGTGCCCTCAGGCAGATGCCCACCATCCTCGCCGACAACGGTGGTTACGACTCTTCCGACCTTGTGACCAAGCTCAGGGCGGCGCACTATGAAGGCCAGACCGATGCGGGGCTGGATATGGACAAGGGTGAAGTGGGGTCGATGCGGGAGTTGGGTATCACCGAGAGCTTCAAGCTGAAGAAGCAGGTGGTTGTCAGTGCGAGCGAAGCTGCAGAGATGATCTTGCGGTAAGTGCCTATACAACATTCCACGAGTCCTTGCTGACGACTGTCATCAGTGTGGACAATATCCTGCGCAGTGCCCCAAGACGGCGAGAGGCGGTGTAAGGAGATGAAGAAGTAGGATTTGTATGTGCATAGAAGACATCTGATTATATCGTATGGTTCCGACCATGCATGTTTTACATGAGATCTACCACGGGTCTGTCTCGGAAGGTGCAAGTTGGATGATTCTGCACCGCGCGTGTGAGATTGCCACTTTTCACGTTTTCATTTACATTGTTTCTTGTCTTCTCCCTACATCTTGTACGTGATCCCCATATCTTGTGCTCACTCCCCAATCCTACATCGCTCGCCAACTGCGCCCCCCTCAGCCACACCAGTATGGGCATCATCTCCCAGCTTCGCTCGCTACGCACCTCCCCTCCGCCCCCTGGAAACCCTCCAACCCCACCTCTCTCCTCCAGATCTTCTCCCTTGTCATCCAGGCCCTCCAGACCCCGCCTCATACGTCAAGACTCCTCTCCCTCGCCCAGTCCCACCCCAAGCCCCCTCAAACGCTCCGTTCGCACCACCGAGATCTCTCAGCCCACCTTACTCTTCAGTCCCAACTACACGCCCCCGGTCTCTGACGTGAAGCCAAAGCCGCTCTACCCCGAACATCGGAACAAGCTGCATAAGGCAAAGTCTGCTGGGATACTCAACAACCTACCAAGGACACCGCCAGACAAGGAGGAGAATGGAAAGGCTGGATGGAGAGGGAGGGCAAGGAGCGCAGAAACGGAAAGCAAAGGGAAGCCGACTCTTCCCTTCACCTCGATCAGCGATACACCTCCCAGACTTCCTACTCTAGGCCTCCGGAAGTCGCCCTCCACCCCCTTGATTCGACGCAAACCGCCCCCAACGTTGAGCCCGGAAGAGAACAAGATGATGGGCAGAGGCGGAGGTGAAAAAGGATGGGGGCTTATCAGTGTAGAGGAGTGTGGTGGCTGTGACGGAGACGAAGGCGAGAGTCGGGAGAATGGCAAGGAACCCGGAAATGGATATGGGGGAGGTTATGGCAAGAGAACCGTCAAACGAGGTATGTTTTCGACTCTGGTGATGATGAATCGGCAACTGACATGGTCGCAGGACTGACTGCACCACCACCACTGCTTGAAGTATCAACACCCCTTGGCACGACCTTCTGTCTGAACTCCCCCGAGGACCCTCTTATTGTCCGTCTCGCCAAGCCGCCCTCTCATGGCCGAACACACCTTTCTCCTTCAAGCGCGGGTGCCCCTCTGGCCTTTCCAACAACTCCGCAATCTGCTTCCAGGCGTCCACTTCCCCCGCTCCCGCCACTTCCTCAAGAACATTGCAAGGATACAGCGGCGGAGAGAAGACGGGTTGAGGTCGCCCAGCGGAGGAAAGGCTGGGAACCTCCCCAGAAGTGGGATCAGAAGGTGTTTGTCCCTCCGCCCGAGCCTGTACCGGTGCCCCCATATCTCAAACCGTTCAGACTGCAGGGAGGGGCGAGGCCGAGGAAGGTCCATACGAGGACAGTTTCAAAGCGACAGTACGGATGGTATTGAGGAGAGCGGAGAGATTAGAGAGCAGTTGTACTTTTTGGTTCTGTTGTGGTTTAAAGAGGCCGTCACGTGTCTGTTTGATTTTGTCATTTGTCATGGATACAGTTTTGGGCCTTCTCAAGGAGCACAGCTGGTGGCATCGGCATCATGAATGGCTACACACAATGATGACCTGACGTCCGGGCGAGCGTACACTCGCTGCCCTGCTAACGAGATATCTTGCCAGAGATGGTCCGCACTCGTGACACGTAGTATTACAGATCTTCTTTTCTCGCATGCCGCACTATAACGCAACTATGATAATCTGTAGATATGTACTCGTAGATCCTCGCGACTACCCTGTCCCGAATTATATACAATGATCTCATCGCCCGAAGCTCTGAGAACGAAGAAACCGGAAACGACTAATTTATAACCACGCAATTCAAACAACATATGAAGTGTACGAGTACAGTACCGTCCAGGCCATCGAATAGCCTCCTCAGACGAAAGAGGAATTGAACAAAAACGAAGTGTAAAAGGCTGATTATGATTCAGCAATGAAGTCAAAAACGTACCCGATAGAACTTTCGAAATCTCCCGCAGGAGGGGACGGAGGCGCAAGGTCGGTAAACGCCACGGGAGGTTTCACCTCTTGGGGCGATATTCCTATCGGCGCGACCGACAGCATGGGGTTTGCCGACGTAGCCATCACCGGCGTTGTCAGAGGCCCAACACTCAGCACTGGGTCAGACAGAGGATCGGAAGATGACGGTTTGGGAGAAGACGTTATCTGGGGAGGGACCTGTATTGGTTGGGTGGGTGGCCGGGTCTGCAGGATGGATGATGGAGGTTTGGGAGGGGATGAAGTGACGTCGATTGGAGTCCTGACAGGAATGTCTTCCCCGCGAGCTCGAGCGGCCGACTCTTCCTCATATTGCTTTCGAGCGATTTCATAAGCCTGCTTGCTCAGCTCGGCTTGTTCCAGATACGGCTATCCACTCGGATCAGCACACTTCACGCAGTAGTAATTATGACTCACCCTCTTTTCCAGATCTGTCAAGTTTCTCCACTTTTCAGCCGCGAGTATGCTCTGCTTTGTCGTGGCAACCGCCTCTCCCCAGACTTGATCCCTGATCTCTTGATTCTCCCTTATAGCCTTGAGAAACAAGAAATATGCACTCAACGGCTTTTTGGGCGCGTTGGGATCCTTGATATTGCCCTTTCTCGATTTGCCCTCCTTCCTCTGCTGGGCCCTGAAGAGATTCTCGAGCCGGACATCTTCTGGCGTCAAGGTCGCTTGCCAAGCCTGCAGCGCCTTTGCATGCTGCTCCCGCGCTATCTTTACCTTTTCGGCATAATAGGCTTTTCGTTCGGCGCTCAGATTCGCATATTTCTGCCCAGCCTCTTTGGCTATATTGGCGACATTAAACTTGTGCGGGTGAACGGTACCGCCAGGCGAGGTGTCGGGCGGCGGTTCGAGGGTCTTGGCCTGGGCAAGCTCGTCTGCGAAAAAGAGCTGCCAGGCCGAGGGTGCTTGCTTAGGAGGGTGGAGTTTCGACTTTGGCCTCGCCACGGGCTTTTCCGGTCGTTCTATCCTTTCAGAATCTTCCTCTGGCGGCTGCTCCTCCACCTGGGCCTGTTTCTTCTTCCTCTTTGAATGACCCCCGCTTTCCTTGTCTTGTTTTTCCTCCAACTCATCTTCTGATAGCCGCTTGCCTAGACCAGCGTACTCTTGAGGCACTTGAGGCGCCTCGGGAGACCGGGGGCCAGGCTCTACCTTCTTCTTCTTCGGTTCTTTGCCCAATCTCTTTCTTGGAACCGTCTTGGGCGTAGAAGGTGCGGGGGTTGAAGGATCCCGGGGCGGCAGCGCTGTATTTGTCAAAGCTGCGGTAGCAGCCGGAGCGGGAGCACCATCGGGCGCAGGCTGTGAGGCACTCGGATAGTACCCCTGCCAACCCGGCTGCCGTTGCTGCTGCATCCAATACGGTTGCGCACCCATCATCCCATTCCCGCCCATCGTATGCGGCGGCACCCCCGACATGGAAGGGTACCCCGCCCACTGGCCCTGCTGAAACATCGGCGACGAGCTTTGCGCATGAGGAGATTGTGAAGCGGCGTTTGATTGTTGCGGGGGCTGAGCGGATTGGGACAGACGTTGACCGTTTTGCCAGTGGCCCATAGGAAGCGCGGGCTTGGCATCCGACCCTTGCCATTGATGATACGACGACGAAGGGTACTCGTAGCCCGGTGCCAGTGCCGGTCTTTCACCCAGTGACGGGCTTTGGTGGACTGTGGGCGAAGGACCAGAAGGATGTCTTGGCTGATGGGGAAAGCCGCTGGGATACTGAACCCATTGGCCTTGTTGTGGCTCATAGGGATACGGCTGGTAAGAGGGATGTGCCGACGGTGGCTGGCCTGGGACGCTGAACGGGTGGGTGAGAGTCTGAGGAGGGGCAGAGCTGGGATATGGCGAAGAGTGGGGCTCTGGCCCGCTGCCATAGTACCTCGCCGACGATGACGGAATCGGACTGGCCTGTGGAGGTTGTGGTGGTGTGGCAATCTTTTGGCTTGAAGAGCGACGTGCCGAGGGTGCCGAGGGTGAAGATCTGGGAGCGTTATAGGGAGCTGAAAGACTGCTTTGTACGCGTCAGCGACGGGTCCCCAGACGGTAAATGTAGACGCACTTTATCCCGGTGGGAGCTGGGGTGTAGGGGTACGATCCGAGACCCAGAGCGGCATACCCCTGCTGCTGCTGGTACTGCTGCTGGTAACCATACGGTGAGTCGCCAGATAGTGGTGGCGGGCTCGTTCCCTTCTTGGTGCCCGAGGCGTCGTCGGGGGTGGGATACGGGCGGCGACTGGGCGTGCCCGTCTGCTGTGGGTCAGAGTACATGTCGGGCAGTACGGGCTGGGCACGGATGAAGCAGCGGAGACAAGGGATGGATGCGAACGAGGGGTATTCCGAGGAGAGCGGATGATTGTCAGCGGGGGATGATGAGAGGAGGGGCTGGAAAGGAGGGACTGACGCTTCTCCATTGTTGGGTCGGGGCGGCGGGGCCAGTGTTGGTGTTCATGGACGCTGTGGTGGTGAGCTGGGCATGGGGTGGAGGGCATGCATGACTCACCGATAACTGATTAGATTGGGAGTGACGTGGCTTGTTTGTGCTCGCTTCTCGAGGCGGGAGGGGGCCGCGGAAGCAGACTAGGGCAGGGCAGCAGGGATCCAGCCAAGGTTCAGAAAGTCACCGCTTGCTTCCTTCTCTTTTATCGCGCGATCCGAGGGCAGCACAGCTCAGCAGCAGGGGAGGGATCGAGTGAGTTATGTAACACCTAGCCGTTCCTGCCCTCTAGCGCTCCCACATCCAGCGTAGTTACACCGTAATTACACCCTCTTCCGTCACCCGGCGATTCGGCATTAGCATGTGGCGCCCAACTCACTTGCCACATCCTTCCTTGCATCCTGGTTCTGGCGCATTGCGAGTAGAGAAGCCCCTCAAAAGAACGCCCTCGTTCGGGCTCAACCGTCCACAATATCGCTGCACGATTATAGCCCACAAAGGTTCCTGGCATCTCCAGTCGAGACTCACAAAAGATGGCACTCAAGAATCCAAGTCCGAAGACATGTGGCGCCATGTCCCGGCATGAGTCGACACCTGGTGATGAGTCGAATATTCTCATGCGCATAAAGCCACGAGATCCAAGCCCCTTGAGGAAGCCCGTAGTATATCAGTGATATCTCTTGAACGTGGGAATGGTCCTCTGCACCAAGCAGCTTCGAGACTGGTAATACAGACATGTCCAAAACAGCCATTGCTATGCCCTCGGCTATCCAGTGCCCGCCCCCCGTCATCGCGCGCGACTTTCATTATGCGCCTGCGGACAGACCCCGAAAACTCTCCCGCGAAGAACTCGATTCTCTTCGGGAACAAGGACGACAGTATCAGATCTTGAAGACTCATCCCACCCAAGCAGGTCCCATCATCGTCACTCAAGACATGTCCAGACTGCCTTGGAACGTGACACCAGGTTTGAGTCTGAAGAGTGAACTTGCGGCGGTGTGGATGCCGAATGTTGTGGAGGTGGGAAGGCGAAAGACCGGAGATAGAGACATTGTGGAGAGGATGCCGACCGTGGTGGAAGAAGCGCTTGAGGGATAAGGGAGGTTTAGCTTGCTGGTCGAGTAGCGTGATGGGGAATGAAGGTATTGGTTCGCTGCAGCTTGACAGAGCATTCCCATTCTGAACATATCGAAGGCTGGAGGAAACAGAGTACGCCCGGAAGGTGGAGCTAAGAAGATTACGTCGCATGCCCCGATTACGCCTACTCGGCCCCTTTCCTGACTTCTGCCAGAGACTGCTGGAGTCGCTCCCGCAACTTGGTAACAATACTATCTTCTTCCTTGTCAGGAGGCGGCTATCATCCCAGGGTGAGCATATGGCAAGGAGGATGAATGAAGCAAGAGGGAGAGCGCACCAGCTGATCGAGGAGGTATCTGGGTAGTCGTTAGCTGTATGACGATGCAGATATATGTGTTGAAAATCACTCAATCTCGTCAATAGTCTGTTGGGCGCATCAAAGTCAGTACTAGCTACGATAGGTGGCGGGTTTCAGAAGTCAATACTCACCAGGACGACAGGGATCCTGCATCACCGGCTGCAGTCAGTACGTAGCGCAGACCTGCACGATGATAAACGTGATGATGCTTGCCTGTTCATATTCAGCAACTATGTTTGAGCTTGGGCGGTAGCGAGTCTCGAAAAGTGCGTGAAAGTAGAATGGAGAAGAAATCAAGTGTAAGTGAGAGATCGGTGCGTCCGTCTTGTGCCCCTTGTGCCTGGCAGACGCGTCTTTTGGTAGCCGATAAGCCGAGCGTTGAACGATGATTAACACTCATAAAGAAGCCTTGGAACACAGCACAGTACATCGCACAGAGTCATTCTATAGCTACGCCAGGGGAATTCAAATGTACAGATACGTATAACTGCTATACCAAACCATTCCTCCTATCCTCCTTGTCACACTCCCTGCTTCTTCCAACTATTCTTCATCCCCAGCGCCACAAGGGCACTAACAACACTCAATCCGCTAAGAACAACCCACACAAGCTGCCCTCCTAGTGCATTTTTATCGACAGAAAGAGCAAACAGCGTCGAGGTCGTCCCTGGACCTACGGCGCGCATGAGGGAAGAGACCGCTTGAGACAAGCCGTTGATGGCGCCGAGAGAGCGGCGGTTGGGAGCGGCTTCGTTTGTCATTATGAGGTTGCAGGCTGGATAGTTTATAAGCCACTATCGTCAAGAAGACAAGGGAAACCTTACAGAATGCCATATTGCCAATAGCGTAAAGAATCATACTCGACGACAACCCTATCCAGACCCCGACATCTTGTCCGTGTCTCGCCAACAGGTTGCAGATGGGAAGGATGAAAAAAGCAGGGATGAATAGCATCACCAGTGCTTTATACAGCTTGAGGATCCCGACCTTGCTCGACAGCCATGGAAAGGCAAAGAGTTGAACGAGGATGGTGCTCACGCCCCTGATGGACATTGCGAGACCGATCTTGCTCGAGGGGAACGAGAGGCCCCCAGAAAAGGTGGGCGTAAAGCAAAAGAGGGGTAATAAACCCAGGAAAGAGGTTCCCTGCAGCTGCAGCAGGCCGAAAGAAGTCATCATCGCGTTAATGTCGGGTGTGAGGAGGTCTCGGAAAGAGACGGGGCCCTCGTCTTCTTCTTCCGTGTCTAGAGGACGGTCCGTATTGTGATGGTCGGCAGCACCTTCCAAACGCACATCTCCATCGTCGGTGGAGGAATAGTGCACAGTCGCATGTGGCTGGGCGAGAAGAGGTGCCGCTTCCTGGTTTGGGCGAGTACTTTTCTTGTCTGGCTCTTTGGACGGAAGCGTCTCCTCCATCCATATCCACGCTACCAATCCGCCCAAGAGAGGGAACGCGCCTGCAACAAGACAGGGGAATAGATAAGGATATTGCGCCAGGATGGGGAAAGATCGACCGAGGTATGGATATTGGTCAGTGATGTGAGGCAGGTAACCACCGATGCTGGAAGCCAGGATAGTGCCGATAGCCATCGAGAGAGGGAAGAAGGAAAAGGCGATAGATTGGTTGGTCTCGTCACAGAGTTCTCCGCTAGTCCCATATCAGCTATGCACTATTAGATACACATATGTGCCTCACATTACGCTTTTGAGGACCGCTACATTGCCATTTGCAAGACCATTGATCACCCTCGTGATGACCATCATGGGGAAATTGGTCGAGAAGCCAAAGAGGACTGATGATAGAGCCGCGCCGACACAGCCCTGTATACCGGTCAGTACCTTCACCTCAGGCCAGTCATCACCTACTACCAATAGGACAGGTTTTCTGCCCCATCTGTCACTAGCAGCCCCCCATTGAAACACTGTACAAAGCTCGGCGATCGCAAATATACTCTCGATCTGTGTCCTTGTCAGTCATCCTCCTCTGCACTGTTACCGTGTGTACTCACGAGCCCTGCGTAGAACCCAGTCTTTCTCGGGTCGTCCACTACTCCCGTCTCTAGCAGCATCTGATTGATATAAGGGAACAGCGCCATGAACGCTATAGGCTCTGTGACCCGGACAAAGCAAGCGATGGCAAGCTGGACCTTGGGTAGAGGCGTTCTGGCGGGAGGCTTGTCCTCTTGGGATACCGGAGATCCATCCGAATGGGTGCTTGGGGGGCGAGGACTTGCCTCGACGTCTAGTCGTCTACCAGACATGGTGTTCAGTGTTATAGTGTTTGGTATGTTTGTAGAAGAGTGTCTGGCTTCCCCATGTCTGAGGTTGGACAAGCATGGAGCTGGTCCAAGGCGAAGTGCAGTATACCAGACGTGGTCATGCGACGATCGCGCAATCATACCACCGAAGCACCAACCGCATGCAGGTTTCCGGCAGCCCGGACAGGTTTCACCGGGATTTCGGACCGCCGATGCACGTTACATTGCCTCTTGTTATCCCTTGTGCGTACTGCAGATGTGTGCTACACAAGAATCTGTTCATTATGCTTTTGCATCTCAGATGACTGTTTACTATAAATCTTGGCGACTAGCGCCTGCCCTGTATACTATTACTTACTTTATGCTATGAACACTACACTATACTGATACAACATCTCTACAAAAAATGCACTGATCCCGCCTTATACCACCCGCTTGTTAAACTTGAACGTCCTTCCTGCTCTCTTGAACAGACCCTCCCTCTCCTTCACCATAGAGAAAGTATTGGCCACTGGTGAGGCGCTAGAGTCCACAATGATAGGCTCGTACGCAGGCCTGCGACTCAAGTACTTGCTAGCGATGGGCACACCACCGTAGCCGTACCCGCTCCATCGACTGCCTTCCTCAGGTGTGGTAGCAGCCTGAGGAGAGTCGTCATAATCTCCGTTGTCTCGGCGCAGCGCAGGTGTCGACAGGTCGGCGTAGAGCACGCTTGAAGACGTGGTACTCGCACTGCCTGGGCTGGGTGGGCGGGCGACCGAACGAGGCACATGCACAGGCGCGGGTCGAGAGATGGTAGGGCGGTAGCCAATGTGCTCGTCGGTGTTGCTCCGTTGGAGCTCGACCGGGCGGGGGATAGCGCTGGAGAGAGGGAGAGCGGAGGCAATGCTGGCACGGTGAAAGTCGGAAGAGCGAGACTTGCCGTGGGCAGAGTGTGTAGGAGAGGAAGGGGAGAGGGGAACTCGAGAAGAGCTGGGGATGGACGCAGGGGTAGGGGCCACAGCCCGGGGAGCAGGGGGAGAAGGCAAGAAACCCTGAAGGTGCTCGGCGAGCTCAGTCTCCTCCACTCGAAGGTTGTAGTCGAGGAGGTAGAGGAGTTGCTTCTCCATGAGGTTGACCTCGGCGAGGGAGAAAAAGCGGCCGTACTTTTGCCAGTGCATGTTCTTGGGCGAAGAGTCGTTGAGGTACTTGGCGGCGCAGATGAGCACGGCAAGGAACACTCGATGCTGGGTGCACTTCATGCCTGAAAACCAGTCAGCACAGACAACCAATCGAATTCGTTGCACTCACCAGTAGCCACAGATGGCAGCTTCTCCTTCAGCCTTTCGAGGTACACAAGGGTGACGCTCAGCGTAGGCATCTGCACGTTGCTCTGGACGACCAAACCGCGGATGAACTCTTGAAGCTCGGGCAGCTCGGCGTTCAAATCGTCGACGCTAGTCTTGGGGGCTTGCCACCATTCGACAGCGTTGCCGTTGAGGTCAAAGTATGTGCGGGTGTTGGAAGGGCTGGAAGGAGGGGAGGGGAGATAGGATGTGGAGGGAGTGGAGGGGGCAATACGAATGACAGAAGCAGTCTTGTCGGCGACGCGAGCTGATAAGGTCAGCTTCCTGTCGATTCACATCATTGGGCAAAACTTACCAAGGAAGTCTGATCGCACTCGCGTACGGAGACAGTCCACCACAGGCTTGCTGTGGGTGGAGAGCTTGCAAAGAGAAGCAGGGTGGATGGGGTCCCGGGCGGGCATTGTGCTGGCGGTGAGGGATGTGGATAAAGAGTGTCTAGGTATGAAAAGTCTGGTCCTGCCTAGACGATAAAGATACGGGTGGTGATGGGCTGTTGAGGGGGAGGAATGGTCGACGAGAAGGCGAATGGGCGGGTTTGGCGGCAGAAGGGATTTGTCGGGATGAGTTGAGAAAGAAAGATGGCAACGACGCTGGAGGGGATTATATAGAACGGCTGTGGTACTGTGGGGTCGGAGCTTGATGGGATAGGCTATGAAGCTAGTCCAAAATTGTGCGATCATATATACTCTTTTCGGCTTCTGTGGGACGCATCCAGACCTGGATGGGAAAACACCGGATGCATGCTGTCGCGGAGTGCGTCAGAAGGTTACGCTTGTTACGCATCGAGCGAATCAAGAATGGGATCGGCAAATGCGGTAGTGCGGAGGAGATAGAGTTCAGGCGAGCAATTTGGCGTCAGGGGTGGAAGCCGTAGACTTTTGCCCGCTTCCGGACATTTGTCTTCGCCGCGTCACTTTTCGAGGAACAGCAGGAATTTTCTACAATTTTGCTCTCGAGATAAAATTTAAGGATCCAACCAAATGACCCCAGGAACGGGCCAAAGGTGGGGCGTGGGGCCGGGACTAGCGGTGACTGCCGCCCCACTGCCATCATCATCTCCTGTTGTGTGGTGCTGTGAGGTGTGCACCGAGATGTACTGGACAGCTGCATCCTTGTCTACATAATACTCTTTGCCCCCCTCGCAGCTGTCTTCCCCCGGCGCCACAGTGCCATTAGGCGAGCAAGTGTCTTACGGTTGCAACCGCGGCAGTTGCCTGGCTCAATTGTTGCTCTTTGCGGTAAAGCGGACGTCGCCACGGATCCCGGCTGTTCCTTTGGGTTTGTGTACGCAGATCAGCCGAACTTTATTTTCGCCTATCATATCGATGCATTCTTACGTACTCTTCATGTTTCTCTCTTTTTACTACTCTGCCCTTTGGTGGCGGTGATGCATGCTCCATACTTTGTGGACCTGATTGACAACTGGGAATCATCAGCTATGGCGGATCTGGACTCTTCCCGTAAACAGCTTTGAGCTTGTTGTTGAGAGACCCGTTGAAAAAGACAAGGGAGCCGTCGGCCCCGTCGGTAGTACCTGGCGTACCTGATCATCCTCTTCCACCCGAATGTGCCTCTTCTTCACCTCTTTCTTCTTCCGACTTCCTAAAAGGGCGAACAATCAGATTCAGAGAGGAGCCACAAGGTGCCACCCATGTTTGCTGAGACAATGCCACTTGCCCGAACAGCACTCACAGGCCACCGGCCTTCGGCTCTTCTTTTGCTTTTCCACACTCTACTCTGTGGTCCGGGAGGCACGGTCTTCTCACCTGCCCTGCTTGCTACTGTTGTATGTACCTTCCTCTCCCCCGAAAGACGTTCGGGATTGCACGGCTCAGGTAAACACTTCTCGTCACGGCCCACGTACTTTACCACTTATTCTGCACCTCCTGCTTTGCCGGTCTTTCTTTCGGCCTTTTCTTGATCGCATTCTCTGCATTTTTACCACCACATCGATCATCTAATCCCGATCGACTCCCGATCGACTGTTGACATATCAGGCAACTGATAACATTATTTTGCCCCCGACCGCTATTCCCGATGGACGGGTCCCATGCCTTCTTGCTGCACTGTTTGTCGTCTACAATTTGGCCAGATCGGATCCTTCCCTCCCAAAGTCAAAAGATGTCTCGGGCACGCTGTTTATTGCTGCTACACAGATGCGGGAACCGATCGCCTTCCGTTCTCTGTTCTCTCTGTTGCCTGATGCACCTGATGCCTGATGTCTGCCGCTGTTCTCTGCGCGCTGCACAACTGAGCTGCTTAGGAACCATGCTGCGTAGTAGGCTGGGGTGGCAGCTGTGGCTCACGTCTCATCACTCATCACTCAACTACAAGATGACACACATCATGTACAGACTGCTTACGCGTTGGAGTCCAGAGAATCCCGACTAATATACACGATGGTCATAGCCAGCAGATCCAGCAGAGTGCAGAAGGCTGAGGCCCTGAGGAAAGAGAGAGGCTAGAGAGCTACAGTTTTCAGCTCCGGATATCTTCATTGAGGCCGTACATCGAGGTGTAAAGAACAGAAGAGACCTCATAGGCCTGATAGGAGGGGAGGAGAGAGGATCGAGAGTCGAGATGAAAGTCACCGCCGCGCGAAAGAGCACGATCGAACCAGATCATGCATAGATGGGAGCGGTACACCTACCCTTGGCTTTCTGATGTCATGAGCAATCGGACGCGTCAGGCAAACTGGCCTGCAATCGATTTTTTGTACCATGTAGAACGTTGGCGTGGGTAATGTCGCACCACCTTCGGATACAGTCCAAGGGCCTGTGCTAATCTATGTAGATGCCGATTCCAGATTCCAATTACAGAGATCTAACCTGACCAGCCAAGACAGCCAAGATGCCACAGTTTTCCTACTGACATCCGGGTCTCGCTGCACTTGCTGCAACTGCTGCGACATGACCATGATCACCATCGGTCCTTCCCTACTGATCACCACAGGTCCAACAGGGGGCCACACCATAGGCCGCAAGCGTCGGAGAAGTAAGTGTCGGAGAAGTGTGCCTTATGCATCGTTCACCCGAGTTCCAAGTCGGTGAAGCTGGCTTTCTGAGTTCTTACGGCACCCCAGACCGCAGCCACGAGCCATTGAGAATATGTTGCGTTCAGCATGATTGTTGTCTGTCACTTGTTCGGCTGCCCTGTCGACACGTTGATGTAGAGGTCGTTGTAATCGGAGGTCCGAGGTCGATGAAGGGCCCTCGCTGCTGACGTACATTGCTTGTACCTCAACAAGCCTCCTCCTCCTCCTCGTCCTCAAGCCTCCGAAAGCGTCTATAACAGGAAGCTGCTGTCAAGGATCAAGCTACCCAATATTATACTGTAACGGCCAAGTGCTACGACAGTAACTGTTGGGCCAATTCAATAATTGTGATCATCATTGAATCGTCGGCGGGTGAGATACTCGATCGCGAAGTCTCCTCCGTACTCTCCTTCACTGCCCCATCAAGCTTCAACTCTCGTATACATCTGGACACTGAGAGTCCAGGTCGGTGAACGTTGGTTTTGTACGAGAATATCTTCACAACGACAACAGAGGAAAGTGTTAAGAATTGAAGCAGCCGCTGACGTTGCCTCGGTCGCCCCCAGTATCACGAAAAGAGTCGAGGATGACAATGATGGAGGCATCAATATGATTACTATACAGGCGTGAAAATCCAAGAGTCGTCTATGCTGAGTGTGGCATCGACTACTGCTTTCAATGCTCGAAAATATTCAAAAGAGGAGACGACGTCGTCGTGGCCGTTGCTAAGTGATTCGATGAAGCTGCTATACAAGAGGTACTTTTTCACCACATGTGACGCCCCATCTCCAGTACTTTGATGGGAGAATCAGGTTTGGAGCATCAACCGGACTATGTCCCCTTTGCATAAGTGACGGGTGGGCGTGTCGCTCGTCTGTCAAAGTGCGATGACTACGCTTGTTACGAGCTTTAGATGATGCAGTACTAGTCTGAGGGAGTGATATCTCCTGATTATCCGTCATTGGCTAGCCCCGCTCTTCTTCTGCGACCACACCGGCTTTGTGATGATAAGGTCGAGAACCAAACAAGATATGCAGGCAATATGTCCGTCCGCTCAGAGCGCATAAGTGAGTACAATAGATAAGAAAAAAACCTAGCGGAGAGCGCCGCCCCGGCGGTGTCGGGCGCAGACTGTGGCTATCGTCGATTTTTTCGATTTTTGGCTCTGCTTTTAATTCTTGGATATCTTTCCAGAGATCCCACTCAGACCCCCAACCTTCAAAATGTCTACTGCCGCCGCCGGACCCAACCCCAACGCCCCTCCCCGCCCCACCGCCCTCCTCAACACCGCCGATGCCCTCAAGCATCTCGACGAGTACCCCAGGGGTGACGGTCTTTCTCTCCAGGAGCTCATGGACTCCAGGAAGAACGGTGGTTTGACCTACAACGACTTCTTGATCCTCCCCGGCCACATCAACTTCCCTGCCTCGGATGTCTCTTTGCAGTCCAAGTGAGTCCCTCATTGCAGCGCGCACAGTATTGTGGCCCCGAATTGGCGCTCATAAATGTATCAGGGCTACCAAGAACATTGTCCTCAACACCCCTTTCCTCTCTTCCCCCATGGACACCGTCACTGAGGACCGGTGAGCCACTACAATGTCAGAATCAAAACCATAACTGAAGCGGCTTCATAGAATGGCCATCGCTATCGCCCTTCACGGTGGTCTCGGTATCATCCACCACAATTGTACTGCTGAGGAGCAGGCCGCCATGGTGCGAAGGGTGAAGAAGTACGAGAACGGTTTCATCACCGACCCTGTCTGCTTGGGTCCCGATGCCACTGTTGGCGAGTAAGTCGTCAAGGTAGTCGTCGTGGAGAGGTACTGACAAACTATAGCGCTCTTGACATCAAGGCCAAGTTTGGCTTCTGTGGTGTTCCCATCACTGGTGCGTTATATCACAATTACCAGACCATTCATTGACTTGTCTCAGAGAACGGTCAGATCGGTAGCAAGCTCCTTGGTATCGTCACTGGCCGAGACGTTCAATTCCAGGACGCCGAGACCCCTATCAAGTCTGTCATGACCAAGGACGTCGTCACTGGCTCTTTCCCCCTCGCCCTCGAGAAAGCCAACTCTCTCCTGCGTGAGACCAAGAAGGGCAAGCTCCCTATTGTCGACGCCTCCGGCAACCTCGTCTCTCTTGTCGCCCGATCCGATTTGCTCAAGAACCAAAACTACCCCTACGCCAGCAAGGTGCCCGAGAGCAAGCAGCTCTACTGTGGTGCTGCTATCGGTACCCGACCCAGTGACAAGGAGAGGCTCAAGCTCTTGGCCGAGGCTGGCCTCGATGTTGTCGTCTTGGACTCTTCCCAGGGTAACTCTACCTACCAGATCGAGTTCATTAAGTGGATCAAGTCTACCTTCCCCAAGATCGATGTCATTGCCGGTAACGTCGTGACCAGGGAGCAAGCTGCCCAGTTGATCGTTGCGGGTGCCGACGGTTTGAGGATCGGTATGGGCTCTGGCTCTATCTGTATCACGCAGGAGGTCATGGCTGTCGGTCGACCCCAGGGTACCGCCGTCTACGCCGTCGCCGAGTTTGCCAGCCGATTCGGTATCCCCTGTATCGCTGACGGTGGTATCGGAAACATCGGTCACATTGCCAAGGCCACCGCTCTTGGTGCCTCCGCTGTGATGATGGGTGGTCTCCTTGCCGGTACCACCGAATCCCCCGGTGACTACTTCTACCACGAGGGCAAGCGAGTCAAGGTCTACCGAGGTATGGGCTCCATCGAGGCTATGGAGCACACCCAGCGAGGTTCTGTTGCCGGCAAGCAGTCTATGCTTGGTCTTGACAACGCCGCCACTGCCCGATACTTCTCTGAGACCGACACTGTCAAGGTCGCCCAGGGTGTGTCTGGTGATGTCGCCGACAAGGGTAGCATCAACAAGTTTGTGCCTTACCTTTACACTGGTTTGCAACACTCTCTCCAGGACTCTGGTATCAAGAGGTAAGTCCATGGTGACCTATCGAGCCAGATCAAGCTAACAGTAACCGTAGCATCACTGAGCTCCACGAGGCTGCTCGCTCTGGTGCTTTGAGGTTTGAGCTCCGAACCGCCTCCGCTCAGGTCGAGGGTGGCGTCCACGGTTTGAACTCCTACACCAAGAGATTGTTCGCCTAAGTGCGTTTGATCAGGCTAGGTGGCTAGAAGTTTAGTTAGAAGAGTAGTTTTTGTTTTGGGATGTTTTCAGAATAAAACATAGATATTATTGTTTAGGCGTCATTTGTACTTTACACCATATGAGACAAGGATCAACATAAGTCATGGTCTGGTGTCTATGTCTACAACATGTTCATATGATTACTGGTATACTAATCGACTCTTGTCCTTTTTCGTGAAGAAGCCCCAGGCCTATCCGCACCCCCGTCATCCGGATGACCGAGGTCAGTCATTCTCCCTTCTATCATTCTTCTGACCAGGGCTTCCGCCTCCTCCACCCCGAATTTGTCTTTCTGCTCCCCCTTTCCCGTCCCTGCCAGTCCCCCAGTCCCCTTCTGCTGCCCTTGGGCCCCTCTCAACGTCGGCTCAAAAGCCTCCCAAATAGGATACAAGCCCACTATCTCCTGCACGCACCCAAACAGCATCGGCAAATTTACTTGGAACCCTGCGAGAAACTCTGCGGCGCTCGCAGGGGGAGGAGAGAGGTGTAGTTGGTTGTTGGTAGAGAGGGAAGAGGCGAAGGAATGAATTTGGGTTGAGGCATTACGGGTGCGAGAGGTGGAGTTGGACATGGATGTGAGGCAGAAAGCGATGTAGAGGGCAGATAGGGCTATTATGTATGGCGGATAGAGCAAGATGGCGTCCGTACGATACGAGTCGTTGACAATGAACCTGCAATGTGTCAGAGTCGCTCCCTGTCATACTGGTATACCTACCATGATATCTGCAAAACACCCTCATCCATCTCAATAGTCCCCTCCCCCGACCCTCTCCCCATCAAGCGTCGTATCCGTTCTTCCTCGCTCTCGTCGTCGTCGTCCAGCGTTGCCGAAGTGACTTGCCCCTTAGCCCCTCCCTTTCTGATCTCATCACTCCTCGCCTTCTTTTTGTCCGCCTCCTTCTTCCTCATCGCCTGCTCCTCCTCCACCCGGGACATGTCCCATTTTCCAGTATCTGACGGTTCTCTACCAGTGAGGCTAATGAGGGCGCGGTATGGGTGGAAAACCACCAGGTGGAAATCGAGGTCCTCCATGAGGTAAAACTCCATTTCGCCGAGCTTGTTGCTCTCTGCGGGGAACATCTTTATGTTGTGTTCTGCATGTTTGAATGTCAACATATTTCCGTTTGTTCAGGACAGTGGACTGACCGCTGAATATCAACCTCGCCTCGCTCACTACACTCTTGATATGTACCGGTGTTTCCTCCACTTTGGCAGCGACGTACACACAAGCCGACAGCACCAAGTACGGATTGGTCTCGCATATGCTATTCTTCAAGTAGAACCTCCGGAAGAAGACACATGCAGTAGCGATAGGGATCTGCCGAAGCTGTAGCCTCTTGCCGAGCTTTTGTATGAGCTGGGAAAAGAAGATATATAGACAGTAGAGCTGTCTAGGGCTGCAGTACTTCAGGTCTGTTTGGCGTGCGTCGAGAGTGACCGGGCGAGTAACCAGCCAGTACTTGTTATGGGAAGAGGTGTAAAAGTCGGAGGACATGGAGCATCTGGGGTGGACAGGCTATCATCCAGAATACAGAATACGTTTCCAACTTCCAGCTGCCACCCCATGACTGCAGTGGACATCACCGCCGCCCTACAAATCTCATGCCATGACCGCCGGTCACAAGTCAAAACAATCCAAAAGGATCTTTTTCCACAAGACTCTCCTGCTCTTCGCAACCCTCAAATCACACCCAGTGGACATGGGCTATACTATGTGAGCAGATCAGGGACTCCTGTCTGCAACAAGTCCACACTGACACTCGGCAGCTTACTGCAGTGGTCCTTCTCTATCCCTGCGGGACGCCCAACGACGCTCGCCGACATCGTCAGCGCCAGGGTACTCGAGATATATGGGGTAAGCATAGTGGTTTTCGTTGAGCATCTCCATACTGACTGAAGTAACAGCACAGTACACCTACGCGATCCGCCATTCAGTTCCGCACTTATCGAGCCCAGTTTCCTTCGTCGGATATTGATTCGACCCAGGTATCTCGTTACCTCACCGTAATATCTCCTATACAGCCTCCAGTACCTTCCTCTCAGGCCAAGTCCAGAGACGTCAATCCTGTGGACGACACCGCTTTTCTGTTCATGGATGACAAGTCGGCCGGGGGCACCACCGCGCTCGAAGCTCCTGGCGACACTGCGGTGAACGAAAGCAGCAAATCAAAGCAGAGATTTAAGTGCATAGCCGTTCGACCGGTGTCGCATGTACCTCCCATGCTGCAATCTCTGCTGAGCCCTTTTGTGCTGGGTTTGACGAAAGCTGCTCGAACCGTGAGTCACGCCTGAGAACTTTGATTTCTACCATACTCACTGATATCACTATAGACTGCCTCTCAGACGTCCTCCACTCCCGTCCCTACCCCACTACCCGGCTCGACATCCGCTGTTACAAGCTTCACCTTTCCCTCCTTACCGAGCTCTTCTCCCTCCGTCATTCTAAGACTACATATTCTCCCGCAGACTGCTGGAAGTATATTCTTGGAAGGAGAACATATAGGCCCGAGTCATGGCAAGACCGTGGAGGAGATCAAAAATGAAGTCCGAGCCTTTTTGAATCAGTGTGTCTTGGAAGATATGGGAGAAAAAAAGTGGAAAGACTGCCATGAGGGGACAGAGACCCGGGGCTTGGAGGGCGTCGAGAGAGCCAAGCGGACGATGTCTTCCTTAGCCCAGATGCTGCGTCAAGGGAGTTTTATCTGACAGGCGTCATTAACGATTAGGCATGTGATTCATGATTTACGCTCTATATACGACAAAGGCAATCTCCCTACATTGCCGTAGCATTACCATAAGTCGTTCCCTCGAGCCCGCGAGCGACGAGCGCAAATTCGTGCAGAGCTTCTCGCATTCTTCGAGTAGTCCGAGACCTATCAAAATCAGTTGACAGTAAGTGATAGACATAGAACAAGCTCACCTCAAGACCGCGTCTTTGAGCTTCTTTTTCGACTCTGGAGTAGCCCGCACATCGGGGAAGCCGTCAACACCCAAAATCCCGTCCAACCACGGGGCCAGATGCTGAGCGCTGACGCGCGTCACAAGGTTGGCCAACAGCTCGGCTAGATTGGGTATCACGCTTCTCGGCCCTTCACTCCCTGCCGAGAGAATCAAAGCTCGGAGGAGAGCTGGCCCGAAGGCGTCGAGTAAGGGTTCCATCATGTCTTCGAGAGGAGAGGGGTTGCGGGTCTTGGAAAGGAGAGCCACCTGGAGATGTTATAAGCTTGATTCGTGGCAAGACTTGCATTGACTGACAAAGAAGTCCGACGCAGATTTCAGAGAGAATCGCTCCTGCAGCGCCAGCCCAGCCAATCCCAATTGAATGTAAGCCTCAATTTGTTGAGGCTGAAGTCGCAGGAGCACTCCTGGGAACCTTTCTGCAAGCTGTCACAACTATCAGTCACGACCAACCAATCAGCTATTGATTTGTACTCACAGAGTGGCAGAACTTGAACCATCCTTCGACAATGTCGGGATGCTGAATGATTATTTAGCACCGTTGTGTACAGAGTGACAATCCGACTCACCTCCTTCATACCCTCACCCTGAAACGCCATCTGCGCCGCCTCGACCAGTCGCCCGCCAGCATTCCCCACCGTCTGCCATTTTTCCTCCTCTTCCACTCTCTTCCTCGCATCCTCTTCCTCCGTGGACATGTCCTTCTTCTTCTTAGAGAAGAAAGACGGAGGAGCACTGATGCTCAGAATGAGGGTCGATGCAATGCTGAACCAAAGGGCCGAGGGGGCACGACAGCCTACGAGGGTGACCAGATTTAACAAAGGTAGAGGAGGGAGGGATATAAGAGTTGGCGGTTTTGGCGAGACGTTTTTCAATAGGGATGAGAGGGCCTAGGCGGGATCAGCCATCTGTCGCAAGGGTTCCAGATACCGCTTACATCTGCCACCTCCACATCTCCATTCCAAACTCCCACAGCTCCTTCCACCGAGAGGTAGATCCTCTCCCGAAGAGCCACCAGTCTCGGATCTTCCCTGAAAACAGCCACCTCCTCTTCTTTCACCGCGGGGTCATCCGAAGTGTCAAACATATCATCATCGGACGTGGACAGGCCCTTGAAAGCTGACGTCAGAGAATTGAGGGCTTGTACCAGGACAGGTTGGGCTTCGATTGGATTTGACTGCGTTGCTGACGTGGCTACTGATATGCGCTCAATGATAGGCATGATTATGCCCTGTAGAGTAGATAAGCGACGATACGGCCATGGGCAACGGCACTTACTTCGACCGGACCTATAGCATCGGCGGCTTGCAATGCCTGGATGACGCTGGTAATTCCCTGGATGACCATGACCTGCTCCTCGTCCTACACAAAAGGTAAGTCTTGGTCCAATCACAATACTCAAAAGCTTACTTTCATGCCCCCGATCTTGCCATGTAAGTCCGCAAAGGCCCCGATGTGCTCTACTAAATTCTTGCGGCACATATCACAGATGGCCTTGAAGGCAAATGCTGCTGAACGAGAGATGTCGAGGTTTTGGGAGGTGAGCGAAGGGACGAGGTACGAGAGAACGAGGGGAAGGTGGGAAGGGTGGTATTTGAACCATTCTTCATATGACTCTGTTCGCAGCGTTAGTGGGGTATATGTCAAAGGTACGACGCCTACGAATCAAGCAGACAACAGTCAGCCGTAGTCGATTCTCCCCTAGCCCGTTCCCCTGGCGAAGTGCAAGCAAGCCCAGAACTTGATCTCCAAACAACACGGGTAGATTTTCGCCTTCACCCAGGGGAACAGCTTCAGAAGAGTATCTGATGCAATGGATGGTAGCTTCGATATCCTTTGTGGGAGTCAGCCTCAGCTTAACATGGCAATTGTTGACGTACTTGCCAAGGTTCCCCGCTTTGCACCTGCTGAGCGGCAATCTGTGTCAGATTCCTCATCATCTCTTCTCTCAGCACGTAATAACTTCGAATCATCAGTAAACTCTCTACCAAGGTTACTGGGCAGCTCACCCGCTGACGATGACTTCCCCTGCATCCCTCCTCCACGCATCAAACGCCTCCCGATCGTCGTTGTCCATATCCCCTAGTTCCTCTCCGGTGGGGACTTCTCCATTCCCAGGCCAGCGGACTTTACGGCGAGTGACGGACACGAGTTCAGAGAAAAACTGCTTGGCGATCTGCCAGGAAGGATCTGTTTCGTGTGGTGCTTGGAAAAGATCAGAGTCCATGAGGGACTCTTGCAGTAGAGAATAGACGGGAAGGGTGAGCTATTCAAGTGTTGTCAGTCCCTTGCTGAGCTGTTGCGGTTCCCGACTCACTTGGCTGACTTCTTCTTCAACACCACCTGTCCCCTGCCATCCTGTGATCCTCAAAACAACGCCCAAGAATGCCTGCACTCGGTCCTCATGTATATGAGCCAAGAACCAGTCTGACGAATGTTCTATCAGGGCGGCGATGAGTTTGGAAAAAGCTATAAGCTCGTCCGTGGGTTCTGTGCTGCGTCAGCTCGTACACGAATGGTAGAAAGAAAAGACTAGCCATAGTCACCACCACGAACAAGTGCTTGACCAGGTGCACCAATGGTCCATTCGATCAAAGGTTCGGTCAACATCTTTGTGCCTTTGCCATATTTCCAGATACTCTCAGAAAGGACCTCGACTATCGTGGAAGACGCTTGGGGGAGAGGCAGTAGTGTATAAAGGTTTGGCACTAAAGTATGCAAATTACTGAAAAGTATCAGACCTGAACCTGAACATGTGCAAACTACTCACTCTGCTTCCAATCCCCATCCTATCCAGCTTTCAGCACACCTGCACGCGGCAGTCGCTTCTTGACTGTGTTTTTCCGGTGATGCAGAGCCATCTATAGACATGGATCGGATGATGGTGTTCAATACGATACCACGGTCGAGTTCGATATGATTACGGATGGCGGTCCTGTGAGTGCGTCAATGGAAGCGTAAGCTACAATAGTATCACGACTTACCTTCTTTGTTCAGTCAATCCAGCTCGCCCCATCTCCTCAATGAATATACCACACCATTCCAATTCCAGCAACCGCGTCTTGAGCTCGATCTCTGGGAGGCTTTGGGGCGGGATAGACGCTCGCGAGGCATGTAAGGATCCTTGGAGCAGCTCAAGGACAGTTTGTATGGGGTGTTGGAACTGTGCGAGCTCTATTCGAAGAAGGATAGAGGCAAGCTGATAAATGATTCAAATGAGCACAGTCAGACAAGTCGTGCGGGTACGTACCGCTACAAAGAGCTTTCGTGTGACCAAGGCATTTGCTAATTCATAATAGTGAGAGGTGGAGGGGTCGACAGAGTTATGTAGCGTCTGGAGGAGAAGATTGAGAAGTACGGGGCGCAACTCATCCGGTAATGAGTTCCTGTGAAGCAACGTCAGATTCAATATCAGATTTCATCCAACACTTACCAGTCGGATGCAATCTTGTGCTGAGTTGTGTTGACGGCAAAGAACCTCACACTAGCTTCCTGGTCAACGATATCAGTTGAATTCGGGCATTTTGGTCACCTAGCAGACTCACGGGGTGACCAGCAAGGCCATTGAGGAGTCCCCATGCCTCCGGGCGATGCTGCAGACCCTGCAGTCCCGTCTCGATTTCTTTGACTAGCTGCGGATTGGACGAGGTGACCGGGTCATACAATTGAAGAATGGTCTGCATTTCTGGTCAGCAGATCCCTTACTACATACTAAAGCAAGACCTACCTGGGCAACCTGCTCTAAATCTGACTGAGGGATGACTGGCAATGAAAGCGAGGATGGTCCAGCTACCTCCTCGTCAAGAGTGATGCCGATGTCCATGGCGCTCCAATGTCACGTTTCTGAAGAAGCGGTGGTGATACGGGTGGCAGTCAACCCCAGAATGGATTGAAGAAGAATCAGAAAAGTCATCTGAAAGTCATACACGCATGATAATTACAGACTCACAGCGCCGGGCGCCAGGCGGTCATCGCCGCCTCTTTTGTTTACACAAAGCTCAGTCCAGACGGATAGATGTCCGCTTTGGTGTCCTCACTTCGTCCTTCCTGCGCGGGCCAACAACACAAACTACAACCCCAGTCGGTAATGAAGCTGAAAATAGAGTCCTACAATGCTGTGGCGTACTGGAAATGGGACGTCTCGACCGAATCACACAAGTTGTACCATGCCGCCTCTGCCGACGGAGGAGGCATCATGGACGACGACGACGACGATGAAGAGGTTTGCGGTATCTGCCAAGCACCGTTTGAGAGTACCTGCCCTGACTGCAAGGTCCCGGGAGATGACTGTCCTCTCAGTGAGTCCCATCGACGACTTTTACCTCGACGCTCATATGCCATAGTTTGGGGTGAATGTACCCATGTGTTCCATATGCACTGTCTCCTGAAATGGATCGGGCAGAAGGAGGATGAATCACAGCAGCAATGCCCGATGGACAGAAGGCCTTGGGGTGAGTGCTCAAATCGTGCCCTGCTCTGACACGCAAAGCTAACACGCTTTTAGTCACTGCAGACCAAAAGCCCGAGAGACCGGCGGCTAATGCTGATCAGTCCCCCACCACCAATGAGTCTACCCATATATTGAATACGATAGAGTCGGAGGCAGAGAAGGAAGAACGACCTCTCAATGAGTCTATAGGAGAGGGAATTGATAATGACAGTATGGACGTAGAGTAGATACTGTGGACGCGGATTCAAGAACATTTGTGAATTGTTGTCATAGTATGAACGATGTATTTTTAAGCGTTATCCCCTGGGTCTCGTTCTCTGAGACCTGATATATGGCTAAGCCGACTTGAGACCTGCGTTGAACGGAAGAAAGCCCATGGAAAGGTTCGTCCTAATTACGCGTCCGGACGTGCCTGACACGCCGAGAGTCTTCGGTTTCGGGGGTATGCGTTGCGCTGTCCATCTCTCATCCTTGCACTGCATAGAATCACCCGCAGCACTATCTCTATCGCACAGTTCCCCAGGGCCTATACCGACCCCAGACTTACCCTCAATTCGTTCCCAAGTCCTTGGCTGTGCTCGACTCGTAACGGGCGTCCAAGATCAATCTTCGCTACCAGAAGTCATCACGTATTCAGCAGACACTTGCGAGCTCGACTTGCAGGCCTGAAGTATGGAAGCATCATCACCAAAACTCCCCTCTGGTGCTGCTGAAGCAAAGAAAAGTGGTAGTCCAGAGATAGAAAGAGATAGCCAAGATGTCGGCCGTGAAACCATTAGAGAACCCCCGGCTTACAACGAGGTAAGCAAGCTTCCTTTGTCATCACACATGGCTAACAGAAACTACGAAACCCAGCTCAACATTCATGCCCTCGCACAAAGAGGAGACACAGCAGGCATAGCTGCTCTTCTACGAGAAAATCCAACGGTCGACGTTTCCGGCCACGATTCACAAGACGTCACACCGCTACATTGGGCTGCTATCAATGCCCACATAGCGACTTGTCGATTCCTGCTAGATAGTGGGGCAGATGTTGATGCCATAGGTGGAGAGCTGAGGGCTACACCTATGCAATGGGCAGCGAGGTGAGTGTATCGGGTGGCAAAGCGGGGGTATTGGAGGTGCTGACAGGTGTCATCAGGAATGGACATTTGTATGTCGTGCATCTGCTGCTGAGCAGGGGTGCCGACCCAAACATCCATGACTCCCAAGGCTTCAACACTCTTCATCTGATAACCCACTCGAGTGCTGTCATGCCTCTACTCTATATGGCAAGTGTGGATTGTCCTGAACGCTTGACTTTGCTCATCCCAGCCCTATGCAGCTCCACCAACCCGTAGCTATTGACGAAAAGGATACTGATGGACACACCGCTCTCATGTGGGCTGCCTATCAAGGGGATGCTCTTTCTGTCGATCTTCTCATCCGCCACGGCGCATCAGTCAATATCACTGATAACTCTGGTATGACCCCTCTCCACTGGGCGTCCGTCAAAGGAAACAAGGTGTCTATCAGGCACTTGGTGGAGTCCGGATCCAGCTTGGATGCGAAGGAGGAGAATGGGAAGACTCCGCGCGATATGGCGGAGGAGCTGAAAGGATTGGTGCCTTTTGAGAAGGGGCTGGAGGAGGCAGGGTGGACAATCTATGGTGTTCAGTTGACTGGAAAGTTAGACCCTGTAGGCGGCACTACTGCAACTGACTATGATCCAGCTGACGGTTAGCAGAAAAGAACCACCATCGCTATTGGCATATTGCCCCTGATAGGGCTAGGGGCCATCTTCAAGACCTTCGACCTCTTACCAGTCTACGTGGCAATCCCGTTTGCTGCGGCGGAATTCGGGGCCATGCAATATGTGAGTCACCAACTATTCGCATGAAGCCTGCTTACACATCTGAAAGACCATCGTATACGTCCTTCTCGGCCACATCAAGGATTCTGAAAAGGTTTCTGCCTCAAATTACTTTGTCTCCCTTATCGTCGCCAGTATAGCCTGGGTAGCCTGGGGCTGGGCCACCAGGCTCCTTCTGGGCACTGCTGGACACCCTTTTGCTAATCTTGCATTCTTCATCATGATGACAGGGTGTGCTTGGAGCTTGTACAAGGCGGTGGTGACCGACCCGGGATTTGTGCAGAAGGGAGAAAAGGATGAGGATATCAAGTTGGTTCTGGAGGAGCTCGTGGATGCTGGAAGATTGAATGGAACCAACTTTTGCATCATGTGTATGGTGGGTAGCCCTGATTAAACGGGAAGGGATTGAGCTGATAACTCGATCCAGGCTAGAAAACCGTTGAGATCCAAGCATTGTAGGACCTGCAAACGTTGCGTGGCCAGGTTTGACCAGTGAGTCCATTGATCCTGCACGAGGGTATATACTGATCATTACAAAGCCACTGTCCGTGGGTTTGGAACTGCGGTGAGTAGGGATCGCCACCTGTCGGAGCGTCTTGCTGATGTCGTACAGTCGGAGCGAACAATCATAGGGCGTTCTTGTTATTTGTCTTGTTCCTCATTGGTGGCATTATACTATTTGACAAGCTGTCGATTGATTGTAAGCCACCAGGTCAAAGTCGCCGCACTATGCTGATCAGGTTTTGCAGACGTCCAGCAAAATGCTCCCGAATACCTACCAACCCCATCTCCTGGTCTAACGGTGTGCGAGATCTCAGAGACGCTATGCCGAGCAGGCTCATACGACGCCTTTTTGCTCGCCACCTGCGTCTGGGCATCTATCCAGCTCACATGGACCTTCGTTCTGGCCATCTCCCACCTCTGGCAAGTATCCCGCCAGATGACGACTTTTGAAGTGTCCAATCTCGGAAGATATGGATACATGGGTGGTAGAGGCGGGCAGAGTTTAAGAGATCAAAGTGGGGCATTGAAGCAGGCTGCCTCGGTTGGTGCGGGCGTTGGGATGGGTGGGGCAGCCGAGGAGGGTGGTGGGCCTGCCGCAGGTGAAGCTGGCCCGGATGGTAATGTGGTCTTGCCACAGACTGGTGGACATGTCCATGGCCCTCAATGCCGACATGGCGGCGGCCATAGCCACGGGCACAACCATGGAATACTGCATGTCTGTGGCCATCTGTGCAAGACATTGTCTGCGCCATTGATGGGTATCTTAGGCCTGGATCGGTTCACCAAGGGTCAGGCTTTGGGTGGCATGAAGAGGGCTGGGAAGGACCAGAACCCGTTCGACATGGGCGTTGTGAAGGTCAGTACGGATAAGTCGTGTTGTTGACAGTGGCTGATGACTGGGCGTAGAATTGTACCGAGTTTTGGTTCCCGCATATCGACGTTGATTATACGACACTTTACGAAATTCCGCCAGAGGGATGGAGGGCGTATAGAAGAAAACTTGACATGAACAAAAGCGGTGGCGGAGGGCGGGGCGGTTACCAGGTGGTAAATACGCAGGAAGTTTGAGGCCGCCATAGCGGCTTGAACATGCTACATGCACTGTGAGACAATCTTGTACAACAAAGACGTTTTATTCTTCGCTACTTTCTCTCTCTTCCTCCTCTTCCTCAATCTCTTCGTCTACACTTGCATCTTTCTCAGGTCTTTGATAACCAGACTGTTCGAGCTGTTGTATTATGTGCTCTTGCACCAAAATACCTGGCCCAAATAATCAGTCACAGTCAACGATAGAATTCGTTAACATACCCATCGCCATGAGGCCTTCGCCTTCTATCGCTTTGTACATGTCTTTCACCTTGTACTTTCCTCTCACTCCCCTGGTGGCTTGGCCATCTTGGTCCTCGGCACCCATAGATGGTGTGCCCCCGGCCTCTTCGCGATCACCCAAGATGTCCTCAATCTCCTCTCCATCCTCACTCACCTCCCCGCCTTGAACCTCTGTCAATCGATTTCTGTCTCTTGCCAGTTGGAGGCTCTTTTTGCTGGCCCATGGTACAGCTCTCTGCCGTTTGACAGGGGGGTGCAGCAGAGAGTGGCTGGAGTAGAACTGGGATGACAGTTGATGTAGAGACTGGAGAAAGTACGTAGAGGGATTCGGCGGCGGCGGAACTGTGTTCATGATTAGCGTCACTGTCAGAGCAGATGGACAAGCAAGACAACGCACCAGGAGGTATATGAACAAACTTCTCCGCATTCCTTAAAGCCTTCATGCGCCTAGTAGCCTTGTTGCTTGACCTTGGCCGATTGTCAGCGGCCTCCTCGCACCTGGCCCGCGCTAGACGATCTTCCAGTTCTCCCTCATTATCCCTATCTTCCTGTTGCCCTTCCGCCGACTCTGCTGCTTCGGGTTCTGGAGCTGCCCGGCCTTTGCCTTTGCCCTGCGACGTCGAATTGCGTCGCTTCGATTTTGACGGTGGGGTGTTTCTAGAAGCTGGCCTTGTACTAGCTGTTGAGAGCCTGCTTGATGGCCCCGGGAGAGCTTCTTCTATTTCCATGGCTCCGGTGAATACTTTTGCTGATTGTTGACAACTCATCGAGGGTCAAGAAGATGGCGCCGAAATCAACAACTCCCAGGCACGCCGTGAGCCGAAGATGCGCAAAAATCCGACCACTTATGTCCTCTTGTTTCAAGTCACAAATTGCACAATCCCCAGCCTCAGCACAATGGCCTCAGAGGACACCGTCAACCCAGAAGCTCTTGTCGAACTTGGCATCCGGCTCATTCAGGCTGCAAAAGACGCCCCGCTCTCCGCTATCTCCGCCCTTCTCGAACAAGGTGCTCCTGCCTGGTATCAAGATGAAGACCTCGGCTGGTCTCCCTTGCACTATGCTGCCGAGAGGAGAGAGCCTAAGGCCTTGGATGTGCTTCTGAAAGGCGGCGCTGTTTGGAATGCAGTAGACAAGTGGGGCAGGACTGCCGGGGAGATTTGCCTGTCTTTAGGCGACCAAGAGGGCTGGTTGCTCATTCGCAATGAGGGCATCAGAAGTGGTGAGCTCGTTTTGGCTGGAATGATGCCAGTGGAATGATAGTATAGGAGCTGACAATCCATTCAAGAAATGCTCCATCATGCACTCGCCGGCGCCTCTGCTGGCGACAACAACATCATTTTGCGTGCGGAGGACTCGACGTCAGCCGGTGACAACCTCGTCTTCTTGAAGAGCCAGCTTACATGGGATGTCGGGAACGATGGCAAAGAAAGGGTTCTGGATGCTGATGGTAACGGGTGAGTACCGAGCGCCTCAGCAATGACTCGTGCAGCATCATGCTGACTGAGAATATAGAGTGATGATGGGATGGGAGGAACCTTTGAGTGCGTGACGGCCCCATACACAAGCTGTTAAACTGACGGGCGATATTTAGTGGTAGAGCATGTTCGCTATCTGACGGAAGGCCACCCTAAGATGCAGTTGGGTGAAGAGGAGGAAGGCATGTCCATCCTCAACGTCGGTTTTGGACTCGGTATCGTGCGTATCATGATTATCAGACCGACAATGCAGTCTTTGAAGGCTAATCATACACACAGGTTGACCGACTCTTCCAAGCCTGTGACCCCAAGCCATCTCATCATACTATCATTGAGGCTCACCCCCAGGTCCTGGAGTACATCCGCCAGAAGGGCATCCACCTTTTGCCTAATGTCCGCATTCTCGAGGGAAGATGGCAAGACTGGCTGCTTGATGGCGATAAGACTGGAGAGGTGCTTTCGGGGACTCCCAATGGCATGGGCTTCGATGCCATCTTTGTGGACACGTTTGCCGAGGGGTACGAGGGTGAGTGCACCGTGACACGCGATCGATCAATATGTGCTGATTGAGTTTCAGATTTGAAGGCCTTTTTCGAAGTGATTCCGGATATCTTGGATGCTGAGAATGGCAGATTCTCATTCTGGAACGGTCTCGGAGCTACCAGTAAGTCCAGCACCTACTATCCTTGCGAGAACCATGCTGATCTTGATGTAGACCCTACGATCTACGCTGTGGCCTCGAGTCTTGCCGAGCTTCACCTGGAGGATGTTGGACTCAATGTAGAATGGCACGATGTCGCTATTCCGGAAAGCATGAGGGAGGAGGTGTGGAAGGACGTGAGAAGAAGATATTGGGATTTGCCGGGATATAGACTTCCCATTGGCAAGATGAGCCTCTTCTGATCATCCGAGCAAAAAAGGTGGTGATAGTGAATAATAATGCATTGGAAGAGATCATCATGAAGTACATACTCGATTTCTCTCGTCCGATCGTGTATGACATTCGGTCAGCCAGACAGCCGTGTTGGTCGAAATTACCCAATGAAGCGCTGCTGGACAAAAGGAGGAAGCACAGGATCAAAGTCATGAGGGTTCCATGAGCGCAGAGTCTCTAACAAGGCGATACATAGTGGCCCCACCTGCGCCCGACAGTAAAGTAAGAAGAAGTGCGTGTTGGACATTTGAAGACAGGCCCGGTCCGAAAGTCGGCCAATTTCTGAGTGGCCCGCGACATCCAGTCGCGCATCTCCGACAGTTGCCCTGACTCGGCTCTCTCTCGTTACGAATGTCGATGCATTCTCTGTCCGCAACGATGGTCAAGCACACACGACAGGCAGATCCTAACTGGCACCTCCCGAGAACCTAAGCAGCGCACAACTTGAAGAAGGGATCGGACATCACAACATCGCAGGTACTGCCTTCGTGCTGCTCCCGAATATCCAGATTCTCGGGACCTCGCTCCGAGCAGAAGATAGTCTTCTGATTGGTGCGTAATCTCCATTCCGGCACAAGACAATCAGATTTGAATAGATAGCTGATCGCAGCTGACTCTGTTCTCCAGCCTTTTCACATCCACGACTCCTGTTAAACTGCAAGAACTACATAAGTACTTGTAGATTCCACCACGCTCGTTCCTGTATCCCCATCAAGGACCTCAACTTGCGGACCAGCAAGGCCGATTCGATCAGTCACTCTTCCCCACTTTCCCTTTTCCGCGTCGACCGTATAGGCCGGCCCCTCATGAGCCAGCAGTTTATAATAACCCATCCCCACCTTCCCTTTACCGCCCTCGTATCTCGAAAAAACGTCCTATAATGTCTTCTTCTCAACCTCACAACATCCCACAAGATCGCACAGACGCATCTGGTGTGGGTACCGGCCATAAGGATGACTCGACATCTCGTCGTGGAGTAGCCTTGTCATCAAGTAGTGCTACACTCTGTCATTCCGGAGAGCACAACGAAAAGGCCAGCCCCGATGTCTCCCCAAAATCTGGTCCCTCTCAGCTGCCCACTTCACATCCCTCGACCAATCATCATCTACCTCATCGGGCTCCTCAGCCACCACCTGTCCCTCCTATCGGTGTCGTATCGGTCTTCGACCCCGCCTCACTGGGTGGCGGTGGCCCCCTCAAACGAATCGAGACTCAACGAAGCGAGCGATACGCTGAAGAAGAGAGGGAACGAGAAGCTCGTGAGGCGGCTGGCGAGACTGGCAAAGGCGGCATCCTTCGGCGATGGTCAACGGTCTCCAGACGACGACCTGTCGTAGTCCTGCCCCCGCATTCTCAGCGACATAGTGAAGACGAGCCCTCGCCCATCGAAGGTGAAAGAGTTGCTCGACGCTTGTCCACGACGTTCAGCTTCAAGACAGCTCCACGCGAAAAAGACGACGACTATAGGTTCCCTTCCGAAAACGACATTGAGCCCCAGACCTCCGAGAAAGAGGCGGGGGAACATGAATATCCCGACGGAGGATATGGCTGGGTCGTGCTTGGCGCATGTTGCTGCCTCTCAGGTGCGTCTACAGAATATCTCTGCAGGTCAATGTCTCACATCTTATAGGATGCACCTTGGGCTGGGGTATGTGCTACGGTGTCTTTCAAGAGGTACGCTCCGTTTCTTTCATTCATCTGACCACGATGCTCACTGGTGGTTTTGTTATAGTACTACCTCAGCAATGTCTACCTAGACGCCGACACCTCTGTTTTATCTCTAGCTGGTACCCTGTGTGCATTCGTAAGTCATCCGGGATGCGTTCAGGTCTTCAACAGCTAACGCTCAAGCTAAGATGATGAATGCGACTTCTTTCTTTTCTGGAAGATATGGAGATCGCTTTGGTTTCAAGGTAAGTTTGCCGTCCATGCTCATGCCTATATGTCTGACAACGAGTAGCGAGTGCTCTACTGCTCAGCTATAGTCTCATGGCTGGGCCTTTTCCTGGCTGGCTGGTCTACCAAGCTTTGGCAAACAATCTTAACCCAAGGTCTACTGACAGGGATAGGACAAGGCTTAGCTTTGCCCCTCTTTATGTCTCTGCCATCTCAGTGGTTTTACCGCCGACGCGGTCTTGCCAGTGGTATTGCGATTGGAGGTGCTGGTCTTGGCGGCGGTACAGCAACTCTGGTATGTAGACAACTCTTGACAACTGTGGGACACAAGAAGACGCTGTGGTATGTCAGATTCGGACGTTCAGATCGTGAAGCTGACCGGTATGATGCAGGATAATGGCATGCATCAACCTTTTCTTCATGACCGTGTCCACTATGCTGGTCAGGACCCGACCCACCTCACCCGAAGGTCGGGCTACCGGGAAAGGACCGTGGGTTGACTGGAGGGTCGTCAAAACTTCTTCGTTCTGGAGCCTGGTCATTGGATTGGTAGTCGCTTGTACGGGATATGCGTATGTGTTTTTTTTTTGGTCCTTACGCTGTATCGCTCAGTCATTGTCTACCCAGGATGCCTTACAACTTTACCTCTCAGTGGACGCGGCTCCACTTCCCTGAACTCAGACCGATTCTCCTCGCCCTGTAGGTCATCGCCTTCTCCCACGACGTCCAGCCATACTTACCACGTCTTAACCAGCCCTGTCACTCTGATGGGCTTCACTGTCTGCATAGGCAGGGCCATAATCGGTCTCGTCGCGGATTACCTCGGCCCCTTGAACACCTTCATCCTCTGCTTTCTCCTCTCGGGCGCCGTTCAGCTCTGCCTTTGGCTTACGGCTTCGTCCTTCGCGTCGATTCTGGTATTCGCGGTAGCATTTGGCCTGGTGGCTCCCGGGTATATGGGTATCATCCCACAGATCATCGTACAATTGTTTGGAGCGGATAACCTGGCAACCAACGTTGGGTGAGTGCAAACATCTGCCAGAGTCAAAGCACTGACAGGACCCGTATAGTATTCTGCTTCTGTTCAACGGTCCCGGAAACCTAATCAGTGGCCCTATCGGTGGCGCTCTCTACGACTCGAGTGGCCGAACGACGTTCAAATACATGATCATCACCAGCGGGTGCTTGCAGCTCGCTGGTGGACTGATCTGCTGTTGGGGTGAGTCATCCGTCCGGGACCGATTGAGAAGCTGCGTGCTGATCGGTGTGAAGCTCGATTCAAAGCTAGCCACAAGGTGTTTAAGAAACTATGAGGTGTCTGATTGGACATACCATTTACACTCTTTGCCTCGACGGTCATTCAAAGGCGCTTGTGTAGTATAGCATAATACCTCCGGTGATCCCGCATATGTACCATGTCCTTTTCCTATGTGTTGAGTAGCCTCGATGTTTTATGTGCATTGCAGCTCGTTATTTCTCGTGCATTATATGATTGTTTGAGGCGGCGGGCACTGATTGCTAGCATTTTGCAACAAAACATCAAGGCGAGATGTGTGAGTGGTCTAAACAGCTGTCTTAAGGAGAAGCATCTCTGCAAGAAACGGCAGTCCTCCGGGGCGTGGGTTCGAATCCCACTCTCGTCATATTTTTTTGCATTCTTTCTGCTTGCACTTTCATTGCGCTGTCTCATGCTCTCAGGCTAGTGTCTGTCTCGCCCACGTGGTGCAAGTAAGGCTCTTTTGATATGCATTTTTAACATGGGTACAGACAATTATCATGATCTACTAGAAGGCACTGCTCGTTCTCATCTGCTCCAACTTCTTCAACACGTCTCCCACATTCCTATCCAGGTCAGCCGCAATCGCTTGTTGTTTCGAGTACGGCAAGAGGCTGAAGCTCTCGCAGAGGTCTCCATCAATGACACTCTTGACAGGGGCGTAATAGCCTCTGTATGCCAGATGATCCCGGCCAACAAGGGATGTGTTTTGTGTTCTCATGTGCTGCAAGAGGTCAGCAAACGAGTTCCTGACAGGAAACTTCAGATAGACCTACCATCTCGAGTGTGGTCATGAATTCTACGTCGTCCATAGAGATAAAGGGTATCAGGACGCCGACCGCCCCTGAAATGGTGGTATACACCAGAACCTCTCGACCTCCCGCTACAAGTGGAACCTTCGATATACTTGGACAAAACGTCAGCAAGTTCAACAACCAGGTGATATGTATGTCACTCACGATGTCACGACACTGCCGACATTGTAGATCGCTAAGAGATCCAACTTCTGGGAAGCGCCCATCAAGAAGCCTTTCTCATGCAATATAGTAGCACCGGTGGGGTCATCGTCCACCTTTTCTGATATTCTCTGATCCAGTCGATTGATAAAGATGTTGCCAAACTTGTCACCACAGGCGACAGTCTCATAATCGACATTGGTGACACAGGTCAAGAAGCGAGGTTGGGGATCATCGGCAAAGATGAGAAGTTGTCTTGTCGGGAGGGATCGGTAAACGCAATAGAAGGTGGATTCCTGCATGTCGCCCACGATAATTCGGGCGTTTTGAACGTTGATCGTGGCGACGGCGGTTGGGAAACCCTACGCTCTGTGCTTAGCTGGGTCCGCCGGGAGCAACGAAGATACTCACGTTGTTCTCACATTTCCTGAGCAAAGCCTTTTTACCCATTTCGTAAAGTCTCAAGGACTTTCCGACACCAACCAACAAGAAGCCCTGGAATCCTGCCATAGCAAGAGGCACATCGTCGGTCTTGGTCTACGCTACTGTGAGCACAGGCAACAAATTCTCAGTGATGTGCGAGCTTACTTTATGCAAAAAGTTCAGAGATTTACCCTCGTCCCGAATCTCGTAGACTCTCAGCCAGCCGTTTGCACAACCCTTGGGTTGCAAGGTGGTCTTAACACCAGTGCCGACAACGAGGTATGGTAAGCCACCACCTCGCTCAAAATACGCGATCGTGATAGAGAACGCTGCTTCGTCTTCGTCTAGCTGCAGGACTTGCAAACTCTCGTTCTGTGGGGCATGTAAGCATCAATCTTGAAGAGACTGCGAACAGGCTACGCACTACAACAGGATCAAGGACTCGCACACATGACGCCCAGCGACCAGCAGATGCTCTTATACGACCAAATTCTTGAGGGGGGAGCTCGAGAAGTTCCAAGGCCGTCTGAGTTGGCTTTTCGTTATTTTGAGCCTGGATCATATATCAGCGAATTCTTTTACAAACCAAGTAGAGCACACTCACTTTCTCCTGAAGGATACGCTCAATAGCTGGCGGGCCATAGACACGATGGTCTGCTTCGATCATGTAGAAGACCGGGTTATATGGGTGGCTGATAAACTTTCGAGGTGTGTAATCGAGGGAGATAGAATCCTGCTTCAGTCGCTCACCGAGCTTGGGGATGGTAAAGATTCTGTCGCCTGTCAGCCAAGTCTTTACAAGTTTATCAGGTAAACTCACCTCAAAGTATTACCAGATATACCAATCAGACCATCGGGGCACATGGCAGCTGACAATGCCCACGCATACTCCAGCTTATCGTAGATAAGCGGCTGGGTCTGGAGCATATCCTGGTGGGTGTATAACAACCAAGTCCTGTTGGAGAAAGCCAAAACACTGGGTTGACCATGGACGGTCGTCCGCACGAGCTTGGGGGGAGCAGCACCAAGGAAGCGGAGTCGGGTATCGGAAAGAGACCCGTCAACGGGGTCAACGACTGTACGGAGTAGAACACCAGTAGCGAGACCAATGTTGAGGAACATGGTTGCGCGATTTTGGTCGATACTTGTATCGAAGATCTCCGCTAGGCAGATGGAAACAGGAGCGGCAGTCAGAGCCTGCAAAAGTCAGCTCGGAAGTGTCTGACTTATGTACAATCACTCACTTGTAAACTCAAAGTGTCGAGAGTACTGTCGGGCTCCAATGAGATGATGGAAACGGTTTGGTTGTCACAGCCAACAGCCAAGAACGGCGTCCTCCTTCTTCCTTCCGGTACGTCTGCAATACTGACACACGTGGCATTGCCCGGCAGCGCTTTCCTCTCTTGGTACTCGCTGAGGCTTCCTTCAGAATCCAGCTCAAAGTAGACCAACTCAGCTGTGCTCAGCGCGATGACCACCTGTCGTTTGTTGGTGGTAGCAGCAAGGATCTTGACACCAGGTGGAGCGGGCCACTCATCCACTCGATCAGCCCCACGGATGTGGCGGAGACCCAAGGGATGGACCTGCAAGATACCAGCGTCGCCGATTTGCTGCACAGCAAGGGTTGGAGCGGTCGAGAGGAACCCAGTGTCGCTCACTTCCTCGATTGTTTCGCCGATGGACAACACCAAAGTGCCGTTGGGGAAAGAAAGAACGATGTAGGAATCGTATTCGTCTGGTGAACGGGTCAGTAAGGTGTCTATGTCACCATATCAAAGACAGATACGAACCCTCATCTGTTACTTTTAGGGTCCACACATTCGTGGGCATTCCTGGCAAAGGCGAGCTGACCATGACGGATACATCCAGACCGTGCTTCAATGTCCGGAATGTGCTTCTAGCACCTCGCCCACAAGCAGCGTAGATTTGGGGTGTGTCCGAGTTGTCACCAAGTAGGTTTACGACGTGAGCGTCTGTCACAGGATCCAGGGACGGAAGGCTCTCGACGAGCGCAAGATTCTTCAGTTCGTGAGGAGTAAAGAAGGCGAAAGGAAGGGGTGCGTCGCTGTAGCCGTTGTCGGCATAGTCGGTCGATGACCATTCCTGTTCTCCGTCATCTTCGGCAAGCTGCTCGAATCGGTACAAGTTCCTGAGATGATATCAGCGCAGGTGAAAACGGGGTAATAGGTTGAGCCTTACTGGTCACTAAATTCACTTGCAACATATAGGTACCCTCTCTTCAAGATGACAAGGCTGTTGGCCACTGGGACGGTATCGAAATATTTGATCTTGAGAGCTACAACATCCTCACCATTGTGCTCTATCCACACCTTATACAAGTCTCCATCCTCTGATTGCAGCAGGAAGAAGAAGGCGCCCTGTACGTCAACGTCAGCGTTGATCGTTGGTCGTTGATGATCTATCCTCACCTTAACTTTGTGCATGACAGTCGCCACAATGATTAGGCCCCTGCTCCTTTCGCCTCTTTGGACGAGAGGGTTTCGACGTCTTGGGATGGGGACCCGATGAGCATCGGCATCCATGTGTTTCCAGATAATGTGGTCCTCAGTACACACGAGTACACCAGAGGGGCCATCGAATCTGTCAGAGCTAGCGTTTTGCCCTCCAGGTACTAGCAATGACATTAGCTATCGGAGCGCAAAATCAGTCAACAGGGGCTCACCTTGAACTAGAAGGTTCGCTCTCCGATCCGTAGGCTCACTCCACTTCCTGACTACGTGATTCAAACCAAGATCGAGTTCGTAGAACGTCAAGTACTGGGGATGGTCAGCTCATTCATCGATAAACTCATAGTTGCTCACCTTTTGAGTGTTGTCAAAAGCTTCGCCGGTCGGGTCTTGGTCGGACTCCCCGTAGTCGGTCTCCAAAGCAGCGTACAGGGGGTTGTCATATCCCTACATCAGACAGGTCAGTGAACGCCCATTATGCCTGCTATTATGCCACGAACCTGGTCCACGCCAACGATGTGAGTGACAATGGTATGGTTCTTGTGCGCTTCCAGGGGTGAAGAAGGGAAAAGCTTGCCCTCCGCGTTTCTGTTCAGGACATAGACCAATTTTGACCTATGAGATACGTCAGTATTTGGCGTGTGGATGATATAACAAGACTGCACTTTTCAAGACTGTAAAAGAGTTAGCTAGTTGTCCTCAATGTACAGGACGCTGGGTGGACTCACGCGCCAACGAGACAACTTCGACCTTTCGGGTCAACAGCCAAGAATTGCCCTGGTACAACTCGCCTGAGGCCGATCAGCACCCGTCAAATACAAGCTGCTGATTCCTGAACGCACCTGCTTCCAGTCTTTCCGAAGACTTCCTGGAACAAGCTCTCAAAGTGCGGAGTCGGAGCGACGACAAATTCAATGATTGACAATCTACCAGAATCGGAAGTGGCCAAGATGTAGTCTGTGGCATATCAGCACACCTCTTTCATCCAGCATGGGAGCGTGACTGACCTTTTGTCATTCCTGCAAGCCTAAATCCAGCCACATTGCGGATAGCACCAAAAGCCTGTGGGATATATCATGTCAACAATGTGTCTTTCTTTGCAGCCACGGCTTCAGCCTCACCTCTGTTGAACAAACAGTATCCACTGCAGACGCGTCAGTAAGGACTGTTGGGTGATACAGTCTCATGGACTCACATTGCTCAGTAGCAGCATTGAACTTTGCGATCTCCAGCTTCGTGCCTCCTCTGACAATGAGAATCTCCTGGCTCTTGACGCCGGAAAAGTTGCCGACGACCGCCTGGGTGACATTTGTCGGGGAGGCGAGGGTGAGGTTGAGGAGGTGCATTGCCTGGGGGCTGGCGCGGAGGCTGGCGGGATGTCGTCGAGGATGGGCGGAGAGTTGAGAGAGAGAGCAAAGAATGAGGCCGAAGAGCAACATTGGAGGGCGAAATTATATGACCTCCTACTTACGCCATGAGCGAACGTAGATTAAGGAGAGCATGGCTTTCTGGCTATGCATCACTATCGATTGTCTGTGAGTGCTTTGGCCTGTCAGTTTCCATCGCACCGTGAGCCCATCTATGCGGTTGGTGTGTCACAACATCTCGTCGCTGAGGTCGCAGATCGTGGCGGTGGCAAACTCTGCTCTGGGACAACTCTCGCATGGATCGTGGAACTCTGATTCATTTCCCTCCAGTTGATGCGACTGTGTGCATATGATAACGTATCTACGTGTCTATGCTATGCTGATGAACAGAAGTGGCTCATGCACTAAATGAACTACAGTATTAACTCGTATGCGAGCAAGACGGAAATGATTTTTGAACGTCGCCGATACGTATACTACTACAACAACAATGGATGGTATTGACAAGATGTTCGAAAGCGATGGAGTGGACCATATCGGGCCATTATCCCACAAATAGATGATAGAGATTGGAAGAGCGGCAGACCGAATGAAGGGACGCTGAGTTCTAAACTCTGCAGAGCTCGTTGAGAGAGATGAGAACCTTTGGATGACAAGCGAAGGCAAAGATTAGTATCCGTTACCTTGAGAAGAGAAAAGATTAGATCCTGACTCACGATTTGTGCTTCAGGTCGTCCCATATCACAAGGCCCTCCACGAAGCTCTCTCCACTTGGTAGAGTACCACTGGACAACCTGTCGCTCTCGGGGCGATCTGAACAATTCTCATTAGCAAACGCATATGCATCTCGGAAGCTTGGCTCACAGTGGAAAACCTTGGAAAGACCTTTGCTTCATCAAGCCCATAAAATGTTGTATTTCGCTGAGCCAGGTCCGTAGACCCATAGGCCCTTGAACAACAGCGAGCGGTTCCACAAGCCTGGAGCACGCGTCAGCAACTGATCATACTCGAGCTTCTGCCAACATACTTGTTCAAGCATTCCAGGTAAATTTCGGCATTGATAGCCTGTCGCTTCAGCATACCAAGCTCCATGGTCAAAGAGTTGAGACTCGTTTGAGCCATTTTGATTTGGTAATTGCTGAAGTGACCCATGGGACGAGCAGAGTTGAACATCTGAGGTGTGGAAAGAGGGTTCGAATGTGGTGGCTGTTGTAGACAATATATAGATGCGAAGCTCTGACCTTGACAAAAGGTGTAATTTCTGTACACAGTTGGCGCTGAGAACGTTGCAATGTCACGCTCTTTGCGCTCCGCTTGAATGTTGGTATGTATCGTGACAAAGGATGTGAACCTTGTTTTGAGGCGTGCCGGCTGCCACGCACCCTTCGCTGGCGCTGTTCCAGAAGATTATTGTCTCGGAATGATCCGTGCTGAGAGGGGAGGTGCTTATAGCACGCTGCTAAAGGGGTGCGGGTGTGAAGAGTTGTGGTAGGTTGAATGGAGGGGGAGGCTGGAAGGCTAGAGCTGATGAATATTTCGACAGGTATTGAAGATGTTTCTGAAACGTCTCTTTATACCTTGAGGATCATCCACAAGTCTGGCTCAGCGATCACAATGGAACTTGTGGTCCGCCAGTTGCATGAAAGGTATGTTGACGAATGTTTGGACACCTGCTACCAAGTTGATCCATATTCGTCCTCATCCGCTCGACCTGTTAAGCCTCTGAGATGTAACTTGCCTGTACACACCACCCAGCCCCTAGCACTGCGGGGCGGCCTCTCAGTGATAAACAAAGGTCGTGGCCGTGTTCCATCATACACTCCTTTGTACACTCTCTTCCGTGAGGAATGACTCTATATGCTATGCTCATATAATGCCAAACGGTATGAAACAATTGCATACTCTTCGGAAAGGACCTTGCCTTGTATGAATGCGAGTTTGGCAAGTTGACTGACTAACCGATCTGGATGCCTGAAAGGGATAAAGGAACACTGGGTCCAGTGTTTTCCGATGGAATTGATGCGATCATGTGTTGTGATATTCGTCATCTTTCGGTTTCCGACGTTGCATTGAATGAATGGCAGCCTTTCCGTCTCTGGAACGCGAGTGCTTGTGACCCAAACAATGGGGGTTCAGTGCGTTACACACAGTGGGCGCGTTTGTGCACAAGCGAAAACACTCAAGGCGATGATCATGCGTCTGTCAGTACCTGGACGATCATCTAAAGGCAACATTAGCGTTGTAGACGTATTGAGGTAGGTTGAGGCATGTCGTGTTGCAGCTGTACTATAAGAGAAGAGGCCACATTACATGTCAGCAAAGTCCGTCGGTATCTCTCTTGTGCCCTTTCGACTGCCGGCTGCTGTTAGCGGGGTACAATAGCAATGCTCGCAAAGGTCAAGATCTCGGTCGCCGGTCGCTCCCGAGGGCGCTTCTTGGTGTCTCCTGCCTTTTGGTAGTCCTCCAGCTCGATCACGAATTATCATACGATCAATGATGGTCGATCATGAGCAGAAGGGGGCGACAGTCACTCACGACCGTCGATGGGTCGAGGCTCTGGGCCTGGGTGCTTTGAGGTGTTGGCGGGTCCAGAACGAGATATTGCGCGGGATAATTCGATGATATGAGATGCCTTGAGCGCAGTCCTTCTTGTCTAAACCCACACCATGATGATATATGTCTGCATGCTCCCCCTGGCGCCATTGCCCCGTTATTGTAATGCCAATACTTGATACAAAATGCGTTGAAGTCTGAAGAACCCATCCGAAAGCGATCATGTGAGATCTGAGCCGCGAGTCAGCTATTGCGCTTAGACGAGGGTGAAAGAGACGCACTGTACTTGGGACCTCCGCCGCCTTCCGGTACAGTCCAAGTGATGTCCTGAGTAGGCGTCTTGATGGAACAGGTCTTGCACTGGAAGATCATTAGCCAGCGCTCGATGCGACCAAGAACGACATTGCTACTCACATGAATGCAGTTCTGCGAGTTGATCACAAACTTCTTGCCATCCGCATCCACCTCGCTCCCTTCGGCGTCTGCATACTCATAGACAGCCGCAGGACAGACTCGACCCAAAAGACCAGCGTACTGTCCAGCGTTGATTTTGGTGTGCTCGGCCTTTGCGCCATCCACCTTTGGAAGCCTCAAGTGGACCGGCTGGTTCTCGGCGTGGTTGGTGCCGGTCATAGAAACGGAGGTGAGGATGTCGAATGAGAGCTTGCCGTCTGGTGTAGGGTATTCAATAGGCTGTACTTCGCTACAAGGGCATCAGTACTAGGTCGCTCGGAATCGTGGTGATACGCACCTAGCCTTCTTCGTGGCATCATAGTCCTCCACCTTGTTGTGGAACGTCCATGGCACTCGCCCCTTCAATATGAGACTGTCCAATCCAGACCACATCATACCACCCCAAAGACCCAATGGGTTGTGGAAAGAGGGGCGGACATTCCTGATCTCCTTCAGCTCCTGCCAGATCCAAGAGTTCTCGACAGCCGTGGCATAGCCAGACATGTCAATAGGGTGGGAGTCGAGGAGGGGGGAGATGACGGTCTCTTCTGAATCTTCTGATTCTTCCGTTTCTTCGATAGCTTCGGGCGCATGCTCGGCGGCGGCATTGATAGCAGCAAAGGCGCTTTCGGCGGCGAGCATACCAGACTTCATGGCATTGTGGGTGCCCTTGATCTGAGAGACGTCAATATCAACCCTTGCAATTCATGAACACAGCGTACCTTGGGAACGTTGAGGAAACCAGCAGAACATCCAATGAGAGCACCGCCAGGGAAGTTTAGCTTGGGTATAGACTGGAGACCGCCCTCGTTAAGAACACGGGCGCCATAGGCGAGGCATTCACCGTCCTTGAGGACGTTGGCGAAGAACGGGTGGTGCTTCATCCGCTACCAATTTTGATGAGCACAAACACCGAGTATATACAGAGTTACGCACCTGGAACTCCTTGTAAGGAGAGAGATAAGGATTTTGGTAATCCAGCCCAACGACCAGCCCTATACTGACCATATTGTCCTCCATGTGGTACAACCAACTTCCACCATACGTCTTGAAGTCCAAAGGCCATCCAAGAGTATGTACGACCTCTCCCGGCCGATAGACCTCATCCGGAACTCTCCACACCTCCTTGATACCAAGGCCATACGTTTGTGGGTCCTTGCCCTCCCGAAGATTGAATTTGTTCTGGATCTCCTTCGATAATGACCCGTGGGCTCCCTCGGCAATCAGAGTCACCTTGGAGTAAAACTCCATACCGGGCTCATAGCTCTCCTTGGGGTTCCCGTCCTTGTCCAGCCCGACGTCTCCCGTCACTACGCCTTTGACTCCCTTGCCGTCCTCCGTGTAGAGGACCTTGGCACCTGCAAACCCAGCGTATACCTCTACACCCAAGGCCTCGGCCTGCTCGCCAAGCCAAGCTGTCAGTCTCGAGAGAGAGACAATATAGTTGCCCTTGTTGCTCATTTGCGGGGGATGGGGAAGGGGGAAAGAAGAGTTGGAAGTGAGGAAACGCATAGAGCCGCCGAGGGAGGGTTGGTTCAGAGGGGCTCCCAGCTCTTTCCAATCGGGAATCAGCTCGTCAAGAGCCTTGGTCTCGATGACAGCTCCTGACAGAATGTGTGCGCCTATGCAGCCTGGTGTCAGCACCCGCACACCATGATTGCCCGGCAAAAAGTGTGCACTAACCGACTTCACCACCCTTTTCCAGAACGACTACACGCAGCTCGTCGCCACCCCTCTCCTGCTCCAGCTGTTTGAGCCGGATGGCAGCACACAACCCCGCGGGTCCTCCGCCGACGATGCAGACGTCTACCTCATCTTGGGCGCGTTCTACGGTGTCGGGGTCGAAGGCGGCTTCTGAAGCAAACGTCCGGAGCACGCGGGGTCGGAGGAGGGCTCTGGCGGCGGGTGTGCGTGCTGATATGAGTGCTCTTGATGCCAGTAAGCGGGGTATGGGTGTTGCGAGGGGCATAGGGGGCGATGGAGAATGGGAGGAGGAGAGAAGACGCTGTTGATATTTCAGAGGCTGAGTGAAAAGGCGCCGGTGATTGGTTCCCGGAATTTATTGGACTCGGTTCGTTGCGCTGGCTGGTATCGCGGTCTGCCGCTCTATCTCCTTATCTCCTGGACAGCGGGTCGTCGAGCATGCCGCGTATGCGCCCTCCCGCTGATGCACTCGTTGTTTGGTCATGCCCAGGTGCATCCAGCGGCTATACCACGCCCCGTAACCGACGCGCCCATGTGACGCCCCTTGACCGCTGCTTCAGGCAATCAGAGGTCGGCGTGAGATTCCGCGCTCTTCGGGGCTCTGTGCTGCATCAACAGAGGCAGCTGAAGAACAAGGCAGGGAAGTCAGACGCTGAACAAGGGGCAGAGCATGTAGCGAGCATGGTGCATACGACATGGCATTCTGGTATCCGCGCTGCTCGCGCGCGTTTGCAAAACGTTGAGTGAGTGGGGAGGAGACACGATCGAATGGCACACTGCAAGCAAGCAGATCGCTCCATATATATGTAGAGAGAGCAAATGCAGACTGCAGTAGCTATAATTATGCAGATGAGGTTCTGAAGTAGGTCAAGGGGGTAAAAAGCAAAAAGTATGACGAGAGTGGGATTCGAACCCACGCCCCGGAGGACTGCCGTTTCTTGCAGAGATGCTTCTCCTTAAGACAGCTGTTTAGACCACTCACACATCTCGCCTTGATGTTTTTTAAGCAAACCGCATTGTTCATAACACTTTCAGCCACTAAAGACCCTTCTGGCGTCCCCATGCATGCGTATTCGAGTCCATTACAGAAGTGTGCAGCTGTAGTATCAAGAGTTGCTGTAAAGCTCCCTGAGTACCTGCGAGACGGACTGAACGCGGTGGCCGCCGGTGTGACGTCGATTACGGTTGACACGTCCAAAGGTCAATACGCGTCCTTACTTTCCAAAATCAACCCATACGTCCTGCAAGACACCGCAATTCATCATGAACGACAGGGGCACTCTGGCGCTGCTGTACTTGCTGCTCCTCGCCCCCTTCTCCCTCGCTGCAGAGGAGCAGAAGGTGCTGGTACCGTCTCAGATTCGGGGCTTGAACCCCTCTCGTGCGTATACTTTTGCCCACAGGTTCTCAGCTAACACTTTCAATGTTGATAGTCTATGACAAGTATGAGCCCACCACATCTGGTCTCTTTCACTGTCTCGATGGCTCCAAGACTATCCCGTCTGCAGCTATCAACGACGACTATTGCGACTGTCCGGATGGTTCAGATGAGCCTGGAACAGCCGCCTGCAGCGTCGGCTTCTTCTGGTGCAAGAACGAGGGGCATATCCCTGGGAACGTTCTAAAGAGTCGAGTGAATGATGGCTTGTGCGGTAAGTGATGACTTCAAGACGCTGGAGACGGGCCCTGATAGAAATGCAGAGCCAGACTGCTGCGATGGTTCGGACGAGTGGGCAACGGGCGCTTGTCCCAACAGGTGTGAAGAAGTTGGCAAAGAGTACCGAGAGGCCAAATCCAAGGCCGACAAGCTCCGAAAGACCGTGAGTAGCTCTACAAGCAACAACGATTCCCGTTGACACCCAAATCACAGGGCTCCAAGATTCGCAACACCTACATCAAATGGGCCCAGGGCGAAAAGCAAAGACTCCAAGAAGAGCTTGACGAGAAGAGGAAGGCCATCTCGGCCAAGGAGGTTGAGGTGACCATCGCCAGGGCCGCTTTGGACAAGGCTTCTGCTCAGAGCCATGAAGATCTCGAACGCAAGAAGCAGTCTCGTGAGTGCATCTCCTCGGGTCTAGACTCAACCTGACATCCCTCAGCCGTATATAACTCCCTTCTATCCCACCGCAGTGCCCTCACCAAGCTCCGCACCAAGACCAAGACTCTCGAGACTGAGATTGAAGCTCTACACTCTCTCCTGCGCGAGATGGCCAAAGGCTACAACCCCAACTACCAAGACATGGCCGTCAAGGCTGCTGTGGTCGGCTACGAGGAGCTCACTGGGATCAAGTACAGGGAAGGCGAGAGCGAAGAGGGTGAGGTCAAGAAGGAGGAGAAGCCAGAAGCGACGCAGGAGGAGATCACTGAGAAGGAGCTCCAAGACCTTGATAAGATTGATCTCGACGGTCTCCTTCTCTCGGACACTACCGGTGCAGCTGCCGAAGGTGACGAGGATGAAGAGGATGGCCTTTGTGAGTCTCTTAATAGTGTCCCAGACTCATGCTGACATGAAGATAGTGTGGAAGATTGACGAATACATTCCCGACAACTTCTATGACTCTTGGCAAACTATCCGCGACTTGGCCATCGAGTGGTCGGTCCGTCTTGGCCTTGCCGGTAAGCCCAAGAACAAGGGCAATGGTGTCGACGGTCCTCGTAAGTCACAGTTCCCTTTGACACCACTAATCATTGATGATAGAGGTCGCTGCTGCCCGCGAGAAGCACAGGCTGTTGGAGACCGAGCTTGTCAAGCTCCAGAACGGCATTCGTTCCAACGAGGATACTCTCAAAAACATGGAGTTGCACTATGGTGTCGAGGCCGAGTGGAAGAAGCTCGATGGGACTTGCGTAGAGCAGGTGATCGGGGAGTACGTGGCACTGCTATTCACCAAGAGACATTTGCTGACCAGAGTAAAGCTACACTTACGAGCTTTGCTTCTTTGGCAAGGCTACCCAAAAGAGCAACAAGGACGGATCCTCCAACCTCCTCGGGTAGGTCTTTCGCGCCTCTAGAAAGACACAACTAACCCGACATAGTAAATTCGACCAATGGAACGTCGCCGCCTCCGAAGGCACCCTCCCCTACTACTCCCAACAGCTCTATAAGAATGGCGCCAAATGTTGGAACGGTCCGAACCGCAGCGTCGCTGTTGTCCTCTCTTGTGGCACTTCGAACGCTTTACTTTCTGTGGCCGAGCCGGAAAAGTGCGAGTACAGGTTCAAGGTCAGCAGTCCTGCCTTGTGTTGGCCGGAGCAGCAGCCGGTGGTGGAGGGGGAGGTGAAGCAGGAGAGCAAGGATGAGCTGTAGAATAGAAAGAAGATTAACGTGCTCGATATAGATGCAAACGCAAACATGGATCTATAGCACCGTGTTGCAGAATCGAAATAGTACCCCACTCAAAGTGTGACGATTTGGAAAGCCAGACATGATTAACATATCAACAAAGACACTCCCCGACCAGAACCAAGATACAAGGGCGTTCAAAGTCTGGCTTTGCGATTCTTCTCAAACCATTGGCGAACCAGCGAGCTAGCCTCTGCGGCAATACCGAGGCTGGCCTGGTACCCCGAACCTCCAATATCATAGGCATGGACGACCTCCACCTCTCTCCCGGCTCCCACCTTGCCCCTCTTCGTCTGGAGCCCATCGTTGACTCCTTGTCCAATGTGGCGCGTCTCAAGCTCGAGCCGGAGCCCGTCCTTGCGCATGGGACGTAGACCGACATTGTGCGAAAGCACGTCAATGTCTTGCCATGTCCCCTTGCCGTCTTTGCCGTCCAGCTGGGGGCAGAGGATGTGGCAGGCCTTGAGAATATTTTCTGCCACGACGGGTTCGGGGCTTGTCGACCACTCATCAGGCGTGTAGGTGCCCCCGAGGACGACATGGCCATCCGGTCCTGGCCTGGGCAGGACATACGCCGAGATACCCGTAGACTCCAGTGGGGCCGCATCCACATGCGCCTCCTTGACCCACGGCGCTCGTACAAGGACTGTCTGGCCTCTGCCAGGGTACACATCTGCGTCTTGGGCGCCCATCAAGGATCTTGCTCCCAGGCCGGTAGCATTGATGACGAGGGCGACGTGCCCGAATTTGGGGATGGTGTAGGCTTCATCGAGCGAGGAGAGGCGGGTGCGGAGGATGGGGACGTTGCGAGCGCGAAGGTTGGACGCGAGGTGGTGGATATAGAGGGGTGGGTTGACGGTGTATGTCTTGAAGGTTACGCCTTGCTTGAAAGGCTCGGGAATGGCATCAGGGGGCAATGTGCTATATTGAGACAGCTGAGCTTCGGCCATGCACTGGCAGACACACCGCCAGAGACCAGGCTTCTGAACCAAGGCTCTTTCCAGACCCCGGCTTCTTGCCAGTAACAGTTCAACCTCCTCCCAGCAACCAAATGAGGGTGCTTTGCAGCGAGCTTGGCGAACTGGTCGAACGTGAGCTCGTCACGACGTCGTTCAGCCTCAGTGGTAGCGAAAGAGTACCAGACTGCGCCCTGTGGGAGGGCTGGTCAGACAGAGCCGTTAGGACCCATATCGCAAGCTTACTGCCCATGAGGAGGCGAATGCCGTACTGTGGACGTCCTCCGGAAGCTCAGCGCCGACCACAGCGACCCTGTAGCCTTTCTCGACGAGCTCGTTGGCAATGGCCAAGCCGATGACTGTAAGAGTCAGCTCGGTCATTCTTGGCCAAGGAACTCACTTCCACATCCAAGTACAACGACATCAAAATGGGTTTTCATAGCGATGGTTTGCTTGGAGTCGAGACGAGCGAATATCAGCAAGAAGTCCTTGGCTGTTAGTTTTATAGTGGCTGAGAGCCATCGGATAGTGCACAGCGGTCAGCTGGGCCCCGTCTCTGGGTAGCCTGTGTACTGCACATGCAGGCCACAAGTCACCGGTGACGGTCCATCCCGGCAAGCATGCCCACGAGGAGGGTATACTCGGTTGGTACATCGGGGTATTTGAGCATGCAATGTTGCATGGGCGGATGGGAGAAGACAAACAACATCGAAGACGCTTGTCGGTAAAAGTTCCGCACGAAGCCGCACGTTTCTATTGGCAGAGGTTGTCTCTTCTTCTCTTCTCTCCCGCCCCTGCACTTCCCCTTTGCCATCCTCCCCCCCTGCTCACCCCGGTACTTACCCCGCTGCCCTTGCCCCCGCCCACCCGCCGCACAGACATACCCCGCTCCCGGCACAAACAATCGATAGAGTGAGTATCACACGTGGCTGCCACGCTTCAGACACGAGGCTTGCACGAGGCTTGCACGAGGCATGCGGCCCTCCGAGTGTTTGCCCAAATCTCTCACTGACCCATCTCAGACTGTCTCCATGTCCGCCATGTCCGCGCCCGACTCCCCCGCCCAGCCCACCACCCCCCAGGACGACCAGCACGACGCTCAGCAAGCAGATGTCGCCATGGACATCACAGACGAGCCCCAGAAGGACAAGAAGCACGACGACCACAACCCCTTCGGGGGCGACTCGCTCGACCAGGCCATCCGCGTTATGCAGCGCGAGCGCTACACCGTCTTTCCCATGTTTACCACCTGGGCCCAGGACCCAAACAACCCCGCTAGCCCGTCCCAGCATGCCAACGGCGACTCGCCCTCCCATCAGCACAATCAGCAGGCCCAGCTCGACTCTATCCTCTCTCTGCGCAGCCCCACCTCGGGCGAAGATGGCTCGGCAGACGTAGAGGGTACAGGGATAACCCCCGAGATTCGTTTTTCCGACGAGATGGCGGCGCAGAACGTTCCCGCGGGCCCTGTCTCCTTGAAGGACGATGGTCAGCAGCAGCAGCAGCAGCAGGCCCAACAAACATCCCAGCAGGCGCAGAACCTGCTCGCGCCACCCCAATCCGGGACCAGCCAGGATGGTGAAAAGGGAAAGGACAGCACATTCTCGCGTTCTCCCGAGCTGAGAATTACACACAAGCTGGCGGAAAGGAAGAGGAGGAAGGAGATGAAGGAGCTGTTTGACGAGCTTCGTGATGAGCTGCCGGCGGATAGGACGATGAAGGCTAGCAAGTGGGAAATTCTGAGTAAAGGCGAGTCGATACCATACGTCGCGATGCCAAGTGCTGACGATATCTGTAGCTGTGGAACACATGCGACAACTGAAAGCGGCCCAGGTGGACCATCAGCGAGAGCTAGAGCATCTCCGACGAGAGAACGAGCACCTTCGCGCTACTGCCTACGCCCACCCCCCTCCCCATCCCCACAACAACAACCACAACGCCCACGCATACCCCGCCTACCTGCCCTACCACCCCAACGCTTTCCAAGCGCACAACAACATGCCGCAGAATGTGGGTGGCCAGAACGGTGTGCAAGCGCAGGGACAGCAGCAGCAAGTGCACGTGCAGCCGCCTCAGCCAGGGCAGGGGTTGCTGCAGCAGGCAGGCCTGGCGTCGCAACATCATACGCCTCAGCCTACACCGGGCCTGCAGACTCCCGGGGGAGATCAAGGGCAGGGGCAGATGTCTGGGCAAGTGTCGGCGCAGGGTACACCTGCGCCTGGGCAATAGCCTACCATGGATAGGGGGAGTGTGGCATAGGAGGAGGCGGTTTGTGGGAATACGTTCGGGTTTCAGACAGATGATACATATTTGGGGTTTTTATCGCGATACATGGCTATACTCGTAGCTGCGTTGTACATGGTCTCTACCTATGCACTATACGCCTGTACAGTAGACTGCAATAACTTGATCCTTCTCATACTGCCCCCCATAGTACCCTCCGAGGCCGTGACAGTTGAACGATGGCTGGGGTGTCCTGATCCTGTGGCAAGTCTCCTGCAACCAGTGTCATCTCGACGTTGTCGCTTTTCCATTTTCACGCCCATACTGTCCACGATGCTCCTCGCAAACTACGGCTCAGATTCAGGCTCAGACTCCGAGTCAGATGCTCCCCCCGCCCCTCCCCCTGCCCCCAAACCCACCACCGCCGCGCAACCACCCAAGAAGAAGAAGCCCGTCAAGATCACTCTCGACCTTCCCAAGTCTGCCAACGCTGCCGAGGATGAGGGCGACAGAGAGAAGCGCAAAAAGGGCGATGCAGACAGTGATGATGAACGAGCTCCCAAGAAGGCCCGCCTGCCAAAAGGTGGAAAGGGAAACTCGTCTCTGCTAGGCATGCTGCCTGCTCCAAAACGCAAGCTGCCAGCGCCTCCCTCGGCATCTGGCTCGGGGTCAAAGGGCGCCTCTGGACTGGTGGTGAACAAGGCTATGGCTAGGCCTCAACTGCCGGCGCCTCCCAAGCTTGCGAAAGCTGAGGACGATAGCGATGAGGAAGAAAGCGTCCTGTTACCGCCGTCTCTGGCAAGGAAGCAGAACAAGGAAGAGGTGGTCGATTTGTTTGGATTATGTATGTCTCCCCGACTTCAACCTGGCGAATGCTGATATCATACGATAGCATCAGCGCCGGCCCCGAAACCAAAAGCAGCCACTGCATCCGCCATCAAACCACCAGCCATCTCTTCCGCCCCTCTCGCCCCCGATTTCGTCCCTCCCGAACCAACGTCCTCCGATGCCTACCCTGGGTACTACCAGCTTCCCTCTGGCGAGTGGCGTGCCCATGATCCAGCTTACTATGCCTCCTGCTTCCCCTCTTCGTCCGCCCAGCAAGAACCGGAAGCAGAGGAAGATGGGAGAGTGGGCAAGCACTGGGATGCGTTCGAGAAGGGTCAATTCAAGGGCCAGATATTGGATATCGATGCGAACCAGGGGCTGGAAGAGGCGAGGAAGGAGGCGGAGAGGAGAGAGTTGATGAAAAAGCCCAAGGCTCCAGGGGACGAATTTGTCTATCAGGCAAGTCGGCGAGTGGTACAAAAGGTGCAAGCTGACGGTATCGCAGCCAAAGGGCCAGATCAAAGGTCTCGCTTCGCAGAGACATCAACTTACATCCCTGCTCAGCACAGCGTACTCCCAACGAGAAGAGCTCGAGCAGCGAATCGCAGCCAACAAGAAGGGTATGCAAGGAGCGGGTCACAAATACGGTCAGTCTGCCCAATCTCGTCGTCCTGGCCATCAGCTAAATGTCCAGGCAGGTTTCTAATCTTGTATCTCTATATCAGACACAACATTTGTATGCATTCATTATATGCCTTTGTTTCGTACAATCGATTTCGTTTCTTTCCTGTATACAAGTCTTCTTAATTTCCGAGTACAAACACTCTATCACTTTCCATTCTCCATCTCCGCCGCCGCTCTCTCCTTCACCGTCCTCCAGACCTTCTTCTTCACCCTAGCAACATCCGCGACTCTGTCTCTCGCCTCTTCCAGCCGCTCCCTGTACTCGTTACAGTCCGCCAACAGCTCAGAGATCCTCTCCCAAGCGTCGTCCACCGCCCGGCACTGATTCCGCATATCAATATTATACTTGATCGTCTGCGGGTGCAAGGTGTGCCCTTGGGGATAGTTGTATCCCGGATGCCCAGGGTTGGGGACAGCGTGAAGAGTGATACCCGTAGGACAAGTGAACAAGCGCTGAAGAGGGGTGACCTCAGGTTCTGGCTCTGATGTGGGGTTTGGTGTGGGCGCAGCAGCGCCGGGCTGGGTACTGGTGTACGCAAGAGTAGGAGGGGGAAGCGTTTGAGCGGAACCCGACTGGCTCAGCAGCTCTTGGGTGACGCGCCAGAGGTTGTCGGTTTCGGAGATGTTGGGAAGTGGGGGTATGTGGTGGGGGTACGACTGGCTAAGGGTGTCGTGCCCGTTGACCTCTTCAGTGACGCCGTTCTGGGTACTTGGCGCAGCCTCGGGCACGTCTCGGTTCAGGACCCGGATGACATCTCTCAACCTGCCGAGAGCCTGCAGCAGCGGCTTCTCGCCCTCCAAGAGCTCGCCGGCTGTACGCTGCAGCCCTTGCTCCATCCCGTCCTCGCCGAGCGAGTGTCGCATGGCAGGGTTGAGAAGGACATCCGTATAGTTCTGTGGTAGAGCAAGGAGACTCGTAAGCCTGGCAGTGGATATAGGCGGTGAAGGGCTCCTCAAATGGGGCAAGATAAACTCTCTCTCCTCATTCCTCTTTCTCTTTCTGTGCCCACGTTCCTCTTCGGCAGAGACAATGTTTGCCGGCACCTCAGCGTTGCACTCGGCTGCAGCACCCGGCATAAACTGCTCAAGGCACAACTTGAGCCGCTTCCTCGCATGCTGGTCCGTCTTGGCCGCCTCAAACGACGGTCCCCAGGCGTACATCTTGCCCCGACGCGCAAACTGGGCCCCTGACACGAGCTTGTTGCCAGAATTGGTGCTGATATCCGGGGGAGGGGGAGAGGCAGAGCGAGAAGATGAAGCGTCAGGGGAACTCGGAGGGTCGTAATATGATGGCTTGTCCATGGATGGAAGTGAACTACACACACAGTGTCAACAACACTAGATATAATGCATATGGACAACCCGACATACTCTATCTCCAGCTTGGTCGGCTGCTTGCCACCGCGAGGACCTCCTGGGTGGCCGATAGAGGCACCATACTTGGGGCCGCCGTGGTGAACAGGCTGAGGAGGCATATTGGAGCTAAAAAGGATACGCGTCAGCGCTGGCCTTGCAGTCAAATGAGCCCGGGACACATTGCAACCGGATATCGATTGAAGCCGTCATACAGCAGTTGGAAAAAGTGTGTAGTCAGCCCCGAAGGTCCTACATATGCTTGTCTTGATTTTTTGTATAATCATTGGCGTGTCGACGGGTTGCAATGTGCCCTGGAGATAGGAGCACTTACTATAGGTGTATATACCTGCGAGACGAGGTGAATGGAATAGAACCTAAGCACACGCCGTGTCAGCTTTTGTATCTCGGTACAGGTTGTACGAGGGGAGGTGATGAGAGGGCATCATCCTATGAATCCAGTCAGCTCGTGGCCCTTTGCGGAGTGAAGAGACTCACTATCTTAGAATGATCGTCTCCCGTCCCGGAGGACGTAACTCGCGAGTAGCGATTCTTGTTCATAATCACTTGCCCGTGATGAAGGGAGTAGAGGGGAATGCGACTTACTGTTTGTGGAGATGCAGATGGAAGAACATCTGTCATGGACGTTTGGCTCTCTAGGTCATATTGCGGGACTTGCGGCGTTATACAGTGTGGCAGCTCGTTTATGAGGCGTCTGGTTGGGACATACATATGCAAGGCGGGGGACAGTAGATGTAGGGGTACACAAATACTATGACCCCCCGGTGATCCATCTGATCAAGAAAGGAATGCGGGCGATGTAGCATCAAGAAGCAACTGTGACACAACGCGGTCATTTTCCGAGCCTCGCTTTCCGAGTAAACTGCGATGGCATCACTTGGATGGCAACTATGCAAATGTGCTATCGCTTGAGTGTTGACTGGACACTACCTCCATCTCCATCAGATCCAGACCGTATGCATGTCAAACTTTGTGAACTTCATCTATGGAGACAAAGTTCCACCACCAACGCGGAAACCCCTCCACACTCCACCGACTACACCAACCTCTCTCTAGCTATTAACAACACGGGAAAAACGGAAGCAAGCGAAGATTAATAGAGACAAGGACGAGAAGACGCTTAGTTGAGGAGAGTAGTCTCGACAAGGATAGCCTGTGATAAGTGTCAGCAAGATACAGATGGAAGACAGATTTGGACTCACGGTGACTCGGTAAGGGTCGACGTTAGAAGCGGGTCGTCGATCTTCGAGGTAACCGTAGCCCTGGGCACCAACATGCCTGGGGATTCGGATAGAAGCACCTCGGTTGGCGACACCAGCAGAGAAGGAAGTCATGGAAGCAGTCTCGTGCTTGCCGGTCAACCTCTGGTCGTTGTCATCACCGTAAACGGCAATGTGCTCAAGGTGCTTCTTCTCAAGCTTCTTGATAGCATCCTCGATAGCGGCCATACCCTTGCCGGGGGTTCGCATGTCCTTGGTGGAGAAGTTGGAATGACAACCAGCACCGTTCCAGTCACCCTTGATGGGCTTGGGGTGGAGGGAAGGAGTAATCCCCCACTCCTCGCCGATCCTAAGAAGGAGGAATCGGGCCATCCAGAGGTGGTCACCCATCTCAATACCGGTACAGGGGCCGACTTGGAACTCCCACTGGGAAGGCATAACCTCGGCGTTGATACCAGAGATGTTGACACCAGCGTAAAGACAAGCTCGCTGTGATCCTGTCAGTTACTGCCGCGACACAATTGCACAAGTACTTACGTAGTGGGCCTCGATAAAGTCACGGGCAAACACCTTACCGGCACCGACACCACAGTAGTAGGGACCCTGGGGACCGGGGAAACCGTTCTTGGGCCAGCCAAAGATCTGCCCATCGGCGTCAAAGAGGGTGTACTCTTGCTCGAGACCGAACCAGGGCTCAGTAGACTTGGCGGCGTCCATCACCTTCTTGCAGTGGGCACGGTAGTTGGACTTGTTGGGGGAGCCATCGTGGTCGTAACACTCGCAAAGAACGAGAATGTTATTGCCACCTCGGAAGGGGTCCTTGAAGATGGCGACGGGACGCTACAGGAAGAAAGACGACCGGAGGTCAGATCGGCAAAAATTGAACGAGAAGCAAAACTTACGAGGAAGACGTCGGACTGCTCTCCGGGGGCCTGGTTGGTAGAGGAACCGTCAAAGTTCCACTCCTTGAGGTCCGCGACGGACGCAGGAGGCTTGTCGACAGTGGCGGTCTTACATCGGAGACCTCCATCGCCGTCGATCCAGATGTCTGATGGTTGGAAAAAGGGGGGAGCGACGTGCGCGCGGGTTTGCCGTATATATGGAGATGAGGGAGCACGAAGAGGGGGAGCAATAGTCAGCGAGTGTCATTCCGCAAGGCCGGAGCGTGCAGTGCACATCACAGCAAGAGGGACAAGACTCACACTCGGCCTGGATACGTTCTCCCTGGTCAAGGGCGAGGTAAGGCGCGAGAAGGTCGACACGCTTGGTGGCAATAAGGTTGGACATGGTTACTGGTCTGTTGGAGCTAGACGTGTAGAGACTGTTGTTGAAAGGGGAGGGATGGAAATGAACGACGAGTCGACGAGTCGAAAGTGGGTCGATATGCGGATATAGGGTGTTTTACGTATGGGGTAATTTGGGGAAGTGAGGGGATAGGCGAGGAGTAGGAGGAGGCGGTGAAGAGGCGGAAAAAGGAGTGTACGGAATGTACGTAGGCGGAGGAGGATGGGGAAGAAGAGAGTGTGGAAGAGAAAGAGATAGAAGAGGGAATCGGTGGGAAAGAGCCAGTCACGAGACAGAGACGAAGACAAGACAGATATAATTAGCGATCGCTCCAACGGGTCATCTAAAAAGCGACGACTCACCACGAAGAGTACGGGGAAAGAACAAGTAGATTACTTGGGTAAGAAAAGAGAGTGAGAGATAGCGGTGGCCATCTAAGTAGTCTTTTACGACTGAGTTGTTATCTTGCAGAAGCAAAAGAGAATTCGAAAAAGACCTTGAGGCTGAGTCGGGAAGGCCCAACGCTCACAGGATCGCGGGGGCGGATTAAGGTACCGCTTAGGAAAAAAGGGAAGGGCGAGAATTGCCGGAAGCGGAAAATCGCGTGACGCCAAAAGCGTCATTTTCATTGGTCCCGGTTACTTGAATGTGGCACTGCTGCTTTATGGCCGGTAATGCCTATGTCAGCCCCTTACGCAAGTGCACGAGTCTGTTGATGCATGCCGGTGGGGGTGTCTTCCGACGGGGGTACCGGCTTCTTGTAGGCAAAGGTGGGTACAGTGGGGTGTCAAGGTGTTATCGGCAAGAAGTCTTGACGGTTATCTCTGTTCTCCGATCGTTGACGGCAAGGCTGGGGAGATAAAACATGGTTGGGGATTGCTATGCATACTGCAGAGTGAAAGGATTGCTTGAGGTCGCCTTCCCACCTTATCGTCAGCGAGAGTCTCCCGATTTCAGTGCAAGACACGCCAACTCACAAGCGCCGCGTATAGTGAGACCGCCGGCTCAGCCGCAACGAAGAGATAAGATAAGCGACACAAAGGTAAGTGACCACTGACTGCAGGTGGATCGTCGAGTCAGTGCGATAGTCGTTAGTGTCAGCCTCGCCACAATCATTGATCTCGGCGTTGGAGCTGTGGAATGTTGTGATATGAGCCCAGGAAGCCCCTACTTGTTGAACAGACGTTGTCATGCATCGCATCATCTGTTATCGACCTTGCTCCATCAAACTGCTCGAACCCGGTGAAAATGAACAAAGCGAAAGGAAGCTGTGGGGGAACATGGGAGCTTAATTGAGCACGGTGGTCTCGACGATGATGGACTAGAGAGACATCAGCTACAGATCAACATGGAAAGCGGGTACTGACAGTGACTCGATAAGGGTCAATGTTGGACGCAGGTCGTCGATCTTCGAGATAACCAAAGCCCTGGACGCCAACATGCCTCGGGATACGGATAGAGGCGCCTCGGTTGGCGACACCAGCCGAGAAGGAAGTCATGGACGCCGTCTCGTGCTTGCCTGTCAACCTCTGGTCGTTATCCTCGCCATAGACAGCAATGTGCTCGAGGTGCTTCTTTTCGAGCTTCTTGATGGCGTCTTCAATAGCGGCCATTCCTTTGCCGGGGGTACGCATGGCGACGGTGGAAAAGTTGGAGTGGCATCCGGCACCGTTCCAATCGCCCTTGATGGGTTTGGGATGGAGGGAAGGCTAGGCTAACGTCAGCTTGCGTCGCGGTCAAGTGGTGGGTTACGCACAGTGATGCCCCACTCTTCACCGATCCTGAGGAGAAGGAAACGGGCCATCCAAAGGTGGTCGCCCATCTCGATACCCTCACAAGGACCGATCTGGAACTCCCATTGAGAAGGCATGACTTCGGCGTTGATACCGGAGATGTTGACACCGGCGTAGAGACAAGCGCGCTGAAAAGTATCAGTCAACATGATCGCACCGGTGGTGATCGACTCACGTAGTGTGCCTCGATAAAGTCACGGGCAAACACCTTACCGGCACCGACACCACAGTAGTAGGGACCCTGGGGACCTGGGAAACCGTTCTTGGGCCAGCCAAAGATTTGTCCGTCGGCGTCAAAGAGAGTGTACTCTTGCTCGAGACCGAACCAGGGCTCAGAAGAGCTGGCGGCGTCCATCACCTTCTTGCAGTGGGCTCGGTAGTTGGACTTGTTGGGAGAGCCGTCGTGGTCGTAGCACTCGCACAGGACGAGGATGTTTTTGCCACCTCGGAAAGGGTCCTTGAACATGGCGACGGGGCGCTGGGAATCATAAGCACGGGCGTTTGTGGCGAGGGCCAGCACATACGAGGAAGACGTCGGAGGCTTCACCGGGGGCTTGGTTGGTGGAAGAGCCGTCAAAGTTCCACTCCTTCAAGTCCTGGACGGAAGCGGGGGGCTTGTCGACGGTGGTGGTCTTGCATCGCAAACCGCCGTCGCCGTCGATCCAGATGTCTGTTGGGGGGGAGAAAGCGGTGGTTAGCAGTGCCAAGGGGGCCGGGCTGGGAACACTCACACTCGGCCTGGATACGGTCGCCCTGGTCGAGGGCGAGGTAGGGGGCGAGGAGGTCTACTCGCTTGGTGGCGATGAGGTTGGACATGGTGGATGGGGATGAGAAGGGGGATGGGATGGATCACTCGCTCTTATATGGGAACGGCACGCCCTGGGGCAGCACAGCGATCTCGATTGGGGAGCGGGTATGCCCGGCGCACATCCACGCTCTGTTTGTGCACGGGGCCACTCCATCCCGCGCAAGCCCATTGGCTGCAGATACCCTTATCTACCGTCGTGGGGGGGGCCGCCCGACTGCTGCCGTGCGCAACTACCAGCCTCTAGTAGGCGATCATCATAGCCACAGTGCACAGGAGAGCGCATAGCAGGTGGCAGGCTGACAGTCAGGGGGCAGTCGGAGTGCAGCAGCAGAGGACAGCGGCAGCAATCGGCAGTTCGGCACCCCGGCCTTACGTATCTCTTATCTCGAACATGCTTATGTCCTATCGCGCTGCTGGGATGGACATCGGATCGTCATGATACTGCATATCAGACTTGAGCGCATTGTCTTGCTTGCAGGATCGTCCCATTATCCGGCCTCTTTCGAATGTGAGCTGATCCACCATGGGCCGTGGTGGGGCCAAGCGATCCTTCATCATGTCAATCCCAACGGGTTTATTTCTCAGCCTATTCGCGGGACGGTACTCGTACTCCAAACCTGTGCAGTCGGCCTGCATTCATGGCGATTCACCCGGAGTCAAAGGGATTCAGCCCCGAGGCGCTCGGCGTACTCTAGTTGAGTGATCGTTCGTAAATGTGGCAGCTCGTCGCTCAACCCCGAAAGCGCACTTTGCATTATGTTGTGCTAATTCATGACCTCGTCGAAAAGTAGTAATGCGGCTGGAAGCTGTGATTGACAATTGGTAGATCTCATGGCCACAATTAACGCATCACAGTTCAACCAATCTCGAGCCAAATTTCCGTTACCAATCCATTAAACTATATATTGTAATACTTTCCCATCCTACTTTGACACAGTCTTGTAGTACTAAATATTCACAAACATGAAAGACAAAACAAACAAATACAGCCGATCGGACCCCATTCATTCTCCATTCCTACCATACTCGAGTACTGTTAGAGCTCGGACAATGGATCGCTATACCTAAGCTTTTACTCCGGTCAAGTAGACCCAACCAGGAGTGATATTGTATGTGGAAATCATACAACAGAAAGCGATTAGAGAACAACGAGGACGTCTCCGACATCGGTATGGGCAAAGACCTCAGACTGTCCGGGGGGAGGAGGGGGACCGTGAGGCTTTCGAGGAGGTCCACCGGGGCCCTTGGGAGGCTTGGGACCCTTGGGACCCTTGGGCTCCTTGCCTCCAGGGGGAGGAGGAGGGGGGTGCTCGCCGTTGGGACCCTTGGGCTTCTTGCCTCCAGGGGGAGGAGGAGGAGGGGGGTGCTCGCCGTCCTTACCGCCCTTGGGGGGAGGAGGGGGGTGGCCGTCTTCACCATCTCGAGGAGGAGGTCCGTCTCGGGGCGCGTCCTCGGCAGGAGCCTCAGAGAGCTCGCCGTCAAACTCAAACTCTTCCTCGTCGAAAGACCTCTTCTCAAAGTCACCCTCAACCTTCTCGGTACCGTTTCGGTGCTCGGGGAAGACGAGACCGCTCTGCTTGCCACCTTGCTCACCGACGAATTCGTCGAGAACCTTGTTCACCTTGCCTTCCTTGGTTTCGACCTTGTAAGAACCCTTGAAGGTACCAATGTCGTAGAAACCGTGGAACTTGCGAGGAGCGACGACCTTGACATCACCAGTGTGAGAGTGAGCCTTGGTCTCGGTAGAGACGAAGGGAGGAGAGTGGACATGGAGGGTGATGGCACCGGTAGAAGAGAAGGCGCCGACTTTGACAGGCTTGGGAGGGGGAGGGCCTCGGTGCTCAGGCTTCTTGGGAGGGCCGCTCTTGAACATGGAGAACCACCCGGGCTTCTCCTCACGCTCCTCGGGGTGCTCGGGTCGGTTCTCAAACTCCTCGGGCTGCTCGCCACGCTTGTGATGGAACTCGGGCTCGCGCTCCTCACGGTCGTCCTCCTGGGGCTTGTGCTCACCCTTACCGTGCTTGGGAGGGTGGTGGGGCTTGTGCTCGCCCTTGACGCCCTTGTGAGGGGGAGGAGGAGGGTGAGAGTGGGTGCCGTTGTGGTGGGGAGGAGGAGGGAAGAGGGGCTGGACGTTTACGGTAGCGTCAATGTCACCACTGCCAAAGAGTTAGCATCAATCGAGGAGATCGACATGGTACGTACGTGACAGTCTTGAAGATGATGGCCCTGCTAACGTTGAAGGTACCGCCAACGTTACCGCTGATGGTCTCGGCGTCAAGCTTGCCAGCAACAACCTCGGAAAGGTTGATGTTACCGCTGTCAGCCTTGAGGGAGAGGTGCTTGATTCGGACGTCCTGGGCGGAGGAATCGATGGTCAAGTCAATGTCCTTGGAGGAGCGGATGGAGATGGAGGGGAGCTTGTCCTGCTTGGCAGAGAGGACAAGGTGGACGACGTGGGAAGAAGACTCGGAAGACTGGATGGTGAGTCAGCAGAGAGACTGGCAAGTGGGGCAGCAGACATACCTCGACAGACAAAGCGTGTGATCGCCCGTCAGACTTCATCTCAACGCCCTCGACCTCGCCAGTCCAGGTAGACTCGACGACAAGGTTGACAATAGGACCCTTAGTCTCCTCGGCAGTCCTGGAGACAACAAGCTTGCCCTCGCCCTTAAAGTCGAGGTCGAGATGGTTGCCTCGGCCGAGGTGGATGGGGTAAGAAGCATTTGCGGCCGTGGCCTCACCGACGACAGAAGCCTCGCCGTAGACAGTCTCAATCACGGCAAGCTGCGGCGCAGTAACGTCAGCATCCAATCATGTAACGGGACAAAGGGAGTACTTACGTCCTCGGGCTGATGGTGATGGGGGTGGACGCCGTGGTGTCCAAACTCCATGGGAGGGAGAGGTCGGCCCTCGGGACCATCAAAGTTGCCCCACTGCTCCATGCCAAACTCGTGGCCCTGGTGGTGGTGGCGGCCATGGTGATGGGGGCCAGAGAAGCCGGCGGCGGTCTTCTGAGCGATGATGAGGGTGAACCAGACGACGGCGAGGGCGACAAGAGCCTTCTTCATCTTGGACATGTTGGCGTACTTGTCCTTGGCTCGCTGGGCGACAGAGCCGCCACCGACTCGGAGGCCAATGGAAGCAGGGTGGACCTGGCGAGGGTCGAACTCGTCGTCGCTGACTGGAGAGAGCGGGCGTTTCTCGTCCGCGGGGACTTGGTGGTATACTGGAAGGGACATGCTTGATTCCAAGTGCGCTGTGGTACGTGAAATCAAACAAGGGGTGGGGATGGGTATGGGAAAGAGAAAGGTTGTTGTGAGGGATTGGGCCGGTGATATATGGCGCGGGAAAATCAACGATGCACAGTCAAATTATCCTTTTTGTCGCGTAGTACCTTACTGCTCTTCGCGGCGCATATTTGGCTTTGTTAGTTGCCGCATCGAGTGTATCCCTACGGAGCACGTTGCACGGTGTCACTGTGGGCACTGTGCCGTTGGAGGGCGAGGCCATGTATCGGAGAGCTGCTGCTATCGCAGCGATTTACGAAAGCTCCACTTCGCAGGTCGCAGATGATTCAGATGAAGGCATCGGGTCTCGGAAACGCGTCAAATGGCGAATCGGCAGAGGAACTCAAAGTTAACCCGTTCATTGAGGAGAGCGGCCGATGGGCAAGTTGATGATGCTGCATGCAGCTCATGCAGAGTCACCGTCTCACAGACTGCAATAGACTCATTAGGGCTGCCTGCGGACAATTAGAAACTGTGCTCACCATGATTAGAGGGAAGCGCAGTTGCGCAGAACTTTACGGGCTGCGCATTCGTACGAAGAGGGAAGCGGTCGCAGCCAGGCACAGCGGCCGACTCCGCACATTTCATCCTCCAATCTTGCGCAATGCGGGCAGCAAGTGCAGAGGAGGAGCTCATGGCGAGCTGTGGAAGTGGAAGTATGACTAGCGGCGATGGCAAATTCACGCGACCTACCGCCTACGAAGGTCTCGTTGGCAGATTACATGCAGCCTAAGAGGACAGCTGGGCCACGCTGCCGACCACCAAACCTGCGGCGCTCGGACACACCGAGGTGTGTAGAGGACTGCGCTCAGTTCAGCTCTCTGGTAGGTGTGGCGGAATATGTAGAGGTTTTGTAGGATTGTAGACTGCTTGAAGATGATTGGACTCGAAAGACTTGTGACCAGGTATGACATGGACGATTTCTGATACAAGGCGGCATACGAATCGCTCCCGAACCGAATCACAAAATTGGAATCGCGCCACCTCTATGAACCTATGGCCCTATCTGTCTCTCCACGCCCCTCATCCGATCGAAACAACCACTCGAAGTGGGCCGACGGGCTGATCACCCAACATTAGTGGTGGTGGCAACGAGGCACCACGCGTGATTTACGTAACTGCGACGTATCAGCTCTGTATTTTTTGCCCCTCCAAATTGTTGGTCTGCACTAGGCGAACATCACAGTTTTGGCCCTCCAAGTCCCCACCAGGCTGCCGCCCACTGGAATACTCTCCAACCCACTCAAAAAAGGCTGTCGAAGCCTTCTCCAAGCTTCCAAACGACACTCAAAACAGCTGCCCATCATGGCCGCTTCAGCAGCTTCGCCTTTCCTGTTCCAGTCGGCTTTGCACGACACCGGCTTGATCCATGAGATGCTTTCGAATCCTCTCAAGTTTGGTCCCCCGATGGTGAAGAAGGGTGTAGGGTTGGAGGGTGTCACGAGGGAAGTGGTGGGCGAAAAGGAGAGCCCAAAGGTCGCAAAGAAGAAGATGGTAGTGAGGGAGGAGAGTGAAGATGATGATGAGAGCGAGGCGTCGGAGGAGGAAGATACGCCCAAAAAGCCTGTCAAGAAGGCTGTCAACGGCGACAAACCAGTACCTCCCTCCCCCAAGGTCAAGAACGACAAACAGACGAATGGCGACGCGTCTTCGTCGAAATCCAAGTTGCCTGCCAAAGCCACCCCCGAGGGCAAGAACACCCCCGGCTTATACCCCGTTACTTTCGACCTCACTTGGCCCGAGCCTATGGCAAGCGCCAAGCATGCTTCTGGACTGTACAACCCCTCCATGGCTTGTTATGCCAATGCAACTCTGCAGATCCTCCTGCATACGCCTCCTGTGCTCAATCTTGCCATGGCACATGATCCGACAGATTGTGAGTAACCTCGCTGGCCAAGTGATTCAATTGCTGATCAGGAGCAGGCACTCAGAAGCGCAAGAAGAACTTTTGCATGTTGTGCACTCTGAAGACTATGGCTGAAGGATCACACTGGAACGGTCGCAAAGCCTATTCCCCAGAGGTCCATCGTAGTCTGTCGCGTGAGTTGCGCCGTACTGCATTGGTTCTTTGCTGACTGGGAGTGAAGAGATTAAGAAGGGTTTCAGCAAGAACAAGCAGGAAGACACGCACGAATTCTTTCGATTTGTCACGGACGCTCTGCAAAATACTGCTCTCGCAAATTTGCCCAAGTGAGTGCCCTCAAATTCCAAAAGACATCACACTGATGTATAATAGGGATACATCCGAAAAGGTCAAACACACCTCCTTCGTTTACCGGATCTGGGGCGGTCGCGTACGTTCCCGAGTTGTCTGCTCTAGATGCAACAAACCCTCCGACACGTTCGACTCTTTCCTTGATTTGAGCTTGGACGTGAATAAGCAGGGAAAGAAGAGTATCAAGGGGATGATGCAGGGGTTCACGAAGGAGGACAAGCTGGAAGGGGATAACAAGTACCATTGTGACAAGTGAGTCATGGTCGAATGTGATGGAGGAGTGTACTGATTTCCGGATAGCTGCAAGAAGAAGGCGAACGCTACAAAGAGCTTCAAGATTGAGCAGGCGCCGCCTATTTTGACGCTCCACCTAAAGCGTTTTAGCGTCAACTATAATGCGTACAGCGGCCGGGCTAGGGCAGAAAAGTTCAACCAGTTTATCGAGTTCAATGAGAAGCTGGACATTGGACCTTATATGGTTGACCCCAACGTGTGTCTGAATCTAGAGGTGGCAAGAGCAAAGGCTGATGGCTGCATAGGCTCCCGGAAGCAAGTATCGACTGTTCGGTGTGACCTGCCACCGCGGTACCGAGCTGCGTTTCGGGCATTACACCTCCTACGTCCGAGGCCCTGGTGGGCAGTGGTTCCACGCCGACGACGAGGACATGTCTGCCGTCCGCCTTGAAGAGGTGTTGAGGGACAAGACTGCGTATCTGCTGAGTTATGTGAGGGTCGGCGATGGAGAGTGGGATGGTACGCCGAAGCCTACCACGAAGGCGAGGGTCGGCGGGCTCGTCAACGGCAATGGCAAGGACGCAGAGTCGTCGTCGGAAGAGGAGGAGCGAAAGTCGCCGTCGCCTGTGAAGCGTAAGCGCACAGTCGATTCGGACCAGCCAGTACGGATGAAGGTCAACATTGTCAACAACCCCAAACCTATCCCCGCTCCTCGACAATCCTCTCCTTCTTCAGGGGATGAAGACACGGAAATGCCCCCCGCCCTACCGACCAATCTGGGAAACCACACCCAGACATCCAAAATCCACGCCCCCAAACCCGTCGACAGTGCTTCCTTTTACGCTTCCCCCATATCGCGTCCGAGCAATCCTCTGGCGGGTATGAGCAAGAAGGAGAAGAGAAAGTTCAAGCAGAGCAATAGAGATGCGGGCAAGGGAAAGTCAAAGAGCAGTGCGCTGCCTATGCCATTCGCGCAAGGAAAGATGGGAGGGACGAAGAACCGGCAACCGGGTGTGCTGGGGAGAATGAAGGGCCGGGCTTGAAGGCTTCTGTAAAGACACGACCTGTAACGCTGTGACGATTAGGAGGAGATTATAGCAATCTCGGCTGTAACCATAGGTCCATATACCCTTGCATTGCACATCCACATCTATTTGACACGGTTGAGCTGGATGAACCATCCCTGGCGCCTCAACGCGTCCATGACGTATTCTCCTACGATTGCTGCAGCTCCCTTCGGGTCGACTGCCTCGGTATCAATCTCATACTCTCCGCCGAGTCCGACCACCCTCTTCCTCATAATCCCTCCCCCAAATCGCGCAATCTCCTCCTCCATCCTCAATTCCATCAATGCCCCCTCATCCGTCAACTTGTTTTTGAAACTTCGCTCCTGAGATTGGAGACGGTGAATGTTCTCAGAGGTGGAGCACGAGAGGATGATGTGGATGAGGGTGAAATTGGCGTCACGGGCATAAGCGAGAAGGGACTCGAGGTCTTTGGCACCAGCTGGAGAAGCTGGGATAGACTCGGTGAGGATGTAGATGGGCTGGGATCGAGAGCTGCCTGAGACGTTGATGGATCTGAAGATAGCGTCACGCTGTGACCAGTCAGCTCGGTCACTCGACGAGGACAAAGGGCGCACCAGACCCGAGTGCAGCGCGTTCCACGCTTCTACATCTCGCTTTTGGTCGAAAAGAGAGCTGGTAGCGTCTTTCAAGTGGTGGGTGTCGAGCACCTTGGAGTTTGGCAGTATCTTGCTGCAGAAAAGGTCAGATTTTTCCCAGGTACTACGCGGGACGGGCTCACGAGAGACGTTGGGCGGTGCTCAGCTTGCCCACGCCGGGGTAGCCGTTGATGAGGATGATAGCGCCGGAACTCATGGCCAAGGTGTAAAATGTCTGGTGAGATTTGAAAACGAAAGGCGGGGGATATGCATTGAGATCTCTTCAAACGGACCACGCTTGGCCCCACCCATGCGACGGCAGTGTGCATCACCGCGTCCTCGCTAATTCCCGTCACATACACAGTGCACCTGGCGCACCCGGCGCACCCCCTTGACCCGCAGTGCCCCCTGGGACCCCATTCGTGCTGTCGGCAGGCTGGCAGGGGAGACACAAAAGAGACACAAGAAAGACACTCGAGACAGGGTGCGGCGGGAAAGAAAGTTGGGTGTCCTCGACGACCTGGGTGATCTCGTCGTGAACGGAGAAGTGCGCCCTGTCGATCACTCAGAGTGTCCGTGTCCGTGTTGCTGTCCTCTGTGTCCGGGCAACCTGCGCCCGTGTCCGTGCAGTCCGACTTATATGCGTGCATGGGAGGTCCCCGGTATACTTATACATACATTCTTCTCATCTATACTATGCGTACCACTCTCGCCCCCCCTAGGCCTTGCCAGCAGCAGCCTGCTTCCTCTTCGCGATGCTCTCGTGGAGGTCCTTCAACTTGTTGGGGTCTGACTCGTCCTTTAATTGAGCTCGCTCGGCAGCGGTCAAAGTCTCGTCCATTTCTGCCAAGCCGTCAGTCGTCTATACAGTCGTCTAACGCAACGCGACTCACCGAGCATTCGGCGCCACGAGTGGTCGGCGTGAGGCGTGTGGACAGCCGAGTCACCAGTAGAACCAGTGGGCATACCGGTCAAGGCAGCAGAACCGATCAGGAGAGCCACAGTTAGACCTGTGCCAGAGTCAGAGTCGTTCGTCATCAGAGTACGACTACCCACCTTGAGCCCACATACGGGCCTGCACCACCTTTTGTGATGTTGACTGGTAAGGATTCCTAGCAACAATGCCGAAAGCGAGACCCATAGAAGCAGCCCAACTAAGCACGCTGTCAGCCGTGTCCCGGCTATGGCACGGAAGACTTACCCAGCACCGATGATCCCGTACTTGTGTCGAGCAGCCCAGTCGGTGGTCTTTTGCCAGCTGCTCAGCTTCTCCCACTTCTCCCTCTCCCTCTCCAACTCATAATCCAGCTCTTTCTGTCCCACGCCAGTGTACTGCCCCCTGTTGTATGCCTCTCCCGCCTTTTCGGCAAAGACGGAAATGCAGGGCACGCCGACCATGACGTAGACGAGGGATTTGAGCGGCAGAGGCAGAGTGCGGTAGGCGGCTACATTCTTCTTGAAAAAGAAATGACCGGGGACAGAGAGGGCGACGGCGACGATGGCACCCTTGATACCACCTTCAATGGTGGAATCAGTGTAGCCCCGAACATCTTCTTGAGTGACGATCTGGCCACCGGGTCAGCATGCGACCATCTGGACGACGTCGAGAGCCAGCTCACCTTCATTGTGGATGTGGTCTATGATCTAATGAATGATGTGGTGGCGTGGGGATGAATTGAGCGATATATAAGTGGACAGGTGGTGCGCGATGGCCAGAAAAAATACATACGCAATCAACAGTAGTCATACCTTACTCGGCCGTTTGCGGACACCGGCGTGCTCGGCAGGCGGCATTCGGAGCAGCGCGCAACTTTGGCGATATATGCTTCCGCTGCTTCGTAATTCGGCTTCTTCAATTAGGCACTTTCCTTATCACGCAAGGGAGGATTATAAACTGTCTACAGAATCATTACAAGATGTGACTACAAGATGCTCGGTTTGAGGTGGGTTCGGAATTCACACATTCGCCGACAGCTGACAGATGCTCCCAATTTCAAAGGAACAGGCGTACATGCTGACAGCGGATGCAGCGGACGATCCTGTATTCGGAAGCATCGCGTAAAAGCACGACTACTATTCGCCGCTGCCAAATGCCACATTGAACTCTCTCCCTATCAACATCCTCCGAATCTCCTGTGTCCCCGCACCGACCGTATACAGTCTTGAATCGCGTAAAAGCCTGCCGGCTGCATAGTCTGCGGGAAATTGTGTCAGCCGGTGAAAGAGCACGCGATGCAATTCGGAAGGTGCAAAAGTGGAGGCTTGGCTCACCGTTGATGTACCCATTTCCACCCTATAACCACGTTAGCACACGATTTCCGTGACAGCGGGCATGGTGTATATGCAATCGAGACATACCAAACACTGTTGAGCTTCCATAGCGACCTCCACTGCTTTATCGGAACTGTACAAGATGGCCCCGGCGCAATCCTGCAAATTATCGATTCGTCACTCAACACTCTGCCGTGACAAGCTCAACCTACCTGTCGAGAAACCTTACCAGCATCGCATGCTCTCGCCACGGCATAGACATACGCTCGACAGGCGCTCAGTTTGGTATACATGTCTACGAGCACCGCATCATCAGTATCATGAGGGCAGTCAGGGAAGAAGACAAGACTTGCCTGCAATTTTCCCTTGCATCAACTGAAAAGTGCCGATCTGTTTTCCAAATTGTCTTCTCTCGTGAGTGTACTCCAGCGCCAAGTCCAAGGCTGACTGCATGATCCTAACTCTTCATCAGCTGTCATATACCAGGGCAGTTGAGATAGGAAACTCACCCTAGTGGACCGCCGCTCAACACCAATCGCTCCAGGTCAAGGCCCGACATCAACACACCAGCACCCTTTCCTTCTCTCCCCAAGACATTGCCTTGTGAGCTGTTAGCCACATGGCGTGATAGGGCACTGGGAAGCACGCACTGATGGGGATATTGACGTTGTCAAAGAATAGTTCTGCTGTTGGAGATCCTCTCATCTACGCCTCAAAATGAGCACCAGCCATGCTTCGAATGATAGAATGATAGAATGCTCACACCAAACTTGTCCAGCCCTTCTCCAACATCGAATCCCTTCCACCCTCTCTCTACTAAGAACGCTGTCATTCCCTTTGAAGGCGCCACACTCGTATCCGATTTGGCGTAGATCAAAAACGTAGACGCGACGGTGGCATTCGTGATCCTGCATCGACATTCAGCACGATCTCATCAAGAAGTCGAGGAGAAGGAAGCACTCACCAGCATTTGCTGCCATTCAACACCCACCCTTCGCCTTCCTTATCTTTAACAGCGTTGCTCCGCATAGAAACGACATCTGAACCGGCGTTGGGTTCGGACATTGCGAGAGAGCCGACGTGTTTACCGGTGAGGAGGGGAGGGAGGTATTTGGTGAGCTGCTCTTCATCTATATCTTGATGAGCCAACCATGCTGGGGATAGCGAGAAAGGCGGAAAGAGAAAGACGTACTGCCCCAGCGGACGAGCTGGTTGACCATGAGGTTGGAATGGGCGCCATAGCTGAGCCCGATACTTGCTGATGCTCGGCTGATTTCTACCACTAAAGTCAGGTCTGTACTGTACGGCTAAGTGCAGGCATACCTTCCATAGCAATAGTATGCTCCAGATACCCGAGTCCCAATCCACCCCACTTTTCGGGCACCGTCACTCCCAACAAACCCATCTCGCCTAGCTTCGGGAAGATGTCCTATCAGCACGTCGTTAGCCCATCGCCCACAGCATCCTGGCGGCCAGGTGAAGGCTCACAGAAGGAAGCCTGTTGGTCTTGTCAATCTCCGCCGCCCTCGGGGCAATCTCTTTCTGAGCAAAAGTATGCACTGCATCGCGAAACTGCACCCCAGCCGCTAGTCAGAGTTGCCCTCTTCAATGTACACAGAGAGACCCACCTCTTCTTGATTCGCCGTAAGCCCAGCGATTGCAGGATTGTAAGACGAGAAAGCTCTGCAGCCAGATACCTGAGAAGGGTGGCAAGGGGCGTCAGCTTCGGACCGCCGAGAAGGGAGTGTGGGATCTTACGAGGCTGGAAGGGCGGACGACGAGGATGCTGGTGGACCGTGGGATGAGCTTCATTGTGATTATTGAGCTGGAGAATGAATGGCAGGGCTATTTGGTGCGAATACTCAACCTGCATTGTATCTCTATTGTACGAAGCAAAGATCCGCGCGCTTCAATCGCATCTTGTGACCTCTGGCGGCGGTTACGACACAGCCGGTGGATATTTGGTTCTCGTCTCGTTCTTTGCTCTCACAAGCTAGTGGCAAGGGTATGTTTGCATTTGTATGTACGAATATCTATTGACTCCCAAGTGCTACGATGAAACAAGGATAGCTCAGGTGAATAATGTACTCTGCATCAGGTCAAATGCGAGGCTCATCGGCCTGGTTGGCGTCTGTAGTGAGCGTAGAAAATCACTCTACAATGGTCAGTCGTGACTTTTCAAAGAGTAGGCGTGCAAATCAGAACTGTAACGGGTATAACGTTCATTATACATGCAGGATGAATACACGGATGCTATGCCTAGGGTAATTTTTTTATGAGCTCAAGAACGTATACTCTAGCAGAGTCTCTTACAAGTCGAAAACCAAGATGAGTCTATAACGCGCCATCATCTCCTTCTCTTCGCTTGGTTAGGGTTTTTACGCCCGTGACCGATATTGGGCATATCTCTCCCACTCGACCGACCCTTGCCGTTCATGCCAACAGACAGGATCTCGGGCATCCACTGGATTGTCATCAGTCATGTCCTTCAAACAAAAAGAACAACACTCACGTCAGGGTCATTCCAGCCTTCCAGAGCCCCCTTGGCCGCCTTCCTCTCTTCCTTATCCCTCCTAATCCTCTCACCCTTCTCCGCATCCTGCCATTCCCTCTGGTCCTCTCTCAGAATCAGACCGCTTCCACCCTTCTGCTGACCCTTCGCCCGGCCCATCTTGGCGTCGGGGATGGAGTAGATGGTGCCACGGGTACGGTACTGGAAGTTTTGTTTGAGGTGGATGATTTGTTCGCCAGTCTTGGCGGAGGTGGAGACGGTCGTGCGGATGAGGGAAGCGTTACCGCAAGAGGGGCAGAATCGTTTGCTAGAGTCTTTGCAGATCCTGCGAGGACGGTCAGCACAGCCCATATAGTTTATGGCAATGACTTACTTGAAACAAGCATGACATCTCAGCACAAAACTTTTCACCTTTGAGATCTTCTTGCCGCCTTCGCCAACCAGACCCAAACCCATACCCAGCAAGATATTCTGAACGGCATAATCTCCCGTCATACAAGCCACAGCGGGGGGCTTGGCAGTCGAGCCAGAGGGGGTGATGAGACCAAGGTCTCTGGAGCGATGGACAGTGAGGTTGGCGGGGTTGATCCAGTCGCCGGCGTCTTCATCATCTTCGGCGTCGTCTGCTTTAGCAGGGGCGGACTCGGGGACAGGGGTGGTCGAAGGGGCCTCGGAAGATGTGGGTTCAAGAGTGACTTGTTCAACAGCCTCGGCGAGCTTTCCTACCTCTACAGGCTTCTCCTCTTCCTCCTTCTCAGCTTCGGCAACCTCAGCCTTCTTGGGCGCCTCCTTCTCCTTGCCCTTTCCGTTTCCACCACCCCCGCCAGTCTTCTTCTGCTTCGGCTCCGTTCTGATCTTCGAGTCGCCGTGAAGCAGCACTTCATATTGGTAGGTCAAGGCGGCAACAGACAGATCGGTTTGTGAGAGGACGGCGTAATCTCCAGTCTTTCTAGCAAAAGCAGACACTGCGCGCATTTGTCAGCACATTGCACATACAGCCTGTTGCAAAGAAACACACCTTTGGCCATAGCTTCAGCAGCCGGGGGTTCAATCTTGACATCAACGCCCGTCAATCCAAGCCTCTCCCAGTGCTCCCTAGCCTTCGGGTCCTTCAATTCCGCAAACACCTGCGGCGTTGTATGGAAGCTCGTGGCCAAGTCGCGCAACGGCGCAAGAGAGAGCAAAGGTCCAGCGTCCAGAATCATGTGTTTGATTGTCTTTCTTCCTTCTTCTTCAGCATCCTGGGCGGGTTCGGCGGCAGATGAAGAAGCCTCCGGGGTTGCTTCGTCTTGTTCAAACTCCACAGAGGGCTGTTCGGGTTCCTTGTCGACTGGTCGGGTGTATTTGGGAGTGGCGATGGAGATGACGGTTGGCGCCCCCTCTGCCGGCTTTGCGATTGAGCTCCAAGACATGGCCATGGTAGTAATCTGATGCACTGTTGGCTGTAGATGGCTCTCGAGAAAGCGAAGACCGCCGGTGGAGGCAAAATCTTGAAATTATTATCCCGCCCTGCTTTGATTGTCCTTTCTCCCAGGTGCGCCGGCGAAGTCCGCCCGGCCGAAGGGGCCCGAAACGCGAGTCCACTTGTGACTTTTCTGAACGCTCCTACTCGCCTCCAAGATCATCAAATCATCACATAAACACAATGGCTGACAAGACGTACGTGAAAGCGTCTGTATCTACATAACTGTACTGACAAAATCGCAGTTTCAAAATCGCTGTTCTCCCCGGTGACGGTATCGGTACGTCTTGCGTCACTATATCCATATTTATGTCACTGATATCTCTTGCAGGTCCCGAGGTCGTGGCCGAAGCCGTTCGAGTTCTCGAGACCATCACCGCCAACTCTGACCTCAAGATTGAGCTCAAGAACTACGACTTTGGTGGTGCCGGTATCGATGCGCAGGGCGTCCCCCTTCCGGATGACACTCTTGCGGCCTGTAAGGAAGCTGACGCTGTCTTGATGGGTACGTGAATTCTCAGTTCTACTAAAAGCGTTGCTGACGACATCTTCAGGATCTGTTGGTGGACCCAAGTGGGGTGTTGGACCCGTCCGACCCGAGCAGGGTATCCTGAAGCTCCGAAAGGAGCTCGGCCTTTACGCCAACATTCGTCCCGCCAACTTTGCCTCTGAGAACCTCCTCAGGCGATCTCCCCTCAAGGAGGAGACTGCCAAGGGTACCGACATCATCGTTATCCGAGAGCTTATCGGTGGTATCTGTGCGTCATCTCTCTACTTTGTGAGATGTTGAGCTGACGAGGCTGTAGACTTTGGTGAGCGACAAGAGACCAACGAGGAGGGCGTCGCTTGGGACCAGTGTATCTACTCCAAGTCTGAAATCGAGCGTATCACCCGTGTCGCTGCCCAGGTCGCTCTCGCCGCCGAGCCCCCTCTCCCCATCACCTCTGTCGACAAGGCCAACGTCCTCGCTACCTCCCGACTCTGGCGAAAGACTGTCACTGAGCTCATGGCTAAGGAGTACCCCCAGCTCAAGCTCGAGCACCAGCTTGTGGACTCTGCTGCCATGATCATGATTGCCAACCCCCGAAAGCTCAACGGTGTCCTCTTGACCGAGAACATGTTTGGTGACATGTGAGTGTGTCATATTGGAAAGTAATGAAGACTGACAATAGGTAGCCTTTCCGACGAGTCTTCCGTCATCCCCGGATCTCTTGGTCTCCTCCCCTCTGCTTCCCTCGCTAGCGCCCCCGACCCCAAGTCTACCACCATGGGTCTCTACGAACCGTGAGCTCCCTCCTATTCAACCTGCATCATCAACTGACATCTTGCTAGCATCCACGGTTCTGCCCCCGACATTGCCGGCCAAGGCATTGCCAACCCCATCGGCACCATCCTCTCCGCCGCCATGCTCCTCCGCTACTCTCTCGGCCGTGGAAAGGAGGCTGCCCTCATCGAGCAGGCCGTGCAAAAGGTCCTCGACAGCAGGGAGGCTGGCGGTTTCGACATCCAGACCAAGGACCTCGGTGGTGAGACCAAGACGAGCGAGGTTGGAGACAAGGTTGTAGAGGTGTTGAAGGGCCTTTTGAGCGCCTAAGAATTGAACCATCAAAAAGCACATTAGCAGTTTTGTAATGACAGACATGATATACTCCATCAGCATTCACAATGTGTGGCTTGATGCTATCCTGCCAAAAGCCACTACATATTGACAGTCGAAGTTGATGCTGGTTGATGGCGCTCCGAGGCTCAGCGCCCGGCTATGGACGGTGACGATGATTTGACGCGTTTGGCCGCGCAATTGGTTCGGCCAAATGCGACAGATAACGGCCATCTGCATTCTCCTTCTTGTCTCCTCTTGACTCTAGCAATCGTCCAAAATGACCTATACTCTGGACCCCCTGCCAGAGACGGCTACCCACAAAGACTACACCAGGATCCATTTCGACACGGCCAATGTCCCCGCGAAGCGTATCGTCGGCCTCCTGGCTTGCCAGCGTATGTCTCTATCAGAGCCCAGAACGCTTCTCCCGAGCTTATTGCTGCTCTACAGGTGACCCTCTTCTCCACAAGATGCGTACCAAAGTCTATGCCGCCCGTGAAGCTTCCGTTACAGCGCCTCCCCCGCCTAAAGGCAAGGCCAAGCAGAAGAAGGGCGCTGCCCTTGTCAACGGTGATGCAAAGCCCGAGGAGAAGGGCAAGCTTTGGGAAGTGGAGCTCCTCGATACTGTTATCTTTCCAGAAGGTGCGCTTATCGAGCTGTAGGTTGAGCTCTACTGATGTGAGTAGGTGGTGGTCAGCCTTCAGATACCGGCGTCATCCGTCTCCTCGACCCCAATGGAGGTGTAACTCAAGAGTTCCCCGTTGAGATGTGTCTTCGCAGAAAGCTCGATAGTGTCCATCTTGTTCGTATTCCCCTTGGAGTGGAGGTCGAAGGTGGCTGGGAAGGACGAGAGGTTGAGGTCGAGACTGACTGGGACAGGAGGTTTGACCAGGTAAGCACAAGTCAGTTAGACGGTAGAGTATGCTCACGACCGCAAACAGATGTCTATCCACACCTCCCAACATCTCATCTCAGCCCTCGCCAATACCCACTACGGTCTCCCTACCCTCTCGTGGTCCATGCAGCCTTACCCGTCGCTCGATCCGCCATACATTGAGCTCGCTCGGGCTCTTACCGTCGAGGAGGCTTTGCACCTGGAGCAGCTTTGTGGTGAAGCGATCAAGCAGGCAAAGAAGATCTGGGTAGACTTTAGTATACAAGGGCAGGAAGCTGGTGGTGAATTGCAGGGAGAAGGGGCTGTTGCAACCAGGGAGTTCAGGGAACTGCCCAAAGACTATTCTGGAGTAGGTTATCAAGGATTGTTAAAAGCCATTGCTGACAAGTTTGACTTAGGGTGTCATACGCCACATCAACATCCAAGATACCGACAGGAATGCCTGCTGCGGCACCCAATCACCCAACCTCGCCCTTCTCTCTCTCTTTCACGTCATCCCTCCCACACCCTCCACCTCCAAAAAGGACACACCCACCAAGCTCTTGTTCCTCTCCGGACCACGAGCCATCACCGCACTGCAAGAGTCATCCCGAATTCTGTCCGCTGCTGCGAGGATTGTGGGCGCTAGTCGGGCCGACGTCGTACAGAGGCTGGAGAGGTCAGAATTGGCAAGGAAGGAAACGTCAGATAGCCTCAAGGGTGTGAGGGGGGAGCTGGCAAAGCTTGTTGCAGAACAAGCGATTCGCCAAGGCAAGGAGAGCCAGGGTATCGCTGTGGTCAGCAGGGAAGAGAAGGGTACCCACGATTTCGAATGGCTGGGTCTCGTCGGGTCTACCTATCTCGAAGCCTTCAAGAACGCCTCGCTGGAAGATGCCTCTTTCCCGAAACCGCTTATCGTCCTTGTATCAGCCTTGAACCCTGCAGTCTCCTTATCCGTGCCATCTCAATCTTTCCTCATCGTCCAGTCCCTTGATGACGCTCTTGCCAAGGCTGTGAACGAAAAGATCAAGACCGCTCTGGAAGGCAGGGTGAAGGGCGGAGGTGCTAGGGGAAGATACATGAGCAAGATCGATGGGAAGTGGGGGAAAGCCGATAACCAGATGGTCGAAGAGATCGTGGACGAGTTCAAGAAGGAGGCATCATGGCAGAGTATGCCCGACGGACACCCACTCTGATAGACGAAACAAATATTGAGCTAGATGGAGATATTGGCGGATCACATATGTGTTTATTGGACTGGAACAAACAGCGACAGAAAAGTAACATGCCGATACAATTGCATAAACCCAGGACTTGTGATCACCTTTCCAAAGTCTATGACTATAATGACATCGAGGACCATCTGTCGTTATGCTCTTTTCTCGCCCTCCTCTTCTGCCACCTTCTGCTTGTGCGCACTGACAGCTTTCCGTCGGTAATAGTACGATCCAACCGTGATGGTCACAAAGTTGATCAAGATCCAACCAATGAGGACGCCTTCGCTGCGGCCAATGTCATCCTTGGTGTTGAAGATTATCTAAGCGGGATGTTGAGTGATGAGGGCTTGATTAGGCAATGGATATTCAGGATGATAAAGCTCAGCAAGAAGAATGGCATGAGTCTCGGCCCAAGAACGTTATGACCGCCTCTGTCGTCAGACCCAGTGCACTCATCCTCAAGAACAAAACTACTTTGAAGGCAAGGTCGACGAGGGGGAAGAAGAAAGAGGGGGGGGGGGGGTATAGAGGGTCACGGGAGCTATCAGGCGATAGAGGAGGAATGATGGGGTCGTCAGATAAGGCCCGCTTGATCGACGTAAGTGACAAGCTCCTTTTACATCAAATCACAAACTCACATGATCTCTCGAATGGCATTATTCGCCTAGGTCATGATGAATGAAAAGATGAGCGAAAAGACCAGACCCCGTCTTTACACAAACACCCACAAGGGTCTTGACTTACAAGAATGCGAGTACAGCCTCTTCTCTTCAACTTTGGCTTCTTCATGTGGTACACTCGAAGAGTCATGTCGCGTAGCCGGAGCACTCCTCTCCGACTCGGACAATTCTTGAACATTAGTAGTCGGGGGCGGTGCAGAATGAGTGGAGGGGATCGATGTCAATGGGGAGCTTGAGCGAGAGCTAGAGCTTGGGAAGGTAGGTGGGATTGACCCCGAGTACTGTTTGCGTTTGCCCTTGGGAACAGAGGACAGTGTCTGTTGGATGTACCGGTGCTGCCGATCAGCGTACGCGTCGTCGGCCGATTGCTGCAGTCTCTCTTCAACAAAGTCGAAAGAAGAATCTCCCGGACCCATGTCATAGTCATCCATTGGTGCCATGGGCACATCCTCCGATTCGGAAGCTCGCACCTGCGCTCGGCGCTGTCGCGAAGCCTCAACTATGGAAGCTTTGCGGGATGCCTCTATAGATGCTTTCTCTCGCGCCACAGTTGATCGGAAAGCGTGTATGCCGGCCTTGATGCCTCTGAGCTTTCTGTCGAGAGGGGCGTTCATGCCGGTGATGACTCGCTTGTATTTGGTGGCTCTAGAAAGTCTGCGGTACGCTGCTATCGACATGGCGGGCGAGAGTAAGGACTCGAGGGTGAAGAGGGAAAGGTGAGGTTGAGGATGAAATTGATTGCCGGCTCTGTCTCAGTAGTGCAGTTACGCATCCAGAAGACAAGAAGAGTTTATATGTAGTACTTGTACCTTAGGGGGGGTAATTAAGGGCAGACACGGCCGTTAACCCCGGTTACGTAACACCAGATCTCATTCTTCTCTGACTTTTAGTGGAGGTTTGGCTTCTCTTGGTGTTGATCAAGTACTGCAAACCCCCCACAATGTCCCAAATGCCCTCACTGAAAGAAGTAGACAGGTCCTACCACCCCAAGGGCTATGTACGTCCACCGAATTCTATTCGAGGTGCTGCTAATTAGGTCCACAGAACATGTCCCCTTCCCTCCAACGCGCCCGAAAGCCATTCTTCCTCACCAATGCTTTGATCGGCGGATCCGTTGCCGCATTCACTCTGGGCGTTTACCTGTACTCTATATCTGCAGTCAAGCAGGATGACTTCGTAGGTATACTTTCATCTCTGACCAATGGAAAGCTGACATTGCGACAGTCTGACGTGGAGGACTTGCTTCCCCCACTCGAAGAGAGAAGCAAGATAAAATCTATTGAAGACGAGGCCAAGGAGATTGCTGGCGGTGCTGTCAACTCTATCCCCGCCGCTCGAGGTCTTCCCGGAGCTCCTTCAAAGGCTATTCCCGATGCTCCCCTTGCCCAGGCTGCCGCTGCCAACTCTTCCGGCTGGGGACCCAAGAAGCTGAGCGATGTGGAGTGGATCAAAAGTAGAGGATGGGTTGACGGAAATGGAAATGTCTTGGTCTGGGGAGCGCCGAATGTGGACAGAATAGGACGACTGAGCGATTCGACTTCGGCCAAGAAGCTGGTATAAGAAATGAGGAAGATCATAGGGCAGAGGACTGCATATATAACATTTATACAACACCACAAGACATGTACGATACTATACACTTCTCAAGTAGCGGGCTATCCAAAAGTCAGCGGAGTACCATGTGGTTGTTTCATTGCCACTCACTCTCAAAGCTCTCAGCCTCTGCGCAAGCATCCCATCCTCCTCCCTGTTTGCTGAGCCCTCGCTCACAGCCGGCTCCTTTGCCGGCACACTAGCCTCGCCCAATCCATGCTGGATCTCCAGCCCAGCCTCGTCCGCCACCTGCTGCATGAGTCCGTCCACTTGGTCTTGTGGCATGGCCACGGCGGTGGTGTCGGACATGGTGGATTCCATATAACTCGTCTGGACGTCCAGGTCTTGGAACTGGGATTCGAACTTGTCCATGACCAGTGATATCTATCCCGATGAGATTAGTCAGGCTCATAGAGCATAGAGGTCACTTACGCGCTCCAGGTTCATACTCTCCATTGCCTTGTCCATGCCCTTCACCACGCTTCCCATGCTATTCGTCACGCTCCGCATAGTCACTGCCGTCTCGACCCTACTTGCGACTGCATCTATCCTGGAGGCTAAACGGAGCAGGTTCAGGCCCTCGTTCTTCTTGCGAATGGCGTTCTGGGCGTAGATACGGGCTCCTTCAGTGTTTCCCTTGGCCAGGGCCTTGACATTTGGGCTCAGCCTTCACCATTGTCAAGGATAGAGAAAACGCACCTGCTTGAGTTTATTCTTCTCGGCAGTCTCGTCCTTGTTGGCCTTCTTGGCCTGTCTCTGGAGGGACTTGGCTGTAAACTGTATCGACGTCAGCGAGGCTCGGTGGCGCGGTGCCATGCATCAGTCGCTCTCACTTTCAGCTGGAAGAGGGACTCTGCACTGGGTCAGCCATGCTTTGCTGATGCACTCTGTACGCACTCTCGAGGTTGCTCATGGTGGCCGTGGATGTGACGATGCAAAGAACTGAAATGTCATTCTCATTGCGGCAACGACTTGTTGCGGCTCCATTCTTTCTGCATTTCACTTTCCACCCGATATCATCCCTCTCCACGCCATGGGCCTGCTTCACCTCCTCGCATACGGCGGGGGCATCGCAGCCTTCCTCTTCGTCACCCTCTCTCTCGGTGCGTACAATCATGCAAGGCAGGGCCAAGCTGACAGCAACTCCAGCGAGCGGCCTCCTGTGGCTAGCTGAGCTCATCGAAGAGCATTCCAAGTATGCAAAGACAATCGGAATGAGGGCAATCTATGTACGCTCAACATCTCTCTCTGCTATGTCAAGCTGACGTGCCCCTCAGGCCATCGTGGCGCTCCATGTAGTGCTCTACTTTACCGACGCCCTGCCCTTCTACCACACCCTCTTCTCCATCCTCTGCCACTTCATCTACCTCTCAAACTTCTCCGCCTCCTGGCCCTTTATCTCCCTCACTTCCCCCCGCTTCATCCTCTCCTGCATACTCGTCGTGGCCGACCACTTCATCTGGTTCTTCCACTTTGCTGCCGTCGCGCAAGAAGCCAAAAAGTACAGGGGCCCAAAGTATAGATACGGGCAGAATGCGAGACCAGCTTCTGACAAGGAGAGCCCGTCATTTGGAGATGTGGCAGCATTCTTTGCCATCTGCGTGTGGTTTGTGCCGCTGTACTTGTTCTTGAGTTTGAGCGCGAACGACAATGCCTTGCCTTCTTTCGGTGAGCTCTACCTCTTCTCTGACAATGATCTCTAACTCTTCACAGACCACTCTGCTCCTCCCTCTCCTTCCTCGTCCCAGGACCCCTATATCAACCTGTCGTCCCCCGGTCCCGGTGCCCACTCTGCCCTCCCTCGCTCGTCAAAATCCAAATCTCCCACTTCTCTCGTCAAATCAGCCCTGATCCCCATCCTCTCCATACTCCCCTCCATTGGCTCCCGGTCATCTAGGCGTCGGTCCGAAGGACTCATTGCGCCGCGGACACCGACGAGGGGGTCGCCTTTACCTTCACCTGGCATCAAGCCTCAGGCCTACTATCCCTGGGGAAGCGATGATGCTTTTGCCCCGTCAAGCGGGGCGGGGACGCCGATTCGGGCGCTCACCCCGGAAAGAGGTCATACCCCTCCTCCCCCCAGAAGAGCGCAGAGCGAAATTTCAGTAGCGACCGTGGGCAGTCTGAAACACCCTGGGACGGATAAGAAGGCGAAGCGGGTGTCGATTGGTCAATCATCAGGATTGGGACAATCGTCGAGCCTGGCCCCGGCTGTGGGCGGAGAGAGAGAGTTGTCCAAGAGAAAAGGGGATTGATCTTATTTCCGGTGGACGCTTGATGGTCATCAAATCATTCATATCTCAATGTACATGCAGTACATTTTAGAACATGCAAGCGTCTATTCACGATATTCTGCAGAACGTTGACCTACTTTGCCGGTCCATCCACGATGAATGTGCCATTTGTCTGCGCCTTGGCGTGCTCTCCAGTATCCACCCACCCTTCTTCAATCTTGGCCCCTCCATCGACTCTCTCCAGTACCGTAGGACCTCTCAAATAGATCCGCCCCTCAAGCCATTTCCCATTCTCATCATGCGCCTTGTCAATACCTTCACCTTTCAACAACACTTCCAGATTGCTGGCAGGAGGACCAGAGTGAGACTTGTCACCAGACGCTTTAGATTCCCAGAGGTCCACGTCTTTCAGGATATGGTTCACCCCAGGAGACTGAAGGTCGTAAAAGTGGGAAGCAAAGACGGGGCCGGTAGAATAGATGGAGGGATGAAGTCTGGTGAATGGTAGGGAGAGAAGGAGGTGCGAAGCGCCGAGGGCAGACGCAGGAGGAGCGTCGCCGACGAGAATGACGGCTCTCAGCTTATTACCCGCCACACCGCCCAAGACATTCTCACGCATACCAGACCAGATGATCTTGTCCCAGATACTATCCCTGTCGACGTGGCCGGATCGGAGACCATGGGCTTTGTGTCGGGCAGCGAGGGACGTGTAGGGGTGGGCTTGGTAGCTGTACGCAAGCTTGTTTACGAGGGCCCGGTGGTGATTGGGGGTGCTGTCATTTGGTCAGATGGATTCTCAGAGAACATGGGAAGGCGTACATGAACAAGACAGTAGGCTTTGGCAGGTCTTTCTCCGAGTCGACGAGAGCAGTGAGCTCCTCGGCGTGATCAACCTCTTCGGGGTCCCATACAGGCTCCTGGTTGCCTATCAATCTAAACTCGGCGCCTGTCGCATCATTAACATGTAAACCATTTACAAAAGTTTGCAGACATACCATTCCAGATACTAGCAAGAGCGATAGTCATACCCAACGGCGTGTCAAGCCTGACAGCACTGGCGACGACATCGTGCAGTTTGTTTGAAGGGCGCTTGTCGGCGGGGAAGATGGACAGTAGGGAAGCGATACCAGCAGTGGCGTTCTGTGACAGAGGTCAGCATATGAAGGGAATGCGAAGGAGGATTACTTGCCAGGTGGGTGACTTTGAGGACAGCAGGCGCCTCGGGGTCGTCGGTCTCAGAGTAATAGTAGCTGTGAACGTCGTTAAAGTGCGCGTCTGCCTTTCGTGAGTACACTCTCAAAGAATCATACATGAAACTCACCAGGAAGCTTCAAGGCATTCGCCTTTTCAGTCTCAGCCACCTCCCAAACCTCCTCCCACCAATGAACATTCAAGCCCTTGCTCCTGGCTTCCTCCACGAGACTCGCCCGAAGTTTGCCAGCATCTCCAATGACGAGAACCCCGACCTTGTCGCCAGTGTCTTCCCAGACCTGCTCCAGCACCTCACCAAGAAGATCGGCAAAAACGACGACGACTCCGGCAGCGGGGTGTGAGGTCGCAGTAAGAGCAGAGGTCAAAAGTCGGGGAGAAGGCAGAATGACGAGCGGCCTGACGGGGACGGCGGATAGGGAAAGCAAGAGGAGAGGAAGCGAAGTGACAGGCGATGGGGGGATGAGGGTGACGATACTCGAGACGGAGGCAGCAGAAGCTCGCGGGAAGAGGAGTTCGATGCCGAGAGGAACCAGTCGAACAATCTCGGCGAATGCCTCGTCGGTCAGCTGTGGGCGTGGGTTAGCAGGGCTTCCACAAGACGTCCGAAAGAACCCGCCTTAATGTCGAGGATGCATCGCTGCTCGGGGCGCTTGACAGGGTTTTTGGGATCTTCGGGGGGAAAGTTGACGAGGTCCTGAACAGTCTTGACAGTGTTTGCAGGTCGCACTGTGAGCTGTGTCCGGTCAGCTTTCGTGGTAACCATCTCATTGCCTCAAGCTTACAGGAGTTCCCTGGCCCGTAGCCCATGCACGGTAGACACCAGTCTCTCCGCTTTTCCTGATGGAAGACACTTCACTCTGCTTTCCGAGCAAAAGCGGATGGACGAGGGGGTTGGGGGAGGAGAGGAACCTGTGGTATATTGCCAGACCCGCCAGGAGGGCGAGCAGCAGCACGGTGAGGTTGTCGATTTCGAAATCCGGCATCGTGGCTGAGTGTTCGCCCGGTGTCGAGAGAGATGGGGTTGACGACGGTCTGGATGGGGTCGAGAGGTGTTTTGATGGGATGGAACGATCGAATGCGCGGGTTGCCGAACGCGTCGGCGCCGGGCGGTGTTGTTGATTTCTCCATTGTCCTCTGGCCTTTATATTCCGCTAAACACAGTACCATGTCGCACCCAAAAGACGTCTACACTAACAGGGAAGAAGACTGGTACCCAGGAAGTGCGTATCGTATATCCCCATGCTGCAGAGTGGTTGCTGACCTGTTGGACGTTTCTAGTTCGTCAGCGCTCGAAACCAGGCCAGGCGCCTCACGAACAAGTCTACGACACCACCCGGGACATGTCAGCTCTGCGGTGTAAAGTTCAAGAGCAGCAGCTGACGGTGCTGCAGTAACGGAAATGTTGTGACCGATAAACCTGCCAACCGAGCCATACTCTCTGCTCAGAAGCGACAGAGGACTCATGATGCCCGTGTCCTTGCGCAGCGTCAGAAACAAGCTGCTCGGGCCCAATCTGGTCAGACAGAAGAGAGCAGCACTGCCGGCATGCTCGGACGCATGCTCATGGTCATTCTGTTTCTCCCCCTCCTTTCCTCCTTCACCACCCAATCCTATACCTTCAACCTGTCTCCCTATTTCGTCCCGCAACTGAGAAGATTCTGGGCAGAAACGCCTTTGAATCCTTGGAAGCTGGAGATGAAGGAGTTTACGCCGTTACAGCTTGCAATGTACGACGGGTCCCTGGAGAGACCGGTGTATCTTGCGGTGGACGGGGTGGTATTTGATGTGACCTCAAACAGGCGGATTTATGGTAAGGGCGGGAGTTACAACATGATGTGAGTAGAGCAACGTCTCTTCATGTATATATGGCTGATTATCATAAGGGCTGGGCGGGACGCTTCCAGAGCGTTCGTGACGGGTTGCTTCGAAACTCATTTGACACATGATCTTCGAGGTCTTTCGGAAGACGAACTCAAGGTATCCCGTTCCACCAGTCTACCCGTCCGAGCTCACCCAGTGCAGTCTGTTACCAGCTGGAAAAAGTTCTTTGAAAACAATGAAAAGTATTCAAAGATTGGGACCGTTTTGAACCCCCCGATAGACCCCAGCACGCCCATACCACCACCTTGTCGAGGAGAGAAGAAGGACAAGGCCGACCCGCACGCGCCAGGGGCAGCAGCTGCTCAAAGAGGTAGAGCGAAGCCAGGACCAGTATAGTAGGCCACTGAGGGTGTTAGGGCGGTACTCTAACGACTTGTCATGACAGTAATGTACATCGTAGTCTTGTCAGCTATGAACATTTAAATCAAACCACGTATACAACTATCCTCTTCTCCCGGGCGGGGGCGGGGGAGGCAGCGCAAACAGCCCACCGCCACCTCCGCCACCGCTAGAAGCCGGCTTCTTTCTTTCTCTGCCAGGGATATTGATGGTGAATGTCTGCCCTTCCTTGAGAGAGTAATCTTTGGGAGGGGCGGCAGGCTTGGAAGGTTCCTCGGGGTCGTCAGAGATAGAGGTGGTGTTCTGGGTACGCTTGACGACTGTTTGGAGAGCAACCTGATATATATTTAGCGACTATACACAAACTTGCGCTCAGTCATGAGCTTACTTGAAAGTCGAAAGCTTCGCCTCGCTCGGCGAAACCCATCCCGATGTAAGCTCTCTTTCCCCCTTCGCCTTCAACTCTTAAAACAAAGTAGCGCGAAGAGTCCAGCACCGGCTCTACTTGGTTCCAAGGGCTGACGTACACGACCTGGGCGAACAGCTCGCCAGTATTCGAGTCCTACAATATCATGTAAGACAACCTTCTGGGCACAATGGACGTGCGTACCTCCAGACGAAGCTCACTGCGGCTCCCAATGTCAATGACTCTCAATCTTCCCTTCCACAGGAATGACTCGACGTTCCATTCGGCGGCCTTGTACCCGGCGGTCGTCGTTTGAGGAGGGATCTGGTAGACTAGGACGCATCAGCCCTGTGCTCGGCGTGGACGAGCTCGTGCATGGCTTTGGGACTCACCCATGACCTCCCTGGCCACGAAGAGGACGGCTTCGATCTCGTCTGTGAGGGTGTCCATGGTGGTGTGCTGTATCGAGTACCACGTCGCGTTCGGACAAGGACGTGCATTAAAGTGGGTGTCAAAACAAGCCAGGAACAAGCAAGGCAAGCCGCGGAAGGGCGAGCCTGATGACGTCGAGGACTCACGACATCTTGCGGCAGGTGTATATAAGCAGGTTATCACCAAGTTGCATCCCTATCTACAACATTGAACAACCATGTCTGACAACAAGGAACAGAGTAGGTATTCTCCCACTAACCATGTGTGGCACATGTCCCATATCGTCTGGTCACTCGTGGCCCAACTGTACTGCCATTGATCAACCCTTTGCCACCGCTGACATTCGGCCCGCTCTAGGCTTCAACATCCTCCCCCACCCGGCCAAGACCAACAACCCGGCCGATCTCAACTCTGAGCCTGCCGAGCACGGCGGCCTGCAGGGAGCTGGCGCCAATGCGTACAATGCCAAGGGTCCGTACGTTCCCAGCAAGGAGATTGCCGAGGGCCTCGAGCAGCCCAAGTCTCGGGAAGAGGTGAGTCCAGAGTGATATCGAGCTGGAGAGGGCTCTATCTAATGCCACAATAGCTGCAGGCTGAGGCTGCGAAGCTCAACTCATGAGCTGCTGGAGGGGATTGATCAGAAGTAACATATCTGTCTGTACCATACCGTGTACCCGTTGTCATGAACTCTATGACCTTCTGCTTGGCCCAGGATAGCAAAATTGACCCTCTGGGCCGTCCTGGGGCCGTCTGACAAGCTATAGCTACACCGACAACGCAGGATGTGACGACAGCCTGCCAAAGTAAAAGAAAACATCAAGGCGAGATGTGTGAGTGGTCTAAACAGCTGTCTTAAGGAGAAGCATCTCTGCAAGAAACGGCAGTCCTCCGGGGCGTGGGTTCGAATCCCACTCTCGTCATACTTTTTTGCTTTTTGCCTGCCTTATCTTTCGTTGTTCAATCTTGTTCAATCCATTGATCCCTTACCACGCAGCAGGCTGGCATGCATACACAGTGCTTGTAGAATGTCCCTCTCGCTTCACCCCAGCCGAGTTTCTCGCCTTGTGCTCGTTGGGGGGGTTGTGCAGTATTGCCGACGAACGCGTGAACAACAGAACTTATCACAATGCGTGGTCCAATGCTGACATCCCTCTATGAGAATGAATCTTCTACAAGAGTATCGTAAAACCTTGCTCATGGGTTTTATATTCACAACAACTCGTTCCTTAAACGTTGTTTTGTAGACAGATCCACATCTTCCTCCTCCTTCTCCCCGTTATTCCCATTTTGATTTTTTATCTATGTGCGGAGTTGGGAAAGATTTAGAGCTTGGAGAGGATGGCGTCGGTGTAAGCCTTGGTCCCGGCGTTACCACCGAGGTCCTTAGTGATAGCCTTGCCTTCGGCGATGGTCTATCGCGGTATGTTAGCCGTTGCACTGATGAAGAACGAGATAGAGGGACGTACGCTAAGAGCAGCCTTCTCGATCTTGTCGGCGAGCTCAAAGAGACCCATGTGTCTGCAGGGTGTCAGAATCAGACTACACCAAGAGCATCGTCTGTGCGCTGCCGAAAGGACGTCTCGGCAGGCCGGCAGACAAAGCGAAAGGGACATACCGGAGCATCATCAAAGAAGAAAGGAGGAGGGCGGTGGGGTTGGCGAGGCCCTTACCCTCGATGTCGGGGGCGGAACCGTGGACGGCCTCAAAGATGGAAGCGTCACGACCAATGTTACCGGAAGGAGTCAAACCGAGACCACCGATGAGACCGGCAGACAAGTCGGAGAGAATGTCACCGTACAAGTTGGGCATGACCATGACTCGGTCGGCGAAGGGGGTAGGGTCGGTGGCGATCTGTTTTTTCGTCAATCCGGGTCCACGCGGTGTAAGGAAAGGGACATACTCGGAGGCAAACTCGGTCCAAAAGGTCCTCGTCGTACTGAATGTTGGGGTACTCCTTGGCGACGTCTCGGCAGGCAGTCAAGAACATACCGTCAGACATCTTCATAATGTTGGCCTTGTGCACAGCGGTGACCTTGTTTCGTCCGTTCTCGGAAGCGTAGTGGAACGCATATCGGGCCACACGCTCGGAAGCCTCCCTCGTGATAAGCTTGATGGACTGCACGACACCGTCGACGATTTCGTGCTCGATACCAGAGTACTCTCCCTCGGTGTTTTCACGGATCAAGACGGTGTTGACGTTGTCGTAGGCAGTCTTGTAGCCCTGGATAGAGACACAAGGTCGGACGTTGGCGAAAAGGGAGAAGGTTCGTCGGAGGGTAAGGTTAAGGGAGACGTGACCCTTGCCGACTGAGAAAGTGTCAGTATGTTTAATCCTCTATGCTCCACCGTTGCCCGTTTCAGTTCTCCAAGAGCATCAATCGCCTTTGCTCTCCAGGCTGAGTATTCCGAGCTTTGATGACCCTCGCTGTCCCCTCGCCCCCGGTTCCCGCGCTCTTCCTCTTTTCGCTCACTTGGTACTCATTATATAGGGTGTAGAGCCCAGACTTACTGGGAGTAGCCAAAGGTCCCTTCAAGGCAACCGTGTTCTTCTTGATGCTCTTAACAGCATCCTCGGGAATGACAGTCTTGCCATTTTGGAGAATAGGTGTCACGTCGACCTCTTCCCACTCAATAGGAGCCTTGGCCGCGGCAAAGATTTGCTTGACACTGTTCGCAATCTCGGGTCCAATACCATCACCAGGGATCAAAGTGACGGTGTAGTTGCCCTTTTGTATTCCGCGTGTCAGCGCGCGAAACTCGGAACCCATCATTCGTTCGTCGAGAGGGTGAATGGCCGATTCAACCTACATTGGCGTTCTTCTGGGCAGAGAAGGCAGAAGTAGGCTTGGCAGACTGGAAGGCAGAGTTGTAGAACCTGACGCCGACCGGGGCCTACGGTGAAAAATGTCAGCTGTGCATCGGCGGGAGGGCGGGGCGGGGTACCCACCTGGGCGGTGCGGAGGGCAGCGGTGGCGTTCCTTGTGGCTGAGCGGGCGAACATGGCTATTTGATGTGGAGATGCAAGAGGACAAAAAGCGCTCACGTATCTCCAAACAGCCAGACACCCCTCGGCAATATTCGGTCGTCCTCCGCCGAGCAAGGCCATCTGGCGGTGCCCGCCGCCGCCTCCACTCGCGTATATGCGCCCCCTGGATAGCAGATTATTTTGGTTTGAGAATTTCTGCACCTGCCCTGGGTGAGAGATGGATCGCTCGCTTCCCTTTGCATCTCCACAAACAAAAATTTAAAACCCATTCACAATGGCCAAGTCTTCCAAGTCTGCCCCCGCCGCCGCCCCCAAGGTCGAGAAGAAGGAGAAGAAGTCTTCCAAGAAGGAGGAGAAGCCCGCCGCTGTCGCTCCCAAGGCCGAGAAGGTGAGTTTACATCGAGCTTTGTGTGGGCTACCGCTGACATCCATCCAGAAGGAGAAGAAGGAGAAGAAGGAGAAGAAGAGCAAGAAGGCCAAGACCCCCACTCCTCCCCCCAGCTCCAGCTCCAGCTCCGAGTCCGAGTCCGAGTCTGACTCTGACTCTTCCGACTCTGAGTCTGAGGAGGAGAAGCCCGCTGCTGCCCCCGCTGCCGCTGCTGTAGGTCTATAACACTCGTACTTGCTGAGACGCATCCCTGACATGTACTGCAGAAGGCCGAGTCTTCCGACAGCTCCGACTCTGACTCTTCCGACTCTGACGACGAGGAGGAGGCCCCCAAGGCCGCCGCCAAGGTTGAGGAGAAGAAGGCCGAGTCTTCTTCCGACAGCGACTCTGACTCTGACTCTGACTCTTCTGACGAGGAGGAGGAGGAGAAGGAGGAGCCCAAGGCTAACGGTGAGCAAAATTTCAACCATCTTTGAGACACACACTAACATTTCCCAGCCAACAAGCGAAAGGCTTCCGAGGAGCCCGCTGCCGCCCCCGTCGAGGCCAAGAAGCCCCGTGCTGACGGTGAGGAGGAGGCTACCACCAACGTCTTTGTTGGCCAGCTCTCCTGGAACATTGACAACGACTGGCTCGCTTCCGAGTTTGAGTCTTGCGGTGAGGTCGTCTCTGCCCGTGTCGTTTTCGACCGTGACACCCAAAAGTCCCGAGGTTTCGGTTACGTCGAGTTTGCCAACCTTGAGGCTTCCGCCAAGGCCCTCGAGAAGGACGGTGCCGAGGTTGACGGCCGAAACATCCGGGTCAACTACGCTACCAAGCGTGACAACAACCAGGCCGCCGACAAGCGTGCCAAGGTCTTCAACGACAAGCAGTCCCCTCCCGCCGAGACCCTCTGGGTCGGCTCCCTCTCTTTCAACGTCACTGAGGACCAGGTCTACGAGGCTTTCGGTGCCCACGGTGACGTTCAGTCCGTCCGTCTCCCTACCGACCGTGAGACTGGTGCCCCCAAGGGTTTCGGTTACGTCCAGTTCGCTTCTATCGACGAGGCTACTGCCGCTCTCAAGGCTTTGAACGGTCAGGAGATCGCTGGCCGAGCTATCCGATGTGACTTTGCTCCTCCCAAGCAGGAGAACGGTGACCGGGGAGGCTTTGGCGGCGGCCGAGGAGGGGGCTTCGGAGGACGAGGCGGCGGCAGGGGAGGCTTCGGTGGCCGAGGTGGAGCTAGGGGAGGCGGACGAGGGGGATTCCAGGACCGTGGACGAGGCGGTGGTAGGGGACGAGGTGCTCCCAGGTCTGGTGGGGCGAGGACCGGTGGCATTCAGGAGGCTCAAGGCAGCAAGGTCACTTTCGACTGATCGCTTTCTGCTTGTAACATTATAACATCATCCTCTCCATAGACTTGTTCCGCATTAACAGTATACCCACCACCCACTGCGAAATTTTGCAATGTTACACTCTAGTTTCTCTTATTTTGGTTTTATTAAAAGGTTCAACCGTGTGATATCTACTTCTATGTGTATGCATGAGAACCCCCTGTCTGGAATACCTTACTCGTCTCTGCAACCGTGAAGTTGCGACATTCCATCCACCCAGTCAGTACATGTAACGTCGGATGAAAAAGCCTCGGAGCGCCGGGCGGACATCACCGTGCTTGACGAAAATGGCTCGGTCTTCGATCCAACCGACGCTGCACACTGCCAGCCCATGATCATGTCGATCCGTCAGTTAAAATCAATCCTTCGCTCCAGTCCTGCTCTCGTAGCAAGGAGGACAATGTCAACGACCGCCCCTGCCATGCGGCCCAAGCTGGCAGTCACCGACGAAGACATTGTCAACCTCCAGGTACTTTGTATCCACCCGACCGCTGGTGCAGTGGCTGATGTCATGGTCGTAGGAGTTGTACGCAAAGTTCCAAGATCCGACTTCGCACTACCACATTCCTCCTGGCACAAATGGCCCGGAACATGAGGAAGACCATGCTTCTTCGCGCACGCCCGACTTGCCTACTCTACTTGCCAAAGCTGCCTCTATCGTCCAGTCTACTTCTTCGACGGCTGAAAGCCAGGCAGTACATGGTGATAGAGAGATAGCGAATGACAGGCCTTGGCAAAATGCGGAGGGTGGCGCCCAACAGAAAGCACTGGACTACTTTCGACAAGAGGGTCATGATACGGTGGGAGTGTTGACATGGCCTGTTGCGTGGGGTGACCAGGATAGCTTCCAGTAGGTCTTGTTTCTGTTGAATTATATTTCGGTATCAGAGTGTAACTGACTTGTTGACGATAGGCATGTGAACAATGTTCAATTCCTTCGGTGGATCGAGAGTGCCAGAATCAGGTATGGCGAGAGCTGGGGACCGGTACTGGGCGAGAAGGCTGTGTATGACCTTCTCGTGAGCCATTTCCATCTTTATGCTGAATACGAGCTGACTTACTGTTAGCACGCCAAGGGCACAGGGTTTATCTTGAAAGATGTGTCAATCAAGTATAGAGCGCCTATCACTTATCCTGATACTGTGAGTAGCGACATATGTCTTCGCGGTCGGATCGCTCATATATGCCCGCTAGGTTATGATCTCAAACCGCATCCACTCGGTCAACCCCAAGAGAGCGAGCTATGGTCATCAACACATCATTTGGTCCATGAAAGACGGCCAGGTCAAAGCTTTGGCTGATAGGTACGACCACCATCCTCAACCTTGGGAATGGAATAAGAAACGATGCTAATGGATCTATACCAGTACGGTGGTGATGTACGATTATGACAATCTCAAGAAAGGGGTCATGAGCGATCAGTTAAGAGAGCTGCTGCAGAGCGTAGAGTATAAGAAGGAGTAGGACTACAGGAGGCTCACTTAGTAAGCTCCATGATCTTTGAACGACATTGTGCTTATCGTACAGATGACATACATAATCGAGCTATACTGTTTGATTGATTCGTTTCATTTCAAGCAAGAGTCAGATCCGCATCAAACCAAGCTTCCTATCAGTCCCACTACCGCGACAATGCTCACAACCGATCCCATCGAGACACCAATTCTCCTCGCCTCGCTCGTGGAACCGCTTCCTCCCGTCACAGTAGTCGTGGATCCTCCATTCGCCTCTGCTACATTGACACCACTCGTCGTTGGAGTCGCTGTGATCCCTGAGACGCCCGTCGCGAAAAGATTGGTACTGGCCGAGGTGGTGAGAGAGCCAAAAGCCATACCTGAGCCGCTGCTCCCTGACATTCCTGCTTGATAGGCTGATGACGTGCAGTTGCTTGTGAACGCTGGATGCCATTAAATCAGTCCCGCTGAGGGTAACACGGCGACGACATGACTCACAAGCATAAGAGGCTAGCTGACTCGAAGAGTTTGAGCTGCTGGAAGAACCGATACAGCTGGAGCAATTACTGGCGGCTGATACACCCTCGCTCGTGCAGACACAAGTATCGTCCGTACACGTCTCTCGCTCATGTCAACCAACCTTTCGTCTGGAAAAGATAAGAAGCTACTCACCTGCGCAAGCTGCTGCCAGCTTTCACAGTCACTCGAGCAACTCGCATCAATGTCAATACTGAAGAATGCGTGAGCAGAGTCCAACGCGGCTGTCGTTGATGTGTTCTGGGAGGTCTGAGTGAATATTGCCCCAGAAAGAGTTTGTGCCGCGGACATTTGACCAGAGAGGGCAGTTGCTGAAGGCCCCACAGCACCCAAGCTCGAACTCATAGTCATCTCCGCTTGAGGGGAGATGGTCGAGTATGAGGTGGTGACCGAGTCGTCGTCGGTGTCGGAGGTCGAATCTGTGGCCAGCGCCATGACTCCATCCAGAGCAAAAGTGTCGGAGCTGACGTTCGTTCCGGTGACGGATGAGTTGGTGTCGGAGCTGTCGTTTCCGATCTCGAGGGCGATGGGGCTGTCGGCGCCGCTCGATGTAAGGGCGGTCGATCCGCTTGCTGACCCGCTTGCTGATCCGCTTGCTGCTGATGTGTTCTCTATGCTCATTGTCGCAGCGATTGCACTGCCCGTGAGAGAAACATCTCCCAAAGACGTCGTCGTTCCCACCATTGTCTCTTCCCCGCTCTCTGTCTCGTAAACGTCCACTTCGACCTCGACGGTACTTTCGGGCTCCGCCAATCCCCCTGCCTCACAACTTTCCAGGTAATCATTATAGCTGTCCACCGCCTCCTGGCTGGCTATGCACTGCGCACACACCTGTGCGGGGAACGAAAGGTCGCATGCGCAAGTGTCATTGGAGCAGTCGGCGATGGATGTAATAAAGATAACGCAGCCACCGCCGGGTGAGGTGCAATTGGAGACTGGCTGGGCGAGAGAGACGATGGATGAAGCGAGGGCTATTTCGGACGCGGTACTAGAGGCAGAGCTGCCTGGGGCTGAGGTAAGTGAAGCGACGGTGGAGTCGAAAGCCAGGATGCTTGCTACCGCTGACGTTTGAGATACAGATACCGGAGAGCTTTCCATGACCGAGCCACTTGATCCGGTACTGGTGGCGACTACAGTGTCGGCAACCTGACTGATAGTAGTTGAGGCGATTCCGCCACTCGCACTGGATACCGCTGTCGCCGCAGTTTCAACCTCCTGTCGTCCAGCAAGGTTTCGAGGGTGATGTAGAGCGCCTCGCTCTCGCTGATCTGATCCGAATGCTGGCTCTGCCAGCAAAGCAAGGACGAGCATGAGCGAGGGGACGATGAGGCCGGATTTGACTTTGAACATGGTCATCTTGCTTACTTTGTACAGTGAAATCTTGAACGCTGTCCGTGATATGTCGGCTGTGGTATGGAATCTATCGAGTGCTGCTGATGTCTAGAGGAGGTTGTTTAGGTGAGCAGACATTGGCGGCGAGTATGTTCCAGTTCAGTCTTCAATCGTCAAACTAATGCAACTATTTCGCCAACAGCTGGCACAAGGGCTCAAACATCAAAGGTCGATCACAACAGGGCGAACCATTGTGACATACCGCATTGCTGAAAGCCTTCAACAGCCCGGGAACGCAGTCCTTTGGCTTTGTGCAACATGTCGGAAACGCTCCCAGCATATACCAGGGACGGCTGACAAAGGATGCTGATGGGCGTCGGCTTTGCGGGTCCGCATTGTTGGAGCTTCGGTTTTACACTAAGCAGTGTAGCTACCTTGGGACCCTTGGGAGTCGCTGAAAGGCCGATCTCGACCCGGAAGCATGCGTTATCGACAGCGCTGGGCGCGCTTAGAAAGGTCGGTACTCTGTGAGTCAACATTTTGGTGCCTCGTTGGATATGTTTATTGTCATGTCGAAAGCGGGAGGCGTTTATCCCTGTGCCAGACGCAGGCAATTTACCATACATTCCATGTTGCATGTGGGCCATGTGCACCATGCGCACCCAGTGCCCCTCTCATGTATGCCTATTAGTACTTCTGTACCTCTTCGTTCACGCCTTGAGGGCATCGGGAATGCCAAACAAACCCTGTCGCCCTCTATTTCTCGGGCCAAGCCATGGCCAAATAGTTGTGGGGAGAGATTACTGGCGGCTGATGGTCTTGGTGGTGCCGCTGATGAGGATCGATGATCAATGATGTCCCCAACAGCGACAGCTGTTCCGTGGCGCCATCGCATGATAGTCTCGAGTTCTCACCGCCGTTCACGCAACCCATTAATGGATACACCTGCCACCCCGAATCCGAGATGGTGAGGCCGTAGCGCGGAAGAAGTAGCCAGTGGTATAGTAAGAAGGTGTGGTGACCATGCACGCTTCTTCTCCGTTGATGGAATTCACATGGTAGCTGACCTCTCTTGCGTTCCCTTTTCATGAAGTCGTGGCACCTTTAGTGGGAGATGGATTGCGTAGCCAACTAGCCACAGATCACAAACATTCGGTAACGGACTGATGAGCTGGTGGCCGATGCACATACAGATACTCAGACAGCTCGGTCATCGAAGCGAGAGCAAGCCCATGAGCTCCGCTTCCCGCCTTCCGCCATTCGGCAATCTAACGCGCAAGATATGACATGGCGATCCATACAGCCATCAGCCTCCCAATCCTTATGCCATCCCAAGGATCTCCAGGCGCCCCGCCAAAGTACCTAGCGTTGGCCTGGAAGATCGCTGTCGGAAAGAAACAAGCCCCCCTCGTCATCAGCGTCGCCCACAGCCCCGCAATCGAGTCAGTGCTCCTCATCGGACTTCGGGGCATTATAAAGCCCTTCATCGAAGAGCTCATGAAGACCATCCGAGAACACCTCCGCATGCGAGGCCAAAAGAACGCCCCATACGAAGCACCAATCTTAGGGAGAGCTGGGTGATCACGATGGGACTCAAAAAAATCATGGCGAGAGGTTCAACAAGATCAACAACATGCCATTGACGCAGTTTGGTGCGCCAATCGCAAGACCGACGCAGAACAACATCGGGAGAAGACCGGATCAGGAACCGGAAGCAACAGCTGTCAAACTCAAAACTAAACCTTATTGCGCGTCCGCTCCTTAGGAACTCCAAGCAAATATCCGAGTCACGTCCACACAAGAGCCAGAACATTTTCCATGGAACGCGTTCACCAAGTTGAACCCTGACAATCGACTGCCGATGGCTGCCGACGGGCACCCATATGCTATGTCAGAGAAACGGCCATGTCAGGAAGTGGGGCCAGCGCGCCGTCATTAGACAAGTCCAACAAGAGTCGATGGCCAACCGCGCGCAGGCAGCCACATTGACCACATCTTACAATTGCATACCACCAAATACAGGCGGGCATGTACGTACATATGGATCAAGGACTAGGGTCCAGGATGCGCAGTAATAAAGCACCAATTTGGTTGATCTGGAAGCTTTGAGCTCCGGGCGCTCTGGAAGATGTATAGCAAAAAATCGGATGTTTATATGATTAATTCTTGTACGTTCCCATCGATTTTGTCCCATTCCATCTTCTACGGCTTTACGACGTAAATGGCTGCAGCCTCCGCCCCGACAAGGGGCGATGGTCGGCCTGTGGCTTATTGGCCTCCAGGGTCCGGGACTGTACGAGTACATGGTGGCCGCAGAAGAATGTCCTGGTCAGAGGAAGGGGACTTCCATGGCTGTTGGCTTCCGTACATACTGCAAAAGCAGAAGACTGGTATCGCATAAATAGGTAAAAAGATGAAATCCCAGATGCCAAATGTACTACGATTCATTACGACCAAACGTCTAGGACCCCTACGACATGCGGCGCCGGTGAGTTGCAAGATGCATAAGCCTTGTGATGAGTCTTGTGGTCTTGAGGAGGCACAACGTGAGGGGGCACGGGCTGAATTGAACGCATGTTGACTTGCAAGGTTCCGCGAGACACAAGACATTAGGGTAAGCGACACTGCCAGCCCGAACCGAGAGGCTGTAGGCCTCAGGCCTCAGGCCACAAGCTAGTATGCAAACATGCAAGACATGCCTCGCAACAAGCCTTTCTCGCTCTCCCCCAAATCTCCCGTTGATGGTCACAGTGAGACACGGCACAACAACGTTGACTGACTCGTCTGCCACAACATACCGGCCATGCCTGCCACGATGCAGATCACTATGGAGACACCCCGAGAAGTTTGCAACGTCCATTCCACTCCATACCCTAGCAGAAACTGTCATATGCGCGCCATGGTCTCCACAGGCCACAGGTGGCGAGCCAAACATTCGTGAGCGTCATGGCATGCTGGAAGGTGAGATCTCGAGGCTTGAGTATCGTATTTGATTTAGTCAACAATCGACGCATCAACAACCATTTAAGGTATTAGGCACCTCTGCTGTTCACGCGCCCAGGGCCTAGCGCCAGGTCGACACGGAAACGAGGGCAAGAAGCTTGGAATGCTGGTTTCCCTGGCGGATGATCTTTACGTTCCTAGGAAAAGCCCCTGACGCGAAGGAGCGCCTCTGGCATTTTCTCTGCTCTTTTCCTTCGTTTGCGCTTATGCTCTCCCTCGCCCTATAGCCGTCGCCTCGCCCGGTATGCACGTCGGCCGCCCGTCAAGTCTCATGCCTGACAAGCCACAGGAACTGGAGAAATCAATGCTCCTTTTGCAAAGTATAATACTCTCTTTAGCTACCAGCCGCCGTGTCATTATCGACTTTTCGGGTGGGAGTTCGGAAGATCACTTGTTTTTGATGAACTCTGATCGTTTGACTGGGGAATAATGCGCCACATCCCGTATGAGTAACCCTGGCACCTGTCTATATAAGGATGGACTTTCCGCCTGTCTTCCCCCGTCTCTTCAATCATCAAGCCTTCCTTCACAGTCAGATCATCTCTGGCTCCACTTACTCTTACTCTTCTCACCTTCCTATCCTTGATCACGACCTTTAACGCCCATTCCATCTGTATCCTCCCACACTACTACCTGTTGCAGCCGACTATCCCTACTATAACCCTTCTCTCGCGCTTCATTCTTTATCATCCTCGGGCATCCCTCATCGTCACATCAACAACAACTCCTTCCTCACTCGACTTGATCATCACTATCACCCACACATCTCGCCTCATCAATTAACAACCATGAGGTTCTCTACTGCTTTCTCCATCATTGCTGCCTTGGCTGCTCCGGCCAATGCCTATTTCATCCTCTCTCACCCTGTCCTCGAGACTACCAGGCTAGACCCGTGAGTCATTTCTTCTGCATCGGCTATCATGCTCGTGCTGACCATATCCAGTATCGTAAATCCTGGAGTCATTTCTGGCCATGTGCACTCTATTGTCGGTGGTAACAACTTTGACAAGACCATGACCTACAACTCTACTCAGCAGGGAACGTGTACTACTGCTACTGGTGAGTTTTTCTCTTCCTGCTGGCCTTGGCGCTACTGACTTTACCTCCCCTAGTCTCCGTGGACAAGAGTAGCTACTGGACACCTCAGTTGTACTACTACAGCCCCACCGACGACACCTACGAGGCCATCACTGTCTCATACGTCAACACCTACTACCTCCCTCGTTACTCCTCTGGCGAGACCACCGTCCGCGCCTTCCCCGACGGTCTTCGTATGACCTCTGGTGACCCTACCCGTCGTACCTACAACAATGATGCCGACTCGAACGCCATCTCCTATGTCTGTCTCGACTACGACACTAGCCACTCTGGCGACACTGCCTGGGACCAGCGCAACAGCTTCTTCGAGCACAACTGCCCTAGCGGTATGCGAGCTCAGGTCAACTTCCGTTCTTGCTGGGACGGTGTCAACCTTGACTCGGACGACCACCAGTCCCACATGGCTTGGCCCAGTGGCGGCGTCGACGGCGGTGACTGTCCTTCTACCCACCCTGTCCGACTCGTCTCTCTCTTCTACGAGTTCATCTACAATGTGCAAGACTTCCCTTACAACGGCGTTGGTAACACGACTTGGGTTTGGTCTTTCGGCGACGTGACTGGTTATGGTTTCCACGGTACGTAACGCCCCGAACCATTCCTGCCAACTTGCTGACGCCCCCTTAGGTGATTTCATCAACGGCTGGCCCGCTCACGTCAATGGCACCAACGTCCTGCAAGAGGCCCTCAACGAGTGCAACGACGACAATGGTGTCGGCGGCGAGCTCACCGCCTGTGCTCCCTTCGTCCCTTACCTCGACTCTGCGTCCGCTGAAGGCTGTACTCCTTTGAACGATTTGGTCGACGAAGATATCGGAAGTGGTCACACCATCTCCAGGCTTCCTGGTGACAACCCCCTCTGGATCGGCAACTCTACCACCAAACCCTCGTGGGGCAACTATTCCGACAGCGACATTGGTTTCACCGACTTCAAATCTACCATCCCCGATGGCTATACCGAAGTCGGCTGTATCGCCGAGGGCACTAGCGGGCGTGCGTTGACTGGAGCTTCTTTCAGCTCTGACAACATGACTCGGGGTATTTGCGTTCAATGGTGTGAAGACCAGGGATAGTGAGTTGTCTCCTCGTACAATGTCGACCTCTACTGACGCATGAATAGTCCTCTCGCCGGCATGGGTGTGTAGTGTCCCTTCACTTTCTGTTACAAGCACTGACTGTTTGCAGAATACGGATCCGAGTGCTACTGTGGCGTCTCTATGAAAAACGGCGCCTCCAACACTACTCTTCTCGCCGACTCTAAGTGCAACTACGCTTGTGCCGACAACGACTATGAGAACTGCGGCGGGTCCGCCACTCTCTCCCTCTTCAACAACCCCTCTTTGTACCAGGTCTACACCTATCCCACCGGCTGGAGCTCCTCTGGTTGCATGACTGAGGCTACGAACGCCAGGGCCCTTGCGAAGTACTCTGTCTCCAGCGACAGTATGACTCCTCAAGTCTGTATCGCCGCCTGTCAGGCCAAGGGATACACAATCGCTGGGTAAGTCACGCTGTACGAGTGATCTGTTCATGTGCTGATGATAGAATTAGTGTCGAGTACTCGTCGCAATGCTACTGTGCCAACGCGTTCTCTAATGGAAGTGTCACAGCCGACGACTCATCTTGCTCGATGTCTTGTTCTGGTAAGTCTTTTGATTAACGATCAAGGTCGATGCTAACGTCATCCCTTCAGGCGACGCTTTGCAAACTTGTGGCGGTAGCAGCAGGCTCTCTACCTGGACGTACAGCAACTCTTCCTCCAGCGTCTCGTCCTCTTCTTCCTCGTCAACTTCCAGCCTCTCTTCTACTTCTTCTTCTGCGTCGACCACCAAGGTTTCGACCTCCTCCACTTCTGCGTCTACGACCAAGGCTTCCACTTCCACCTCTGCGTCTACGACCAAGGCCTCTACCTCTTCTGCCACCACTAAAGCCTCTACTACCACCAAGGCTTCTACTACCACCTCCAAGGCGTCTACCACCTCTAGCAGCACCAGCACCTCAGCTTCTGCCACCTCTACCATCGCTTCCCTCTACGTGGGCTGCTACTCTGACAGCTCCCCCCGCCACCTTAACGGTTCTTCATACACCTCGAGCAGCGCCATGACCAACGAGGCGTGTATTTCGTACTGCGGCAACCTTGGCTTTACCTACAGCGGAACCGAGGTAAGTTTTCGGTCTCGTCATATAATTGTACCCAGCTGACTTTTTTCTGGCAGTACGCTTCTGAATGTCACTGTGGCAACACTGTTCAGGCTTCTCTTGTTCGTGAAGAGTCTCACTGCAAGAGTGCTTGCACTGGCGACGCGACCGAGGTTTGTGGCTGGGGTGGAAACTTGAGTATCTACAAGACCGGAGTGTCCGCTACCAAGCGCTCTCTGTCCGCCAAGTTTAGGCTTTAGAATGGCGAGGATTCGGGGGGTTTGAGAAATAAAGAAGATGGACAAGAAAAGGGACTTTGAGTGTACAAATATATAGATTGTTGGTAGAGAAATCTGACGCCTTCCTGCGTCATTGCGTCTGTCTGGCTCTATCTCAACTTTTATCACTAGGTTAATGGGATGTGCGGCTCCATGCGCACGGGTTTCGGAAGTGTCTCGTATGTCTCATGTAAAGGCATTCAGCACATGTTCATGGTTGTCTCTTGGTGCAATCTCATTGAAGCAACACGAGCGTGTCGAGCTCTAGATGGCAAGATATCACTGACGAGAAAAGTCGTGGCGACTTGAATTCTGGTGGGACCTCTTTGCTAGGTCTTACCAAAGTCATATCTGTATAATTACATGCAATGTATTACTTTGCCTCCCAGCTGACACCGCACCCACAAGCACCTCCCTCCTTCGCCTGGGGGTTGTCTTGTAATCTAAACGAGGAGCCGATGAGCTCAGTGGCATGATGAAGTGTGGCGCCTGTAAAATCGTGGTCAGCTACATCTCTCTTGATAGAGTCAAGAGACGCACCCTTGAGAAGCCCCAAAGACGTGAGATCGACCACTATAGGAATACAGTGGACTCCTTCCGGTTGCATGACACTACCTGAGTCAGCACGGCACTCAGACGCCAAAGATGCCACTCACTAGTCGTCGACACCTCTCTCTTCGGTAATGTCCATGAGGTACTGATATCCATGGCATCCCCCGCTCTCTACGCCTACCCGCAGAGCTAGTTTGTTTCGCTGGAGGACGTCTAGAGGCTCCCGAGAGGTGATCCTGACCAATTGCTAGACATCTGTGAGTTTTCCCCAACGACAGTACTGACTCGCACTTACTTGAACAGCCTCCGGTGAGATGTTCAGGAATGCCTCCTCGGGTGGTAAGAGTTTGACATCATCATCGAGATAACCCTCTTCCTTGATGGCAGCCAATGACGGAGCCGTCACCTTGATATTGGGTCTTGTAGGGATGGGTGGCAAATGGGGAGCAGCGGAGGATGATGACCCAATGGAAGATGTTGTGGCTGATCTATACGAAGTAGGGGGAAGGGCGCGCAGGGGAGTATCGACCCGGCGAGAGGTTGCGAGGAGGGAGAAGGGTCGGGGGCGGGAGACAGGCGCGAGGCGAGCGGGAGGTCTGACAGAGAGCAGGCGGCGGGAGCAGGCGGCACAGAAAGAGGCCATTGCGAGTAACAAGGGGATATAGTTGAGGATTAGGAGAATGGAGGAATGCGAGATCCATAAGAAATCTCCAGACGTCGAATGGCGAGCAGTGGAAATGGGATTATGTAATCACCGCCACTCCTGAAATCCCGCCGCTGCCACGCCGGCTATGGATAGAAGCCGGGCCCATCTCTGAGTTGATAATTGTTGACCCATCTTTTCCATCTGCACATCATCCAACATGGCCTCCGCGATTCAGAACATCACAAACAACCTCCCCTCCCTCGGCCGCGCAAGGCTCCTCATCAACTCAGCTGACGACGTCGTCATCGTCGCCGCCGTCAGGACACCCATCACCAAGGCAAGTCCACTTGAGCGCCAGTATTGATAAGCTGACATTGCCCTACAGGCCAAGAAGGGCGGGTTCAAGGACTGCTTGCCTGAAGACTTGCTCTCTGCCGTCTTTACAGAGGTCGTCAAGAGAGGCAACGTCGACCCTGCCAAGATTGAGTGAGTCGCCCGGCCATTGGCCATATAGCACTACTGACGTATGGCAGAGATGTAGCTGTGGGCAATGTGCTCCCTCCTGGAGGCGGTGCCAATGTGGCTCGAATGGCCCAGCTGTATGCTGGTATTCCTTACACGTGAGCGGGAACATGAGCGTGTGGTGGCCTGCGCTGACTTATCTCTAGGACGCCTATTAACACTGTCAACAGACAATGTTCTTCAGGCTTGACAGCTGTCGCTCAGGTAAGTTATCATACTTCGAGTATGACCTCTACTGACACTATATAGATTGCCAATGAGATCAAGTCCGGCGAGATTGACATTGGTATCGGTATGTACTCTTTACAATCTTGTGACAGCACCTAACATTTCCCAGGCGCCGGTGTTGAACACATGACTGCCCACTACGGAGCAGGCGTACTCCCCGAGCGCATCTCTGATGACGTTCTCTCCAACCAGCAAGCCGCAGACTGTTTGGTCCCCATGGGCATCACCTCTGAAAACGTCGCCAAGGAGTATGGCATCTCGCGCGACGTTCAGGATACCTTTGCTGCCAACAGTTTCGGCAAGGCTGCTGCTGCTCAAAAGGCGGGCAAATTCAAGGAAGAGATCACTCCTGTCAAGGTACGTTCCCTCTTCGCCTTGTAATTGCAATTGATATGTGGCGCAGGTCAAGTGGACCGACCCCAAGACTGAGGAGGAGAAGGAGATCATCGTCGACGCTGATGATGGTATCCGAGCCGGTGTCACCCAAGAGTCCCTTGCAAAACTCAAGCCAGCTTTCTCCAAAGATGGCTTCACCCATGCTGGTAACGCTTCTCAGGTTTCGGATGGCGCTGCTGCGGTCCTCCTTGCCAGGCGATCTGTTGCTCAGAAGCTCGGCTTGCCGATCCTGGGCAAGTATGTCGTGTCTGCTGTCGTTGGTGGTGAGTCGTAACTATAGAGGAGACGTTCATATCTGACATGTTTGCAGTCCCTCCCAAGCTCATGGGGTGTGTATCTATCCCCACTCTCGCGGCTCATACTGACTTTCCATAGTATCGGCCCCGCCTTCGCCATCCCCAAAGCCCTCGAAAGAGCCGGCATCACCAAAGACGACGTCGACTTCTTCGAGATCAACGAAGCCTTTGCCTCCCAAGCCGTCATGTCCATCCAACACCTCCATATCCCATTCGACATTGTCAACCCCAACGGCGGAGCTATTGCGATGGGTCACCCGCTGGGATGTACGGGCGCGAGGCAGATTGCGACGGCGCTTTCAGAGGCCAAGAGGGAAAAGAAGAAGGTCTTTGTGACGAGCATGTGTATTGGAAGTGGAATGGTGAGCAGATGTTTGTCCTGGTATATGACAGTCACTGACACGGGGGCCGTAGGGAATGGCGGCTGTGTTTGTGAACGAGCAATAACGATCTTGTTGACGATCTGATGGTTGCAGGGCAGTGGTACTTGTATCCGTTTCTGTGTATATCCGCTGTTATGCATGATTGTATCCCGTAATAATGCAATGCGTTCTTCTACAGTGTCATGAGAGGTGGCAGAAGTACAGGGCGGCGAGTTCAAGATTGCTATTTGCAGCAACTCTGCCTATGACGACCCTATCACGCGGATCCTGTGAAGGACCCTCGAGTGTATATGCTATCTCATATGATTAACCTGCCTATTCCAAGACCTATGAACACTGCACCACCATATTAGTACGACCGCCGCGCCCCACATAAACAAAAAGACTGACCAGTACCAATCAAAGCCGTCACTTTCCCCGCCACCACAGGCGCCCCAGGCGGTCTGATCTTTTTGAACGCTCCTTGGTTATTGGCTTGGATAATAGCGTAGATACCTATTCCCGTGAAGGCGCCGGCACCGGTGAGGCGGCATGTTCTGCAAGAATCGTCAGTCGGGGTGTGAGAGCGTGGGTAGGAAAGGGACGGACAGGCAGTCTTTCTCGGGAAAAGCTTTTTCTTCGACTTGGGTTTGTGGTAGGGGCATTGACGAGGGCGAGACCACTGGTGTACTGGCTGATAACGACATCTTTGCTTGAGATTGGGTAGCTGATATGGAAAGACATTTCTCGGCATGCGTGCGGCGGCGAAGGGTGAACGATATCACGCCCGACGGACATGTCGTTAAATTGGCAGAAATTAAGGGATATTTACGCAGCTGGTGTGCTGACGAGACCTGCAGTGGCTCGGCGCAAGCCCTTCCCGCGGGGGAAAGGGAAGGCTTAAAGGGAAGGGCTTGTGTCGAGCCAGCTGACGAGACCCACCTCGAGGTGGGGGTGCAGCCTCTATATAATTACAAGCAGAAAGCAGTTGCCGAAAACAGCAAACTCAAATTGCCAACTTCAGCAAACGCGTTTGCTGGTTCCAGCAAGTTTTCCCCAACTGGGCTGGTTCTGCTGCACCGCTGGCGGTGGTGGCTACTAGTGATAAGGTATGCTCCCTATTACTCCCTTTTACTCACCATACCATGCCTCGAGTAGACCTTCCTCTTGATATCCAGCAGGGCCTTGACCCTCTCTTCCTTCAGGCCCTACAGTCCTTTGGCGACTCCTCTGAAGACGAGGGCGACGACCTGCTCGACCCTACCGGTCTCGACCTACCCCCTCTCGACCATATTTCCATTCCGGATTCCGGCTCTGAAGGCGACAGCTCACACAAGAGCTCTGGAGGTCTCTCTCCCCATGCAAGCAGAGACGGGGGTGACGATGACTTCTCCAGGTCACTGCCCTCCTTTTCCCCTGGGCCCTCGGATTCGTCCGGCTCTTCGGGGCTCGACCCTTCTCCTCTTGATCAGGACAGCCCTAGACCTTCACCTGTCAGGCAACCCAGGGAAGGGAGCTGGAGAGTGAACAGTTTGAGAGGCAGGGGATTGCATCGGCATTCTGAAAGGTGCGACGAGGGCGACGACCTGCTTGACCCTACCGGTCTCGACCTACCCCCTCTGGACCATATTTCCATTCCGGATTCCGGCTCTGAAGGCGACAGCTCACACAAGAGCTCTGGAGGTCTCTCTCCCCATGCAAGCAGAGACGGGGGTGACGATGACTTCTCCAGGTCACTGCCCTCCTTTTCCCCTGGGCCCTCGGATTCCTCTGTATCTAATGCATGAATGAGAGAGCACCTGGTCTAACAGCCCATGGGAGCCTGTGGTTAAGATGCGACTGGAACCCAAGCTTTTGATATGGCGCGTGATCTGAAGCACTTATGAGTTATGACAGGGGATACATTCATCAATGACTCTACACAATCTTCTTATCACCCTGGGGTTTGTCATCTACCTTCAAAGACTCGCGCAGATTCTCAAGCGCGACACTGAGCTTTTCAAGCTTCTCACTTGCATACTCCCTTGCCTGATCCCCCGAGTCAGCTATGCACGAGAAAGGTCTGCAGAGCACTCACCTGGGCATTGACCTTCTGCGCATTCCCATCTGCGGCAGTCTTTTCCGCCCAGAGCTTCTCGACGGCTTCTCGAAGACTCTTGAATTCTGAAGTCTCTCCAGATGTGGCAGAAGAAGCGGTGTCAACGGGCGCCTGAGCCTGGACAGCCTTGGCTTCATGATTGGCACGATGCTCCTCCATCTTCTGCTCCTTCCAAGCTCTCCAGCCCGCATGGCGTTTCTCGTCATCCCACCACCATGACGAGTCTCGCTTCGGTAGAGGATCCGTGGCGGAGGGAGCAGGAGAGGGCACGGCGGGGGTCACTGAAGCAGTAGGTGTTTCGGTGGGAGGAGGTGGCAGAGTGCGGTGATGTCGGGACCAGCACTGGGGATCGGTGATGAACTTTTCGAGGTCGTTCTTGCGCTCATGGTGATGCTTGTACCATACCGTAGCAGTGATGGCACCGATGCTAAACTACATACCGAGTCAGCATTGCGGCGCGGGGTTGTAGGTAGGAGACTTACCCAAATGAGGCGGCTAGGCCTTCGACCCCATCTACGATACGGCCCTCGCTCGTAATAGTGATGATAGCCGCCATAAGGATTGCGGGGAGGGGGTTGAGCCACGCCACCAGAGGCAAGGCCTGCCGCGCCCTCAGTAGCGGCATTGGCGGCGGCACCGGAGGCGCCCTCGGCCGGGGCAGCAGGCCAACGGAAGCGATGGCTAAAGTGATAGTAGATATCGGGGTGATGAGACCATCGGTGGTGGAAAGTATTGGTCTGGGTTGGGTTCATGATGAGGGGGGACTGTTGTTGATGAGGTGAGCGGTCAATAGGAGTCCCTTATATATAGCTTGCGTGGTCGGCAGGCGATTGCAGCTCTGCTCGGCGAGATGTATCGCATTGAACACTGCCGAACAACATCATCATCGTTCCTCCTCCTCCTCGGATCAACTCATTACTCAGCGAGCCGACACAACAACAAAGCGTCCACGGCTGCCCGACCTCGGTCGGCGTGTGGTCAAGTCCCGAAGTGCTTATGTAACAACTGTGCGGCTCACCCCGCCTCACGGCTCACCGCGTTGGCAGCGCAGCATCTTGGACGAGAACGAGAGATGTATCCGCTGTGAACCCAAGAACACTCAGCTCACCATGGCCCCCAAAACAGCACAGCCCGCCGCTGTCACCTCCAAAAACATCCAGACGTCCCTCGACATCCTCATTGACAACTACACCTCCACCACCCCCGCTCGCGTCAAGCTCATCGATGCCTTCCTCTTCTTCATCATGGTCTCTGGCATCTTGCAGTTCGCCTACAGACTGCTCATCACTGTCTACCCCTTTCATGCTTTTGCCGGAGGGTGAGTTGTTTGCAGAGATTGAAGACGACGGGCAGGACTCACGCGCATCATAGCTTCGGGTCGACCATTGGACAATTTGTGCTGTTGGCGGGTCTGAGGGCACAGATCACCCCCGGGAGGGATGGAGAGTTCAAAGAGGTGTCTCAAGAAAGGTAAACTCTCATCTATACCACCGTAGCGACGCCTGCTGATAATGGTCGTGCACAGAGCGTTTGCAGACTTTTGCGCAGCATCGGTCGTCCTGCATCTGTTCGCCTTTAACTTTTTGGGCTAGACAATTGTAAAAGACAACACAAATGGAATGATGTATACTACCCAGATTAGAAGTCAAAAGAAGTCATTCATGGGTATCTTCAATGCTGGATATTGAATCGGACTACGGATATAGTGATCTATCGCTACTTTGTCTTGGTTGATGCCTTTTCTCTACTCTCTAGGTCCTTGACCCCGGCTTCCACCTGCTTCTCCAGTGAATCATAAGTAGCTTTCGCCAAGGCTGGGTCTCGCAACACGGGCGGGATACTACAGTGCAGGTTAGCGCCATCACAATAAGAGAAGAGAGACATACTCGATCACTTCGCAATCCCTGACAACATCCCCGCCGCCAACCGCAGCCCTGCGAACTTCGTCGAGCTCCTTCCCTTGATCCTTGACTTTCGGCGTCTCGTCAATGGCTGCGTATCGCACAGGGGCTGACAGAGCAAACATGATGGTCTGCGCAGCTTTCGCGGGTGAGGGGGTGAGGATGATGATCAGGGGGTAAAAGACGATCCACCTAAAGAGGATCAGCCCAGGACATCTCTATCTCAGGTTACTCACAGTATCTTGCTCAAAAGACTCTCCACAATAGCGGCCTTGAGCACTTCTTCTCTCGCCCATGGCATGACAACACTGAGTGACATGATGTTGCTCTTGACGCTTTCATCGCGCTTCTTTGTCACCTCCTCGTCTGCCGCCCCAGGGACAGGCTTGACCATACCAAGCGCAGCAGCAGCGAGGGTATCCAGGATGAGCTGAAAGTGCTTCATGAGAAGGACAGTGTTGATGCTCCTTCGACCAGTGTTGAACACGATATCCTCCCGGGGCTCGGCATTCTTCAAAGACGGGACAGCCGAAGCCCAAGCAGGCGACACGAGGGAGATGACACGTATGCTCCTCTCACTAGGCGCACGGAGAAAGTAGGGCAAGAGCGACGTCAAGAGATGATAGTGGAACTCGTGCGTCGTCCATTGGTTTTGCAATTTGAGCTCCTTTGGTCGGATCTCCCACCCTTCACCGAGGATGACAGCGTCGATCCTTCGCCCGTCGGCGCCAGCAGTGCCAGTAGGGACGGAAGCCCATTTCTTGGTAAAGTCTCGGACTGCGACAGGCGACCGCGGCAGGCTCTCGCAGTGAAGCTGGGCGACGGGGTTCTTGGCGGCAGACAGGCGGATGGCGTGTAAGAGTGTCAACAATTCTTCGGGGAGAGGGCTGGGGATTGGGGGAAGGAAGAGGATTTGAGGAGGCGAAGGCAGATGTAGCAGCTGGTCGATGAGGGCGAGTATAGTCGGTGTAGGAGGGGCCTACCGCATGTCAACTATCTAGTCACACGATGATCTATGATCACTTACCACTATCAGGATCATCTTGCCAGCCCATTCTCGCTCCCAGGTGTTCTTCTTTCCGCCGGACCATACTTTGAGGGAAAAGATGACGAGGAATGTAGCGGCGGCCACGAGGAGGTGGGAGGTGGAGAAGTCGCCGACGGCGGATGCCAGGCTGTGGACTGGCATCTTGATAGTACTCTAAAGCTAAATAATGCGTATGAGGATGATAAGTAAAGTACGCTACTCGAGTAGTCGTTAAGATACGCACAGCATGATTCTGAAAAGAGAAGCCGAACGCGACGCGTACTAGCTGCTGGCTGTGTTAACGGACATGTCCTTTGTTTTAAATTTCATGACATTAATACTGAGTAACTCAGCTGTAAAAGCGCTAATCGTCTAGTGGTTAGGATGGATCCCTTCCAAGGATTCGACCGGCGTTCGAATCGCCGTTGGCGCACATCTTTTCTTAGATTTTTTTGCGTCTTTGATCGGCTGAGCTCTTCAAAAGGGGTCATGAACCTTTTGCTCCTCATTCTATTTGTGCCTCGTGACTCGTGAGTAGGATGGACACATACGGGTTGCAGACAATGTAGAAGCCTGGTAACTGAATGCGTGGATCTTAATTCAACATGAGACTACTGTGGTGGCAACATGATCAATGATTAACACGGCTGACGGCACCTGCTCTCGAGAGGCACATCCTCTCCCGTATGTGCTGACGCGATATGTTGTGCACCAACTTCCACCATCCCCCACCAAATACATCCAGAAGCGCACAAGTTGGATTTTTGGAGATGATCTCTCTTGTATCGCAGCGCGCAGCAATCAAAACATCAAGGCGAGATGTGTGAGTGGTCTAAACAGCTGTCTTAAGGAGAAGCATCTCTGCAAGAAACGGCAGTCCTCCGGGGCGTGGGTTCGAATCCCACTCTCGTCATACTTTTTGCATCTTTACCAGCATCATTCTTGAAATAGATGCTGTCCCAGTCAGTCGGTGTTGTCCTCTGTGTGCTTTTACAGCGATCAGATTGAAAACAAGCCACGACCAGATACGCGCGCATGAAGCACATGTAGGCACACCCAGTGGACACCTGACCTGCCTCCACTCTGATGGTCCGGGAAGCGGTCCTGCCGAGAATGATCCATCCGCCCATATGACCCACGCTTGTCCCGGTGAGTTTGTAAGTTACTTCGTATTACCGAGCTGTTCTCTAAGTCTCGCTGACATGCTCAGATTCAGTCAATTTTGCATTGGACGCCGCCCAGGCTGCCATACTCGCCTCCCCATCGTCCGCTCGCACCTTCGGCCTTCCGCCGCCGCCCGCATTCCCATCCCTCGCAACCCGCCACCGCCTGTGCGTCGACTTTTCCACACCACTCCTATCCTTTTCGGATCTTCTCCGTTCAATCTCCACGATGTCGGTGAAGGCATAGTCGAGGTCGAGATCATCAAGTGGCATGTGAAGGAAGGTCAAGAGGTGGAAGAGTTCGATGCGCTTGTAGAGGTGCAGAGCGATAAATCAGTGTACGTCTGTCTTATCTGTGCTTGTTGGGAATACACTGGGTCCATGCTGATGAGAAGGCAGAGTGGAGCTCACAAGCCATGCTAAGGGTAAAGTAAGGAGTATCAATGGCGAGATTGGGCAGATGATCAAGGTCGGCCAAACACTCTGCGTTATCGAGACCGATGATCCCGTCGAAGAAGCCCATGACGATGGGGCGTCGCCCATACCAGATCAAGTGAATCGCGAAGTGGATGCAGCTGGGCAAGAGCAAGAGTCGGGAGAAGAGTACATCAAGTCTCATGAGAGTCCTGCTGTTGCCGAAGCAGAAGAGCTCAGCGAACAGCTCGAGCGCGCTCCGGAGCCACACCCTTCTTCCCCTCACAAGCCCTCCAAACCGCCCCGGAAACATCCTCTCCATGAATCGCCGTCGCACGAGTACCTTCTCCAAGGCCAGGATGCTGCTATGGACGCTTCCGGCCCGGCACAGCTCTCTGGCGAAGCGGCCATCCTCCCCTCCGCGCCCCGGCCTTCCGTACCTGTGCACGATGGACCTGTACCGGAGAGACGAGCGAGATCGGAAGAGAGGAAGAGAATCGTGAAAGCGTCACCTGCTGTAAGAACACTGGCTGCCAAGATGGGAGTAGAGTTGGATGATGTGAAGGCTACCGGGGATGGCGGAAGGGTGACGAGAGAAGATGTACAGGCCGCCGCTGGGTCCGCGGCGTCCGGGGAAAGTAGAGGGGCTGAACAAGTAGCTGAGCAGGTGGTCACCAGAGTCGAGTTTGGAAGGACCAGAAAGGTCATGTACAAGGCATTGGGCGAGCAGGCGAAAGTGCCACACTTTGGGTCAGTATTTACTCCTTCAAATTGATCGTACTGGGCTGACATCATGTAAAGCTATTCCCATACGCTCGACCTCACCAACCTCCTCCCTTACCTCCGTGATTCTCCCCCATCTACGGCCAAACCCGCATACCTCGCCTCCGACATCCCCTCAAATCTTTCACATGACCCCCTGGAGTCTTTTGCTAGACCCAAGAAACCAGTCCTGCTGAGCTTTTTGGTCAAAGCGGCAGTGATGGCTTTGGAGGAACACCCAATCTTGCGTTCTAGGGTGAAAGAGAGTGGTGGTGATAGATGGCTAGAGATTAGTAGATATGGGACCATTGGGGTGGCTGTTTCAGGTCAGTCAACTCTACCTCTCTTCCATCCGTGCTGACTTTTCGCAGACCCTAAATTCGGCCTCTTGACCCCCTCCCTGCCGCCTCTCTCTCCGCTTACCTCCCTCTCGGCTGTCGCTGGACACCTTCAGCACCTGCGTGAAACGGCCTCCCGCCCTTCCCCTCCACCCCATCTGACCATCTCTTCTGTCGGCGGTCTGGGCGAAGCAAGGGGAGCTATGCCGGTCTTGCCGCCTGGTGGCGGACTTGCCATCTGTGCAGTGGGCAGAGCCAAATGGGAGGTCGAGTGGAAAGCAGCCGAGGGTAAGGCCTTTGGCAAGTCGCCAGAGGAAGTAGCAGGAGGTGGGTTGAGGGCTGTCTTGAGAATACCGGTTGGATGGAGTGCGGATCATCGCGTGGTAAGTCTACATGTTTACCGTTGGCTTTGTTCTGACGAGACACGTAGTTGGAGGGCGCAGAGCTCATTGCATTCACGGAGACTTGGAGAAAGTTCATTGAAGAGCCTTGGCGATGGCTCGAGCCCGAGTGATCAGTTATTCACGCAGAATGAAGAAGCGCAGATGAATTCGAATGTAGCCCGTGTCTGCGTGTCGATCCTGTCGATCAGTGCAGCCCGTCCACCTGCGAGGCCTGTGACCTGTGTGAGTCGCTCTCGACGATCTCAACATGTCACTCGAGCACACGTATACATAAGAAGGAGTAGATCTTCAACGGGCAACGGGCTGACATGATCCCGCTGAGAAGATTCCAGCCCGTCCATCCCGCATGTCTTTCAGCGTTGCTGTGTCTCTCAACGTTGCTGCCGCCCGATAACACGCTTGTCTCTTGGATCTGCGTTCAAGGTGCTGACCTTTCCCTTGTTCCATTCATACCGTAATCTTGAGACTTGGATCACCATACACCGGGTACACCGGCCTCAACGGCCTCAACGGACACCTGATCGTTCGGGCCAAGATCGCCATGCAATCGATCATGCTTATGGCAGCACGCGTCGACCTCTTTCCGTGCCTCAAGGAGGAAAAAGCATGGATTTTGTAGACCGGGCAGAGAAGCAGAGGGCACAGAGCGCAGAGAAGATACATCACCGCTCACGTAAAAACAAAGATTCCATGGGAAAACGCGTCCGAAGAAGTTAAGGGATGATGCCAGGGACACTGACGCAGACGCCGAAAGAGAATGTCAAACGTCATAGTAGAGGCGCGTTTTGTGGTGTGGCTTGTTGTTGTGGCTCCCGGGATCTGGGCTGGGGGCTGCTTGTCCTTCTGGTCTGGGCTCTCTTGGAGACAAGTCTGTCCTCACTGAGACCGCCGTGACATGTCTTGTCCATGCCTCTTGGACCTCTTGTCTGGAATCATAGCTGACGCCGGCTTGTAGTCACGTTGTTGGAGCGTTCAGCGATCCAGAAGTGATGGCACATGCTATCTGGATGCTATCGCTGTATGCTAGTCCTTGCTCCATTCCATTCGGACACCCGTCACCTCTGGTGACTGTCCATATGCACCCATACGCATAATACATGCACCGAATGCATGGTGCACTGGTATCATGGCCTGGAGGTCGGTCGAACCTTTTCCCTCCCCATCGACGCGTTCGGCAACTTTCCCTACTCTTTTCGACGCTAGGCCACGCCAGTTATGCCAATTTTTTTGCGGCAGGATGGGACAATGGGACTTATGTACCGGCGTGCCTCTCCCAGATACCGATGGCCTGGAGCCAGAAGCGGGGGCTGCTGCGAGCGGGCGGGCGACGTCATGGGGGTTACTGCCCTTACGTTCCAATCGCCTACATCCCTGTCCCCTCGACGCGTTCTAAATGAGAGGAAAATATTTGTCCACCCTCGTTCAGCATCCATTCACCGCTTTGCTCCACTGCCAAAACACCCCCAGGCCCCTCAGCATCGCCTCCCTTCAACGAGCATATCACTCGACTCCAACGCTCTCTCCCTTTCAAACACTATCGACAACTGCGCCAGAAGGACGGCAGATCTGCACATTACGTCGTCGACCGTGCGCCCGCCCTTTTGTCCTCTATCCGCCTCTCTTTTTGCACAGCGCTGAGCCCAAGTATACAAAGACCGAGCATACTCCACTCTCGCACTCTGCCCTGCACTGCTGCACACCTGCACAGCGCACGCATACATAAAAAAGACACGACGCGACACTCTGTCTGATCCCCCGCCTGGCTGCTTGATCATCACCAAAAGAAACGCTGCTTAGAACGCGTACGTCTGCATTTCCTGCCCCCACTCCTCCTCCTCCCCCTGAGGCTGTTGCGCTCCTCTGCTTCTGTGCACGACCTCCGGCTGACAGGCTCCCAGGGCGATCAGAACCAAACAAGGAGCACACAGGGGAAACACGCGCTGCACGCACCCCACTTGCCACTGCACCGGCTCCATCGGCTGCGTCACCAAAATCAAACACGCTCCAGAGGGATACATATACCCCTTCCCTCCCTCGTTCCCACATTCCTATTGTTCTCTGAAACACCCCAGGTGGCCACGACCATGAGCGCATTCTCAGACGCCTCTGTGCCTTCGCCCGCCCTGCCCCTTACCCCCTCGGCCAGCAGGACCACTTCTCCCGTCCATATCCCCCACGCCCAGCCAGAGTACGACTACGCCACCCCCACACACAGCCCCCTCACGCCGCCGCCCTCCCTCCGGCTGTACTCGTCCGCTCTCAAGGCCAAGATGGCTGCCGGTATGACGGCCGCCATGCGGGACCTCCGGGCCGACCGCGCTGCTTTCTCCGGCCACAAGCTGGACACTGATTTTGCGTACGACGAGGACCCCATTGAGCGCCATGTCCGACTCTACCTCACCCCGCGCACCTCCGTCCGGCCCCAACGGCCTCAACGGCCGTCCCACGTACCCGCTGAAGGCAGCTCTTCACGGCCATACTCGGCGCCGCCTGCAGTCAAGGCTGTGCCAAAGCAGCTGCATGTAACGATGGATGGGGCCGAGGGGACGTCATCGTACGAGATCGTAACCATCGATGAAACACCGAGGGTCAAGCAGAACGGTTTCCGTCGTCCATTTGCCGACGATAGTGACGCCGATACCGACGACGAAGAGCCACCCGAGATGCTCGTACGCTCCCCTGCCCCCTTTTCCCCGTCAACATCTGCGTCTGTCGACCAGTTCATCCCAGGGCTGATCAACTTCCACACAAACTCCTCCACTTCCATCTCCTCTTCACACCTTCTACCGCCCCGTCCCGATGCCTGGCGCACGGACTCGGGCGCATCAACAGCGAGCGACGCGAGCTTTGAGGCGATCAAGGCTGAGGATATGGTCAGCCTCTACGGCGGCGGAGTCAAGCGCGAGGGTTCGTTCGAAGAGGATGCTCTCTCGGACGAGGAAGAAGGTGTGCTGGGATGGGCCGACAGGGCGTCAATGGTATCCACCTCCACGCGCGATACCGTCCGTCCCAACAAGACACCCAAACTCACTCCCACATCCACCATTCACCCGCTCTCTCCAAACCCCTCGGCGCTCCATGCGCTCCTCCCATCCCCACACCTGTCTACACCACCACTTCTTGCGCCCTTCCTCGAACCCTCATCGTGCCGCAGGCCGGCACACTTGAGCGAAGGGCGGACGACAGCAAGTGACGATGGTCGCGGACCGAGAGCAGACGAGAGCAGCTCAGCAGGGCTGGGGCTAGACGGGGTCCAGCCGGCGTGGTTGAAGGAGCGGACACTGAGTGAGAAGATGGTGCTTGATGCGGGGCTCAGGACGCAGAGGCAGAGAGCGGGTGTGCGAAGAAGAGTCGGGGCGAGTGAATGATGAGGATCACAAAGATTGCTTTTTTGGGTTTTATATGGACTGATTTCTGGACATTTTTCTGGTTTATATAAGCTCGCCTTTCACGTCGGTTCCTGTTGTAGGCATGTTGAGCATGCTGTAGCCTAGATCTTTTTCTCGATCAGCTTCTGCCTTTTGGAAAAGGTGCTCGTTTCTGTTGGTGTATCTATAAAGTACGACTATCGTGCCCATGTTTGATCTGTGATGAATCATATAGTCGGAGTGAATCCCAACAGTTCTGTTTGCAGATTCAAATTTCGGTTACGTACATGGACATGGCTTCGTATATGACAGATCGTTGCTAGCTCGTCTATACACCATCTATTCACAATAGTGTTGATCTACAGGACCTCACTCCTTGGTAGCAGCGGCATAGCTCGGAGCTCCGGGCTCTCGAGAGTTGTGAGCATGTTGAGGCGAAGGGCTTATGTCAACTTTACATCTGTCAGCTTTCAATCACATCCATAGACGATACTCACTGCCTTCCTTGGCCACGGTCACATAGCTAGGCGCACCGGGTTCTTGCGAGCTGTGCTGAGGTGGCCAAGATCGGTCTTTGAATGGGCTCTTGGCTGCAGGTAAGTTGCGGCTCGGTTCTTGAGCATGCTCTGCTCCACGTCAGCTCACATGCACAAAAGCAGAAACGTTACTTACTTCTGACAACCTTCTTTGCATTCGAAAGCCCCTCATCAATGACCCCATACGTCTGGCCCACATACCTCTCCCCCAAAGCCTTGTACTCTCCCGCCGCCATGCCCCATTTTTCTGCCTCGCCCTCTGCGACGCCAAAGAGCGTATACACAAAGTGCTGGGCGTTCGAGTAGAGGACGGAGAGAATGGCGAGCGAGTAGCCGAGGATGGAGGATACCAGTTGGATGATGGGGTTGGTGTTGTCGAGGTGGAGGGTGGAGTGGATGAAGGAGAGCGAGGAAGTGATAGAGTTGCCAATGAGTCGGATGATTACGCCGATGCTACTTGAATTGGCTTTCTGTCTTCGTGGAGCAAGAAGAGACTCACGCTCGAACAGGCCAAACTACATGGTTCTTGTACCCTATTTCAGTATCCACAGAGCCTTCCTGCCCGATGAATTCGGCAATGGTAGAGTAGGCTGCACCGAAGGGGCCTTCCTCGGCGATGGGGTGACGGGACAAGATGCTGGTGATGTCGAAAGCGAGGGACAGGAAGAAACTCAATAGGGGGCTGATGATGAAAAACGGGCTTGGGCCTATCAGCACCGATCGGAAGATTGAACACAGTGGCCTCACAGGATGTTTTCAAACCAATAAGTCCCTCGCCTTTCGGTCGGCCCCACCTTGGTAACGTAAAGCTTGGTCTCACCGTCATCATTCTCGGCGACGTTCAAATGAATTCGAGAATCCCAGATGGAGTTGAACTTGATGTTGGAAAGATAAGCGTTCAGAAAAGCCGAAAAGGGGAGGAAGGAGGGAACGGCGGGTATATAGATGCGTTCGTACGCAAAAGAGATGGTTTCGTCACTATACGGTACGGTCAGCCTCGTGCTAGAGCACAAGAAGACGGGACACACTCTACGTCATAATGGGGTTCTTCAATTAGGTAAGAGGCAGTGGCGGGAAAAGCTTCAAGCTGCGCAAGCTTCTTGATCCTCGACACGCCTCGGAGAGTGAGGAGACGAGAGGTTTGAGTGCAATTGTCCTGCATGGCTGAGTGAGCGACCTCTTCTGTGAGATGCGATGAGAGCGTACGTCAAAGTACTCGTTGATAGCAGAGTCAAATGTTGTTCTGCCAAATGCGTGTAAGCCCCGTGTTGCAAAGTCAGCGACTGACAGCGAGGATAGCTCACCGGTCGAGAGAGATAAACTTGGTGGCGACGTCTGGCCCTATCTTGCTGACTTCAGACTTGTCCATGGCCGCTATATAACTCTCTTGAGATAGATGTGAAAGTGCTTGGAGGATAAAAGACAAGTTGAAAGGAGATGCTAGGACATCGCACATCGCATGCCTTGGTTCACAGCACGGTGGAGCTTGCGGTGAACCTCCACCTCGTGCCTCCCAGCATACTTTCTCACGGTGCATTGTGTCCGGACCCACAATTTCGGACACGCACCATAGCGACTCGCTCTGGGCGGACGCGGGTTCACCCGCGATAATTTCAAGGCGGACATCTCTATCATCGGCCATCGACATCTCGCGCATTTCAACATTTTGGTATCGTCTCTCCATATATTCTCTCGCACACCACACTACATTCGCCATGTTGGCTCTTCGTACCCTCCCCCGCTTCTCGACCCGCGTCCTGCGCCCCACCACCCAGCTCCGAGCATTCTCCTCCACCATCACTTCCCTTAAATCCAACACTTCAGACCCTTTTCCTCTCCCTCTGTCAGACCCCGAGCTCGCCGCTGCCAACTCTCGCTTGCCAGACGATGCTGAAGACTGGCCAATGCCCCAGCCTTTAGATCGTACCGGCGAGGACGAAAAGACGCTGAGGGCGAGGCTGGTGTACCAGACGAGAAAGAGAGGGACGCTGGAGACGGATCTGATCTTGTCGACATTTGCAAAGGACGAGCTTCCTAGGATGACTGTGGAGGAATTGAAAGAGTTTGACAAGGTGAGAGACAGACGTCATTCTGGCCTATGATCGAGTAAGGGGTGGCTCTCGTGCTGACCAACTTCATCAGCTGCTTGACGAGCCTGATTGGGATATTTTCTACTGGTCTGTCGAGAAGAGGGATCCTCCTCCCAGATGGAAGGGCACAAAGCTGCTGGAAAAGTATGTACGGTCAGCAGAGTGTTGCTTGCAGCTGACACTGTTTCAGGCTCAAGAAACATGCGAAGAACGAAGGCAAGGTGGTGCGAATGATGCCAGAGCTCACACAGCTCGAGCCTGCTCTGTAAGATTACTTGAAGATGCACCTGACTTCTTAGTGAATTGCCTGGAAAGCTGTCCGAGTAGGGGGCGTCATTTCTTGCGGAATCATTGCCTCACGAATATCTCCTTTCGGTTCATCTACCAGACTCTTCCCCTTCTCCCTATTGATCTTCTTGCCCTGCCTGCTTTTATTGCCCTTCTCGCCGTTGGTGTCCTTTGCGTCCTTCCCTCTTGATCCTCTCCCCGTTGCCAGAAGATGCGTGCCATGCTCAACTCCTGCTGGCTTCTCTTTAGCAGCATCACTACCTACTTCCAGTCCCTCTCTATCCTGCTCCCCCCGTATCCGCAGCCTTACTCCCTTCTTTGTCCCGCCCATGACGCCGGGCAAACCTTACTGCTTGGTTCTTTAAAAATGGCTATCGTCAGCAATGCGGCGTCTGATCCCGGGTGAGACTCGAAAAGGACACTCGACGTAACCCCTCCTTTCGCGTTCATTACCTCGCTCGGACCCTCCCTCAATATATAAACCAGCCTCCATTTCTATCCTCTTCTTCTTCTTCCTCTCAACTTTCATATCCGTTTGTTAAATCGCTCACTTCCCACCCCCTACCGCTGCTACCTCCATCACCCTTCTGCACTAGACGCACCACTCTCTTTCCACCCATCATCCCGGCGTGTGCGGACCTCCACATCGACATTCACCTCCCGCCTGTCATCCCCCCGGGCTACCCTACAATGCACTACCCACGCGTCAGGAGATACATCGACGACGTCTGTGTCCGCGAGCCCGCATTCTACGCCGACCACGGCGGACCAGGCTGGTATCCCGAGCTCCAACACCCCATTCAAGTCCGCCTTGCTGTTCGATACAATCCCCTCCTCAAAAAAGATGTCTATATCCAGCCCAATTCACTTTTTTTCTCGGGACTCAAGGACGGTCTGAGCAAGGGCGACCTGAGAGAGCTGCTTGATGAATACGGTGCTGAACGAGGGGTGAGTCCACAGCTGACGTCAACTTTGGCTGATGGCAATGCAGATGGAGTTTGCACTCTTCCAACCGCACAAACAGAATCATCGTACATCAATCGGCATCATGCTATTTCCTTCTCAACGCCAGGCAGAAGACGCCATGTATGCACTCGTAAGTCACCGCTCTTTCGCCAATCAGCCCGTCCTGACCTTGTTCTAGAACAAAAACTCGAACCATCTCGGGGTATCCAGGGGAGAGAACCGGGGCGATTTCAGGGTGCGGTATTCCGAGATCAACAGCCTTGGTCATCGTCAAGACGACATTTCGGATATCTTGGTGCGTCAGCGACCTTCTCATCTTGCATGCCATATTGACCCTCCCAACTAGCTTGTGCGAGAGATCCTTTCCATCTCCGACGCCTACATCCCCACATACATCCCAGAAAGCAAGTACGGCAACGTCGCTCAGCCTTCTTCTCCTACTGGATGGCACGCCGTTGGGTACTCTCGCGACCAGTTTACCACCAAACGCAAGGCTCAGGATCTGGACAAACTTCCCCAAGACCCACGAAAGTCTGGCAAGGGCAAGCATGCGGCAGAGGATACGCCTTCTCCTCCCAAGCGCCGCGCTTTGGAACCGGTCAATGAAAAGGCATCGGATGAGACAGCGGAATGGGTGGGGACGGAGAGTGCTATCGCTTCCATGATGCGTGGACCACTCCAGCCCGTTGGGCTCGGTCACCCATCTTCCTCGCAGCTACCGTCCGTTCCCCAGCACCATTCTTATACCAGCACTCTTGATGCCACCAGGGGGCCTTTCAGAGTTACCGGTAGCAAGGACTCGAAGAAGAAGAACAAGAAGAGCGGCAGGCGCCCTCGATCTCCTCCCTACTACCGACGTACCTCTCCCGACCATCCGAAACTCGTTTCCGCTCCTAACGGCAACCGACCCACGTCGCGGAGAATGTCAGCCTCCCCTTACAGCATCATTCCGGATTGCCCGGAGCTGTCTGTCCTTTCCCAAGACCAAAAGAAGGTGTTGTCCGATGCTTTACACTTACTCGGCGATAGGCCGAAGCAGGTCAAGGGCCGGGAGGTCCTAGACACCCCTTCGCAAGCCGAAAAATTTGCTCGCGACCAACAGGCTGCAAGAAAGCAGAGACGAAACCCTGTCGCTTCGATCCTCAATGATTCTACTTCAAGCGACTCGGTGAAGGAGCCGAAAGCCATGCTCACTCCCGCTGAGATTGAGCAACAGGCCCGGCCCACCTCCTCGAGCCCTATGCCTCAGTCGTTTATTTCTACTGGGCCCGCCAACACCGGTACTACCTTTGCACCACTTCTAAAAGGTGACTTTGACAGAAAGAGCAAGCCCGGCGTGAACCACTCGGATCCTCTCGAAGCTGGCGAGATCAGAGAGCATGACGACGTCCCTGCCAAGGCAATCTCGGACCAATCCCTCCTGGACGGCGCTGCTGCCGAGGCGCTACCTGCAAGATCTTCTTTCACGGCCCATCGCGAGACTCTGTCTTTATCCGCTCTCACCATGTTTTCCCATCATTTACACCCCAATCCCCAGGTTGGGTCCTACCGAGAACCTCGTTTCATCGCACTTTCGCCCGAAGGAAAGACATTGACTCTGTCCCATTCCACTGTCAACACGAGAGCTTCCCGCGCTCAGCAGCAGGTTGAGTTTCCAATTGAAAGTCTGTCGGATGTGCAAAGGAGGATCCTGGGCGTTGAGAAGAGATGGGTGCTGAATGGGCCGGCCTGGGAGAAGTGGCAAGAAAGCCGAGAAGGAGTGGTGGTGCTTGATGCAAGAGTCGAGGACAGAATTGAAGGGGGCAGAACCATTGTATGATATCGCAGTACTTTGTTGTAGCTCAGACCGTCGTGTCATTCATACGGATTGTTTACAACACATGTTTTGTACAAAGTAACAGGTAGTTTACACGTAGGGTCTCATGTTCAGATAGATTAGTTGTACAACAACTTTGTCACCTGTTACTCCTGTAGCCAAGATAGAGGAGGCAAGGAGTCATGACGAGCATATGCACCATCATGTTCAGGTTTGCAAGGATCCAGAAACCATGCCGATAGGGAAGCGGTCGTGCTCTTCCAAGCACCGGACCCATATGTCTTCCTCCCATTTGATGGGTAGGTACTTTTTTTCCTGCAAAAGACTTGAGTCAAGAGTCGCAATCAACGATGGAGACTTACAAGGCTCAGTGTAAGCCTGTTCCAGAAGCCCGCAGCGACGCGCTGATGAGCTGCCTCGGAAGGATGAAAGCAGTCCAACGGCGAGAGCGCCTTTATGGGATAGCTCTCCAGATCTATCGCGGAACCCGGCTGCCTAGCTTGATGTCAGGAAGATCGTATAACATTGTTGAATTACCCACCATATAACACCAAACCCATCGTCTCCTTCCTGCTCCCACTCCCTGACAAGCTCCAGAACAGCCTCGTCATACTCTTCTCCAAGCTCATCCATCTTCCGCCTCGTCCAGTCGCCCGCTGGACCGGGTATCATTGCGCAACCGCATTCTAGTGGCAAATGCGGTATGTGTGGTAATAGCGGGGGTTGACAATAGGGTGATTTGAGGGTTAGGCGGTAGAGAGAGGAGACACGGAGGAGGCCGACGATGTTGACTATCAGGTGAGGAAGGTGGGGACGAAGAGCGTTGATAGCTGTGCGTATGTCGTTTGCGAATTGCTTGGGTGAACCGGGAGAGCCAAACTCCCAAGCAAAAGAAAAATCGCCAGAAAGACTGATATTCGGCGAGAGACAGAAAGCACAGATATCGTTGGCACCTATGCCCAGGTTGAGATACGCCCACTCTCCCTCTTTGGGAAGACCGAGCTCGGAGAGTCTTGGGGGAAGGTCTTCAGCCTGGCGTAGGAGGGAGGCGGAGACAGAGCCAGAGATGGCGGCGTTGAGACCGTCTTCGTCGGGACGGGGCATGCAGCCTCGGACGCCCAAGCCTTGTAGGCAAGCTACTGGGGGATGATGACCTGTGGATCCACCTTGGACTTTAGTCCCTGGTTCTGAGGAGCTGGTGATGAAATGGGATAGGATATTGGGAATGGTCACCGCACCCGGGTCGCTGCCGATGGGATACGAAACCCCGCGGTATTCCTGTATATCCACCGATTTGGGGAGGAATGGGATCTGTGGCAGGACAGAAGATGACGAGGTCCGAGAAGGACGGGCGAGCAGGCCAGCAGAGATACTATCGCCAAGAGCCATGACCACTCTGATGTCATCTGGGCGCCTATACGAGCGTCAGATGGACCTCGACAGAGTCATGGGCAGCTTACACGTCTTTGGCAGACTTTGGAGTCTCCCTCCTGGGTAGATCAGGGCACTTGTCAAGCTCGCTGAAACGCACGAATTTGCCGGGGAGGTTTGGGTACGGCAAGTGGGGGGGCAAGGACCAAACATTCAGCGGGATGAGGACGCTGAGCGCAAGCAGTAGAAGGCGTATCGGTTGGTATCGACCCATGTTGGATGTGCTATAGCTTGCCGGGACCCATGTTATAGATCTTCAAAATCTGAAAGGTGGCAAACAAAGGGTAGTCGATGGACACGAAGCGGGATTGACCACGAGGAATGATGATAGCAGCGGGATGGTCAGCTGGATGTATCGCCGCCACGAAGGGTGGCGAGGGGTGTCGAATCAAGCGAATCGATGGTTCCCGTTGATACTATGCTCCTTCGCCGGGCCTGAGGTTACGTGAGGCGAGTTAATGTGCAAAAGACGATGTACTATATCAACAACAGCTACCTACAAAGAGATCTTTAGGTGAACCAAATTGGAATTGCCCATTACAAAAAAGAGTTCGGAAGACTATTAAAGTTTCTAATGGGGCTTATAGAGGGCTAATAGCGTTTCCTAATATGGCTCTAATCGGGGCCTTAGGTCAACCGCAGACTTCGGGCTATTCCGCACTCCTCGCTAACGATGCACTGCGCAGCAGGTGCTGTTCGGAGGGGTGTGCATGGCGAGGGGGAGGGGGGGAGGTGGCTAGGGGGGTCCTGGGATGCATAGATGGCTACAGAATCGCTCTTTGTCCGCCGCCACACTCGTTGACGGAAGCGGAATTCCACTCCGCGACTTGTCAACAGCGCTCTCATCCGGCCTCCATCTTCGTCTTCTTTCTGTCGATTTACCATCCCAAAACTGCCCCTTCACCTCCAGCGCCGCCCCCGACACCCCACCACCCAGCATAAGCCACCACAGGTGAGGCCGTCCACCCCCATCGGCCTTTCGCCAAATTACCACAACCGGCATACCGTCTCCTTTGACCAGGCGCTCACCCTTTCATCGTCTTCAACCCTGTCTCCGCCATCCATCCCCGGACCCCACTTCTCAACTTCCCTCCCCACACGAACCTCCAGCAGGCATAGACTCTTCGCCGCCACCGACACTGTCGAGAGAGTCGCGCGAACTGGCGCACAGACCGAAGATCATCGGAAACGTGGGTGGAGTGAGTACTACCCTTGGTGCAGCGGAATATTTCAAAGAGCGCGGGGCTGTAGAGGATGGGAGAAATCACACTGGGAGGATGCTTGAGACTTTTCTTGCTCCTGCCTCTTTTCCCGCGTCAAGATTGAATAGCACACAATCACTAACGACACATGTTTGCAGCCTTCGCGACCTCATTTCTATCTGCGACTCTTGCATTGAGACGAAACTTGACTCCGCGCCATGCAGTCGGGCCCGAGAATGGTGGTGGTGAGTTCTAGAATTGTTGAAGTGTCGGATGTCGCTGAGCGCCACTGTCTACTTCCTAATTCCTATCTCTCACGCAGCCCACTGCACCTCATTTACAACACGGTATGAACCCACCGATGGACAGCAACTCCCTCCAACAGCAGCATATGGTCATGATGGGTCAGAACGGCCAACGCATAGCCTTTGATCCCAACAATATGTCGGACGAACATCGCGCCATTTTCGAGGGTCAGATCCGGTTGCAACAGGCCCAGCAACAAGCTCAGGCTCAGCAGCAGGGGCGAGAAGCGAAAGTCGCTGGCCAACGGACACTTGGAGTGGCCGCCCCTCAGCAGACGCCGAGGCACATGATGCAGCACCCACAGCTTCTCCAGAGCCTCCAAGGTCAGGGGATCCGGCAGGTCATGACTGCCCAGGGTACAGTCATGTTTCTCGATGCCCAGGGCCGCCAGGTTCATATCAACCAAGGCTGGCAGGGTGACCCCCGGCAACCGATGACCATGCAGCAGCAGCAGTCGATGACTCAACAACAGCATCACGCGATGCAGCAGCAACAACACTTGATGGCGCAAATGCAGCCTCAAATGCAACAACAACAACAGCAGCAGCAGCCCCAACAGCAACAGCAAATGGCTCAACAGCTGTATACCCCTCAGCAAACGCAGATGATGCAGAGGCCTCAAGTCATGCACCAGCAACAGGCCATGCAAAATCAGCAAGCTGCCCAGCAGCGTGCGTCTCAGCCGCCTTCTGCCCGGCCGCCTGCCGCGTCTTTACCCACGCCGAGCCTTCTCCAAGTGCCCCCGCCACCGGTCATGAAACAGAGGCCGGTGCACGATGCTTCGCGGAGTGCTTCTCCGATGCCCCCGCACATGCGCATGCCCCAGCAGCAACACCCACAACCTGCTACTCATATGCAGCCAAGCAGCTCTGCTATTACTGGCGTGGGTCAGTCTCCTGCCATATTGCCTGCTCGTGCCTCGACAATCCAACCATCCATGTCTGAGAATCACCTGCAACGGCAATCTGTCCCTCCTCAGTCCCATCCCCAACAAGCTGTTGCTCAAACCATCACTATCCCGCCTCAACAAACGCCTCAGCTTGAGCCCATGCGGTGGTCCAAGACGATGGTTCTCTCATCGCAGCAACGGCTGGAGCGGTGGAAACAAAAGACGGCGAGGCTTGAAAGCATGCTCGCGGATGCCAAGCTTGGGCTGGCCGAGATGGAGAAGGAAGAGCACGATGGGAAAAAACGTGCAGAGAGTCGGGCGACGGATCCGAAAGCAGAGTTTGAGAAGGAAGTGTTGGGTTATCTGAGACGAGCGGGGTATGAGAGCGCGGTGGCTGCATTGGAGGGCGAGATGAAGCAATCGGCGAGTGAGAAGGAAGTCATCAAGTCGTCGCCCAAAAGCTCGCCCAATGCGAATGCGCAAGCGAGCTCTTCCACGCCTACTGAGCCAAATTCGGCAAAGGAAGTGCCAGAGACAGACTCGATATTCGGGACAGAGGTGGGAGAGGAGGAGAAGATGGACGTGGACAAAGAGAAGGCGGAGAATGGGGAGGCTTCAAAAGATCTGGGCGAGCTGTTCACCGTGGGTTGCTTCATGTCTCTTGCCCGTTTTAGCTGACAATACATAGTGGTGGATACTGTATCAAGACACTCGTGTCCTCCTGGCCAACAAACCGCATCTTTTCCAACCTCCATCATCGCTTGCCGTCACATCCGCCCAGCCAGACTCGTCATCAGCTACTGCCATCGCCATGTCGGCCCCTTCCAGCGCCCGACCGCACCCTGGCCAGCATTCCAACGGCGTTGTACCAAACGAGGCTCAACTGAAGCTGCAACAGGCCGAGGAGATGAGGCAGGCTCAGCAGGCGCACATTGCTGCTCAGCAGGAGAGCCTCAGAAGACAGGCTGCAGGGCAAGGTCAACCTCAGCACCAGCAACCTGGCCAACCTCAGCATCAACCTGAACAAAGGGTTCTGGTGCAGATTGGAGGCCAGAATCATTCTCTCACCCAGGAAGAGTATCAACGACTCGTTCAGCAGAATCAACAGCAACAGCAGTTCCTTGCTCAGCAGCAGCACCACCAGCAGCAGCAGCAGATGATGATGTCCAATGGGCAGATGTATCCCGGGCAAGTGCAACATCCGCACTCTTCACCTTCAAAAAGAAAGAGGGAGCTGGAGGAAGTGGCCGCGGCGAACAAGCATCCGAAGATCGGTGGGCAACAACCCAGTGAGTTTTGTGGATATGTTAATATGATCAACCTGACTTTGACGTAGCCCCGGAAGAGCACAGAAAGCAAGCGATGGATCTGGCTAGGTCTGTTTCAGGACAAATGACACCCCAGATGGGTCACAACTATGATCCCGACCAGGTAAGCCCAGAGCCCCTATGGACGTAGCTCACACTTGCTAGTCACCCGCCGGGCAACTTTCCGACCGACGCACAAGTCTTTCCGAAGCTCAACGGCAGTACGCCGCAACACAAGCAGCCTATGCTCGTCAAAATCTCGAGCGCACCAGTGTCGGCAACTCTCCAGCTACTTTCAACGGTGTTTCGCCCGCTCAACTCGGACAGTCTCCTATGGCCGGCTCCCCTGCGCAGGGTCACGATGGTGCCAACGGTATCAATCAAGCTCCAACCCCCGCTAGTGCCAAGGGCAAGAAGGGCAAGAGTGCTCTTGTGATCGACACGGAAGTCACCCCTGCAGAGTCTGACGCGCCTCCCTCGGCCACTCCCAGAGGTCGCAAGACACCCAGTACTGGCAAACGACCACCGAGAACATCGGCCGAGAAGACTGTCAAGGGCAAGAAGGTGAGACCAGCAAACTCGGCAGGATTGCAAGATCAATGGCAACCATGGCTGACACTCATTCCTCGACTCCAGGGCAAGCGGGGCACTGCAAACAATGCGACTGATTCTACCCCGGGTCAAGAGGGTGATGAGCCACAGACACCGGCGGTGGCTCAGACTCCTGGATCCACTCAGACACAGGTGTATCAACTACCTGCCCAGACACCGTCCGAAGAGCAGCCGCCTCTGGATCCCCAGTTGACATCGTCGGCGGTGTCGCAACCGGCTCCGGCACAAATTCCTGATCAGTCTCAGCCCCCACAGCCGCCTTCACAACATCAAGCACTTCCACCAAGCCACAACCAGTTCGAGGCACCGGCATTCGAGTTTGACGACTCGAACGATCTATTCAAGATGCTGGACTTTAGTGGAGGAGAAGGAGGTGGCGGATTCGACGGCGCAGATGTGTTCAATTTTGATGTGAGTGGTATACAGCATGTGGGATGAGCAGTAAGCTGATTCAAAGCAGGGCTTCGCATTCCCCGGCGTCGGCGGCGAAGGGCAGGAAGACTGGCAGGCTATCGAAAGCTCTTCCAGATAAGCCCTATTGGCTCTCTTCCTGTCCTTACTTTGATTTGTTGCCATCTGTAGCCTCACCATCATCACCTTGTCATCCAAAGTTTCCGTCAAAGAACTGGTCCACCCCCAAAACGTTGTCACAATACCGAAAACCCTCCTCCCGCCAGAAAAATGTATAATACACCGAGGAAGGGCCCCTGCTATCCCCACTTTCTTCTTCGGTAGTACTCCACTTGTGGAGGCCTCATTCCCCGTCCCCTGCATCTCCTCGGCTAGCTAGGATATCCGATCTTCTATCATCTTTTTGCCATGTCCCCTCTTGTATACACTTGCATGTTTTCTTCTGCCCTCTCTGCCTACTGTTGGCGATTTGCTTCTTTGCCCTCTATATGTGCTTAATCTTTTATCTCACATCCCACCCTTTCATCTACTGCTTGTGTAGGGTAATGCGTCTCGTGTAAACAGCATGGCCTTTCCCTTTCCTCTTCAATATCTCGTCGTTCCTACTACCTTCTTCTATATACGCTGTTCCCCTCCTCCTTCCCGTTCTGGGTCCCTGGTGTAGGTCATGATTAATGATGTATTGTACTACATGACGCGAGTCATGTCCCATTCGAGGATACTATCTATTTTGATTGATCAACTCTCGATTTTGCCACACTCATTTTTCCGAAATTGCCTTTTGATGACGTGGAACTTTTCGCACCCTTCTCTTGCATTCGAGACTTTCTGCTCCGACCGTATAATCGATAGTATACACAATCTTCACAATGCCTCCCAAAGCCCCCGCCACTGTCGAAGAAGCGCAGGCAATCTTCCAAAGATATCGCACGGAGCTCCAACTGCTCGCCACGAAAATAGGGGAAATCGAGACGGACCTCGACGAGCACGCGTACGTTTGTCTCCTCTCCTTCTTCAACCCATGCTGATAGTCTTGGATGTAGCTTGGTCCTGAAGACTCTTCAACCATTGCAATCTTCCGATCCCACACGGACGTGCTACCGATTGATCGGCGGTACTCTCGTAAAGCGCACCGTTACCGACGTTGTTCCCTCCCTCGAAGCAACCCATAACGGAATACAAAAAGCTCTGGATACACTGGCCGCCAATTATAAGCAGAAGGATGCAGAGTTTGCGGAATGGAGAAAGGTTGCTGGTGTAAAGGTGAGTACCTTATTGAACTGGAAAGGGATGAGGCTGATGATGATGGAAGATGGGCAGTCAATGATACTATGGCGCAACAGGGCGTCAAGTATAGAAGTGTACAACAGTGTATATCATGCATCAATACCCCTAGACCCATGCCGGCTGGTCTGTTCCTCCGACAACCAGCTACATCCCGTGAGGAGTGAGCTGGATAATACCGTCGGAGGATACGCGCCTTTGAAGCGTTGTTAATAGCTCAATGGCCAGTCCCATTCTGGCTTGGCCTTCCTTCACATGTCGGCTACATGATTCGACATGCTTATAGGCCTAGCTTATACCGCACTCCGGAAAGACGCTATGGTCGCTCATTATATAACCCACTGGAAGCGTGTCAGCTGCACGATACGTTATTGAGCTGTATGTCGCCATCGAGTATTCGCCTCCGAGGGCGATCCCAGCGCTTCCGGATCCCATCGTCTGCCAATTGCATGACACTTTTTCATGCCAAGTCGATGCCGAAGATGGATACTCTCGGGTACAACGACACTGCTACCTCTTTCCCACCCCCAAAGTCATATCTCTCGAGTGATTGGATAAGAAGCAGATCTGTCTATAAAGGCGCCATGAGCATGTCATAACTTCTAAAGTGGTGCGAAAGCGCATGGAATGTCCGTTGAAATGATCGTGGGTTTAAGGCGGACAGAACTGATGCCCTCGCAAAGCCGAAGAGGCTACTGACCATATACATGCCCGAAGCCCTCGATCACCAGAGGCCTCTGCTGTCTTGTGCTTTCAAATCCCAGAGAGGTTTCAGACGTGATACGAGCGAAAGGCCAATATAAAAGGAGATGATGTCAAGAGGCTGCCGTCATCAAAGAGGCCAAGGATAACCAAGGCGATGAGCCTTGATCATGTGAGCTAGCTTCGGTGGACGGACTCACTTTGAACCTCCCCATAGCTTGATATATACCTAAGCATGCATCTGGTGTTCGGCTACAGCACGACAAGGCTCATGGCTACTCCTATACCTGCTCCTGATAATCCGAAGTTCGACCTCCCAGTCCTCTGGGCTATTGTGCCCGAAACCACGTCATGTTTTACAAGGGCCGATTACATTTATGTATGATCGGAAGGATGTCTTTGCCCAATAATGAGACCCACGCATACGAATAACCTGCGTGTTCATGCCCGAATTATCAGGCACGGACCGGAAGATTTCACCGAAGATAAGGGAAGATGTCGAGATGAGACGCGGTAAGACCGGCCGCTCGACCGTTGTTTCCTCCTGCCTTTTGTCATCTTCTTTTCGTCTGCAGAAGGGCCAGAATTGATTCTATACTCAACAGTCCGCCATGCCACCCACCAGTCTTCCCCCGTACGACTTCGCAGCCCATTCCAGCAGCTCCAACGACCGCAGGACCCGGAACAGCGAGCGAACCTCTCGCGCTTGCACAACGGCAAGCCATCTTTGCGTGTGTACAGGATTGTGCGCTGACAACTACCCACAGTGTCGCTCGAGAAAGACAAAGTGTACAGGTAAGCTGTTGGCATCGCGCCCGGACTATGGAGCTTGTGCTGATACACTCCCCCAGGAGAGCTTCCTATGTGTCAAACGTGCCTATTCTATGGAAAGAACTGCGAGTATCCTGCTGTGGACAAACGGACAACGTCAGTACACGCAAGTGATGTGCCGTCCATGATTGATGGCACGGGGAAAATACTGCTGACGCTCCACAGCGACCGCTCCGCCCAACTTAAGATTGAGAGGCTCCAAGCTCGGGTTCAAGAGCTAGAATCTATCCTCTCTATACAACGAAACAACGCCTGTCTGTCCCCTGGTCAAGACGAACAGTCGGACGATGACGAAGACATGGCCCCTTATGAGACCGGTCGCTTGGTCTTGTCATCGACCGGCAACCTTCATCTACACCCTTCCGCAACATTTTATTGCCCAGCACACGTCGTTCCTGAATGGCAGCACGCTCTCAACCGCCTCAATGACCAGCAGCCAGAGCTAGTGACGCTGCCCGCATACCTTGCGACATACCTACCCCTCCACACTACCCCGGAGCACCATCGACACTTACTCGACCTTGCTTTCGATAGATTGCTTTGTTTCGGGGCAAATCCATTCAAGGACAAGTTCCTCCAGGCGATGGATGTAGACCCCGACGCGCGTGGACTGTACTTTTCGCCTCTACTGCATCTCGCCTTGCTGGGAGTGGGTTGGCGCTACTGCCAGGACCGAGAGATGTTGATGAGGCATTACCCTCGACAGGGTGGCGATAATAGGGGCGACGAATATTACGCAAAAGCCCAGGTGATGATCATGGATGAGGCGAATGAGCCTTGCATAGGTAATATGTTTGCGCTGTTAGTGATGACATTGTATTATGTCGGAAGAGGAGCAGAGTAAGTACATCATCATGTCGAATGTTCATGTCGCTGATATCTGCAGCACTCTTGCCGGAGCCTGCTTCACCTTGTGCCAATTTCAATGTCTCAACTGTGAGCAGTAAAGAATCTGTACCCTGAGGACGCCGCTGACACTCGATCGGCTGAATAGTTAGGGTACACAAACAGTGCGATGGTCAGCTAGGCGAGCTCGACTTGGAACCCGAATGCGAGTTGGACAATGCTCGAAGGTAAGTGATTGGCCTGTCAGCGAAAGAAGTGTAGGCTTACGACCACCACAGAGATATATGGCACTTTTGTCTGAATTTTTCAGCCTGGTGGGCCACGTTCTACGCCCAGCCGGTATTGCCTATGATCAACTGGGGAGTCGACCAACGTCCCCCATATGTTCACTCCAATCACCCCAACGGCAACGTACGCGCCTTGTCGCTCATGGCCGCTCAACATTCTCAACTTTCATACTACGGCTTTGAATCGCTCAGCATCAACCACCTGCTCAAGATGCCGAATGACATGAGAGTCAAGCGGGTCCGGGAGCTGGGAATGTACTTGACACAATGGTATGTTGACTGAAAGCAGAGTTCGCATCAACTTGACTGACATGGCTCGTTACAGGCAGCAGAACCTCCCCCCTGACGTCGCCTGGCCAATCCCCCCCGGCGCCCCCATCATGCACCCAGGCAACATCGTCACTCAAGGCATGTACTGCACTTACATCATTCTCCTCTACCGCCCATATCTCATCGAAATTGGTGGTGGGCCTAATCTAATCCCGGAAGCGCTGCAGAGGTGTTTGGAGTGCACGCAGGACATAGTGGATATGGCGCATTATATGGTGGATCACCATGGTGTCATGAAGGCTCCGCTGTCGTGGCAACAGTGCGTATATTGTCGCTATATACCCCAAGGACTGACGTTCTCTATAGCGTCCTGTATGTCGGAAGCACCATCCTCATCCTCCAAGTTGCCGGCCTCCCCAACATCACAGAAGAACAACGTCTATGGGCGCTCGACTCCCTTCGCTTCATCCAAGAGGCTTTGAAAGAGTTTGCATACGTCTGGGTCGCGGCGGGGAGAACGGGATCGTCATTAAGAACACTGCAGGATGACTGTACGCCATCGAAGGATATGGTGGTGGAGGCGGTTGGAGATGCGAATAGGATGATGAGTGATTTGGCCGTGGATCTGGCAGGAGGCGTTGTTGGGGACGCGTAAAAATGAAAGGTATACAAGCATTGTATCCATAATCTAATCTGTTGTAAGATATCAAACATATGTATCTTGCTAGTCGGCATGTCCTCATACCCCATCAAGCATGGTGAACTGCTTCATACGCCACTGTGCTTGTGTGCAATCATTATGCTACGTTATAGACAGACCCGATGGCCCCTTCGTCTGGCGCCACCTCGCTTCGAGCGTTGATCAACATTGCAAGGCTACACAACGCCTCTAAGTGACTGAATCATACCCCAATTCACATGAGAAGGTCAATAGCCTATGAGCGACGTTAGCACAATCCCTTTCACTCGACAACGTTCACGCACCTAAGCTTTCGGCGTCTCCGTGATCCACCGAGGCCCCTTCTTCTTCTCCTTCTTGCTCGACCCCGCCCCCTTGGATTTTGGCGAAGGCGTGACAACACCCATAGTAGCATACATATGCATCACCGCAGGCTCAGGCTGGCCCTGTCCGAACGGCGTGGTAGGCACCGACTTTCGAGGCTTCTTGACCGCACTCGGGCTGCCAGTCTCGGCAGAAGAGGTGACGGCGGGTGATTTGGCAGGGGTGATGCGGGGGATGGGAAGGTCGGTGAGGCGGCGTTTCTTTTTGCTCGCTGGGGTGATTGGGGTGTCTTTCGCAGGAGTAGTGACAGGCAGGGGATCGGGGGCAGCGGCGGGGCTCTTGGGAGGCTGAGAGACGGAGGTCGCGTCGGCTTTTGACTTTCTCCTCTCCTTCTTTTCCTTCTTTTCCTGCTCTTTCCTCGCCTTTTTTTCTGCGGCCGCTTTTTCCTTCTCTTCCAATTCAGCAGCTTCCAACGCCAAGGCCTTTTCCCGCTGCTCTTGCTCCTTCTTGTCTCTCTTTGACTCTTTCCCGCTTTTCTTCGGTTTTGTCGACGGTGTAGAAGTATCAGGTACTACAGGGGAGGAGGGAGGAGGAATAGGGGAAGCGACAGAGACAGATTCGACGGGAGCCGATGAAGCGACTTCTTGTCCACCAATTGACTTCTTACTCTTCTTCTTCTTCTTTTCACTGGTAGAGGGAGGCGACTTTCCCGGTGTGGCAAGCTCATCCACCATTTCCATATCCGCCAGGTCCTCCGAATCCAAGCTACTCCTCTTCTTACCCATGCCGCCCCGCGACAAGACTTTTTGGCGCAACGGTGTCTCGGCGCCGAGGGCATCGCTCTTGCGTTTCTTGCCCCTCTGTGTAGGGGAAGCTGGAGTGCCAGGGGAAGCCAAAGAGCGAGATGTAGGAGAGTCGTGGGAAGATCCAGACCCGGAAACGTGTGAGAAGTGGTATCGGTAGACGTCCGCTTCGCTCACGGGCGTACTGAGTGCTCGGGTGTCTCGTGGTGGTACACCACGCGCCGGAGTCGAGGACTCTGCCAGGGTAGGAGACTCCACAGCAGGGGAGGCGACAGGAGCGATAGGTTTGGCGCGAGACGTAGACTTGGGGGTCTTGGCCTTTGCAACCTTTGTCGAAGTCTTGGAAGGACCTGAAGGGGTGGAGGAAGGTTCTGGCGCGGGAGGAATAGGTGGCAGAGGTGCAGGCGCATCTTCGACACCAACAGGCGTACGAGCAGCCTTTGACTTTCTCGGCTTGAATTTCGCAGGTTGCTCGGCCGTGATTTCGGGTGTCCGACTTGTTTCTGCCTCGGCATTCTCAGCTACCCTTTTCTTTGCCTTGTTTGAGATCTCTTTCGCCAAGGTTTCGTAGGCTGAAAGCACAGGTGTAGACGTTTCGGGAGCTGCGTTCGTGGACTCGACAGCTGGGGTAGCCGCCTCCTTGTTCTTCTTACTCTTCTTGGGCTGCTTTGCTTTGGGCTGGACCGGCGGCACCTCGTCTGTTGTCTGAGACACAGCAGGAGGAGCGGGGTCGACGGCCTTCGTCTTGCATTTTCCCTTATCTTTGCTTTTGCTGGCCTCGACATTGGCAGCTTCGACATCCGTCCTAGCTCCTTCCCCCTCGACGGCCTCAACAGCCTCCACAACCTTCTTTCCCTTTCTCCCTCCTTTCTTTCCTTTCCCACTGGTCTCCTTGTTCGCTACAGCGTCAAGGACGGGCGTTTGACGCGACGATTCTGCAGGCGTCGAGGTGGAAGACACGGGCGCGATCTTGCCATCACTTCCTCGGTGTACGAGACCGCATGCGATAGCGGTGTAGTATGCCAGGAAGTCTTGCTCCTTGAGTTCCGGCATGCTGCCTAGATTTCGCTTCTTGACAGATGATTCGTTTGATGGTTGATGGTTGGAGAAAAAGGAGAGATGTGACTGGGACAAACAGTTGAATGGAATGAGCGCGTCGCGTGCCACATTGCGGACACAAAACAGTCAAAAGCCAAAGGAACATCAAGGCGAGATGTGTGAGTGGTCTAAACAGCTGTCTTAAGGAGAAGCATCTCTGCAAGAAACGGCAGTCCTCCGGGGCGTGGGTTCGAATCCCACTCTCGTCATACTTTTTGCTTTCTGTCCCCTTGGCTCTGGGATGATCTTTTTGATGATTTTTTTTCGTTTCAGTGTCGTCCTTCATCCTATGCATACACACAGGCAATTACAGCGCTCATATATACACCGGAATGCATAGGGATAAGAAGTATACAGATATCACGTGACACGACGGCATAGCGGAGAAATTGAATTGTGGCACTTGTTGTTCTTCGAGCAAGCTGAATTCAAGCCTTTGTCAAAAAATCCCTCTCTCCCCTACACCCCTCAAAATTCCACTGAAACCATGGCGGACTGCATCACCATCGCCACGGACCTCTCCTTCAAGGACCAGGTCAGTTTCCCCGCGAAAAAAGCTGCAATATTGAGCTAACTCCGGTTTAGATCACGGAACTTGCTGCCCACCTTTCCAGGTCCCTTCCCAATGCCGCCGACGCTGCCGCCATCCGAGAATTTGTAGGCGAGTTTGAGTCCAAGGCTTCTGCGGAGGGTGCGGACCAGAAGGCTATCGTGAAGGGCGTGGTGGACAAGTTTGCGGAGCTGAATGGCGGTCTCGAAGGTACCAAGGAGTCTGGTACGTTTTTGTCCCTACTATGTGAGAGGTCATGCTCACCAAATCGCAGAGGTCGAAAGCTCCCACTTCCTGTTACAGCATGTCCTTTCAAGCGTCTACGAGCAAGGATCAGAAGAGTACGACCAGGCGGTGAAGAGCGTGAACGAGGCGGTCAGGAATGGCGCACAGGAGGCTACCAAGCACACCCGAGCCGAGGCTGGTGCTCGAGTCCTTATCAACACCTACAACTACCTCCCCGCCACCTCCCATCTCCGCCCATCCACCCTCCTCGCCCTCATGTCCCTCCTTTCTACCACCCTCGACCTCTCGACCTTGCCCCTTCCCACATCTACCCTTATCCCCGCCCTTGCCTCATGGAACATCCCATCCGCCGAGAAGGTCGAGTTCTTGGGCACTGCTTCCCAGCTCTATTCGTCATTTGGCGATCTCTCCAAGGCTCTCGAGCTCATAACCCTTGCTTTGAAGGAGTCTGTTGAACCCGCGCTAGTCGAGAAGGCCGTCTTTCTCTCAGTCGCGGTCCCCACCAAATTCGAGCTTGACGATGTCCTCGCCATCCAAGGCGTCCCCGAACAACTCGGCCAAACCAAGTCTCTGGTCGAGCTCTTCGAAGGCGATGAGATTGAGGCCATTGAGAAGGGCAAGAAGTGGGCGGCGGCCAATGCCTCTTTGGTGGAAGGTGCTGGTATCGAAGGGTTCACTGGCGAGAATGTGTTGAGAAAATTGAGGCTGATTGCCCTTGTCGCGCTCTGTGCGAAGAATGAGACTCGGGAGCTTGGGTACGCGCCTATTGCCAAGGCTTTGGGCATCGAAGAGCCCGAGGTCGAGACCTGGGTCATCGATGGTGAGTCCTTGAATTCAAAGTTTGACGTTTGCTGACAATTCTCCAGCCGTCCGATCTAAACTCATCGTCGCCCGTATCTCCCAACCCCTCTCCATCATCCGCATCCAATCCATCTCTTCCACCACCTCTTCTTCGCGCCGCTTCGGTCCTGCCGAATGGCAGCTTCTCGAGAAGCGGTTGCAGCAGTGGAAGAAGTCGGTGGGCGAGGCCAGGCAGGTTGTGGAGGAGGCGGAGCAGGTCGCCCAGCAGGGTCTTGGTCAGCAGAGGAGAAACAACGGCGGGAAGAGGAGGGAGGACAAGAGGGAGAAGGATGAGAAGGATGAGGAGTAAGGGATGTTGTTGTAGGTGTATAGATAATTCTATTTGGTTCTGCATATCTGCGTATATCTTCTTGTGGGAGTATCTCGACTGGGGGACACACATGTCTGTCGGCTCTGGTCGGTATCATACTCGCAATCTCAAAGTACATCTGTCTGCCCGCCTCTGCCCGATATTCTGGGAGATTGCTCCCCGCGTTCCACCCTCAGAAGGCATGGGATGTTTAGTTGCAATGCAGTTCTGCCGCATCATACCATTTTCATCTTGAAAGAACCACGCACATAGTGGAGGTGTTGAGACTTTAGAGAGATACTTGAAATCGTCACATCGTGTTGGAGCTACATTGGGGTATATAGCCTCGGCTTCTACTACATCTTCGCGTGATACCTAGCCCTGTATCAGCTGAATGATGGCCTTGATACCTTATCGTTGTTCCCGACTTGTGCCGTAATGAGTTTCCTGCCATGAAATTCGCGTCAGTCGTTTTCGTGGCTCGCGTTCGCGTTCGATCGAGACGCGCTCTTGTTTGTTTGCATCTCTTTCACAAATATCCCGCCAGTCTCCACGATGGCCCCCTCTCCTGGGAAAATACATCAGCTCCCAGGCAAGTCTTGCCCTCCCGCCCTCTAACTGCCAGCTCACTAACAATACACCACAGTCAAGGTTCTCTACAGCATCGACACCTCGCCGCACTCCTACGTGACAGTCCTCAGCGGCCTCCAAGACGTCTATGTGCACTATTCGGCACCCAGCTATTCTTCCGGTCAAACCCGTACCGGCCCTCTCCAGGGAAGTTGTGTCCTCAAAAGCGTAGCCAGAGCAGTATGCTATGCGAGGTCAGTATCGCCAGGAAACAACGCGTCAACACCACTCTGACTCAGTACGCAGCCCCGAGTGTATACCAGATAACCAATGTCTCGACTTTTCTCTCTACAATCTTGATCCCACAGAACGCAAACCCTTCCCACACGCCTTCAACCCTGCTCCCGACGTCACCCCTTCTTCTTGGACGGGCAAAGGATTCATGTCTTGGGTCTTGTCTGAATCTTCACCGGGCACAACCCTCGTCAGAGGGAAGCTGGTGCGAGAGTATGAGTTCTCATCGCACCACTTTCATGATATGGAAGGGGGCCTTGAGGCGCTTGTTGCTGCCGCCAATAGCACGGCCCGGAAACAGGACGAGGCCGACGGCAAGGGATGGGGGCTAGAGGTCAATGTGTCCTTGCGCCAGGTCAACCCCGAAGGGAAAGCAGAGTTTAAGGGCAGACGCGCCTTTGAAGCTTCATTGACGAAAGGGGGAAGCGATGGTCCAGCGCCAAACAGTACGAATGGAACGTTGAGCTCCCCTGTCGCTCAGAGGTTTCCAAGTCAACTGCAGTCGGGGCAGAATTTCGCTGCTCGGCCAGCTGGTGTCGGTCTGGGAATGGAAAAGACGAAGAGTAAATCACCAGGTTCTCAGAAGAAACCCACGAACCAAGCTAGCAATGGACAAACTGCCGGGAAAGCGCAGTCCAGCAGACCTTCGAGTGCGATGGGACGACCTGCATCTTCGACGGGTTTGCCACCAAGCTCGTTCCCTGGATCGTCCAGCTCCAACCTGGGGCAAAGTCGACCTTCTTCCTCTTTGTCTCAGAATCCCCCATCGCGTACGGCTCAGAGTAACTTGCAGCCACCGCGTCCACCTCAGCCTGCGGCTTCTGATGCTGTATTCCAACCTCCCGCACCTCCCAAACCTGCCCAGCCGCGTCCTGTCACGCCGCCTCCCGCGCCTCGTTCCAAATCACCACCCCCCTCCACGCCTTCACGTCGACACCTCCAAGCTCTGCTAAAGGCTGATGGCAACATGTCGCCCGATCTCGCTCGGCATCTCGCGGCGAATCCCATGCTTAGGCAAATTCTCAAGGCTGTACCACCAGGGGCTTCTCTCCTTTCACAGCTGAGGAGTGTCAAGGTGGACGACTCGACTGGCGGCCAGGTACAGGATTTGAAGAGGAAGGAGGAGGAGAAGGATAGAGGATCGCCTGCCGAACCGACTACCCCAACACCGAGCGGGCCAAAGACGCCGCTGACACAGAAGCCCCAGTCAAAGCAACAGCCTCAGAATTCTCAGGCTGCTCAGCAGGCCAAGGCGCTGCAGGCGGCTCAGGGATGCTGCAATTGTGGGACCATGGTCAGTAGTTGTTGGCGGGTGAGAAAGATGAAGGAAGGGCCGCCTCGGAAGGTCTGTGATGGTGCGTATATCATGCTTTAATACAAAATCCCACTGACAATGAGTAGACTGTGGTGTGTACTTTAACGAACACAAGCAGATGCGTCCCCAAGAGCTGTGGGATCCCAAACCCGCACCAGGCGGTAATGCCACAGCAGGCCCAGGGCCTTCTACTAGTGCCAATGCGAGCCAATCTGCCGAGCAGAAACGTCGAAATCAATCCCATCACCCATCCTCTGACCTCTTCTCAGATGGCCCAGCAGTCCGCTCTTCACCTCGCCTCAGGCGTCGTGAATCACAAGATCATCCCACGCCGACGGCCAATAATCACTATAACACACGGTCGCATCCGTCCGAGCAGGCTATGCCTCCCCCTACGCCTCGTACAGCTGCCTTGATGGGCAGTGTCGCAGAGAGCCCACGGAAGAGGTACAAGGGCAAAACGGGTCAGGTGGCAGACTCTCCAAGGAGGGCAACCCGGGCTAGTGCGCGTGCGGGACCGTCAGAATTCTCCAGTGAGGTGTTTGGATTTGCACTGGGAGATGTTGGGAATGCACATAGCCATAGTGGGCATACGCCTGCTGCCCACCACCACACTGGGCAGTCCAACCCAGCAGCTCTGACTCCCATGTTGAGTAACGTGTCTACCACGCCCATACGCCTTGACCACGCCTCATCTCACGCGAATCCCACCGACAATACTCTTCCGTCTGTAGACGAGTCAGGGAATGACCTCGATCCAGACTTTGATATCAACGCGTTCCTATCGTCGATGGATAATCAGACGCTGGGGGCAGATGACTTTGATCTGAACAGTCTGTTTACAGGACAGGATGGAGGCGAAGTGAATGGAGAGTTGAATTTAGAGATTATGGAGCTGCTAGCGAATTGGGATGAGGATGCAAGCGGGGACGGAGGCGACAAGGGACTGCCGCAAAGCGAGGGGATGGACGTGGATGGGTCCGGGTTGTAGAGAACGCCGTATAATAGTCTTACTCCTCGACGATCGCGTCTATGCATCGTATAGAGTACATACACGCCGTCTTGCATTTGAGTGATATGCAGGACCATGTGTCTTGATTGCTCAACATTGTCGGCCTGGACGGTAGCGAAAGAGCCGGCACCCCCGGAACCCCGAGATTGCGTCGTCTACCGAGCAATAACTGCAGATGTTGTTTTTCTTTCTCATCGCCTCTTGTTTCCTCGTAGACTCGGCCCATTGCAAGTCACAGAATGACTCGCCTCTCTCTCCACCTCCCCCCATTCGCCCACAATTCCCTTGCATTCTCCCCTTTCTACGAAACTCGCCTCGCCCTCGCTTCGGGAACAAACTTCTCTTTGGTCGGGAATGGTCGTGTGTCCGTTGTCCACCTTGGGGAAGGGGTCGAAGGCGGGCAGGGAATCGGCGTCATGAGAGGATGGGATACGAGGGATGGGGTCTACGATGTGGCCTGGAGTGAAGTGCATGAGTGAGTCTTTGGCGCCCAAGAAAACCATGGCCGGCGAGTGGACACGGTGCCTGTGGCGGCCACATACAAGAAGCGGCAAGGGGTCAGGTACTGACTGCAAGAAGGAACCAGCTTGCAGCAGCCCTGGGGAACGGATCAATCAAGCTCTACGACGTGACACTGGATGTAAGACTTACACAAGGCCATTCCGACCGATTCCTACGGAGGATGATTTCTGTCCGTGTACTGACTCCTGGCTTATGTAGCAATTGCCTATACGGTCATGGCACGAGCATACCGCAGAGATCATGACTATTGAGTGGAATAACCTCCAGAAAGATATATTCGTGACTGCCTCCTGGGACCAAACAGTCAAGATCGTCCGTCCTCACACCTTCTCCATTGTATCGTCGCTGAACTGTCAATAGTGGAACCCCTCAAGAGAGACATCTCTTCTGACCATCCCCGCCCATCCATCGCAGATATACAGTGCCACATTCTCGCCACACTCGCCTACTATCCTTGCTTCCTGCGGTTCCGACGGCTTCATCCGCATATGGGACACCCGTCTGCCTACCCCACCTCCTGTCAAGACGTCTATTCCCCCTCCCCCAGCTCAGTTGCAGGCCTCACAGTCTGTGCAGCAGATAAATTTTAGTGAAGGTGAAATCTTGTCAATTGATTTCAACAAGTATGTCCCGCATATGCTAGCGTTTTCGTCGCAGGACGGAAGTGTGTCCACTGTGGACTTGAGAAATACGCCGAGAGGGGCAGAAGGTATGGGGGTAAGGCAGGTTGGCAAGGCCAAGCTCGGGGCAAGGAAAGTAAGGTGGGATCCGCATGGAAGCGGTAGGCTGGCTAGTGGAGGGTATGATATGGCTTGTCGGATGTGAGGAATCTATTCTTCATCTTTCTCGTTGATGCTGATGAACCGAACAGATGGCAAACGACGCCCCAGCCTCGAGAGCTATGCGCACATACATTACATACCGAGTTTGTCATGGGCGTGGAATGGGCACTATTCGACCCGGGGTTAGTTGGGAGTTGCGGCTGGGACGGCCGGCTGGACCTGTATCGTGTATGAACCGGTATGACAGGGACGTATGGATGATAATACCCTATTTCGTACATACTGATACTCTATACGGATTACACGCTTCGTATACGGGTGCTGATAGGATATATCTCTCACATTGGCAATTACTACATCCTCCGCTTGCGTCCTCACTGACCGCCGTTCTTCGCTGCCCTTAGATATCCTTCTTTCCCTCGTCGACCTCACGCTGCTCCTTCTCCTCGACTCGCCTGGCATACTCCTGGCCAATCTGCATGCCGATGATACCAACGGTCAAGAGACCGACAAGGGCGTTGGCGGCAGCCAAGACGCGGAGAGCCTCAATCTTCTCGTCGTTGGTGGGAGGGAATTCGCGGGGAGCAGGAGTAGGGAGGACAGAGTAGGAGGAAGCCACTGTAGATTCGGGGACTGAGAGATCGCAGTTAGTAGATGAGAGTGCAGATCATGAGGGACGGGACATACGGAAAGTTCGGAGAGAGGTGAGGTGGACGGTGAGGTAGAGAATCACAGTCGCCAAATGCATGGCTATCACACAAGTGTCAGCACTGAAGCTGCTACCACCATCGTAGTAAAGACGTACCGACGCTGCTTCCGTCAAAGAACATGGCACTCTCGTTCCATTTGTGCAACTTCACGAGGAGGGCGACCAGGGGCAAAGCGAGGGCAACATTGAACAAAGCCTGGTACATTCATCAGCATCCGTTTCAGGGGATTGTTTCCCCTTCGTCCATGCAACAGCGGCGACCTCGCTAAGAGTTTACTGCCCGAAGCGGGAAGGAGCCAAATAAGATGCCGAGCCAAAACTCACCTTGATAGCTCCAGGCGCCTCCCACCAGAGTTCGTAAAACTTGTAACCGTTCTCAATGGCAGTTTCCGTCACAGGCATATACAGCAATGGGATGTCGACCTGTTTATTCGCAACGGCAGGGAAAGAGATTTCAAGTCAGTATTGTTTTGCCCTGTATCGCGGCAGGCAGCAAGAGGACGGAACGAACGACTTGGGAGACGAAGACGATGCCGAGGATGAAGGAGCATGATGCGAGGACGACGGACTGGAGAAAACCCATGGCGGAGAGAGATGGGGCGATGGTGTAAAGCAAGATGGACGATTCGACAGGTGATTTCTTATCGGATCGCTGCGTAAATAGTGGACGAGATTACGTAAACACATCGGCTGCCTCACAATTGGACGATGTTGGAGAACGATACGGGGACGATAAGACCCCTTCAGTTTCGCAAATGGTAGCTGCACATCTATCGCGAGCCTCGAAATCCTCCATACCGAGATACAGTTCCTATATGAGACGAAGGGGTTCTTTGGCTAACCACTCAAATTTGATCATCGACCTTCTTCAATGGATGTGGTGAGCAGAGTCCTCCGACAATCTGATGAGCAGAAGGGTAAAAGCCAAGAGCTTTATCAATGTATGCTATCATGAACAGGCCCATAGTTTCGAGACATTAAGCGGACAAAAAACAAAGGACTCCACTTGGCTAAAAGTGACACCCTACTCGTAGCTTAATTGTGGTGGAGTTGGTTGATCTGATGTCGCACTGATGTGATTTCTTGACATGCTACAATGCAAGCAGCGGCGAGACATATAGAGTTTACATGTACAGCATATGGATAACCGCAAAATGACCAAATTTACAGATGGAGGGAGCAAAGTCGATGCTGGAAGATGTGATAATCTACTTGAAGTGCTTGTAGGCAAACTTCTCGTACTCCTTGGTTTTGAGACTCCTCTTCTTCGGTCTGGAAACAAAGGTCAGCATGTGTCCGCGAAACAAATAGAGGGACATACAATTGAGGTACTCGAGGCTCGATGAGAGCTCTCTTCTGCAAATCCAAGAACCTGTCCTTGAACAGGTTGCCCTCGGGCTTGATCTGTCTCAGACTCTCCGCCAAATCCTCTCCCAGCTGCACTTCCACCCTCTTCCCCGGTACCCTGTGCCTGCCAATCTTTTGACCCGCCTTCTTCAACTCCTTCTCCTTTTGCTGCCTCAACTCCTTCGCCTTCTGATCCTTCTCCGCCTGGAGAGCCTTTTGAGCCTCGATTTGGAGGTTCAAGGCGGGGGCAGAAAGGACAGAGTTGGCAAGGTTGCGTCGGTTCTTGTTGGCCAGAAGGGCCGCTTCAAGAGCACGTTGACGGGCTTGACGGTTACGCTGGGCAGTTGTCTTTCTCTTGGAAGGCTTCTTCGTGGGCTTTTCGACATCGTCGTCTTCCTCCTCCTCTGAATCCGACTCGCCACTTCCGACCTCCATACCCTCCGCAAACTCGGACTGAGGGGCATTTCGGCGAGCCTCGATAACGGCACCGAACTTTTCCAACCTGGAAGCCTCCGCCTCCTCTCGCTTCAGAGCATCGAGCTCTTCTTGGATAGCGGCATCGATGAGCTTTTGGTGCGCCTCTGCTTTGGGGTTGTAAGACAAGCCACCTTCGGGCTGCTCCTCCGCCTTCTTGGCCTTCTCCAAGAAGAGTTCCCTTTGCCTCTCAATCGTGATAGGAGCCTTGACCTTCCTCTTCACGATTGTCTCCTCTCCGAAACCACCTTTGACGACAACCTCCTCCTCCTCTGCCCAAGCGTCCTTCTCAGCCGGTCCACGAGCTTGAATGTCGGCAGACGAGAGACCAGTGCCATCAGAGAAAGCCTGCGTCTTGCGCGCTATACGCTTGAGACGGTCCTTCTCCGCACGAGAGAGCAGGTGTTGCTTCTTGTCGGCAGCAGGAGCTTTGGAGACTTTGGAGGTGAGGGAGGGGACGGCAGATTTTTGGTCGAGGATGGCGAGAGATCGAAGGGGTTTGTGTTGACGCTTGGCTTTGGCACCGACTGGATAGAGTATAAGTACATGTAGCTCGATGTTGAGGGTTTAGACTCACCTGTCTGGTCACCAACAGTGTCGACCGTAAACAGATTACCGCTCGTCTTGGCCGCTGCAGGACCACTAAGTATAGTGTCAGCTTGAATCATCAATACGACAGACGTTTCACATACCCAGTGATCCTCTCATCCTCCCTGGCCTGCTCAAGGGCCTCCTCCTCTTGCCTGATATCAATGTTCTTCCTCCACGCCTTCTTGCCCTTCCTCGACGATTGCGAGTGAGTCGCAGGAGCTCCCAAGTCCTGGAGCGCCTTTCCCTTTCCCTTGGACTTCTTGGACGCCTCCGGGCGGTCGTAAGGCTTGGCCTTGGCTGACTTCGAGGTGGTGGGGGCCATTGCTACTGCCGGTGAGATTTTGAATTATACCAAGCAGAGATGGACCAAAAATCAGCAAGTTCATCAACTCTTTTAGAAATATTTCCGTTACGTAATCTCACTTTTATCCCCGACTACTCTTCTTCTCTTGCATTTCGAAAATCCCATATATCTATTGCTTCCTCCCCCTAGCAAGCATTAGAATGAGTACAAGACCTATTGTGCGCTTCGCCAAAACACCCCTGGCAAGGGGGCTCACCACTTCTGCCCCGGCGTTCGCGCCCAAGAAAGGTGCGTACAACTGCGAACCTGTCTCGAACCGCGTACTGATTGCGCTTCGTAGCTACCGCTGCCACTGCCAAAGCAAAGCAAGGTTTCGCCAAGAAGAAGAAGGCGGATACCCCTTCGTCCAGTGGTGGAAAGCAGACTATTGCTTTGAGATATAGCATGGCGGGGACACCTCCAGACCTCTCAGACCTTCCCAGATTGCAGCCTGTACGTCACCTCAATGCTTTTATGGACATGGCTGATATTATAAGCAGGGCACATTCAGAAAAGACACTGTAGGAAAAGCGACAACTCTTTCCAAGCAGTCGTTCGACAAGCTCAAGGTTATTGGTTTACCGACAAAGATCGACAAGGAGCTTTCTTCGGCTGGTGGACCTGTGAGTGTGGTCAGAGAGGCTACTCTGGACGTGGTGAAAAGGGTCGAGAGTGCCAAGAATGGAAGTAGCAAGGACTCTCGGTTCATCCTCAGTACGTGTCTCCCTTGAACCTCTGAGCTTTACTGATTTGGAAGCAGCTGGTGAAAAGGGCAGTGGGAAGAGTATGCTCCTCGTGCAAAGTGTCGTATACGCGCTCGAGACCGACTGGATTGTTCTTTATCAACCCCGGGCCTCCAAATGGACCAACTCTACATCACACTACATCTATGATTCATCAACAAAGACCTACTCTCAATGGGAGTCTGCTCAAGACATTCTCAACGTTCTTGTCCAGACCAACAAAGACAAGCTCGATGCTATCAAGTTGGATAAGACTGTGGAACTTGCAAAGGGAAAGGAGATCAAGCAGGGCAGTAGCTTGACAGAGTTGGCGCAGCTTGGTGCCAAGGATGACAGAGTAGCGGTCGCTGCGTTTGAGGCGGTGATTGGCGTTCTGGAAAAGCAGACTCAGTACGTCACAGCTTTACCAATTATGGCGTATACTAATTGACTCACAGATTCCCCGTGCTTTGGGCTATTGACGAAGCACAATCCCTGTTCAACACTTCCAAGTACCGAACAGCCGACTACACCCCTCTTGAACCATACCACCTTTCGACCCCCCGACTTGTCCTCGATTTTATCGCCGGTCGTCGAGCATTCGTACGTCTTTCAAGCTTTCTGTGTACTCGGTTGACACCTTTTCAGGCCCGTGGTTCCATCCTCACCTCTCTGTCCCTGTCCGACCCCACCGACCTTCCATCCCCATCACTCTCCACCGCCCTCTCCCTCCCCACAACACAACCCATCACCCCTTACACCCCCATCAACCCGTACCACCTCGCCCACGCCCAAGGGCTCACACCCATCGCCGTTCCTCAGGGCATGAGCGCTGAAGAAGCCAAGGGTTTGTTTGAGATTTATACCAAAAAGGGGTGGGCTGTTGGTGCGTCGGATGAGTTGTTTGTGGAGGGCTTTGTGGCGACGCAGGGTAACCCGAAGGAGTTGGGCAAGGGATGGGAGAAGACTTTTATGGCGCTTACCATCTAGACTATCCCGCATGAATCAAGCATAAGATCATACAGTTTGCATGGGAGTCTGGATACGCGCCTGAAGCTTTCGAGCTGAGAGCTGTAGTACAAGTAGTTGAGATATACTGGATGTTGCGGCAGTTGATATCAGTCGCGGACAGGTCGCGCATAGTAGTTCTGTATAGAGTGTGGCGAAAGCAGACACTTGTCAACAAGGACACAGAGAGGCTGTTGTTCTCTTGAGAGCAAAGCATTGCTGAAGCAGCAAGGCAATAGAATCAAGTTGACCGACCAAGCGAAGTGGAACGCGTCCGGGCTGGGAGGCGGACAGCGCCACCGACGGCTCGCCATCACTGAGGCTCTAGTATTGTCTCTATCATCCACATCTCCACCACAGGCCATGGACCCCCTCTCCCCCTCGGACGACATCAACGCAGGCTGGTCCTCCCCCACCGACCACACCTCCCCGCTCCCCCCGTCCCCCGCCCCGCCCACCACCGCCTCCAGCTCGGGCTTCTCGTCCGCCGCCTCGTCCTCCGCAGCCGGCCTCCGTGAACCAAAGATATTCGGAGCACCCGGGATGGGCCTGGTCAGTCCGCCCCCGGATGCTCAGTTTGATCATGCAAAGACGAATGGCGCGAAAGAGCCGCCGAGGCCGTATTTGAGAGTCAGGATCGGCACGCTGGAGAGGAATAGGAAGGACCTGCTGGTCCGCTTCGATGCGAGTGTAAGTGAGACATCGAGTATGCAAGCAAGTGCTGACGCAATCTGTAGACCAACCTGCAACACTATAGACTGCCTCTGTATAAAAACATGCAGAGAAGCTACGTCGAGTTTCAAAAGTTCGCGGAGCAGGTGCAACTGCTTTGTCCTCAGAGTATGTCGCCCGGGATCGATCAGGAGCAATGCTAACTATACTACAGCTATAATACCCGCCCTGCCGCTCCCGTCTACGTCGGCAATGACGGATGAGGAAGACGATAGGCTGGTCAGGATTGCGCTTCAGAGATGGTTCTCTAGGGTATGTGAAGACCTGGTCTTGATGAAGGAGCACGAGTTGAGGAGCTTTATCGAAGCAGAGTTTAGTGTAGGTCAAGTCTCTATCTGTATGACCGTACCCTGACTATCCTACAGTACAATCCGATTACACCACAAAATGCCCGACGCGCAGGATCCTCAACTGTCCTATCCGCCCTCACCAAAGTCGTGCGCCGCGGCCCCCTCGACGAGGATGACGAGCTCGCCTCCGCCAAGATTGCCCTCGAGAAACTCGAAGAGCGCTATGCCCAAGCAGCCACTTGTGTCAACCAGCTCGGCAAGGCGAGGAGGCAATTGGCGCAGAGTAATGCGGACGTGGGGGCCAGGATGATTTCGTTGAGCACTGTGGAGAGTGAGCCGAGCTTGGCGGGGGCGGAGAGAAAGATGGGCAGGACTTGGGAACATGGTTCTGGTTTGATGGGTTCTCAGGTGAGCCTTGTCATCTCTTGCTTGGGCGTCACTAACAGGACAGGCTGCGCATGAGAATGTCATCCTGAGCGACTCTATTGGCTACCAAGCCCTCAACGCGCGAGCCGCCAAGGATACTCTTACTCAGCGTACTCTGGTGCTTGAAGATGCTCAAGCAGCCACCAAATCGGCCATCAACAAGCGCAGAGCGTTGGAGAGGTTGAAGGGCAGCTCAAACATCAACCAGAACAAGGTCGATGACGCTATCAGCGAGATGCAAGAGGTGCGTATCTTTTGCTTTTCTGACGATCCCTACTAATACTCGTACAGGCCGATGCTCTCGAAGATACTCTCTCAAAGCGCGTATCAGCCATCTCTGAAAACCTCCACACCTCCCTCCGAGCGCACTCGCGCCACGCCCACGAAGACATTGCCATCAGCCTCCTCGAAGCCGCGCGCATGTCGGTCATGTACCACAAACAAACGCTGAAAGAGCTCGAGAGTTTGAAAGTGGATGTGGGGAAAGTGGCCCCTGGGGCTGCGCCTTTACCTGTGGAGAAGAGGACGGCGGCGGGGCAGACGCAGGTGCCGGCTAGAGTCCCGCCGATGGTGAGGCCTCCGCCGCCGCCTCAGCAGCAAGCGTCGTTCCAGGGTGTTCGGTCGCCTCCTGCGCAGGTGCAAGCGGTCCAGCCTGCGCAGGCTCAGACTCTGGCGCAGGGGCAGTACCCTCGGGGAGTACCCACGTCTCAACAGGCCGGACCATCCCAACCGCCTTTTGGGGCTGGCTATCCCCGACACGCGAATCCATACCAGAACCAACCTGTATCGCCTTTCCACTCCCAGCCCTCTCCCTCGCCATACCACACCCAAGCTGCTCCTTCTCCATACCATACTCATCCTCATCCTTCTCCGCAATACCAGACCCAGGGCGCACAATCGCCTTACGCCAACCAACCCCAATTCCAGATCCCCCCTCCTCAAAACACCGTCCCACAACAAAGCTACTACCCCCAAACCGGTCCTCCTCCCCCCCAGATCCCTGTGGGGGTACCCACTTCCCCACCCCGCGCCAACCTGGTGCCCGACGGGTCACAGACCATGTTCTTGCCTCCAAATGGTGGGGGCGGGATCCAGAGACCGCACTCTGCTGCTCCGTATGCTCCGTATTCTAATGGCGATGGCGGGGCTGACCCTCTTGGCGGTGGCGGGTTCCGCCCCCCTCCCCCTCCGCCTGGTGGACACTTGCCTCCTGGACACGTGCAAGGGTTCCCGCAAGGACAGATGGGCATGGCGCAGAGCATGTTTGTGCCCGGACACCCGGGCGCGGGGCAACCTGGGTATCCTGGTCCACCTGGAGCACCGGGGACGCCGGGGGTGTATGGCCCGGGACCGCAGAGGGCGGGGTCGATGGGGCGGAAGAGGCTGGATGAGCGCAAGGCTGCCAAGTTGTTGGCTGGTGGGTTCTAGGGTTCAAGTCGAAGAGAGTTGGGGATGGAAAGAAAGAAGGAAGTGTGATGATGAATGATGAAATGTGTATTGACGAGTCTGATTTTTTCTTGATACGAGCACGTTAATGTGAGCGATGCATCATTCTGCTGCCTTTGCGTTATAGTAATACTCTGAGGAAGCCTGGGTGGACATGGTCAGTACAAGGAAGCGACATGTTGCAACAAAGACTTGTACCCAGAGCCAGCGCAACGTCAGCGCGCAATGATTTCTCACAATGCTAAAGTTTCGCATGTAATTCAGGTAATATACAATCCCCGTCATCCCTTCTCCAACAACCACCCCTCCTTATTGTTTCTTATCCCCCTGCTCCAAGCTCATAGCGATAGCCCTAGCAATAGCAGCATCCTCATCCTCCTCCTCCTCCTCCTCCTCCCCCTCGCCCCCTTCACCCATCTCTACATCTTCGCCTCTACTCAGGCGGAGGGCCGCTGCGAGCTCTTCATCTTCCTCCCCCTCCCCCACCTGCCTCCCTCCGGCTGTTCGGCCGCCAAGGGCAGGACCGGTAGACGCCGCGGCAGTACCAGAGAGAGCGGATTGGACCTTTTCGGCGTTTTCGCGTTGGGCGGGGGTGGGGGTGACGGGTTCGGCTCGGGCGAGGCCGGGGGTGGGGGTATCGCCGGGGGCCATTTGGACGTCGTCAGAGGTGGAGAGGGGTTGGGTGATGGATGGTGGGAGTTGGGCGCCGCCGGCAGAAGAAGACTCGGCGGGGGCGGGGGCGGAGGGGGCAGCGGCGGCGGCTTGGGCTTCTGCTTCTTGTAATGACATTCGAATGGCCTGATGCTTTGTCAGTACATGAGCCAAGAGGAGAAGAGAAGGAGTGAGCGTACCATGGCAAGTTCCGGGTCGAGCGAAGGGTCCAGATCGTCTCCAAACCCACCAGCCGCACCACCCGCAGGCGCATTCTCACCATCAAACAGAATCGGCGAGCTCGCGATCACGTCCGAGAGGAACCTCTCCCCCGGGGGCACAGACACGAGATGCGACTCGTCACTCCCCACAGCATCCACCAACCCGCGCAGCTTGTCATCGTTCTCCCGGCCCTCGTCGCCGAACGTAACCACATCGACCACGACGTTATTCTTCCTCAGCCTCTTGCCGAGCTTGACGAGCTCTTCAGCCGTCTCGGATAAGGGGGAGGAGACGAATACGACGATGCGTTGGCGCTGGTTCTTGTTCTCGCGGTGTTTGAGGGCGAGGGAGGCGATGGAGATGGCGGTGGAGAGTTGGGGGAGGGAGGAGATGAGGACTTGTGAGAGGGAGTGGAGGAGGCGGCCGAGGTCGTTGGTGGGGGTGACGAGGAGCGCGGGGCTGTATAACGTCAGCGTGGCTCTACTGGGTAGTTGTAGACTGACGCAGTACCAGCCATGGTCATGAGGCCGACCGCGGACTCGGGGTTTGCGTCTGTCTTTGCTGTGAACACGGTCTGGACTGCCTCTGCCTGGGCCTGGAAGCGGGTGGGGGGGTAGTCGCCATTGCGCATGTACTCGCTGTTGTCGAGGATGAGCATGCAGCTTTCGAGGGGCATCGTGGAGTGTAGAGAGTAAGTATGTCATGGACGCGCGTCTAGTAATGAGGGGGTGTTATTAACAGTGCCACACTGTACTCGCCGGGATTATCCCGCCCCTCGTCACTCGTCACCACTCTCTCTGGCCCTATCACCTCTCCCATCAACACCCATCCTATCCATCCGTGAGTCCCTGCCCTCCCCCTGCAGCCCCAGTGTCAGTCCCGGTGATGCCCGCCCTTGCCCCGAGTTTGCCCCAGTCTGCAGCCACGCGACACGTCACAACGTCGTACACGGCCTTATCCATCGCGCTGTCCTTGGCGCATCCGTCCTGTACCACCTGGCCAGCGCGAGAGGCGCCGGATGGCAACCAAGGTGCAAAGAGGAGCGTCCCGTAGCTGCAGTCCTCGCGCCCATGGCTGCACTCGGCCCCAAAGTCGGCAAGGCGATGCCCGACAAGCTCACTGCACCACCACTCGCAAAGCGGTGCGATGCGTAGTTGGCCGATGTCCTCGGTGCAGCACGCGACGCTCGGCGCGTGCAGATGGGTGGATGCGGCGTCGTCGACGATGCGCGATGCGATGCGGGGCGGGCGGGCGCTCGACTTTTCATCGCACGGGCCTATTGTTCTCTCGATGTCTCGCCCTGGATTCTAACTATAACGCGCATCCTCGCTGACTCTATCTGCTGCAGATATAAAACTCGCCCAACATGTCCATGTAAGTCCCAACAATACACATGCAGAACAACGCTGACGTGGCTACAGGGAAGAAGAAGTCGCCGCCCTCGTCATTGACAACGGTTCTGGTATGTGCAAGGCCGGTTTCGCCGGTGACGATGCTCCTCGTGCCGTCTTCCCGTAAGCCTCTTGTACTACTATCGAATCACTCTAATAAATCACAGCTCTATCGTCGGTCGACCCCGACACCAGGGTGTCATGGTCGGTATGGGCCAGAAGGACTCTTACGTGGGGTAAGTCCACCCACTCGCCCTGCTATATACACACTAACATCTCCCAGTGACGAGGCCCAGTCCAAGCGAGGTATCCTTACCCTCAAGTACCCCATTGAGCACGGTATCGTCACCAACTGGGACGACATGGAGAAGATCTGGCACCACACCTTCTACAACGAGCTCCGTGTCGCCCCCGAGGAGCACCCCGTCCTCTTGACCGAGGCTCCCCTCAACCCCAAGCAGAACCGAGAAAAAATGACCCAGATCATGTTTGAGACTTTCAACGCCCCCGCGTTCTACGTCTCCATCCAGGCCGTCCTCTCCCTCTACGCTTCCGGTCGTACCACCGGTATCGTCCTCGACTCTGGTGACGGTGTCTCTCACACTGTCCCCATCTACGAAGGTTTCTCCATCCCCCACTCCATCCTCCGTATCGACCTTGCCGGTCGAGACCTCACCGACTATCTCGTCAAGATCCTCATGGAGCGAGGTTACTTTTTCACCACCTCTGCCGAGCGAGAAATCGTCCGAGACATCAAGGAGAAGCTCTGTTACGTCGCCCTTGACTTTGAGCAAGAGCTCCAGACTGCCGCCCAGTCCTCTCAGCTCGAAAAGTCTTACGAGCTTCCCGACGGCCAGGTCATTACCATCGGTAACGAGCGATTCAGGTGTCCCGAGGCCCTCTTCCAGCCTTCCTTCCTCGGTCTTGAAGCTGCTGGTATCCACGAGACTACTTACAACTCTATCTTGAAGTGTGACTTGGACATCAGGAAGGACCTCTACGGTAACATTGTCATGTCTGGTGGTACCACCATGTACAACGGTATCGGTGCGTATCACATCTCATAGTGTGGGGGGCAAAAAGCTGACATGGACCGCAGCCGACCGAATGCAAAAGGAGATCACTGCTCTTGCTCCTTCTTCCATGAAGATCAAGATTGTCTCTCCCCCCGAGCGAAAGTACTCTGTCTGGATCGGTGGTTCCATCCTTGCCTCTTTGTCTACCTTCCAGCAGATGTGGAGTACGTCTTCCCCCTCTTCTCGTCTACTCTTGTGCTAACCGATTTAACAGTCGCCAAGAGCGAGTACGACGAGTCTGGACCTTCAATCGTCCACCGAAAGTGCTTCTAAGCGCTGTCTACCTTTTACACGCCCTCGTCCTCGTCTCTCGCTTCCTTGCCCTTTTTTTTACACTCGGTCCTTTCGCGTCCTTGACGACGTTTTTGTAAAACCCCTCCTTCCCTTCCTACAACAATCTCTTTACACCCGCGCATATTTAACCATGCATCTTTTTTCTCTCCTTTTGCTGATTAATCCTTTTTTTTTTTGGCATACCCCCTCCCTCCTTTTTTTACCCTTCCCTCCCCTCGCCCATCTGCCTCCTCTGATGTTTATGTGATGGGTGTGTAGATTTGTGGATTGGAAGAGAATTTTTACAGTATTTGAAAGAAAGACCGCTCTGAATTTTCAAAGAAAAAAAATGAATTATGATGCCTTACCTGAAAGGTTTATGGGACAATCAAGAGATGAATGGGACGCAGAATACGATGATCACTGCAGCCCACCAAATGGACGTTGACGGAGAGCGTTGGAGGGACCGTGTTTCTCTGCTTTCCTTGCTCAATCTTTGGGATGACTGCCTGTGTTATGACCTGATGCGCTTATAGTGGGCTTTATTGATCTTACTGGATGGGAATCGGGTATCGAAGACATGTATGGTCAGTTGCCTACTATGTTGAGGAGGAGTGTTGCGGAAGCAAAGTACCAGCTTACGTAAACGCCTGCTGAAACAAGTTTCGGACTTGTCTCGAAGAGACGCAAAGACCTATAACGAACCAAGCTCTTCCCCCTAGCATCGTCCACCATGTCCTTCCTCCGCCTCAACATCCTCCGCCCCGCCCTCTCCTCCTCAACCCCCCTCCCCCGCGCTCAGGCATTCTCCTCCTCTTCAGCGTCCTCAAGACCGTCCCTCCTCTCCCTCTCCCCCCTCTCCTCCGCTTCTTCCTCACCGCTCGCTTCATTACGCTTCCGCTCCCGTCAACAAAGATTACCGCTCGGGCCCGGTGCTGTGGGGGGGATGGGACTCGGTGGCAGCGGGAGGAGGGAGTTTGGGTGGACGAGGGTGGTAGAGGCGAACCCGCAGAAACAGACCAAGCTGAAGAGTCATTCGTCGAGTAAGAAGAGGTTCTTTGCGAATGCCAAGGGGATGGTGCGTTCTTTTTCCTCTTCCTCTGTCTGATGGATGGGGGGTGAGGATGAAAGTGCTAATGTGATTTCATGTAGTTCAAGCGTGTAAGTTTTGACAATAAGGAGCTTGGGAGCTTGGGGGAGGTAGATACGTGGATATGGGAGAGCAAAGGTGGCAGAGGTGGAGGGTCGTACAATGAGCCGGGATGAGCATGGTGCTCAAGAAGGAGCATTCACACTGACAGATGTCCAGGCCCAAGCTGGAAAAGCCCATCTCAACACCCCCCTCTCCTCTTCCTCGATAAACAGGCTCGCCAAAGGCGTCAGAGTGACCAATACTCAGGTCAGTCTTTTCTTTCTTTTCTTTCTCCTTCCTCCTTGCTTTCTTGACCGAGTCGACTTGCCACGTGATTGATTGATTGAAGGAAGGATAAGAGCTGACGTTGAAGTAGGCGAGGAAGCTGAGGAAGCTTTTGCCTTTTGCTTAGAAATGGTTGATGTATATAAATGGTTGATGTATGGAACGCGGACGATATGTGGAGACATTTCGGAGCCATTCAATCACAGACTCGACAAGCCAGCTGTGCGCGTGCGTTCAGCAGCGCGGACTTCTTCTGGGACTGTTTCCAATCCTGGACACGTCGTACAAGAGGGCACTTGATGGTTCTCGTTCCGAGAGACGACACGACGTCGATTATTTCACCCTTTCGACTTGGCCACCACACTGAAGCCCTTACAAGTTTGCTCGCGTAGCACCACTGATTATGAGAAATTACTCTGCGCGGGACTCACGTACCCGAGGGACCTTGTGTCGAACCCTACGACTGCCAAGAAGACTGGGCATGGGCTACTGCTGGAGGACTAGGACTGACAGCCGACCTTCAGGCATCGTGACGAGGACCAACTATGTGCGGTCATCTCGTGGCCATTGCGGGTACGAAAGATGTGCCAGGATAGCAGGAAGAACTGCTGCTGGAATACAGCACGAGTACTGTATAAGCGCATCATTCCATCACCTGGGATAGTGAATCTGGCCGCCAAGGAAGATTGTCGATAGATGAGTTTCAGCGGCGCCTAAAGTAGGCTCAAGTGTCGATGGAGGTCAATGTGTCATTGATTGTCTCTGGCCCTTCTGGCCTCTGGCAGCCTCATCATGGTATCTTTCCCTGAATCGCACATACAAACTTGTCTGACCGTCAGCCTCTTTACTCCGAACGGAAATTTATTACTAATTAGTACCAGTGCCGCACGCTGTCGTGCCACCTTTTGTTTGATGCGTTGGTCTTGGATGCCCCCAGGGCCTCCTCATGTTGAAGCCAGAGTCCCTTGATTCCCAGTGAGGGCTGTGCATGTCATACACTGCGACGCTGAGCGTTCAGAATTCAGACAATTCAAGCAAGGCCGGCGGGCTGGGGAGCATCGGATTTGACCGAAAGGCACCATCGAAAGAGTCTCTCCTGCGTCCCTCGGTCTTGATAAAAAGTTGCCCAAACATCGAACGGAATTCAACAACGCTCTACCGAATGTGTTTGACGTTATCGCTCATCCCTTTATCCCCGTAGCAAATCACCCCTTACTCATCTTGTCCATGTCGCGCAAAGACAGCCCTTCTACACCAGCCGCTGTGGGGCAGGTCGCTGAGGAAAAAGTGGGCGATGGAAAGCTCGACGGCAGCCAGGATGGCTCTGTAGACATCCCTACCACGAGAGCTACTGGATATCGAGACCTCTCGGATTCAGAGGTGGCCCAGTTCCCAGGCGTCAAGCGAGAGCATTGGTGGTCAGTATGGTTGCGAGGTGGTGCGTCAAACTCTGCTGACAATCTGCAGGGAGCTATGGCGGCCAAGACACTCTCCTCCGCCCCCCAAAGCATCACTAGAGGATGCGGATATCATACCCCTGGCGACCGCTTCTATACTGAGCAAGTTGACCTTTCAAGTGAGTTCCCATAGCTGGGCTTCTCCCGTCTCAGAGCAAAGCTGAAGACTTCGCAGTGGGTCACTCCTATCATGGTCAAGGGCTACCAGCGGCCCCTGCAAGCTACTGATCTCTGGAAGGTGAGTATTTCTCACGCTGCCTGATAATCATCTGACCACGAGGCATGCAGCTGGACGAAAGTCGAGAAGGTGTGCCGCTCCCCAGAACTGCCCCCACATCAGGCTGACAGTACTGCAGCTCAACCTCTCTCAACGCGTTTTATGGAATGTCTCGAGATACGACAAATGAAGGCCAGTGAGTGGAACGAAAGTCTGCCGACAGCCACGCCTACTCGAAAACAACGGGTCAAATGGGCTTTTACTGCAGCGACTAAGCGCACGCTGGGATCTGAATATGCTCGGCATGGCTCGGACAGCACGTACAACGAGAGGAGGGCTACACTGGAGAAAGAGTGGAGGGAGTGCAGTGGAAAGAGGCATGGGAGCGTGACGTGGGCCTTGAACGATACTCTCTCTGGGTTCTGGGCTGGAGGTGAGCCACATTTCAATCTCTCCTCAATTGCACGGGCTGATGACCTCTCAGGTCTTTTCAAGGTCTTTGGTGATACCTCCCAGATCATGATACCCCTCCTTGTCAAATCCCTTATCAATTTCAGTAAGGAAGTCTATGCCGCCCACCAATCTGGAGAACCAGAACCAAACATTGGGCGAGGTGTCGGGATGGCCATCGGTCTGTTCCTCTTGACTGTGATGCAGTCGATTTGCCAGCACCAGGTATGTATCATCCACTAGGGAAAAGCTGGATGCTTACGCAGCATCAGTTCTTCTTCCGGTCCATGGCCACTGGTGTGCTCGCTCGTGGAGTTTTGATAGCCGGGGTCTACAAAAAGTCGATGAACCTGAGCGTCGAGGGTAGGACAGCACATCCGAATGGAAGACTGTTGTCGTACATGTCCAGTGATGTAAGTCAATGTCTATGAGCTTACAGATAGTGCTGACCCATCCATTCAGATCTCGAGAGTAGATTACTGCGCCCAATGTGAGTCACATCAATACGCTGTAGAAGCAGACACTGATCGTGGCTTGATAGGGTTTCATGCTGCAAGTTGAAGACTTCTTAGATGATGCAACCTGATACTGACGCTATTGTGGCAGGTCTGGACTGCACCGATCCAGCTCATACTCACCCTCAGTACGTCTATTCCCATGCCATATGGACAAAAGCTTACGCTCCTTGCAGTCCTCCTCATAATCCAAGTGCGTTTCGAGACTCATGAGAAGACCAACTACTGATGAACGGTGTAGATTGGACCCTCCGCATTGGTCGGCTTTTCGCTCTTCGTCATTCTGGCGCCTCTGCAGACATGGTTCATGAAGTTTAGCTTCAAGATACGAAAGAAGTCTATGGTAGGTCCAATAGCCTAGAAGAGATGCGGCGTATCGCTGACGTCTTTCAGGTTTGGACGGATTCTCGGTCACGGCTACTTCGCGAGCTGCTGTCGTCCATGGAGATCATCAAAGTGTTTACCTATGAGATTCCTTTCCTGAAACGTAAGCTCGATCATCCCGTCGCCCTCTTTCCTCTGCCGCGCTGATACATTCCTGGACAGGGTTGAAGAACTTTCGAAAGAAGGAGATGGCCGGGGTGCGAAAGATCCTGATGATCCGGGCCGCCAACCAGGCTCTGGCTTTCAGTGTTCCGGTAAGACCAATGGAGTGAGTATACATTTTGTGGCTGATCGCTCCCCTTGTAGTCACTCGCCTCAGTGCTAGCATTCGTCACTTACGCAGCTTCTCACGACAACATGGACCCGGTAGGTCAAAAACTTCCCAGCAAGACAGCTAGCTTATGGCCCTCCAGGCTCTGATCTTCACCTCTCTCGCCTTCTTCAACCTCCTTCGCCAACCCCTCATGTTCCTCCCCCGAGCCTTATCCTCTTTGACCGACGCCCAAAATGCTATGGAACGGCTTACCGAGGTCTTTGAAGCATCCGATCGCGCCGAGAGCACGGTGATTGATCCGTCCATCGGTATGGCGATCCGCACGCGGGATGTTTCGTTCTCATGGAGCAAACTCAATGCGGCGGATGCAAGGGAAGAGAAGGAAAAGAATTTTGACGCCCCGTTTGGTATCTCTTCTTTGAGTATCGAGGTTCCTTGGGGCAAAATTGTTGCTATTGTAGGTCCGGTAGGGAGTGGAAAGAGCAGTATCCTCCAAGGTGTAAGCCTACGATTGTTTGTGGTTGTGTCTGGACTAATGTATAACAGCTTATCGGAGAGATGCCACAACTTGGTGGATCAGTGACCTTCGGTGGTCGACTTGCGTACTGTCAACAATCGGCTTGGATCCAGAACGCCACCTTGCGAGACAACATCACATTCGGCCAACCGTGGGATGAACAGAGGTACTGGCAAGTCGTGAGAGATGCATGCTTGGTACCGGACTTGGAGATCCTAGGGGATGGGGATTTGACAGAGATTGGTGAGAAAGGTAAGGTCTTGAACCGATCCCCTTGGATCCACCAATCTGATCTTCGACAGGCATCAACTTGTCCGGCGGCCAGAAACAGCGAGTCAACATTGCTCGAGCTTTGTACTATAACGCCGATATCATTGCAAGTTTTCGGCATTACTATGAAGCTGGTCTGACGCAATCATACAGCTCTTCGATGACCCCTTGAGCGCTGTTGATGCGCATGTCGGCAAATCTCTCTTCGAAAACGCTATTCTTCCTCTGCGCGAGAAAGGCAAGACTGTTGTTCTCGTAACGCACGCCCTTCATCTCCTGCCCCAAGTCGACCATATCTAGTGAGCTCAGCAGCAATCTCATGAACGACACTGACACGACATTAGCGCCATTCGTCAGGGAACGATAGTGGAGCAAGGGACATACACCGAGCTCATCGCCTGCCGGGGCTTGGTGGAAAAGTTGATGACCGAGTTCGGTGGTTTAGGAGGCGCTGGAGAGGAAGAACGTGCTGCCGAAGAAGAGACTGCTCTTGACGAGGACAAGTCAGAGTCGACCAAAAGGAAACCAGGGAAAGTGCAGGAAGCATCTGATGGTCTGAAGGAAGCTGGAAAAGGCAAAGCTGCGGGTACTGGCAAGCTAGAAGTGAGTCGACCCATGATCGTCAAGGCTGTTTCTGACCCGGTAACAGGGCCGTTTGATGGTCTCAGAGGTCCGTAAGACAGGATCTGTCGGGGGAAAAGGTTCGTGGACAGCCTCTCGTAGCAATGGCTCACCTCTCTTAGTCTACAAGGAGTACTTGAAAGCAGGCAAAGCCAAGTTTACGGTTCCCTTGACGATCCTTTTCGCCGTAATCATGCAGGGATCCTCAGTCATGTCAACGTGAGATCTATCACCTCGCGCCAGTCACCTTACTGACTAGCATATCAGAGTATGGCTCACGTGGTGGGAAAACTCTACGTTCCACCAAGCCTGGAGCACGTACCAAGGCGTGTACGCAGTCTTGGGCATATCTTCATCCATTTTCATCTTTGCTATGGGCGCGACTATGGGTATCATCGCCAGTCTTGCTTCCAACAAACTCCATTCGCAAGCTTTGGAGAACGTCTTCTATTGTCCCAAATCTGTATTTGACACCCAGCCTCTGGGAAGAGTATTGGGTGTCTTTGGCAAGGATTTCGATACTATCGACAATCAACTGGTAGATAGTTGGCGGATGATGGCGATGACGCTTGTGACAGTAAGCAAATTCCGTGTATGCACGAGGTCGTGCGCTGACGATATGCCAGCTTATCGGATCTATCATAATCATCACAGTCTACCTGCACTACTTCATTATAATGTGGGTCAGACCTCTTGTTCGATCGCGCTGCTGACGTTATATGTAGTATTTTCGGCGTCGGGATAGGTTATTGGTACTTTGCCATGTACTATCGCACCTCTTCGCGGGAGCTCAAGCGGCTGGATTCCATGCTCCGGTCCCTCCTCTACTCCCATTTCTCTGAATCGCTATCTGGGATCGCTACCATCCGAGCATACTCAGAGACCCCTCGTTTCATCAAGGACAACACATACTATGTCGATCTCGAGAATCGCGCTTACCTCCTGACCGCCACCAACCAGCGATGGCTTAGTGTCCGGCTGGACTTTTTGGGCGCCCTCTTAGTATTTGCCGTCGCCATCATGTGTGCCAAGGGCGGAGGTGGTATAACTGCTAGCGAAATTGCGTTATGTCTGACCTATTTGACCTCGGTCACCCAGGTGCTGGGTATGGTGACGCGACAAAGTGCAGAAGTTGAGAACAACAGTGAGGTCACCCGTCGATTTCCACTATCGAAGTTGCTGATTGTAGAGCAGTGAATGCGGTTGAAAGAGTGCTTTGGTATTCCAATGCGAACGAACTACCGCAAGAAGCTGCTCACCACTTGCCCTCGACTGATCCTCCCATGACTTGGCCTGGGCAAGGGGCTGTTGAGTTCAAAGACGCGGTCATGTCTTACCGCCCTGGCCTCCCCCCGGTCTTGAAGGGATTGTGAGTATGGACCTGCATATCAGGAACCAAGTGCTGACTCTGAGCAGGTCGCTGTCCATCTCCGCGGGCGAGAAAGTCGGGATCATTGGACGTACCGGAGCAGGCAAAACATCCATCACCATGGCCCTCTTCCGCTTGGTTGAGCTTACCTCTGGCTCAATCTCGATCGACTCCCACCCCATCGATTCTGTAGGTCTTTCAACGTTGCGTTCCAGAATCGCCATCATCCCGCAAGATCCCGTCCTCTTCAGCGGCACTGTCAGGTCCAATCTGGACCCGTTCATGGAGAAGGAAGATGTAGTCTTGTGGGATGCGCTGAAGCGGGCAAAGCTCGTAGGGGAAGGGGGGAGAGAGAAGGACGAGAAGACTTTCGGGCTGGATAGTGTCATCGAAGAGGAAGGGTCGAATCTGAGTGTCGGAGAGAGATCTTTGTTGAGTCTTGCGCGAGCGTTGGTCAAGGATGTAAGTCCTTCCTGACCAATGCTGTGCATCACTGACGGACATTGCAGTCAAAGATTGTGATCCTTGATGAAGCTACGGCCGCGGTAGACCTCGAAACAGACGCTAAAATTCAATCCACCATCCACCGAGAATTCTCTGACAAGACCCTTCTCTGTATTGCTCACCGCCTTCGAACCATCATATCATGGGACCGTATTCTGGTGATGAATGCCGGACAGATAGAGGAGTTTGATACACCACTGGTGTTGTATGATCGGGAGGATGGGCATTTCAGAGCTCTGTGTGACAAGTCAAACATCTCAAGGGAAGAGATATCGAAGGCCAGGCAGAGTGAATGGGCGTAATCGAGCTTTGTTTCTTCTTTCTCTTTTTGGTCAGGGGTTGAAAGTTGTAAGGATCCAGTGGTCAGGTTTCGGGGCGCGAGACAACAAGTCCAAATACCAACATATGCATCATGATTCCAGGGTTGGAATTGTGATGCAGTGGCTTTTGCTGCTCATTCAGTAAATTGATCTTACTAGGTATTTAGGTTCCTTGCAGAGAGCCGCGAGGGTGTTGTCGGTTGTCGTCAGAAGGTACTCGAAGATGAGTTGGCGTATCTCGGGGGGGAAGGAGTCGAGGGTGGTCAGAGCCATTGTTGAGCAGCTCGCGAGGTGTCTCATGTGTGAAGAGAAAGCTAGACTGCTCCATACGACAACGAAATCCAGCGGGAAAGCGATTTACCCGTCATACCGTAATCCACCATGGCCCACGCATTTTCAGTGTCCGGGTGCATAGCGCGTCGAGTCCGGGCCCACATCCTGGATTGGTCGTCAAGATGTACGAGGTACAACATATGCACAGTGCATGGAATGAAATATGATGAACAGCAACTATGAGTTCGTGGATGGGTACAAATCAACAAGGTAGAAAGTATGCGGCGCGAAATGGTGACTAGGAAAAGCTAAGAGCGGAAATGCTGAAGGTGACCATGATATTAAACTTGAGAGTCGACCTTTTCGTCGAGCAGAGGCGCTTGCTCAGCGTCTTGGTAAGCGGGCAACTCTTCGAGTTCTCCCAATCTGTCCTCTCCTTCGAGTCTGACAGTCCCCTCAGTCTTTCTCGCCGCCTTTGCCTCCTTATTGGCCTTCCTCTCAGCCTTCCTGGCCGCCCTGCGTGCGCGCCTCTCCTCGGATTTGCCAGAGCAGTGACGGCCAAATCTGCCAAATCGGGGTCCGAGGCAGAATCCGAATCGTCGAGAGAAGAGGACGAAGGAAATGACGAGGAGGTGGAAGAGTGAACCGATACCGGCACCAAGAACGATGGCGAGAGCGGCAGATTCGAGTGGAGAGAGGTGCTCCGAGGCTTTACGAAGACTGAGACAGTATTTGTCAGCGAGGAATCAAACAGGAAAGTAATCAGACGTACCGAACAAAGCTGAAACCCTTATGGTTGTGCTTCCACCCATGCCTGCTTCCGCCATGCATTGACTTTTCGGCAGGAACACCCACCCCGCTAAACTTGGGGGGCCTCTCGCCCTTGGCCGCGACCCTCCACTCTCCAGCACCCTCCTTGACCTCCCATTGTCCATTCTTCGCCCGCCTCCACCACTTGATTTCAGGCGTACGGTCGTTCTGAGCAATCTTCCACTCGCCGGCTTCCGCCTCAGCGTAAGGAGCTGGAATGCGGGAGCCGCCTTCGAGGAAGGGGACGTAGCCAGAGAGGCGGGATCGGAGAGCAGCCAAAAGGGATTCGCGTTGAACGTCCAGAGACTGTTCGTGGTGGGCACGGTCGAGCTGCTCGTGCTCGGTACGGGAGATAGCAGAGTCGGGGATGGAAGTGAATCCCAGACGGCTGAGAAGGCTGGAGAGGGGACCAGATTCGGAAGACTTGCCATGGCAGGGCTTTCCGCCGACCATGGGAGCGACAGGCGCTTCTTGATCTACCGCCGCCTCGTTCCATGATGGCAGTTCTTCTGGCTGGGAGATGTCGAATTTTGTGTCTACCGCCTGGTTCTCGGTCCAGGTGATGAGACGAATGGGCTCGGCTGATACGCTTGCGACTGCGTGGGAAAGAAAGGTCAGCACAGGACGGGTGGCAAAGATTGTGACATACCGAGGGCGGCAAGAAGAGCGAGTTGTAGCTTCATTGTGAGTTCTTTGGAGTCGTGGGCAAGACCAGCTTCGAGGGGTTGTGGAAATGCAATAGAGAGATTCAGTTATTCGAGAAAATTCAAAATTAGATGAGAAAGATGGCTTGGAGCTGCGGGCTGGGCGGACGGACCCGCCGAGTGTAAAGTTCCCGAATCAGGTAATTCCACCAACTTTCACGAGATAAGATTTCGGGACGACCAGCCATAGTCATGTACTGCACCTTCCCGACAAGGTTCTCCCACCACCACATCAATAACATATTCCTCGTTTTTCTCGCTTGTATCTGCCATAACCACAACCGGTGGAACCACTATCCGTACGACTATTTTCTGCCGAGAACGTTTGGGCGAAGGGAGTTGAAATCTGTCTATTGAACACTCGCCCTTGGTAAAGTTATTTGCTGACATTCTATCGTGAGATTTCTTATGTACCCTTCAACTGAAAATTCCGCTGAACAGTCAATTGCATCCGTCTGACTAATGCAGTCGTCGGCACGCCGATTATTCGGGAAAGAGCGTCCCGATTTGCCATTCGGTGGTGGAACACGCTTTCTTTCAACGTCAATGTCGAGGTTGCTCGAGTCCATGAAGTGAGCCTTTGTTATAAGCCAGATTAGACACTTGTGCATTCTCAATCCCAGGTATGCCAGCCAATCTTAGGCGCGGAAGCAGCAGGGGGTGTGGTTATAGCCTTCGTCAACTTCTGGCGATACAATTCGACATCAAAGAGCAAGAGCCAAATGTATGTCGCCACAGCTAATGCAAAATCTCATGACTTCGCGAGGGAGGTCCAGAAGAGCTATTTCTAGGCGCCAAGAAGAAGGAGTGTGGACGAGAACGTTCATCAATCGTTGTCGTCGGCTCGGCCATGTGGTGATTATAAAAAGTGTAAGGACGGTACCAGCCGAGGTACGAGTGCCACTCATGCAAGTGCTTCGGACTCTGCATTTATATCCTACTTCGCTGGTCAATTTCGACCTTTTGGTCGAGAGCAGTCGGGGTAGAGGACGAACGTTGAGCCATGATGAACCCCACTCTGTTTCGGCCCACTGCGAAAGGAGTTTGGCTAAGGTATCAAGGATACGGTGCATGAAAGGAACGCTACATCATATTTTTATGCAGGCTCTTCTCATGCTACATACCCCACCTTGGTAGTGTACCAACCAAGGAGTAGCTTATCTGCATGATATCATCATTTTGAGTGTTGTTGCAATAATTGCCACCCTGTATCTGTTGTTTTTGACCGCGGCGTTCCTTGTTCCTGCCGTTGTAAAGTATGCCGTTGTAAAAACAATTCGCAGCACCGCCATCTCATCACATTTCATCCATCTCTCTTCTTCTCATCGTACACATCCATCATGTCTGACGAAAAGCAGCCCGCTGGCGGCTACGACCCCACCCCCCTACACCCCTCGACGTCCCCCACCTACACCCTCCGCATCACTTTCCATCGAGCCACCAATCTGCCTATCGCCGACTTTGGTTCAGGGTCCTCCGATCCCTATATCCTTGCACAGGCCACCACCTCTCAACGCAAACGCCATCCCCAAGACCCCCAGTTGCGATTCAGGACAAACACTGTCAGAAAATCGCTCGAGCCTGTTTGGGATGCCCCGTGGGTGCTTGCCGGCGTGCCCGAGGACGGACTCAATCTCAGCGTACGGGTGTACGATGAAGACCCTGAAGACCATGACGATCGCCTGGGAAAGTTTGAGTTCCATACCGGTCCTCTGACTGAGAAATGGGAAGGTGTCAGGGAGGGGAGTTTCAAAGTGAAGAAGACGGGTGCGGATGTACGCGCTTATGCTCTGCGGTGGGCGTGCGTCTTGCTCCGAAATCGAGAGCTTCATGCCGATGTGATCATGAGCGTGGAGATGCTGGGAAAGACCAAGCAGGAAATGGGCAAGACGTACACTATCAACGGCTTTTGGTGGAAGCATTACAGTCCGGTCATTGGCCGACTGACTGGTATCAAAGCCAAGGATCACGAGGGAGTGGAAAGATACAAGTGAGTGACCGCTTCGTACAAAGATTTGATATGACTGACTGTGCTGTAGTTTCCAAGCGAATGAGATTCAACTTGTCGGACCTGTGCCCAACGAACTTTACATGCGCTATGTCGAATTCAAGCCTTTCGTCAAGGGCATGTTTACGGCCAGCGGTCTTCGTGGCAAGGTCCTCAACAAGGCTCTTCATCACCAGCACGAGCGTATTTACAACTTTGACCGGCAGACCGAGTATGGTGTCTTTCCCGATACGGAAGAGGGCAAGGACCCCGGAGACGATGTGACAAAGAAGTTCTTGGACCTTGTTCACCACGACCAAGGCGCTCGGATTTTCACTTATGTCATCACCCTCGACTCCCTCTTTCGATTCACAGAGACTGGCAAAGAGTTTGGGATCGACCTGCTTTCCAAGCACACCATGCACGCCGATGTGGATGTAAGTGGATATCCTTGCCGTAATCTATAAAATCACCTTGCCGCGGCTGACATTTCTCAGATCTATATCGCCTGGTCGGGCGAGTTCTTTGTTCGCCGCGTGTCCGACCCTTCCAAACCGGCCCTCAGCCCCGAACAGCACACCCATCCAACAGAAGACCTCCCACACGGCCCGCCCAATGCGGACCCCCCTGCCGACCCTGCCAACTACGAGCTCATCATCGATAACGACTCTGGCACATACCGCCCCAACAAAGATCTCATCCCCGTCTTTGAAAAGTTCCTCAAGCGCGTCTTGCCGGGCATCAAAGTTGTCGTCATGGCTTGTGACGACGACAAGCTGCAAGAGATGAAGAAAGAGCAGAGGAAGACCAAGCTCAAGGAGGGCGAGCATATCGTGTATGGCCAGACGAGCTCGTCGAATTTGGCGGATGGAGATGGGGGCAGTATCAGTTCAAGTGATGAGGAGGATTTGGACGCGAGGGCGAGGGAGATGGAGGAGGAGGGTACGTCAGGGGGCGCTGCTACGGGTCATTTGGACACCGTGGTTGGTGCTGTGGAGAACCCCAAGGAGGCGGTGAAGAATCTGGTCCCGAACAAGAAGGAGAAGTAGGGGTTTTGATTTTGATTTCTCGTATAGATGCTTTGGTTTGTTCCTTGTTTCGATTTTGAGACCTAATTCATACCTTCTCGTTCTATAATATCTAGTGCCCTTACTGCTGTATATACCTATCGTTCCGAGTACGTCTTTGTTATGAAGCTACGACCATGCAATTGTCTCACGCCTGCAGTAGAAGGTTGAGGCCTGGCGGGTGCCCGAGTTGATCGTGTCGTTTCAGCAGACAGAACCTCCCACGTATTACTTGAACGTCTAGGTCGTACTGCATATGAAATGATCATTGTGTAAAGAGGTTACCGCCGCGGGGAGGAGACGTCATATTGTGCGCAAACAAGAGAGATCCAGCTCCCACGACATATTAAAATTGCATGTATGACCATGCATATATTTTGCTCAGATAAAAGTGCATCTTCTCTTACGGCGCCTATCTACAGCGGTCTGTCAGCTCATATCTCAACGCCTTGGCATGGGGCACATGACTCTCTCTTGGCAGACGACGAGCCTCTCTCGCCGGCCCGCCGAAGCCGTGAGCCGCCGTTCTTGGACGAGCGGGATGATGGATGGGGACTTCGCACGTCGTGCACCCCCCCCATGATCCATGTAGTTCACATATAATCTCTTCCGCTGATATAATCCACCTGTCATCTAAACAACCCACACGTAGCACAATGCCCGACGCAGACGCTTTTGGTACGTCCCGCTGGTAGTGTGACTCGCTCCTCACAACTGACCTGATATTTCTGTTTGCTAGCCCCTACTCTCACCCCAGCGGAACATCGAGTCGCCGATAACTATGGCAACTGGTTCGAATTCATGCAATCATTCGGTCTCAAACCCTCAATAACGGCTGATGTTGAGAGCGCGCTCGAGATCATCCGAATACTTGCGCTCAGTTCGTCTACAAGTACCTCCCTTGCCTTTCTTTTGAAGAGACCGGGAGCACTGATTATGAGAAAACAGGTCTCCCTGAAACGACAACAAAGACGCCCAGAAAAGGACCAGAGAGTGCCCAAAAGGAGATTTCTGATGAAGAACAAATGCGCTCAGCCGTTGCGAAGATAAATGAGGCTCTGAGCAAACTGGATATCCTCGAAGGAAGCGATGCGAAAGACATCAAATTTGGGAAGGAAGCATCCGCCTATATCTCTGCCGTTTACCAACGTCCGTAGGATACTGAAGTACTCAAGAAATAGAAGGAAGATATGACAGGCCTGAGAAGGAGCGGCTAGTCAATTTTGGTTGTCGCCCAACGCAACACATCAACTCGACCAATGGTACGTAGGAATCATCGGGGTTGTGGCATACAAGGGCGCTAAAGAACGTGACTGAAGCCGAGTCAGTTTCCCGACCTCTTACTATGCGGTCGACCATTCTGTTGCCATCAGATGCAATGAACGTCAAATGCGCCCCTTAGCTTGCTTCCCAAGCCTTCTTGTTGTAGTCGATACCTATGCGTGCCCAGCAGCCTTTGTACAATGTACAATGAGAAATCAGATAGATTCCCACCAACAGACGAGATGAACGCTATATGTATATAAACAATGCAGGGTACGAGAAGAAACACAAAGAGCCCGAGTGCAAACAAATGGAAAGACGTAAAGTGTGGAAATGAAGAAGCAGAAAGTGTTCAGCGACAGACTCGGACGGAATCTGGTATTGTGGGAAGGAAGGCAAAGCCAGTCCTTTCGTAAAGAGCGACATTGGGTGAGGACGGTTTGGGGGGCGTGGGTGATGTATTTTGGGTGATATATGTGAATCCGGTAAAAGGTAAGAGGCCGTGAATAAAGAGGCAACACATTCTGGTCACACAGACGTGAAAAAGGGACGTGAAAAAGAGACAGATCGTAACGAATATCATCAGGCCGTAAATCGTAAACTGGGAAATGAAAAGGTCGTCAAAAGCGTGGAATGAAAAAAGTACGCAAAGCGTATTCGAGCGTGTTGCGACGGCCAGCGCCAGGATCTGATTCCAGGATCAGTACACGCCGATATGCCAGCGAGAATAGACTCACCGCTCAACAGAGATCTAGCTCCTCTCTGTCCTGACCTTCTGTCGCTCCCTCTCCTGCTCCCTACTCCTGTCCTTGTCCGCCTTATCACCTGTCGGCGAGCTTCCCATCCGACTGAGCTGCCCCCACATCTCTGTAATTCTCGGCGGGGTGATGCCCTTCCTTGCTTCTTTGCCCTGCCTCTTTGGCGTAGAAGTCTTCAAGTGGTCGGTGATGGCTGTATTTGTATTGGCCGACTTGGTGGCGAGGGTGTTGCCATTCGAAGGCTTGGAGCGAGGGGTGGATGCCACAGGAGCGGGAGACGAAGCAGCGTTGCGCTTGGGTAGGAAAGATCGTTTAGGAGGCATAGTCTTTCGGAGAGATGATGTAGGGGAAGGATGCTCGCCCAAGGTGATGTTGGACTCGGCTTCGTTCGACGCCGGCGTCGCTGGCCCATGCTCATCGTGCGAATCGGGGGGAGTGATAGACAGCGAAGGCGGCGCAGGGGATGGGGAAGAAGAAATGACCCGTTTGCGGAGCCTCCTTCCCATCGTGAGCCTGACAGGGGTCTCGGCCGTATCAACCCTCTCCTTGTCGTCCATGGCCTTTCGACCAGACTCTTGGTTCTCGACCTTGTCGACCAGCATGGGCTGCGAGTTTGATTCTGTGAGAACCCTCCTCTCGCCTGCGGCCGGGGAGCTGTCTCGGCTAGTAGCATGTTCTCTCGCCAAGGGCGATCCCAGGTTGCTCGCCGTCCTTCTCTTTGGCGGCGGGCTCTCCAGCTCGACCGAGGCTTCCGAGTTGATACTAGCATTGCTCGAAGCTCTCGTGAGAGTCTGAGGACGCCCGGGAGACGACGGTTCGCCAGATACCCTGGGGAGGGGCTTGCGCTCTTGGTACCCGCTGGAGCCTCGCGCAGAACGCTTAGTGCCGCGCATGGATCCCGTAAGAGAAGAGACGGAAGAGGGGTTGTGCTCGTTCTCCTTGGACTGCTCGGGAGTGGCGGGGACCAGATTATTTTCGCCTGCTGGCGAGCTAGCGAGCTCGTCGACTTCTTGCACGTCCATGTCGACTTCTTCGCTTTGCACAGGCCCGCGGCCCTTGCGAGGCTGGCCGACGGCATCGCCGCCGCCGTGGTGGGGTGCGGCGTCGATCTGGATCTGTTTGACGCGGAGCTTGGTTGAAGACCGGCTGAGGGAAGGCCGGATGGGGACTGGTTCCAGGTCGATGGGGACAGTCTCGGTGGGAGGAGTGGCAAGGACGTTGATGGGTTCATTGGTGGCTTCAAGCTCTCTCAACACTTGATCTCTCGCAGCCTGCTAGTCGTCAGCAGCCGTCCATTGGAGTTATAAGGCACTCACCCATCCAGCCCACTTCATTTGATTCAGCACCATGTACTGCTGCTGCGGCCCCACAACCATACCCGGCCTTACTATGCGCATAAACCCGATCGCTTCTTGAGCTGTGAACTGGTACTTGTAAATCAAGTATGCTCCAATCAAAATACCAGTCCGCCCCAGGCCTGCTTTACAATGCACCGCTACCTTCTTGCCTTTCTGCTCGATCGTATCCTCCGCTAACCGGATGAACTCCCGGACAATGTCATCAGGAGGGTTCGTCCCGTCGTCAAAGTACATCTCCACGTGCTTTATCCCCAGTTCCTTGAAATGCCGGCTGTCGTACAGCTCGTCATTCAGGCGCGCGACGAGGCCGACGTTTTGGCGCTCGAATACCTCGAGGACGCAGCGGAAAGTGTGGGAGATGGCATTCGACTTGGAAGGGGTGAGGCGAGGGCGGGAAGTAGGGGTGGAGGGTTTGGCTGAGCGGATAACGCTGATCCAGGCGGGCTCTTGAGGAGAGGCGAACGGAATGAAGGGACCGAGAACGTTCAAATCACCATTTCTGTTTGGTGTCAGCTCTACCGGTCTGCGCTGTATACCAAAGACGTACTCGACAGTCTCGTAGTACTGATACTCGTCCGGATCAAAAGACGCCAAGTCCAACAGTCCAAAGCTGATCGCTTTTTCGATCCCATACAAGACGTCTTGTGACGACAAGCCGTAATCCATCGCTCCACTGCCCGCATCCCGGAAGGGCATGACCTCGAGGTGAGCTATCGGCCGATAAGCGTTCCATGGTGGTTGTTTGTCGACGATTAGCTGCACGGTGGTCAGATTGGGTCTCGGTATACATTATGTGAGCTCACAGAGTAGAGGGCGGCGATGAGAATCATATTGGATTTCGTCTTTGGCTCCGTGGTCGTGTAGAGACAAACAGGTTTCTTGCGGTCCCTTGCGCGCTGTGTAACGGCGTCAGCCGGTGCTCTCTGGCTTATATTTCCTCATCGCATTTCCCTGGAACGCTCCACCGAGCAGCAGAGTTGATGACCCACCTCGAGCTTTTCATGAATTTTGATGCAAGCATGGAAAGTGAATGCTAGATTCAGTGGCCCGTGATCAGAGGCAAAGCTGGTATACCGCAGTTCGTCGTCCACTACCGCTGTCGTCAGCTTTCCGCTTTGCGCATGTCTCTCAGTGAGAGGGTATGCTCACTCACAAGAAAACAAAGAGCATGCCTTGCCGCTATGCGGGTGGCCATACGCCAAACCCTTGTGCGCAAGTACCTCCTTCGCCGTGAGAGTCGTAAAGACAAAGAGGGGCGAGAATACGGCCACTTCGTGCGGGAAGGTGCGGGTGGATGAGGACGGCATGTCAGTGGAAGACCCTGCGCCTGGTTGGGGAAGGAGGTGGGTGAGGGTGGGAGGCTAGTGCGGGTGATTGGTGCTTGAGTGGGGGTGGGGCTTTTGATGTTTGAGGCTGGGTGGGTGGCTCTGCCACACGGGGGGTGGAGACGTGAGAGGCGACTAGGGAGGCCTGAGGGGAGATGGGAGGAAGAAGAAGAAGAAAGAAGAAAGAGAGATGAGAATGGTTGACTGGACGAGCGCGGGCGCAACGAGGACAACCAACTTACTAGCCAGGAACACCCGCGTGGCTTTACTCCCGTCCACTTGTGCCCAGAAAGCAGTCGCGTCCATGGGAAAGCTGTACGGCGTGCACTGCTCTTGGGACAGGCGTACGCACTGACATACATGGGTCGAATGGGATATTATACTCTGTCAGATATCTCGAAGCATCGGTGAAGCGTTGGAAGCGGATGTAGCCGTTTCTCCCGCGCGGACGTCCCTCAACATCCAGCTGCCACATGATGCCGATTGGGCTCGATGGTGGGAGAGTGATCGCATTGCGCTGTCCTTCAATATAGACAAGATTGTATGTAGGTGGCGGGGGCACTGTCAGCCTCTATAGCTGCTTACACAATGTCCAGATGGCCTTGATCATAATGCTATGTATCATCATTCAACGCAAAAAAAGTCCTTGCCTCAACTCTCATAGGCGCCTGGGCCTGCTCAAGCGACTGAAATTTGCTATCCACCTCTCAAGACTGGTACCAGACAATCAGTCTTACATACAGAACAGTAGCGACAGAGCATGTCTACAATCCCTCTACTCTATACAACGCATAAACCCATCACAACAAACTACTTTGCAAATCTATACAACTGCGCCTGCACCACCACATCCAACCCAAGATCCTCCCTCACAACCAAATGCGAGATCTTGTCGTCAAACGCGCGCGACAAAGGGTTCTCTTCTTCACCGGCTTCGTCAAAGGGCGTGAGGGCGTTATATTGGTAATGTGCGGGCTGGGGGCTGAGGGGTTTGCCGGTGAGGGTTGACCAGCCGCGGATGCGGTTGTCGGAGCCTGAGGAGAAGACGTGTTCGCCTGAGGGGGAGAGAGCGAGGCTCTGGGGTAGACGTGAGCTGGTGTTGGGGATGGTGTCGTGTATGACTTACCACTTTCGTTTGAAAGTTGTTGACGTGGCCTTCAAAGACATGTAAGGGCTTTTCGCTATACCTTGCGTCATACAATAGCATCTACCCATGATAAGCTCCACCCCATAACAACTCAAGCTTACTCACCTCATTACCCATCCCACTCACAACCACTCCCCAAGGGACCGCCGAATCCGGCACCTTCTTCACCCCAACCACCGCCTTCCTCTTCCTCGTACTCCCGACCATCTGACCTTTTCCAGGTTGCACCCTCAGATCTTCCGAGATGACTTCTCCGGAACGTTGACCGACGAGCACGTTGTCGGACGTGTATTGATCGAGGGATAAAGCGTCGGATTTGAGTCTGCGGACGGAAGAGATTAGGCGGGGATCACTGTCGTGCAAGTGGGTTTTGTAGTCGATGACGGTGAGGGATTTTGTACCGCCTACATAACAGTCAGAATATGTTCTTTCGGGCGGCGCAAAGACTGACCTATGGTACATTTGTCGTCAAAAGAGGACACTGCGTATATATCGCCCTTCAGCTTGATGTCGCCGTGTACCATTCTGATATGGTCGAGTAGACTGGGATCTCTGATAAAAAGATGCACATGCGGATCTACCCCGCCTGATATCGCCCTAAACGTAAGTCAGTTTTCTCGATCGTCCATTCCCGAAGAGAGGACGCACATCATGGACATTCGCATCACATCCCAATGCATCGATACCAGCTGCACACCACGTCAGCTCTCTTGCCATCCCATGTAGTGATCACATACAGGTTGTGGGCACACATGGAAGACTACAGTGTTGCCCCCGGCCCAGTGAAGGATCAATTTTCCATGATCTGTCGTCGCGGCGTACGCTTCATCTCCATAAGACTGGTCACATTCGGTCAGTCATATCACACCACAGCAATGAAGGCATACTCACTTGATAAGATGTTATGACCTCGCCTTCACAACCACAAGAATGATGTTCCGCATCAAGCACAAGTTTTGAGAGAACCGATTCCTCGCCCCTTCAAGCATTGATCAGCATCCTGCCCACCTGCTCCTCCCTTCGCGCAAAAGACCTACCTCGCCCTCTGCCTCCCTCCCAGCGCCCCTATCCTCCCTCTCCCTCTCTGCACCCTCCTCCCTCCTCCCCCACACACCACCTCCTCCCTCGTCTCACCAGCTTCACTCGACCGAGGCCGCTTCTTGACGCAAAACGGCTGCCCCGGGCCCGGCGTGAACATGCTGACGATCTCATCTCTTCTCGATGAATTTCCGGAGCGGGAATGGGCGGCAGGTGGGGAGGGAGGAAGGTTTTTGGGTGTTGGAAAGTAGCGATTCCGGACGGGGTCGAAGGTCATGCCTGGTAGTTCGCCTAGAGGTCCTCGTGACATTGCTGTGGGATACTTCGCTGTGTCGGTGTTAGAGATGAGGGGTATAGTCTAGGAGGGGGTGTGGTATGACAAGGGGGAATGGAAAAACGTGATCCTTTGAATGAAGAGATGCTTTCGTCCCACGCAACCACTACAAAGACATACTGGACCTGAGATGCGGAGATCGTCGTCTCTCCGGATCGGCCATGTCCGCGATCAGCTGCTTTGTTTGTATCAGGTTGAGCCATTCAGATGCAGCGGTATATGGGTGAGATCACCATGAATGGTGGAGCTGATCAGAGGTATAGCAGAAATAGAGGATAGTGCTGCATGCGAGGACACTCTCAGATGTTTTCACTACCACAAGCCCTCATAGAGCGGGTCAACCTACGTTGAATCATCCCCTGATGCTCGACTGTGATAGAGTCATGTTAGCAAGGTGATACGCTTTGCCTCTATATAAAACTCACTCTAACCATCCTAGTCATAACCACTATCATAATCCTCATCGTAATCTTGGTCAAAAGAATCTCCTCCATCATCATCACCATAGTCATACCCCTGATCATAGTCTTCAGGATAGTCGTCGACCACACCCCCGTCGTAGTAGTCATCATGATCGTCACCATCTATATAGTCTCCACTATCGCCTGGGACATATCCATCATCGCCTCCATCGCCCTCTGCATAGTCCTGTCCAAGGGTACCGACTTCTGCTTCTTCCTCGTCGTCGTATCGGACTTCATAGACTGGATCCTGATCATCATAATCTACACTCCCATCAGCTACAGCTTCCTCTCAATCAGGTGCTGCAAGGCACGACTTGCCAATTCCCATCGGGCCGAGACCCTTCACAATCTCATGCGCCTCGTTGATATCGTCATGGTCCCAGGGCTTGAGTTCATGGGATTGTATGAAGCCGGTCCAGTCGCCGTGTTGTTTGACGGTTTCGTACTCGTCGGGAGTGAGCGAGGGGGCTGCAAAGTCAAGTGTACATATCAGCAACAGAGCGACAAGCGGGTGGGACTCTGAGAGACCAGACCGTACCGAGGCCGTTTGTGGCTGGCATTTTGAATGTCGGCGGATGTACTGGAGCTGGAGAAGTAGAGTATGCACTTGTTCAGAGGCTCTGCAAAAGATACAAGATAGTCTGAGGTGACTTGCGGTCGATTGCGGAGATGATGGGGAACGCGAAAAGGAACGTGGGACCCCTCTTCGGTACGCGGTCGTCGGCGTCCCGGTGAGATTGGGATCCTATCGTGGTGGCGGCCAATAAGGCAGAGTTACACTCTTGGCACGTGGATCTATCAGAAGACATACATGCATACATTGATGCAGCAGCTCCTAGGTATACCTTGGAACTGTAGCATTCCAAGAACCCGATACGTTTAGATGCGGCGACGCGTTTGAAATCCGGGCATGTGCTTTGTGTTTGGTTCTTCTCATTGTTGCATTTTCTGCATTTTGACCCTTCTCTCTGACACACCTTCTTCTAACGTCGGCGATCACGATCGTCCCTATCTCTATGACTTCTCTCTCTCTCGCGATCCCTATCCCGTCGATCCCTCCTATCCCTATCGTCCCTATTACTCCTCACATCCCTCTCCCGGTGCCGCCTATCTCCCTCCCTGTCCCGATCATCCCTCCTCCTAGGCGACCTATCCCGATCCCGCTCTCTATCTCTACGAGACGACGATCCCGATCCCGAGCCGGAAGGCACCCCAGCGTCGAATACCATGCCATACCCTTCAGTACCGCGGATATCGCTAGCAGTATGCACAGGAGGCCGGGGGCGGTCGTCTTCTCTTTCGCGACCAGAGTCATGGTCCCGATGAGAGGATCGATGTGGTGGTGAGGGAGATCTGCGGCGAGAGTTGCTGGTATCTTGATGACCTCCTCTTGAGCCGTAGCCGCTATCCCTCTGCCCGCCGTACCCATTATCCCTCTGCCCGCCATACCCGCCTCCGCCCCCGCCTCGTCCTCCATAACCTCCTCGCCCGCCGCCGCCCCCACGCCCCCCACCTCGACCTCCTCGGGGCACACCCCCGCCAGAGAGCATGGTGCGGTTCATTTTGGATACTGATTGGGAGAAGTCGACCCATATTCTGCGATCGTCCACCAGGACGTTCTGCATCTTGAAATATGCCTATAGCGACGTCAGCATGCCATGTGCAGACGTGATTGTGGACATACCTGTTCCGCTGAAGACCGCTCATCAAACTCGATAAAGGCGTACTGCAAACTATCCCCACTCTTCTTATCCCTTACAACCTCGCAACTCAATATTTTCCCAAACCTCGAGAAAATCAACTCTAAGTCCTCGTCCTGTGTTACCGGGTTCAGCTTGCAGACAAACAAGATGTTCTCTGGTGGCCGGACAGCGGCGAAGGGAAGATCGCCGATCATTTCGAGAGTGAGGGCGGAGGAGGCGGCTGCTGTTTTGCGCGAGAGCTCTTCTGATTCTTCTTCGTCTATCTCTTTGTGGACGTCTTCGGTATCAGCGATACGAGAGAGGTTGTCGGGGGGTCGAATGGGAGAAGGGGGAGGAGAGGGGAGAGAGGCAGGGTCGGGGAAAGGGTCCTCTATACCGACATAAGCTTGACGTACAGCAAACATTGTGTGCGATTCACCAAGGATTTCCACATGCCTGATCCTGATATCCTGCAAAGGCCTGCTCTCCTGGTCTACGAAAGCTTCATTGATCTTATCCAGAGTATCCAGCCCCTCAATCACATGCCCAAACACCGCATGCTTTCCATCCAAGTAATCTATCCCGTCTGCCAGCGTTAGGAAGAACTGCGAACCGCATCCGGGTGGGTTGGCAGGGGCGACAGCCATAGAAAGTGTGCCCTTGTGGGTATGTTTGAGGGAGTTGAGGATCTCGGGAGAGAAGTAGCGGGGAGGGGCAGGGCCGGAGGGGTTTTGAGAGTGGAGAAGAGAGGCGAGGGATTCACCGCCTGTACCGGTGGCCGTGGGGTCGCCAGACTGGGCAATAAAGTTCTTTGTCACTTCATGTATGGATTAGAGCTGACTGCCCATGTTCGCATTGGACTCACCATTGAAGAAAGCATTGAGGTTGTAGTACTTGAGCTTGCAGAGTTTAAGAAAGTTCTCGCATGTGCGGGGGCACTTTTCGACCTCGAGATCGATGATGAGGTCCCCGAGGGACGTCTCGAGCATTACAGACATATTCAGGCGGGTCTGTTGGGTAGTATGTGGCGAGGGGGTGATAACAGGGTGAAAACGCAAAGATGAGGAGTACGCAAAGTCCTGACATCATCATATCTCCGCCTCCACCCGGCTCCACCACCCCGCGGCGGCACGACTTGTTTTAGACTTGTTCTTTCTCACTTATCTTTCTTACTTGTGCAGCATTTACACCTGCATTCGCAACTACAATCGAAATACCGCGCTCGGTGAGCCCTACGAGTACTATCCTATACGGACCCCGCAAGTCGCCGAAGAATGAACAATGATCCCTCCCTTACCCGCTGCTTCTCTTCCCGCTCCATCCGACACTCTCGCTGACTGGATGGGCTCCATTCGCTTTCCAGACGCCAAAACACGACGGGAGGTGTGGATTGAGCCCACAGACCCGCATTATGTCCGCGCATGGGGTACAGACAGAATCCTCTTCTCCCATAATCCCGACATGCTCAACGCGCTATCACATTCCCTTTCTAGGCTTCGTCTCGACGACACCGATATCAGGTGTCTCGAGTGCTGGGATAAATCTCGCTTGAACCCGAAAAAAACCCCGGACGTGTCTACTCCCTACCTATGGAGCTACTGGCTTGAGAGAGGCCTGGTCGCAATGGTAAATGGAGTTTTGTCAGAGTACCCGCTGGGACCGGCGTAGGGCGATACTGTCACCCCGAATTGGAAGACCGAGTTGAGAAGCGTCGGCCCAGATTTTCAGCTGTGTACCCGAAACTGGTCTCAATCCATGCCCTATCCTTGTCCGAACATCTGCTGGGTCATGCCAACGACTATCCCGTCTTTTGGGTCCATAGCCAAGATTGCCTCGAGACTGGCTCAAGAAGATGGCTTTGGGCTGTCGGTCTTAGACGGGAAAACTCGGCTCATCGGGCGCTTGGGGACAACTAGTGAAGAGGAAGAAGAGCAGATCAGACTGTTTTTTACAGAGGTAAGCGTCAATTGCCAATCCTCTCGTCCCTCGGACGCTGACATCAAGCTAGGTTGTGGACCGAATGCACTCCCGCGGGTCTTCATCTTCGTTCATTACCAACGGCCAACGCTTCATGGTTGTGCAGAGGCTCCGAGACCTCGATGAGCCCAAATCATTCCACTTCTCCCTCTCTACCCTTATCGGCAATGCAGGTCCACTAGACCTCAACACCCCATCCGACGATCTTTCACTCGCCCATCAACCCAACCTCCTGACTGAACTTCCTGTTGGTCTTCTGTGCTCATTGTCTTTCGACACACCTTTGGATCCCTTTCCACTTCCAGCATGGTCTTCATCGTTGCTGGCTGTCTTTCCTCCTGACAGTGACCAAAATGGGCAATCGCGAAGAAGATCCGCGCGACTTGTGCATCCCCAGGATGACTCTAAGCCAGGCCAAAACCATCTTGAGGGCTCTTTTTTTGTCAATGGAAGCCCCTGTGTAAGTGAAGCGTCAATCGATGCGTCGAGCTAAAGACAAACACAGTTTGGCCATTACTCAATTCACCTTTCGGGCGACAAGGAAGCTCGGCCGGATTTACTGATCCATTCGTATCCTCTCGCTATCCGAGATGGGGACTTGAGCGGTCCCCTGGATCCCGAGTCAGCCGCTCTACCTTGCCTTACCTCATTCCATTCTTCAACAGCTTCTGGTGACGGCGAGACTGGACAGCCGGGACCCACTGTCATCAGCAATCTTCAGATTACATGAGCCTGTTGGAATTGGTCGTCTCTGGGATGCCTTCCTTGCGACTTTGGAAGTAGCTGAAGGCGGTCTGTTTGAAGGCATGAAGATAGGGCAAAAAGTAACTGTGATCGCCAAGATCACATATCATCATACAGCGGCTACCCTCGAGACTTTCCGCAACAAACTGCTCGTGATGCTGTCCTCAATGAGTACCGCCTCTATTTTACACGCCTCAAGCACTTGCAAGGCTCGGTGGTATTCAGGTGCTATGGTCTATGGGGTGGGGTGTTCAAGGCGAAGAGCCAGTAGGATATTGGGAGAGAAATCTGGGTTATGCTCATGGAATATGGGGGCAAAACCCTGGAGGATGTCTACGATGCGTTTTCAGGTGAGGGTGCTCCTTCAGCCCGGTGAGTACTTGTTGATCCCCTCGAGTGCATGATCTGATTGCTACAAGTCGCGAGCTGTTAAGACAGTACGAGCGACTCCACCAAGCAAACGTTTTACATCAAGACATAGACATTCGACATTGGCTGCAGAGACCGGGCGAAGGCTGGATGATCATCGACTTTGACGGCGCGAGAGAATTGACGGGCGCTCAGGAAGACAAGGAGGAGAAAGAGGAGGAGATGCGCAGAGTCAATTTCGAACTGCCGCAACTTAATCGATCGATATCGTCTTCCCCTACATAGGAGCACATAACTGTATGACATGGACACAGCTTTTGGGTGTCACTCAACTTAGCAGCAAACTCTGAGTGCAGAAGAAACACTGAGAGATGTGAAAGCTGGATACAAGACGGGTGTGTGTGCCGCGCAGACGAATGAATTAATGCACTACTCCATCGACTGACTCTTCTCTCGGATAGAAATTGCATAATACTCCTCAACCACAATGCATATACTGCTCCTCTCACCCCCCTTCCGCTACTATTTCACCCATGTTCGCTCTCTTTGGCTTCGCCGTCGTCTTCTTCCTCATACCCTGCACCCAATGACCTTCTCCTCGGTCACACTTGACCTACTTCCCGTCATCTTCTTCTTGAGAAGAGAAGGTAGGCTGAAGCCGCATAGGAGTCCCAGCAGTTTTTCAGTCAGTCTGGAGGGAGCGTCGTAGCGGGGGTGGAAGTATCGCCCGTCAGCGTCGAAAGAGATGACTCGGCCTTGGTGGCCGACCATGGGCGAGACTCTGAGGTGTAGAGAGTCTTTCCCGTCGTCTGAGGAAACCCTTCGGTCGAATGAGACAACGAACCCGAGAGAGTAGGTGGTGAAGAGAACTTCTTCCGCCTGTCGGGTCACCAGATCGTTCACACACTAGGTGACTAGTAATCAGCGGCTTTTTCGGACAGCAGCCAAGACAGCATGACTTACTTGACAAATTGCCATTCTTACCCACAACACTCTCTTCACCTCACTCCCGTCCTCGCTCTCGTCGAAATCCCCACTCATCGACATCCCCAGTCGCACATCCTCACGGAGCCAGATTCCGTCAGGGCCATTGAGTGCCCTCATCAACGAGCGGCTATACATCGAAATAAAGCCTCCTTCTTGACCTCGATAAGCCTGTCTCTCGGTGACTCTTCTTTGCCGCCACCCTCTTTCTTGACCCTATAGAGGCGCAGTCCCAGAAAGAGCGTCGTCAGGACTCCACCTCAAGTAATGCGGCTGTTCCGCGTGTACAGCTTCTTTCAAAGCTGAGTTGATGATGCGTCGCAGACTGTCCTCCAAAGCCGTAGTCACGGACATCTCACTGGTGGCCTGTCCAATTCGACCGGAGGATCTCCTCAGACGACAGGAAAGATTCTCTACACCTCAGAGTTTCGCCCATGATCGGCCACCAAGGTCAATTCAGCTGATTTGAGACTGATGGGCAGTACTTTCACCCCCGCTACGACGATCCCTCTAGACTGACCGAAAGCTGTTGGGACTCCTATGCGGCTTCAGTCTGCCTTCTCTTCCCAAAGAAGAAGACGACGGAATGTAGATCAAGTGTGACCGAGGAGAAGGTCATTGGGTTCAGGGTATGAGGAAGAAGACGACGGCGGGGCAAGTGGTGGTAGGGAGAGCCGAGGAGAGGAGTGGTAGATCTCTCCCTGAGTAAGAGGGCAGAACGAGACTTTCTACCCACGAAAGGGGGTGTAGGGAGGGAAGAATGGGGCGCGCTGAGACAAGTGAGCGGGGGATGATGGGGAGAGTGGAGGAGGCATACCTGTAGCCCAGACGGGCGTGCCCCACCAGATGAGCACTGTGCCCCCCCTGGGGGGATGCGAGCTGATGGGTGATTTTGAGATGGGAAGATGGAAAGACAAAGAAGGATGATGAAAGCGTTGTGAGGTTGTTGTGAGGGGATGAGGGCGCAATCACACAGTGGAGACAGCCGCCACGTTGAACGACGTGTGTGGCGGTGGCATGTTGGCGAGGGTGGAGTCTGTTCCTTTCCCTCTTATATTCTGTAGTACGCCATGGTATCATTCATCCATATCCAAGCTGTGAATTCTTCTGTCACTGCATGGCTCCGTCCCAGCAGTGCCCGACATCTGAGGTGGAGACACACATAGCCTTACCTCATCCTTCCGCTCTCATTCATTAGGCTCCCCTAGATCAGTCAAAGCAGCTGATGTATCTCGAAATACATACCTCTACTCGAGTAACATGCATGCTAGGGGCACCTCGAAACGTTTCGGTGCCAACGTCAGCCACCAGTCCCGTCTAGGATTAGCTGGGTGCCTGATTACGTCACAACCACGTTGAACATGTCGATGGATGATGTTTCGCAGCGATTTCTCCATCTCCTCTTCAGCGACACAGTATCAGGACACAGATCAGGATGGCCCACGTCCCAGCATCCCCCACCGCCCCGGGACCCCCCGTCCCCCACACCCCCGCCCCCGTCGTCGACAACCCCTACGACGTCGACCTCGTCGTCCCCTACAGCATCGCCCTTGGCAAGAAAGACCTCAAGAACAGGACCAAGGCCGAGCTCGAGATCAAGGAGGGCTATGAGCAGCTCCTGAGGGCTATCGAAGGGCACGGAGGGTTCAAGGTCGCGACCAAGCCCGGACGGGCTGGCAAGGGGCAGGAGGAGGTGTGGGTGTTCATCAGCGCCTCGGAGGAAAAGGTAGAGCGTCTTGTGGAAGAAGAGCGGTAAGTGCATGTCTGCAGTACTTGTTTATGTGGCTGACTCGGATACAGCCAAATGGACGCCGCCCACAACCTGCCCACGCCTCCAGTGACCTTCCCTCCATCACCTGCGACCCGCTTGAGGCTCATCTACAACGTCCTCACCGCGCCTGCTCTGCAAGGCGGCTTGGGCATCACCCCGGGACGCGGTCGGTGGTCACGTGTCAAGAGTATCATGGCTCTGCACGATGAAGCTGCAGACCATCAGTGGATTGAAAAGTGGACTACCGGCGGTGATTGGAAGGTCGGACTCACGAAAGGTCTCGACGAGGACACGCAAAGGTCTGGAGGGCTGGGCGATCAACAACCCCCTCCAGTCCACCTCTACTTTGATTTCCTCACCACCTACACCCTTTCCCTCTTGCCCATCTCGGTCATTTCTGTCCTCTTCTACCTCTTCACCCCCGCCGACTCTTACCCACCGCTCTACGCCTTCCTCTTGTCTGTCTACGCTTCCGTCTTTGTCGCCATCTGGCGCGTCAAGCAGCGCAAGTTTGCCGTCCGCTGGGGTACTATCGGCTGCGAGTCCATGGCCATCAGCCGACTCCGCCCCGAGTACGTCGCTTCCCTCGGCTTTGACGAGAAGAAGGACCTCCAAGCCGTCGACGCTATCCAGGCCGGTAACGAACTCAAGCGGGACACCAAAGTCGCCGCTTCCGTCCCCGTCATCGTGGCATGTGGTGTCGGTCTCGGTATCGTGCTCATGGGAATCTTTGTCCTCGAAGCTTTCGTCGGCGAGGCATACGACGGGTACGGTAAAGAGATTGTGCCCCTCATCCCTACCGCTCTTTTCTCCCTTCTCGTCCCCCAGATTGTCGCGGGGTACGGATACCTCGCCGAGCTGATGGTCAAATGGGAAGACCACCCCACGCCCACCGGCGAGGAAAAGTCGCTCACTGCCAAGACATTCGCAATGAACGCCATCGTTGCTTACCTCGGTCTCTTCCTCTCGGCCTACGTCTATATTCCGTTCGGATCCTTCATCATGGGACATGTGCAGAATAAGCTGGCGGGACAGGGGTTCTCGGTGGAGAAGGTTGCCGGGAGTGGGAATGGGACGGTGCAGACTGAGACTGGGCCCGGAAGCCCTGCGCGAGGGACTGGGATCGACAAGGCTGCTATCAACGGTGGTAGGTTGAAGAGCCAGCTCTTTGCTTGTACGTCCCCTACCCGTGTCAAGATTATCGCTTACCCTCCCCAGACACTGTCACAAACCAAGTTGTCAACGCTTTCCTCGAACTCGGTCTTCCTTACATTCTCCGATTCATCAACGAATGGCGTGCTGGCAAGACGACTCTGAAAGAAGCCATCACCCGTCGTGGAAGTGGGCCTAATGGTGCTGGAGAAAAGACGCCGGTGACGGAAGATGATGTTGAGAAGCGATTCTTGGACAAGGTTGAGCGCGAGCTCGAGTTGCCCGAGTACACCCTTTTCAGTGCGTCCCATACACTTTCATCTTTTGGAAGCAAGCTGACTTGATCGCAGCTGACTATGCCGAGATGGTCACCCAATTCGGCTACGTCACCCTCTGGTCCATCGTCTGGCCCCTCGCCCCCATCTTTGCGCTCATCAACAACTACATCGAGCTCCGCTCCGACGCCCTCAAAATCTGTAAACACGTCCGCCGCCCCGTCGGCGACCGCGTCGAGACAATCGGGAGCTGGCTCGATACGCTCGGCTTGATCTCTTGGCTGGGCGCTGTGACGAGTAGCACCTTGATCTACCTTTTCAGGCCTGCACCTGAAGGACCAAGCTTGGACAGTCAATCGGCCAACCCCAATTTCCCCTTGCCCGGTTCGCACGCCCTCTCTCACATCGTCTCCACATTCCACGAACACTCCTCCCCCGCCAACCCATTCACCTCATGGATCAACGTCCACACGCTCGAATCTCTCGTTCCGCTGGCACTTATTGCGCTCGGGGCGAGCCATGGGTTTTTGGTGTTGAGGTGGGTTGTGGAGGGGACGGTGGAGAGGGTTTGGTGGAGGGGGAGTTGGGAGGAGAGGGAGCTTGGGAGGTTGAGGGCTGGTGGGGCTGGTGGGGTGCGATCTGAAAGTAGTGCGGTGCAAGAGGTGAGGGAGAAGGTCTTTGCGCCCGAGGTGCTTGGTGGCTTTTGGAACGGAGGTGAAGAAGGCGCGAGGGAGATTGCGAGACTCTTCAAGGCTGAATAATCCACCTGTGGACCTGTGAAGGGAATGAGAGGAAGAAACACGAATTGTAGCTTGTTCTCGATAATGACATAACCAGATATACACGCTATAGCCAGATAAGTGAACTTTTCATGAAATAACACGACTTGGAACCTGTGCCCAAATTGCTCCTCTATCCACATCGGTACATATCAAAATGATTGATCGATACAACTGCACCCTGTCTCCCTTTTGGATCGTCTTTGTAAGATTGTCTAGCCAACTACCACATTCCTGGACTTCCCACCCTCCTCGGCGTCATGCCCCCATTCCCACTGACGCTCTGCGGTCGGCTCTGTACTTTGGTAGAACTGCGCCGGAAGACACCGCCGCCAGAGGATTGTTGGGCTGATTTGGCGCGGGCGGCGTTGGCGATGAGGGATGATATCATGCCATTGCTGGAAAGTCATATACGTCAGTTTCAAAAAATGGGTGAGGAGGCGGATGGGGATTTACTAAGTAGCACTGTCCTGCGTTTGAGCATCCTTGAGCTGCAACATCCACGCCAAGGTTGCGCTCGCCTGCGCCGAGGTGGTGACAAGATCTTGTTGGAGGGCCCTCAAGGTCGATAAAGGTAGAAGAGAAAGGGCGTCTTTGCAGTAGATGAGCTTTGAATTGAAACAGGGAATAGCTGCGACGTACCCTCTTCCAAGCCACACAGCTCTTCCGCTTTCGGCGTATCCATCTCTGGCCTCAAACCTATTCCATACTTGCCCGAAGTCCCCGCGCCATCTCCAGGTGCAGCACTGAAAGGTCCCTGATCACGACCTTTACCCTTCTGCTCCGCCGTATACCTCCCATCACCATCCCCAGACTTTGAATACGAATCAAACGTCTCTGCCCTCCTCGGCTGAGGCCTTCCTCTCCCACCGGACGTGGCAAAGCTTGTAGTGATCCGCAGAGGAGGAAGAGAGGAAAGGCGGTGAGAATCGACTTCGTCGAGGTTGACGGGGACGCCGAGGGAGATGAGGTGGTCGCGCCGGACGCGGGAACGAGTCCAGTCGAGGGGTTTTGTCAATGGCGGGGTCGTCAACTGGGCGTAGGCGTCTCGGCTATCACATCTTCAGTAAGGTGATGGGTATGAGCGGGAGTTGGATTGCATACCTGGATTCACCAACAAGGACTTGGCTGAGGCCACCGACAGCTCGAGGCGGTTCGTTCGTCAGGAGGTCTTTGCCAGAATCGAGAAGGGGAGCAAAGAGCGCCGAGAGCTGGTCTGCTATCTCAGACCTTGGTGGTGGTGGTCTCAATTCCAGAGCACGCTTCAGATCTGTTAGCATTGCCCCCTAAGCACGAGCTGTACGCACCCATCGTTCTACTATCAATTCGGGCTCTTGCACTACTCCAGTGCCCGGTGTCTCCTGAGGCGCTTCTTCCTCAAAATCACCCTCTTCAAAATTGCCAAAATCACCAAAGCCTTCGTCGTCATCTCCAGCTGGGGTGGACGATCCGTCGACAGCAGGTGTGGGGGCAGATTCGTTAAAGTCGTCAAAGTCATCAAAGCCGTCATCTTCTTCAGCTTCAGCAACAGCTGGAGCCTCTTCCTTCTTTTCCCCTGTCTTTTCCTCACTCGCTGGCACCTTATCCACATCGCCAGTCCCTTCATCTTCATCATCAAATCCAAATCCTCCGTTCATATCCTCAAGGGTTGACGCTTGAGCTTTTAACGGCGACCCCATCTTGGACGCGAGACCTGAGCCGGTGCCGGTGCGCGCATCTGGCGGAGAAACGGGGAGCGTTGGGAGGGAGGAAGGCGGGGGCGGGGTTGGAGGGGCGTCTGCCCAGGGGTCTGTGTCCATGTTGCTGTTTGTGGGAGTTGGAAAAGCAAGAGCAAGATAGATTATGATGCAGAAGATGAAGGCGGGCAGCGGCGCAGGCGGACATGGCGGACCCCCCGGACATCACTGACATTTGGCTTGATACCGATGGCTTGGGCAACAGCAGATTGTATTCGGAAACGGTGAGATTAATATCATCAGGGTAGCTCAAGATCTATATGCATTCATAACTTTACTCCAGCGGCTTCTTGCCTTCCCCGTACCTCACTCTCTCAACTCCCAGCCACGCATCCTTCCCTCCTTCGTAGCTCCACCCCAGCGGCCCAAGATCGCATTCTCCGCATATCAGCCACTTGACCTTCTTCTCTGCCGAGTACCCTGGAGCATGGGCTGGCAAAGGAGAGGCCGAAGCATCCGGCCGGGAGAAACCAATGTTGTCGAATTCAAAGGGGCCATTTGGGACGTGCCACGCGGCGTGGGGGGGATGAGCAGGAGGGAAGGGTGATTTGGGATCGTCAGGGAGCTACTCATATGTCAGTCTACAGGCAAGTCAAGTCGGACAGGAACTTACAACAGCCCCCGGAACATCGAGCCAGTTCCCTACGCCTGCCTGCATGATCACGCTCCCGCACCCTTCTCTCGGACAGTACACCTTTCTTCCATTCGTCTTTGGGGTTTCAGGCTTATCCTCGGGAACGGGATTGGTGAGTTGGAGCAGAGGAGTGGGGAACGAGGAGAAGGGATAAGTCGGGGTGGTCCGAGGGAGTGCAGATTGGGCGTTCAAGGCGGCGAGAATGTCTGCTTGGGAGTACGGGGCAGTCATGATGCGCTGGTGAAGACTCTGATTAACTGATCGAGTTTGGAAAGTACTGCAGAATGAACATGCAAAGGCGATTGTAGAAAGTCGATGGAGATGAATAGTCCGGACCCGACGCGCTGTGCATCCGGACATAGCATATCCGTCAGTCCGAGATCCAAATCATGAAATTTCCATGTCGTCTATCTTTTCTCTATCTTTCTCTCTTACCCCAACCATGCCCCTCACCGCCCTCGATCCCCTCCCCTCCGAGATCCGCCAACTCATCTTCCAGCACCTCCAGTCGACCACCGACAAACCCACCCTCGCTACCCTTGCATGCGTCTCTCGCGCAATATACGCCGAGTCAATCCCTCGCCTATACGAGACGGTCCGCCTCAATGCTTTCAATGCGGAGGCCTTTTTCGGACGTCTCATATCCGATGGCCTAGGTGGTATCGACAAAGAGATCGCCGCCCATAAACCGTATCTCAAGCACTACGTCTCCCAACTCCCTGAATCACTAGAGAGGCTCTCATCCTCCCGTTTCATTCCGTCTCCTATCGCGCGGAAGCTCTGTCAGCTCTGGTCGACTGATCGTGTACTTCTTGAGGACGGTCTCGCCGCATCCTACCTGTATGAACTATAGTCTCTTATAAGCATTTCCACAGGCAGCTCGTCGCAAATGAGACCGAGTTCGATTACGACACATTTAATGTCTCCTCTTACTTGCTTGGTGATCATTTGACTGGGTCGCTCATCCTGGGCGAGTCTCTCGCTAGATGTCTCATTCTCTACCCGCAAGTCTGGTCGGGTGTCTCTAAAATGCTCAAGTCATGTGACATGGCCATGTTCACGTCCTTTTGCGTTCATCTACCTCTTGATTGTGGGGGTCCCTCTGCAGCGCTATTCTACCAAGACATATGGCCAACGGCGAACGAATTTCATGACATCGAAGAGATGTGCTTCCACAACGCAAATCCTCTGGACCTCATGTCTGATATCATCGGCCAAGACGTGCACGTCTTCCTGAAGCCCGAGTCTTCGCAGGGTATGATCTCGCACGAAATCGGTATCGGTGCACTCATGTTTTACTATCTCAATAGGTCAATCAGAGTACTAGCGCAGTGAGCACCCTCCTCCTGTTTCGTTCATGCGCTCATTTGATAAAAGAATTCCCGACAACGTTTATTTTTACAACAGCATGTTCACCGACGTAGATCGTGTCTCTCATCAAGGCGACAACTTCTGGGACATTCTGAAAGTTCGAAGGGAGAAGGAGACCACGGATTGGGATGTCCAGGTGAAGATATATGGCCCGGACGAGAAGGTGGTTTGCCCTGCCTGCTTGGAAAGTGTGTGATGTAAGTCTGTGTTATCGACTCTTCGCTGGAATGCTCATACATCGGTATATAGAGCAGTGGAAAGACTGCTCACCATCGCCTAAGTCCCTATCATCGTCCACATCATCGTCTCCACCATCGTCCCCGCCATCACGCTTCACACTCTGCTGCCCTTTCGTCTATCCTCAACCAGAATTCACGTGATATGCTACAACCCAATGATCCTTCCTGACGTGCATTGCACGAATGTGTCTGTCAAGCCTGGACTGTGTCGGGCTCTAGCAGCACTTCGAACTCTCAAGTTTTGTCCAAAGCCGGCTCTTCCGGCATCGGGACCATATCTGCCCCTTCGTCTTTCCTTGAGAGCACTGGCTAGTTTTCGGCTGTATTCTCGAGTGTCAAACATGTGCAGTAAGTTTCGATTGCCTTCATTTGCCCTATCATGTGCTGACTATATGCCAAAGCATATTATCTTCCCTCGCTGGTAGGTTGTCTCAGAGCGATGAAGCAGTAGCAGAGGGATCCCATACGGTGGGTCGCGCCACAGTCGAGCTATATGGCTAGATGCTGTTCACTGACCATGCTCCGGGTCATAGTACGAGTACTCGTACTGTACTCGAGTACATCATTGATCTCCTGCTCGTCACTACTCGACTGCACGCCTTCTATATCATACACTGCCGCCATGCTGGAGCTTCTCTTGGACAAGACCGACCAAGAGACCTCTTTCCTTTTACCAAGGTGGTATTTTGAAAGCCGCATATGTCAAGGTCGGAGTGGGTTGGAGGATGAATGGCAGAGCGTGAGTTCCAAGTCCTGTCGAGAGTCTGCGTATGGCTGGACATTTCGAGTATATGGAATGCACTACACTGCAAAGACCCGTATGTACTCGTACAATCAATATTTCGACTTCCAAGCATGCAACATTCGGGCCGAGTCCGACTTCCGAGTCATTCTAAGGGTTCGTCGTTCAAAACAAGCCGAGCCCCTGCTTCCTGATTGCCCCTGTCCACTCGATCGTGTGAAGCACAGTGAACAATACATGGAGGGGAACAGTCCAACCTCGATGCACTCGATGATACGTCTCAGGGAGAAAAGTGATCGCAGTTGCAGGTCGCTCGTCATGATCGTGCTGCCGGTGACGCGAGAGTGGGATCAAAATGCACTGGAATGATCAGTCTGTGGATTGTAAATCAGCGGATAAAGTCGTTCGGAGACAAGCAAAAGGCCAGGGAGTACATTATACCTGACCTGATACCTGATGACAGCCTGGGAAGGGATACAGGGGGCGGATCGCGAGGCAGAAGATGCGAGATGGAATATGTAGATGGCAGCAGAATATAAACTCCCAGCGAGCTCCACTAGCACGCCGTAATCCCGCAATTCTCGTCACGCGCATCGTTTCTTACTTTGTCTCATCATCCTCCTCGCCATGAGCGCCCCCCTCCAGCCATCCTCCCTCGCCCTCAACCACCCAGACCACCCCAAGCTCGCAGACCTCGCTCCCCGCCAGCCAGACCACAGTGAGTCCGCCCCCCCGCATCGCCTTGTTTTCTCCCCGTACGCGTTGCCAGGTCTTACCCGCCGAGCACCGTAAACACGTTTGCTGCTTGTTTTATCCCTCGGAATGGCAGTAGCAGTGGTGGCTGCTACCAAGCGGCCTCATCCATAAGTTATATGACTTGTCGAGAGCCCTGCAAAAGACGGAGAGGCAGCCGAAAGGGACCTGGGGAAGGATGATGGTTCCTTATAACATCCCCTCGCCACCCTGGCATGCATGCATCGGAGGAGATGGAGGAGACGAGCTGACGGATTACTGCCTCCCCTAGCACCGGACACGCCGTCCCCCCTGGCCCAGGAAGTGTGAGTCGCCGCTGCCACTATTCTTTGCACTCGCTGACCACGCACGGACCTCTTTCCTATTGTTCTTGATCACCTCGCGACTGTCATCCTGTGTTGCATCTATCTCTCGCCATGGCCCGAAATCCAAAAACAGAACATCCCCCCAACAAACAGCCACCCCCGTCTCCATGTCCGACCACGAGTCCAACCCCGCCGACAGCCCCACCTCGCCCCAGCCTCGCCGACCGGGCGGTCTTTCAGAGGGCCCCAACGCGAGGAGCAAGAGTGTAACAGTGGCTCCTGACGGCGAAAGCACGTATGGCGTGAGTACAGCCGCTATAATATCGTAGACTAGTGCTGATTCCGCAGGCACTTAACCGACACCCGGCACCGAGGCCCGTATCCATCGCCAATGACTCCAGCATCCCTTCAGAATCATTCCGTGTAGGCGTCAGCGAGGACCGGAATCGTCGGTGCAGGCGAACGATGGAGGATGCGCATAGTTTCGTTTACGACTTTGCGGCTGTCAAGGGCCAGGGATACTTTGCGGTGTTTGATGGGCATGCGGGCAAGCATGCTGCCGAGTGGTGTGGTCAGAACTTCCACGAAGTACGTCCCCAGCCCATCAGTCCTCGTGTATACTGACCCCGCCCGTAGTACCTCCTTGATGCACTCATCACCGAGCCCGACACCCCCATCCCCGACATCATGAACAAGACTTTCCACGTCGTTGACCAGCGTCTCTCCCACCTCGCCCAAACCGGCCGCACCTCATCAGGCTGTACAGCCGTCACCGCCTTCCTCCGTGTCGAAGAAGCCGACAACACCGTCCACAAAGGGTTCACCAACCCCGGATTGCAGGCGCGCGGGTTGTTCGAGGGCAGGGGAGAAGAGGAGCTCGAGGCGTTGACTTCTCAGCAGCCTTCTTCTCGCCGATCTTCCATGGGCGGGGGTACCAGCGGTCAGACCGGAGGCGCTTCTTCCTATGGCTCAGGCCCGAACGGCATGGTCCGCAAAATGTCTAGCAGGAAGATTAGAGACTTTGTCAAGGGTCTCGCGACCAGATTCGGAGAAGGCTCAGCGGTGGAGGATGATGACAATGATGATGAGGCGATTATCACGGTGGATGGGACCAAGGTGGATGCTATTGAGCCGCAATCGTCAAAGGGTGTCCGGAGAGTGCTTTATACCGCCAACGTCGGAGATGCTAGAGGTGTGCTCTCGTGAGTCACTCGTCGGTTTCGAAGGCGAAGAGGGTTGACAGATATGTAGACGTGGAGGTAAAGCCGTCAGATTGACCTACGACCACAAGGGAAGTGATGCTTCGGAGGCAAAGCGTATCACCGATGCTGGAGGCTTTGTCATGAACAACCGAGTCAACGGTACGTCGAGTCGCACAAACCCATCGTAATCTGTACTGATGATCCTGCAGGTGTTCTCGCCGTGACCAGATCGCTCGGAGATGCTTCCATGAAAGAGTTTGTCGTCGGTTCACCATACACTACCGAGACCACCCTCGACGACACGGACGAATTCCTGATTGTCGCGTGTGATGGTGTACGTTCTTTCCCCTCAGTAGTTTCTTCAGAAAGCTGACAAAAAGGGATAGCTCTGGGACGTCTGCTCCGACCAAGAAGCTGTCGACCTCATACAAAATGTTCAGGACCCGCAAGAGGCGAGCAGAAGGCTGTTGGAACATGCGATGGGCAACTTTTCGACAGACAATTTGAGTGTGTTGGTCGTCAAGTTCTTCCACTAGACATCTCCCACGCCGGGAGTCGATGGAAGAATGAGGGGAAAATGTTATAGAAAAGAAGAAAATCAAAACATGGAGAGAAGACTATATCGAGGGAAAGGGTATCGGAAGGAAGGGTCATTTGCAAACGGGTTTTCACCATTCGTATCTCTATCATTTTTTCACTTCTGCGCGTACGTACGGTCTTATGTCCCCCATTCTTTTTTCTCACCCTTCACAGCGTATTGCTCGTCACTGCCTTTACACAACATCCCCTTTTTCTACAGTGAAACAACAATATACCCAAGTCATATGCTACATCAATGAGACAGGCACCATCGCACATGCAGAGGGTTCATCAGGGGATGTTTGTTGCTACGGGCTTTCGAATCTGATCAAGACAAGCAGGGCGGATTGACGATAGGGTTGATCATGACTAATGGAGATACATGTTGCTGATGACAGGTCCTTCTACTGTCTACAGTTCCTCCTTATTCCCCTCCTGCCCACAATTCGCTCATCGCTTCTCCATTGATCTTGGCTGCTCTCCTCAAACCCTGACAGACGCCACACGCTCCTGCTTGGTATGCGAGATACTCTCCCGAAGGCGTTCTCCGAGCTTGGCAAGGTGTGGTGGCCTTTGTGAGTACGAAGAACCCATCATGATCTTCTGATCCTGCCCTTGAGTCGAAGAAGTCGCAGAGCCCACACTACCCGTCCTAGACTTTGCCGAGCTCCCACCCAAGCTCCCACCGCCCATAGCAGCACCCCCACCCCCGCCCATGGCACTCGGCATCATACCCAACACTCCACTCATCCTCCGCTTCTCATTCCCGCTCAGACTATTCTCGCCTTCCCATTCTTTACCCAACGGCGCGATATCAGGCAAAGACATGGGTTGTGGCAGCGCTGCCGCCTCGCGCTTGATGAATACTGGAGGTAAAGGTCCAGGAGGGCGCGCCGGGAGAGACGCGGGAGGGTTGAGCAGCGGGAGGGATGCAGTGGGTGCGGGGATGGATGGGGACGTGCTCGAAGAAGAGGGTGATGAGGAATTGGGCGCGTTGGGGACAGCTGTTGGAGGGAGCGGGAAAGGTGCTGCAAAGGGGTTGAGCCCGCCCATGCTGACTCGGCTGGTCCCGCTCGTAGCGCTACCGACACTCCCAATACTCTCGGCACTGTCTCTTCTTCCCAGCCTCAACCTTCCAAAGTCTTTACCCAGGCTGCCCATCTGGGCGGGTCCAAGATGAAGAGAAGATGAAGCAGAGTTGACGCTGGAAGGGAAAGTCTGAAAGACGTCGAGAGCATTGGTGGAGGACTTTCGAGGGCCGAGGCGGATAGGTAAACCAACGCCAACGCCAAGGTTCTGCGCCTTGGTAGCCTCGGGCTTGACTGTCTGCGCAAAGGGGTTGGAGAAATCCGTGAGGATCTTGGGCGGCGCCATGTGGGATGGGGTCGCAGAGGTAAAGTGGAACAACACCTCGTCGCCGTCTGATCCGCTGGACGACCCGCTGTCCTTCCTGATAGACACCGGCCTACCCGCAGCCATCTTGACCCCTGCTTCAGCATTCATACGAGCGAAAGACCAGTCTTCGCTACCATTACGCCCGCCGAGGACTTTGGACAGACTTTCGTCGATGCCCCAGTCGTCGTCGCTCATCGAGTTGGAGCGCAAGATGGAGAAGGACTGGAGTCGGATAGGGTTGGGTGGGGGTTGGTCGGGGGTGCGCAGGGATAGAAGAGATTCGCGGGAGTAGGTCGTTACGAGGGATGGAGGTGGCGTGCTTGGGCTGAGAGTCTCGCTGTATGCCCAGTAAGTATGCGCAATGGGGTGACCGTATTTGGCTTACGATTCGGCAGTAATAGAGCGAGGCAATGTCATGATCAGGTCGTTGCGAGATTCGTTACCACGAGGAGGAAGATAAATCAGACAAATGATGGTGGGTGCAACCCAAAGAAAAAAGTTGTCGTACAAAGAAAGAGCGAGTGTGGGCTAGGACTTTGCAAGAGCGACAACCCATCTCATCTCATATACGACAGCCTCAGACCTGCCGGCCCTTGCCGCATCGTCCCTCCCTTCAACTTTCCCTAGGCCTTCCTTACAAATCCTCGCCCTGCTTTACGTGGAGGGCGCAATCGCCCGAAGCCGACTCGTCCGGCAACCCCGTAACAGACCATCCTTCGATACTGCGCTCCACACCCTCCAAGGTCCAGGCTCATTTGGGACCATTGTAGAGTGCCGATCTGGGATCCCACCAGGCGCATCTCCTTTGTCCGAGTGAGGCGAGGAGGCGCGTCATAGGCAGATGAGGTAGTAAAGGAGCGGGCGGGTAGTATAGCTGCGCCATGGCGGCGGGGTAGATGCAATCCTTTGAGGGACGACGTCGAAAGGAGTGCTTGGCGCAAAACAGGCATACTCAGCAGCGTTACAGGTGCTGGCACGACCGCTGTATATCAGCATGATTCAGCAAAGGTTACAGTATACACGTACATCAACAAGTCTCTTCTATGCAGACGGGGCACATCTCCTTCTCATCCGGCCCAAACATCTTCACCGTGGAAGGCCTATCATTTGGCGGTCCCATGGTTTTCAATCGCTCCCAGAAATTGACGCCCTTGTGGCAGACACGATCTACGTCTGTGTACATGCTATTGTAGAAGAACATATTTGGGAGACGCGTCCTATCATACCGATCAGTTCATGAAATGATGGGTATTCCAGAGAACAAAGTGCTCACCCTTGTGATTCCACGAGATCGAGATGCCATGACATGAAAGCTCCAAGACTGGCCTCGTGTGAGAGCATGCCCTGCGAGGACTCGGGCCGCAGGAAGATGTGCAGGTTCTCGGATGCCATATCTACCATATGGTCTAGGGGATTGGCGTTGTGAATGCACAATTCACATGCGCCATTTTCACTTTCATTTTCACGTGATTCTAGGTCCATTGATACCATGCGACTACAGTATCTGGTCGCAGCGCTACCTGTACAACTGGAAGGCAGATGGAGACAAAGGGACGTGAACACTCCCAAGTCGTCGTCCCTTGTGAGCATATCGTAGGCACCCTTCCAGACTTCTGGGTAGAGAGTGAAGCATCTGCAAAGTGATTCGCCCAGAATCATTGCGTCAAAAGTACCAAGAAAGAACAAGGAATGGCAGAAACGATCCATTCGCCAATCTCGATCGTCATCATCGAGTCCGTCTATTCGGTTCCAGAGCTGGCGGCGGAGGTACTTGAAAGAAGTCAGAGCCTCTTGCAGGTAGGCTGCGGAAGTCCCGTCTTCGAGTAATACATGAGAAGTTTGCCAGATCTGGCAAATTTTTCGCGCAATGGGAGACGGGATGTAAGAGACGGCCAAAATGTAGTTTTCATTGGCCTCAAGCTGCCCCAAGTAGTTGTCAACATGCAGCTCATGGGCGGAGATCTCTCTGTCAATACCACCTAGACCGTCTGATATGAGACTTCCGAAGAAGGCCTCCACATTGAGGGTATTGAGACGGACCCTCTTGTAGAGGCGGGGAATTGACTGGGCGTATATCGACCGAGAGACGCGAGCGAGGGAAGCGAGGGTGGGCTTGTGAGTGGTCTTCTGGAGGCATTGAAAGATGAGGCTGCGAACCTCTGAGGGGAGGGGGTCGAGAGTGATGAGGGACATGGGTGGGGAGTTGTGAGATGTGCTTTTTGAGGTGAGAAATCGAAGGACGAAAAGCAAAAGCATCACCGGCCACTCATGTCCGGATGCACCGTGCATCGGGTCGGGACGGTTGCTTATCTGTCAACATAAAGTTCTCTACTTGTCTTTCTGCCCTCTTGACATGTTGATTTAGCATCTCGGTGCATGTATATTAGCGTCAGGGCTGGCGGAATGAAACGATCGCTTTGTAGACTACCTTCTGACGAGCGTGGACGGTCGCACTGTTCTGAAAGTACTCGTACAGTCCGTGGTGCACCAAGCGTGTCAGGTGTTGCCGAAGAAGGCAACGGAATCTGTATTACTGTTACATTACACAGTCTCCAGACAGACGGGACAGGCGACCTCCTCTTCCGGCCCGTATAGCTTCAGCGTGACAGGAGGCCAGTTGAATTTCAATCCCGATCCATCCGGCGGGCCATTCCTTGCCTCCTTCAATTCGTTCCAGAAACCCCGGTTGTGGTGGGAAACGCGATCCGCATCTGTGTATTGGCTGTTGTAGAAGTGTATGTTGGGGACCAGCCTGCTGCTGATTTGATCAGCGCTGTACTTGCATATGAAAAGCCTAGTAGCCCAAATGCTCACAATCGTGACCTTTTTTTTTTGCCGATATTGAGAAGATTGGACATGAAAGCGCCGATACTCGCCTCGTGCGAGAGCATCCCTGGCGAACCCTCAGGTCGCAAAAAGATGTGTAAGTTTTCATGGACAACGCTCATAGACATATGCTCCAGAGGGTTAACGTTATGGACGCAGAAAGTTTCGATACTCGTATACCTCGGGCTGAGGCATTCCGTCAACAGCATATCTTTGCAGTATTGAGCTGCAGCGGTACCTGAACAGTTCGCAGGTATGCGAAGGCAGATAGAGTCTAAACTATCCATGAATGTGTCTCCCTTCAGCATCTTGGCAACACCCTCCCACACTTTGGGGTAGAGGATGAGGCTCTTGGCCAAAGGTTCGCCCAAGGCTACTGAGGCGTTGTCGGACAAGACAGATATGCTGATCCACATCATGTACTTATCGCTGTCATCGACGAGGCCGTCTAGGTTCTTGTAGAGTTGGTCATGGAGATACTCTAGAGAGGTCGCCGCTTGTTGCAGAGAGATTGCGGCAGGAGCGTCTTCAAGAAATAAATGCTGTGTGCTCCAGATCTGACAGATCTTTCGCGCGATGGGTGGGGGAGTGAATTGCGAGGGTGCAAGGTCGCCAATCTCTTTCTCGAGCTGCCAGATATAGTCGATGAGCTGCGGCTTATGGAGAGCAATCTCCTCGTCGATAGCGTCGAGGCCGTCCGCTGTGAGGCACCCGAAATAGGCCTCCGCATTGGAAGCATTGAGCCTGACCCTCTGGTAGAGACGGGGCATTGAATTGGCGTACATCTCTCGAGAGACGCGCATGAGCGAGGAGAGTGTCGGCTTGTGGGTGGTCGCTTGGAGGTATTCAAAGATGAGGCTTCGGACTTCAGAGGAAGAGTGTCGAGGGTGTCAATGGCCATTTCTGCGAGAGTTCTGGAGGTGTGGAGTTTGTGGAAATGGTGAAGTTTGTGTAATGGGCAGATGGAAAAAAAGACAGCGAGACGCAGGCGAGACGCATCACGGCCCTCCGAGTCTCAAATGTCCGGATACACACACAACGCACCTTGTCCGGACGTCTCCTGTCAGTCAGGTCGCACTCGGTAAAATGCATCAGAAATCACATATTGGAGGTACACATAACACATGACATTCTATGTCGTCAGGCCGAAAGATAGCAATAGGACAGATGCTCTGAGAGAGACATGGAATGGGAAAGATGAAAGGAAAGTAATGACTATGCGGTAGAGACACTGTTGAGAACGAGGCCACGTCTATGCTTAAGGTATGCTGTATACAAGAGGTATCGTGAGATTGTTCGTAGAAAGTCCGTGTAGGGCATCGCCAGCCCCTTGTTGAAAAGAGTCGTGAGATCAAAGCTCGCTCAGAATCTTGTCGATCTGCTCATTCAACCATCCTGCTCGAGCTTGAAGTCCGGCATTCGGGAAGAGCGCGTAGGTCGCATCTCGCGTCTGCCTCTTCGTCCTATCGAAGCAGTCAGCATCATCTCTCACCTCACAGAGACCAACTTACACGCTCATCAGATCCTGTTTCCCCAGCCATTCCCTCAACACCTCGAGGACCTCTTCGTCTCCGACAAGGCTCGCCTCGTTCACCTTCATTCCCGCCAGATTGTTCGCGTTTTCACCACCCCCACCAAGCGTGAAAGAGCTCATCCTCGACTGCGACGGCATCATCGTATTCCTCGGCGCCCCACCCGCTCCCATACCCTGGGACATCGACATGGATCCTCCGGTATGTTGCGCGCCCATCGGCATTCCCATTCCCATGCCCATGCCTCCCATGGGCATCATTATCGGGCTTCCGTACATCGACCCTGGACCCATCGCGCCTGGAGGATAGAACGACGGAGGTCTTTGAGAGTGGAATGAGCCGCCGGTCATCATGGGGTTCATGAAGCCTTGTTGAGGGGCATCATAGACCGAAGCAGGACCCCACATGGACATACCCGCCATGCTCTGAACTCTGCCTCTTCCATCCTTTGCCAAAGACTGTTGGCTCGGCGAATTGCGCATCCGTTTTGACTCGTGTCCCTTGCCGAGAGGCGAAGAGTCACGCCAATAGTCAGCCCCGCGAGGTAGGTCGGAAGTGGAGGAGTGGAATGATGGGGCACGGTTGTTGTTGCCGATGGGATTGGGGTGGAGGCGAGAGGCAGCTGAGCGGCTGGTCTGAGTCGTTCGGCGGGATTTTTCAGAGGGCGCTGAGCGGATGGATCCAGTCTCCCAAGCGTTGTACTCGTATTCTGAGCCTAGGTCAGCTTTCGCGCTCAGTCTGCGTCATGTCACTCACCCTGGAAAGTTCTGTACGGAATCATACTCTCGCTGAAAGGCTCGTCGTCCTCAATGACGACCGTCTTTTGGCTACCTTCACCGATGACCTTACTGTAAGAGCCGTCAGCGACCGTCGTTCACGATACAAGCTTGTACGTACCGAGTGTTACCCCAACTAAAGTCGTCCATCGACCAGAACGAGTACAACGGCAAAAGCACCGAATAGATCGGGAACGCCAAGAGGTACACGATCATCCATCCGACGAGCATAAACTCTCGCTTGAGGATAAAGATGATAGCTTGAAGACCGTAGGTGGCGGCAATCATGGCGAGGGAGATGGTAGGGATGGCGGCTTGGCCGGTAGAGACCACGATAACAAGGTAGATCAACTTTGGTCATACGTCAGTTCTCGCCTTGTGTCAAAGTGGAAAGTATACGCACATAGCCACAGGTGGCAGGTAAGATGACTGTACCGAGGAGATCCAAAAAGACGATCCACCTCATCGAGAACATACAGAATCCACACATTTCAGGCAAGAACAGCAGCTCAGCCAAGTTATGTACCGTAGAGTTGATCCATCGTCGTCTCTGCGAAAGAAGCACAGCCCAGCTACTAGGCGCCACAGTATGCGCGATAGCATCAGGCGTAAACTTCATCTTGAATGTCGGGAAGTGCTTCATCATGATTGTCGTGAGGTATCGGTCTTCACCCAAGGAGAAGAGATTCTTTTTGTGGAGGGTGTCGACGTTTGGCTCAGCATACTCGTCGATGACGACGGAAGATATGATGATGGGCCGGCCGCCCTCGACTGTTCGGAGACGATACACGGAGAAACAACCGGGAAGACAAGTGACCGATCCGAAGAGGGATTCGAAAGCCTTGGTGAGATGGTGGGAGATGTAGTACTCGTAGACCTACTTCTGGGTCAGCTATACTTTGGTTTGGACAGAAGCGGCGCACCTGAATCATGGTAGTGAAACTCTCATTCTCATTCGCCAACTTTGTCTCCCCACACAGCCCAATAATCCTCTGATCATCCGCCATACAACTGATCATGCGGTTCAGCGAATCTGGCGCCACCGTCGTATCCGCATCCACCTGGAAGATGTATTCGTAGAAGGCCGGGTCGATACCGATGACATTGCGCATTTGGTGGTAGATTTCGAGCTCGAGAGGTGACATTGGGGCTTCAAAGTGGACGCGGTTGAGGTACTGCATGAGGAGGACTTGAGAGTCTCGTTTGCCTCGGTTACCGGGCTTGGAGGTTTCCGATGGCTTGCCGACTTTGACGACGACAACGTAGCTGGGGGTCCATCAGCACACGTCGTTTAGGAGAAGAAGATATGGCTTACGGAACGACGTGACCCTCAAATTCGTACAGCCCAGAGTACACTTTACCATAATTGAGCTGCTTACTGCCTTCACCAATACTTTTACAAAGCAGAGGCTCCGGATCAACCTTGGCGTCCACTCCCAGCAAGTCCAACACAATCCTCGGCGTCGGCCTGTTGTTTCCACTACCCACAATGTTACCATCGCACATGATGAATATCAACTTTCGCTTGTCGTCATAGTTGAGCGCGGCGAGCGAGTCGATCGTGCGTTTGAGCGATTCTTCGCCTTCGGTATAACAGGGGACTTGGCAGATGACGAATTTGTCGAGTAGTTCGGGGTATCTCTTGGAACCGAGCTGGAGGGCCGCCAAGACTGAGGAATGGTCAGCTTCCAATCACAGAGGGACGCGGAGACATACACTTGGAAGCGATGGTAGCCATGATGATGATGGAGAATGCCAGCAACAGATAGTTTTGCACCGTACACTTTGCCTCTTTCCTGAAATCCAGCTCGCCATAATAGAACGTATTGTCCAGACATGTCATCTGCGCCGTCTGCTCGTCGGACGTGAGTCCACTCAAGATCTCATCCAGATCACTTGTGATATCCTGTCCAGCGGAAGATTGAAAGAGGGACGCGATATCGTCGTTCAGGAAAGTGTAGTTGGATTGGCCAGAGTAGTCGTCCTGAGTCTCGAGATAGTCGGACAGGTCGTAGACTTTCTTCTTGTAGATGGCCCAGCTCCTGCGGACACGTCAGTGAAGCCCTGAAGAGAAGGTGAAGACGTACTTGGAGTCTGAATCCGCCCCGTCCGCTACCTGATCTTTCGTGTACACATAGTACCCTTTGTAGTACTTGTCCAGCTTTGGCTGGAGCGTATCCGTGTACCAGTTGATATCAGTCAGCTTGGTGTCGTTATCTGTCTGCGTCGGGCCGGACGTGTGCACGGCATAGTCCAAGATGGGCGTAAAGTTGGCGCGCGTCAGGACGACGTCAGTGTCAGAGACGAGGCCTGGGCAGGCGACGGACAGGGGCATGGGAAAGTAGTTTGTGAGGTCTTGACCGGCAAATTCGAGCATGACGTCGGAGGAGGTGGTGTAGGACGAAAGGTCGGAGTGTTGGCCAGAGTAGAAGTTTGTAAACTGTGGTCAAGTCAGCGAGTGATCGAACAAGGAGGGAGAGCGACGTACATCATACACCTTGCCCGCAATGGCGGCATAGTAGTCGTCGTCGCCGGCGTGTGTCGCGAGCTCGGTCTCGTTCCACGCCTTGTCGCTATCCGGACACAGCAGCTTGCCGAAGAAGATGATGTAGAACAGGACGATAGCGCAAGAGAGAATGATCATCATAAAGATTGCCAGCTTTTCTCTCCACGCCATCCTCACGTCGGCACGCTTCATCCTGCCGACACAGACCAACAGGAAGCTCGGTATCCACCAGGTCATGGTCCAAGTGATGCGGAGCCACCAGCGACGAGCAGCAGTAGTAGAAACAATCTCGGTCTCCTTGATCTTCTTCTCCTTGACAATCATGCCGTCCGCCTCGGGGTCGAGGGGCACCTTGGAGTCGGTGTAGGCGGGAACATGATCCGGCTCAGACCAGACGGCGCTGTCGTTGTTGGTCTCGTAGCCGACATTATGGCCCGGGACGTCGTTGTACTGGGCGTACATGGGCTCGTCATAGGAGCGTGAGTGGGAGAGGGAGGGTCGGAAAGGATCGGTCTGGTATCCCTGTGGGGGAAGCTGGGCGGCCTGGCGGTCGTCGGGGGCGGTGGGGGAGTGCTGGACGGGCTCGGAAGCGTGGGTGATGTCTTGGTACCGGTTGGGGTTTTGCAGCGGATTGTCCATGGTGGACGGTGGAGATGCGGATGAGAGAAGGGATGAGAATTTGGAGGACGATGAGGGTGGTCCGCCCTGGTCTGTGCGAGAGCGAGGTGTTGACGCTGGTGCACAGGGCGGGAGATGGGATGTGGTTGAGGATGTTGTTGCTGCCTGGGACGCGTTGTCAGCGCAGCCCACGTACTCCTGCGCCACTCACCGTGCTCTTCTCCTTTATGCCCACTATAGACACCCTTTGCACGCGGCTTCCTTCGGGTCAGACGAAGGGTGTGGATCTCGTTGGATCTGGGACCGCAAGTAGACAAATTCAGCTGCTCACGTACCGATGCATGCCTCCCGTGTGCTCTATGCTGTGCTCTTCCCTCCCTTCCCTCTGTTTCCTGATTTCCCTCCAAGACCCCCCCCTTGGCTCCCCTTTGCACCGCCTGTACGCTGCAAAAACACAACAAACACAGGCTCCGCGCTCAGACCCCCGCTCATTTTGCGTACCCTGAGCGTCGGCCATCGCCGCGAGAGGCTTTCGGAAGCCCGCTCTTTCGGTACGCCCCTTGTACTTTGCAGCTGTACGCCAGGTGGCATGAATCGGGCATGGATGTGCTGAGAAAGGAGTGATGCATGCAGACATCATATGAACAAGAAGCTTGGCCCGATGACTTCAACAGCGCTGTTTTTCTGTCCAGGAGGAATCAAACGCGCCCAGTGTACTTGTATATGACACACAAAAAGTGTATATACGGACCGGATAGAGGCGAGCGGAAGAGGATGATACATACCCTATCTTCGGTACGTATCAGTGGACAATGTATGGTAAATGATAGCATGACTCACTTGACAGCAGACCGTTGTGAGTAAGCGTCACGTCGCTGGGTGATGGCGAGCACGCTCAGTACTAGCCCTGTACATCAGCATGCGTTGCCAAATGATAGCGCAACGCATATCAAAATATCTCCAGGCAGACAGGACAAGGAATCTTCTTCTCGGGCCCACTTATAGTCAGCGCGACAATGCGGGAATCCCAGCCCGATCCCCTGTCTGCCCATTCACTCCCCAGACGGTCCCAGAAATTGACTCCTGCGTGGGAGACACGATCTGAGTTTTTGAACGTGCTGTTGTAGAAATGAAAGGCGTGGGGGATATGATCTCTATTTGGCAGCTGAATAAGCATCAGAAGCAGATTGGTAGCCAAAGCTCTCACAAGTCGTCCACGCCGGCAATGAAATGATCCATGAACGCTCCAATACTGCTCTCGTGTGAGATCATACCCGGCGAGCCCTCAGGGAGTAAAGAGATGTGTAGGTCACTGACAGCTTTCCCTGACATATGGTCCAGGGGATTGGCGTTGTGGATACACAGTTGTCCCGGAATATTGCCGAGTAGACGACCGGATAGGAGCATGTCTTTGCAGTACTGACTTGCCCCGGCATTCGGGCAGTTGGGAGGAAGGCGAAGGCAAATCGAGTAGATAGGGCCCATGGCAACCCCCTTCAGAAGGTTAATGACGTCCTTCCAGAAGTCCGGAAAGAAGATGATACATCTAGCCAGAGGCTCCCCCAGGGCTACTGAGGCGGGGGCGCAGTCGTTGAGCAACGTCTTGGAGACCCCCCTCAACGCTTGTTCCTTGCGAGCTCCACTGAGGCCGTCCATATTTGCTCGGAGCTGGCCGCGAAGATGTCGGAGGCAAGTAACAGCCTCTAGCAGAGATATAGCAGCAGGGCCATCCTCGAGACGTATATGAGTAGTCCTCCATCTGACAAAGCTTTCGAGCAAAGGGAGACGGAATGAAATGGGAGGATGGGATTCCGTCAGGCAGCCGTTCCAGCTGCGAAACGTAGTGAAGGAGATGCGCCTTATGGGCGGTAACCTCCCGTTCAACACCGTCTCGACCTTCTGCTACGAGACGCCCAAAGAAGGCCTCCGCATTGGAACCGTTGAGATTGACCCTCTTGTACAGGCAAGGGATCGACTTGGCGTAGAGTTTTCGGGAGACGCGCGCGAGGGTAGCAAGGGTGGGTTTGTCGGTGGTCGCCTGGAGGTACTCGAAGATGAGTTGGCGGACTTCAGGGGGGAGGGGGTCGAGAGTGTCAAGGGCCATTGCTGGGGAGATTGCGAAACTGGGTGTATGGGAAGGAGAGACACGAAAACAAAACAAAACAAAGATATCACAACCCAGGCGAGTACACGATTGATGTCCTGTTGATGTCCGCCGGAATCCGGTGATCGAGTCCGGACTGCTCATGCTCCAATGGTCTTTCAAGCGTCTTTGCATGTTCGCATTTCCGTTCTTCTTCTGTTCTCTCAGGCCCTACATCGTCTCCACCATACCAGAACGACTGTCTCGACCCTCAAATCGACAGACCCGTAGCCTTGACATCCCGCTCTCCCTCCCAAAGCTCGGGGCTAAATTCTCGCCCCTTCTCCTCGTCCCCCATTCTTCAACTACGACTGCCCGACCATATGCTGTGCGCGCATGTACACGAAGACCATGAGATTTGATATAGCACAATAATCCATCACAACTATCACTCATTTTTGCTATATGTAACAATCTTTCTTCCAAGTTCAAGTCTAAGGACGCGAGGGGAGGTATGCACACTCGCAACGGTACTTAAGCCGTCTTCAAGCCAGCTGGCGCCTCCTTGAATAGCCCAATACTCTCGAGGTAATTGACAGTATCCTTCAAAGTATCCTCGGTAGAGCGGTCTGCAATCGCCATCAGCACCACACCTTACAGCCCGTCGAACGAAGAAGAAAACGTACACTGAAGGCCGAATTCCTTCTTGGACTTGCTGGCGTCAACAGCCCAATCGCCGGGTACGTCCTTGCCGGGCTCTCCGAGAGGAAAGTACGCGTCGAGGTCGGGGCGGAGGGCACGAAGCTTGTCGACAAACTCTTGTCAGTCGAATTCTGTCGCGCCAATCAGCCTCATCATCCGATCACAAAGCTTGAAAAAAGACGAACCATGGCCAGAGAGCATGAACCTTCCGGATACCTGCTTGGTAGCAGCAGCATAGAACGCCGCAGCTACATCCCTCACATCGACAAAGGCACACGCAAGCTTCATCGGCAAAGGCTGGTCTTTCCCCACGAAGATGTTGAGGATCTGGTTCGACGGTACGCCTCGACGGTCTTTGAAAGCTTGGGTAGTGTCAATGTAGTTTGCAGGGCCACAGACCACTATAATAGAGTCAGTACTGTGACCGTTCTGGGGCGAGGAAAGAAGGAGGAGAGAGAAAGGGGAGCAACAGGAGGAACGCACTGGAAGGGCAAAGGATCGTAATTGAGAAGGGAGGCTTCTCGGTGTCTTGGAACTCCAAAACAGCCTGCTCGGTGAGCTTCTTGGCGGCAAAATACCAGATAGCAGGCGTCATAGGGTTGCTGCAGACCGTGATCAGCACGAATACCAAGCAACCAAAGCGGGACATACGTAGCGAGGTCGAGGCTTTGGCAGTACTCTTCCGTGAGAGGGTTCCAGTCGTCCTCGGTGTAGACTTTGCCGGGGGCACCACCAATAATGTCGAGGGCAGATGCGTTAGACGACGTGATGATGACACTTTTGATAGCTATCGAGCTCGTCAGCGTGGACCTTATATGCCAGAAAGGGTGCTCACTGTTCGCTTTCTGAGCATGCTTCAGGATTCTCAAAGCCGGCTCAATCGACTGAATCTTGAAGTCCTTCCAGGTAACACTTGGGTCTCGGCTATATCTCGTAAGCACCGCACATATTGGAAGATGCGTGCCAAAGACAAACTCACCTAGGAAGAGGTGCAGCCAGACTAGCTACGGCCTGAACGCCGTCGAACAGTTCGCTCAAATCACTCTTGGTCAAGTCCTCCACCACCACCGCTCGAAGCACGCCACTGGCAAAGTACTTTGCGTAGGCGGGGTGAGCTTTGAGGGTTTCGACTTGGGCGTGGGTACGGACGGAGCCGCGGACGTGCCAGCCGTTCGAGATAAAGATGAGGGCGACTTCGGTAGCAATGAAGCCGTTGATGCCAGTGATGGCGATGGTGGGAGCGTTGTTGGAAGACATGGTAGACTGTTGTTGTTCAAGTGTTCGGGGATGGGAGAATGGGAGCGAGGGGCGCGGTATATATAGGTACAATGTCTCTGAGCAGAGCTGAATAAAGAAGGGTAGCGGCGTCCGCTCTCTCGACCTGCTTACCCAGACTATCTGCATGTATAGCTCCGGGGATTGACCTGATACAGGCGCTCTCTCTCCTCAAAACAACAACGGACAATGTTGAGTTACCATATAGTAGAGAGATGGCCACTCGCCGCGCGGCCCGCACCGCGCTGTGATGAATCGGTCAATGGCCAACTTACAGAGCAGGTCCGATCCAAACACAGAGCAGAGTGTCGGCAGCCTGCTCGGTTCGGACAGTGGCCAACGTCCTATCAATAGAATGACCGAAAGCAAAATCGCGGCCCGCACCTCTTGATAGAGAAATGAGCCAACTACGATCATATCATTGTCTTTGAAGTTGGTTATTGTAGAATTCGACGACGGTGGCCACAACCATATGCACGCCGACGATGTGCCTCCTGTATGTAGTGCCCCAACTCAAACGAGAGAGGACATAATAGGCATACACTCTGATGAATCGGTGGGTAGATTCTGACAGAGGCATGTGCTCGTCTGTCCGTCTTCTTCTCCAGCAATAGTCCCATCAATGCGGTCGGTTTTTGAGATGCATGCGGTACATTCGGATAGTGGAGAGCGGAGGAGAGTATTACATTCTGAAACTCATAAGCGGGCAGTCTATAGTTTGGGCATAGTGCGACTCACCTGGCAGCAGCAGACCGTCGCGCGTGCCGGTGGGCCGACGGGTGATGGCGGGGCGTGAGCAGCACGCCAAGTGACTTGAAATGATACGGCATCTGCACATTAGCATGTGTGATCGATGGTAATACATTGCACAAACTCACTTTACACCGTTTCCAAGCAGATAGGGCAAGGCACCTTCTCATCCGGCCCATATATCTTCAGCGTGACATGCCATTCACAATAGAGTGGATCCGTGGCTCCTTCCTTCCTACTGGCTTCGAGAGCTTCCCAGAAATTTCTGTTTTCATGTGAGACACTTTGAACGTCCGTAAACATGCTGTTGTAGATGTAAATGTTGTCAGGAGGCATGCTGTTGTTGCACGTATCAGCATAAGGGTCAGACAGGTTGCGAAGGGTGCGCTCACTATCTCTCCAAACTACCGAGAAAGTGAAACATCAAAGCGCCAATACTGCATTGATGTGAAAGCATACCACGGGAACCCTCGGGCCGAAGAAAGATGTGCAATTCCGAGACATCGGTTGCTATGCGGGGCAGTTGATCTAGAGGATTGACGTTATGGATGCACAGCGTGACCATATTGAATGCCGCGTCGTTGAAAGAGAGTATGTCTCTGTAGAACTGAGCCACGGCGCCACCTGTACAGTTCTGAGGCAAATGAAGGCACAAGGACGAGGGTGCGTGTAGTTGGCTCCCACTGAGCAGCTCGACAGCAACTTTCCAGGCCTGCGGATAGTTAATCATACTTCTGGCGAGGGACTCGCCCAACGTTATTGATTCAAGAGAGAGACTATCGACCAAAGCGTCGTCAACGTCCCACATCAGTTGTCGACGCTGTTTAACATCGACATCTCCGAGGCCGCCAGAAGGGGAATATAGCTCGTGCTAGAGATGGTCGAAGGAAGTCGCAGCCTCTTGGAGGTAGGTCAAGGCCGCAGCGTCTTCAAAGATATGTGCCCAATTCCCCAGAGCTGACGGACCTTTCGCGCGATAGGGCATGGGATGAAGCGGCTGTGCTGATCCTGCCACCAGAGTTGCCTGATGTAGTGAGGGAGGTGCTGCTTATGAGCAGCGATCTCTTCGTCGATACCACTCAGACCATCGGATATGAGGCGACCAAAGAAGGCCTCCGCATTGGAGGCAGTGAGATGGACCCTCTCGTACAGGCGAGGGATTGACTCGGCGTATAGCTTTCGGGAGACGCGCGCCAGGGTAGCAAGGGTGGGTTTGTCGGTGGTCGTCTGGAGATACTCGAAGATGAGGTCGCGCATCTCGGTGGGAAGGGGGTCGCGGGTGGTGAGGGCCATTGTCGAGGGGATCGTGGAATCTGTCGAGTTCAAGAGATGACGGATGAAGAAGAGAAAGAAATCTGAATGAAATTCATATCTGACCGCGTCAGTAATTTTCAGTGTCCGGATGCACAACGCGCCCGGTCCGGACCAGGTCTGCTGCGGGCGCTGTCCCCAGATACAATAGTATGGTCCTCTACTGGTATTATACAAACTACAAAGCGAAGTTCAGACGGTCTTATGATATACATGTATGACTGTATGATATATGCACACTCCTTCTTGCCCTTCTGCACTTTTACTTTCTACAATCACTGCGCCATACTGCCTTCGCAATGCCTAGCGTGGTCGTAAACGTCACATTATCACCAAAGAGTGTCCATAAGCTTCAAGCTCATCTCCACACCCAAGAAGGTAGCAGCCTAAATTCATTGTCAGCTACCACTCCGCCTGTATCAGTCAATGAAAATGGACTCACATTGGCAGGAACAGCCCTAGCCATAGCTGGCCCAAAGCCCTTCCACAAGGCTGTGATGCCATCGGCTGCTATAAGCTTCCGGGCACAGTCTGTGAAGCCGGTGTATGTGCCGTGGGGTGCGGATTGAAGACGAGATTTGATCGTCTGCAAAGGTCATGTCAGTGGGAAGAAGACGAGGAGGGACGAGAGACGTACGTCTGGAGGGATACCCAAACTCCACATCGCAATACCAGCACCACCTCCCGCAGCCATAATCGCCCCAACACTCAACGGCGGCGCCGGTGCCCTCTCTCCATTCTCCAGATACCCAGGCTCCTTGGACAACTTCCTCTTCAAGAGCTCGTAGGTCGCAAAGTAGGCGGCGGAACCAGGGCCGTCACGGACGAGGGTGGCAAGGGTTCCCCGGAACAGAGAGCGGATACCGCCCTCAGCGTAGAGCTTTGTGATGATGTCAAATACACCGTTGTAGGCTTGAGCACCGTTCTGACCTTGAACCTGTAATAAAGGTCAGCAGGTGCGCCAGACGAGTGACATGAGAAGAGAGCGTACCTGGAGAAGAACCTTGATACGTTCAGCTGGAGCAGCAACGAGCGTAGCTGGTAAAGCACTGAAGGCACCTGCGAACGCCAATTCGCCAATGCTCAACGCCTGCTCCTTCCTGTCTGCACCTGAGAAAGAGTACGCAATACGCTTGCCGACATCGTAGCCCCAAAATGAGATAGCAAAGATGGGAGTGACTCCCAAGATTGGCGGGGTTACCCCTCGGTAGAGACTGGGATCTTTGTCAGTGATGCCCCTCGTTGCAACGAGGTTGGACGCACCCTCGAAGACCGTCAGCAGCGACGGTCTTGCGGACGACATCAACAGCGCCAGTGTAGACTCCAGGAGCAGCTGTTTGCAGCCGGGTCTTTGTCAGGTCAAATGGATGCCCCACGAGCACACATGAGCTACACCATGAGATCAATATCGGGCGCAAGACCGAGAGGGCAGACTTACATGCCACCAGCACCGCCGGAGAGGAAAGATTTGACGGGGTCGACCGTCTGCTTGGAGGACTCCTTGTTTACGGCAGTGATTTCTGAGGCGTCGTCGGACATGGCTTGCTGGATGGATGGGATGGAAAGAGAAGAGAGAAAAGATGGAATACCAAGAGATCGATTGGACTCGCCGGCGCAAGACATTCCCGGGTACGGGTATTGTGCAGGCCGGATAATTTGATGCCGTTGTTTACGTCAGCCACCGTCGCGTCGTGACTTTTGCTGAAGTGTCAACAAATTGTCTATCATGCTGCTTTCAAGTCGATGTCAATATCATAGCTATCCTCAACTCGCAGAGTCTCCATTCAGAGTCAAAAAATCTCAGAATAAGTCTGCCAAACGACCCCAAAACCAACGCTCGTGGCTTTCGTCTGCGCCGCCGGACTCTCCAGCACACTCCAGCAGTGCTCTATACAGTACCCTACATCACGCTGAGCGTCTGATTCAATGATATCCTATTGACTCTGACAATCTACAGTATACTCGTGATTCAAGACTCGTAAAATCTCATCGTAATCCCTCAGCATTCCCCTCCACCCAAGATCCTGACAGCACAGCAAGGTTTTCCTGACTGATCAGAAGACATTTGCCCCATCGAGGACGGTCATGGCTCCTACCACAATACTGAGCATCCCCGCCTTGTCGAGACCAATCGCCGATGATCGAGTGGCCGACGAGGTAAGAAGCGTCGTCTCATTCGTGAAAGTTACCGCCTTTTCCTACATCAGCCTCCTCTCTTCCTGCTCTCTAGGACCAAGCACTCACAGGAACCCCTTCCGTCTCATTACCCCCATAAACCCATCCAGTCGTTCCGTTCGTCCCCACACTCATCTCGTCCTGTCCGCAAGTCATCTTGACGCTCTTGATGGTGTTCCAGAAGTATCCGTTGGAGACGTAGTCGCTGTTGTCCCAGTTGATCATGCCCCCAGCCCAGTCGATGGTGCCTTGGGCGTTGTCGGAGGTACCGGCGGGCCAGATGGAGATTTGGATGCGGGAGGGGGTGGAGGGAAATTTGCTGTTTCAACTTCAGTCGTCCTATGATGGGTAGAAGATGGGAGAGATGGAACGCACTATTCAGAGCCGTTGGATGAGAGGGTGTCGGTCTTCTGAACGGTGCGGACGGTGGAGCCATCGATATTCCAGTTGATGTAGTCTTCAGTCCATTCGAACTATCTTCCAGTGTCAGCATAGCTAGTGAGCAGACATCAAGAATAAGACTGACGGAGTAAGTGTGGAAGTTGGAGGCAGTGTCGGATGAAACAGAGCTCGATGCTCCTTTCGTCGCCGAGTCTAAGCCATATCGTCATCTGAGATCATAAGGGGTGAAGCAAAACATACAAATCGCGACCCCCAAGTACCAGTAGTTGGTCTGAACCTGGTCTGTTGTCGCCCCCGGCCACTCCCAATCAATCTCATCCTTGACATCCGACATGGTGATTGCCGCCGTCACTACGCCCGCCCACTTGCTCGTCTCGAGCACAAAGTCGACGGTTCCATAGAGCATGTATCGAGTGGAGGAGATCTTGGTGCCGCCATTATCTTGAGTCAGGATGAGGCGGGCGCCATCGTCTGTAGAGAGTACGGTGCCTGAGTTGACTTCCCTGTTCGCGCGCCAAGAGAAATGAAGGACGTACTGACCCAGTCCCAGGCGGTGGCATTTCCAGTGTAGTCCGAAGAGTTTTGGTTGACCCTGCTGAGATCCGTGAAATCTGTCTCCTGAGATACACAAATGGGGTCAGGGCGACAATATGTTGTTTGGTACGAGTCTGATCATGTGATCATCAGCAACTGCCCGCCGCACGCTCGCCACTCGGTATGTAGTATGATAAGTTTGGCTCACAAAGAGGTTCACATCCCCCAAGACAGAAAGAATCAGACCCGCAGAAGCCGTACTCGGAGCAACATGGGGCACTCTCAGAACAGAGGCTGGTGGCGTTGCAAGTCTGGGCGGCGACATGAGGGACGAGGGTGATCAGGGCGGAGGCGAGGGCGAAAAGGTGAAGGAAGAGCATGGTGAGTTGTTGAGGAGCGAGGAGCGGCGAGAGACTGAGTTTATAAGGATATATAGAGAGAATGGGAGAAAGTACAAAAGACCAAGAAGTTTGTGCCGCCGAGACAACAACGTTCCTTTGCGACGCGCACGGCCATTCAATTCCAGCTTCGCGTTGTTGACCTGTGTTGATCGACAGGCAAGCCACCAACCTGATCGAGAACGTCCACATAGCTTCCGTCTTCTTTTGAGTATTGCATCTTGTTACCATCCACGACATGCACGATGATATATACTGTATATCGGGCTAGATCGTGACGGTGCGAGACTGGCAAAGGTCTTGGCATGAAGAATCACAATCAGCGTAACTTTCCACACTTTTCTGACGGGCATCCCACCCCGTTTTGATCTGTCGAGTAGACAAGCAGACTGACCAACATGGATGGCTTCGGGGCTTATACCAGAATTAAGCCGTGTTCCTGCTAGTCCTCCTCGAGACAGAGCTGCCGAACCAAACAAGCCCGATCTCGGTTGGCCGGAGCGGAGATGACCGCCCACTATCAATGACGACAAGGACAAAAATAGCAATATGGCTTTTGGGTTTTGATCTCCAGGATCGCAAAACAGCAAATAAGTTCTGCAACGTTCAACATCACAGGACCAACAGAGGTGTATCAGCCCTCCAATGACAACCTCCCGCCCACTCCCGGACTCTCACTCCTCTTACGTCCTCAAATCACATCGCTCTCCCCATCCCTACTTTTCCCCGACACATCTATCGTTTTCGGACCCACATACGGGGGTCAAGTCTGGCAGCTGGTCTTCAAGAAGGTCAAGAAAAGGGCGGTATACTCCGAAACGGGCGAGGGTTCATTATGTGACTCACAAGTCGGCGGCGGCTGGAGAAACTGAGTCAGGCGTGGGGCGGAGTGAGGAGGGATCGGAGAAAGCTAAAGATGGGGAAGTGAGAAGGATGGAGGATTATGCTGTGGCCAGGATCAAGCTGGCCGAGAAAGTCCGCCTGAAACCACAGCTGAAGATGGATGTCACATTCTGGATAGCTGTGATTTTCACCTCAGGATCCGTCGTCTGGGTGGTAAATGGTGAGCTGCTGCGTTGCACATGCGTGGCGCGTGTTCGTTGACATGATCCTGTAGGTTTTTTGGTGTGGTTTCCCGTATTGAGACCTGAGCTGGATACGGACGCTTTCAGTGAATCGGCCTCTGCGCTGGCTTTCATAGGCGGTACGATCTTCCTCGTCGGCTCGTATCTCATGGTGGTCGAGGCATTGGACAGGTGAGTTTTCGCGATGTACAATGCTATCCGTTATCTGACAAGTGGTATCTAATATCTACAGAGGACGGGAGATTAACTTTGGCACGGCTCTTGGGCAGCTCCTGCATCATCGTCGTTTTACCTCACCGCAAGCCACCATCGGCTCATCAGATCTCTCCAAGCTTCTTTCACATACGTCGACCTCTTCCGCGAACCTAGGCGAACCCCATACCCATGACGCTGGGAACAGTGATAAAGGGAGGGGCAAGCTAGACGAGGAAGGAGCAAAGGTCATGGGAGGAGCGAAAGGCTTTGTGTGGTGGGGCAAACCTATGTGGCACGATATGGGTTATCTTGCGGTATGTGATGGCTCTCCTTTATCTCCAGGCGAATATCTAATGGGAGATACAGGCTATCGTACAGCTGTTCGCTGCCACAATCTTCTGGGTGTCGACCGTGTAAGTTTCAGCCCAGGTGCTTCCTTTTGACATAGAGTGCTGACAACGGCTAGGACTGGTCTCCCTGGGGTCATACCCGGCTACGCAGATGGAGAAGGCTCAACAGCCATAATAGACGTATTCTTCTGGACACCGCAAGGCAAGTCCTTCATTCTCTGTAATAAACTTTTACTGACCTGAAATAGTCATCGGTGGTACAGGCTTCATCGTCTCCTCCCTCATCCTCATGCTCGAAACCCAAACCCAACCTTGGCTTCCAAACCTCACCGACATAGGCTGGTGGATCGGCTTCTGGAACCTCATTGGGGCTTTTGGTTTCATGCTTTGTGGAGCACTGGGGTATTCGGACAAGTCTGGGGTGGTGTATGAGTCGGATCTGGCTACTTTCTGGGGGAGTTGGGCGTTCTTGATAGGAAGTGTCGTGCAATTAGGGGAGGCGATCTGGAGAGAGCCCGAAGAGGGAAATGGGAAGTCATGACGCAAGGTATTGCCAGATTGCTTCTGTTACACTGATCTGTTCTATAATGCATGCTCTCATGTTAACCAACGCGCCCAACGAAGAAGAGACGCTGCATACGCAGTCTACAAGCCGAGGCTCGGTCTTCCGCACTTGACTGGGCCACCCGGACCGGAATATGTCCCCTCGTCTTCTAAATAGTCTCCGTACTTCCGTATATCTTCCCATGCTACCGAAGATCAAGTCGGGCCATGAGACACTACGGGAAGTTTGTCAAACAAATTTACGACGCGTGCCTGTTTCAAGCACTGCGTACAACGTACAACGTGCATCGTGCATCGTGCAAGGTTACGACTCATCTTAAAAGTACTGTAGACCGAGATGCCTGGAAGCCAAAGTTGGGTGACCTCCTCCTCTCTCCATGGACCACATGCGTGGGGTAAGCCCGTCACCTGCGAGGCCGTGCCCCACATGCACGTAGGCGTACGATGGGAATATCTACTTCCTAATCGTACGTATGCGTGCTCGAATCTCCCATTGCGAAGCGAAAGAGAACCTTCACGGGACGCCCCTTGCGGACCTTTACTTCCGCCAAGAGGTACCTTCGTCCTGCGCGGAAGAAGAGCGAGAGACACGGGAAACGGGACAAGTCGACATCTCTCGTTTCGCACTGGGCCTCCTCCTACGTCTCCTGCTCTCCCTGCACCTTCTGCGTCGAACAGCGCCGAAGGCTGTGAAGTATGCATGCGCGTACGTATCCAAGTACTGATTCCCATGACCCAAGACATCCGTCCCGTGGCGCTTTTTTCCGTTGCGCGGGGCAAACATTGGGGTACCGGGGCGGCCGGGGCCTCCGTTAGCCCCATAACTTCCAGCCTCCCGCTTTCGATGCGTTCACGGGAAACAGCACAGTATTTTCTTATATCGATATCTCTCTTATTTACAGCTATACACCTCTTCCGTGTTTGGGCGCTTTGGTGGCCACCCGAGTCGCGCAGGTTCGTTTGATCTCGTCGTGATTTTTAGACGTTGGGGGCGCCGGCCGCCGACCTTCCGGCAGGGCTCGGTGACTGGATTCAGGGAGGTTCGGCTCTTTTTCGTTCAACGACGTCATGCACGGGCTTTAACAGACGACCGGAATCGGCCCAAATAGAAACAGCCGCCGGCTCCTTTGGGTAATTATGGAAGACAATGTTGAATGACTCTGGGTTGTATGTCTTCTTATGGGGGCACAGAGGACGCTTCGGGTACACAAGAGGACATTGCAGATTGCCAGGTACTTCTGAGCTCAGATTTATTGCCATCCAAACTCTCAAGGAGCTTGATGGAGGTCGGTCAATAGGATCTATAGATCTGTACACCCTCCTGCGATGACGAGAGAAGGGAGTCACCATGCCACTATGCCATCAACCAGACGTGGTGGATCTCCAGCTAGGATGATAAGGCGTACGCATGCGGTGTGAAGTGCATGACTGACTCTCTATGTGGTCGGCGATAACTGTTCTGTCCGTCCAACTCTCCATCCATTTGTTATCACAGCTCCAAAATGACGGCGGTACGACTCTCTTGATTGGTAGCAGTCATCGAGAGCCTTGTACGTCCCGAAATATCCATTCATGGCTTTTTCATTGCGGTGTTATGTGAGGTCGGAGATCAGAATAGGCTGAAGCTTGAAAGGTTGAACGACGGACGAAGGAGAAGAGCCGTCCATGTATGCTTTATTTTTACTTCATCCTACCTCTCCCCTAAGAACGCCTTCTGACTCTCCTTGTCAAGTAGACTCACCCGAAATCCGAAGGACACCAGCCAATAAGTCGTAGTAGATACGTGATAGCGGTAGACCGTCCTTAGTCTCAATATGCGCCAGTACATGAATACATGACGCGCTCAAGAGCTGCGAGATTGGGTGACTGTACGCGGATACTGGAACGCCGTGTCGTCGTCGCATGCATCATGCGACAGCACGCAACTGCAGCCAGATGATAAGCAGGAGGAGGTGCATTGACAGCCGCACCAGCTATGTTTACGAGAGATCAAAGCTGGGCGGTCGCAGGATCGTCTACGATCGGAGCGGAAAAGCGGTGGTTGTAGAGCGCACAAAGAGAGCGGGGTGGCCAGCAGGCCTGAAAGCGGTACAGAGAGCACGAGTGACTGACTGCCTCTGTGTCTCTGAGCGGAGCAAGATATGGCCACATGTAGACAGCATAGCAGGATCTGATACATGCAGAAGACAGAAGAATCGACCCAGGATAGCAGCCGAAACTACGGGAAGGGACGCCAGGGTTTACGGAACGCTAAGAATTGGATTTCCTTATTTCTTACTTGGGCAAAAATCATCAGATGCTAGCCAGTTTTCTGCCGGCGCATGTCCTCTTGCATCAACATCTATAATCACCATACGTAGACTGTAGCCACTACACTTGGGCCTGTACATTGAACCGCATCGACTGTACTTCGACCACCCCGACTTGACATATACCTCGGCAGCGCCATACCTCGACTCTCGCCTTTTCACAAAGAAGAGTGTCATAACAACCGACTGCCCGCCCGTTCGCCTCCTCCCGGCGACTATACACCAACTGGAACTGTGCTTGCCCCACTCTGCGTCTCCAACGCGTCGACAGAGACCGGAGAGGCACGCTGTGGAGAGCCAGGACGTGCTACGATTAACTGGGTGGTCTGTTTTGTTGAGCCCAAAGGAAGTGGAGGTGTGACTGTGCAGCTATAGATCTAGTGCGTATCACATCTCTTTTCTCGTTCGCATCTCATCTTTCCCTGCTGACGCGTCCCCAGTCGCCTATTCCTCGCCCCCCCCCCCCCGTCCCCGCTATGAGTGGGTGGTGAAGTTGGTCCGTACCTGATTCATCCCCTCGGGTGTCAACAACCCCAACAGCACGCCACTGGCTGACCTTGCCTTCCAGCCACCAGCCAGCCCATACATTAACTATCCTCTGTCCTTTTGTGTATCGTCCTCATCCTTCTGTCTAATAGTACGCCTTTCGCGCCCAGCCCGAAGCACATGCTAACCTAGATCTCCTCTCCTTCCCCATCCTTCCCCGCCGGCCCTTCCATTCTTCTCCACATTCTGCGACCCTTTATCCTCCAACATCCCCGAACTTTTACCTTCGCGTACCACATTTTCGCATCCCTCCACTCCATCTACACCGCTTTGATCCTCTCCCTGATCAGTCCAAAAATCGCTGTACAACAAGCCCGAATAATCCACGATGGACGCGCTCATACACCCCTCTATCGCTATACCAAACCTGCCAACGATACCACAATCCGCAGTCCCCTCTCCCACCTCCCAGCGGTCGCCGCGTGGTCCCACGACCCCTCCTCTACCAATACCACACCCCCAGCCGTCTGTACCGTTTCCGCAGCGTGATGGAACGGATGGATCCGGAACCACCCGACGGTCTTCACTCTCGCGTCTGCCGCCCGCAGAAGGGTCCTACTTTCCTCCCACCCCCAGCCCTGGCTCGAGAGTGGCGTCAAGTAATTCGTCACCTGGAGGTACCAGTAGACCTCGTCCGCCACCCCTCGTGCTGCCGACCGACAGCCCCGATGACGCAGACTATGGCATCACGCCAACAACAAAAGGCAAGGGGAAGGAGAAGGCTCGGGACCTGGTCAGCGACAGCCCCGAGCAGCTCAGGCCGGCGTGCGAAATTGACAGAGAGGACCCAGACGAGGCTGTGGCGCTTCGCGCAATCGATCCGCCTAATCCCCACAAGAGCCCTTCCGTGGGCAGTATCGTTCGCCTGATCAAGAAACGCTCGTCAGCCTCGATCCTGGGAGACCGTTCAGACGAGAGTGTACGCATCAGCTTACGGCAAAGTCTCTCTAATCTAAAAGAAGGACTGCGGAGACCGGCATCCAAATCTCCAGAAACAACCTTGACTCCTCTACATCCTCTTCCGCCTCCTTGCCCGGAACGTCGTATCTCTCCCAAAACGCGAAGCAGGAGCTTTGACAGCTCCAAGATCGACTTTAGTGCACCGCCTCCGGTGACCGCTGAATCGTCACTACGCCGATCCAAGACGGTTAGTCACCCCAGATCTCCCAAATCTCAATCGCTTCTCTTCACTGGCGAGTGTTCGCCCCGCCATGATGAAACCTCAGTTGAGACGCATACTTCTGTCTCTGCCGGAGCCTTCTCCCCCATGAGCCTTACCAATAACCACCCTCTCTCTTCCGCTACCACGTCTCTTTCCCGCAGTGCCAAGAGCGGAAAAGAGGGTCATCCCGGTAAAGCCAAGGAGATGGGCAGCGAGGACTCGCTAGATTCGGTCAAGCAGTGGAAGACGAAGCAGAAGGTGCATCACGACAGGCTAGAAGTGCGCAAGCAGTCCCTCCTCGAGCTGGTGGAAAAAACAGTCTCCCACGCCCACGCTCTCGACATCCTTGAAAGCGTCTATCTGTCTTCTGCCAACAGCAGCAGTCTCCCCGCCAGCGCCGTCGAGATTATACGTAAACTCAGACCCATGGTCGCCAGGATTCGGAAAGTCAACAATAGAGTCAAAGATATCATGGTGTCCGTGTTGAAGGAGGAAGGGATCGGGTACGGACAATCGATGGGGAAGAGAAGAAGCGAAGGAGATGTGTTTGAGACGGAGGCGGAGAGAGAGCAGGAGGAGAGGGCACATATGGAGGTGATGGGAGAGGAATTCGAGGAGAGACTAGACAGGGCAGTCAGCAAAATTTCAGTAGCCATGCTGGCTGAAGTGAGTAACTGATCATATATTGTGTGCACACGACTGATTTCTCGTAGGAGAAGGGGTTCCGAAAGTACACCAAGCTTTGCGTGACCGGCCTCAATGCCAATAAAGTATTCTCTGGCGTCAGCAATGGCGATCGAGAGAGATTTGAAGCTCGTTGCCAAGCCCAAATGGACTCTCGCGAACATTACGACCTTTCTGCCCTTCTTGAAACCAGCACCCTCGGGCTTACCAGCGTATCGAAACGTCGACTACACTTTCAAGATTTCCTTCATGCTCCCTATCAACGCATACCGGGTTTGGTCCTGCTTCTTCAGCGTGTGCAAGACTCGTTCAAGGGACTCCCTATCAAAGTGGGAGATGACCTAGATGCGACTAGCCGTGCCTATGTGGATGTGGGCCGCCTGCGCGAGATGATTGCGAGGGTGGGGACCACCACGGACAGTGCGCGAGGCGTGAAAATGAAGGAGGAGGCGACGGAGACTCTCATTTCACGCATGGACGCCCACTCGGAAGTCACGCCCGAAGTCCTTCGCTCGCTGGGTACTTGTCGCCTCATCGGTTCATTGAACGTGCTGTATCAGCATATTGAGCCGTTGCCGAAGCAGGCGACGGTCAAACATCTAGCAGCATTCCTCTTTGACGGTTACCTGATTCTGGCAAAGGTGAAGAAGAACCAGAAGGTGTACGAACCGAGGCACTTTTTCCCGTTATCGATGTTTGTGATGTACGGTGTGACGACAGGTGGGCATCAGCGCAAGTCTTTCTAGTCAATGAGCTGACACGGTATAGGTCCGATATCGCCAAGCATCCGTCTCGAAAGTGGTCGATTCAGCTACTTTTTGGGCGCCCTCAGTGCAGAAGAGCAAGCGATCTGGCATGACGCCCTCGACGTCGCCCGGGACAAGCATGTGTCCCCTTACGCGGTGCCAACGAGTCTTCCTGTTTCTATTACGCAAGCCATCCAGGAAGGGTGGATAGAAGACGCGTGGAAGTCCTCCGCGGATATCACCAAGCCCATCTCATCTCCTCAGCAAACGCCTGCACTGTCTCGTCGGGCGTCTATGGGGGCTACCAAGTCGCTTGATCTTGAGCGTATCACTCCCGTTACTCGGGCGAAACGTCGAAGCCCCGAGAAGCGTCATACGATGACTGGCCTCCCCACCAAATCTCTCAACCCAGACGACATCCTCTCTGCTCTGAAGACTGTCGACGCGAAGAGCAAGAACGACTCTGAGCCCTCTACCCCGGTCAAGTCTCCTGTCCGTACGACCTTCACCGCCATGACGCCTGACCGTAACAAAGAGTTGACTCAGACGTTGAAGCAACCGCAGAAGAGCATGATCGACAATGTCATGCACGGGCTGGAAGGCATCTTTGACAACCAGTGCGCCCAGATTCGGGCGGGTGAGACCATCCGCAAGAGTCAGTCGATGGGAGCTTCTTCGCGTCGGAAGAGCACCACCCAGCTTGTTGGGTTCAAGGACTCGATTGGCGCGACTGTTTTCACCGGTGCCGTCACCGAGTCTGTCATTCCCAAGCGTGAACCTACGTTGGGGCACGTCAAGGGCAAGCCTAGTTTGCCCGATGATTGGCAGCCTGGGGAAACGAGCGAACTTCCTCCGGCGGTGGCAGATTCGGATGAAGAGGAAGACGAAGACGAGCAGGAGGAGGAGAGTGGTGGGACCTCGAGACCTATCTCCGAGTTTGGCGCTTCGACTTCTCGCCAGCCTCTTCCTCGCAACGGCTCCTCCACGTCCCTCTTTGGCGTACCATCTTCAAAGAGCTCATTCTTGTTCATGTCCGCCTCCAACGACGACTCCCGAAATAGTCTTCGAATGCGCACCAAGCGAGACAAGACTAGGAAGGGCGCTGCTCTGGCTGAGAATGAGATTGCAAAGGAGAAGGAGAAGGACCCGGTCGGGCACGCGAGGAAGAAGAGCGAGCCGACAAGGCGCAAGATTTCGAGCAAAGAAGGCATGGCGCACTACACTCACATCCGGGAGAAATCCCAGCCTGCTTCCCCGATGCTCTCTCCAGCCCACGAGCAGCCGTCTTTCGAAATCAGTCTTCGACACGAGGACGAGCAAGCTGTATACGACAGTGGATCGACGACGGCTCCGGCGGAAGAGACGGTCGAAGAGATGGCTGAAGGCGAGGATGGTGTTCTTTTGACTGCTCCGGGACTGAAGAGGAGGAGCTTCTCTTATGACTCTACTCCCATCGCTCGACGACCTGGCCCCTCTCGTCGGATCACTCCGCCAGAGTATTCGATTCCCGAGCCGCATGGCCCAGCGCCTGTCCAGCCGTTCGGCGCTTCCTTCGGCGGGTTCTTTGACAGGTCCAGGAGGGACAGCGACCGCTCGAGAAAAGATAGTCGAACGTCCGCCGAGAGCGCCGCACCCGGTGGACTGAGCAGGCGCTCAAGCTTTGTCTCGGTCAAGTCTTCGCTCAAGAGATCCCTTAGTGGTATCTCCCTCCTCTCAACCAGGAAGAGTCCCAACATTGAAGTGCCAGGTATTGGCATAGATGACGGTACGGGGAGCAGTGCCCAGTCCACTCCGGGGACTGAGTTCAGCCCCATGTCGCCCATCACTGGGTTGTATGGCGCGGAAGACGACTACGGGAGAGATGCTCTCGAGATGAAGAGGGTGGCGCCTACGCGACAGAAGAGTTTCAAGAACCTCTATGGCCTTGGATTCTCTTCCATGAAACCAGAGAGGGGTTGAGGGGGCGAGTAGGGGAGGAGAGATGGACAGAGGTTTTTCATTTTCTGTTGTATTACCACTTTGTGTTTGTTTTCACGGACGATATACGTAGGACATTCCATATAGCATCACGGAAGACAGACAACATCATATAGTTTACCAAGTATTTCGCTTTACAGTTCTCAGACACGTCCGGCATGTTTCCATCAGCATTTGGTTAGCTTTGAGGTGGGGAGAGGAGTACGATTGGTTGTTTTTTATCACTTTGTAATAGTCAACCCATGCGATCATGTTTCCTGTCGCTCTCTGCTCTCTGCATACCCTCCCTGCACCCTCCCCAGCCCGTCGACGTCTTTCGGCGCTGCTCGGCGTCGTTCCGGCTAAGGGCGATACCCGGCGGCGAAACACGTCGCTGTACATAAAAGTCATCTCTCTTCTCTTTCCTTTCCATCGCAACTCCATTCTCCTTCTCCGATGCCCCCCAGGACCCTCTCCTGCACACGATCACCAAGAGCCATGACTCTCACCCGCTCCTTCGCATCCTCTGCCCCCCGCAAGTCGGCAGCGTCCCAGAAGCCTCTCTACGCCTCCCAGGCATCCATCCCCCACCTCCCCGTCCCAACCCTCTCCTCCACGCTTCACAAGTACATCGAGTCGCTCCCGCCTCTACTGTCGCCTGAAGAGCTGGCAAAGTCGGAGAAGGCAGTCAACAAGTTTCTCCATTCGGACCAGGCGAAGAAGCTCCAGCAAGGCCTCGAGCGGAGAGCTGCCGAGAAGGAATCGTGGTTGAGCGAGTGGTGGAATGAGGGAGCGTATATGGGCTACAGGGGAAGGATCATCCCGAATGTCAACTACTTTTACATCCACAAGCGTGGGCTTGGACAGGGTAAGGGACAGACCGAGCGCGCTGCCGAGCTCATCCGGGCGACTGTCGAATTCAAGAAGCTTGTCGACAGGTGACTCTGGTCTGTAGTGTAAATGACAGGAGCTGATGATTGATAGTGAGGTGCTAGAGCCCGAGAAGACCAAGGCGGGACCGCTCTGTTCTGCTTCTTACGTCAACCTCTTCAATTCTGCCCGGCAACCCACCAAGCCCTCTGACCTGCCCAAGTCTTTCGGCCCTGACAACCACCATATCGTGGTCCTCCGCAACAACCGGTACTTTAAGGTCGACACCAAGGGCCGGGGTAAGAAGGAACTGCAAGAGGCGTTTGAAAAGGTGATAAAGATTGCCGATCAGAAGGAAGGTAGCGGCCTTAGTATCTTGACCGCCGACGACCGAGATCTTTGGACCGAGGTATGTGTGCTACTGATAACATTTACATGTAGCTGACCTTCCTCAGACCCGTGATCATGTCATCTCACTGTCCCCCGCAAACAAGAAGTCTATCGAGACTATCGACTCTTCCATCCTCCTTCTCTCGCTTGACTCTGCCCCTCCCGCGTCTACTGCTGGCGATGATGCCAGAGCTTGGTCTCTCTGGGCTGGTGGAAATGACGAGTTTGGCGGCCACCAGGGCAAGGGATTCAACAGGTGGTTTGACAAGCATGAGATCATTGTAGATTCCGCCGGTGAGAGTGGATTCAACGGTGAACGTGAGTCGTCATTCCCCTCTGTAGACTCGAGCTGATGGAAGAAGACTCTATGCTGGATGGTACCCCCACTCTCCGTCTCAACGAGTTTATGCTCGCTTCTTTGGCCAACCAGACGGTCCCTCTAGAGCTTCCCGAGGGCGAGCGAAACAGCGCACCCATACCTGAGCCCGAGGAAGTGGTCTTTGAGCTCGACGCCAAGACCAAGCAGATCATTGAAGAGTCCAAGAAGGGCTTCTCCGAAGAGATGGCTAGACAGAATCTCAGTGTGAGTACCACCACCCCCCGAGCCAGACGTCACGCTGACGGACCCCAGATGGTGACCTTTAACGGCTACGGCAAGAACTTTATCAAAACCCTCAAAACCTCCCCCGACGCCTACTCCCAACTCACTACCCACCTCGCATTCTACCGCCTCTTCAACCGCTCCCCCACCACCTACGAATCCTGCCAAACCCGTAAATTCCTCTACGGTCGTACCGAAGTCATCCGAGCCACTTCTTCCGAGGCGCAAGCTTGGGTCAAGAGCATGCTGGATGGGAAGAAGAGTGACGGGGAGAGGAGGCAGTTGTGGGATAAGGCGGTGGGGAGGCATGTGCAGTATGCCAAGTGGGCGGCGGACGGGCAAGGGGTGGATAGGCACCTGTATGGGCTTAAGAAGCTCGTCAAGGAGGGCGAGGAGATGCCTGAAATCTTTACCGACCCGGCGTACGCCAAGTCGTCCAACTGGGAGCTATCGACGTCCAACCTCGGCTCGGCCTTCCTCGACGGCTGGGGCTATGGCGAGGTTGTGCCCGAGGGCTATGGGGTGTCTTACAGTGTGGGCGACAACGATATGAAGTGGGGTGTCACGACGATGAGGAAGGATGTGGATGCCAAGAAGTTTGGGCAGGCGTTGCAGGATGCGGCCAAGGAGGTTGGAGAGATGATGAAGAGGTCGAAGAAGCTCCCAGAGAGCAAATAAGTAGATGATTGTAGACGTGCATTGTGCATAGTGTCAGAAGTCTGAAGACATGAATTGTAGCTATGTATACTCGAAACACTGGCTCGCCTCCGTCCCCTCCCTAGTCAAACAAGAATTCAGAATTTGGGCCGCCCGCAGACCTCACAAGGCAAGTCCCACATCAAATCATCTTGTCCAATGATGTGCACCACGGTAGGCTCGTCCTCGTTCTCAAGGTCGTCCTCAGATTTGACACGCACGTCTTCCAGCACCCTTTTCTCCGTATCAAGCCTTGCGACAGGGCGATTGTAGGACCAAGGCGAGATCTCGGACAGGGAAGGGCTGTAGATGTAGGCGATCCGGGGCCTGAAAGGCTCATAATGGCTATAGCAAGGTCAGCTCCAGCCGTGTCTATGTGATGTCTGCTCACTCTATCCTCCGGTCAAGTAGCACTTCTCCCGTATAATATTTTACAAACTTTGCCACCTCCCTGTCCAGGATCACCGAATCAGGTCCTGGCTGACAGTAGAGATGGATGCGGTTGTAGGCGCAAGGGATTCGGAGTTGGTTGATGTCGTTGATATCGTGGATACACACTTCGTCCAAAGGTTGGCCCCAAAGACCACCATGGCCGAATTGCTCTATAAGACGCTTTGAGATTCATCACCTTGTCTGGCAGCCGGAGGCTGAATGCGTCGGGATGACACAGCCCATAATCGTCGCACATCATGAAGACGAATTTATAGACTGTGGGATACAAGGCTATCTTCTTGAGAAGAGGTTCGTCGAGAATGAGAACTTCCACACTCTGGAGGAAGTTGAGACTCGACCATGTCGCCCCGGGCGAAAGACGTTTCAAGGTCTTGCTCCATGCGCGGCAGACTGTTGCGGCCTCAAGACAACTGAGCACGGCAGTAGTATCGGCCAGAGTAAGGGTCTCAACGAGCGTCGTGATGAGGCAGATGCGCCGTGATATAGGATATGAACGAAGCAAGGACGGACGACGTGCAATCGCCTTACCCCGACCGACATACTTGATGATACTGTACGCAACCTTGGCTTCAGAGGTCTGAAGCTCTGATGCCCCGGACTGGTCGCCCCCGACTAGGAGCGGTCCTAAGAACCGCTCAACATTGGTCGAGTTGAGAGTTACATCTCGGTAGAGCTTACAACGAAACTTTGAGTAGTGCTTGCGAGAGAGGAGGAGGAGAGTGCGAATGGTAGGCTTGTGGGTTGTAGCGGAGAGATGGTCGAAGATGGCAGCTTGGATGTCGGTGTTGAGAGGGGCGAGAGAGGTGATGCCTACGGAGAGGGGCATGATGTGGGAGACAGACGAGGTGAAGGTAGTGCCGGCTCTTGACAGTGTATGGTATAGATAGCGCAGTATTGGAATCTGAGTGATTAAGTACGCTGCACACGTAGTAATTGGTAGTTACAGATATTCAATGTACTTTAGGCCATCATACGAGTACTAGATCTTCTGCAAGGTGATGTTCACCCGGCTCTCATATTACTTAGAGTCTGGAGTCTTTCTGATAGCTGGCAACACTGTTATGCGGGCTTGAATCATTCGGCTTTCCGACAACACCAACGACGAGCGAAAGCTTCAGACGGTTACTATGTGACGGTCGGCGAATGTGGGATCCTCAAGATAGTACTCATCGCGACTATAGAGTCACTTGAGTACATCAGCCATCAGGCATTTTCGGCTTGCCATCGAAGCATGCAGTTGAGTGCATAATATCTGAAACTGTATCAGAAAGGGGCCTGTCAGTAGACAGGAGATAACATACCGAAATCTTGGCTCAACCATAAACCTGCCATCCTGAAACTTCAACATATGAGCCTGAGCCTGGAAACTTGACCCAGATCGAAGTCATGTTGATATCCAAAGTTCACATTCAACTTCAGGCTTGGAAAGTCTCTGGTCAACAGCAAAATACGGCAAGCACACCATTTGCTATCAACGAGCATGATCATGGCTATCCACTGTTGAGGGACGCATTTCCAATCCTGTATCCACTGGCGCGTTGGACAATGCTAGAGCAGGCTAATGCCTCCCGTTATATGGTTGGCCGAGAACAGGAAGCCTTGACTGTTGCCGATATACTGAAGCTTGCTGAAGAGCCTGCTCTAGCATTGTCCAACGCGCCAGTGGATACAGGATTGGAAATGCGTCCCTCAACAGTGGATAGCCATGATCATGCTCGTTGATGGGTTGTGACTCGTTGATTTGTGGAGATACGGAAGAGGCTGAAGCAGGCGAAGAAGCAGGCGGGGAGTTTGGGGAGTCGAAGGGGCGGGGTAAGACGGGGGCACTGATGGGGGTTGGGGTATTGGTTAAGATGTACTAGGATGAATGTGTCGAAAGATATGGGGAAATGAGTGATCCAAGAAATCGGGGCCAAGTGAGCGCCCTCGCGAGGCCGCACGGACGGAATGATTTCAAAACTAAACCGAATACAAGACTCTGTCCTGCGCAGACAACATCGACGGCCATAGCCTCCTCAAAGTACCGCGTCCCGTCTGATCCGCGAAGTCAACTAGGAGAGCGCTCGGTTAGTACCAGGGTGGGGGACCACCTGGGAATCCCGGGTGCCGTCGTTTTTGCTTTTTTGCTTTCTTCTCTTCATGATCTGCCTTTCTGAGCTCAGAGTAGTCAACAATGCTCGTGGATGTCATGTTTTCGCCAAAGCCACCCCCTGAACTTCTCCAACTTTGCCGCCTTGTCTTCTTCACATCTCAACAAGCGGATCATTATGTCAGCCTGTCCAACCATTGTGCTGCAACGATACTTGTACCTGATCCTGTGATCTTTCTAAGTCACCATTTCAGTTACTCATTGTTCGTGGTGATCGTTGTTCGTGGTGATCGTTGTTCGTGGTGATTGTTGTTCGTGGTGATCGTTGTTCGTGGTGATCGTTGTTCGTGGTGATCGTTGTTCGTGGTGATCGTTGTTCGTGGTGAGAGTACGTTTTAGTGTACAACGATGTCGTCGCCCGTACGGATTAACCTCTGTCAAGACAAGACTTTATCAAACATTGCGTCCTTCTGTCCCTCGGCTTCGCCCCCCTACGTATGTGCTGCATCAGAAGATCGAACGTCTCTGCGCCTGAAAGGCTCTGACGAGCCTACGAACACAATACGTACACATAGAAGTATGTAAGCACCTGTACCGGCAATTCGGCTCTGATTCCGTTATCGTCTTATCGAACAATCGTCTGCATCGGCTGAACCGACCATGAGCCATGATCATGAGCGCTTATGGTCGTGCTGTGGTACGAAGGTCATATGATGGCGAGTGCGAGACTTGCCACTTCCAAACCTCACAGGTGAAATTCCTTGCTGGGGTGGGCAAGTTGCCCTGAGGCTTGAGCCTGAGATCTCTTGAATGCAGTGGAAAGTCACGATGGCCAAGCTGAGACCGAGAGAATGCTATCTGCATTGCTTATCGGGCTGCTGCCACTGGTCATAGATACGCTCCCCCAAGAGCTCCAGCTTGGCGCACGTAACACAGTGCTGCAGAGAGCGGGGCCCATTAGAAACCGTGTCAACAGCAGTTTGTAATCCAATTAGAAATGCGATCGAGATCTCGCGCTCAGCTGATGCTGCTGATAACGTGCTGCTGATAACGTTTATTTGCCAAGCGCGTGCCTGGTCCCCGCGTGGTGCTGCCCCGCTCTCGCCGGTGTGGCGTCAGGAGTGGCACAACCCAGATTCGTTCACCCACAGGCCCACAGCAGCGCTCCTATTCCCGGCCCGGCTCTTGGAAAAAAAGTACAGCAGATTTTACATTACATCGCCTTTTTCATCAACATCATTTCCATCCCGCCACCATGAGCGTCGTCCGCAACAACGAGGAATACCTCCCGTCATCGTACGACAAGGGCGAGAAGGGCGAGCAGTATGTCTACCAAACCGAATCAGGCGAGGAGAATGTCATTGCCAGGGAGGAAGAGACCCATCGAGCTCTATCTCCTCGACAGCTCAGTATGATTGCTATCGGTGGTGCCATCGGCAAGTTTGAAATGCCACTCGGGACAACTATCAGCTGACATACTCCGCAGGTACTGGTCTTGTTATCGGCTCTGGAACTTCTTTGGCCAGAAGCGGTCCTGGATCGCTGTTCATCTCTTATGTGGTGATGGGTCTTACCTGTTGTGGTGTCATGGTATGTCTGCGGAACGGTTATCATGAGCGGGATACGGTGACTGATCCGGCGGAACAGATGGCGTTGGGCGAGATGAGTACCAAATTCCCGTCAAGAAAAGGTTTTGCCGGGCATGCGACACGCTGCGTTGACCCAGCGTATGGTTTTGCGACGGCTCTTGTCTATCTGTGCAAGGTAAGTCGATTGGTGGTTGAGCAAGTACGCATTGTCTGACGTTATGAACAGTATTTGATCATTTCTCCAAACCAAATTGTCGCGGGCGCTCTTGTGATTCGTTTCTGGAACGACAGCATCAACGGGGCGGTGTGGGTGACCATCCTCATTGCCTTCGTAATCTCTATCAGTGCGTTCAGGAACAGCCCGGGCTGCAACACTTGACGAAAGGATGTCTGGCTGATCCCGCATGAAGACTGTCTTGGTATCAAATGGTTTGGTGAACTCGGTGAGTATCTCTAAATATATAAAGACATGATTCCGATAGCCTCCTAGAGTTCTGGCTCTCATTTATCAAAGTCGTCACCCTTACCGGCCTCATCCTCCTCGCTCTGATCATCGACCTCGGTGGTGTGCCCGGTCAAGAGAGGCTTGGGTTCCGATACTGGAAAGACGGCAAGGCGTTCCTTCCTTACAAGACTACTGGCAATGTCGGCAAGTTCTGTGGATTCGTCAATGCTCTCGTGCTTGCTCTTTTCGCGTATATGGGTACCGAGTTGATTGGTGTCACCGTCGGCGAAGCCAGGGTAAGCTACATCCCACAGCATCGCCTCCCGGGCTAACACGTGTGACAGAACCCAAGGAAGACAGTGCCAGCCGCCATTAAAAAGACCTTCTTCCGGATCATCTTTTTCTACATGCTCTGTATCCTTCTCGTCGGCATGATCGTCGACTCCGAGTCTACCCTTCTTGCGCAGGCTGCGAAGAAGGGTACGGCAGGTGGTGCTTCTGCTTCTCCGTTCGTGGTCGCCATCCAATCCGCTGGTATCAAAGTGCTTCCTGCCATTATCAACGCTTGGTACGTCTCACGTCATCACCCGAAGCAGCCGGCACTAATATTCGGTTCCAGTCTCTTGATCTTCACCATCAGCGCTGCCAACTCCGACCAATACATCGCTTCTCGAACTCTTTACGGTATGGCCAAGGACGGCAACGCCCCCCGTATCTTTACCAAGTGCAACTCCAGAGGTGTGCCTTGGGTCGCATTCACCTTTACGGGCTGCTTTATGGGTCTTGCGTACCTCGTTGCGAGCGACGATGCCTTGACTATCTTTAACTACTTGGTCAACACTGTTACCATCTTCGGAGGACTTACTTGGGTAAGCCTGAATCTAATGAATTTGACGGTTACGAGGAGACTAAGCTTGAATAGGTGTCAATCTTGGCGTCTCATGTAGCGTTCATGCGCGGTATGAAAGCCCAAGGCATCCCCCGCGAGACACTCCCCTACAAATCCCCTCTCCAGCCTTACCTCACCTACTGCGCCCTCTTCATGACTTGCCTCGTCTGCTTCTTCAAAGGCTTCGACTCGTTCATGCCTTGGGACTACAAGACGTTTATCACCAACTATATCGGTATTCCCGTCTATGTCATTGGATACTGCGGGTTTAAACGTACGTCTCCTCTCCTTCATCAGTTCCAGTGAAAGGAATACAAGCTGATGGGCGGTGGTAGTCATCCGAAGGAGCAAAGTTGTCAAGGTGCACGAGATGGACCTCAGCACCGGCGCGCGCGAGTTTCACGATATTTACGAGGATGAGGAGGAAGAGATGCGCTACAAGAGCATGACGTTCAAGCAGAAGGTTATCTATAAGCTCAAGAACTGGTAGATCACTCTTGCGATCTGTCCCTGCATAGTTTGCTGTGTCTTGGGGATTGCCCCTCTTGGAGGGCTTATAGGTTGGTTTATAATGGATGGTTCGAGAGAAGAAGGTTTCATCAGGTGACTCTGAGATTCAAAGGTTGTTTAGGTTTGTATGCTCGACTTCATCTTGTAATGCCGTAAATGCATGGTGTACACCTTAAGGCAGTTTGATCCAGACCAGGTGTCTCTTTCGCCGTTGTTGATGCTCAGATGGTACCTTGGTACTGGTGTATTTTTCTGGCATTTTGATTGACAAGTTTCGTGATGCGCTGTTGGATGCTGATGGCCATAGCGTTCGATAGATTTTATCATCATGACGATATACATGCTAGTCTATGCACCTGCCTCCTGCAGATTTCAAGTCTATTCCTCATCCTCACTCTCTTCCTCCTCCTCGCTCTCATCGTCCTCATCCTCACTCTCCATAGCCTCCAGCACATCCACATACCCCTTGCCCTTTGCCCAAATCTCCTTCCAAACCGCCTTCTCCTCCTCCCCACGCACATCCTCACCCTTGCTCTCCTTCATATCTCTCCATTCTACGAGCTCTTCCTCGGCGACGAGGTCGGCTTCATAGAAACCTCGGAGGATGATACCGAACCACGGCACGTATGCTGAGTGGTGCGCGGTGTACGATTGGGCATCGAGGATCATGAGAGTAGGGTCCGAAGTGAGGTTGCTTATCAATGGTCCCCATCGCGTAAAGACCTTTGTGGCAGAACCGAGGATGCTCACCGCATTACCAGAGATATCCACCTTGCTCACAAAGAACTTGACGACCTCTTCCCTAGCACGGTCGAGACCGGCATTGTAGCCCATTACCAGCGTCCTGAGCTCGAGCAAGGCATTCTCGATCTTGTGGTCTTCTTCGTACGCTCTTTGGAGAGAGGCGACAGCTTCGTGGTAGAATGCTGGTGGTGGGCCAGCGTTGAGTTGGAGGGAGGGCATGTCGGGGAGGGAAGTTGATGATGCCATGGAGACGGGAGAAGACGGGGCGGAGGAGGAAGCGGCAGAGAGGGTGGAGAGGGAGGTGGCTGCGGAGGAGAGATTGGAGAGACGACGGCCGAGCTGGAGAAGCTTCTTGTTGGCGGGATGTTCGTACAGATCTTCGTCCTCGTCTTCAGAGTCGCTCGCCGGCTCCTCTTCCTCATTCGGCCAGAGGAAGCCGACACTCTCGCTCCCCAAAAGCTCGGAAGAGCGGGCCTTTGAAGCAGCCTCTTCCTCCTCGAAATCCGAATCATCCGAGTCGTAATCTTCGCCTCGGTACGGTTCTCGTCCGATCCTTGCAAAGTCTGGTACAGACACATTTATGCCGAGCTTGACACCGTTGCCCAAAAGCACGCCCCTGCCGATCTTGCACCCCGCCCCGACTACCACACCCTTACCGATCATGCACTCTTCGATCAAACATGCCTCGCCAATACGCACATCGTCAAAGATGTATGAATTCCTGATAGCGCTGCCGTCGCCGACTTTACAGTTGGCGCCGAGGGTGGAGCCTTGGACGAGGGTGTTATGGGAGAGGGACGATTTGGGGCCGATGAGGAGGGGTCCGGTGAGGGTTGTTGTGCGGGAGAGGACGACGGATTCTCGGGCAATGTAGACATTGCCTGCTCGGAGTTCGTACTCGACGCCTGAGGGTTCGTTGAGGTCGGGAGCAAGAGGGAAGGCCCAGCGCCGGAGGACGTCGCGGCTGCATTCATGTCAGCAGAGTCTTGAAGAGGTAAGAGTCATACTCACGTAACCTCGCCGAATGTCCGTGTATCTCTGACCCTCTCCACGTATCTGCCACCACCTGCTCGAGCATCCATAGATTCTACCTCTTCGCCGACCACATGTACGGCAATCTTCTTGCCCAACAGCTCACTCGTCAAGACACCGTTGACGAAATGTCTCCTCAAATCGTGATAATCAAAGTTCTCCGTACACAGCGCCGGGACATCTGCCTCGCAAATATCCACACCCAGATCTCTGTATCCACCATTGTCCGAGACCGAGCGAGGAGCAGTCCCAGACCAAATCTCGTACGTGTCGATATTGACAGGGAAGGGATCCGTAAACAAGACTGCGGGGAACTCGGCCCGGCCTTGGGCGGGAGAGAGAGGGTGGGGAGAGTAGTGCAATAGTCGGGATGAAGGAGGGTGGACGAGCATGACGGGGGATTCGGGATGGGGTCGACCGCCACGGCCGACGCCCATGGTCATGATAAAGTTTTTGTCGACTTCACGGCGTTTCTTGTGGGCGTCGACGATCTTGGAAAGGTCGTAGTTGGAGACAAGAGGGGAGTGGACGAGGATGAAGGGGTTGTCGGCATTCAGAACCTATTTTCGAGTTAGTCAAAGTCACTCTTTGTAGAGTCCGATAGACTTGCGTGCATGTCGTCCATTTCACGGAGCGCGTCACCGGCTGAGCGAGCTGTTTGGGAGGCAAGGCAGTGAATATCCAAAGTCAATCGGTATGGCGATGTTCTGATGTCTTAATAAGTTTCGATAGAACGGCGAACAAGCGAAAGACTCACTCGATAAATGCCCGGATCTGGTCCGCATGGACACCACAAAAGATGAACACCTGCTTCACCTTACTCAACGCCAGACTTTCCAAAGTCCAGCTCAGCAGTGGTGTGGAGCATAGCGGGAGGAGCACTCGGGGTTGGTCGGTAGCGAGTACTTCGAATCTCCGGTTGTACGAGTCGGCGAGAATGACTGCCTGGAGGGGCGCTTCGTCGACCTGGTCTTTTGATTTTGGTTCGTGCTTTTGCTGCTGCTTCTTGGGAGGCATGGTGGCGAGTGTTGTTCGTCGTCAAGACTCTATAAGAGATCGAGCGGCGCAGGTTGTTGTCAGTGGAATTTCTCATAGACAAGGATGTGCGCGCTCATATGGCCGGCGGTGAACTCCGACTCGAGTTGACAGGCAGCGGACATGGCCGCTTTATTTGTTGAACGTCACTTTCCCGCTTTTCTCCCGGCTGGAGACGTCGCTGCCAATGGCTGGGCGCATATACCACAACAGCCATATCTTATCACGACTCCCCCAGACCCTACAACACACCATGCCTGTTCCTTGGGAGGTAAGCGAGACATCGGTTTGAAAGGTTTCCGAACTGATTTGACTTCTTTAGGCCCTTATTCCGTGTGGTACGTCGACTATCAGGTCCGAACGCGACAACAGAGATGGTCATCAGAAGGAGGATATGATGTGGGTGCTAATGTGGTGAATTTGTAGGCCTTTTGGTCGCCATGTTCGGTGTTACCGGAAACCTTTTCTCAGCCGCCAAGTTCTTGACCAACGATGGCAAGGTAAGTTGCGCGCGCATCGCCCTTTTGTGGACACTTTGCGCACTCCGCTTCGTGCCATGGATGACTTATCTGTAGTTTGCTGACAATGGTATTAGGCCCCCCGATACAACATTGACACTTGGGAGTCTATGATGATGGAGCGTGACAGAAGATTAACAGGGTCCTTAAGAGGACAATCGGTGAGCATGGATGATCTGTGTTTCTGAGCGTTTACTGACCTTCTTCCTTCCTATCCTATTTCCACCACCTGCCATTGTGCCGACCCTCTGCTCCGCTCCGATATTTGCCATCCCACAGACCGAACCCATCGCCCCCAAGGCTTTCGCTACAAACTCTATCTGGGAGACGGAGAGGATTCACTAAAGGTGGATGGGCAGTTTACGAGCATGGATTTCTTTCTCTATTCCGGACGTCGGAAAGACTCAATCAAGTATGCGGATTGTCCACGTGGAGCGTGTGATTCAGTGTGGTGGAATGGGGTGCATCGGGACGACTTCAGCGAGTCTGAAGTAGCGGGAGTCGGGAATCCAGTACGGGCTTGCATCCGCCTTCCAACTCGAAATCAAATCATCGGGGTAACAGCTCGTACATAATGAGTAATGAGCTACAGTATCCAATTATCTGCCGCAGTCCAACCGCGAGGCCTCTCTTCAAAACTCTACAGCTTTGACGGCCGTGAAAGGCTGTGCCAGCCGCGAACCAACATACTCTTGGAAGAACTGCAGTGGTATCATATTAGCCGTGTCACTTCAACTCTAGCTCTCTAACACTCGCTGAGTAAAACTAAAGACGAAACGTCAGGGTTTTTCCTCCGTAAGATAGGTTTCTTGCATCACATACCGGATTCGATCGATGAACGTCACTCCAAGCTTCCCGAGTCTCGAACCTCTCTATGATCATGAACACCGTCTCATCTTCGTGATCTTGCATCACATGCCAGTCTATCGTCTGTAAATTCATTGTCATCAGTATTGGACCTTCATAGTAGACGAAGGTCACTGCTGAGTTTGCGAGCTTGACGCACCCCTTGATCTATTCGGTATATCGCTGCGCCTTCTTGTAGTATCGCTTTGATGTCCTGTACGTACTCCTATGCAGAAGCACGGTCAGATTCTGGATATCTGACCACAGTCTCAACTTGACGACCTACAGGAAGGGCCCGGCCAGTGACTACGATAGTAAACACCATTGATGATGATAAGAACAAATGTGGTTATATCTATGATCTGTCGGTCCTTGATGCCGTATGTGATCGTGTTATTGTCGATACGTCGGGGCCTTATAGATAGAGTGTGCAAGTATGGCCTCTCAGGCAACTGCACGAGTACAGAATGGTCTGTCCATCCATTCCGCTCCTTGCCGGTCCGACCCCGGTACATAGATGGGAATTTGGTTCCGTCTTATTTCGGATGCCCGCTGTGAGGCTAACGAAACTTCAATGCTCTACGCTCTACCCTACACCTGACAGAGACTCACGGCATATCTGTGTTCTGTCTGTTGACTCGCAAGTATCAGCTGAACCACTATCCGGAATCCCGAATGGTACCAAGCGAAAAAGAAAGGCAAGAGAGATAGGCACCAACGTCAAGAAGGCCGTGACGAATCTTGAAGTTGCTGTAAGAAAGATTGACAATGCATTCCTGTTCTATATCAATACATTACAACACGAATTGGATACCGTCTACGATATTACAAAGATGCAGGTTCAGTATGCAAGAGTTTGATGATACATGGGCAGTCGGGCGAGACGAGGATCCATTTCAGCTACACCCACCCAAATTTAGCCATGTTCCACCCCCAATGATTGTCGGTACTCACAACCCACATCCACATCCCGGACAAGGGTCCACCCCCCTCCCATTTGCGAGCTCCACCCCCTCCGTCCATAATTTCCACAGACCCTCGTCCCAATCCATACTGGAGCGTAAAGTGTCGCGGACTGTGTCTATGCTGGTGCTGGAGCTGTCGTATATCCGGAGGAAGCGGGGGATCACCCATGGTCGTCTGAAAGTAAAAGTCAGGAGAGGAGTAGATGGTTGTTTGAGAAGAGACTTACTCTCGGGCGTCGACGGGCAGCTCGGCCATACCATGGTATGTCTTCAACATCGACGCGATCGACTCGAATCCAGCTTCCGCTTCAGGCTTCGACGGGTCAGAAGGCGGGAGGTAGATCCGCATCTCCTCCGCCTGTACCGGCAATTTTAAATGGGCAGGGTTCACATTGTGAAGACACACAATCTGCCCCTCGTCCAGGCCCTCATCTTCAAAGTCTTTTTGGAGAAAAGGCGCTAGAGCAGCCGTGGGGACGTCGAGATGGTCGATATTGGGAAAGTGGCAGCATACGTTGATGTGTCGGTTGAATTTACCAGCGCCGGAAGACATTTCGCTGAAGATACCTTGCCAATCAATTGTGGTATCTCTCATCTCCCGCAAGACTTCTTCTCCAAGCACGAGCCACTCAAGGCCGTAGAACAGCGACCATTGACAGCTTGTCAGCTCGATCAACTGGTCCCCTTCTCGTTTGTATCTTGTTGGGTCCCAGATATCTTTTGGGCGGTATGTGACCCAGCTTTGAAAGCTGAGGATAGCGTCGCGGGTGATAAAGACCGACTTGGGATCGGATAGGATGAGGACGTCGACGCAGGAAGCAGCGTAGATCCGCCGCAAGATGGGGGAAGGGAACCACGTTCTCGGACCCCAGGAAAGGATCGTATTCCCAATGCCGATGAGGTACTCGTAGAGCTTGTCGGCGTGGGGATCCAGATCTGCCGCGATGTCTGCCTGGGTGAGGCCTAGCACATGGTCGAAGAATGGCGCAGCGTTGGTGGCCGTCAGACGGACTCGGCGGTATAGATTGTCGAAATACTTCAGGTAGTTCTTTTTGGAGGTGAGAAGGACATTGAGAAGTGTGGGTTTGTGGGAGATGTGGCCGGCGAAATCAAAGATGATCTCGCGAATTTCGGGAGGGAGAGGGTGGAGGGAGGTTAGGGTGTAGTTGAGCGGGACTTCGTCGTAGGCATGAGTGGCGATGAGGTGATTTTCAGAATGGTCGATCTTCGGGATGACTTCCTGGACAGGGAGGACTGCTGGAAAGCGGACGGGCCGGGTATCGCAGTAATCCTAGACAGCTCGCCACTCGTCAGTCTTTGCGCAATGCTGGTGCGCCTGGCAGCCTCAACTCACTCGTGCTTCTGCTCTACACGAGAAAGTCTCTGCGAGCCCGGAATTCACGTCCTGTAGACATATTAGCCCTCGTAATCATACAGGAGTCTCTGACTCGAACGTGCCTGTTTCAGGTGATCATGATGACAATCGCACGTCCTATGGAGCCCAAGCTGGGGCCCATTGCGGATTCCGGTATAGCGTGTGGGTCTCATACAGCTTTGAGGGGTTTCTATACACATATTTATTGGCGAGTTGATGGACAAAAACAAAAGAAACGAGATCAATTACCGAGAGCGAGCAGGCTGAGTTTTGACTACAATAAGCCTCCATATATTACGGCTTACGTGTTTCAATTGCCGTTTACGAGGTGGAGGCAAGGGTTGCCGAGAGTCCCTGGCGCGGATCCTTTGCTCGTTCTTAATAAGCGCAGCTGGTGAGGACCAGACCGTACGTGGACGTGACAGGGGTTTAGAAAGCAAAAGAGACGCCGAGCAGCGAAAAACATCCCATTTGTCAGCATTGATGAGTCTGAGGTGGAAAGGATATACCATTGACTGAAGATACATAGACGGCGAGGAGATGTCGCAAGGCTACTATCAAGAAACTGGCTATTATGGGGTCCGAGGACGGGCCAGCAGCTAACGAAACCAAGCAATTTTCTCTGTGCACTAATTGAAAGGGTCAACCTCGTAGAGAGAGGATGGTCCAGATTAACGAAGTGCAGTCACTGTAAAGAAGAAGATTAGAAGAGAAAGCGAGATAGAAAATTTCGGGGGTCAGGTGCAGAGGCGGAATATGCCGCAGGAACGCATCAGTTACGTAACGACGCGGTTGACTGGACCGGCGCGCACGAGCCTCCTCGGGACGGGAGGACGACGAACATTACTTTTTCGGCACTTTTACTTTTGACTCTCTCTCTCACTCAACAAAGCCCCGCCGCCCGCAAGGGCTCATCGAACGACAATGTCGCATCAAAACGGCCTCCCCTACTTCAGCGCAGGGCCAGGCTACGCCCAGCAGCCAAGTCAGCCGCACCCTCAACCATGCCCTCAGCCACAACCCCAGGCTGCTGAGGCAGAGGATCCAGGGACAATGTTGAACGTCTACCCATTCATGACTTATGCTCCTACTGCTAGAGGTAAGTAGATCTCGCATTGTCTAGAGCTACAGAGCCCTTGGGGTCATGTCAAATGGCGTCCAGATCTGGTGACAGAAAGGTATTCGGGGGCTCGCGGAAGCTGCTGCCGATGCTTTTCGGCTATGTGGCAGCAGTCTCGCCAATACGAGGATATGGCTAGAAACAAAAGTCCGTACGAGCTATAGGTGCTGATCCTACGTCGTAGTTGCACAACATCTCTCCTCTCATTCTTTCCTCCCCCAACCTTCACCTACCGCCCATCAAGTATACCCTCATTATACTCAAAGCTTCGGGAGGATAGAGCAACCTCTAACGCCAGGGGACTGGGAGATGCGGCAGGCTGCAGATATGCGTGTAAGGGACGTACTGGAGGCGCAAAGACAGCATGGCGGCAGCTACGGCTACAGCAACGCGTGAGTTGCAGCCTGCATACCTTTCATCTCTAGACAAAACTGACGTCTTCTAGCCCATTACTGTCTATGCGACAATATAACTACAATCAAGTTCCTCCCTCGCCTGTATCCCATGCCAATCCATACGGCGGCTATCCGCAGCCTCATTCCACCTCATATCCTTTTGTCCCGGCGTATATGCCGCCCCCAACACCTGTCTCTTCTGCTGGAAGCCGCCATACCCATCCCGCAACCCCCGATTCCATGACTGGGGATTCCCCGGCCTCTGTACCATCGGGGAAGGGCTATTTTGAAGGCTTTGTCAATAACACTTTGGCGAGGCACGTTTCACAAGAGAGACCCGCTCCTGCTCAATCACAGAACGGGACTCCCAGTAACCTGCCTCGGCATGTTATTTCGCAAGAACAGCTCCGGGGATACAACCAATACCGGAGCTCGCCAGAGATTCGACCTGCACCCCAATCCCAGCCACCAAATGGTCAAACGCCGCCACAATATCCCCCGCAAATGTCGTATTCGCAATCCCAGCCTCTCCACCAGGCGCCAGGGAGAGTGCCATTCCCTTCTCAGCCCATCTTTCACCAAGGCGTGGACAAATCTGCGACTTTCCCGCTAGTCCGGGGCAAATCGCCCGCAAAGCGGCCATCCATATCCTCCATGGCTATGCGATCGCCTCATCCATCATCGTCGGTCACCTCCACGCCTACGCACGAGCGCGTCATGTCCTCTCCCTACCCTTCATCTTCCCCTGATCCTCTAGGGATGCCGACACCATCTCCATCCAAGAGACCGAGGAAGAATCGGACTTTTTCACCGAGCTTGGCGCGGTCGGGCAACCTGGCGAATGATAATGCTATGGGTATTGACTCTTTGAGCATGCGCGAAACGTCGGCTAGCGTGGCGTCTAGTGCGAACGGCGAAGAGCAGAAACAAAAGATCATGCTTCGTCTACCCATGCACCTTGCCACCCCTCAACGTCCACCTGCCCCGGAAGAAGGGCAAGATGAGGATGCGGAAGGTGATGAAGAAGAGGATGGTGTCGATTGGGGGGACGATGGTGTGAGGGATGCTGAGGGTGATTGGCAGATGGAAGAAGGGAATTCGAGTGGGACTGTCTATGGAGGCGCTGCTGGTGCGCAGATACAGATGAGTGGGAAGACAGGGGAACGGGATACTAGGAGTGAGTCGCGTCCACTGGTAACGACACTTGGCTGACTTGTTGTAGACTCGTGGCAGAAGCTGCAAACTTTACTGGAAGATATCTCGGAAGAGAACGACTCGTTCACAGCCAACCCCACGCTCGAAGATCTCCAGTCATCCAACATCAAGTTCTTTGGCCACGTTTCAAGAGACGGCTCACAAGCCTTACTCTCTCAGAAGACAATGTCAAAGGTCGTTCGATACGTCTTGCGGGTGCAGTCTGGCAAGAAACGCCCAGGTCAAGAAGCAAATGGTCCAGAGCGAGTGTGGGATGTTACACTTGTATCCACCTTGTTGCGCTTGCTGGAGCGGAGTATACGAGACGTTGAGAACATTGTCGTCTTTCCCGATGATCGAAAGGCAGCTGTGGCTATTGAGGAAAAGGCTGCCAAGAAGAAAGGCAAGGGCAAAGCTGGGAGTGCTTCGCCTGTCAAACCGGAGGACTCAGAAGTCAAAGCCGAAATCCCTCTAGCAGACATACAAGCTTGCGAGGATAAGTTGATGAGGGTCAAGAGAAGTGTTGCGGCCGCCGAGTGTAGTCTGATATTGCTCGACTCTGAAGGCATATCGAAGCAGGTAAGCTACGATTGGTCTTCATAATTTTTTTTCATGGGCTGATCATGTCTGTAGCTGTATTCAGAGGAGCTACTCTCGACGTGCGTAAAGACAGTGAAGGATCAGCTGGAACAAGTCGTATTGCCCGTCATCCAGGGCCTTGCTGGTGACAGTGAGTTTATGCGCAAACATCGGGCGAGACAGAGCTGATTGGCATGTAGAAATTGGCTCTAGCTACCTTGCCCGGTTGGTCGAACAAGAGCACAATGCCGTCGCACTCAAATCAAAACTCCCCATGCCTCTCTCCTCACATTTCCACCATCACACTATATCAGCCATCGCCCAATCAATCTGTATCACCCTTCCGCGCCTGACATCGCTCATCTCCAGAGACGACTTCCACTTCTCAGAGGGGCTACTGATTCAGACAGTATATCTCGCGAAAGGCCCACTGTTTGTTGTGGACCCCGTGGTGGGCAAGAAGAAGGGAGATAAGGACGGGATGGCTGTGGTGAAGAGTATGAGGATGGAGGGTCTGAGCTTGTTGCGCGGAGTGAGTCGTTCGACAAACTTATCCGAGTATGTGCTGACGGTACGGACAGGTCTTTGCGAGATACGAAGAGCAGCGCCAATGGATCATCGAGGAAGTGCTTAGCTCACTGGTCGGTCAAGCGGGTCAAAGTCACGATCAAGCTTTGTTCCAGTGAGTATCTTCATGCTTGTCGCGTTTGACCATTCTGACAGTACTGCAGATTATCGAACGGCAAATCTATACACGCCGTCAGTGCTCTTCTGCTCCAACTTATTCAAGCTTCTGCCTATGGCGCAGTTGCGCAGGTGAAAAAGGTCCACACGGCTTCCACCGAGATGGAAGTTCTCGACAGGCAAGAGACCGAAAAAGTTGACACTGTCGCTGAAGAGAGCAGAATCTGCAGCGAGACCATCGAGTCAGCTCTCAAGTCTGCCACAATGGTGGCAGGCTACATTCTTTCCAAGGCCACTACTACTCGAGCTACCAAGACGTCGCTGGACACCGACTATAAGGTCATTCTCAGCCTCTTCATCAACGATCTGCTTGCTGTCTTGTATAGGCCCGAATGGCCCTCTGCCTCTCTCTATCTGAGCGTCTTCACGAAGATCATGATCAACGCTTTAGACGAAAAGAAGACGGGGACCGAAGCCACTGCCGCGAAAGGTGTCGCGCTGGATTATCTCGCAGATATCGTGGCACGCCTGAAAAACCTCAGTATCGAGATGCTTGGCGAGATTAAGGTCGCTACGATCGACGAGGTGATTTCGGAGGCCAGCGTCACTGGTCTGACCAGACTCATCAAAGCCCAGGGCTCGATTCGAGCATTCCTCACCTCTGCTGCCCGAGACGACGGATCTTTCGCTTGTTCTCTCGATATGGCTTCGATCATGTGGGCGCAGGAACTCCAAGCCGGCGTCAAGAAGACAGCCTCCGTGCTCGAAAAGTTGGCGATAGAGAAGAACGACGAAACGAAGGAACTTGGTGACAACCTCAGGACAATAGGCTCAATGTTGAGCGACACTTTGAGAGGTGTCTGGTTGTCCGATGATAGCCTCTTTGAAGTAAAGTGAGTCGAATCATACTGCCAAAGGAGTCTTTGTGCTGACATCAGACTCAGTGTACCCAAACAAGGCGAACAAGCCGTACAAGCGTCTATCGCCGTTTCTCGCGGTAGATCATTACAAGGCGCCATAGATCCCATAATCCACACCTTGCTCTCTACAATGAGCAATACCATCATCGGTCTCCGAACCAAGGCTCTGAGAGGGATTAGTTCCATTGTCGTGGTTGACCCGGATGTTTTGCGTTTGGTATGTGTCTTTTGGTTCTGGATAGCGACACAGCTGAGCCATTGTAGCCTCAAATACGACACGCTCTAGAAGAGCGACTCTCGGATGCGTCCCCTGGAGTACGAGACGCAGCAGTCGAGCTTGTCGGAAAATACCTCATCCAAAAACCGGAACTGGTCCCGCAATATTATCATCAAATCGCTTCTCGTGTCATGGTAAGCATATCGTCCTGGGGGCTGTTATATGGTTAACACCTATAGGATACCGGCCTGAGCGTACGTAAACGAGTCATCAAAATCCTCAAGGGCATCTTTGCGACCATGGAGAATAGAAAGATGCAGGTCGACATTTGCTGCCGGATGATCGCTCTCGTAGATGATAAAGACCCAGGTATCAAAGTAAGAAGGGCGTTGTGGATCCACACTCTTGAGCTCACACTTCTACCATAGAGCTTATCCACAAAGGCCCTTGTCGACATGCTCTTCTCTGGAGAAGGCGGTGATGCTGCTCGTTTGTTTGTCGATATTCTGAGCAACTACCGAGGGTCTTATGAGGTCCTGGAGAAAGCGCTGGACGAGGTACGTGCTGATCAAGTCTCATGGGGACGGGCTGACATGTGCACAGGTTTCTAAGGAATGCGAAAGTGTCGGTCAGAAAGGTCGTTTCGGTACCACCATTGACGACCTCATCAACCGTCTCATCGATGCGACAGAGGAGAACGATTTCGATTCCTTGAGCCATATCAGGGCGATCTGGCTCTTGGCTGAAAGTGACCCTTCTCAGATCGACATGCAAAAGGCAAATGTCTTATTAGGGTACTTGCGCCCTCCGGCCAATGTGAGCAAATTACGCGATTCAAAATAGCATTACTGATTGGAGAATAGGCCGATGATCAAGCAACCAACGAATTGATCCTCAAGGTCTTCCAGCGGTCTATCCCTGCAATGCCTCGAACGGCTTCGACCTTTGCAAACAGCCTTACAAAGACGTTGATGCCGATGATCAGCAAACCTGCTGGTGGCTTCACCGCTTTGCGAGAGATCATCGGTTGCTTTTGCGCTGTCATCAACCACCTCACCAAAGATTGGCCAAAAGCCATCAATGTCCTTCGAGCTTGTGAGGGAAAGATCAGATCGGTCAGGCCGGGTGTCAAGAATGGCTCTGTGACGACTTTGAATCCGGCAATTGCCATGATGCTGTATATAACTGCGCTTTTGGTCGAAGGTTGTAATCTGGATGAGATTGCAAAGCAAGACGATGGCGAGTCTCTCTTTGGCATAAAGTGGGCAAATGCTAATCGACCCCTAGCGATTGACGCTCAGGTGAGAAGGATCAGTTCCCAGCCTCTGGCTGTCTACTTCTTCGAGCTGTATCTCGATTTCGCATCCATGTCGACTCCTCATTCTGCCCCTACCATCTGTCTCGGTGCTCTGTTCCGAGCATATCCTTCTTTATTGCAGCTCCCCGAGACGACTGAGTGGATGGAAAAGACGTTCGAGTCCAATGACATGGACGGTCAGTGTCGATTGCTGGGTGTCTTGCACCAATTCCTGTCGTCAGAGGTAAAGAAGAGGGCAAGTGCGGGGGTGGCAAACAAGGATGTGAGCTTGTTGATTGGCAACTCCAAGGAGCTCCAGGACTCAGAGTACGTATCAAGCCCCATCTTTATAGCGGTTCATCATAACTGACACGATATCTTCAGCTATTCCACTGTGATTGTGCAAAACAACATTGAGCAGATCTTCAAGTGTGCCAGGTCGCAGCATGTGCCTACTCAGAATGCCGCGCTCGATGTTTTGACATTTGTCGTCAATCAAGGCCTCTATTCGCCTGTCCATGTAAGTGTATCTGTATTCATACACGTACATGTCAGCTAATGTCTGCCAAAGACTGTGCCAATCCTCGTCACCCTCGAAACTGCCGAAGATCCAATCATCGCCGAACGCGCTCTTGCCCTCCACTCCACCCTCCACGACAAACATGCCAACCTCATCCATGTCTTGTTTATGGACTCGGCGAGAGCATCGTATCAATATCAGCGGGGCATCACCGCCGAGCCTTCGGGCCATCGTAATAGGATTGCGCTCTTGTCGAGTTGGTATGAGATGCTGAGTGAGAAGAGGACTTGGAGGCATGATTTTTTGAAAGCGCTTTGTCGGGTATTCGATAGCGATTTGGACGCTGAAGTGGTAAGTTCACGGTGACTCTGCAAAGCCTAGATTCTGGGCTCATGATTTCTAGGATATCGGATTTGTCCTCTACATTGCCGAGAATTTGGCAACGATGGATTACAAGCTTCAAGAAGAACCCATGACAGTCGTCCAAGCCCTCAGCAGGATAGTCTCTACCTGCTCCCACCTTGCAACTCTCATGGAGGAGGCCCACATCGATGCGCCGCCTGAAGAGTCTATCGACGGACAAGCTATCAATCTCGGAAAACTGAGTGGTGAAACAATCAAAGCAGGAAGACTAGCGGATGCCAGTATCATTGTTGGTCTGGCGTTGACGCTGAAGAATCATCTGGTGTCTTTGTATCATCTTCAAGAAGAGTAAGGCTGCTCCTCTTGAATTGCCAGGGAAGATACTGACGACGGGGTATAGCAAATGTGCAGCTCATGTACCAGGCAAAAAGTCGGCCACGGGGGACAAACCGACCCAGAGAAGAGGTATTCAGGTGTTGGACCTCAATAGGATGCCGATGGTTAGAGGTATCACTACGGTGGGAGATTTCAAACAGCAACAGACTGCCGTTCGTTCTTCTGCCTGCTTTCTCGTTGGGATCTTTGCTGACATGGCGTATAGTTTTTGGAGTTGTTGAAGGAGGACGGGACATTATCTGAAAATGGGGATTAGGTAGGAGCATACATGGTGATGGGGGTTGTTGTATTTGTTATGCTTTTCTGGGTTTTTATCATGTCGCATTGTATCTACAGATTCTTATGAATTAGTCATGTCTAGTGTTATGGCCTGTTCCACTTTGATGTGCCGTCAAGAAGTCATCATGTGGTCGCCTCATCACACACCGCTGTTACCTTAGGATAAAGAAAGCAACTCTGAGAGAGAGGGCAATGTATAGAAGCACATAGAGAGGGCACAAGTGAAGAGACGACGATGTCAAGAAAGGCGTGGTTGCCTTGAGTGTCTAATGCAATACATGTAAATGCCAGATAATGCCTTCTTATCCCTGTCACGCATCAACCCCCTTCGCCCCCTCCCTACCCCCACCCTTCCCCAGCTCCAAAGCTCCCAATCCCTTCACAACCTCCTCCACCTCCCTGTCCTCCCTCTTCAACACCGTCTTTCTAGCTCCGCCTTCTTCCTTGGCGTCCATCCATGCAAGGTTGTTGGGTACGGGCTGGGCGGCAGGTGGGGGTGTGAGGGTGGGAGAAGAGATGGAGCCGAGGCGGGGGAAGGAGGAGGTGGTTATGAATTCGGTTTGGAGGGGGAGACGGGCTTGGGCGAGTTTTAGGGCTGTGGCGGTTGTTAGATGATGCTTCTTGCAGAACTCCAACCTCGTCGCGCAGTCCTATCATCGCAGGTCCTGCAAGAGACCTCACTCCAACTTCACGTCCCCCGTCATTCGAGACTGCCTGTCCGAACTCGCCTCGGGCCATCTGCGTAAAATTCAACTTACCAGCCTTGGCGACTTCCTCCCTGATATTCCCGCCCCCGACTTCCATAATCACCTTTCCCGGGCTAACTCTACAGCTCCAATACTCGAAACTTCCCTTTCCCTTTCCCATTCTCTGCTCGTTACCCTTCACACACACGGGGATATCTGGAAAGACGCGGAGGTAGAACTGGGCGCCCTTGACGGGCTTGATTTTTCTGCGGACGGCGGCTTGGCAGGATGTCAATTGTGCAGCGGAGAGTCGGACAGAGGAGCATGCTCGGAGACCGAATGTGCCGTGGTGAAGTGTTGAGCCTTTCAGAGACCCTCCCTGATAGTCGTAAAGTCAGTTCCATATGTCCTCTTTCTCCTGGCATGACTAACAGTAGGTACTTGTGTCTACGCATCGTATCAGCTCAAATCCATGGAACGGTATGCATCCACTCACTCCAGGCGCTCCCTTGCCAGCCTTTCTATATTTCGTTCTTCTCGGCGCCAACTGACCCCTAAACCTGACCTGCCCCTCACCGACATTCCTGGCGAGCAGCTGGGGGAGGGCGAATGCTTGCCTGGGTGCTGAGGTCGATGGCCTGAGGAATGCGAGGGCTGCCGAGAACATTGTTCGTTGTCTTTGTCGTCGTCGATGCATAGGCCAAGCTCGAAATCAGCTCAACAAGCAAGAGGAGGGCGGAGAAAATCGGCGTTTCAAGGTGTGGCTCCCTCTCGGCCGCTCTCTCTGACTTCGCATCCCATCTCCCATTCCACATTCCATCCCATACATATACAATGTCCTACCAGATCGCCGGCCGTGCTATCAAGGTGAGTGGGCAGGGAGCAAGACAGGGCACTGCTGACTTGAATCGTGCAGAACGAGTACCTGTGCGTGGAGATGGAGGAGAAAGAGGGATGGCGCTAACCTAGGTCTTCTTCGGCTTTACTCTACCTCTTTCAAACGTCCCCCTCAACCCCACTTGACACCTCACACCCAACTCCATGTCTCCTACAACCCCCCGAACCGCACGATGATATTGTATAAAACAGCGCTCTCGGTACCATCATCTCCACCATCGGCATCGCCGTGGCCTCCACTGGCGGTGACAAGGCTGCTGCCCCTGCCAGCTCTGCCCCTGTCGCTGTTAGCGATGACAAGACTATCACTGGCGAGACTCCCGAGGAGGAGGACTTGTGAGTTTCTAGTTTTTGCTTGGGTTTGGATTTCAAGGTGGGTGGGGTGGGAGAAGGGTGGTTGGAGAAAAGGTGTGATGGGCTCGCATGTGGGCAGAAAGCCTGGGGAGGAAGTGGTCGAGGAAGGGTGGTCCGGGTGAACGGTGTGCGCGCTTTGCCTACTTGCTCAACCAGTGGTGAACGCGGTCGAGCCAGTGAGCGGTGGAGCAACCGACAACGAGCATTTCACTCTTCTATACTCTGTTCAACACCTGATGGGGAGGAGGCTATCTCCCCAACTATCCCCCCTCCCCCCAAATCACCTGGTTGTCCCACAAGCACAAGCTAACCCACTTCGCTATAGCATCCGACAGTTCGTCTCCGAGGCTGAGAAGCAGCACTAAATGCACCAGAAACGTATTGGTGTAGAGGAGGGAGGAAGGGATGGTGGAAAGATAGAAAAAAACAATGCATATTGCATCTGAAGTTATTTGGATGGTTTGCTTGGTCTCATCCTCGTTCTGGAAGGTGGGGTGCGTTGGAGCCTGTGTATTGCACGAGAAATCGCCCGACATACACCTGCTACTCACTCATGTTCTATGACCCAAAGACGAAACCATGTGCAGAGAGCAGTTGAAGAAGAGTGTTCGATACATTACTGTCGTCTGCTACGACTTTGTATGGTTGAGAATATAAGATCATCCCGGTCCCCATATCTTCTCTCTTCTTCTTTCCCTCCTCTCTTCCTCTCCACGTCTTCTCTGAAATCATCTCGCTGAGATCCTTCTACCGATACTCCCCGCTTAGAGCTTCTCCTTGGGCCCCTCCGGCGTCTTGGCCCCCGGCCCACCAAGGAACCCGAGCAAACTACCCTTCATCTCTGCCAACTGCTTTTGCTTGTCTTCTTCGATCAACCTGTCCCACCTTGTCAGCAAAATGTCCTCTCTACCCACTCAAAAATTATGGATGGAGATGGGGGGAGGAGTGGTAAGGAAGAGGGAGAAGGAACTCACTTTTTAAACTCGTCGGCATGCTCGGCCCAGTACTTTTGCTCTTCCTGGTAGATCCTCTGCGCCTGGGCACGTTTCTGCTCGAGGTATGTCATGGGCTGGTTAGGCCTCGTCTGGCCGGGCTAGTTCATCCCATCAGCTTCTCCCCTTTTCCCCTGCCCTCTCCACACACTCCAAAAAAAAAGAGAACTCACAGCCGAAACACTCCCAAACATACTACTCAAAAACCCACTCCCCGCGCCGGTCGCAGCCGAAGGATGCGCCCGCTCCCACTCTTCCACAGCCTTGGCCTTGGCCTCTGCTTCCTTCTTGGCGTATTCGGTGGGGATGTCTTTGCCGGCGTAGGCTGTGAGGATTGGGCGGACGTCTTTGGGGGCGAATATGCCGATTGCTAGTGTACATGTCAGTTTGAAATAGAGGGGGGAGGAATGGAGGGGGAAGAGGAGGGAGGGGGACCTACATTCCAAGAAAGGAATCAAATCAACAAGACCCTTATCCCCAGCCCTTCCGTCCCAAGGGTTCACGACAATCCCATTCTCCGGCTGTGCGCCCACATGCTCCGCGTTGGTATCGAGGATGACGACCTTGGACGGGTCTCGGTTGAGGTAGGAGATGTCTTTGACGACTTTGCCGTTCAGGTAGCGGGTGGATTCGCGGAAGAGGCGGTAGGGGATGTAGGCTTGGTAGGGGTCGATCTTTTCGGCTATGGGGCCGCCGGTCTACCTTCAAGTCAGCTTTTGACAATTTCAGAAGGAGGATGGAGGGGGACTTGCGTAGAAGGGCTGGCTGGTGAAAAGGACAATCTCGTAGAATTGAGAGAGGTAAGCCAAAAAGTAGTCTGCTCCGGGACGTTTGGCAGTCCTCCATCCGTGCTGCCTGTCCCAGGAAGAGTGGACGAGGAGACCTTCGAGGTCGATGCAGAGGGTGTAGGGGCGTTGGTGGGGTGGGGGAAGAGGGTCGGGGAGGAGTTGTTTGAATGCGGGTTTGTTAAAGTACTGTCGCCATCATCATTAGTATAAGGACGTTGGGATGAGGAGGGGGACGTACATCCATGAGTTCAGAGACGTTATTGGTCACCTTCGTCACAATCCCCTCACTCTTCTCGGCACCTTCAACAGGCTTCGACTCCATCGTCAAGATCGCCCCAATAGCACCCACAGCCAATCCTCCATAGCCCAGCCTGATCCACATCCTCCTGCTCTTCTCGTGCGAAGAGACGTACTCCTTCTTCCCTGCGCCTGTCTTCTTCTTCTCGCCGCCTTCGTTTTGCTCGGATTTGGGCTGCTCAATGGCAGCGGGAGCGGGGAGGTCGGGGTCGATATCGAGAGAAGGGAGTTTGGAGAAATCGGGAGTGTCGGGAATCTCTTCAGCTGCAGCATCAGGGGTAGCAGAGGGCTGAGAGTTGAGGGTAGTCGAAGTGGAAGGAGGTTCCAAAGGCGCTTCAGCCTCCTTCCCCTTCGCAGCAGCGGCAGCTTCTCCCGTGCCAAGATCAGGTGCACCCCTCACCTCCTGCCCGCCCAAGTCATTCACCTGCGTCTCAACGACCTCTGGGTTCTTGATATCCTCGGGAACGTGGGGAGGCTTCTCGGCGGGGGAAGGGGCGGAGGAGCGGATGCGGATGAATGAGGCGGGGGTGGAGGAGAATGTTCTGAGGGGGAGGGAGCGGGGGAGGAGGCGGGATGTTGCTGTGCGGAGCATGTTGAGTGATGCAGAGTCAGAATGTAGAAAGAGCGAAATTAGAAAGATGGAAGAAAATGACGGTGTGGACGATGGAGAGAGGCGGAGGGCGCCGCTCGTTCTATGTTCGTTGACGGAACCTTCGGAATTGGTGGTGGGCTGTTGGTCGGGCGAGCAGGGGTATCACGCCTCGGCATGCCATGCGCCTATCAATAGTCTTTCCATATAAACCGTCACTTCCCAAGTCCACGCGGCTGAAAGCTTCACATAGCTCTTCGAAACAACGCCACCATCGAGGAGCAATTAACGTTGTCTGTATTGAAGAAGCCAAAACAAAACTGTGTCATCAGCCTCCGTAGTTTAGTTGGTTATAACACCCCACTAGTATTCAACATCACTAATGGGGAGGTCTGTCGTTCGAATCGGCACGGAGGCACTTTTCTTTTTGCCCTTTTTCAGCACTCTTGCATTTTGTCCTTCAACGCCTTCGTAATGACCTATGCGACTTTCATTGACGCTTAGCTGGAGCTTAACTGCCATCCTGCTCCTACGATATGTTATCGAGGACAAGTCGATCAGCTCACTTAGCTGGCACGTTGGCTGACAAGGGGCACATCAAGTGAAAATGATGAATCATGCCAAGCTGGGAAAGGTTACTTCTGGTCGATACATATTCTTTCTTCTCTGTTGTCGTACGTTGGTATACAATGCAATTTCTTTCAAACATCCCTTCCCCTGGCCATCACTCTCCTCCTCCCCCCCACACACATTCAACACCTCTCCAAAACAACAGCAATCCCCTGCCCACCCCCAATACAAGCCGCCCCCAACGCCCATTTCTTATCCATCCTATGCAAATTATGGCTCAGATTCGCCAGAATGCGCGCGCCGGAGGCAGCGAGCGGGTGGCCGAGGGCGATGGCGCCGCCAAACATGTTTGTTTTCTCTGTGGGGAGTTCGAGTTCTTTTTGGACGGCGAGCCATTGGGCTGCGAATGCCTGTAGAAGTATTGAATTTAGCATTCGTCCTGAAGCAGGAGAAGGGAAAGAGGACCGACTTCGTTGACTTCGATAATGTCCATATCACCCAACCCCTTCCCCGCCTTCTTCAGCGCCTCCCTCACCGAAACGACCGGCCCAATACCCATAATCTCCGGCTCACAAGCACTCCACGCATACCCCGCCACCCTAACCAACGGTTCCACCCCCCACTTCTTTACAGCGTTCTCACTCATGACCACATTCGCTGCTGCACCATCACATATCCCTGATGCATTGCCCGCAGTGACGACCCCTGTCTTGGGGATGAACACGGAGGGGAGCTTGGAGAGGGAGGAGAGGGTGGTCTGGGGGCGGGGATGCTCGTCGGAAGAGATGGATTGGGGGATGGATTTGAGGGGTTTGAGGGGGATGGAGGTGAGTTCGGAGGAGAAGGCGCCGGAGGAGAGGGCTTCGGCGTAGCGGGTCTGGGACATGAGGGCGTATGCTTTGGAACGTATTAGTGTTTGTCTTTATAGATTAGAGGGAAGGAAGAGGGGGACGTACAGTCGCATTCATCTCGGGTGATGTTGTACTTCTTGGCGAGGTTCTCAGCCGTCACTGCCACAACACATTCAGCCTCCATCATCAGCAAAAAGTGAGAGAGCAGACTTACTGCCCATAGGCGTCTTTTCGCCCCCAGGGTTCTGATCAGTCAAAGCAGCCGCCAACGAATCTTCTTGTACGAGATTGACGCCATATCGCGTTCCATATCTAGTCCACCCCCATCAGCTTCTAGACAACCGTTGGGGGGAAGCGGAAGGTGCGGTATGGTTTACCTAGTGAGACCACTAAGGGTGTAAGGACTCATACTCATAGCTTCCGTACCGCCCGTAAGGCAGACGTCCGCTTCGCCGAGAGAGATGGTTTGGACGGCGTTGATGGCTGTTTGGAACCCTGATCCACAGAGTCTATCAGGGAAAGCGTGTCAGTTTGAACTTCGTCCGGGTTTGAGGGGTTGGGGGCTTGCCTGTTGACCGTAAGGGCTGGTACAGTGGGGCCGAGACCCGAGAGATGCCCGACGTGGCGCGCGAGGTATGGTGTAGAGTTGTCTGTCTGCGTGACGTTACTAGAAACAATCGTCAGTTTCTGCCATCACGGTAGACAATACTCACCCGAAGAAGACTTGGTCGACCTGGACTTCAGAAGGCAGCTCGGCCAGCGCAGCTTTACCTGCAATCCCACCCAGCTCCGAGGCTTTGAACTCTTTCAACCTGCACCACAAAGCGAGAGTCAGCCAAATTCCAGGTAAGGAGGAGGGTGGGGACGTACTTGCCGCCGAAAGCGCCAAAGGGCGTACGTTTGGATGCTACGATGTAGGATTGAGGGCGGGGGATGTGGCTGACTAGACGGACGGCGGTGGATCTCATTGTGGCTGGAGTGAGAATACAGTAGATGCAGCGGAGACAGGATAGAGATGGACCGGGTATCACCAGCGCCGGGCCACGTGGGGGAGGTGGAGGTTCGGGCACGGGGCTCGGACATCGCCGATCTCATCGATGGCCACATAATCATAATCAGTGCCATAACAATGATCATTCCCGGCCTTTACTAATCCATAACAAGATGCCCCCGCACTACACCTGGATCGTGGACGCCGACGACGACGACGAAGACTACTTTCCCTCAGAGGGCGACTATCTCGAACACGAAGACGACGATGACCATTCTGAAGGCGTCAGCCGTGCAAGGCTCGAGTGGGGAGACGATCCCATGGACGATGATTCTCAAGACGAGGCCGAGTTGGGGTTTGCAGACTTGCTGCACTATGCCCAAGCAGTAGCGGATGGGACTGCGCCGATCCAACTGTCCTCGGGCGCATTGCCAGCGGCGTTACTGCAGCGCTTAGGATCGAGGGCCGCGGCGCATACGCAAGATGGCTGGGCGTCGAAAGCGAAGGGGAGGCAGGTGGAGGCTGATCCGAAGGGGGTGGAGTTGTTGAGGAGTGGAGAGTTTGGGAGAGTTGGGGGGTGGAGAGCGGGTGGGACTGGGAAGGGTGGGAGGAAGAGGCCGAGGGATTGGAATAAGACTGTCACGGGGTGGTCGCCTCCTAGGTCAGAGGTGTGTATCTTTGTAATCCTCTTGCTTGGATTCAGCGCTGATGAGATGTTAGACGGGACATAACCTCGTACCAAACGACCCTGGAACTATCGTAGCGCGATACCCCGCCGTACCCTACGTCGGACAATACGCCGGCGAAGATTACTCCATCTTTTGTAAGCTCGCCCAGACCTCAGTAGCCCCAAGGCAAATGTATTGATTCGTAGAGTAGATACTGCCACGCAGTACTTTACACTCCACTTGTATTCTACCACCGCCAACATCCATAACGGCTCCATCACCCGTCCCCGTCCCCCTCGTTCTTCCCCTGCCGCCGCCCCATTTCGCACTTCTCAATTGCCTTCCTCTCCCGGCGCCAATACCGAAGACGAATACTCCGAAGAAGAAGAAGAAGAAGAAGAAGAAGACGAAGAAGACGAAGAAGATTTCATCCGAGAACAGATATTTGGCGGGCGACGCAACTCGAACGAAGAGTCGAGTATGAAGAGTATCAAGCGGGTACAGGGGGTGCAGGGCAATTGGACGGTAACGGATTGTGACGTCGATAAGAAGGGGCAAAAGTGAGTCTCCATCCCCAATTGCAGTCAAATCATTGTCAACGTCTTGAAGAGGGAAGAGGGGGCAAGGCTGATAGGTGATAGTATGATATACTCGTCAATCACGCCTTATGTGCATATGCTAAGGACGGACGAGTTTGATACAGAGCATATAGAGTTGGACTTTAATAGCCCGGGGGAACGGCACCGCTACTATGGGCACGGGGTGAGTTCTGCTCGTCGACTGGACTGGGGTTTGGGCTGACGAATGGAAAGATCTGGAGTATCAGGTTCTCAGCGGATGGGCAGGAGATCGTAGCGGGCGCGTCGGAGGGGAATATCATGGTTTATGATATCGAAGCTCAGAGGCGGACTTTGTGTGTACAAGGTCATATCGACGACGGTACGTCTCCCCTCTCCCCTTCACCCCCTACCAAGATCTTGCAAAGCTGACTTTGACGATCAGTCAACGCAGTCTGCTTCGCCGACCAATCCTCAACAAACATCCTCGTCTCCGGCTCCGACGACGCCTACCTCAAAATCTGGGACCGCCGTTCCCTCTCCTCCAACATCCCCTCCGGCGTCCTTCCCGGCGCCACCGAGGGGATAACGTATGTGTCGGCAAAGGGGGATGGGAGGTATGTGGTGGCGAACAGTAAGGATCAGGCGGCGAGGTTGTTTGATTTGAGGATGATGCGGAATTGGGGAGAGTTTGGGGGGGAGGAGGATGCTGCGGGCAAGTATGGGGCGAGGGGGTTTGATTGTGCGTCCTTTCTTCCTTTTCTTCTTCTTCTCCTTCTGTTTCCTCGACGTATGCGACAAAATCTGATATCAAGCAGACCGCCAAATGCATTACCCCCGCCCCGAACCGCGCTCCCACCCAAAAGACTGCTCCGTCATGACATTCACCGGCCACTCCGTCCTCCGCACCCTCATCCGCTGCCATTTCTCGCCCGTGGAGTCGACTGGGCAGAGTTATATCTATTCGGGGAGTTCGGATGGGAGGATACATATCTGGAGTCTTGACGGCAGAGGTAAGTTTTCTGTTTCTTGTGTCTGTTGGTTTGGTTCAAGAAGCTGATGAGAGGATAGTGGCCCAAGTCCTCGACCGCTCTCAGTCTACTCCCCTTCACCCCACCTCCTCCTCCTCCACATTCTCCGACCCCTCCGCCCCCTTCCCCCCTCTCCCCGCCCAATCAACCTCAATGTCCCACCGCTCCCACACAGTCCGCGACGTCGCATGGCACGGCTTCGAACCCACCCTTATGTCTACCTGCTGGGACATGGATGGCGGGTACCGCCGGGGCGGGAGCGTGGCGAAGCACGAGTGGAAAGGGATGGGGAAGGGGAGGGGGAGTGTGGAGGATTGGAGGGTGAGGAGGGAGGAGGAGGGCGAGGAAGGGGAAAGGGAGAGGGAGAGGGAGGGGAGGAGGGAGATGAGAGGGTTGAGGAGGTTGTATGCTTAGTTGGAAACGGCTGGGGTTTGAAGAGATGTGTATATTCTATTTGCTTGTTTGTTTATATGCTTGTAGTGGTTCTCGTCATAGATTGATTGTATCCGTTCATCATATAAGGATGTAGTACTTGAATTATGAATCTGCAAAGATGGGAAGAGAGGCCACAATGGGGTATACAGTAATTGGACAAGAAGGGGTATGAGCTCGAAGAGGAGGACTCGAGGCCCTCGTGAATAGGTAGACTGAGTTGCGGCCTTTCGGGGGACCAAATAGTCGTTCCCGGCCTGGCCTTTTGACGCGTCGACGCGTCGTCAACTGAACGCGTCGTTCTCTTGATTGTCTTCTTCATCTTCCTCTTTCCAACTCTATCCTTCTATCGCCGCACCCGCCACTGTGCCACCGATAAGCCATGCTTCAGTAAATGGCACCGGGGATCGACCGGCTGTCTCTAGGATCTCTAGGAAAAGATGGACGGACGAAGAGACAGACGTCCTGCTAGAAGCCATGCTCGAATATTCCAAGTCAGTCCACTCTCATCCTCTTCCTTCTCTCTCTCCATTTCCGTGGTCGTTATTTACTGACTCACTTGACACAGAAAACATTGGGGATCCGTAGGGGTCAGAAACGAACAGATCTTTGCCTGCGAAGCGCATCTGGCTTTGAAGATAGCGGACTTTGACCGGGATGCCAAGAGCATACGCAAACGCTGGGATTGGGTCAAAGGCCTGTATGATGGACTTAAAATTCTTCTGGAGAGACCTGGTGGGGGAAGAGACCCCGAGACCGGCCTGGTCACTTTTCCAGATTACGTCTGGGACGATGTGAGCGCCCCCTTCTTTGTGTGGCCTACATTGAGAGCTCAAGCTGACACGTATGTCTAGTTCAGACACAAATGGGACGCAGAGGTTCTATGGCACCGAAAAAACGTTTTCAGATGGTGGGACGTGATGCAAAAGATCAGAAAATGGCAGCTTGCTGTCAACGCTCGCGGAGACCTTTTCTGGGGTCCTCTCAGTGATCGCGAGCACAGCTCAGAAACAGGTGATGAGGGATGTAGCTCGTTGGGGATGAATGGGTCTGAAGACGGTCTGAAGGCGAATCGGAAGGCTCTGAAGGCGAAGCGGAAGACTCTGAAGACGAGATGCCAGGTGGCTCGGTGAGCTCTGCCGGTCCTTGCATCCTTGGATAGATCCTCTGCTGACCATCCATCTCTTCACGCAGGAAGAGCCTCCTACTCCCCCTCGCAATCAAGCTACCAACAACGGCAAGAACCGCGCCGTCACGGCCTCCAACCGCAGATCAATCTCCACCCCGATATCCACCTACAATTCTCTTGTGTCCCGCTCCCACGTGCAGCCGGCCAAGAGAAAGATGTCATCCACTCGGGACAGAGATGCGAGACGAAAGAGACAGAAGGAGCAGGAAGAAGAGACGGGAAGCAGCGATGAGAGAGAACCCCTTGCTCGCAAGACACCCTTGATAACACAACCCAAGGCCAGCAAGATGGTCGCTCCCATGTCGAGGCCTATCTCACATCTGCCGACTCGGCCGTCTGCGAAAGAGCAGCGCCTTCGTGGTGACGTGTTCAATTTCCTCGAGCGCGTGAGCCAGGAGGAGGGCTTGACGTTGTCGGTGGATGCTGCAGCCTCTGTGTTTGTGGGCTGTATGTCTTCTCCGACATACTGGGAAATGCTGGTGGGAGCGTACTGGTACGAGAGCACACACAAGATCCTTTTAAGGTCATTGCTTCAAATCTTGGTGGACGAATATGCCCCTGGTGCCCAGGTCTCACAGGTGGCGAGGGCCGCGGCTAATGAAGTGTATGTGGTTTGGTGTATGTCTGCTTGTAGAGTCAGTGCTAACGCTTTTGGCTTCAGGTCAAAGCGCTAGATAGCCCTTCCCATTGGGCGCCAGGTTCGAGTCAGGAGGAGGAAGTCTGGTTTTGAAGTGTTGCCTCTGCTCGTTAGCTTTTGAACCAGGGTGTCCGTATGCTTGCGGTGATTATAGTCATATACTTCTGGCATCGTATACGTAGTACTTATATCATGAGCCTGTGGCAGCGGGGCAATGGGGCACCAGCCACCGCCAGAAGAGCACCAAGATGACCCGAAGTTCAACAGAGAGCTTATCAGGACTTGCGTCAACGTTTTGCCCTCTCAAGGAAGGCGCCTTCCTAAACGAGATTATAACAGCGTGAACTCGTGCTTTTGCTGGAATCGCCTGGTCAATATTAATCATTGTGCAGGATGCCCTTGCTCTTCCTCCTTCTTTCGTGTCTGCCAAGGGCGGGACCGCGTTGCTCAGCAAGCTGCGCGCAAAAGCTTCCCAGCCTCTTCGTTGCCAAAAGTTAAGCAATGGACGGATTGGAGTATTATTACGTAAACGAGCTCCTGGCCCCTCTCGCACCACCACCACCGACCTATTCCCCCTTACTGTCGCTTCTTGGGACCTCGCCGGCGAGGTGGCCGGTCCGTTCTGCGACGTGAGAAGCGTTGTCGGGCTCCTCCCGACCTTTACCAAGAGCGAAATGGTGGCTAAGATGGCCGCCACCGCGTACCCCTGAGTCGAGAACGTCCCCACCAGCGACATCGACTCCAAGATCAGCGGTGGCAATATTACCGGTGAAACGTGAGCATCGGTGACGACTTATCCTCTACATCTCGACTGACGGCAAGCCTACAGTGACGTGATGTGGATTTGGGGCCAGAAGACGGGACATGGCTTCAATACCGCCATGGCCGGGTCCCTTTGGAACCCCGACACAGCTGTAAGTGGACCTTTCATGTGATATTTCTTAGCCCTTGTCGCTGATGCTGACGGTGACCTTAGAGTACGGTCGGCCGCACCCCAGGCCTCGGTTACCACACTCTCGACCCGTCAAGCGACAGTGTGCAGACTGCCAGTGTGCGCCCCTGGCGGTGCTGTTCCTCGTGCACGCTCAACCGGTGGCTCACGCTGTCAAGCAGAGTGGCCGAAGGTGGGGCGGCGGCGCTGGGCCCGGGAGAACTCCTGGAGTATCAGCAGATCAAGTGGAGCCGAGAGAGGGATGAGGCGGCTTTGAAAGCGGCTCTCGGTATGTTCCCTGTGGCAAAACCAGAGTCGCGTACAAAGCGATTGGGTGAAGATTGTCAGGCAGACATGCGCCGTTGCCTCATGAGTACCACCAGAAGGAGTTCGAAAGCAACCCCTCGTACTGGTGCATTGACAATGTCCTACTCGACGAGATGATCGACACTCTAAGCAGCAACGCTTTCTTCTGGGCGGTTGTGGATGGGGAGATCGATGATGTGCAGTCATTGAGCACAAGATTTCCAGGGGCGACTGTTGGTTCCTACCAACAGATCTATTTCAATCTGGCGCAGGCCCCGGTGGAGCATACCGATTGGAATCTCTGGCAAGGTAGTAAGGAAGAGGAACTGCGGGGCAAGAACATGCGAAGAGGGAGCCTGCGTTCATCTGGCAATGGGATAGCCATGAACTGAAAATGTTGGCGGAGGAGATCTACAACGATAACGGAGAGAGCAAAGTGAAGGACTTCAAGCAGTTCTCATGTACGTTCCCATGTACGTCCATCCGACCAATGCATAGTTTAACCTTTCGTACATACAAATGCCATCATACAATCCTTCTTTCTATCCATGTCTAACCGTCTCTTGCTCTTCTCCATATACTCTATGTTTAGCTCCTCCATCTCGTCCCTCCATGATCATCATCCCGCCTCTTCCCACCTGCAAGCTGCAAGAGCAAAGTCTTTATATCTTCCACCTCCTCCCCAAGAGCGCCAACCCAGCACCCCCAACAACACAAGAAACAGCACACACAACAAACGTTACCCTAAAACAGTGCTGTCCATGACACTCCGTCTCTGTCCCAGGCGTCGAGAGGAGCGCGTAGAGGTACTATCGCTCTTTATCAGCGATAGCTCCAGGCCTCAGGCCTCAGGGGGAGGGGGGGAAGGGGGCATGTGGAGGGATGGGCTTACGGAGTAGATGATAGAGCCTAGAGCGGCAAAGTAGGAGATCATACCCCATGCTAGTCCGAAATTGGTTGGACCAAAGTGGTGGGATACGATTGCAGGCTACACCCCATCAGCTCCAAGTCTCCTCAAGAGACTTGAAGGTACTCACAGTCAAAGTGAAGAGAGCTCCATACATCGCCCCAGCCCCAACACTGACCACCCCCAACCCCCCCTCCGCCCTCAACCACCCACTCCCCCACCCAAACACGCCCGCCAACACCCCCGCGCAAAGCCCCGCAAACGCGCTCCTCGTCAGCCTTACCTTTTTCACCTGCCTAAACACGTGCTCCGGCTTGCTCGGGTCGCCGGGTGTGTGGTCTGGGTTTTTGAACGGCGTGGGCGGGGGGCAGAGGGAGTCTGCGAGGATGCCTGTGATGAGGCGGGCGAGGGTGGAGGAGAGGGAGAGGAGGAAGACGTGTTTGTTCCTGAGCTTCAGGGGATTGGGAGACGCAAGGGAGAGGAGGGATGTGGGTGAGGGAAGGAGGGAGGTGAGGATAGAGCCGATACTGGCGATGACCATCTCCCCCGGCCCAACCACAAGCGCACAAAGAACGCCAAACACCCAGAACCCTTTCCAATCACAAATCAACTCCCTAACGCCCCATGCCACATCCCGGCCCTGGGCTTGATCTTCTTCAATTTCCTCCAAGGCGGAGCGGGGGCCGCCGATGAGGAGGGGGGTGTGTTCGGAGAGGTTGAGGCTTGCGCTGAGGGGGTCGAGGGCGGGGTCTTGGTCCGCGTCGGAGTCGGAGTTTGAGTCTGGGGCGTCGCCGGGGAGGTGGGTGTGGAGGGATTTGTCGGGTAAAGCAGGGGGCACGATGCGGAGGAAGGCAAAGCCAAAGAGGTTGACGGCGGGGGACAAGATGCCGAGAAAGAAGAGAAACTTGACGGGATCGAGATCGTGCGTCTTTGGGGAGAGGAATGTGGGGAGGGTGGAGAAGGAGGAGATTGCGAGGGAGGATAGACCGATGAGGGAGAGGGGGAGAGAGAGGGAGAGGGTAGGGTGGCTGGGGAATGATAACGATGCTGCTGGTGGTCAACGTCCTGTCTCCTGTCTGACCGGAGCACGTACCGCAAGTTAGACATGCAAAGTAAGAGCCAACAGTGGCCGCGCCGACCAGGAAGAATGCGGCCGTAAGCCAGAGATACAGCCCAGGCGTCTCGGGGGTAGACTTGTCGAGGATAGTCGCGAACGAGAGATAGCCAGCAGCGCTCAAGCAGCCCGAGATGAGCGATCCACTGTGGACGCGTGAGCGATGCGTCTCTTCTGATGAGGGGATGGGCTCACACTCTGGGGCCGTATCTATCTGTGAGCCATCCAAGAGGCGCAGCCATGAGATACACCCCCACAATCCCACTACACCATCGTCAGCTCATCACCACACTACATACGACAAGACCAACCCGACAACGATAGTCTGCGCCTCCGTCCCATCCAATTCCTTCCACTGTGCCACCACCGGCCCATACGTCCCCCAGCAATACACCCCATTCGCCTGGAGGGCGCTGGCGGTTATACTGATACAGGTAAGTGCGACATGGACGGGGCGGGGCAAGTCGATGTGGCCGTGAAGGGCGCGGTGGGCCCAGTGGCGTTTGTGGTTGAGGATGGCGCTGATGTCGTCGTCGTCGTCGGGGGAGGAGGGGCGTTCGATGTCGTACAGGACGGTGGGCGAGCGAGAGCGTTCTGCCATGCTGGGTATAGATGTGGATGAGGGAGTAGTTCGATGCTCGTCGGCGATCTCCACCCGGCATTGTTTACGTCTCGACATCGGACCGGTGGCCATCAACAATCAACTCTGCTGGCACAAGAGCCTCTTGAAACGTACCTGTATCCACAGAAAGCGTAACGAACCAACAATGCATCTATACGTGCCCCGTCCAAGCATCGACATATTATAAAACCATATCATACCACATCCCATGCGCATCGTCTCCCCAACCTAACCAGACTCTATGCTTACGCCTTGTTCACAGTCTCCACCTTCTTCACCTCCTTATCCGGAATTAAAAACCACCACCCAAGCTGCACCATCCTCAGCCCCGCCAGCACGCCCACGACCCCCGCCGAAGACGACGCATCCAATATCGCCCGCGACACAAACGCCCCCAGAAAGACGGCGAGCCCGCCCATGATGCGGATATCGCGGGAGGGGGTGTATTTGAAGGAAAAGAGGAAGGGGTCGTTGAAGATTTCGACCCAGGTTGTGGTTAGGACGACGGTGGTGTTCATTGGGGAGGCTATGCGCTGTTTCCATTGTTAGTTGAGGTTCAAGGGGGGGGGGGAGGTTACCTTGCCGACGATGCCTTGGATGCCCATGGTAGCTGAGAGGAAGGCGAGGGCGGTCATGCCTAGTGGTGTACGCCAGCTGGGAGAGCCGCGATTACTACCAACAACTCGTCAGCTTGCCCCATCAAGAATAAGGCCTTCATGACTTACCCAGCAAGACCAGATTCACCAGAGAAATGGATCGTCAAAGCCGCAGCCATAGCCAGCAGCGCCTGTACAAACGTCGCCAAACCCAACCACCTCCTCCTCCTCGCCCCCGTCCAATCCCCAACCCTGCCCAGACTCGTCCCTATCCAAAACGCCAGCAAACTCACCAACGCCTGCTGGTCCGGCTTCTGGAACCCATACGTCCTCTCCTCCCCGGGGGCGAAACAGCGGGCAAGGGCGAGCCCGAGCTGGGCGACGTTGCCGGTTTGGAAGCCGCACCAGATGAAGCAGGCGGAGAAGGAGGGGGCGGAGGTGAAGCCGGTGAGGAAGCAGGCGTAGATGGAGATGAGGTTGGTGGAGCCGGGGGCGTCGAGCTCGGAGGAGAGGGAGGAGAGGAGGCGGCGGTGGAGGGGCGGGGGGCGGGTGGGTGGGGAGGTGAGGGTTTGGGAGGAGGAGGGGAGGGAGTCTTCGGTCATCGTGTTGTGATCGGGAGTGAGAGGGGGTCGGGGTAAGGAGTAGACTGTTGCGAGTCGGGCGGTGAATACAAAGTATACCCAACAACAAAGGAGATGAAGAAAAGATCAAAAAGATCGATTCAAAGAAAAGATCTTGGGGTTAGGTTCACTCCGTCCCTCCTCGGCTCTCGGCAATTACAAATCTTGGCGTGATCACTGATAACAACATTTGGTTCCGCCATCGACCTCAAGATCAGATCCATCTTTACATATAGGTTTCTATGACAGGCATTGTATTGTCTGAACAAGGCTATGGGTATATAAGTCGTGTTGTATTGGGATTTCTATCATCCCTGAATGCCTTTTCCCCAGCTCTCCCCTCTCCCCCTCTCGACGAGAGCCTTTTGTCCAGATGAATATGGTTCTTTTTTCGTAAGAGAGTGAAGAAGGACAAGGGGGGTCATTATACAAAGTACACATTAACTGCTCTCCCTCCTCTCATCCCTCCTCTCACCCCCTCGTCCAACGCAAAACCCCAAAAGAGCAAACACAAACCACAAAAACAGAACCAAGCAAGCAACGCTTTCGTGCCTCTTACTCGTTCTTCTTGTTTTGGATTTGAGGTATCGGCTTGTCATTCTCATCGATCAGACCCTTTTTGCGCATCATCCGCAAGCTTTCGTGGATCGGATCCAGCTCGGGACGGGGTTCGCGGAAAGAATCGAATTGCACGTCTGCCCAGGTGAAGTACTGTTCCCTCTCTGTCAGCACCACCGTCCCTCGTACTCAAAGTAGAGAAGCGAAAACAAAACGCACCTGCCCATAGTTGACACTGAAATACAAATGATGCAGCGTATGATGCGCCGGCCCATTGATCCATCTCTCCAACACGTGCCCCGAGATCATATCCCCATCATGGATCAGGATCGTCCAGAACTGGACAAAGACAAAGAGGCCGAGGTAGGCGTAGCGGTGTAAGGGGAAGAGGTAGGGGAAGATGTGGTAGGGGAGGGATTGGGCGTAGCCGTCGAGGGGGTGGAAGGCTAAGGCGGCGTAGGGGGTGGGGACTGTGAGGGGTGTTAGTGAAAAAGAGGGGGGGAGGGGGAAGCGGGAAGCGGAGGGGGACGTACCGACCCATTTGTGGTGGGGTTTGTGGATGTACTTGTATATCCTCGGATGATGTTCCAACCGGTGCACCCAGTAAATACAAAAGTCCGTAAACAGCAAAAACCAAACCATGCTCCCCACCAAATACGTCCACCCATAATCGCCCACATTCTCATACATCTTTGAATACCCGTGGATCTCGCCCATGAACCACGGCACGGTGATGATGCCGATATAGGGCGCGGCGATGAGGGACGACTTGATCTCTTTGCGGATCTGGTTCTTGAGGAACTTGGGGTGGTGCTCGAGGCGGCGGTCGTAAACGAAAAAGTAGGAGAGAGAGCAGAATGAGAAGTAGAGGGCGTAGGCGCCGAGGACGGCGATGGCGAGGAGGGAGATGTATTGCCGGAGGAGGCTGTCGCGCGGGAGGAGGGAGCCGGTGAGGGGCGGGGTGGAGAAGGAGGTGTAGGGGGAGGAGGGGGAGGAGGTGGTGTTGAGCAGACCGAGCGTTTCGGATGTGGGGATGGGGGGGTGCGGGAGGAGGTAGTTGTAGACGTGGTCGAGCGCGAACTCGTCGGCGTAATGGAGGACGACGTCCATGGTGATCAGGGTTGAGGGATAGCTGGGAAGAGCGTTAGATGGTGGAATGGTGTACAGACGATTGGTGGCGCACCTTTAATTAGATCCCGAGTACAGCACAGAAGTAGCGATGGAAGATCGTACCACCTGGTGGTTGTTGATGTCGACGGTAGGTGCGGAGGGGATCGCGTTCGGCCGAGGGTGGGACGACGAGGTGTATAGCTCGGAGGCGTTCGTGGATGTGGTAGAGTGGCAAAAAAGGGAGGGGGGAGGTATTTGTAGGAAAGGAAAGACGGATGGAGGGATTTCCCGGGCCAAGAGTGGTCGGGTGAAGCAGGGTACGCGGTGGGCGGAGGATGTTGATGTGATCGTACGACGGTGCTGTTTTGGGTGTGGCGGTACACGGCGTGGGAATGAGCGACGGGGGGTGTATATCTACTCTCTATGCTCTATGTAAGCTCTATATATGCTCTATCAGAATCGACGCCACTGGAGCGATGCAGCTCGTCGAATCGCAGCTGGTGGAGGTTTTCGTGCCATCGTCCCACTTTTTTCGCGTGTTGTTGTTCTCAGGGACGCGCTTCCGGCATACGTGGCTCGGGCACCGCCGCCGCGTGAATTACACGTGGCTGTCTTTCAACCCTCAAGTATGCATATGATTAGAACTGGAACCTGTAAAGAAGCAATTATGTATCGACTACAACCGTAAAACCACCAAAAAAGCAGGAAGATGCACTACAATCCCATTCCCTTACCTTCCTCCAGCGTTTAGACGGGCGGCGCAATAGTGTTCTCCATCCTCAACGTCTTATCCCCACCCTTCCCAGCCGGTACCGGCTCATGCCTCCTCTTCCACACCCGCTTGACGTACTTGTACCCCTCAGCAGCGAGCAAGTAGACAAAGATCATGCCGAACACGATTCCCCATTCCCATTTCAGCCCGCCGATGAGGAAGACGTCGTCGTTGATTCGGGGAATGTAGACCACGGGGAACTGTCTTATTATCAGTCTTTTCACTCTTCTACAATTTGATGAAGAAGAAGAAATAGGGAAGGGGACGTACGGTAGCAAGCACGAGCACAACAACACACCACAACAAAACCCTATTGTCTCGCAGGTTGATCTGCCAGAGACCCTTGTAAAAGTGCTTGCACTCGAGCGCGTGAATCATGAGGATGATGACCAGAGTGGCGAAACAGGTTGCGCGGGCTTGGAAAACGGAGGAGCAGATGTCAGAGTCGCCTTCGTTACAGTCCATACCCAAGTTGCCCTGCTTTTCGTCAGCTTGACAAACAAGACGGACCTCGGAAGGGAGGGGGGGAGGGGGGACGTACGGAAAAGTAGCCCCAAAGAACGATGACAAAGTTGACCAAGCTCAGCGAACCGATCAAGAATCCGTAAAAGATGAGGTCGATGTAGAATTCGAGGGTGAAGATCTGGTGGAACGCTGAAGGGGGCTGTTCCATCGCATCGACGGCGGTGGGTTCTAATCCTAGAGCGAGGGCGGGAGGACCGGCGGCGAGAGTGTTGCTTTTTGTGAAAGTCAGCTTGGGAAAATGGAGGAGAGGGGGGGGAAGGGGAGGAGGGGGGGACGTACATCCAGAGGGCGGCGACGGGGGAGAGAGGGAATACGGATTGACCGTTTTGGTCTTTGAATGCGAGTCCGATCATGAGCACGATAATTTCAGCCAAGTTGCCGGAAAGCAAGTACTATTCCTTCCATCAGCTCCCTTTCCCTTTCCATGAGAATGAAGACTTGCAAGCAAGAATTTGGCCAAGTTTTTGAAAACAGACCTTCCCTTCCTGATAGCTCGGATGATGGTACTGAAATTGTCATCACTCAAGACGATCCTCGAAGACTGCTTGGCGACGTCGGAGCCAGTACCCATACCGACGCCGACGTCGGCACGTTTGAGAGCGGGCGAGTCGTTGACGCCGTCACCTGTCATGACTGTCTTTTGTCCTCGGCGGTGGATCGCATCGACCATTCGGACCTACTTTCCTGTCAGCATGGATCCGGAAGAAGGAAAAGAAGAGAGAGGGAAGAGAGGACGCACCTTGGTCTCGGGCGCACACCTAGCAACGACCAGAGGCAGTTCCGGCAACGCATCCACCTCCTCATCACTCAACGCATCAAACTGCTGCCCCGTCATCACCGACTCCTTCCCATAACTCTTCTCCAGAATCCCGATATTGAGCGCAATAGCCGTCGCCGTAGCGGGGTGGTCACCCGTAAGCATCCTCGGCGTGATACCCGCGCGGTAACAGTCTGCAACAGCGCCGGGGGACTCTTTGCGCGGAGGGTCGTAGATACCCGCCAGCCCGAGGAAGGTGAAGTCGCGTTCGAATTCGTCGCGGGGTGTGTGCTTGATTTCGTCGGCCATCTTGCTGGGGTACGTTTTCCCGCAAAGCGCTAGGACACGCAACCCCTGAGCTGCTAAAGCATCGACCTTTTTCAAGACGTCGTCCTTCTTGTCTTGTGTCAGTTCTTCGCCCTTGTCGCCTACTTTTGTGCAGCGCTCAAAGACGCGCTCGACGGCGCCTTTGAGGAAACATGCGACGTAGCCGTCTTGCGGCTGAGCGTGCGAGGAGGAGGGGGCGGAGGGGGAGGAGTCGGCGGGGTGGAATGTGTAGGCGATAGACATGCGTTTGACTGTAGAGTCGAACGGGTGTTCGACGAGCTGCTCGAAATGCCCCTTCACACCAAAGACTAGAGGTCTGGCGCTGTGCCCCGAACGGACAGAGTCGGCTTTGCCTGCTTTGCCGCCGGCGGAGGCGTGTTTGGCGTGGTGCGTGAGGAAAGGTTTGCCGTGTCCGAGTTTGTGGGCTGCGACTTGGAGAGCGACTTCTGTGGGGTCGCCGTTCGCTTCCCATTGGGAATCTTCGTCCACTGGCCTGGAGAGCGTTGCGACGTTGCACAGGGAAGCGCAGAGCGCGAGTTTACGCAAGCCATCTTCGAGTTCTTCTACGTGCACGACTTGTTCTTGGTTTTCGACTTCCCGTTCCTCGGGGTCCTCGGAAGAAGAAGAAGAGGAGTCGGTAGACTCTTGGCGCTGGGGGTGCTTGAGGTCGAGTGTATCGGCGACTTGTATAATTTTCTGACGGTCGGCGCGGACGACGCCCCGCGGGTAGAAGGGGTCTGAACCGGTTTCGAATGAATAGGCTTGGCCTCCTTTGGTGTCGAGGGGTGAGGGCTGGGAGGGACGGTGGTCGATGGTGGGGACCCAGAGTTTGCGGACGACCATACGGCCTACGGTGAGTGTACCGGTCTGTATTGAAAGTCAGCTTTTGGGGAAAGAGGGGGCGTAAGGGAGGGACAGGCGTACCTTGTCGGAACAGACATTCTCGACTCCTGCCAAGGCTTCGATAGCGTCCATACGCCTGACGAGAGCGTTCCTAGAGGCCAGGTCGGTTGATGCTCTGGCCAATGTCAGGCTGACGACGGCGATGAGGGAAGCGGGGAGAATGGAGACAGCAGCGGCTACGGCGTAGGTGGCCATGGATAAGGGGATGTTCTTGAAGCCGGTAGAAGCGACGACGATGATGGCGATGATGATAGCCCAGCCGAGTAGAAAGTATGCCAGCTTGTTCAACCTACCATCCTGTCAGCTCTTGTCATCGCGAAGATTTAGAGGACTTGCTTGATCTGCAGAGGCGTCGTCTCTTCGACACCCAACAGGACCTTGGTCTTCCACCAGAATGCGCCGAAACCTTTCCGGTTGTTCTTTGCTTTAGACTCGAGGGCTTCTGCGATCTTGCCGATTTCGGTGCCCATACCGGTGTGGGTGATGATGACTCGGGCGCGGCCTTTGGTGACTTGGGATCCGGAAAAGACCATACAGAGACGATCGCTGGCACGTGTCAGACTGAGCTTCGGAAAGAGAAACAGTTGAAGCACATACCCGACAGGACAGTCTTCTTCATCGATGGGTTCAGATTGCTTGGCAACGGGAAGACTTTCACCAGTGAGGAAAGCCTCATCGCACTCCAAGTTGCTGATATGTCCGTCCAGAATACGGCCGTCGGCGGGCACGATATCACCATTCTTGAGGAGGACGATATCGCCAGGGACGACTTCTTCGACGGGGATGGTTTTGGTATCGCCTTCGCGGGAGCCTTCACGAGTACGGACGACAGTGGCTTGAGGGGCGCCGACCGATTCGAGGTTTGCCACAGTCTTACGTTATGTGTCAGCTCGCTCTACTCGGAAAGGATAGGAGGTGACTCACTTTCTCGGCTTGCCATTCGGTATAGGCACCAACAGATACATTCAAAAGCACGAGGGCGGCAATGACACCGCCACTGATCCAGTCGGTCGTACCAAAAGAAGTGGCCATAGCAGCGACTGGCGGCGTCGTCAGTCATTTCCGCCGCGATCTGGATCTAGGGAAAGGGGAACTTACTCAAGATCAGAGTCATGGCATTTCCGACCTGTCTCAAAATAATCTTGAAGACGCTGGGTTTCTTTGGGGGTTTGAGACGGTTCAGGCCATACTGGTCGAGCTTTGGTGGGACTTCGCTCTCCTTGAGACCGGTGGTGGGGTTGCTTCCCAGCGCTTCGATGACTTTTCCAGAGAGGGCGTTATGGGCTTTGAAGGGGAGTGATTCGGTGACGGCAGTCTTGCCGGTGTCGGCTCTGTCTAGTTGTTTCTCATTGTGGTTCGTTGTGACTTTGTCAGACGACATGATAGGTTAGATGGAGAAGAAGAAGAAGAAGAGATGTCCAAGGAGATCTCTTATATATCATTCATAGGGAAAGCGGGCGCCAAGAAAAGGAGCAAGCAGCCAAGAGGAGATGCAAAAAGTGATCCCAATGGCTCGTGGCGGGTTCTGATAGGGGATAAAGTTTCCTGATATCGAGATTTCTTGGGCCTTGGCAGATCCCAGTGATCGAAGCGCGCGGAGATCGCCGGGGAGAAGCACGCACCACCTAGGTCAGCGGCAGATGCTCCGGCACCCGAGCACCCCCCCATGCACGCTGACAAACCACGTTCTTTCGGTGAACCAGGTGCATGCCGGAGGAATAATCCGTTGTGGAATGGACGATGCCCGCCCTTGGCATAACGTCATGCGTCTTGGGAGCTCGGGTACCGCCGCCTTGTTGATTAACCGGGGCTTGGCCCGGAACGATAAGATAACGATATGCTTGCGAGCAAGTCCTTCTGGGCCTGGAAGGGTTCGATTGAGCGTGGGGATTACGAAAATGGGGCTGGGGAATCATCTCAGTACGTCATGGCCTATACATAGATGCTTTGCGTACGTAGGTTCCGCGAGAAATGGCATCGTCAAGAGAGAGAGAATAGCAAACTGCCAAGGTTCGACCCTGTAGTATCTGGGCAAAAACATAACCAAGCCTCCGTAGTTTAGTTGGTTATAACACCCCACTAGTATTCAACATCACTAATGGGGAGGTCTGTCGTTCGAATCGGCACGGAGGCACTTTTCTTTTTGCATCTTTTTGTGATGATGGATGGGTCAGTGGGGGATGGCCGAGGGGTGGAAAAGTGGTACAACACGTTTAGATGACGATGCTGAATCATATGGACTGTCATTCTCCATATGCGATGCACCTGTGAGGAGTCAAAGTCTTGGCACGAAACCGATGGCTCAGCTTCGGAGGGAACCCGACTCTGCGTCAACATCATCTCTATACACTCCGAAGGTGTGCCTATTTCAGTTCGGAACGTTCTGGTCGTAAACAATAGATGTTGCGCCCTCGAAGAAGCGACCAGAACCACAATGAAAGCCTTGTGTGTTGCATTTCCGTGTCTGATTAATTGCTACAGAAGCATAGGTATATACACTTTGCACATTCCTCATCTTCTAATTTTTCCCTCCTTCATCACGCTTCCGTCTGTACACTCGCTACAACAACATGTCAATACCGGTCTTTCAACATTGAACAGAAAAATGACTCACGTTCCCTCGTCTTGGGCTGGTTCCCGGGCAACCTATCTTTGACACCCTTGACCATCCACTTGGCGCTCCTATACGCTTTCACCTGCGCCGGACCTCTCTCCCTCGAAGCCAACTGCCTCTTATGCGCCTTGTCCAGCTCCTTCTTTTCATGCTTGTCGATGATACCGTCATCGGCAAAGTGGGCCTGCTTGCGCGCGAGTTCGGCTTCGCCCTCGATATGGTCGTAGGCTTCAAGGGCGTGGCGGCGGGATTGAGATTGCTTGAGGTTCTGCTTGTGGGCCTGTAAGCGGCCGCTCAAGGAGGGAGAAAAGGGGAACGTACCTCGTGATCTTCGTCCAATCCAGAATCGAGCTTGATCCTCGCCGTGAGCTCACCAACAATCTCAAAGTCGTGGAATTTAGCCGTCTGGTCGTTGATGGCGTTCTGTCGGAGGTTGGTAATCTTTTCACTGACGAGCACTGGCAATTTGACTTCTTGCTCAACGTCGTCTGTCAGATCTTGCATCCACAGGACTGCAATCGCATCCGGCTTGGCTCCGATGCCCACCGCAGCCAACGGTCCGCCAGTCTTGCCAATCTCAAAGATGACACTCGACTGGTATCGCGAGTAGACTGGCATACGCAGGGTATCCATCTCCCAAGAGACGGTGTTGCCAGAGACGACGGCTTCCTTTTTGGGCATCGATTCGGTTTGTTCGGAGGTGACGACGCGAAGACGGGTGCGGGAGGGTTCGAAAGTGGCGGGGTTGGTGGAGGTGAAGGAAACGTCGGACAGCTCGAGGGTACCGGTTTCCCAGCCGCGCATATTTGGCGGGAGGGTCATTTGCATACCGCGGAAGGCGAATGAGATGTTGCACCTACGATGTGTTAGCTTGTCCATGATATACACAGAAACGACTCACTTTCCGAATCCGACACCCTCAGTCAAGGCATAGATCTGGTTGACAATACTGCTCTCCCTAAACACCTCGCTCAATCGCACACTGACGATACCCAAGATCGGATCCGCCTCTCTCAACCTCGAGTCCCGAATCACAACCCTCACTACCGTATTCTCAAAGTCCCTCACAAACACCTCGGTACCAGCCTCAAAGTACGGGTTGGTCGAGTACTGCTTGACGCGCGTCTTGTATACCAAATCGTCATTGACGATAAATTCGCCATAGCCTGAAGGCAAATTGTCGCTCTGCTCGCTCGGCTGGTCGGTATCCTGCCCCGCCTCGCCCTCACGATCACCACTCGCACCCTTGAGGTTCTGCCTCTCGAGGTTATTGACCTGGTGCAAAATGACAGACAAGACACCAGACGGCCACTTGGGATCCGGCTTGGTCTTTTGCACATCCGGTGGCGGAGGGGGCAAGTCCTTCTTCGCAGGGTTCGGCGCCACATCGGCGGGGTGCATCTCCATTTCCGGCGCCGTCTTGCTCGGTTCGGGCGCCGCGGCGGCTTCTTCGGCTGAAGGCGAGCGCTCGAGTTCCTTTTTGAGCTGCGCTTTTTCATAGTAACCGATGGACCAGACGAGTTTGCCGGGCATGTCGTTGGCGTCTTCGAAGCCCATGAGGTGGTCTTCGCGGCGGAACATTTGGTTGGGGCGGCGGATGAGTTCTTCGACGGGGATTTGGACACGGCCGACGAGGTCGCTATACTTGGCGTTAGCTTGGGTCGAGAGGAGAAAGAGGGACATACTCGGCAGACATCTTGTCGCTATCCCACAGCATAGCCGCCAAATCCTCCTGACTCTTCACTTCGTCCAAAGTCAAAAGCAAAACGGCAGTCTCTTCATACACCGGGTTCAAATCCCCCGTGATGATCCTCGTAGAATACAGCGGCTTTCCAAACTTGGCATAGGCCAGCACGACATAAGGGTCCGAAAGACCATTGTTATCCTGAGCAGAGAGACCTTCACAGTGGTGGATAGTGATGAGGAAGACACCGATAGCGGTCGTATCACCAACAGTGGCACCAGACAAGAGTTCTTGCAAGTTGAGCGTCATCGACTTCGGAACCGCCATCTCGGCCGTACCAGCCGCAATACCCATCTTGACGAAACTCGAGACGAACGGCAAGTCGAGCACGTTCGGCAAATGCTCCGACATGGGGATAGCGCTGACTTCGACGGAAGGTACACCGCAGAGGGCGAATGTGAGGTTTCGGACGAAGGGAGGTTGGGGGATGAATTGGACTCGGAGACGGACGATACCGAATACTTGCTCGACTTGGATCCAGATGGGGACGGGGATATGAAGCCAGTCGTAGAGGCCGAGGAAAAACTCGATCAGGAGGTGAATATTCTTTGCACGCGCATTCTGTCCTTGACCGGGAAGGGCAGAGTAGGAGAAAGCGACTTCAAAGTTGTAATAGTCTCCGGCCTCGTCCTCTTCCACGTCTTTGCCGGCAGTGTCTTTGGTCTTGATGTCGTCGTTACCCTGGTTGATCCATCCCGTCTTGGGATAGCCTTCATCGCCAGGTTGGTCGGGGAGAGCACGGATGGAGGTGATTCGGAATGGGTTCTCGCCCTGTCCGATGTCTGTGATACGGACGGCGTCGACAAAGCCGGGGAGTGATTGCTGGAGGATGTCTTCGACCATGTCGGCAATAGAGACAAACATCGCGCTATATCCCGTCAGCCAAGTCCACACTCTCAAACGGCGACTTACGGATCGACGAGACCCCAGACGAGCTTGATGAGACCGTTCAGCCACTCCACACTCTCAGGAACAGGTGGGCTAAACGCCTCGCCGCGCTGCCTGCCCATATCCTGCCTGACCTTTTCCACATCCTTCTGCAAGCTCCTCTCGATAACGCTGACGCTGGTCATGAGAACGAAAGCTGTGATGGATATCATGAAGGAGCGCAAGAAGAACTTCCAGATACCTGATCCGAAGGCGGTGGTGAGCCAGAGGAAGAAGTGGACACCGGCGATAGAGTATTGGACAATACGGAGTTTACCGAGCATGATATCGACAGAGACGGGCTGAGGAGGAGGGAAGGCGTGGTGGAGGACATTCTTGCCTTGGGTAGCTGGTCGTGTGGGGTCAAAGTCTGTACATTTATCAGTATGCGTCGAGGACAGGCAGGGAGGAAGCACCTTTTGGGTCGGCGTCTTTGACAATAACTTCAGTCCCCGTGATGGGATCTCGCACACGACGCTGGCCCTTCTCCGCTTTCAAGAATCGGTCTGTCGGCTTGACTGTATCTTCGTCAGCTCCTACCCATCTTACAATGGCATTACTGACGTTGATTGGAATTCATCTGCTCCATAAGTTTTGTCTTTTCGTTCGCGCCCGTGCTCGCGTTGGGCTCATCCTTCTTTTCCTTTTGCACCTTGGCCGCATTCGTCTCTTCGTCCGCGCCAGACGATACCTTGTCGGACCTAGGGATGTCGCTGCTAGCGGCACTCTTTTCGCTCAGCTTGCGCTCCCTCTCCTGGGCATCGCGCTCTCGTCGCTCGACCATTTCAGCATACGTGTTGGCCTCATGTTCGTGTTGCTGTCTCGTCTCGCGGTAGCCCTGGACGGTGGGCACGGGGTGGTGGGAGGAGTAGCCCTGGCCGACGACGCGGGAGGGGGGTGCGGCGGGGAGTTCTGGGAAGGCGTCGTCTTGCTGGGACATCGCGGATGGGGAGAAGGCGAAAGAAGAGATGCTAGATAGAAGCATGAAGTCATCCAGCCTGGGACATCCCTGACGTCATGCCGGCATGTGCCTCGTCGGAGCAGTCTCGCCCTCTTGGCATGCATCAGGACGTCCTGGGACGTCCCAGGGTGTCCCGATCGCTGTGCGTTCTCCCCTTTTCGCGTACAAGAGGTTCCACTTGGTCGCTTTACCGGTTATGGCTTTGCAATCATGATGCTTCAAGCCGGTATCACAAGCCAGGGAGCAAGAGCAGATGCATACATGATCTGAAGGGACTATTGCTGTATGTTTACAACTCAAGAAAACAGTGCAAGTCATGCAGGCAGTCCTCATGATTGCTCAAGAGATCCCCTCTATCTGTACTGGCCCATCTTTGTGACAGGATTATATGGGCCCATCAATGTCCATGGCAGTTGTCGGAACCCCAGCCGATACACGTCTAGATTCTGATGTTTGCGACGATATTGATCTTCTCGGGGAACGAGCTGCTGGATGCGAAGGTAGTGTGGGAGGGTAAGAATGCGTGGATGGGGATATCGACCGAGGGCTTTATCTGCATCAGTTCTGGGTCTTGTAGATGGATTGACGAGCTCACTCTATATCCCCGCTTTCGCGTCGTCTCTTTGTCCCGTTTGGCTGGTCGAAAGGCTGCTCGTGTCTCGGTACAGACCCTTCCACAAACTCTCTCTCACTAACCACTCGCCTGCTCTCCGGAAGCACCCCTCGCGGTTCTTCCCTCTCCATTCCAGAGACACCATTACTCGCCGTGCCCCTAGCCGATATCTCTCCCTCCCTTCCTCTTGGGACATCTTCAGCAGAATGAGGTTCGGCAGGCAGCGCTCCTTGAGTAACGACTTCTGGTACAGGCGGAGGGTTCGGCGGTCCAGAAAAGGCGTAATTGGGGAGAGGAAGGCCAAGCTGGCGCATTCGGCTTTCTTCTTTCGCAATCCGATACGCAATCAGGTTGTTCTCCTGATTCCACTTTCGTCAGTATCACCACACACACGATACTACTGGTCGGTACTCACATCCTCAAGTTCGTTAATCAATAATTGTAAAGCGATATACCGCTCTGCCCAACCATATTAGCCCTCCAAACTGAATATTCAGCCAAGTGGCTGTTGGACGCACCTTTAAACATCTCATCGTCGCTCTCAAACGCTGGTACATATCCCGTGGGCGTCAGAGGTTTTCTAGGCGGTGGCGGATACGACACCGCAGCTTGCCCCACGACAAGGTGAGGGTGCGCATGGGGGTGGGGGTGTTTGATACTGGAAGAACGTCTCCTCGCTACCGCTGGGCCGGTCGGGGGGTATGTGGAGGCTGGCGCGTCTGCAGGTGGAAGAGCGGGGGCGTCGGGTATGGGGGATGGGAGTGTGGTGCTGAGAGACGGCATGGCGTGGTAGGTAATGTTGTGGGGATGGTTTGAGGGATTGTATCCTCGACACGAAGAAAGGTCAGCGAAATGTCCTCAGACTCAGAGCTTGCTCAGAGCCATCAACGAAGTCGGCTCGCTTTCGGCCCACCGATTTTGATCCCGTCGGGCTCATAACCTCTTTCATCCTGCAACAATCCACATTGTCTTGCTGCCCCGCAACAATTTGAAACAGGGAACCACGGACCATGCTTATGCAACACTTCCATGCTAGGTGTATATACCAGGGAGAAAGATGGGTGAGGATCTCTATCAATGTATAACGAATCCTTTGAGTTTGCTTGTATCAGGCTCGTAATCTCTTGTCTAGTCTACATTCTCCTCAGAGTCGTGTTCGTGGAGCCTCTTACCAGCCGCCGGTATCCTCCTCCGCAGCCTGTTCAGGTACCCAGACTCGGAGATCTTCAAGCCCTCAAGGTTGGGCGTATCGGTAGAATCGCACCATCCTCCAGCGTCTTCAACGGAAGACTGAGCAGGCCCAGGATCAGACTGAGCACCCCAGCCCCCGCCTTCTGCACTACCTCCGTGAGAAGCTTGGCTGCCAGCTCGGGCACCGTAGCCGTTATCGCGTTGGCCGTTGCTACCCCCAAATCCGCCGGGACCTCGTTGCTGAGCTATAGCTTGGGTTAGTAAGAGGGCATTGAGCTGGTGGGGATGATACGTACGAGGTGGACCGCCGAATGCTGCCCTGCCTCGATTGCCTTTGTTTTGATTGTCACGTTGGAGTTCTTCGAACCCGTCGTGGCCCCATTTGCCGGGTTGGTCGGCGCGGCCGTCATTGCCCCAGTTGGATCCGGCGGCACCCCCACCAAATCCTTGGTTGAAACCGGACTGACCGAATCCGCTCATTGGCCGAAGCCACCTGGAGCTTGTTCAAGATGACGTCGCTCAGACCAGGGTTGTCGTGCACCAGTGGATCGTCGACTGTTTGAACCGCCGAAAGAAGATTGAGCCTATCGTCCATGTCAGTACTTTATCTCGCTAGTACCACGAAGGCGCGAAGACTCACATCGGAAGCTTGATTTCCAGCCTGCTGAAAGATATCATTCCAGCCACCGCCGTTATTGGCAGCAGGAGCAGGAGCAGCCCCACCCCATCCGCCCGCGTCTTGAGTAGGAAGTTTCGTGTTTCCAGCCTTGGGCGTCGGCGCCCCCCATCCGCCCGCATCGTCGTCTCCATCATCGGTAGCAACCGGCGCACCACCCCAGTTGGACTCGACTACAGGCGGAGCAGCAGGCTTGGCTCTCCCGCCCCATCCCGTATTCGAATCATGCTCAGACTCCTGGGCGATGTCGGCGATCGCAGGGTTGTGATCATCATCATGATCCCAGGCTTCCGAGCCCTGCATGAAGTCCTTCTTGTATTTTGGCAGCTCCACCTTGTGATTGGCGAAAGGCTCATAGCCGGGTTCCCTCTCCTTTGCGAGTGCCGAAGTACCCCAGCCGGGACGAGAATTGCTGCCTCGGCCATTACCGTAGCCAGGGTCGGCAGGGGGCCAGTTGCCGTTCTCGGCGAGGAAGGCTTTGCGAGCTCCCCAGCCGGTGACTTCGCCAGTCGTGGGGAGACCGACAGAGTTGGTACCAGTGACAGGGGCACCAAAGCCAGAGTATCGGGGTCCGGAATTGCCGTAGCCACCGCCACCTCCTCCGTTGGGGCACTCTCGAGACTGTCATCGAGTCAGCCATTGGTCTCTTCAAGTTGAAGGAAGACATACGAAATGACCGCGTTCGTGGCATCGATAACACTCGCTTCCACCTTGACCAGGCCCGTTGGGGCATTCTCGGGAAAAGTGTCCTTGCTCACCACACTTGAAGCAGCCTTCACCGTTTCCACCTCCTTGACTAGGCCCGTTCGGGCATTCTCGGGAAAAGTGTCCCTGTTCGCCACATTTGAAGCAGCCATCACCACCGCGTCCTGTACCACCAGCACTGGGGCATTCTCGAGCCTATTCTTCGTGAGCTATTGACTTGACAGATATGACACAAGATTCTTCAACGTACAAAGTGACCGTCTTGTCCACATTTGAAGCATCCCCCGCCTCCTCCGCCTCCACCACCACCGCCATAGGAGTCGGCCCCAAAGCCACTGGAAGGAGCAGGAGCATCTCCCCACCCACCTCCACCCCCAGAGGAAGCAGGAGTGTCATCACCCCACCCGCCTCCACCGCCAGAGGGAGCAGGAGTGTCATCACCCCACCCACCACCACCGCCAGGAGCAGCAGGGGCAGAAGAAGCAGGTTCAGCGCCCCACCCACCCGCATCTCCAGCTTCGGCCTGAGGTTCAGGAGAAGTATCGTCAGCCCAGCTTGTCGATTGCTGGACAGAGGCTGTAGTCGCTGGCTCCTCGGCAAAGCTGGAAGATTGTTGAGCAGAAGGCTTGGAAGCGGGAGAGGGAGCTCGGATGACAGCGGGAGTAGCACCCCAGCCTCCGGCATCGTCGTCCTCGTTGTTTGAGTCGGTAGAAGCAGGCTCGGGTGCTGCGCTCCACCGGCTTTCGCCTCCGGCAGGAGCTTGAGAGGCAGGGGCAGAAGCGGGGGCGCCCCAGCTGTCGTTGGATTGTTGAGGAGCAGCACCGCCCCAGCCCCCTTCAGATGGTCCCCCAAACCTGCCTCCCTTCGAAGCAGCACCAGACCCGCCCCTCCCTTCCCCTCCATACTGGCTCCCTCGCTCACTCCTCCCCGTCTGACTACCGCTCTTACTGCCACCTCTCTTCTTGAATCCAGCCCATCCTTGATCAGCCGAGGGCGGGACGAACTGTTTCTCCCAGGGTCGGCCCGTTGTGAGTGAAGAGACGTGGATACCAACACCGCCGTCACGATCGGCGTCGAGGTGGCCTAGGTGAAGATCCTTGGCAGGAGGGTAGGTGCGAGGTGGGGGGACGGACCAGTCTACTGGGGCAGCGTGGGCGGAACCCCAGCCACCATCGTCGGTATCGTTAGATTCTTGAGCAGGAGCCGAATCGCCCCCCCAGCCGCCACCGTCGGCATCGTTGGATCCTTGAGCAGGGGCCGAATCGCCCCAGCCCCCGCCACCTCCCGATGCAGGCTGGGCGTTGTCGTTACCCCAAGAGTCGGCAGGTTGAGATTGTTGAACAGAGGCGCTGCCTGCCTGAGAGCCGCCGAAACTTTGTTGAGATTGACCGCGTTGAGCGTAGCCGTTGTCGCGAGCACCAAACGCGCTGGGACAGTCTCGGGACTAAAGGGTTGTTAGCTTTCCACGAGAGAGACATGATCAACGTACGATATGACCGACTTGGTGGCACTTGAAACACTCTTGACCACCACCACCTCCGGATGCGGGGCACTCTCGAGCCTAATGCAATCGTCAGCTCAAGACGCCAGCTGCGGGCGAGGGTAGTAGACGTACAAAGTGCCCTCGCTTATGACACCTGTAGCACTCGCTGCCGAATTGTTCGGCGTTGGGACACTCTCGGGCCTAAAGTCACTCGTCAGCCTCACTCTACCAATCACATATATTATCGTAACGCACAAAATGGCCGTCCTGTCCACACTTGAAGCATCCCCCACCGCCACCGCCACCGCCGTAACCACCGGCGCCCTGAGAGTCTCCGCCAGAACCAGCTGAAACAGGCGCATCACCCCATCCACCACCAGAAGGTTGCGCGGGAGCGTCGTCCCAAGCACTGCCATCATCACCACCGCCGGACTCCTGGGTCTCTTCAAAGCCCTATGCTTTCAAATGAGACTTTTCCATAGCGGGGGAAGCAGGAGCTGACTTATCCCCGCCATCCTCGGCCGGTCGTTCAACCCATCCGCCCGTAGTCTTGCCCTCGCCCACATGCTGTTTATCGGCCCATCCGATCGAAGTATCGTTGTTGATAATGGGAGCAGCCCAGTCGTCGGCATCATCCGCATCTCCAGCAGAGGGAGTCGTGACCTTTTCAGGGGGTCCTCCCCATCCACCGTCATCTTCGTTGCTCATAGTTTGAATGTCGGAAGCCCAAGTGTCACTCTGTGTGCTGAGAGCAGGTATGCCCAAGACGCCTTCTGCGAGATGAGCATCAGCCTCATTTGCCCCATCTTTCTCGCAATCGAGGAATGGAATGCTCACATGCGTACTATACTTCCTTCATTGCGTCGTCCCCGAGGAAAAAAATGGGAAAGATGCCAAAGTGAAAGCACCCTCTTGCTGAGCAGCTATCGCGTCTACAGATCTCGTCAGCGCTGCTCTCTTGGTTAGGGATGCAGCTGATGGTAGGCTTGTTAGCCGGTACTTACCGTTATGAGCGTGACAGAAGGAAAGAGAAGCAGATGAAAGAGGGTATGTGCGCGCGCGCCGTGGGAGAGTTGGGGGTCCAAACTCGGGCCTCCACATTCCAACTTGTCTGTCTCTGACTCTCTGTCGTTCATCGATCACCTGCAGCTGGGTCCCTCAACTTGCGCCCAAAGAAATTCTGCTGCATGGATTGCATTGCGTTCTATGTAGCTCTGAATGGTGCTTGTTAATCGGAACAGAGCAGAGACTCAGGATATTCCACAGCACAAGGGGGTCTATGATCCGACGTGCGCAGGACTGCACGGCCATAATAGGTTGTTGTGTTAGCGCAAAACTCCAATGTCTCGTTGGTGTAGTGGTAGCATGCCTTCTTCGGGTATATCATCTGATTTGTACGCTTTGGAGGCGGTCCCCGGTTCAATCCCGGGACGGGACCTTTTTTGTCACCTTTTTCTTTTTTTTCCGGTCGCCGTGGTGTATGTAGCCACAGGAAGGGATGGCGGAAACATGGGTTGAAGTCGGAACGTGATAACCTTCTGCGGGACTGGTACATGCAACCCGCGGTGTCTCTGTCGCGAAGAGATAGCATGGTGGACATTCCGAGCGTACTTGGTGGGGCTGATGAGAGAGGAATGTCCGCCGGTGCGCATCGTGCTGCAAGCCTTATATTCATGAGCACAGGTATCAGTACCTTTGGTATGTATATGGTTTTATAATATGCATGTAGCGATTTATAGAATGATTTTTCTTTCCAATTACATCTCAACTTCCGATCCAACGCGATGAGAGGCGCCAAGACACCGGCCATCACTGTGATCTTGCTGTCAGACTGAGATGCGGAATACCTTATATATACAGCTTACCATTCCGCTTCAGTATCCGGTGATTCGGAATCAACACATGACCCACCCATCCCTCTCCGCCTCAGCCCGCTTAGCGAGTTCAACATTCCAACCCAGGCGGGCCATATCCTGCACAAAGATACGCATGTTCTCCGCCCTCTTCTTCGTGGCAAACTCCTCCCATCCACCCCTACCGAGTTCCTTCATCTTCAGATCAATAATACGCCTGGTGACAGCGGGACAAGCATCGAGCTTGGCTTCTTCCGACTTGTAATCCTGGATGGCGGACTTGATGTTGTCGTCGGTGATGTCGTAAGTGATGTCGTAAGTGGTGGGCGGGATGGTCATGGACATGGTGAATGCCTTGGGGCCTCGAATCTTGGGTCGGATCGGAACGATGGCGGTAGGGTAGTAGTTGGTCTTGGGATAGCTGGCGACGGCGGGCAGGCCGGAGTAGTCGTGAGCCGCAGGAGGGACGGGCATGGACTTGGTGAACTTTTCGACGGCGACCATTATGGGTGGTTGGTTGGTTGTTGGTTGGTGTATTGGTTTCAGTGTCAGCGGAATGGCCAGGAGAAGGAATGGAGATGCAATTGCAACGGGCTTTTGACCGCCTGGCGATGTTTCCACCTCCATGACATGTTTCCGCAATAAGAACAAGTCGTACTACTCGGTTTGTATCCGACATTCTACCATTACGTCCTTTCACTCGCCCCCATCCCAAAGTAGGAGAAGGCTGTGCTACACTTGACATGCAAAAAAGATGGCAGTTGAACGACGACAACGTTACCCACGGCGCTGGCCGCCATAAGATAAGCCATGGTTGTGCCTGGATAGAGATAAGAGGGGAGTCCAGATCTCTTTTTTTCGGTCGGAGAAGCGACCCGCGCACCAAACGGAACTCCGTCAACCAGCGGCGGTTTGGAGAGGTATTTCGAGCGACTATCTGCTCAGGAGTAACATAAAGCCGAGAACCATAGCGATCCTCAAGCTACCCAGTGCCAGCAAGGCAAACACTTCATGCGATCGTGCGATGGCCTTTCTCTGCGCCATGATCGATACAGCCAAAACAAAGTCAAACTCAAAAGAAGAACGTGAACGTAAACAAACCATGCCGATGAAGGGCAGCGATCACAAGGATAGATGGGGCCAATGTCAACCTGCCTCTGATGTGTGAGGTGAGTGAAAAGGCCCACCAGAGAACTCTCGGCGCTCTTGGGGACTTGGGGTCTCGCTCTCTCGGATCCAGGCTCTCGTGCGTTGCGCTGGTCTGACTAAGAATCCCGCCATCTGCTTACGAACTCTCCTCCAACAAGATTGCGGTGGCAAAAGATAAAAACACAGAATGGGCCATTTCCACGTGGTTTACCCTGATTCGCCACGTGTTTTGTCCGGCCGACCCGCGGTGGTGCGGTTGCTTCCGTCTGAGTGCCTGACTCCCCGCGGACCGGCCGTAAGGAATTCAACCATCGACAAGCTGCAGCTATGATTCGATTCGTCGCTCAACGTCGTATATAACACCAAGCCACCCGCATGAGATCGCCCGTTTTCCCTACTTGATTGACATCCTCATTCACCAATACTTTCATTGACTTTTCATATATAATTTCAGCCACCATGTCGTCGTCCGCCGACACCACCTCGACCATCGTCCCCCCATCCCCCACCTCCCCCACCGCTTCCCGCAAGGGCCGTCGGATATCCATACAGGAAGAAGACCGCCCCGCGAATGAAAAGTTCTCCAACATCCACCGCTCCCCCACCCAACATAGTGGCAACACTCCCATCTACCACGGCACCAACGATGTTGGCATCCACCGCACCACCACCTCTGGCTCCCGCCGCGGGCCTCCCGATCTCGCGTTCCCCTACCTCACCACCGATATCTCTCGCGGTGGTATCACTGAGGAGTACCGAGTAGAGACCAGGGAGGGTTACATTCCTATGGATGATCCTGAACGGGGTCTCCAGCCCGCCCGGTCGCGTGCTTCGACACTCCATGGTGACCAGTTTGTTCTCCACGACAAGGAGAAGGGCGGTATGGGAGACAAGAAGCTGGTGACATGGCTGGAGAACGACCCCGAGAACCCAAGGAATTGGAGCAAACTGTATCGTTGGAGTGAGTCTCAATTCTTGTTTTAGTTTACGAAATATGATGCTGACTTGCGACTCCCAGCCATCACTGGAATTGTTTCAAGTGCCGTCATCCAAGTGGCCATGTCGTCTGCCATCGTCACTGGTGACTTCAAAGACCAAGAAGAGTACTTTGGCGTCTCTGCCGAGGTCATTGCCCTCACTGTCTCGTTGACGGTCTGCGGCTTCGGGTGAGTCACTGCTTCGGCCGCATTCTTTTGTTTGGATCGCTGACCGTGCCTGGGTCATCTTTAGTACCGGTCCTCTTCTTTGGTCTCCCCTTTCTGAACTTCTCGGCCGTCGTCTCCTCTGGATGTGCCCCTTTTTGGTGTACATTATCTTCAACATTCCCTGTGCATTGGCGCCCAACATCGGATGTTTGCTTGCCAGTCGATTCCTCTGTGGTTTCTTTGGTTCTGCGCCCTTGACGCTGGCGGGTGGTGCCATCGCTGATATCTGGGGTCCCGAAGAGCGAGGTGAGTACTCGAACGCATGTCTTGGATTTGAGCTGACAATCTATAGGATTCGCTATTGCCATCTTTGCTGCTGCTCCCTACACTGGTCCTGTTATCGGTCCCCTCATCGGTGGCTTCATCGGCAAATACGCCGGCTGGCGCTGGATTTACTGGGTCAACATGATCGCCGCTGGTGTTGTCTGGGCCGCTACTCTCACCATCCCCGAGACCTTTGCTCCCGCCATCCTCAAACGTCGAGCTCAGAAGATGCGTCAAGACACCCAAGATTCCTCTTTCGTGACTGAACAGGAGATTTTCCGAAAGCCTTTGAACGAGATCGTCATCGAGACTCTTGTCAGGCCTTTCGAAATGCTCGCTACTGAACCCATTCTCCTGTGTATGTCCTTGTACATCTCGCTCGTCTATGGTCTCCTCTACGCCTTCTTCTTCGCTTTCCCTGTGGTCTTTGGCGAAGATTACGGATGGGACGATGCCAAGGTCGGATTGACCTTTATCCCCGTCTTCATCGGTGTCGGTCTCGCCCTCTGTGTCACCCCATGGCTCGAAAAGAAGTACACTGCCAAGGGCGACCAGGCCGAGCCTGAAGACCGTCTTCCCGGTATGCTCATCGGTGGGCCATTCGTTCCCATCTCGCTCTTCATCTTTGGCTGGACCGCGCCTCCTTATGTCGCTGCCGGGGGTGGCTCTTGGGTCGGTCCTTGTTCTGCCGGTATTCCTTTCGGTTTCGGTATGGTCTTGGTCTACTTCAGGTAAGTCTTCTTTGAATCTACATAGATAGGATGAGTGCTGACTGGATCGACAGTGCGAATGCCTACCTTATTGAAGCTTTCCCCGACTATGTCGCTTCGGCGCTTGCAGCCAAGACTGTCGTTCGATCAGCTGCCGGTGCCGCCATGCCCCTTTTCATCAGTATGTTTCTTTCTTGCATGTCTTTTGTAACAAGCTGACCCGCTCATAGCGCAAATGTTCCACGGGCTCACCAACGGTGGCGCCGCCTCCCTTCTCGCTGGTGTCGCCGTCATCATGGCGCTTATCCCCTTCGGCTTTGCCAAGTGGGGTAAGCAGATCCGAGCCAAGTCAAAGAGGGCTGCTATCTGATCTGCGCTCTCTGTTTGCTTGGAGTTTTGTGTGTATCGGGGGTGTGCATGGACTTTTTAGACGTAGCCATTCGACATATCTCGGTTTTCGAGATCATTTCAGAGACAATGTAGATACTCTACTCGTACTCCTTCCTTTCCTTTCCGCATACCTAGTTACTTTACCTAACTTGTGATATTATAATCCACAACTACCATCACATATGTAGTTTAGAGAAGCATTTTTTGGTGTTCAAACTCCGTGTTTACGGTCGCCATGCAAGCTTATTTGCCATGCCGTTATGTGTGTGCAAGAGTTGTCATCATACACAAGCCATGATTGTGGGTGCTAGCGTAGTTGTATGAGAAGAGGCTGCATATCTCACTTGCCATATAGTGCTTTTGCTCTGGCAGATGCTAACATGAGAAGATGCAGTCAACAGATACGAGAGAGTCATTCAATGTCCACGAGCGACCGGCGCCTGGTGCGGCCTTCACAGGCGATTGTCCTCACTTTCACCAATATTTTGCTCGACATTGTGGGAAGATACGCATCCTGATCATATCAACAGATCCGAGAGAAGGCAAGCTTTGAGCCGAGTCTGAAACATACACTACTATTGTTGTACAGTCGTCGTCGTCGTCCCTCCCTGTGAATAGAGTACGAGTGGGAGAAAGGGTATTGGGTGGGAGAAAGGGTATTGGGTGGGAGAAAGGGTATTGGGTGGGAGAAAGGGTATTGGGCGTAGGCGATGCATCTGTACAGGTATAACAGAGAAGGAATCTGCTCTGAGTACCCTAAAGGACTGAGAGAAAAGAAAGGTCCATTATAAGATGATCGGCACCTCATTGAGTCTGGTTTGCCCAGCCCATGGCCCCATACCCCTTCTGCGCTCCCACCTCAGCCACAGCCTTCCATGCCCCCTCAAGCATGTTCTGCGCCCACCAATCCCAATGCTCGTTCTCTGACGTCTCCAAGTACAAAAGCCCACGCACCGCCAACAAGTCCGGCCACACTGCTACCCCTAAAGAGCAACACCCAGCATCGAGCTCCATCTCAGCCACAGACCGGTGCTCGGGAGAGGCGAATTCGGTTACTTCGCTCAACAATGATCTGAGGCCGATCGTGATGTTGACCCGGCCGGCCGGGGAGATGGGCGTATGAGAAGGTGGTAGGTAGAGTAGGGCACGCCGAGCCAGAACAGAGCATGCGGTACGAGGACATGATACCCGTGGCCAGGTTCATACGCTCTTTCTTACCATCCACGTCACAAGATCAGTGGCTGCGGCTATCTCGCTAGAAGGACGGATAGCCGACCAACCACAACTTCTTATTGAGCCAGAGGGTTTCATGCTTTCGCTACCCTCGCAAGCAACTCGCAAGTACCCTCGGCCAGCCGACGGAAGAGAGGGCAAAAACACGCGTACGTAAACTGTAAATGGGGGTGTTAAATAAAACCCGCCCATCTTTTCTGCTTTTTCGGGATTCGCGAATCCAACAGCCTTGGTGTAGTCCAGTAACAGCAAGACCCCGCCTCACACACTCTCTCGGCCCACTCATATCCCCCGAATAATCCACCAGTATGCCCCCCTCCAACTTCCGATACAAGGTCCGAGCTTCCAAGGGTCCGTCTCCTCCCACTTGCCCCTCTGCCCTCATCTACTTTCGCCGCAGCTGACACTACGATATCCCTATAGGTGCTCTCCAAGTACCATGTGCTCCTGAACTTGCCAATATGCTCCAATGTTTCGCCACTACCGGAGATTTGAGACATACCCAATCGTGCGCGGACAGCGCAAAGATGTTGCATGCTTGTATGGCTACAGGGAAGGGAAAGGGTGGCAAGCAGGGAAGCTCTGTGAGTTGTGTTTTGTGCTTGGAGAAGAAGGGGAAGGAGGGGAGACTTGGATTAGGAGACTGTGGGAGCTGGAGCGCACGTTTGGGCGCATGGGCGAGTCAGAATGGGAAGCTGATATTCGTTGCAGATCAACCACCTTTTGGGCAAGATCCGAAGATAGTGAGAGTTTTAGAAGGGGAGCAGAGAAGATTTGTGTACCGACATATTGTATACCCATGCACGGCATATCGACTTGTCGGGCTCGTGACAGCGTTGAGCCTCTGGCGAGCAACAATTTGATGCGGAAGCGCTCACGTCTCAAGTCTGTATAGCGCTTTGAAATTTACTGTTGCTGCGAGCTGTATAGCATCCGTAGTACGAAGAATTCACCTGTAACGAGAAAGCACAAGGTCGATACCCGCTTATCTCCGCTTATCTCCTGTACTACCCTCCCATCGATACCAACCCTGTCGCCGCCGCGCAAGCTGTCTTGACGAGCACGCAAATGTTCTTGAGTCGTCTTTGACTCGTACCTCACCTCCTTCGCCATATCTAGAGTGTGATCAATCGCACCGTGGGGGTCTTACCATCATGCCAGGCGCTCGCATCAACATGGAGAAAGGCGTTGCTGTCGTCAGCCGTCGTCGGGGGTAGCTTTGGCCATGAGGGGTCTCGACGGTCCACTTAGCATTAGGATCGTTTGCATCTCCTCGTGATCCTCTTCTTGTCCTTTCTTTTTTCTTGTCTGAACCCGATCGAATCATGGACTCGCGAACCTCGTCTGTGCCGCCTCAGGATGCCGCAAGAAGCGTCGCCTCTTCCCATGGGGACAAGCGAGTCGACAATGACCGTGAAGCCAGCAGTGATGAGTCCCAAGGCGTACACTGTAGGTCCCATCCGAATGCACACTCGCAGACAGCTGATACCGTCTCATAGTAGCTGAAACGACAGTCGAGACCCCTCATGGTCAAAGCCACCCCCAACGACAGCTCATCCAAGACAGGGTCGACGTCCAAAGGCAACGCTATCGTCGATTCCAACAGAGCCCCTTTCAAAAATCCTACGTCCCCAGTCTCCGCTTTTCATCGATCATCCTTATCGCCCTTGTCATCCTATACAACCTCTTCGGCCTCGGGCGAAACCCCTCTCTACCGACGTTGTTCAATTCACAGAATCTGGTAGAACCTATCCTCGTCTGCTTCTGTGTCTTCTTTTTGGCCGATTGGTTTTCGATCTTGTGGGGTGTTGTGTTCTTGGAACAGACGGAATCACAGAGGATATGAGGGTGAGGATGAAGACTCTCTCGAATCTTGTCTTGCGGGATTAAAATACGACTTCGAAGACACGAGCTGGTACGTCGGACGATCAAAGTTGATGGTGTACTGACATCTCTCAAAAGCTCCACCACCTACGCACACCATGGACAGGTAACATAGACCCCCTCAACGTTCAAACTTTCGGCTGTCATTACAACATCGCCATTCCCCTGTTTGGCTTCGGCATCTCTTTCTTTTACCTCTACCGACACCTCATCACCTATCCCGAACTCTTTGGCATTGCCCACTATGGTTTCCGAATCACCGGAGCTGTGATGGGGGCCCTCTTGGGAGCTGGAACATTGTGGCTGGCGGGGCGGAAGGGTTTAAGGATGTTGGCCAACCGGGATTTGCATCAACATGCCGGTAGCGGCTTGGATGGCCGCAAGGGATGTCGGTGGGCTTCCTTCTGATGTACTCGAAGGCTGGCTCGATGAGGATCCAGATGCAGAAAAGGTACGTCGGCTAATGACAGCCGCGTTTCTGAGAGTTGACTGCCTTCTTAGCAATAGGAATCCCTGCTCGACGCTGTGGTAAAGAGCCAGGGATTGTGGATATGTGTATTACCTGAAATTCGAGCGATAAAGCCATATACTATCATGTTACATGTATATGATACTACCAGTTGTATCATGGCATGGTCAAACGTCGTACGTAAAGCTGTCGTCAGCCGTCGTCAGGTGGCAGAGTTTGCTCCCGCTCCGCTTCGTTTCTCACATCAACACACGATCTTCCGCACCTCGTGTCCTTTCTCTCTTCTTCTCATCTTCGATTCGACACCTTAAGCGATTCATCTCGATACCATCATGGGAGCGCAGGCATCATCCATGCCAAAAGATCCTGAGAAGGCTGACCCTGAGAAAGTCTCCTCCCTTCAAGATGAGAAGCAAGGGGGCGGCGAGGTCTGCATCGACGGCGGCACTGACATTTTGACGAGTGAGCCTAGCTGGCTCACCTACCACAAGTTGTTGACATTGATCAGGCATAGACGGAAATAACGAAAAGATTCCTACTGCGCCCATCGATGCTTCGCACCGACTGGACGAGCAGGTCCGTATCCTCGAGGAACACGACAGACAATCACGGAATACCTTCTTCCAGAGCCGTATGGTGCCCGCGTTTCTCATCATGGGATATATACCCCTGTACGCCTTCCAGCTATCCCTGCTTACTAACTACTGGGAGCGCCCCGGGTCGGAGTGTGTTGCGGCGCCAATTTTTATCTGGATCTACGTTTGCTTCACCACCTATAGCTTGGGTAAAGCCTGGGTCTACGCCCCATCAGAGCGAGGTAGGGTTGCGCGGAAAATGCGAGAGAGGCTGGCGACGCTTCTCGAACTTGTAATAAGGGATGAGAAGGTACCGGAAAGGATTGCAAGCGCTCGAGCGGGTACGTCAAACAGCTTTTGTCGACAGCGTACTGATCGTTGCTCAGTTGCTCAGCCATTCACCGAACTGTTACCTCCATGGACACCATACATAGACCCAATGGCGGTCGAAGGTTTCGGTCTTGAATACAACTGGCGCGTTTCTTTGCTGGGATTTGCAATCACCACCTTCTACGTCTTCCGTTACCTCGGCGGCTTTACCTGGATGGACGATATGGAAAATCCCGGCATCTTGCATTCCCGATATCAGCTCGCAATAGCTGCGATGTGCGGTCTCCCCGGCGCGAGAGCCTTGAGGCTGGCTGGGCTACCGGTCCTTAGGTGGTTAGCGAACAGGGGTCTGGACGAGCAGTGGAAGAGGTGGAAGACGGAGTTGCCTTTCTGGGTCTGGATGGCGGCAGCGGATACAGGTGGACTTCCCTTTGAGATGATCGCGAAATGGCTGGACGAGGATCCGGTTGCGAAACAGGTACGTGAAATCCAAGTGATCAGAAGGGCATTCTGGGAAGCTCACCACCTTTTAGCAATACGACAACCTGCTGGACGTCGTGGAACATATGCAGGAAGCTTAGACAAGAGCACTAAATTCGAGACATATTATATCGCGATACATGTATTATATGTCATCAGCCATGCCGCTGCAAGCTGAGACTCGTGATAACTGTAGGATGAGACCCAATGTCAATATAGCACTGGTGTTTTTTGCATGGCAATTGACACTGACACATGTCTATAGCTGAAAGGCCTTGTATGTACGTTCTGTATACCATCCATAGACCTGCAGCCCGCCCAATAATGCAGCTCACAACCATGTTCAACTTTGTGTTGAATCATTGATCGACGCGCCACATTACGGAGATACGGCAATCGCCGAAATCTCACGCGCCGTCATTCCTTGTCCTTAGTTGTAGGAGCTCTATTATTGTATGGAGCCGACTTGAATTCCCATCGATTAGTTTCCATTCATCAGCTACTTCGAGCTCGTATATAGACAGCCATACACAACAACACATACGCCATACTCGTCCACGACATATCCCACCACAAACCTCCACATTTGGACTATCAGTCGCAAGTTTCAAGTCTGTCTATCAGCCTCTCAGCTCTCGACATGACGGCTCAGTACAAAGCTTTGGGCGTGACTCCGCCTATCAGCACGGAATCTCCCAAGCCCACAGACCTCAAATCCAGTGAAGGCACGTACCGCCAGACGGAATACAGAGACAAGGCTGACCTTCATCAACAGCGCTTTTGGCCGACCTTGTCGCGTTGAATCAATTCGAATCTGACCAGGAGAGGAAGGTCCGAGAACGGTTACTATCCAACATTGCCCAACTCGTCGCCAAGTTCGTCCACGATGTCTCCATCAAGCTCGGCATGTCGGAGAAGATTGCGACCGAGGCGGGTGGAAGGATCTATACCTCTGGATCTTATCGGTAGGTTTCATCGCCATGCTTTAGTGGGTGTATATATCAATACAGGAGGACTGATCATGGATATGTATGTCTTGTGCAGTCTGGGAGTGCACGGTCCGGGATCTGATATTGATACCATCTGCGTCTGTCCTCGGCATATCTATCGAGAGCATTTCTTTGGCGAGTTTCAGGAGATGCTGCGAGCCTGGCCTGCTGTGACGGAGATCTCTGTGCGTATTTTGGTGGTTTGCCAAGTGATATACTGACAAGAGATGTAGGCAGTGGAATCAGCCTTCGTCCCAGTCATGAAGACGGTGATCTCCGGAGTGGAAGTCGATCTGTTGTTTGCGAGAGTCAATCTTCCGGAAGCTGGCGATGGGCTGGATATCGAAAAGGACGAGATTCTGAGGGGCGTGGATGATGCTTCGCAGAGAAGTTTGAACGGTCCCCGAGTCACAGACATGATGTTGAACCTCGTTCCGGATGTAGCTACTTTCCGCACGGCTCTGAGAACGATTAGATTGTGGGCAAAGCGTGAGAAACTTTGCCATCAATACGGAGATGTGCTAATTCTTTGCAGGTCGTGGGATCTACTCTAACGTTTTGGGTTTCCCGGGTGGTGTAGCTTGGGCGCTTCTGACAGTGCGGATATGTCAGCTCTACCCGACAGCTGCGCCAGCCACCATCGTCGGCAAATTCTTTCCCATCTATTATCAATGGTACGTCTAGGGACGCGGAAGGGTAGACAGTCGCCAACGATATACCAGGAATTGGCCCCAGCCTGTACTGTTGAAGAAGATTGACAATGGACCGCCCAACATGCAACATTCAGTCTGGAATCCCAAGGTTCGTGCCCTTTAATGTTGCTGTTCATCAAGCTTACCGCGTTGTAGCTTGACCGAAGAGACCAAGCCCATCGCATGCCTGTCATCACACCCGCTTACCCCTCCATGTGCTCGACACACAACATCACCGCCTCGACAATGTCTATCATTAGGAAGGAAATGCTTCGAGGTGAGCTAGTTCTGGTCTCTTGAGGGTGAAAGCTGACGCGCTTGTAGCCATGCAAATAACGGATGAGATCTTGAAGAACCCTGGGACAACTTGGCAGCCGCTTTTCGAGAAATCGGACTTTTTCAGCATGTACAAGACGTATGTTCAGGTTGTTGCCTCAGCCTCGACTTCGGAAGGGATCAAAGACTGGTGAGTCCTTTTCTTTTTGCAGTGATGTTCAGAGTTGACGTCTAGAAGGAGCGGAATGGTAGAATCAAGAATACGAACCCTGGTCCAAGATCTCGAGCAAACCGACACTATTCTTACTGCCCATCCCCAAGTCGGAGGCACGAGCAGGACTTTCTACTGTCTCACTGAGGAAGAACAAGCAGCGGCGAGTCAGGGAGAGTTGACGACAGAGATGATCAACAGGACGGAAGAGGATGTGAAGGACAAGGAGCACAGAAAGATATATACGAAGAGTTTCTTCATTGGGCTGGAGATTGAGAAAAAGTCGAGTGAATACATCTGTTTACTCTTGAAGGGTGATCGCTGACAGACTTGCAGAAGACGGCACTTCAAGGGTCTTGAACCTGTTCTACCCTAGCAAAAAATTCTGTGCGACCTGTCAGAATTGGGAGAAGTACAATGAGATGGAGATGAGCGTCATCTTGAGGCCAGCAAAAAGGTAAGTCCATCGTTGGCGTGGTGTTGGAAATGCTGACAGTCTACAGGTCGGTCTTGCCGTCGTATGTATTTCCCGACGGTATGCCAAAGTCCAAGAAGAGCAAACGGGCACAGCAAAATGTACGTCGAAGGATATTCCCATGAGCCAGAAGCTGATTTCTTTCCAGGGCGCCGGTGATACCGGTATGAACGATGGATCCGATGGCCCAGGCCCTGCCAAGCGCACTAGGTTAGAAGGCGGACGTAGGTATAGGACAGTGGCTGATCCCATCTTAGGTCTGACAATGTCATCCCCGTGAATCAAACCCCTCAACCTCTGCCCAACGGCGTACCCCAGCCCAACGGTGCCGACCCCGTCCCCTCCCAGAACGGCGCTGGTCCTGTCGATCTCAAGCCTCCTCCTGGTATCGAAAACATGCCGCCTTTGTCAACTGCCGCCATGTCCTCGTTTGCGACTGCTGCCAAGGGTGTTGCCGGTGCGCAGGATGAGAACAAGGATGGACTGATTGTTTTGAATCAAACAGCTGCGCCATAGCGACCAGATCACCTCTCTTTGTCTTCAATCGCTTTCCGACTTTTTTTCTCTGTCTTCCTATACATCAATCGTTATACCCCCTTTTCATTAGGTCTCGAGTCTGGAAACGAACGAAAAGCAACAAAACGTGGGTCAGGACGGGAGAAGAAAGAAGTCTGGAGAAGTCAATCTTCGCGCTGCACTACGATATTCATCTCCTGGATAGGGTTGTATCACTGTAAAGTAAAACGAATCATAAACATCAAGCTGAAAACATATAGCACCATGCATTACATTGTCTGCCATTATGGAGCGCTCGGTGTGTGGTGGAACAAACAATGAACGCACAGACGCGGTTGACGCGACCGACGCGACGCGCCGTACACCGTCCTCATCCCCTTCTTCTTTTCTCTTATTCCTCAACTGTTCCCACTCGCAATGTATAAAGCCCGCAAACGCCAAGCGACCCCCGCCACATCGACCCGAGCGAGTACACCCGCCGAGTCTGTTGCTGCCAAGAAGCAGAGGATGGCCTCGGGCGGCGGAAGACCGGTGGGGCGTAATCAGCAGCCGACGCCCACTGCAACGTCGAGGAGGGAGAATACGCTGGCGGACGATATTGATAGCGTCAATGGCAGACAGGATGAAAGCGAGACGGAGCGAGGGGACGTGATACTGGAGGGCGAGATGAAGGAGCAGAGGGTGTGTATCTCGATATCAAGTATGGAAGTGCCGCTGATGTCACGTAGATACTCTCGCTACATGGGCCTTGCGGTGGAAATCTAGCTGCTGCTTGGTACGACCCGGAAGAGAGAAAGATACAGATATTGGAGGATACTAAAGACACCATGAGCTGGGATTTGGCAGTGCTCTGTGAGTGGCATAGAGCCCGTGATGTCAACGCTGACTCGGATCGTAGTGTTGGAGCAGATCCGACCCACCCTTGTGATCATGAGTAGCAAGAGCCATACTAGTCTCATTGAGAAGGTTGATCTATACCGTAAGTGTTTCTGTCGACAGTCGAATGGTGTGCTGATAAGTGCCGCAGGTGAAGAGAATGAAGCCGAGCTGCTACTCCTCCCATCCCGCTCCTGTTACCCCAAATCCGCCTCAATCTCCCTCGCATCCATCCGCCTGCCCGATCCATCCCGATCCCCCATCGTTGCCCCCGATACTGCAGATCAAACCGAATACGACGGAGAAGGCTTCAGCGCGAGAGGAGAGTGGAAGGAAGCTGGGGCTGGAATGGGAGCGTACAGGCTGAATATGGTCAAGCTCGGATGTTGGGTAAATGTCAATGCGCCCTTGGCTGTAAGAGTCTTTCTTGCTTTAGAGAGCTCTAGCTGATACTGCACGAAGATTGTCGCGGCTGGAGTCCTTGTAGAGCAAATCAAGAAGTGTCGGGCGATGGAGATCATGCCAGGGGAGGAATACTTTTCTGGTCTGGAGTTGACCGCGTTGGAGAGTATGGATCTGTGAGTGGTGACCTGGATGTCTGGGTACAAGCTGATCTTCAGCAGTGAGATGCATATGCAGATCAACAAAGACGCGTTAACGTGAGTCCACGCACTCTGCGATACGTCGACTAACCAATGTGCAGATCTCTGGCCATTTTTGACGTCGAGTCTCACGGCTTCATGTACTCTGACAAGGAGAAGCAAGCGCTGTCAGTGTTCGGTATGTTCATTGCCAACTACCAGCTCATATCGCTTACCGGCTGTATAGGCAAGCTCGACTCATCTGTCACACCCCTCGGCCGCAAACTACTCCACACCTGGCACCTCCGCCCCCTACTCAGCCTCGACGAAATCGCTCATCGCCACGACGCTGTAGCTCTCTTCTCGGCAACAGAGAACGAGTATGTGGTATCGAGCTTGAGGAAGATTATGAAAGGGGTGAGGAACGTACCGGCGAGAGTGACGAGGTTGCAGTCTGGGAGAGGGAGTTATGTGGAGTGGAAGTGTCTTGTGGATGTGAGTGTTGCGGTTATTGAAGCGGAGGGTGCTGATGGGGATAGGCTTTGACAGCGGCATTGGAGATACGGGGAGTCGTCTGCGAATTGTCAACTTCGAGCTTAATTCCTATCGTCGACAAGGTCCGTTTCTTCTACTCACAGAGGAATATCGCTGACGAATGGTAGGTTCGGCATGTCATCACAGACGACTTGGTCGTATTCTGCCAAGACATGAATGCCGTCGTACGCTGCCCATCCCCTGTCTCAAATCATGCGCTGAATTTCATCCGCAGATTGATTGGGATACATCAAGACTAGAAGGTCGAGTAGCTGTACGGCCCGGTATCGACGAAGAGCTCGACGAGTGGAGAGAAGTGTATGCCGGTCTTGACGCTACCCTCGTAAGCACCCATCCTTTTCCCTTTATCGCTCGTGGAAAACCTGACCTCTCAAAGAACCAAGTAGCACGAATGATCTCTCCGCAAGTGCCACCCGGCATCTCCCACAGTATCAACGTAGTCTACCTTCCCCAACTTGGGTATTTGGCGGTGATACAAGCAGAGACGGAGGAGACGCCCGAGATACCCGGATGGGAGAAGAGAGTACGTTCTTCGAAGAGGAGGGTGGTGTAAGCTGATGGGGGCAGTTTCATACGGAGGATAGGTTCTATTACAAGACGAGAGAGATGGAGGATTTGGATGATCATTTTGGGGATTTGGTAACGCTCATGATTGGTACGTTCCACCCCCTCTTCACACTTCATTTGTCAAGCCCTGGGAACTGATAAAGGGTAGGTAAAGAGATAGAGATCGTCCAGCGTTTGACGGAATATCTCAAAGAGTATGAACCGTCCATTCTGAGTACTGTCGAAGTCATCGCCGAGCTTGATTGGTAAGATTCATCTCTCCACACTTGACGTTTTATCAAGCTGATGAGAGCAGCATCCTAGCATTGTCCAAAGCAGCTCGAGACTACGGACTCAAACGGCCGACCATGTCGAATGATCCTGTACTCAAAATCAGGAAAGGCCGGCACATTTTGTATGAGAGCTTGGTACCGCATTATGTGGAGAATGATACGGTGATAGCAGCGGGAGGGAGGGATGATCTGGCTAGTATGGTGAGTGCTTTTCACAGCTGGGGTTCTGGTCGGGCAAGGGCTGATGGGGGAGGTAGATGCTTATTACGGGGGCTAATGGATCTGGCAAATCGGCTTATGGCAAGCAGGTGAGATTTTGCACCACCATTGATCTCGGAGATGAGTGAAAAGCTGGAGCTGATGTGTGGATGTAGGTTGCGCTGATGGCATTCATGGCGCAGATTGGAAGTTTTGTGCCAGCAGAAGAAGCTGTCATTGGTATATGCGACAAAAGTACGCCCTCCCCTCTCCCTCCCTGCCCCGGTTCCTCTCCTCTTCGAAACTAACACTCCACCCAGTATTCACCCGCCTCCAAACGCGCGAATCGTCTTCCCGCCCAGCGTCTGCATTCATGATAGACCTCGGCCAAATCTCTCAGGCGCTCCGGGGCGTGACGGAACGTTCATTGGTGGTGATTGACGAGTTTGGCAAGGGCACGATACCGAGTGATGGGGCGGGTTTGCTGGCGGGGACAATAGAGTTTCTTTTGAGGGGAGTCTGTCCGAGGAGTGTTGTTATGACTCATTTTCAGTGAGTTTTTTTCCTCCGGGCCAGTCTGCGAAAGGAGCGATGGACAGAAGGCTGATGGGGGGTAGTGAGTTGTTTGCGAATAAGATCATCAAGGAGGAAGCGTACCCTGTGAAGTTTTGTCATATGAAGACGATGGTGCTTGAGGGGACTGATCATTTGGAATACTTGTATAAGTGAGTATGCTCCTTGGCACGCAAGATGGATGGCAAGCTGATATTGTTGGAGGCTGGTGCCGTCGATGGATTTGTCGTCTAATGCGGCAGAGTGTGCGTTGAGACATGGGATCCCACCCAACATTGTCGCTCGCGCGAAAACAGTCACGTACGTATCTTATCTTTAAAATGTTCCGGCTGCACGCTAATGAAGGAGTAGTGACCACATATCCCGATTCGACATCTCCTCACTCCTCGACGCGACCCTCACCTCTCAAAACCTCCTCGAAATTACAGCTTCCGAAGAGCTCGCCAAGAAATTTCTAGTGTGGAAGATCGATCCGGAGGAAGGAGGGGAGGAGGGAGTGATGGATGTGTTGAAGGGGATGATTGAAGAGACTGAGAGGGTTATGGAGAGGACAGAGACCGGGGCGGGGACGGGGGCTGAGGTGGGGAGTGAGATTGGGTTTGGGGATGAGACAGAGGAGGAGGGTGATAGTGAGGATGAGACGATCTAGGATGGAAGTCCAAGACTGCAGAGCATGCACCACACGATTCCATTCCCTTCCACGCAGAGGTGTTTGGGGCTGAACCAAACAGGCCGGATACCCTCGGGCTTCGGGTTCCCCGCACCAAGGGCCACTGAACCTGTCTCATCTCTCAGGGCCACATTATTGCAGCATCAACGTTCATTTCATTACATGCTGGATGAGATCCTTACCTTGCCACCCTAGTGGCTGTACTCTTGCGTTGCTCCACCCTGCGTTGTACCCTGCTCTCGGCCCCCGAACCCAGCAGAATGTCGTCATCCCCCGCATCAAACACCCCAAGCGTGTAAGCGGCGCCCCCCGCTGTCCCTGAGCGCGAGTCTGCCGGTGATTGCCGGTCGATCAATCGATTCCAGCGACGTCATTAGGCAGATCTCCACTGAAATCTGGATGGATGGTCTCACCGCACACCTCAAGTCGTCATCGTCGCGGTGGAGGGGGTACGTAATGCCGGTACCTGGCGAGGGCGAGAGGGGTATATAACAGGGGAAGGGAGGCCATTTCTATCTTTCTCCCCATCCACTGCAACTCTTACTCTTCTCACTCCCACACCACCACCACACAAACACCTTATACACAATGTCTGACGCCGTATGTCCACTCCCCCTTTCGATAAAGGACCTTGAGCTGACAATGTTTGTTTAGGGCCGCCAATCTCTCACCGACAAGGCTACTTCTGCCGTCAAGCCCGACTCTGAAAAGTCTTACGTCGAGCAGGCTTCCGACTTTGTCTCTGGCAAGCTCGATGCGTGAGTCTCTTCTCCACCCTCATCCTTGTCCTCATCGAAATCCATACATCCATCCACCCCTTGCCACCCACTATCCTCGTAAACACATGCTGACCCCACTATAGCGTCGCTTCTGCCGTCCAGCCTCAGGAGGAGAAGACCACCACCCAGAAGGTCGGTGACGCCATCTCTGGCGACAACAAGAACCGAGACGTCGTCTAAGACTCTCGCTCTCTTTTAATTTTGATTGAGGGGTCTGTTGTACGAGAATAAAGAAGAATGCAGCATCATATTGGGTTTACTCTTGCGCGTCTTGTTTGTTGAGACGTGGCGAAGTAGGCGGCAGGTGTGGGTTGCATGTGTCGGAGGAAGCTTTATCTTACATGCTTTGGAGCCGTTTGCAGTATGTCTTTCCCATTTCAGGACACACCTCGATCACGGCTGGCCACGTAACTCACGGGTCCATGACCTTGGACATTGGCCTGGGCGTTCAGGTATGTGTCGAGCGCTGCCGAGGCCTGGAAAGGTGTGTTGGGCTGTGGTGATAACGTTATGGGATTTGTGGATGTCGGCATGTCGGAGTATGTCGGATGTGTTCCTTCATTCCTGGGCTCGGCTCTCCTTCCACTTCTTTCTCGGACATTCTTGAAAATAGACACCGGGCGTTTCGTCTAAAAACGACCTGTAGTCATTGTCCAAGCGCTTAGAAAAGTCGCTGGAAAGGCGAAGAACAGACCGACGAGATGCATCGATCCAACAACAAGATCTTCCTGCTCGCTTTACCAAATGACACCCACACACAAACCCGAGAATTGGTTACTCAACAGCACTATCTATCTCATATAACAACCAAGCAAACTACAAGCCAAGAACACGGGACAACAACCCAGCGGTCAGCGCAAAAGAAAGCGCAGATAAGCCTCAACTACTACTTCTTATCAAAGCTCCCAGTCGGCGACCCAGGAGTTTTTACCCCATCCCTCTCACCCTGCGCCAATCTCGGGACACTATCTCGCTCACTACCCGATTCGGAGAGTGCGCCAGAGCCTTCGGGATGACCTTGAGAGGAAGGTTTCTCGTGACCGAGGTCGGAGGAGGAAGAGGCGGAACGAAGGGCTTTTCGGCGGTCACGACGGCGAAGGAGGAGGATGGCTGTCATCCATACGACTAGTCTTCACGTCAGCTCTGGACCTTGGAAAAGATGGATGAAGAATAACATACTAAGCGCAGCATTCAGACAAACCGAATACGTCCACCCCGTCCTCGCTTCCGGGAAATTAACAGTCTTCCACACAAAGTTTGGTACAATAGCTTGCACGACATAGGCAAAATCGTTGGCGGCTGCCACGAGCAGAGCGCGTTTTTCGGTGTCGTCGGAGCAGATTTCGTTGATGAATGTGAGGATGAGAGGACCGGCGCCTTGGCCGATGGAGGAGAACCAGTAGAAGACGAGTGTACCGGTGACGTTGGCGTAGAGGTCGATTTTGAGAGCGACGATGCCAAAGATTATCTTTCCCTCACGTCAGTCCCAATTCCAGCTGATACCACAAGACAAAAAAAAATGCGACACACGGCAATGACAGCGCCAATATAGACGAATATCCACCGATTACCTCTCAAAACACCATCACTCAACCACGCCCAGCTAGCTGCCATAACGACAAAGATGGCAGTCTGGGGTAAGGGAAGCTGGTTGATGTCGCTTGTGCTGAACCGCCTATCGCCGCCGGGGTAAGGCGCAGAGTTGAAGGATTTAAGCCAGTAGCCGATGGGGGCTTGGACGGAGGCGTTGTTCCAGATAACGTACAAGACGGCTGGAAAATACAGTCAGTCCTGAGGAGGGGGCGATGAGGAAGGGCGTCAGATGTACGGAGAAAGTAAGTGTGCCAGGAAAGGAGAAGACGCTTGATCTTTGCTTTGGACCAAGGGGACTTGCCGGCCCGGCCGATCTTGGTCAACCGACTCTTTGCCAAAGCGAATTCCTGAGACCGCCTATTAGCTTTGTGCTCTGAGACATGGCACCCAAGAAGGAAGGGAGAACGCACGTCATCTGTCAACCACCATGTCTTTTTGCCTTGCAAAGGTTGAGTCGGGAAGAAGACGTATCCCATGACAGCCAGAGGGAGAGTGATGATCGCGTCGATGATGAACAGCCCTAGCTTCCCATCAGTCTCCTCACCTTTGATCATTGAGGTGAAGGTCACTGACACCTCCACCCAGCAAGTCCGAGTACCCCATGAAGATTCCTGCTCGCAGCGGCTTGCAAAAGACCCGAGAACATCTGCCCAAGGGAACCGGCGAGCCAAAAGATCATCGCGCGTTTACCGATCTCGGCGGGGGTGTACCAGGAGCCGAGGAGGTAGTGCATGCCTGGATAGAATCCAGACCTATTCCGGGGTCAGTGAGGGTGGGAGAGGGAAGAGAGAAAAAAGGAGGACGTACTCAAAGAGGCCGACGAGGAAGCGGAGGGCGTAGAGAGATTTGTAGGATTTGACACCGTATGATCCGAGTGTGGCGATGCCCCAGCCGAGTTCCAGCTGTATCCTCTCTATCAGCTTCTAGATTCTCGCTCACATGGAGCTACCTACGGAGGGGATGACCCATCTCGGCTCTACCCTCGTCAAAAGCAGATTCGAAGGCAATTGTCCGATGACATATCCCACGGTCCAGATCGAGGTTGAAGTGACGAGCTGGTTGCCGTACATGTTGAGGTCTTCTTTCATACCAGTAAGGAAGGCGTTGCTGACATTGGTTTGATCGAGATTTTTGAGAAAGTAGCCTATCTATCTCGTCATGTCAGCGTATTCCCGGCATCCACTTGGGTAGGGGAAGGAAGAGTACTGACAGAGGCGAATGTGAGAATGAAGGGCGTCAACCTGGCCATATCAGTACGTTCCAGCAACGATAGTACGTGAATAAACTTACCTTGAACAGCAGCTTACGCTCCAACGGCGGTCGGTCGAACGTATCCCATATCTTGCCTTTCCAACTGCTCTTGGGCGGCCCTTCGATAACCTCGCGAGACTCTATATCAACGCGGACCTTTCCCACGGGTTCCTCCACAGACGGCACCGGGTTGGACATCGTGGGCAGTGGATCAGCAGGTCATGGGGCGCTCAGTCAGCTTTGGGTCTCTATACATTTGGTGCATAAGCATGCCAAGAGCCGGCGGAATACGTCGTAGGAACATTATGCCATCTCATCTCTTCAAATCAGTCAGCATGTCTGGGAAAGAAGCGTCGTTGGTTGGATGATGACGTGACGGAGGGGATAAGCACGCCAGATGTATACAATAAGGCACGAGCGTGATAAGATAAAGCATGTGGCGACCTGGCTGATGATTGGATACGTGGTCTTATCTGGGTGGTATGGTCACATGCGGCTTGTCACATGAGGTAAGCCGGTGTAGCTGGACCACCTGGGCTGTTACAAAGTTGCTGTTCGGTGGGCTGAAGCCGTCTCTGGTATAACACCCTTGAGAAGGGCTACTCACGCCCCCTCTTCTTCTCAGGTGCGCCCATCATGATTCGATGCCTTCCTACATTAGCAGAACGTGCTTGCCGAAAGACGCCTCCCATGTCTGATTTCCCATCGCATCCCATTCCTGCTAGTGACATGGTGCAAGTAGGGAGGGCACAACAAAGAGGTACATCGATCCATGTCAAGATCTTCTACCTTCTATCACACTATAATCTCCGAACAATCATGCCAGCCCAAAACAAATCAGCGTTCAATAACAACCAAAGAAAGCAAGTGAAGACCAAATCGAGACCAAAAACAGAAGCTATCATAAAACTCAAACTCGGGGGCAAGTCGCCTCAATACTTCTGATCCAGACTGCCCTTTAACGACCCAGGCGTTTTTGCACCCCCTTCTTCTTCCTTCTCGTTCAACCTAGGTACCCCGTCCCTGTGACTGCTTCCCGACTCGCTCAACGCGCCGGAGCCTTCGAGGTGGTCTTTGCCTTCGAGAGCAGGGGGGTTCTCGGCGCTCTCGGCGCTCTCGGCTCTTCGTCGGTCGCGGCGCAGGAGAAGCAGGATGGCCGTGATCCAAAAGACTGTGATCCCATCAGCTTTCCACCCTTCCAACAAGATACAGAGAAAAGACAGGGACGTACGCAAGACGACATTCAAACTGACCGAATACGTCCACCCCTTTCTCGCTTCCGGGAAATCGACCGTCTTCCACACGAAATTTGGGACGATAGCTTGTACGACATAGGCAAAGTCGTTCGCTGCCCCTACGAGCAAAGCACGCTTCTCGGTGTCGCCGGAACAGATTTCGTTGATGAATGTAAGGATCAAAGGACCGGCGCCTTGGCCGATGGTGGAGAACCAGTAGAAGACGAGTGTACCCGAGACGTTGGCGTAGAGGTCGAGCTTCATACCGATCACGCCAATTATGATCTACCTCTAGGTCAGTCTCCCGTATATCTTCACTTGATTGCGTGCGAGTGGAAGATTGTGACTTACAGAGATGAAAGCACCGATGTATACGAATATCCACCGATTCCCTCTCAAAAAGCCATCACTGAGCCACGCCCAACTAGCAGCCACCACTACAAATATGGCCGTCTGCGGCAAGGGAAGCTGGTTGATATCGCTCGTGGTATACCTCTTATCGCCGCCGGGGTATGGAGAAGAGTTGAAGGATTTGAGAAAGTAGCCGACGGGGGCCTGGGGCCATTGGTTGTTCCAGATGACGTAGAGGAGGGCTATGGGAGTGTCAGTATTCTCAGATGGAGTTAGAAAGGGAAAGGGACGTACGCAAAAAGTAAGTGTGCCAAGAAAGAAGAAGTTTCTTGACTTTCTCCCTAGACCAAGGGCTTTTGCCTGCCCGCCCGATTTTGGTCAACCTCCTCTGCGCTAATGCGAATTCCTATTTTGCTTTCATGAGTTTCCATCAAAGACACAGAAGTGGCATGTTGGGGGAGAAACACGTACCTCGTCGGATAACCACCATGTCTTTTTACCCTGTAGAGGCTGAGGAGGGAAGAAGATGAAGCCGGCGATGGCGAGGGGAAGGGTGATAATTGCGTCGATGATGAACAACCCTATTACCAGTTAGCCCATCTCTTCATCGCAGTGTAAAAGTAAGAAGAGGATGACTTACACCTCCACCCAGCAAGTCCGTGTACCCCATCAAGGTTTCTGCTCGCAGCGGCTTGCAAAAGACCGGAAAACATCTGCCCGAGGGAACCGGCGAGCCAAAAGATCATGGCGCGTTTACCAATTTCGGCAGGGGTGTACCAAGAGCCGAGGAGATAGTGCATGCCGGGGTAGAAACCGGATCTATACAAGCGTTAGTGGAGCTGAGTGTGGAAGCAGAAAGGGCACGTACTCGAAAAGGCCGACGAGAAATCGAAGAGCGTAGAGAGACTTGTAAGACTTGACAGCATAAGACCCGAGCGTGGCGACACCCCAACCCAGTTCGAGCTGCGCATCTATCAGCTTGTATTCCTTCGTCAAAGTAAGGCAACTCACTGCAGGAATAACCCATCTCGGCTCGACTCTCGTCAACAGCAGATTGGAAGGCAGCTGGCCGATGACATAGCCGACGGTCCAGATTGATGTTGAGGTAACGAGCTGGTTGCCGTACATGCCGAGGTCTTCTTTCATCCCCGTCAAGAAGGCGTTGGAGACATTGGTTTGGTCGAGGTTTTTGAGAAAGTAACCAATTGAGGCGAAGGTGAGGATGATAGCGTCGACCTGACCTCATCAGCTTGGATCACATTATGAAAGAGACGACTCACCTTGAACAACAACTTTCGCTCCAGAGGCGGCCTATCAAAAGTGTCCCATATCTTGCCTTTCCAAGTACTTTTCGGGGGCTGTTCAATGACCTCGCGCGACTCGACATCGACGCGGACTTTGCCCGCCGGTTCTTCGACAAACGGGACTGGGTTGGACATCGTTGCTGGGATTGCAGGGGAGCTGACTCAGCCAAACAGACTTTTTATACATACTGGATGAGGTGGCTGAAAAAAGCACAGCCGATGTCTCATCTACGTTATGATTATGCCATCGTCGACAGCCGTTTCTGTAATAAGCTGCGTAAGAAACGCCTTGGATGGTGGCGTGACTGACAAGCACGCAAGATGTATTCAGCCAGGCACCACGCTAGAGGCGGAAAGTTGATAAGATAAGCACAGGCAGCCGGGTCGGGCGATGCTGGGTGCTTTTTTGTGATGGTGTGCTGCTGCCGAAATATCGGCCATCTCCGCGCCTCACGCCATCTTGTCTCGTCATCCGCTGACCCATCTCACTGCGGCCTAGGATATATCCGAAAGATGCATGGCTTATAACCCGGCGCATCTTGTACTTTTCCACAAGCAAACACCACCATGGCACCCATTGCAGTTGACGCCCCCGCCCAGCCCGCCACCACCGGCAAGCCCGTCACCGACGACGACATCACCGCCCTCAAGGCTCGTCTCCAGTCTACCGACCTTTCCAAAGAAAAGGCCGAGCTCGTCTTGCCTCCTGACAACACTATCAAGCGATACCTTAAAGCCGGCATCGACCTCTCCAACGGCTACCCTTACTTCCCTCCCAAGCCCGACTTTGTGCAGGACGTCTATGAGGCGGACAGCAAGCTTGAGAAGGAGGGATGGGTGTATGAGGACCCAGGATTGAGGGCGGATAAGGAAAAAAAGGCTTTGTTTGGCGCTGCGAAGGAAGTGAGGGATCTGACAAAGTGGATTGGTGTAAGTCCTACCTTGAACCGTACGGTAGCAAAGCTGACAAAATTCGAGACCGAGATTGTGGGACTGCAGCTCAAGGATTTGACCGACCAGCAGAAAGATGAGCTCGCCCTCCTCGTTGCTGAGCGAAACGTTGTCTGTAAGTCCCCTTCTCCCTCATTCCAAACGCTGGTCCACTAACACACCCACAGTCTTCCGCGACCAAGACCTCCCCCCTCAGACTCAACAGTCCCTCGGTCTCCACTTTGGCGACGGCGAGATTGAGCGTCACCCCCAGGCAGCCCAAGTTCCTGGTATCGGCGGCGGTGTAACTCTCATCTGGGAGAAGGGTCGCAAGGACGGGCTTCATGCGGGCAAGAGCCACCGTGTACCTTACCCTGGAGGAGGCTTTGGGTGGCATACCGATTTGGTCCACTTGCGTGAGTCTTATCTCTCTTCTGTCTACTTTTGTGGGAAAACGTGCTGATGGAAGATCAGCATTCCCTCCTGGATACACGCACTTGCACCAAGACACCATCCCAGCCGTCGGGGGCGATACGCTCTGGGCTTCGGGGTACGCTGCGTACGACAAGCTCTCGCCAAAGTTTAAGACTCTTATCGATGGTCTCAAGTACGACCCCCCTCTCTCTCATATCCTCGGGCGCGGGCTAACAGAGGGAATAGTGGCATCTACCGATCAGCACACAAGTACAAAGACTCTGCCAACCCCGACGCCGACAGCAAATATGTCACCCGCGTTCATCCGCTTGTCCGAACCCATCCTGTAACCGGGTGGAAAGCTCTATGGAGTGAGTCTTTCTCTCTTCCTCTCCTCTCCTCTCCTCCAAATGCTAAGGGAAGCTGACAAAGAGCACAGTCAACAGAGGAATGACCCTCGCCATCGAAGGCCTCGACAAGCCCGAATCCGACATCCTGCTCAACTATCTCCATGGAGTGTTTGAGCGTAGCACCGATATTCAAGTCCGATGGAACTGGACTCCCGGGACGAGCGCTATCTGGGATAATGTACGTCTACCCTCTCATGATCTGTGGCTTGATGGCTAATGACTCGGTGTTGCAGAGGTCGACTATCCACACGGTTTCGTACGACTATGACGGCGAACGACATGGTACCCGAGTCTCTTCCCTTGGCGAGAAACCTTTCTTTGACCCGGCTTCCAAGTCGAAGGCTGAGGCGCTTGGGCTGAGCGGGTGGGTTGATGGGAAGGACTGGGGAGGTTACTAGTCTGGTGAATGATTAGTTTGGTGAATGCGTTTGGTGAAACAAAAGGAAGAAGAAGATACGATTTGGGTACTGGAGAAGAATGGGGACGAACGGAAAGGAATGTATGAATATCGTGGACTGCTTCTTGGACTGGCTCTCATCCTATGCTACGTTACTTGCAATGGAGCTTGCGATCTCCTGCTTCATTGTCAATCTTTCAGGCAGATGCGTCGAGTTGATGAGAAAACCGCGCCTTTAGCCTTCTCAAACCCTTCCCTACACTGCATCTATGCTGGCCTCTTGCGCTCATGTTCCACCCGGGGTTTTATCTTATCATCATCCCACGTTCCGGCCTCGGTGCCTGACCGACTGCTGAAGACATCTCGCGTGCTCTGTCCGTTGCGCTGTCATCATCCGCATCAACACACTAGCCCGCCCGCATATGAGAGATGGCATGATCCCTTGATGTCGCATATATCCGAGTATGCTCGGGCCGTAGTTTGTCTGCGTTTCAGCGAGTATATAGTCTAATCTGTGGTCATCAACCTGCTCATACGGAAGAAGTACGGTGGCGCGCGCAATGTCGAGTTTGGTACCGTTAGTAGACGAGCCGGTGGGTAAAGTGCAAGTACATGTCGAGACTCGAGAGGTCATTGAAGGGCAGCGAAGGGGTAGCTGGAAAGGCAAGATATGGGATACTTTCGATCGACCGCCTATGGAGAGGAAGCTGCTCTTCAAAGTGAGTACGCGTGTGCTACTTTGGAGCCAAGCTGATGAGGACAGGTCGATGGCATGATCCTCACTTTTGCTTGTGTGAGTCCTTCGATCCCCTACGCCTCGACTCGAGGGACGTGCAGTATGCTGACAGGAAGGGTAGATCGGCTACTTTCTCAAGAACTTGGATCAAACCAACGTCACAAACGCCTACCTCACCGGCATGAAAGAAGACCTCGGCATGTACGGTAATGAGCTAGTCACTTCGACTTCGATCTGGACTGTCGGATATGTCATTGGGCAGCTGCCTTCCAATTTGCTGTTGACCAGGGTGGAACCGAGATGGGTCATACCTTCTGTAAGTGGAATGCCATGAAGCAGAAAACAGGGCTGATGGACGTGAAGCTGGAGCTCGGCTGGGGACTCGCTACGCTCGCATCGTATGGCGTCAAGTCTTGCAAGTCACTCTACATCTTCCGCTTCTTTGTCGGTCTCTTCGAGTACGTCGTCTTCCCCTTCGTCTCCGGATCTCACTGAAAGAGTGCGTAGATCAGGCTTCTACCCCGGTATGCACTACCTCCTCGGATCGTGGTACACCCCAGCCGAAATCGGGAAGCGCGCTATGATCTTTTGGCTTGCTGGGTCGTTGGGGACGATATTGTCGGGTGTTTTGCAAGCTGCTGCGAGTAGGAATCTGGATGGAGTACATGGGCTCGCAGGATGGAGGTGTGAGTATTCTGTTCATTGGAAAGGCGAAGGCGAGGAAAGAGTGCTAATGCGACTTAGGGCTGTTCATCCTCGACGGTATCATCACACTGCCGTTGGCCGTAGCTGGATTCCTCTTCTTTCCTCCTCAACCTCTTGGAGGTAAGAGAACTTGGTGGTTGACTGATGATGTGGGTGCCTTGTCTTCTTGATGATGAAGGCACAGAAGCTCATACCCTTGGTAGGAGTTCCGCCTGGCGCAGACACGGTTGATCAACATTGGCCGGGCCGGCAAAAAACCTTGGACAAGAGCAAGAGTCAACAAGCTTTTCCATTCATGGCATACATATCTCCTCCGTACGTCCCCTTCTTCCTCTCTTCCTCTCAGAGCTGACGCACCACACAGCCGTGTTGTATATCCTTTGGAACAATGCATCCTCCCAGTCGCCTATCGGATACTATCTCAAATCCTTCAACTCCCCACCTTATCCCGGCGGCGACAGGCGGCATTCGACGAGCGATATCAATCAACTACCGTTGCCGCAGACTGCGATCTTTGTAGTGATGGCGGCCAGCTGGGCCTGGATCAGCGACGGATTTTTGAGAGGCAATCGATGGCTGTTTGTGTATATTGGTGCTACCATCGGGGTACGTCCACCCTTCCACATATCCCTGTTGGACTGAGGCTGACTGCTGTGGTAGATAATCGTTGGCATCATCGGTACTAGGATCGACCTCTACGCAAACGTTAACCACACTCTGATCTTCTACTGGTTCTCCCATATCGGGCAAGGTGCCGGCCCTCTTATCCTTACGTTCATCAATGAGATCTGCTCAAACGATACGGAGAAGCGTGCTCTGCTGGTGGCAGGTGCCAACGACTTGGCGTATGTCGTTCAGGCGATCATGCCGAACTTCGTGTGGAAGACTGTAGATTTCCCAGAGGCAAGGAAAGGGTGGACGTATTCGGTAGTGCTGAATGTTGCTCTCAGTATGTCGTTCGGTCTACCCGATCTCTTTGGTACTGAAAGAAGGCTGACTCTGGACTAGTCTTTTGGATGACGCTCGTGCTCTACCTCCTCCGCCGTGATCGCCGGAAAGCCCCTTCCCACCCCGAATCTCAACATGGACTCACAACGACCGATCCTCGCGGAAGGTATGGCGCATTGTCAGACTCGGACAGTTCGAGGGAGAGTGCGCCGTGGCTGGATGCAGATGAAGAAGAAGAGGGGGAGGATACACCTAGATTGCTTGCGAGTCTCGATAAGAGATATTAGAATGTTCTTTCACACATTTACGGTGTTGCTTGTAAATGATCTCTGTTTTGATGTGTTATATACCAATATTGTTTCACTACGATTGACGAGGGTGGTGCTGCTGCTGGGCATTGGAAAGATCGACAGACTTCTGGACCTTGACTTTTACGAAAGATAAATTTGTTATGAAATTATGCAATTGCTTGATGCATCGATGATTGTAAAACGATGAAGGAAAGGGCCTTGATACTAGTCTCCTGACATGATCAATACAAACTCTGGTGCTGACATCACCAGCACAAGCTCGCAAACCCACTGATGCAAACACAAAACAGTCGTGGAAAGCATCTAGCGCCACATATTGCAATACAAGCGACAAGTATCAATACCTCCTTTCTGATTTTTCCTCCAGGGAACCAGGCGTCGCAGTACCTTCTTCTCCGTCATCCGAATTAACATACCCCACTCCCTTCTCGCTGGCGGACTCGCTAGTCGTCCCGGATCCAGATCCTGCAAGCTGGTAAGAGCTTGGTTCGGATGAGGCATCGGCTCTTCGTTTGTCGCGACGGAGGAGGTAGAGAATTGCTGTCATCCAGAAAACTATCTCATCGTCAGCATCACTTCACGACAAGAAGAGAAAGCGACATACTGAGCGCGACATTCAAAGCCATCGAATATGTCCACCCCTTCCTCGCTTCCGGGAAATCCACAGTCTTCCACACAAAGTTTGGTACAATCGCTTGCACCACATATGCCAGATCATTCGCAGCCCCAACGAGAATTGCACGTTTCTCTGTATCTTTTGAGCAGATTTCGTTGATCATTGTGAGGATGAGGGGTCCGGCGCCTTGGCCGATCTGGGATAGGTAGTAGAAGGCGAATGTACCGTGGATGTTGGCGTAGAGGTCGATCTTCATGCCTACGATGCAGACAATGATCTATCCGGGACGTTAGCCGTGCATTGCAGAAAATGATGGGAAGAGCGTACAGAGATGAAGGCACCGAGATATACGAATATCCACCTATTGCCTCTAAAGATACCATCACTCATCCACGCCCAACTCGCGGCTACGACAATAAAGATTGCAGTCTGCGGTAATGGCAGCTGGTTGATGTCTTCTGTCGAAAAGCGTCTATCGCCGCCGGGATAGGGCGAAGAGTTGAATGATTTGAGCCAGTAGCCGATGGCAGTTGTGGGGCATTGGTTGTTCCAGAGGATGTACAGGATGGCTACGGTACGTGTCAGAGTTGACTGGGGGAAGGAGGGAGCTTGTTGAGTGAGGCGGGGATCAGGACGTACGAAGAAAGTAGGTGTGCCATGATGTGAGGAGGCCCTTGACTTTGGTGCGAGTCCAGGGAGCTTTGCCCGCGCGACCAATCTTGGTGAGACGGCGTTGAGCGAGGGAGAATTCCTGATTTGCTATCAGCTCCAAATACTGAGAGAAGTGATATTAACGTACTTCATCAGACAGCCACCAAGTCTTCTTGCCCTGTAGAGGCTGCGTAGGGAAAAAGATGAAGCCAGCCACGGCGAGAGGCAGCGTAATGATCGCATCAATGATAAACAGCCCTATCGTCCATCAGCTCCTTCAAACGTCAGACAAAGATAGAAAGAACCCACATCGCCAACCTTCAAGACCATTCACACCGTCAAGATTCTTACTAGCAGCCGCCTGCAGCAACCCCGAAAACATCGTACCAAGGTGCCCGGCGAGCCAGAAGATGGTGGCGCGTTTACCGATTTCGGCGGGGGTGTACCAGGAGCCGAGGAGGTAGTGCATACCGGGGTAAAAGCCGGATCTGTTCTTATGTCAGCTGGCGGCCAGGGGAAGGAAAGTGAAGAGGACGTACTCGAAGAGACCAACGAGGAAACGGAGTGCATAGAGGGATTTGTAAGATTTGACACCAAAAGACCCCAGCGTAGCGACTCCCCACCCAAGCTCCAACTACTCTCCATCAGCATCCGTCTCTCCATTTCCCAATGGAGTAGGAACTTACAGCAGGAATAACCCATCTCGGCTCCACCCTCGTCAAAAGCAAATTCGAAGGCAACTGCCCAATCACATATCCCACCGTCCAGATGGAAGTGGATGTGATGAGCTGGTTACCGTACATGTTGAGGTCTTCTTTCATGCCGGTGAGGTAGGCGTTTTGGACGTTGGTTTGGTCGAGGTTTTTGAGGAAATAGCCGATCTATTTGTATTTTTGTCAGCTTCTTTCTTTCTTCTCTTCGAAGGGGGCCGAGGGGGGAGGGGCACGTACGGAGGCGAAAGTGAGGATGATAGCGTCCACCTAAAACCATTCTCATCAGCTCGACTTCACATCATCAACAACAACAAGGATAATTACCCACCTTGAACAAAAGTTTCCTCTCCAAAGGCGGTCTATCAAACGTATCCCATATTTTGCCTTTCCAATTACTCTTTGGCGGCTCTTCGATGACTTCGCGCGATTCGACATCTACACGGGCACGGGTTTTGTCCCCTCCTAGGGGTTCTTGGGTGTATGGGGATGGGTTTGACATGGTGGTCGATGCCGAGTTCCGGTTTTGGGATGAGAGAAAGGAAAGAAAGGATGAATGAATGAAGAATAAGAGCGTCAAGGACGAGGAAAATGAGAATGTGTAAACGTTTGCTGGTAATCTCGGCCTAGCCGGCTCACTGCCACCTGGCGGAGAATTGCCCAAGTAATCTCGGCTCAACTGGTCGGTTAATTCCCACCCCTTTGCAATTCTTTTTCTCCTATCAATCATGCCATCTCTTCTGCTCTACAAATTCTTTCTCAGCACAGTGCGGCGGGTGGACACGAAAGAAAACTGAATGACGTGACGTTGACCAAAAAGAGGGAATGAGCACGCAAGATGTTATCAGCGATCCCAGGCACCGGCGGTTACGCGATAAGATAAGCGACGAACTCAGCCGGTCTTGGCCGGTGCTGTGAAATGATTTGAGGGAACGTGGTATTGGCTTGCATCTGCTTATTGCGCTTTGAGATACGTGAATGTGCAGGAAGTAGCGCATGTACAGTATGATAAAGGTTTTGCCTCAATTCATATTTCATTCCAAGCACACCGTCTCTATCTAGATAAACCCAAAATGAAAGAACCATCTAACTCATCCTTCTTCAATACTATAAATCCCTCCAGGGCACAAGCCGTTGCAGAAAGTAAGAAGGAGGGGGTTAAGCCGAAGCAACAACCCCAGCAGCAGCAGATCGCCTAGCAATCCCTTCACTCGCTCGCGCATTCGTTTCCTCCTGTGCCGTCTTGTACTCTCTCCCTTCCTTCCCTCCAGCCCCCGCCCCCGCCCCTCCAGCGGCGGCAAGCAAAGCCCTCTCCTCCAACAAGGCCGGCGGCACATACTCTTCCTCCGGCACCACCCCCGGCTGAGCTTTCAGCGCTCCAAGCTCTTCGACCGTCATGCCGTACTTCTTGGCGATGAGTTCGGGGATCTTGTCGGACGCGGCGATCCATTCGGGGGAATGGCCGGAGATGGGCGGGGCGTGGAAGAGGGGCGCTTCGGCGTTGAGCCATTCGACTGTGGAGGCGACGTAGGCGCGTTCACCGTCTCTGTTCATGAGGTGCGAGTACCGGCCCGAGCCCTTGGTCTTGAGTACTTCTTTATACGCTTGCCACCTAGCGGACTCTGAGGGCAGGCGGGCAGTCCCAGCGAAAACCCGAGCGATCGAGATGGATTGATACTCGAAGAACGAAAATGCCGAGGTATTGATCGACAGCCCGAGGAAAGTGAGAGAGGGGTCGGGGATGTAGAAGACGTCGCGGTAGAGGTTGAGCACGCCGTCTCCGTCGGTTATGATTGGTGTCACTTGTGACTGGGAGGCGGGAGGGGAAGGAGAGGTAAGGGTGTGGTCGTGGTGGTATGAGGGGAGGAAGGGGAAAGAGTACTGGAATCTGATGAAACGTCAGCTCTTGCCGCTTTAGCGGAGACAGAAGAAGACTTACCCGGTGGTAAAGATAATCCCATCAACACCAGTAATAATCCTCCCATCAGTCAACTCTATCTCGGCCTCTTCAATCCCCTTCCCAGCCGGCGGCGGCAAAAACCTTTTAATCTCGGGCACCTGCTCCGCATTAGGCAAGACAAACTGTCTCTGCATCTTGCGCTGCTCCCTATACGCTTTCGGGCCTCGAAGGACGTTTCGCCCGACCAGGTAGAGTTTGGAGGTGTGGGGTGAGAGGTCTTTGGAGATATCGTTGCCGGATGTTCCGATGCCTACGATTAGAACCGTCTGTTTCTTTATCAGCTCTTGCCCTTGCCCATGATAGAGAGAGAGGGGGGACACACCTTGTCTTTGTAAGCGGCAGGGGTGCGGTAGCCTTGGGAATGGATGATCTTGTCAGGCCAGGTGGCGGACCATTCGTCGACACCGGGTATGGCGGGGATGTAAGGCGCATTGTAGTGCCCTGTGGCTACCACAAGTCCATCGAATTCCTAATCTTCATTAGACCTTCCTTCTCTCCTCCTTGAAAGATAAAAAAACTTGCCTCGGTCCAGTACTCTTCCCTCGCCTTGTCTTCACCTTCATCGACGACACGTCGAAGCGTCAAACGCCAGATATCCCCCACTTTCTCAGCGAGCTCGACACGGGTATTGTAGGAGGTGATCTTGTCGAGGCCAAAGTGGAGGGCATAGTCGTGGACGTATGTCGAGATGAGGGTGTGTGAGACGTTGGGCTCTGTACCGGGAGGGTAGGGAAAGTCTTTGAACTGTGGTCTTGTTAGCTTCATACCTAGAAGAGAAGCAGAAAACTTACAGCCATAGTGGTAGTGGGCACATTGTTTGACAAATTCCAGTAGCAAGGGTTCGGTGGGCTGAACAAGGTCCTCTCCTTCTTGCCTGGATCGTCGTAAACGCCTCCTTCCCTTATGACGGGGGTGAAAGCACCCCTGGAAGGCGGCGGCGTGGGCACAGAAAGCGGCAAGACACTATCCGTCTTCCAGTTCCATATCCCCCCAGGCTTGTCTTGTCTCTCAAAAACCCGAACTTGCAAGCCTGCTTCCTGTAGCTGGCGTGCGGCCGGGGTGCCAGATGGGCCGGAGCCGATGACTGCGACGGTGCGGATAGGGCGTGGGAAGGCGTGGTACTCTGCCATCGTCAGTGTATGCTGGGGGAGGGAAGGGCGAATGGCTTACCATGTATTTTAAGCAGGGGAAGGGATAACGTTAGCGGCACGCCATGTTACTGCAGTTGGGCGACGGGGACCATTGCAAATGCTGCCCGCCGGCCATGCCCGTTCCCGGCGAGCCCCGCCGCGCACGTCAAGCTGGTGCCATAATTCTCCATCTCCCTTCGCGTCTCGCACATCTCCGAGCACCGTCTTATTAAGCCATGCATCTCTTTTTTATCTCTGCAAGGACGATGACGGTAACACAGCAGGACAAGCTCAGGATCGCAGTCATAGGCGCAGGCCCCGGCGGGTTGGCAGCGACCATCAACCTCCTCCGACTACCTTTTGTCGAGCTCAGCGTATTCGACCAGGCTACAGAGCTGCGTGAAGTCGGCGCTGTGAGTCTCGATATATATCTCTTGGGCTGAGCTGATAAGATGGCAGGGAATCAGCATCAACCAGAATACTTGGCGACACTTGCAGCTGCTCGGTGCGGCAGAGGCTATTGAGCAGTATACAAAGCGAGGCGATGGTACCAAGATTGCCGGGGAGCAGAGGTATGTCCCTTCTCCCTCTCCTTTGCTTATCAGCTGCTGATAGAGTCAACAGAAATGGTAAAACGGGAGAAGTGCTCAAGAGGACATACCAATCCGTTGACCCCAACAAACCCGCACGGTCTCGTATAGAGCGCTACAAACTCCAACAAGCCCTCCTCCAACAGATCCCCCAAAGCATTATCCAGCTCAACAAGAGACTGGCGTCTATTGATGAATCGAAAAAGGAAGGGGTGGTCTTGACCTTCAAGGATGGGAGTGTGGAGGGGCCGTTTGGGTTGGTGGTGGGTGCTGATGGGATCCGATCTGTACGTCCTTCTCCCCTCTGCCTGTTTCCTGTTTGAGTAAGGCTGATGCAAAGACAGGCGGTAAGACAACACACATTCCCCTCCCACCGCCTATCCTACACCGGCAAAACCGCTTTCCGAACCCTCATCCCCGCCTCCGCCGTCGCCCACATCCCCAACCTCCCCCCCGCATCCACCTTCTGGCACACTGCCAAGACGCATGTTTATACGGATTTTCTGGATGGGGGGTTGTTTGAGATTGCGACGAGGGCGGAGATTGCGAATGATCCGGAGAATGGGCGGGAAAAAGTTAGTTGGGGTCAGAAGGTTGGGAGGGAGGATGTTGTTGGGTATTACGATGTACGTCTTCTTCTTCTTCTTCTTCTCCCTCCTCCTCTTCTCCCCCTGATTTGGGTGGAAGCTTACATAAAGAGTAGAACTACTGCGAGACGATCCGTCAAGTCATCGCCGCCCCTACCGAATGGCTCGAATTCGCCATGTTTGGCGGACCGAGGTTGGAGAGCGTCATTTCGAATGGAAGGATAGCTTTGTTGGGCGATGCTTCTCATCGTACGTCCCCCTCCCCCTTTCTCCTCCTTCGCCTCCCTCTTCCCCCGTCCCCTCTTCGTTCCTGAAGACTGAAGAAGAAGAAGAAGCGTACTGATGAATTGTGTTTGTAGCTCTGTCGGGCGCATTTGGTTCAGGCGCAGCATTCGCATTCGAAGACGCTTACGTCCTCGCTCAAGCTTTATCTTATACCTACCGTCAAACCCAGAGCGGTCAAGGATCCACCAAGGGTGCAGTTGGGGAAGCGTTGGAGTTGTATGATGGGGTGAGGTCGCCGCATTATAAGAACTTGGTACGAACTGTTCTTCTTCCTCTTCCACATCCCTCCTGTCTCCAACTCATCCCTCCTCCATCTCCCCCTCCTCCCCCCAACTTTTCATCTTCCCAAGAGCCCCGAGCTGATAAGAAGGAACAGTATTCAATCCTCAACGCCTTCTCCCAAAACACATTCGCCACAGCAGCTTCTCACCCCCCAGAGGTGGACGAAGATGCGTATATAGCAGAGACGACAAGGCGTAATTGGACGGCGGAGAATGAGTGGATTTATACGTACGACGTCACTGACGTTTGGGCTGGAAAGGTGAGGGAATTGGAGAAGGAGAAGGAGGGGAAAGAGGGGAAAGAGGTGGGAGAGTCGGGGGAGAAGGTGGAAGGGCTGAGCGTTGGGGATGTGCCCAAGGAGAATGTTCTCGCCACGCCGGTGGGCGTGGCTGTTGAAGCTTGAGACATATTAGACTTTCTTTGTTTTGTTTTGTTTTGTTTTGCTTTGTTTTGTTTTGCTTTGTTTTGTTTTGCTTTGTTTTGTTTTGTTTTGGGAATTCTTGGCTGTTTGTTTTGGTGCTCGACTGGTATTGATATAGGTTTGATAGAAGACTCGTTTATGTGTTGGCCAGATATGATAGTCAGAATGTGCGATGCAACTTGTGGTGTTCTTCATTCTTATGTATACATTCAACGTATGTTACCAGCAGCAATCGACAGCCTAGATGTCGTATCTACTTGGCGCCAGTCAGAATGTCATTGAGGAAGAGTATACATATTTCTGAACAATATAAGATGACTATGAAACTTTAATACTTCTCACTTTTCGTGCTTCTTTCTGTCAGCTACTGACGAGGACGACGACAAGCGGAATAGCCTTGTTCAGACGCTATACACCCATACGTATATCAGCTCTCCTACGTCTTGGAGATGTTTGCCTGGAAGATACACTTACCCGGGAAGATAACCCTTCACAGCATTGTTGAACAAGTTGTTGTCGTTCCCATTAGCATCAGGATTGATGTTGAGCTCATAGTCAGCCGGCCAGGAACCGGCGGCCCAGACGGTGAAACCGACAAAGACGTTAGGATGGGTTTTTATGTAGTTGATCTCTTCCCCGAGGCTAGTGGATAGTGTCAGTCAGCCAGCAGAGGCAGTAGTTGGGAGTTCACACTCACTTCTTGACGCAAGATGCCGTGTTGCCGCCACCAGTCTCGGAGATGATTGCCTTCCTCCCGTTCTTGTTAAGCCACCGCTCAAAGTATTGCAAGTTGGCTACCCCGCTGCCATGATATCAGAGATACAATCCCTCGACGGCAAGAGACAGAAGACATGATGACTCACTTGTTGGCACACTCCCTACTGACGCCCGATGGAGGATCGTCGAGGTACTGGTGGGCGTCGATGATGAGCAAAGATTTGTCGTTTCCATGGGCGGGGTCGGTGATTCTCTGTATGACTCCATCAACACCAAGAGAGCATTGCAGGCCAAAAGAAACGTACGAGCATAGCATCAGACTGTCCCGAACCCCAGACACCAACAGCATCGTATACAGTCCCAGGTAGAGCGATAGCCTGAGAAGTAGCACCGGCGGCGCGGATGGCGTTGACGGAGGCTTGTACGGTGGTGGCCCAGGTGTCCATGTTGAGATCGTGAGGCTCGTTCATGATTCCTAAAACAAATCAGCGACAGGACGAGTGGAAGCGATGATGGAGGGGACGTACCGAAGATGACCTTGGGCTCGTTTGCGTACTTCTTGGCGAGAAGAGACCACATACTCGCGAGCTGTTTCTTATCAGCCGACCCCCAGCATACAAGAAGTGTACTCACATCGGCATTGGTAGGTCCACCCTGTCCGACAATCTTTCCATCCCATCGGGCATAATTGTGCAGATCGATCATCGCATACGCTCCCTTGTTCAAGACAGCACGAACGACCTTGTCAAAAGCATTGAAGTAGCCGGTGTTGAAAGATGTGGAAGACCAGGAGGGGGTGATATATTGCCAGCCGAAGGGGATTCGGAAGCTACTCGGGCGATCACGGTCAGCTGAGGTTGGTATTGCTGGCGAGGGAGTTGATTCACGCGTTAGCCCCGTCTGCGACATAATGTGCCACTAGCGAGACATCAGGACATTTGGCTCCTCCTACGGCGGTCTTCTGTCAGCGACTGCAAATGATCACGACAGGTGATTGACGTACCTGTCGCACTGCCATCCTGCTGGATACCAAATTCACACCCCTGTTGGTGTGAGTGTGAGCTGTGGTCAAGATAAGCGAGAAAGCGACGGGCTTACGGCGAGATTGACTCCTCCAAGTCGAGGGAGGGCTCGCTTCTCGACTTGATGAGTAGGAGCAGCCTGAGCCATAGGGGCGAGCAAGCCCGCGAGGGAGAGGTACTTGTACAAAAGCATGGTGTCGCTGTGTGAGCTGAAGGGCAAAGGAAGAGAGACGGGGGACTGCTGCTTGTTTTATACCTGTGTACAGTCATCCCGCACGATCGTCGGGGGGGTACCAAGAACATCTGTTACTAAACGAGAAGAAATGAGCACGTGAACCATCATTTCATTAGAGCAGCGGCGCAGAAGCCGAGCGCCTTTTTCAAGCTTGTTAATCGGAGACAAGCTCTTCGTACGTAAAAAAAGAACGTCAGAGTTTACGGGAATCCGCAATACCACCCGTAAGGAACCAATCCAAAAAAAGGCAGGCAACGTCGAATATGCCCATGTGCAGAAGGCTCAGAAGAATCGATCGTTTAGATCGTATGCGTGGATTGGAAATGCGAGCCAGGCGAGCTCCTGAATGTTTGTTTGGTGGATGCACGTTCAGGCGCATGCGTCGAGCCAAACAGACAAGAAATATGCCGATATCCGGTCCCGCTTTGTTTACTCGGCTATCCGAGCGTCCCTATCGATCGGCCATCCTTACCTGAATATGGCCATTGTTTGATCCGCAGCTTACCCATTGCCCAGTGAAGTCATACAGCTTATCATCCCGTCTCCATGTGGGCTGTCGGTCGATCATGGTCACATCATCCTAGCACCTCACGACACGTTCATGCTACAGAAGACCGAAGAATGATGACACAAATAGGAGACTTGCATGTTCTTTATGATTATCACTTCAAATACTTTCTTCTCACTTGGCCATTATTCGGCTTCGCTTGCGCCGAGCTAGAACTGATTATCAAAGACATAATATGATGTAATCTGGCTCTTGTATAGCAACCGCCTTAAGCACTACAGAGCCCCGTTAGCCATTCTTCTTCCATCCCGACCTGAAAGAGATACGTACCCAGGCAAATAAGGCTTGATAGCGGTGTTGAACAGATCGTTGTCTACCCCGTTCACAGGCGTGATACTGAGCTCATAGTTGGAACCGAACGCGCCAGCAGACCAGATGGTGAAGCCGGCGAAGAGATTAGAGTTGTCCGTGATGTATTTGAGCTCTTGGCCGAGGCTGGGAATGATGTCAGCATGGCCAAGAGAGGAGGACGTGTGAAGGGGACCTACTATTTCTTGCAAGAGTCGGTGTTACCACCGCCGGTCTCGGAGATGATCGCTTTCCTTCCATTCTTTGAGAGCCAAGTGGCAAGCAACTTCAAATCGTCGGTCCCACTGAGGACTTAGGTCAGCTCTTTGCAACAGACGAGGAATACCGCTCGATAAAATCAAAAAGACGATGCTTACTCGTGGGTACATTCGGTGTCGGTGCCAGCAGAGGTAGAGTCCAGGTATATATGAGCGTCGATGAGCAAGAGGGACTTGTCACTCCCGTGCGAGGGGTCTGTCACGGCCTATAGTCTCTTATCAGCATTCAAAGATCAAGCCGCGTCTCAAGAGTAGTGAACATGGAATACCTACGAGCAACGCGTCGTTTTTCCCTCCACCCCATCCACCAACAGCGGTGTAGTCGGTGCCAGGCAAAGCGATAGCTTGTGAGGTGGCGCCGGCGGCTCGGATGGCGTTGACAGAAGTTTGGACGGTGGTCGCCCAGGTGTTGATGTCGAGGTCGTGGGGCTCGTTCATGATACCTGAATGTTCGTTAATATGCTGAAAGGATAAAATGAAAGCAGGGGCGTACCGAAAATGACCTTGTCGTCATTGGCGTACTTTTTGGCGAGAAGTGTCCACATGGCCGCGAGCTACAGTTGCATCAGTTTTCCCGCTCCCAAGAGGAGATTTGAGGGCGCACGTTGTCATCGGTAGGTCCACCCTGCCCGACAATCTGGCCATCCCAACGGGCATAGTTGTGAAGATCGATCATGGCATAAGCGCCGGCATCAAGGACACCGCGGACAAGCTTGTCGTATGCGGAAAAGAAGTCGCTGGAGAGCGAGGGAGAGTCCCAAGAAGGAGTGATATACTGCCAGCCAAAGGGAATCCGGATGCTATGATGCCGTTAGTCTGATGGGACAGATGGAAAGGGAGGGACAGGAGCGCTCACGCGTTGGCACCGTCGTTGACAAAGTGACTGATCTGGCTGCTGTCGGGGCAAGTGGCAGAGCCTTTCGCAGCGCTCTTGTCAGTTCATGAATGTACCTGTCATTGGAGGATACGTACCGTCGACACTACCAGAGGTGTTGATACCGAAATCGCATCCCTACGAAAAGTAAGCAACAAAGACGAGAGAGGAGAGGGACAAACCTACAGCGAGATTGACACCTCCCAATCTGGGGAGGGCACGCTTGGCTGGCTGGCTAGTAGGCACAGCGAAAGCGAGGGGAGCCAGACAAGCGACTAGGGAAAAGTACGTGGGAAAGATCATGGTGTATATGTTCCTTGTCGGAGGGGAAGAACGAGCTCGATGTGCTGCTCTTTATAGATCAGACAAGCGCTGAGACCCTGTGTGAGTACGGGCACGCGAAGATGTGCGATGCACGTGTGGATTGAGATGAGATGCAGGATGGGATGCCGAGCGCCTGTTCATGGAGAACGTAAACAGTGATGTCAGTCACGAGAGTGAAGGCTAGGGGCCTGACGGCCGATGCTTAAAAGATAAGGGATTCGGCCAGGAACGGAGACTGTCAACAAGCAGGCGGTGTGGACCGTGTGTACTGTCGTGACTGGCTCAGGCAAGATGCAAGGTGCACACATCCTGTTAAAGGTCCAAGCGTCCTTTGATGAAGGGGAAAGAGTGGTCAAAGGATTGCCGGGGCCAAGGGCGGTACATGGTTCGCGAGATGCCGCCGATGTTATTGGTGTTATTGGCCGGATGGCGGGCAACAATCAAGGGTGGTGATGTAGGCAAAAAGAAGTACAGGAATGCCGATGCTGTCAAGTGATAAGGAGATAGATCAAAGAAAACAAGAAAAAGATGTCAGTGTTATGGAATGCATGTACGACATGTGGGTATGCATATGGGTAAGCATGTGGACACCGAGCCTGCACCGAGCGCGGGATCAAATTCCGGCAGCACTCGGCTTCCCGAGGTCCCGCCCCCGTCTTCAATTTTGAATCGAGATTCTGGCGATCCCCTTGGCAGAAACGACCTTTACTACCCCATACATATACAGCTCTGCATTCTATCTCCACCTCTAGAGTGACGGGCGACGAGAAACCCCATGCCGGATCGCTCAGCTCATTTGTGACCTCCATAAAGAGTTTGAATGATGTAGTAGCGTCCCAGGAACGAGCGCCTATCGGGCAGCTCGATCAATCGAACGGCATCATGTTGTATATCGACGATTATCCCGCATGCTAGTCCCGAAGTATGGATGTATGTACGTAGAGGCGACGTCGATCCCGTCGTCAGGCAGCATCGACTTCATTGCTGCTTGTTGTTGGCAAGAGTTTGAGATGGAGCCTTCGTCCTTCGTACGGCAGATAGGCGCCCACACTCAACCTTCCGCTGGTACGCTTCCTTCCGCTCTCCGCTGACGCATTGCCTGCCATGGAAATGGTGGCTGGTCGTATGAGTAGAGTACACCCCCAAGAATGATACCAACTTTAGTACCTCGTCCCCAAAGAGACCTCCCCTCTTAGTGCCGCCTCCTCTACAGCTTCTTCTACTTCTTCTGCTTAGGAGTGCGGATCTACCATTATCGTAATACGATATTTTGTATCGTGTATCTTTCTAGTTCGTCGGGTATAAGAAGGGGCTGACCAAAAGTTAGAGGGGTTGAGCAAATGGACAATAAAGACGTAGAATGCAGCAGTCGCCTTTAATTACCAAAACAGATCCTCCAAAACTCGTTCTGATTCAGTGTGGTTGCTGGCACGCACGTCTATGGGACGAGACCTCCGAATAGCCATAAAAGAGTACTCTACTTATGTAGCACCTCCCCAAGTTGACTGACCGGTCCACCTTCCCCTGGTTCACGCTCATACCATTCTTCTATGAGATCATACCGAATATGGATCTGGCCGTGCCATATGTACTGCCTTCAGGAGATGGGGTTGTTTTACTCCCGTATCATAAAGGAAGATTACGCTGTCCTCCGCATAGAAAGAACACCTGAAAAAGAAGCCCGCGAGGGTCCCCTTTAGCTACAGGTCCCAGGAACGGATCCGCTGATCCGCAACAATCTGATCATCCCGGCCCGATCTGATGAACCAATGTGTTCTATGTAGCGAATATCTCTTTGCTCTTTCAGCAGTAGGCTGCCGCGCTCTGTCCACTGCTCAGTGGAGCGGGTATGTAGCGAATATTGATGGGTGATCCCATGCAGGGCATAGATGAGAAACGGCGAATATGCGCTTATTGTACTGTTGTATTGGATTGGGCCCGAGTACTGAAAGAATTACGTTCAATGCGATGCTTTCGCCGATGAGCCGGCCTCAGCGGGCATGGACTTCGTCGGGCCGTCTGTCAGCACATGGCTACCCAGCATCATCGCCCCAGAACTAAGTGCTCTCCCTCGACATAGAGGGAGATTGAGCTGATCCGATCTCTCAAAGTCGTATGTACATGACGACGGCGGGCAAGTTCCAGAACCACTGCAACTTGCGGCCGATGCGGGACCTCGACACTTTCTCTGTTTTTTTGGGGCTTAAGCGCCCACGTCACCCACTCGAGCTCGGCCTTCCGCACTTCATACACGTGTTCATCAGGTTGTCCTCTTTTCTCGCGCTAAGGGCGACAATTCTTCGTCATCAAATACTCTTTCTAGCTTCTGTGCGGGCGAGGGACAGCCTTGGGAGGGGCAGTGTCTCATTATCTCATCACAAGAAGCATTGATGCCCGGACTGAAGAGTCGCTCCATGCTGTGATATGTATTCATCATCCACTTGGCAAGAACCCCGTACCCTCCGGACCAACACCGCATTCTCTCTCCTCGTCCACATATATATACTCCCGCTCATTCAGCTCTCATCCACCCATCCTCTCTTTTCCAGCTCTTATAGTCATATCACCACCACAACAATAACCTTACACACATATTTATAATGCTCGCTATCTTTGCCCTTCTTCCTCTCTTGGCACTCGCATCCGCCTCCCCCATCCAGAAGCGCTACTCGGGCGTCAAGATCAAGTCCGGCCTCGGCGACCACTGCCTCACCCCCCTCTTCGGCCAGTTCCAGGAGGGCACCCCCATCACCACCGCTGGTTGCGCGGACGCCAAGACTTGGGATATCAACCCCGGGTCTGGCAGTGTCCTCCTCCATGGCACGGAGTTTGCTATGGATGCCGGGACTGGGACAGACAACCATGAGATCGTCAAGGTAAACATCACCATCCTTCTACTACCGGCGATACTGATCAAGTACTAGCTTTGGACCTCCTACCCAGGGCTCTTCCAGCAGACCTGGTTTTACACTGACGACAATCGTATTGCCATCACCGGCGGAAACCAGTGCCTCGACGAGACCAGCGCTGGTCCTCAGACTTATGGTACGTGCCCTTCACATTTCACTCCCTCCATCTCAGAAGGGAAAGTTCAATAACACTCTGACAGAGTGCACTCCTTGGAACGATAACCAAGTCTGGCACATTGTCGAGGTCGACACCCCAACCTCTTCCGTCACTTCCTCTATTACCCCCTTGCCGACGGGGAGTGCCAGCGTTTCCGACAACGGAACCGTTACTACCTTCTAGGGTGAGGTGACAGAGCTTTCCCGTAGCTTCACACCCATCGGGGCTGTATGGACTTTTTGTCGTAGCGAAAGAAATGAAGGTTAGGCTAGGAAAGACTGAGCAGCGCATGCATACTTTTGATTTGTACTCACACCCGATTGCTGTAACTTGCCTAGCGGTCCTGAAAGTTGGATTGACTACTTGGCGGGCTGATTTGTATGGAACGCGGCTACTGGCGTATAGATCTTCCATATTCACCACGATCCTGCTTCAAATTCAAACACTGGACCAGGAAACATGATCGCAGCAAACGAGATTCATTCCGCTATCAACCGATTTACTACAAACGATCCACCATCATGCCGTCTCAGCCCCTTTCAAAGAAAACTTTAAGATTTGGATCACGCTTTGGATCCACCGAGAGAGATGGCGACGTCGTCGGAGAGAGTGTAGGTGGAACCATCCGTAGCGTTAGTCCAGGTCTGCGTAAGCAATGTTGTCAGTTTACTGCTCCTTTGCATGATGAATGAGCCAGGGGAACGGAGGGATAAACACTTACGCAGTACACACGGGCTTGAGCTATTGTGATATTAGCACTCGGCCAACGAGGAAGAAAGTAGAGAGGGAGCGTACTAGCGTTGTTGGCTCCGGAAAAGTCCCCGGCTTCAAACAAGACGCCTTTGTATGTGTTGGGAGATCCGACGTCGAAGACGGGGCAGAGGGTTTCGTAGCTACCGCGCTCGTGTCATTCTTCGCAGATGCGCGGGGGAAAGAGAGAGCCTACTTGAATTTGAATTGATCAACAGTCTGGCAATCAGGCTTGTTGACCAACACCCTGTAGTCGGCGGCCAAGACAGGGGAAACAATGAGAGCGAGGGTAGCGAGGACGGTGGCTGACTTGAACATCTTGGTGATTATATCGATTTGGAGGTTATAGAAGTGCGATAGAGAAGGTGAACGAAAGTCAAGTAAAGAGTGATATTATGGAGGACGAGAAGAGAGAATGGATAGGACTGTATATAGCCTTTCGCCGTTAGTCATCTTCGCGGAGTGATTTAGTGTAGACTGACATGTGCGTCATGGACACAGCTTTTGCCTCCGGGGGGTCCGAATCCCGTGCCCGGTCTGGTTGTACTTACGCTTTGTGTCAACTGTTGCTGTTCGTCCTTTCTAATGTAGTCCGTCCTTGGCATCGGGTATGTGTTGTACAGCTGCCTATCATGGGACTGCGCTGCAACGAGTCGGTCATCAAGTCGCGTCGCTCTTTAGCACTGGGTGTAGAGGTCAGCCAAGACGTACATACCTGTACAGTAGACGGTTTGTTTGGTTCCGAGGTCGCTTCCGAGCCTCGGTGTTCATGGCCCCGTTGCGCGTTGTATCAGATCTTAAGAGTTATCGTTCAGACTGCAGATGCATACATGTGTGGAGCGCAGACACCGGAATAATAACATGCATATCTTACATACACGAAAGGTCTCGTCTGTCCCACTCACACCGTACCCCTCGTCGGGACGTCGATTGATGTGGACAACCACCGTCACGAAGCACCCAGCCCCCTAGACATCAATCGTCACGTACAAATGTGTATCTGTGTATAGAAGAGGCCGTCGTCGTTTATTAGATGCCAGAAGTCTTGCCATCCAGTGCTCACCGTCACTCTACGACGTAGTGATTTTATTGGCATGTAGATGGGTGTCGCCGTGCCGGATCACTTCACTTGATTTGAGGTATGCACTCTATAGCTATCGACGAGAGCCCACCATCCCGCAAGTCGCTCCAAAAGGGAAGCATACAAGGAAAGACAAAAGTCCGAAAAGTAAACCAACGCTGGGGATCGAACCCAGAATCTCCCGCTCTACCGAACCCGACCAATTACCAATCCACCTATCCTTTCAAAGAGGGTACGAACACGCCACGTAGAACACTGACCTCGGATATGATTCAAAACACAGTTGAATAACACAAATGGACTTGGTATGTTTAATTGCGGTTATAGGAAGCGGACGCCGTAACCATTTGGCCACGCCGGCTTTTGACGCGCGCGCAGTCATAGTCGCAATATGTCCTCGGACGCCAAAGGGTAAAACTGATGCCCATGGTGTCGGCGGGTAGGGGCAACAAATGTAGCCTGCATGTAGCAGCAGGTAGAGAGTGCATAAGAGTAAGGAGAAATCTTGGTCGAGGTATGAATCAAATCCAAATGCATTGCATCTTCAGATCTTTCGGAGCGGTTTTTTTCTGCGCTACGTAGCGTCCTCGAAAAAAGCCCATCATTCGAATCCTATCCCGGCTTTTGGCTCCGCCCAGTCTACAAGCGATGCAACATCTGATCTAGACGGCAGTACACTTTAAGGAGCAGAGGCTGTTCAACGGCCAGTATTGAACGTAGAAACGCCAACGCTGGCGAGGAATTGATGGGGACGCTAGTTTCGAGCAAGTGCCGCGGGGGTACTCTGGAATCTGTCGTCATGCTGCATTGCTTTGTTGCGGGGGGAGTCGCTGATCGCTGGCTCGACAGGGGGAGTCGTGTACAGCCGTATGAATGCGTCTCGGATGCTGGGATTGCATGAGCTGTGTATGGCAGACCGACACGGCCGATGTCGGAAAGATGCACGCAGGAAGGCATCGCTTCAACGTAATCGTTTCAAAGACAAGTAGCCCTGGCGCATTGGTATGTACGCTTCATGCTATACTTTCTCCTTTCCTCAGCAATGAAAAGCGAATTCGACCTGGATGCTGCGATCCTCTGAGGCATCTGACAACCGAAACCATTAGCAAGCACGGACGCACATAGATCGACTTCGGGGAAATGCACCCTCGGGCCGGGCGATAAGATTGTTGCGGATCTGTGCCTAGCTACCTGGTGCCTGTGAGCGGGCGACATTATAATTTCTTTTCTTTCTCTGCGGGGGAAAGGCGTCATCGTCGAGAATTCTAATTAGCATGTGAGCGGTGGAGTCAGCTGCTTCTTCTGTGGTTGACTACGTGGCTGTGTAAGTGTGGCGGGGCTGAGCTGGGCGGAGAGGGATCTTGAGGAGAGAGATCTGGTCGGTTCTGAGGCGGGGGTAACCAGGGGCAAAGACCAGGCAGCCTGAGGAGAGTTTGAAACTGCCAGAAACCTATAGCCAAATAATGTCTTGCGTCCCGGTTGATCTCAGCTCGGGCTGTACTTGACTGCATAATAATAGATGCAACTAGCACAGCGCAGAAGTAGAGTTTGAAGTTATGTGTGCATGCCTCTCATATAAACTTTCCAGACTTGGTGACTTGATTGCAAACGTACTTTCCTTTTCCCTAAGACTATGACCGCCTCACGTTCTCCACCTCATACTACCTTGCTTACTTTCGATTGAGATTATAGGGCACGAAACGAACGAGGCATGCACTGGAAATGTCCTTGAAGATGACCAACTCAGCTCGAGAAGGCGAGGAGATTAGGAGCTCCAAGCGACGCAAGTCCTGGAAGGAGTAGCGCTCGAGGAAGAGGAGGAGGGGGTACTACCACCACTTTCGATGATGTTCCAGACTAGCACATCGTGTCAGCAAACTCATGCAACGAGAGGAGAAGGGAACGTACCTTGGTTGGTGTTGTAAGGAGTGCAAGCGTAGCTATGACTCAAGTCAGCTTTTGTTCCATTATGTATGAGTTAGAGAAGGAGAGATGAACGTACGTCTGAGGTCCATTGTCGCCTTCGTCGAGACACTGGTTACCGCCAGTGATCGCAATACGCTTGTCATCAGTGAGGAACCATGTCTGCTGGAAGACACCGGGGTAGGATTGCCAGATCTGCATAGCGCGTCAGCGTCTACTTACAGGAGCAGCAAGAGATTCAAGGAGCGTGGAAGAGTAGGAGAGAAGACATACCTTGACACCCTCATTGTTGTCCTTGCCAGTACCAGCGTCGAGAACAAAGTTGGTGCCAGACAGCTTGACGCTCCCGGACCCGGGGTTGATGTCCCAAGTCTTGGCCTTGTCACAAGCGACAGAGACGACCCAGACACCGTTGGAGTTAGTGGCGCTGTTGGGGGAGAGACATTTGCCGTCCTTGTAGGACTGGATCTTGACGCCATTGTAGCGCTTGGCGAGGGGGGAGGCGGAGGCGGGGGTGAGGAAGGAGAGGGCGAGGAGGGGGACAGTAAAGAAGGTGGAAAAGAGCATTGTTGTTTGGGTTGGCTGGCTTGGTGGTGGTGGTGTGTAGTGAGTGATGAAGAGACGGGGAGACGGAAGGGAGATTAGGGGGCTTATATACCTTTGCTGGCGAGCGTCCGACAGCGTATACCAGTGCAAGAAGAGGGCAAAAGCACATGACTCTCCACCCCCTTCCCGTTTCACACAGCCTCCAAGAATGCGAGAATGCATAGCCGGCTGTAAATGACGATGGTTATGAGAGACCTGAAGCAGATATTGCCTTATTCGGCGAAAGTGGACTGTCAGCTGTTGAAGCAGTTTGTAGAAAAGCGGTGATGAAGAAACGTATGCGACGGACTTGCATACTACAACAGCGGCCGAAGGATGCGAGCCTTGGCAATGGAAGAGGCGCCGGATTTACCCATCGGGAGGATGGACGGAGAGGTATCGATGATCGACAGAGCCGGAGATGGGAGCGGTCCTTTGAACGCGGCCGGGCAATGGTCGTATTCTCGTACGCAAGCCTCTGCATGCTCTTGCACTGCAGTCCCGCGGAGACAGCCCGAGATTTAGCAATGATATGGGCTCTGGCCATTATGCCGAATCCTCGGGCATCCCACGTTCATTCGGAGTACGCGTACGGTCTTCCTCTCAATTGCCCATGTTTCAATCGAACGTTGTTGGAAAAAGGTCTACAAACAAACGTGCCTGATATCGGGAATGAGAGGTCAACATGCCGGCCTGAAAAACAGATGCCGTTTCGGAGCAGGCACATGGTACGCAAAAGGACAGAGTTTGAGTGTAAGAGGGTGGTGATCACAAGAGAAGCCGAATTGGTATATCCGAACCCTAAATAACATCGTTCAGATCTCTATGAGGAGGCGTGGGCTCAGGCTTATACCTGGCCACAAGTGGTATTCCTATCCTGCGAGGACGTGGTAGAAGTACCACGCATCCCGGACGAAACACTGAATCAATGCGGAGAGCAGAAGCCAAACGACTCACCAATGCACTGCACACGGTACATGCATATCTTACTCGCTTCCTGTCGTACAGCAGCACGAGCTATCGACCGTGATGCTCATGGAGTCTTGAGCTTCGTATGTATGGTTCAAGCTGTGCCCTTACATAGATCCCTAGAGGCACCCGTATCCAGCATACGAATCCACCAGATCGTCGGCCATGGATCCGTCGCGTCAGCTGATAAATGACTGCGTACCTGGCAGTGGACCTCCACTCTCCGCGTGCTGTCGTCGTCCTTCTGGTTTTACCCAGTCCCGAGAGCAACTCATGATCTCGACTTTCGGGGAATGAAAGAGGCTCGGGCTAGCCGGAATGACCGGAGGGTGTAACGTTCTGGACTATCGCCCGTTTGACTATCTTCGGGCGTCCAAGACACAGCAGTCATCAAGGTATTCTTCATTCGACCTTGGAGGACGCTTCCCACGTACAAGTGCCACCACTCACTGTCTGAAGATCTGCATATCACTTCCGTCGGTCGCAGACTTGAAGAGACGGGAAGATTACTGCTGTCTATCTCGGGTGTTGATTCTTTTCCACTTCGGTCCATATCCACCACCTGCACTGCTCGTCATTAATGCACCTTGTTTGGGGATATAATCGTCTTTGTAGCAGTTCTTTGGGTTTGAGTGCTCCCCAAAGCTTTGTCTGTATGTCCTCTCAACGAGGACGGGGCGCGAACGATACATTTCACAAGAACATTGAGAGGCTACGCAATACAAGCACTGCAACCGTCACCTCTTCGTAGAATCTCCGACATTACCAATACTAATCATTCCAAGTGCCCAGTCTTCTTCCCGCGCCCGGCCCAGTACCCTCTAGTTTTTTACCTTCTGGCTCCACATACCCATAGCTCACTGCTAAGCTCCGCACGTCACTTTCGAAAGCTTGCCTCTTTGCGTGTATGCGGCGGCGTTCCAAGACGTCGGGCCCGAGGTCACGTGCCATGTTGAAAGATGGGGCGGCGCTTTCCGAAAAGGAAGAGGCAGGACCGGAATTGTTGTATATGCTCACTTTGAGGCGGAGGGATGATGGGGAAGAGGAGAAGTGGGATGATGAAGGGCGGGATGCGCCTGGGGCCCACGATGAGACATAGGTTGAAGCCGTTTTTTTGTTGTAGTCGGCTCGAGAGCTAAGGGCCCTAGGTTCACGTCAGCGTTATGATACTCTTGTAGTGACTGACACCTACTCGGACAAGACAGACGTCACGATCGAGACGATATCGTCCGACGCCGTGTTGGAGCTTTTCGATGATTGACCGTATGATGGTCTGGAGGAAGAAAAGGCAGAAGACCAGGGACCATTACTCGGCGTCACACTACGTTTCAGGATTCCCCTTGGCCCCTCCTGCTGTCCAGCAGTAGGCGGAATTTGAGGCTGACTCCAAACCGAAGAATTCCGCGATCGCATCCTTGGGGCGCTCGATTGAGAAGATCCAGAGACGTAGTGGTTGGCTGTTGGCGCGATACTAGCGGGCCAGGCATTTGACGATAGCCCGAGGTCCGCTTGTTGATCGACCCAGTCTTCTATGGACTGAGCAGCGGTATTGGAGTTGTCTGACTCTGAAGATGAAGATGAAGAGGAGGAGTCGTGGTGGGAAGAGCGGACGTGGAAGTGGATGTTGTCTGATGGCGGTCGTGAGGAGCGGCGGGAGGATTCGTATGATTGGGAGTACGGTCTCGACTCTGTACCGGATATCATATCATTATCACCCCAGCGCGTATTAGGATGGGACCGACCTCGTGTATACATGTCGCTCAACCCACTCAACCGATCCGCGACAGAACTCGCCTTGGCAGATGCAAACGACGCCAACCCCGAGCGCCAGCCCCCTCTTTCCCTCGCAGGTTGCGCAATCTCAATCCGGTCGACGAGACTTGGAGAATGTGATGATGTGAAGCCGTTTTGGAAAGAGGCGCGAGAGGATGGGGGAAGTGTTGTGGTCATGGTGGTGGAGCCGGCGGCTTCATCAGCCCAGCGGAGCGTCTTACCGGGCGCCATGGTGTGTGAGTTTTGGAGAGTGCGTGGATTTATCGACGATTGAATGTTGTGACAATGACCAGGTATATGAGGTGGGTTGGGTGGATCAGAGTAGTGTTGGGTCACGGGATATGGCTGGTGAGGATGGGGAGATGAAATAAGATGAGATGAGATGGAGAGATGGGAATTCAAGCTGGGTCGTCGTCAAATCCTCCATCATTTCCTGAGAGGCTTCAGGTCTCCTTTGACGATCACTGTACAGTGACGTACCAAGATGATGTTGAAACATGTGAGAGACTGGTGTCCTTTGATATCTCCTTTACAAAGACGCTATCCTCATGGATCTTCTAGACGGGAGAAGGTCTATTCTGAGTCAGTTGGGAGATTGAACGAATAGGTAAACAGTGATGAGGGAGAGGTGAGGTGTATGTCATGACTATGAACATAGCGTCGTATCCTCTATCGTGTATCGTTTGTACCTCTGTGCCCTCCCTATGCGAATTGATATGCAAATGTATACACTCAGAGACCCTCCAGTCCACCTACGACACTCTTCACTTTCGTCAAAACCTCATCCCACTCTCCTTGAGGGTTCGAAAGCCAAGTGATAGCCCCTCCCGCTCCTATACTAAGTCCTGCGAGTCTTCATCAGCTTTCCCGCTCCCTCTTTCTCTTCATCTTCACGTTGATGACATGCGAGAGAGACTTACGATCACCTTGCCGAACAATAGTCCTAATAACCACACTCAAATCCACAACCCCATCCACCCCCACATACCCCAACGCCCCCGAATACACTCCCCTCTTCTTACCCTTCTCGAACCCGTCCAAGAGCTGGACACTCCGGAGTTTGGGCGCGCCAGTCATACTGCCCGGTGGGAAACAGCGTGCGATCGCTTCCATCTCCCCGCCACCACCACCTGGGCTGGCTGTGGAAGGCGAAGGGGGATAGAGTTTGCCGCGGACGGTGGTGACGAGGTTGTGCACGCCATATGATTCGAGCGCGATGAGTTTCGGAACGGAGAGGGAGGAGGGGAGACATGGCGGGAGGAGGTCGGATCGGATCAGGTCCACGATCTGCATTCTCATAATCAGCCGAGTCGTTCTCGTGGATGACAAAGATGGGTGAAGAGAACGTACCATGAGGTTCTCAGCGCGTTCCTTGATATCCTCCTGCAACTCCCTCCCCCTCCTCTCATCCTCTTCCCTCCCCACCCTCACACACGCTTCCCCAACATCCCCTCCTTCCCGCCGTACAGCACCCCCACATCCGCTGCCAGGCTGACAAACACATTCTTTCCCGATCTTGATTCTTGCCCGCGTACCTTTGATCGGCATCATCTCCACCTCCCGTTTGGAGGATATCGAGAGGAAGCGTTCGGGGGAGGAAGAGAGGATCGTTAGGCCTTTCGCAGGCTTCGCTTGGTAGGCGGTGGAGCAAGACGAAGGGGAAGGAGAGGGGGAGGGGGAGGTAAGGGTCGGGAAGTGCATATACGCCGAATAGTAAGCGGGGTTGAATTTCCGGAGATGCAGGTACATCGCAAAAAGCTCATCGTCCCGCTTCCCCTCCTTCTCATGCTCGCGTTGCTGCTCGCTAGCATCCTCTCCTGTAGGTCCTGTAGAAGTACAAGGAGGCAACCACCCCTCAAAACTCGTAGTCAACGTCAACTCATAAGACTCGCCTTGGCGGATGGCTTCGCGGCAGTGTTCGATCGAGGATTTGTAGGCCGAGCCGGGGGAGGTGGGGTGGAATGGCGGGAAGGCGGGGGGGTTTGGTGCTTTAGGTGCCGGTGCCGGGGGTTGGACGGGGGCTTGGGCGGGGAGGGAGGTGATGGGGAGGGGGATGGGGAGGGAGATGGTGGAGAGGAGAGGGCGGTCGAAATGCGTTCGAGATGCGTTTCCCACTGTGCGGCCGAAAGTCCAAACTCCACCCCCTGCTTCCTGAGCCACCCCTCCAACCCCCTTCCCCCTCCCGCTCCCTCTCCCCATCCCTCTCTCTCTGCCCCATCTCCACTCTCCTCTCTCAGTATCCCTCTAGCGATCCACTCCCCTCCAGGCGTCCTCTGCAAAACCCCATCCACCCATGCCCAACAAGCGTCCACCTCTTCCTGCTCTCCTTCGGCTTGGGCAGTGATCGCGCTGAGAGAGGTGGGAGGACGGCGAAGATAGCCGGGGAGAGATTCTTCTTTCATCTCATACGCGAAGAATCCGGACCATCCTCCTTTCCAAACGTCTTTCTCTCCCTCCCCCTCCTCCTCCTCTGATGATGATGCATCGGAGGAGGAGGCGGAGGCGAATAGGGAGGATGATAAAGCAGTTTGGAGGTCTGCAAAAGCTTGCCAGAACGTAGCCCCATCCTCCAACACGTACGTCTCTACCGCCAACCCTTTACGATGCAGCCTCACCGCCCTCGTCTCCAGGGAATACGTCAAGAGAAATGAGGGGGTTGCGAGGGATGATGTGGTGGGGCGGAGGGGTGTTTGGCCGTCTAGCCATATTTCGCCTATGCCGCTTTCGTTAATTTTGTTAGGGGGTGAAGGCGAGCGGATGAAACGGTTGAAGATGTCGTCTGTTTTTTGTTCCTGGCCTGTTGAGCCGAAAGGATGGGATACCAGGCTTAGCCTCGGCAAAGGGTTGTGGGAGGGGTGCGCAGGGGGGTTGGATGTGGAAGGGTGGATGCGGTATGAGCAAGAGGCGAGTATGGGCGGTATAATAGGCGGGTAGGACGCCGGGCTCTCATGATGGGCATGGACAGCGGAGAGGAAAGAGAGCAAGAGTGGGGAGCCTTTCGTTGATGATATAGACTATACCATGTGAGCTATGTCAGGCATAATGAAACGGAGGTGAGGGACGTACTTCGGGGTGATATTGGACGCCCCAGATGGGCAGCGTCTTGTGCCGAAGACCTTGGATGGTACTAGGACGGTCGGGCGTGGGGACGGACCATGCTGTCACTTCAAGCTCTTCGGGCAGTGCTTCGCCCTCCGTTAGACGGCTTCCGATGAAGTTCAGAGAAGGACTTACAAGAAGGATCGACAGCCAGACTGTTATATACCACCACATCGAAACTGTCCTTTTGCTGTTCCGCTGGAGCCCATAGAGGGGAAGCGAATAGCCCGAGAGGTGGTTGGACGGGGGCGATGGGGATGACGTGGCCGTGGGTGATTTTGGGGGTGTTGATGATCTGCCAATATGGTTAACGAAAGCCCATGATTAGAGCGGGGGAATACCCACTTTACCGCCGAAGGCGTAACCGATGGCTTGGTGGCCGAGACAGATACCCAGGATTGGGACGGGATGTAATCGCAAGAGGTCTAGGGCAAAGCCAATATCCTTTATGGGTGTCAGCGATGCAGCAGAGACTTGGCAGCAGGGACTTGGGAAAGCCGCTTACCGCTGGGTTCTCGGGCCGTCCTGGTCCAGGGGAAAGGATGACACAGTCGATATTCGGTAATACCTTTTTCTGGAATTCTTCCCTACGCTCCCATCAATCCGTTATCTTTCCACAGCACACTCAAGCGTACCAGGTGTACTTGTCGGCTTTGATAATGATGACGTTGTTCAAGACCTCTTCATCGGTATAAGTCTTGGCCAAGAGGGTGACGATGTTATTTGTATCTGCCTTCGTCAGCGCTGCCTCCTTGATGTTGGACGTACAAGAGTCATAGTAGTCGAGGATGACCACGCGGGGGAGAGGCGGGACTGCCATGGGATGGAATGCTGGGGGAGTATAGCGAGTGGTCGGATTTGGAGGAAAAAGTCAAAGTCGGCGTGGACAAGCAGGTAATCGAGATCTGTTCCTCTGTTCCTGGGACCTGGGCTATGTCGGCGGGCCTCCGGCTTTTATTTGGTCCGCCGTTAGCCGCGCTCTTGCATCTATGCTTTCGAGCAACTTTCGAGTAATCTACAGCAAGACAGCAGGAGGCAATGGCCAGCTCGGACCACAACGGGACAGCCCAAACCACAGAAATCCTCATCTCAGAAGAAAAGCGTCAACTCCACGATCAAGCCGAAATGGCCGCCTTTGCTCTCAAAGCTCAATTACGACGCAACATGCTCAAGACCCTCAAGGGTATCCCGAGCGAGGAAATTCAGAGACAGTGTAAGCTCTCCCTCTTGAGACTGGGGTACCAGTATCTGACACAAGGATAACAGCACAACAAGTCTTTAGATTGCTTCTCGACGAGCCATTCTTCAAACGGGCCAATAACGTCGGGTGCTATCTGAGTATGAAGAAAGGCGAGCTTCAGACAGACGGGATCGTAGACCATCTCTTACGGCGAGGTCAGTCCCACCCCCCTTCTTTCAACCCAGACACCGCACTGACGACGAGACAGGCTCATCACTATACACCCCCTACATCCCCGCCCCTCCAAAACACTCTCACAACCCCTCAGCACCCTCACCCTCCTCCCCCGCACCGGAAGAGGATATGAGGATGCTTCGGCTGTATTCGAAAGACGATCTGGAACGATGTCCGGAGGATAGATGGGGTATTGTGGATCCGGGGTTGGAGAGAAAATATGGGGAGGGCGGGGTGAGGGAAGATGGTATGTCGCTTGCTTGCGGGTGAGGGGTGAAGTGGGGTGAATGGAGGAGCAGGATACTGATGCGGGTGCTAGTGATGAGTGCCAACGCGCCAGGTCTCGACCTAATCCTAATTCCCGGAGTAGCTTTTGACCAAGAATGTAACCGAGTAAGCCCTCTCTCTCACTCTCTCTCTCTCTCCAGTCTCCCCGTCTCCCTGTCGCTCTATTGCCCTTACATTCGATGTTTAGAACGGGAGCATAGCGCTGACTATGGTTACAGCTCGGAAGAGGAAAAGCCTATTACGACCGTTTCCTCGAACAATACACGTCTTCCAACAAACCTCGTCCCCTCCTCGGTTCGTCAATCTCCCACCCTATTTCCTCTATAGACTCCATCCCAGAGGACGGTGCTTGTCCTTGAGATGAGAAGGCTAATACTATATACTGTGGTAGTCGCCCTAGCGCTCTTGCCCCAGATCCTTCCACCATCGGAGAGGGTACCGACGACAGAACACGATTTCACCCTAGACGCCGTCGTCTCGCCTGAAGGTCTGGTGTGGGGACGTCCGGAGAGCTTTGAGAGAGCCATGTCTATGGTAAGGCGGGGACGATGATGGGGAGCGTTTTGGGGATGGAGAGGAGTGGGAGAGTGGAAGAGTGGAGGGGTGGGAGAGTGGAGGGGTGGGAGAGTGGGAGAGTGGGAGAGTGGGAGAGTGGAAGAGTGGGAGAGTGGGAGAGTGGGAGAGTGGGAGAGTGGGAGAGTGGGAGACGAAGGGTGGTGGAGCCGGAATGTAAGATACGATGTGCGGGCAGGCGAGATGGATCAACATTTCTACAGGACATACATGAAACCACCTATAACCCCACCCTCATTATCTTCCAACATACAAAAAGCCAACGATCGACCGACCGCATCTCAAAAGCTACTTCTCTCAAGTTCTACGCGAAAGACCCTCCCAAAGAATTGACGAGCTCCCGGGTGACGGCAAAGACAGTTCCATTCGGGTTGGTATAAGTCTAATGGGTCTTGAGGTCAGCCTATTGTACGGTAGAGTACAGGTGGTGGCTGGGAGGGGGCGAGAGGAGGATAGTCATCGGGCATGGATGTCGGTGTGGGATATCGACGGAAGAAGTGAACGAGGGGGAATGAGAGGGTGAGTTGAACGTACGCAATAAACAAGGGCTTTAGCTATAGACTATCAGTCAGCTCTGCTCACTCCTCTTCTTCTTCCTCTCTCTCCCCCTTTCTCCTCCTTTTTCACACCGACCAAGGAACCGAGCATAAGGAACAACCACTCACAGTCCGTATTCTGCCCCTGCCAATCACCCGGCACAAAGAAGGTAGACCTATGGTTGGCGTCGGTGTTGTTGGTTGGGTTGAAGAATGGGCATTGGGTTTTGAAGCTGCACACGTCGGTTCTCGAGTCAGTTTCTGTCTCACTTTTTTTCCGAGAAGGCTGAGAAGGCGGAAGAGGAAGATGATTGGGAAGCTGAAGGGAGGAAAGAGGGAAGAGGGAAGAGGGAAGAGGGAAGAGGGAAGAGGAAAGGGACGTACGAAATTTTGAACGACTCGATCGACCCGGAACCAGGCTTGTTGGCCAAAAGCCTGTAGTCGATGGCGGAGACGGGGGAAGTACTAGCGGTGAGGGCGAGGAGGGTGGTGGTGAAGAGTGCGGGGGCGTTGAAGAGCATTCTGGTGACGGCAGGTTGTAAAGCAGGTGACAAGAAGAAGTGAAGGAATGAATTAAGGTGGGGGGTGAAATTGCCGAGTGCGTGTGGGGGTTTTATATGGATTTGGCACGAGCACAGCGCGGTGTGGATCTTTGTATGGCGGGCATTGTCACACTGGTCTGGACTTTGCTACCGCTGGCCGATATTCAAAACCATATATGATACCTTTGCCTCGCTCTTTCAGACAAGTCCACATGACGCCGAATAACAGCCGCCCTTCGTTCCAATCTATGAAACCTTTACCATACATGTGCAGCACCCCTCGTCTAGGTGACGAGAACCTCTGTAGACAAATTGACGATCTGACGACGATCTACTCCGTGAGGGCATAGAGAGTCCCATTGTCGGCCTTGTGGACGTGCAAGTAAGCCTCGAATCTCTCGAGCGAGATCGAGCGCAAGGTGAAATGATGGTCGAGGTGGTGACGTATTCTGGTAGTAGTAGTCAGATGGAGTCCGGTCTTCGGGTATGTGTGGTAGCTTTTGAGAAAATTCTGGTCCGGCCGAGGGGAGTCCGTCAGTGGGCCATGATGGGGGTCGAGAGAAGGGGCGAGGAAGGGGACATATAGCTGTACAAAGAGCGCGCGGACTGGAGGGCTACTAGGGCCAACAGCTTGAAGCTATCTCATTCGTGGGGATCAAGGCCTGCGGCGGCAGAGGAGACGACTGTACCGCCCTGACGCGCCGCCCTCAGGGCGGTGAGGGAGAGGATGGATTCGAGCATGGTGCTTGATTGCTTCTTGGGCTGAAGCGTGGTGGTTGGTGGGATAAGAAGTGGACAATAGGGTGTGTATGGCCATGCGCGTCGCGTGTCTTATATGTACTTCTCTCGAATGGTGGATGGTGTTGCTTGCTCTCTACGAAGCAGGACGTCTTATACATACTCTAAGGAGAAAGGGCGGGGCGGACAAACAACAAACAAGTGACAGCCCCGGCCATCCGAGTTCCGACTCACTTCCACGTGCGCCGCGTACGTATTCCGTGCCGCGCTAGGCAACCTAAAGTAAGTCCGTCTCCGGTGCATAACAGCCCATGCTGCCCACAACTCACGTTACCACAATAATCCCAGGATTGAGGCCACACTAGTAGCTTATTGAAATGCAAACACGGCGCGATCGTACCATGTCTGCTACCGACATCTGTACAAGTACATAAAGCCGTCCAATCTTTCGATCTTTCCATCTTACTACTCCACCACGACCTACCCCGCCATGTTCAAATCCATCTTCACTCTTACAGCCCTCGCCCTCCTCGGCACCTCCCTCCTCGTCTCTGCCCAATCAGACGCCTCCAACACCACCGACACTTACGACCACAGCAACCACACTCTCGGTGGGGAGACTGGTACTACACGCGAGTCCAGGCTCGCCGACATTCCTGTTTATGCCCGCAACTATACGCGCGTGTCGCAGAAGCCAGAGAATGATGATATAGAACATTACATCAACCAGTACGTCTCTACCGGCTCTTCTTGGAAAGAGGGATACTGACGCGTCGGTGGGATAGGTTTGTATCTACCTGTCCGGAGTACCAGGTCAAGAATCTCACCACTGAGGTGAACTCTGGCTTGGGTGAGCGTGGGGATTGGGATGGTAACAATGAGGATAGTACGTCTTTCTTTCTTTCTATTATAGGGAGATCTGGACAGGGCTGACGGATGGCTGTAGCTCAAGCGCTTGTTTACTGTGTACGTCGCTTTACTCTCGTCTCTGTCTTCGCCCCTACCCCGTCGCCATATCCTTCTTTCCTTTTTTATCGTCGCTTCTCTTCTCTATTCGTCCATCCTCCAGCCTTCAAACCGATGCTCTAACCTCAGATCCTCGCTGACCTTCACTCATAGCTCCGCACCGACGACAACGACAACGTCGTCGACAGCTTTACCGAGGAAATCGTCTCGCAACTCGGTGGCACCATCATCGGCTGAGCACTGTACTCAGGAGTCTGAATTGGTGAGGGAGAAAGTATACATGACAACAGTATAGTATTGAATGTAGTGATAGTAAATAGCAATGTCAATCTTCCGCTATCGTATCAACCGGGTTGAGAGAAAGATGTAGTGCAGAATTGAAAGTATCGAAGAATGGTATGAATATGTAAGACAGTTTCAGGTATTGCATGGTAGGCATCAAAGCCATTGATTACAGGTACGGGTACGCGTAAGGGTACAGAACGTTGCTCAGGCGATAGAACCACCGAGAGACTCGACGAGCTCGCGGGTGACGGCGTACACGCTCCCATCTGCGGCGTTGTAGGTCTGCGACGAGGTATTTTGATAAGTGCTTGCAAAAGCGAGGAAGAAAGGGAGAAGGTGACGTACACAGAACACGAGCGCTTGAGCTACCAATCGATGTCAGCCAGCTCGAAACATCCAAGGTGGGAAGAGTGAAGACGGTATTTACTATCAGTATTCTTGCCTTGGAAATCACCAGCACGGAAAAATGTCGTCCTAGCGCCGTCGGGGTTGGAAGTGTCGAAGATAGGGCAGGTGGTTTCAAAGCTATTACTCCCGATAGTAGGACCGGTCAGTATCTCGAGGACTCTTAGCATTGTAGGAGGGAGGGGAAGGAAGGGGACGCACGAGGCTTGGAATTGGGCGATAGACTGGTCAGCGGGCTTGTTGGCCAAAAGCCTCCAGTCGGCCGCGGATACGGCCGTACCGATGAGAGCGAGGGTGGTGAAGAGCGTGATGGTTTTGAACATGTTTGTTGGGATAAGTAGACTGGTATCGTACGGTGCTGGTTATTGGGATTTGGTAAGGAGGAGGAGTGGGTGAAGGAGGGCATGGACGTATGGTCAGGAACTTGGATGGATTATATAGTAATCTGCGGCAGCACAGCATTGGCGAAAGAGTCATGTGTCGCATAAACGCAGAGAAGCACCGAAGCCACCGAAGCTACCGAAGCTACCGAAAGTGCACAGCATGGCGGGCATCACTGCCCTCTGGCCGATGTTGGTGCTTCTCGGTGCATGCTGGTATAGCGGGGTGGGAAGACGTTGTGTAGGGTGGTGAGGTGAATGGCTGTGGCTTGTTGCTTGCGGTCACAATTCACCGACGCGGAGGAGAAGACGAATACGGCTTTTCGGATGACCGGTGTGGGCTCGATTTTCTATGGAGAGCGTATGTAGTATGAGGACACAGAGACAGGCCATACCTCCTTGAGCACAGCTCGATGCGAATGTAAAAACAACTGGGCGAATGAGTGAGGTAAGCCTCGATCGGTCATCAAGAGGTGTTTTGCTCGCTGCGGGAGAACACCATCATGATCATTGAACGTGGCACATATATAGCCCTGAAACTCTGAAGTCCACCGAGATAATATGTACTTGAAAGTGGAAAGAGCGATGGTGCTATATACTAAGTCATACATTGGAATACATCCTAAAATTACGCTAGCCAGGCGGCGACAGATCTGGAACCTCCTAGAGACGACGACGAGGTCTCAAGTGACATGTTGAGAGTATCCTCTTCGGCGTCATAGCTGTTCAAGATGAGGCCAGCTCTTCATGTGCGACTTGAAGCTCCAAGTGAGGTTTGTTGGAGACAAAGAAGGAATTGGCAAAGCTGACGACCACAAGACAAAAAAGGTATGAGACGGGTTCAAATTGAGAAAAGAGGGAGCAACATGATTGCACGTACTTTGCATGTGGCTAGCAAAAAAGATACTTGTACTGTACTTCCTTTTCGCGTTACCAAGAACAGATCACTCTTTCTTCTCCTTCAAATTTAGAGAAAACAAAAAGACAAACTCTCCCTTTTCGAATCTTCAAAAACAAAAACTTCATTCATATTCCTTTCCCCATCTCTCCCCTATCACCCAACTCAAAGTTTCGCACCCCCACCCTGCCCCTCCCCCAATTTTTCCCCATCAAGCACCCCAAGCAAATCGCTCGTCAAAAAGTCGCTCGGCCACTCTTGCTTGATCTGCCCCGCCATATACTCGGACGCCAGCTTGACGTGGGCGGGGTCGATACCGGGGAGTTTGGAGACTGTCGCGGAGGAGGTGGAGAGGAGGGATTGGATGTGGGCGGGGGTGATCTTTGTGCCTTCGGCCTGTGAACACGAGGTCAGCTTGTGGGAAGGAGAGGGGAGGGAAGGGAAGAGGAGACGTACGGTAGAAGCGCCATACTTGACCCACTGCCAAAGCTGCACCCTCGCAATCTCCGCCGTCGCCGCATCCTCCATCAACCAATTAATCGGCACGCACCCATTCCCCCCAACCCACGCCGCACAATAACTCAACGCAGCCTCCACATTATCCCTCACCCCCTTATCTGTCACCTTCCCCGGCACAGACGGGTCCGCCAGTTCTTTATCTGTGACTTTAACGTCTTGGCGGCGGATGTGCAGCTGGTTGGGGCCGGGCATGTGTTGGTTGAAGATGTCGAGGGCGATGGAGACGAGCGCGGGGTGGGCGACCCATGTGCCGTCGTGGCCTGCGGTGACTTCGCGCAGCTTGTCGGCGCGGACTTTGGAGAGGGCGGCGTCGTTGGCGGCGGGGTCGTTCTTGATGGGAATTTGGGCGGACATGCCTCCCATCGCTGCGACCTTGCGCCTAGAGAGGCGTTAGCTTGCTGGGGGAGAGAGGCGGAAGGGGGGACGTACTTGTGGCAGGTCTGGATGAGGAGACGGACGTAGGCGTCCATGAATGGGACGGTCATGGTGACATCTGAACGGTCCGGGAAGACGGCGCCCTTGTGCGCTCTCTGCTTCTTGATACTACTCCCATCAGCCCCATCCCTCAGCACAAGACTCAGGCTCACAAAGAGAAGATATAATCCCATCGCCCACAGTTCAACCCCGAAGAGTGTTCCTTCAGCTCATAAAGGATCTCTTCCATCTGGAAAGCTGCCGGCAACGTCTCAATCAACACCGTCGCCCTCGTCTTCCCCCCCACCTTGCCCCCTCCAACCTTGCTCTCCGCAAGCGAAATGACGTCGTTCCACAACCTTGCTTCGAGGTGGTGCTCCATCTTGGGCAAGTAAAAGTATGGGCCGAAACCGCGGGCGACGAGCTCGGCGGCGTTGTGGTAAAAGTAGAGGCCAAAGTCGAAGAGGGAGCCGGAGATGGGGGTGCCGTCGATGAGGAGACGGGGCTCGGGGAGGTGCCAGCCTCGGGGTCGGACGATGAGGACGGCGGGGGTTTCAGAAAGCTTGTAAGGCTTGCCGTTCTGCTCGAAATCAATCTGTCGTCTACAACCCGCATCAGCTTCCCACTCTTACCTACATACTGCAGTGCAGGGGGACATACCGAATAGCATCGTACAGGTTGACCTGCCCAAGCACCATATTGGACCAAGTAGGCGAATTCGAGTCTTCGAAATCCGCCATGAACGTCTTGGAACCACTGTTCAACGCATTCACGACCATCTTGCGGTCGGTGGGACCGGTGATCTCGACTCTGGAGTAACGTTAGCTTTATGTCAAGTGGGAAAGAAAGAGATGGGGACTTGCCGGCGGTCTTCGAGTCCTGGGGCAGGGGGCGCACATGCCCACGCCGTATTCTCCCTCACCTCCCTCGTCTCGGGCAAGAACGTCAAAGGTTTGCCCTAATCCCGCATCCCCCATCAGCTCTCCCGCTCTCACGAGTAGTATAGTACTCACAGCATCGAGGTCTTTCTGGATTTTGTCGCGGTTAGCAAGGAGCTCGAGCCTGGTCTTGTTGAACGTCCTATGAAGGACGGCCAGGAACTCGAGTGCGTCGTTGGTGAGGATATGCTCTGCGCCCTTGGGGACTTGCTGGTTGAGGGTGATGCCTTGAGGAAGCGACATGGTGGATGGTGGTGGGGAATAAGTGAAAATGGCGGGTGTTATATACTTGGTGCCGTCGGGATTCGAGGTTATCTCCGGCAACGCCGGCTACAGTTTACCGGTTATCTCGTCCAATCACAGCACCGCACGGGCCGCGGCGCTATTCGGTTATCTGCCTGCGTCCATTCATTTTCCAACACGATGCTTTCTTACGTAGCGTCTTGGGATCATGGCCGCTACGTAAGCATCGTGTTGGAAAACGCTCTTGGAAATGTACGACCTCTGGATGTCCGATGGAGACCCGTTCCGGCCGCAGGACGTCGATGTAGTCTGTAGTCTCATTTCATTTCATTTCTTCGTCACGTAACTTGTATATAATTGATGTGGCTTGTATCGAAAAGAGAAACACGATAGAATATGCTAAAGAGCTAGAACAAAGACGTGGTATGGGAATGAATGACTCTCAAGTCTCGTACCCTTTTTGACTCCTCCTCCTCCTCCTCCTCTGCGCGAAAACGAATGTAATATGCTGGTAATCAAGAATAAAAATGTCCTTTCCCTCCAAAACTCCAAAACGCCAAAACGTCCACACCGACAAGACCGACAAGACTACTCGGCAACAACCCCCCTCATCCTCCTCATCTCCTCCACCTGCTCCGGCGTATGCGCCAAACTAGCAAAGATCGGCTCGCCCACAAACAGCTCGCTCCGCTTCCTCTCCTGCCGGGGTCGCTCCCCCTGTCCCTGTCCCTGTCCCTGTCCTCCTTGTCCTGCACTCGCACTTGCGCTGGCACTTGCACTGGCGCTGTGTCTCGACGATGTCGGCGATGGCAAGGCGGACGCCAGGGTAGAGCTTGCCGCGGGAGGGGAAGAAGGCGATACAGCCAACACAGGCTGTAGATGTACAGGCGACGCCAACCTCATCTTCCCCTCTTCCCCTTCCCCTCCTTCCCCTTTCCCTTCCCCTTCTCCAACAAGAGACCGGGACTGAGGTCCATCCACCAGCGGCACACACTCATCCACGCTCGAAAGCGGATTCGACAAACTCCCCGTCAAGCTCGCTGATAAACTCGCCGATGCTGACGCTGATAGACTCGCTGAAGCAGACGCAGAGGCAGAGCCCGAGACAGATCCCGAAACAGATCCTTCCTCCTCCTCCTCCTTCTCTTCTCCTTCTCCTTCCCTCCCTTGCCCTTGCCCTTCCTCTTGCCCTTCTTCCGGCCCGGAAACAGCTTCAGCAGGTGTTGCCGAGCGCGATCCATCCTTCTCATCCAACGCAGAAGCAGCAGCCGAATCGACAGCAGGCAATGTCTCGAGCGGCGCAGGCTTCTTCTTCAGCACACTACTCTCCACACTCAACCTCCTCCTCTCCGCGAGCTTGCCCCCGACATCTAAATGGTGCATACCCGCCCGAGGGGAGGATGCGTCTTCTGCAAAGTTCTGACGATGGTGAGGGTGAGCGTCTGTAGATGGAGATGGAGAGGCGAGGCCGTTCTCTTGAATGAAGGAGTGGTGGGTATGAGGGTTGGATCGCGGGCGGGAGGAAGAGGGCGAGCTTGGATACCCCGCCCCCCCCAGCTGCGCCTGAGACGCCCTCCTCGCAGAACCTGGACGAGACGCCTGTCCCATCGGCATGATCCCCGTCGACACCCCTGCCCCCCCGCCTCCGCCCGGTCCAAAGCCAAGGCCGAAAGAAGACATATCAAACCCGCCTCCCATACCCGGGGTGAGCGGTCCTGCGAGGCGGACGTCGTCTCCTGCCGTCTCTCCCCGGTCGGCACGTTCAAGCCTGTCTGGGCGGTCGCCGTTGCCGTTGGGGTTGGGCGTACCGTGGCCGTTCATGTGCCCGTTAATCCCGTTGATGAATGAATGAGAAGAGTGCAGGTGAGGGTGAGGGTGGGGGTGGGAAGGCGAGCTGAATAGGTTCGACGATGCACGGCGGAACGACGGTGCCGGTGCCGGACTCGGATGGCCGGATCCGGATCCGTTCTGCCCCTGCCCTTGGGATTGGGACTGGGCGGAATAGACAGCCAACATGGGCGAAGGGTACATCCCCGGACTCGGACTCGCGTACCCCATCTGCGCACCCGCAAAACTCAAACTCCTGCCCCCTCCCCCTCCCAAGCCGCCGGGGGAATAAGGACCGCCCAGCGGCGTTGTCGGATAGTGCAGGCCCATGGGCGATGCCGGCGGGAGGTTGTTGGGGGGGAAGGAAAATTGGATGGAAGATGGGGGCGGGTGGTCGCGCAGGAGGGATTCGTAGTGCGCGAGACGGGAGAGGGCGGTGGTGTACTGTTTCTGCAAAGACGTGTACCGAGTTTGTAACTGTTCTTCTTCGTCAGTAGTTGATATCAGAGGTGGTGGGGGACATACGTCGTGTTCACGTCGCCTCGCCTCTTTCCCCTCTTTCCCCTCCTTCCTCCCTCCCCCTCCTCCTTCACCATCACCGCTCACACTCCGTCTCACCTTCTCCACCTCCCCCTTCAACCGCTCCTCGTTCGACCGCGCACGGTCCAGCTCGTCGCTCTTCTTCGCTTCTTCCGCTTTCGCGACGCCCACTTCGGCGCGCAGGGTTTCGATCGTAGCGTCTCGAGCCGCGAGGAGTTGTAGCAGATGCGATTCATTGTCGGAGGGTGGTTGTGTTTGAGGAGGTTGAGGGTGAGGTTGAGGTTGGCGTTGGCGTTGGGATGGTTCGGCGAGGGAGGACGCCGGTTTAGAAGGGGAAGACGATCTTGTCGAAAACCGCTCGACCTCGCTCCCTCCCCTGCTCATCCCACTACTCCTTTCCCCCTCTTCTTCACCCTCCCCACTCCCCCCCGCGCTCAACCCAAGACCCAAGGGCAGGCCAGGCGCTTTCTTGGCCCGTTTCTTCTTCTTTTTATTTTGTGACAGGGGAGCGAGGAGCGAGGCGGGGAGGTTGTCGGGTATGATGGAGAACCCTTCAGACTTTTTGTATGCCTCCTTTTCTTGGGGGCCTGAGGGGCGTTCGGCCGAGGATGGTGGCGGGTGAGATACGGGGGGTGGAGAGGGAGGACGCGAAGGGGGCTGGGAGATGGCTATCCGCTCGCCATCTTGGTCCGAGTCGGGGAGAGGAAGGATGATGGGTGGTGGTGGTGGGTGCCTCTGCTTCTCCCTCACCCCTTCCTCCGTCGCTTCTACCTCGCCATCGCCCTTGGCGATGTCGGCCGCGCGCACAGCCCTCGGCTCAAACGCGGGCCCACCCGGGCCCCCCGCCGGGAGATCCGCACCCGCTCCAAGGGGAAGGGGCGACCTAGCACCAGACGGGGGCGCACTCGACTCGCCTGCGCTCGTATCTTCTTGGGTGGGCGCGGCGGAAGGACCGAGGAGGGTCTTGTGCTTTTTGAGGTCTTTACGCCGTTCGCGCCCGCGTTCTTTGGCGTTCTTGGGTGCGGGCGCCGCGTCGTCGTCCTTCTCCCCCCCGTTGCTCAGCACCGACACCGACCCCGTCCTGCCCCTCTCCTTCTCCCCCTCCGTTTCTCGACCATGGTCCATCTCCATCAACTCCCTCTCCCTCCTCCTCGCAACCTCCTCCCGGCGCCTTGCCCTCCACGCCCCCACCGGCGCGCGCACGAAAAAGTAGACGGCGCCGAGGCATAGGACGAGGGTGCATACGAGGAGCTGGCCCTGCCATGAGGCGATGAAGGTGAAGGTGGAGTGGGGCAGGAGGGCGGGGGGTGTGGGGAGGGGACGGAGGCGGTGGGGGGTGTGGATGGCCCGGCGGTGAGGCATCGTCTGGAGGGTGTCAGCAGGGAGGGAGGGAGGGGGGACGTGCTCACGGGATGGGGGATGGATGGGGATGGGGGGGAGGGATGGGATGACCGTCCGGGACATCCTCCTTCTCACGTGGCATCCACGCGGCAGGGCGGTCTCCTCCGCCGCGCCTCCACCCCGTCATGGCAATGCACGTGCGATTCATCTCTATCGTTCTTTTCTTCTTACAGCCCGTATACTCACCCAGCATGTCCACCCAGCCCCTCCTCCAGCGTACTGCCAAGAAGGTCAGCCGCGTCTCGCTCGCCATGTTTATTGCCCGATCGAGAAGCATAGAGCTCATATCGTCTTTGTAGCGTATCGCCCTCCCCGTCCGCGTCGAGCCCAAGGTCTTCTTCGCCAACGAGTGCGTCAAGTCTCTCCCAACTGTTATCTGTCTCATAGCTGACGTCTACCCTCCTTCCTTCGTTCCTGTTTTGATCAAATGAACGCCTCTCCTACAAATCACCCACGTTCCATTTCCCTGAAACCGTCCCGTCCCATTTCCACCTCCGGACCTCTACAACCCTCTCCGTCTTTGATACACAAACACCCTCCATCAACCAATAACGCGTAATTGTATCGGACAGACGAACATTCCTCTCATGGCTCCACTTTGCAGTCGTCCTCGGCGGTCTCGCCGTCGGTCTTTTGAACTTTGGCGATAAAGTACGCTTTTCCCTCTTTTTCCTTCCTTCCTCCCTTTTCCCTGTCAAAAGACCAAAAGCTCACACCAAAAGCAGGTCGGCAAAATATCCGCCGCAATGTACACCATCATAGCCATGGGCGTCATGCTCTACGCCCTCGTCGTATACCAGATGCGTGCGCGCGCCATCCGTCTCAGGACGGGCGCGCCTTATGATGATAGGTTGGGGCCTGTAAGTTTCTTATTTCTCCGTTTATCTGTGTTTTGTGACATGGGAGCTGACGAAAGAAATAGACGATGCTCTGCGTAGCGCTCTTGGCTGCTATCGTGACAAACTTTATCCTCAAGGCTGTATACGAATAAAATCCCCCTCTTTCCTTCCCTTCCGCCTCTTCTGAATTCGACCTTCTTCCACCCACTCCCCTCCAAACCCCCCTTCAGCTTCCTCTCTCCCTCCCCGACAAATCATTCTGTCCCCCAACTCCTCCGATACCCGATACATGAAGAGCAGAGCAAAAAACAGTTGGTGCTTAGTAGAAGTCTAACGGAGGCGATGGGATAGTGGGCACGAGAGAGAATAGTAATGGCGAAAGAACCGAGGGGTGGGGGGAGGGGGAGGGGGTGGGCGGGGGCTGTAATACCTGATTACTGTTTTTTCCCCTTGACAAACTTGCTACAGATGTACTCGTATAGTAACACGCACACCACCTACCTACAGCATGGTCTGGTCAAACGGTAAACAACTGTTCTCATACACACATGCTGCGTGCACCAGTTTGTGGGGATCGTTAAATCGTTTACATGTGCTCATGCCTGTCGATCGTAATATATATATGCCAATATATATATAACTTGCCAACTCGTCCACTGCCCCAAATATTTCTTCACTGAACGTGATCAGAAGCCGAGACGTACGCGAGAGGAAAAATGGACGAAGGAATAGAAATCAGTGCATGAACAAAAGAAATGTGGCCCCTCAAGGTTGCTCCTTTGGCAAAGAAGATGAGTTCAGTCGATAGTGTAGTGGGCGTCGGACCAGGACTTGAGGCAGTCGTAGTCGTAGTGGTGGTACCGCCGCCGCCGCCGTCGCCATAGTTGAGCGTCCAAACTGTAATGCTCAAGTGAGCGTGCGTATCCTGAAGAGAAAGGATGACGAGAGAGACTGACTTTGGTTGGTATTCCCATCAGTACACTCGTACCTACTGCATCGTCAGCTCACACTCCCGATCCATAAAACGTCGCGAATGAGAAAAACAGGAGGCAAGGAGAAGGAGAAGGAGAAGGAGAAGGAGAAAAGAGGACGTGCGTCTGAGGCCCGTCGTCGCCGAGGTCGAGACATTGGTCCCCGCCGAAGATGGCGATGCGCTGGTCATAGGTACGGTACCATGTTTGTTGGAAAAGCCCTGGGTAGGAGTGCCAGATCTTACGGTGTACCATTCGTCCCGTCAGCTTTATTCTTCCCATCCCGATCCCGAAGAAGGGCAGGAGGAGGGAAGGAGAGGACTCACTTTCACACCTTCATTATCCTCTTTCCCAGATCCGGCGTCCAAGGCAAACTGCGTCCCCGAGAGCATGACGCTCCCGGACCCCGGGGAGATATCCCACAGTTTGGCGAAAGTGCAGTTGACGGTAGTAAGTGGTGTGCCGTTGGTGTAGGTGTCGGTGTCGGAAGAGGGGGAGGGGGTGAGGCATTGGTCGTTTCGGCGGGAACGGATCTTGACGGCGTCGTGGCGTTTGGTCAGGGGAAAGGCTTGGGTGAGGGTGAGGGGGAGGGTGAGGAAGATGGAGATAGTAGGGAAGAGCATGGTTGGCTGTTTGATTGGGTGGTTGATGAATTAAGCGTGGGAGAGAGTGTTTGTGGTGAAGGAGTGCGAAGCTGGGAAAGATGAGATGAGAAGAAGAAGAAGAAGAAGTGTGAGATTGAGCGACGATATATATGCTGATGATTGACGGGCAGAAGCATTCTTTGCCCGTTCGGGGCAGTGCAGATGATCAACCACCGCATGATTCTCTCGACGTACCGCCAAGAACACCGCTTCTCCAAGAGCAGAAACCCTCCTTCGGAAGAAATACATAGCACCATGCGCTTCCTCACGATGTAGAGAGACGATGGAAGAGTCATCGTCATCACTGCAGCCCGGGCCGCCGGGGCGGTGAGAAATGGGTTTTCGTCGACGGCGAAGGGACGTATTTTCATATTCATAACCCCAGGGCTAACGCCGGATGGCCATGTTTGACATAAGCAGGCAATCAAGTGGATTGGGGAGTTTGATTCGGGCAGAAGAATCAACTGGCCCCTGGGTGGGTGGTTTGTAGAGGCGGTAGAAGGTGACTCTTTCGAGTTGCAGCCCTGATAGTCGCGTGATAGCGCTTTCAATTGATCAAGCGTATGATCACACATTGAAAGGCGTAAATGATATTTTCTGATATGGGGCCTGTGGCCGATGGCAATGATTGTGGATCAGTCAATGGACATCTATCATTTGTAATGGCCCTTGCAATCTACAAATATATCAACAAATCTTCATTAGTATAACGGTTAGTATAACCGCTTCTCACGCGGTAGACCAGGGTTCAACTCCCTGATGGAGAATATCTTTTTGACATTTTTTCTCTGCCTGAACAGAGTTGAAAGGCGCAGGTCCTTTTTGAAGGTAGCGTCCATATATATCTATTGCGGGTACTGCTGATGCGTTGGGTGTGAAGACAGGTAGAAGGGAAGGGGGTTGAGAGGCGGGGAGAGAGGAACTGGAGGGCATTCTATACATGCACGTTGTTGAGAAGTACCTGGAGGGCAATGCGGATGACCAGAAAGACACAGGTTTTTGAGAGCTTCGTACAAGAAGGATTGCGATGCGCGTCCACAAATAGTGAAAAGTCATGCTGCCATTGCCCGGGCCGGTGAAGGATGGCGGACGTCTTTATCGACAGGGCTCTCCGGGTAACGTAGATCTTGGTCGTACTTGTGTCAAAAGCAGAGATGGGAGAATCATGGAACCCCTTCGCCGAGCCGAAGAGAAGCGATGATGACTGGACGTCATGCAAGGGTACATGTTCAGTTGAGAAGCCGCTGTACCTGAACTTGTAGAGAACGAGACATCGATGAGCAGAGTAGCATATGGACAGGCTCACAAATCCAAGTATACACTACCTCTTACTCAAACTGCTTAATAAACTTCAACACCTCCTCACAAAGCACCCTCTGCGGACCCTCCTCCTCAACCCCATGGCTCGCCCCTTCCAGAATCCTCCACTGCAGCTTCCCCTTTGCAGCTTCCGCCCATTTCGGCAAAAGCTCAGTAGGATGGGCGACCTGGTATTTGGCGTCGCCTTCGGCGTAGAGAGCGAGGGCAGGGGTGGTGAGGGCGCCGAACGAGGAGGAGAGGGAGTGGACGAAGGCAGGAGTGGGGTTGGAGGGGATGTCGGCGGAAAAGTAGTCGTCGTCGCCTCTATCCTTCTGTTAGCTATACCCCGTAGATGGGGGGATGATACGTACCCGATACCGATAAGAGAATGGAGGCGATAAGCAGTCATCAACATCGGTACATCCCCAAACCCAGCCTTGTCACAAAACGCTTTCGGCAAGATATCATCCCCGCGGCCTTCTTTGATCCATTGTTGGGCGAGAGGAAGGGTGTCGTTGTAGTGCTTATAGTCCTTGCAGAATTCACGGTCGGATACGGAAGCTTGCATGATACCGCCGACGACGTGAATATCGGCCGAGGGGTCCGCGTTGGCGGGGGAGGAGAGGTAGTGCATGACGTTTTGGGAGCCGGTAGAGTGGCCCATGATCACGATTGTCTTGACGCCTATTGACATCATCAGCTCTGGGGAAAGAGGGCAAGGGGAGGAAAGTACCCTTGGATTTGAGGTGCTTGACGATAGTTTGCATCTCTTCTCGGTCACGGTCCAAGCTTCCCGTGCCATACCCGCCAAAGGCCGAGCTCCAGTGAAACTGTACCCTTTAACCCCCTGTCAGCCTCTCATACAAGACACTGAGGAAAAAGCACTTGCAGTCTCCACCCCGCGCCCTTGAGGGCCTCACTAAGCGGATAAGTAAAAGGCACCCCCCCAATCCCATTCGTCAGACCGCCAATGAAGAGCACCGCCCTCTCGGAGGCGAGGTCACCAGAGGTGAAGATGGGGTAGATGAAGTTGCTGCAGGGGAAAGTTGAGAGCTCGCCTTGGAGAGACATGGTGGGATTGGAGGGTGTTGTTGTGAATGAAAGAGGAGATGCGCGCGCGCAATCTTGGCGCAATCTGATAACGCGACAACGAAGCCGAAGGTGCCACGTGGTATCTCGGCCAGGGCTCTCAGGGCGGAGGTGGACATCGCCGACAGACCTCCACCCCGCGCATCTCCTCTTTCCACAAAATTTCCCCTTCACCCCCGAGTACAAACCCACAACAACAAGAAAGAATGCCGCTCTTCAAATTGACATCGAAAAGGATCGAAAAGAGGCAGAGGGAGGATGAGCTGGGTATTACAGAGTTGAAGGCGAAGATGAGGGAAGCGGGGGAGGAGGTGCCGGATAGTGAGGATGAGCTGAGTGGGGAGGATTCGGATGAGGAGGATGGATCGGATGATGATGAGGAGGAGGAGGAGGAGGATGATGAAGATGAAGATGAGGAGGGAGGCTCTGATGCTGAAGGTGCGTCACACGCTTGGAGATGTGATACGCAAAGCTGATTTCACCTATCAGGATCCGAATCTGGTCTCAAAAGGAAACGTTCCGGATCCGAATCATCCCTGGGCTCTGAAGAGGAAGAATACGACGACGAAGAAGACAGTACGCATCTTCCCCCACACATTGTGCCGAGTCCATCTGACGAAAGATTTCGTAAACAGGACTAGACCTCACCCCCGAAGAAGCCCTCCAAACGCCCATCTACGCTTTCGCCCCTCCCCCTTCTTCCTCGGACGATGAAGACGTGGAAGACAAAAACGAGGAGGAAGGTGATGGAGAGGTGGATGATAGTAAGATGCAGAAGCTGTGTGCGCTTTGTCCGGGGAAGGTTATGAAGAATGAGCATATGGTGGAGATGCATTTGGCTTCTAATGTAAGTTCTTCTCTTCTTCTCCTTCTCCTTTCTCTTTTCCTCTGCAAGCGCTTTGGGTTTCGTGTGCTGGAGAGGATGGAGCGGGTACTGATAAGACTTGCCATAGGCGCACAAACGATCTGCTAAGCGGTACGAAGCCTACCTCGACGCGCACAACCCTTCACCCGATACCGACCCCCGCACCATCGCCCTCTCCCTCCTCCCCTCCCACTCTGCCCTTGCCCCCAAGGCTGCCGAAAAGACAGATAAGAAGAAGAAGAACAAGTCGGTATCGAAGAAAGACCGCCTCACAGCGCGTCTCGCCAAAGCGCAGCAATCCGTGTCGACGACGCTGGAGCAACAGCCGGAAAAGCTGGATGCGGAAAAGTTGAAGGAGGTGGTGGAGGGGAAGGGGCTGAATAGGAAGGCGAGGAGGGCGTTGGTGGCGAGGTTGAAGGAGGAGGGGAGGTTGGTTGGGGATCTGGGGAAGATTGGGGAGAAGGGGGAGAAGAAGGAGAAGCCGAAGGCGAAGAAGGCTAAGAAGGATTAGAGGTGGGGTGTGGGGTGTATGTGTATGAGCAGGAAGGGGTGAGAATTACAATGTAATGTATCACGACTATCACCGACTCATCTCCACCTTGAACCTGTTCAAGAACACCATTGTCGGGTGTCATAAGGCCACATTGTAGTACGCCGATAGGATAGCCGTGGTCTCGAGGTTGATCTTGTTTGATCCCGGTCCACAGAAGGAATCGAAAAAAACTGATTCTGCATGAATGTTCCACTTTGATACTTCATCACCTTCCTTATGGCAAGCGCACCGCCCTGTAAGTCTTCCGCATCACCAACGACGCCCAAGAGCTACCTCATACTCCCCTCCTCTTCTACGAACCCAAATCCTCTCAAACAAGAAGACTTAATAACCAACACTCTTGAGATAATCGGCAAGCTTGGTAACGACAACGTTGGCTTCGCCCGCAGAGATGGGGGTGTCGTATTCGGCGACGAGGATGGCTTGGGTTGTGGGGATCACGAAGACGCCTCGTTCCTGTCAATGACCGTAAGCTTTGAGTCTCATCACTATCGGGGGCAGGGTATAAGGAGGGAGGGGGGACGTACACCCTTACGACCGATGACTTCATCTTCATTCGCTTGGATGGTCATGAATTTGAAGCCGTTGACGATGACACCGCTGCCTACAAAGGCGTCAGCATGTGGCCCATCACATAGATCAAAGCTACAAGCTTCGGGAGGAAGATGGAAAAAGACGGACCTCGGACGCTGTCGGGGTTGGAAAAGTATTGCTGGGTGATGGCGTTTTGCTCTTGCTGAGACAACTGAGAGAAACAAAGTCAGCTGTACGTCTTACGAGGCGGGGAAAGCAAGAGAGAAGAGATTATAGAGGAATGGGGGAGAGCAAGCCAAGTGCGAGGGGTGTAACGGTCCAGTCAGAAGCATGGGACGCCGCTGTCACTCTTTTTCCCCTCGGGTCTATCCTCCAGCGTTTCGACTAACTACCTTTTGATACAGCTCCATCCATCCCTCCCAGAATGCCAGACCCCTCAAAGCACAGCAGAGCATCAACATGAAGAGAAGGATAAGAAGGACGTACGTCGTAACCAGCACTAGCAGCCCAGACACCGCCCTGCTTGCCCAAGATGGCGGCTTTTGTGACTTTGCCGGTGGCGAGGAGTTGGTCGTCGACGTATGCTACGCGGGGGCGTTAGCTGTGTTTCTAGCATATGCGGGCTGGTTGTACAAGGGAGAGGCAAGAGTGAGGGAGAGCAGGGAAGCCACCGCCCCCCGACAAGCTTCTTCGGCCTCTTCCACCTGGGTGCTGTGAGGGTGGGGCTTACCTTGCCAAGACATGATTTCTGTTATTCAGTTGGTTGACAAAAGAGAAGAATGAGAAGAAATGAAAAGCAGAGTATGGCCTGGATTCGCAGAGAATGACGATCTGCCGCGCGGGGGGCCGTGCGAACAGCAACGACGATGGAGGGCGCCGCAAAACGTGTGAGACACGTGGAGAAAGTGGAGGATTGGTTGTGGCGGGTTGCTGATGATGGACGTACGCTCTACCATAGTCAGTCATGGTTGTAGGAGTCATCTGTGTTGTTGGTTCATTCAAGTAGACTAGTTGTGAGTTTAGTGGACCGTGCTCTCCGTATATACAGATATCAGAGTCTTCTTTCATAGTTCTTCTTTGTATGCGACAATAACGAAATGGTTTTCGCTCCTTATAACAAAACTCCCTCCGGCACGCCATGGGCACTACCCAAAGCACGCCAAAGGCACTACCCAAGCGTGACAAGTACCTTTTGCGGGTCAAGGAAGGGGATGAATGAACGAACTATACAGATGACTCCTTAAACCATGACAGAGATACTCAACAGCCCTTGGAGCGTTGGTAGCGCGCGGGTGGGGAGAGCCATTGTTAATCTTGCTGGGGGGCTTGCTGGTCATCTTGGGTGGGGCTTTGCTGGTTGCGGGGGTCGGGGGCGGCGAGGGCGAGGGCTAAGGCGGAGGTGAGGGCGAGGAGGGTGTAGGTTGTGAAGCGCATGATGTGAAGCTGCGCTGTGGGATAGCCCGAGGTGTAAGGTGGATGATGTTGATGAAGTGAGTAGATAAAAGACGACAGCGAGATGGGGGTTTTTATACGCTTTTCGTTTCCTGCCGAGCAACTCGTAGCTCTCGGGCATCGTGGGCCACGTATCAGTAGTACCGGATGACTATGCATTGACCCATATGCTGCCCGGCGGCTGGTTGCTGGTATGAGCTGACAATGTATGTCAAGGGACCCGGTGGGGGGATGTGGGCAGAGGGCGCTTCCATCATTCATCAGCAAGGTGATGGGCGAGGTTTCTTTTGTACGTACGCTTGGTCTTTTGGCTTGATTGAAGTTGACAATAGTCAAGAGAAAGATTGAGAGGTGACCATGCGAGGAGACGCCGAAAGCAAGACGGGGGCAAATCTCATACACATGACATGCCAGAAGAAGCAAAGAAGTGAAGGAGGAAAGATGGCATCGCATCGGGCATCTTTGGTCCAGATTTACCATGTCATATGGTAGATTGCACCACTGCGCCTATGGACTCTGGGGGATAGACGCATTCGATGCCATAGAGATCACTCGCAATATACGAGTGAGGAGGTTGCCTAGATCGGATTCGTCTATCGTTGCTTATCTATGTACAAAGTACACTCCTGCCAGTCTCAATCTTGCCTCATGCTGTCTGCCATATGTTCCACAACCCCAAGGACTTGGACGATTTTCTCGAGCACCCCGCCTTCATTAATGAAGCTATATATATGATAGCGCCTTGTTGTATCATTCATTCCGTATAAGACCCACACAGTACATACTTCCCATCCTGTTTAGCAGATGTAGCTTTCTCCAACAACACGCGCTTCAGCGTGCCTCAGATATGGTTCGAAACGGTTTCAAGACGGGCATAAGAAATTCCTCGCACCACCTCCTCTCCTTCGCGGCGATAGACACTATGCTTTGTGGTCACCCTGAAGCACCTCATGGTTTTTTTCTTGAATAGGGCATTTCTCGTTGATCCTCTTCTTTTTGGATGTGTAATGACTGGGTGGGTGTACTAAACGTGTTGAATCGTGTCGAGCCAGTGATGAGCCTGGTCTTCTCACGCTCCTCGTCTGCTCGAAATTGTCTGGACTATCTCCATTCTAGCCTGCCTGCGCAGTAGCCGGCGTTCATATCGCATAGCCACTGGTGATATGCATGTACATATTTGGCCGCCTGAACCCCGATATACTTTGCGACACCAATATTGTGATGAGGGACTAACAGCACGGCTTTCCCGTAACAAGTGAAGCACTCGAGCAGCCACAATGCGTCAGTATCCGGCGGCCTTCAAGTACGTACTTGTAAGTTGTACCTCTGCATGCCTCCTGGCGTCCTGGGGGAAGAACATGGCCCCACGGGCTTAGCAAAAGAGGCGAATTGCTCAATAAAGCCGTATCGGCATTCGGCTCTGCCGCCCGCGAGATGAGACGGAGGTGAGTTCTTGGCCGTGCTAGAGTCCGAGAAAGGTGCGTAGCGGCAACGGTCAATTCTTTGTCTATCGTCCCATTAGCCCTGCACAACTAGCCGAGCGTCATGTTATCTGAGACTGAGACGAAGGCTCTTATCAGCTGATACATGTCCATACCCCCGAGTCCCATACACTATTACCGTGAAAGCCATTCCGCAGAGTGAAAAGTCTTATAAAGACGTACCTTCACAACTCTAGCCCCGTACCATCTTTGAATAATTCTCCGCCATGTTCAGCAGCAGAGATACCAAAGTCGACGACGAAAAACACAACCTTGGCGTCAATGACCAGAAAGACGTTGAGCGTCAACAAGGTAACATCTCCCGTGTCGTCTCTGCTTCGTCGCAGATCAACACGATCGATGGGGAGACTGTTGTCGATGGTGTATGGGGTACTTTGGAAGAAGGTGCTCCCAACTATCGCGGTCTTGGCTGGTGAGCCTTTTCAGTCCTGTTGGAGGGGTGAAAGCTGATGGTGATAAGGGTCCGAGCGAGTGTCTTGCTGGTCAAAGTCCAAATCGGTCTCGGTGTACTGAGTATCCCAGCGGCGCTTGATGCCCTTGGTCTCGTTCCTGCTATCCTGGTTATCATTGCTGTGTGTCTCGTCATCACCTGTGAGTCTTGGCGAAATGGGTGAAATGCGATGCTGACGCTAGAGATAGGGGCCGATTACATTGTTGGTGTCTTCAAGCTGAATCACCCCGAAGTCTACACCCTTGCAGAGTAAGTATTCCCCATCCATCGCCGGGCCATGCTAACTCGATATGACGTCAGTGTTGGTCATATCTTGTTTGGTCCCATCGGTCGTGAACTATTCGGCGCCTTCTACTGGATTCAGCTCGTCGCCGTCGCCGGTGCCGGTCTTCTCGCCTGTTCCGTCGCCCTTAACGCCATGTCTGACCATGGCGCTTGCACCATTGTATTCGTCGTCGTCGCCGCCGTCCTCAACATCCTCATCTCTTCCATCCAAACCCTCGACAGAATATCCTGGATCGGCTGGGTCGGCGTGGGCGGTATCATCTCCTCCATCGTCACTTTGACGGTTGCGGTGGCGGTCCAGGACAGGCCTAGTGCGGCGCCGCAGACGGGACCTTGGGATAAGGAGGTTTTGATCTTCAACAACCCCGGATTCATTTTGGGTGTCTCGACGTTGTCTAACATCATCTTTTCTTTCGCCGGTACCCCCAACTTTTTCAACGTCGTCTCCGAGATGAAGAACCCCAGGGACTACAACAAGGCCATGGGTGTCTGCCAGACATTTGTCTTGTCCTGCTACCTCGTACGTCCCTGTCTTCCCTCAATATGTAATGTTGACCATAGAGTAGATCTTGGGTTGCACTATCTACCACTTCTGTGGTCGATACATTGCGTCTCCAGCTCTCGGTTCCGCTGGTCCTCTCATGAAGAAGGTCTGTTATGGTCTCGCCTTCCCCGGTCTTGTCGTGTCTTGCGTGTTGTACACCCACATGCCGGCCAAGTATGTCTTTGTGCGAGTGATGCGTAACAGCCAACACTTGTCTGCCAACACCATCACCCACCGTGTCGTCTGGGTGTGAGTCCCTTCCCTCTTTTCACTGCCCCGTACTGACGAAGCGATAGCTCTTGTGTGATCGGCTCTTGCGCCATCGCCTTTGTCATCGCCGAAGGTATCCCCGTCTTCTCCGACCTCATCTCCCTCATCGGTGCCCTCATGGCCACCCCCAACTCGATCATCATTGAAGGCATGATGTTTATCTACGACCTCCGCACCAACCCGGACAAGTACCCCAACCGAAACAAGTGGTGGCACAAGGGTCTCCAGGTGATGAATTGGGTGGTGATGATTGGCTTTGGGTCGTTCGCGACGGTGGCAGGGACTTATGCGGCGGCGGTCACGATCCGGGCTGATGTTGCGGCCGGGTCCACGACTCAGCCGTTCTCTTGTGCCGACAACTCTGGGTGATCGGTGCGTTTGGCGGGTTCGTGTGTTGTTTAGTTAGTTCTATCAAACAATAAAAAGTGTCTTTCTTGGTTGTACCTTTCGTCTCATAGTACTCGCGTACTCTTTTGCTTGCATCTCTAGAAAAGCATCATAGCCTGTAGTGTTCTCTTTTTGTTTCTATCTAGGATTTGGATATGGAATTGTAGCCTTGATTGAATGAATGTCACGATGATGAAAGGACCAAACAAGACAAACAAAAGGGTTGGCACTACGAAAGCCAGTCTCCAGGTATGAGCCGGACCGGCAATCTTTTCGAATCGCACTCTTCTTCCGATGATGAATGAGATTGCGAGGACAAAAGCCCCCGACGTCGACGGCGGGAAGAATAGGTATGGATCATAGATCAAAGCAATACATACGATACAAAGCACCCCCTCCCTCGTGATGAAGAGCACAAACAGAGACGCAGAGCACAGCTATTCGCCGTCGAGCATGATGGCGAGGAATTCTTCAAGGTTGATCTCGCCGTCTTGGTCGAGGTCGAATTCATCTATCATCGCTTGTCTATAACCGAAAGTCAGCTCTTATCCCTACCTCATCCCAAAGCACCGTCATGTATACCCACAGTTCATCCTCCCCCAGCGTCTCTCCAAGCTCCTTGGCTACCCGCCGAAGGTTTTTGAGGGATATCTTGCCGCTTCTGTCGTCGTCGAAAAGTTCAAAGGCGCGGCGGAGTTCGTGTTCGGGATTCCGGGAGAGGATCTTCTCTGTCACTGCGGGAAGGTTAGCTCCTTCTCCTTCAAGAGAGATAGGGGAGAGAGACGGGAGGAGAGAAGAAAAAGACCCACTGATCCGCTCAAAACCCCCAAAATCCATCAATCCATCCTCCCCCCCAAACTCCTTCAACAACTTCATAACCTCCCCCTTCTTCACATCAAAACCCAAAGCCCGCATCGCGACTTTGAACTCGTGATAATCGATCGCCCCGTCCTTGTCCACGTCAAACAGGTCGAAGGCCTCGCGGATCTCGCCGCGCTGGTCTTCTGTCAGTGCGCGGGGGTTGGCGTTGGCGTGGGAGGGATGGGGCAGGGGGTGGGAGGAGGAGGGGAGGTGGGTTGAGGGTTGGGGGCGGCGGGATTTAGGCTTGGTGGCGTAGTGGGACATGGCGCTGATGAGTAGGAGAAACGACGCGTCGATGATTTCGACGCGTAGATGACAACATGGGTTACGTAACTGCGCTCGGGCCTCCCGACGTTCCCGCTGCCGAACGAGTACGCTATTATTTCTATTGTCTCTGTTTCAATTTTCGACTGTTTGTATTCTCTGCATCCTGTACAAACAATACCCTCCTCTTCCTCCTCAAGTACGCCCCCTGGACACGGACTCTTGCTTGGACGGACAACTCGCACCGCTGGACTCCACACCATGCTCGCCTCCCGGCCCCAACCGCCCGGCACCGGACCCCGCCTCTACACCCACATCCCCTCCCCCCGCTCCTCCATCTCCCACTCCATTGCCCCCTCCCGCGCCTCGATGGACTCCAGCATCACCCACGTGCCCTTCTCTATGCGCGAAGAAGAAGTATTCTACGACCCTGTTGGGAATGGGGAGAAGGTCAGGCGGGGGAGTAGTTTGTTGAGGACGCTTTCGAGGGGGAGGAAGGATAAGGGGGCAAAGGTGGAGAGGAATGCTAGTCTTGTGAGGGGGAAGGATGGATCGAGTGTGGAGGGGGAGGTGGGGAGGAAGGGGAGTATTGTGAAGAGGTTGAGGAAAAGGTTGTCGTTGAGTAAAGAGAGCTCGGCGTTGGTTTCGCCAAAGAGTTGGGGGGAGAAAGAGTCAGAGTTCGGGGATAAGGAAGAGATGATCCTCCTCGACCAAGCTGTACGTTCCCTCACTTCTACATTTTGGTGGCGGTACAAGTATGTTGGATGAAAAGCTGATGAAGTTCAGGGCGACGAAATGAGCTATCACCCCCAAGCAGAACGTGCTATCCGCCAAAACAAGCCGCTGCCCGACGCGTCTTTTACGTCTTCGCCCCCGCCCAAGCGGACGCCGACGTGGCGCAGGAGTCTTGCTTCCTCGATCCTGGGCCCCACTTCGCACTCGACCCCGCAGCCGATGGCAAGACCGCCCAGCCGCTCTCAGTCGCCTTTTTCCCGAGACGATGCGAAGCCGACGCCGAGGGAGAGAAACCCGTTTACGTCGCCGCCCAGGGGAGAAGGGGGAGAGAGTATGACAAAGCCTTTGAGAGTGGGGTCGAGGAACGCCGGGAAGAGAGAGGTCGGCAAGCTTTCATCCCCTGCCAACCCTACTCGCTCCACCCGCCAAATGCAGACGCCACAACCATTCAAGACAGGCCGTTTCCTCACAGCAGACCAGATCCTCTACCTCCCCCTGCCGCCCCACACCCCTCAAGGTCTGCCGAGCCGGTACAGGCCGGGGGGCACGACGATCTTTGATGTTTATCCGGATGAAGAGTTTGATTATCATCCCAGCCCTTTGGAGGATAGGGCTACGGCGGGGAGGGGGATTGAGGCATATTCGCTGTATGATATCTCGCACTATACCACCGAAAATGCTGTCTCCCAACGCCGTCCTTACCACCACGGCGGGCAAGACCCCTCCGTCGACTGGTCCAACGCCCACGAAATGCTGCTCGACCCTTCGCCCTCAAACTCTGCCCGGTCGAGCTTGGACGATAGCCGGCGCTTTGGGGTTGGAGAGGGCGATGTAAAGTATGGGAGTGGGAGGAGGGCACCGTTAAAGTATGAGAAGGTGCGGAGGAGCGGGACGGTCAGGAGTACTAAGAGTAATATGAGCAGTGAGTTTTTTCTTCTTCTTCTTCTCTTGTGTCTTTTCTTGTCATCTTTTTATGGTGGGAGTGAGCTGATGAGAACGTAGCTTCATCGAAAGGCTCGATTTTGGGGCTTATGGGGCCTATTATGATGTGATGAGACGACTATCCGCTTTCTCTTCGTCAATTCCCTTTCGCCCACTATCGCCAATACCTTCCGACTATACCTTCCACCAATACCCCTCACTTTCCCCACCCACCTCACTTACCTCTCCTCCTCTGCCCCGATCCCTTACCGACGGACATTACGATGATACCACGTTCGAGATGAATAGCAAGACTGAATGATGGACGACGGACGATGTTGGAATGATGATGAAATATGGAAGGATAGTTTCATGTTGAACGAAGAAAGGAGGAGGTGGGGCTCGTATCATGTTTTCGTTTTCGTTTTTATGTGTTCGTTTGAGACGGTTTTATGTTTCGTTTTTGGGTTTGATGGGTACATGTCAGTCAATACATACGTAACGACGATACCTATATGAGCGAGCGACGTTGGATGATGATATGGAAGAGAAGGGTTATATGTTTCGTTTTTGGGTTTGGTGGGTACATGTCAGTCAATACATACGTAACGATGATAGCTTCATGAGGGAGCCGACGTTGGATGAGTCGCGCAAGGCATCGCTGTCTCCGGGAGCTCTGCTACAAAGACCTCCATCGCCGTTCCAAGATACAGGGAAAGACTTTCTATTACTCGTTGATAGTACTGATGCCGTCTCCTCCCAGCGCGATGGCAACGTCAATACCGACATTCCGATACTCGGCAGTGGGGAGCTCGTAGTCCTACCGATCCACGACAGTCAGCAAAACGCCTCATGGAGCGAGAGGGGGCTCAGTTGACGGTGGCGACGTCTATGGTTCATCTTGGGTTAGTAAAGTACATAGGCCCTCGGGACCGTTAGAGACTTAACAGACGTACCTTCGGGGTCGTACCTCTTCTTTGCGGAGGACAATGAGTCGGCGGAAAATTCAGTACGGACCCAAATAGGCTTGTCGGTCTCCTCGCTGTCTTCGTAGAATCGGGGACAAAGGTCTTCGAAACTGAGCCTCTGAATGTCAATGATAAGTTCAGGCGAGACAAAGAATTGTGCGTACGCGGCCTTGAATGACTCCATGTCTTGGTCCTTGGGCTTGATGACCTGGGCAGAAGGAGGGTGAGATGCAGGGTCGTCGTCTTGTCGAGCAGCGAGAGGGCCGGGGGAGGCGAGGGTGGAGGTAAGGCCAATGAGGCTGAGAAGGACGTAGGTGGTGAAGAGCATGCTGTTGAGTGGGTTTGAGAGTGGTGGTGTGAAGTGAAGCGTTGGGATGCGATGAGGGAACGGTGAGGACTGGAAGAGAGAGGGGGGTTTTATAGCTTGAGAAAGAGCCAAGCCTCTCTGGTCGTCGGTCATGAGCCGCCCTAAACATGCACTGCATCGTTGTAGCATGTTCTTGGCGGGCTCATAGAGGACGTGTGGTCTGAGAGATGCTCGGGAGTGTTAGCGCCAAAGGGAGGAGATGACTCGTGAACAAGACGGCTTTGAACGATGTGTTCGATCGTATTGAGCCGCCTCAAAGTTCGGCTCGTGACTGTGAGTCAAGCATGAGAATAGCTTACGCTCCTTGACATGCGTGATGTATACAACGTATACGGCTTGTTGGAAAGTATCGTACATGCGTTCACATGTATGTACGGCCCATTCTCGTGACCTCGGCAGACCGACATGGCGCCGGCAAAGAGTACGTATCTCGGCGTCGGGGACGCGGGGTGGTGTCTTTGAACGTTGGCGGACGTGTGCTTGAGCAAGACCTCCTCGTGTCACTCAGCTATGACATTAGAGGCTGGGCAGAGCGGGTCTACAAGCCGCGCGCTTGTTGAGAGTTGTGAATCTTCTGTCGATACGATCCGAGTGCTGCATGATGCTTGTATACAGACTGCCAACTCCACTCACCCAAATGTTGACTGGAAAAGAGAACTCTCGGTAATTTCGACATTTATTAGCTTTCGCCACTTACGCGATCGCCTCTATCCAATGCATACAAAACAGATACCAACGCCCTCGGCAAGAGATCTGATTCCAGAAGAAGGCGAGCAATCGATCCAAATGATGGCATTTCGTCAGGTCGTCAGGTAGAAACGGGTTGAAGGATAGATATATAAGCTTCATTCTTTGGTGGCGTTCGGATCCTCAGGGCCGGGTTGAACATTCGCTGAACTTAATTGGTGGGGGTACGTTCCTTTCTAGTTTCTACTCATTGATGCCTTCTTTGCAGAAAAACGCATATTCATGCGAGACATCCATAAAGGAAGGGGCCAAGATGGGTTGCTTTGCATCTATGAGCGAGTCGAGCTGTAATGACCACCCACCGTCGACGGCCGAACCAAACACAAACGGCCGGAGAGGTTTTGCATCCACCGACGCGCGCGTGCACATCTCCTGCGTCTTTCATCGCCCAATGTTGCACTGTGATTGTTATGTATACTATCAGACCTATACTCTTCGTTTAACGTACTTCGGCAACCGGTCCTGCAACTTCTGCTCCCATCCACCCCGCCTCCATCGATGACTGCGCTCGACCTTCATCTTCGGGAGCTCCAAGCCTCGTCCGCAATGTTCGGCTCGCCTCCCGTCCCTCCCCTTTTACCCCCGCCTTCTACCCCGGAAAATCAAATTCACCCTGTATTTGTGGTGCAGAGCCTCGGCATTTGGGGTGACAGAAGAGCCATCAGCAAGAATTACGAGGATCCTGAACCCTAGACGGAGCTCTCGGAGATCGGCTCGGATTTAGGCATACTTGTTCGTCGCCACTTTGGTGATCGGTTCGCTTCTTCCACCTCTTGCACTTGTTCGTTCCATTCATTTTTTTGGGTTTGGTCCTGAACATTGATCATCACAGACAGACAATTGCTCGCTGGTCAACCTTACTATAATAACTGCACTACACTCCGCGTCGACTTCCGCTAGACAAGACGACAGTACGCGCTTCTCACTTCCACTTCGGCCCGCATTAGTCGATCCTCCACTCTCCCGCCACTCCACACGAAGGGCCGTTCGACAAGCACCCCGAGGCCGGTCCTCCCCTTCCCCTTCTTACGGTTCCCGCCCATCTTCTCCCGCTCCACCGCTCCACAATGCCGCCTCTCAGCCCTCTCCAAATCTCCCAGCTCGAAGAGTACGGCCAAAATCACTACGGCGAGAATAAAGAACGCGCCTTCGTCCCCATGCTTTTAGGGTTTGCCCTGACATGCTCATTCTTTGGACTGTTGGTGCTGCAGGTCTTGTTTTGGGTGTGGAGGACGGCGAAGAGGGATTGGTGGGTCATTAAAGTCGTCGTTGTGAGTCCCCCTTCCTCTGTCGTCGTCCGGCATTTCCTGAGAAGATGGGGAGCTAATACGAGTGGTGTAGGCACATGTATTCATGGCGGCGACGGCATACATGGCGCTTGAGTTCTACTGGATATCGCAGAATTTCGCGACGGGCTTTGGGACGTACTATCGGCTCTACAAGTTTTCACCTATTGCCAATTTCTTCCTCATTACCACCGTCATGCAGACGCCTGTTTCTGTGAGTACTCCTCCTGTGATGATGGAGATATGCTGACTGGTGTTGGCGACCAGGGCTTCTTCTCTCTGAGAGCGTATAGGTTGACGAGGGGGAATCTTTACTCTGCTATCATCCCGAACGTCCTCTTGTACGTGCCCCTTTTCCCTCCCATCTTCCACTCTCCCCCCTTCTCTCTGAAATGGAGAACGGACGCTAATCCAAGGTACAGACTTATATCATTTGGAAGCTGTATCGCCCTCCGTATCGTCGCCCCCGAATACGCCACCCACATTGCGTATAGCAACCACCCAGTCACGCTCTCCATGTTGCTCGTCTGGGTACGTCAATATACATCTCTGCTTTGCCCTCAAGCTGACATAACGGGATAGGCGGTAACAGCGATGATAGCGGATTTGATCGTAACGTTCACCATCACATACGCGTTGTTGCAGTCCAAGCTTGGTTTTACGGGCTTTGTGAGGACTGATAAACTTATCAAGAAAGTCATCATGTACATCCTTCCTCTTCTCCCCGTGTCATAATTGGAGGGCTGATGGAAAAGTGTAGTATATCGGTCGAAGCGCAAGTGATACCGACACTAACCTCGCTGGCGTTTCTCATTACGTTCGTTACGACGCCTTCGACGGAGATCTCTGCTTTCTGGCTGTACGTTCTTCCCCTTCTCATCAACCCACTTGTTTAAGTCATGAAAAAGGAACACCGGCTGATCAATGAGTGCAGGTTTTCGCCACTGATGTACCCGATAGCGTTTATGGCGGTGCTGAATTCGAGGAAGGGATTGGCGAGGCAGTTGGCGCCGAGGTTGGGGCAGGTTGTGAGTTCTTTTCGTACTTCTTCTTTCACTTCCTCTTCCGCTTTCCGGATCCATCCGAGACATTACGAACGTAGGCTGACACGGCTCAACAGGCCGACCCCTCCCAAATCCCAACGCTACTCACATCCTCTTCCAACCTCACTTACGACCACCCCGGCTTCGAAGGCGTACTACCGCAGCTAGACAAGTCGCCAGAGCAGAGCGGAAGGGTTCAGGCGGGGGAGGTGGCGGCGCTTCCGGCTTGCTTGAAGGTTGCTCGGGAGGGAGAAGGATATGTCAAGGAAGAGAAAAAAGAGATGGAATGGAAGAGCGAGGAAGGGAGACGAGATGAGAAGGCGGAGCGGGAAAAGGAGGAGCGGATAGGGATGGGGCAGAGGCTGAGTAGGCTGAGGTTTGATGATATTATCTCTGCGTCGGGGTCGAGAATGGGGACGGTATCGGGCGCGGACTCTGTGGGATCGGTAGATGTCGTGCTGGGGGGTGATATTGGCCGGCCATGATTGCGCGAGCGAAGGTTGGGTCAGTGACTTGTTGTTCTCATAGCATCGTAATACATAGCATCGTAACACACATATAATTCCGTAATCATGATAGTCTTATAGCTCTTGGTACAGCACATAAAGTACGAATCTAGTCGAGAGCGAATGTGACATCTACGCTGAGGATCATGGACGCGAATAGATACTGGCATGTCGACTCCAAGCATCGCTCACTGCACCATATGTGCTGCGCATGATTCAATATGTCGTCCACTGGATATATGATAGAAAGAGAAAGAGGTGAGTGGAGATGCATGAGGCCACAGCCCTCCTCAGCTGCCCAGCAGCGGCTCACGCAGTTCTGATTTATCTTATCAGCGCGCAGATTATGACGTATACGCGTCAGATGCTGTTCCTCTTTCAATCCATCTCGCTGCTGCCAAGCTATACTCTACCGTGCCCCGTCTCGTGCCCCATCTCTGCGCAGTGATGACCCTTTCGTGATGAATCCACCCAGTGAGACATGAACAGTGGAAATGCGCTGCGGACACAACACAGCGTGCCTCGATGACGTAATTTGGTACACTGCGAAGATCTTCTGCCCTGGCTGTCCATCCTCTTCGGGAGACTTGGCGAAGCATGCGGCGGGCGGTGCACACTGCACAGAGCAGGAGCAGGTGGCGAAGGGTGTATATAAGGGGGGGACCTTGAACATTTTTCCAGATCATACTTCTGCAATCCTTTCACGTTTCGACTCGTCGTCGAGTAAGTTCTTTTGACTGCGCTATTTGGTTCTCCGTCACCAAGGACGAACGCTGACATATATCTCCAGCTTCTTCATCTTTCTTCATCTCTACCTTCAAGTCTTTCACCACTTCCATCCTCCCATCGTAACACCACTGTAATATGGCTCTCGGACCCATCCACTGCGGCTCTTTCCTGCTGCTAGCAGCGACCGTGCTCCTGCTAGTGTCGAGTAGTGAGTCTTGCCTTCTCTACCGGCTGTTCAAGCACTGACCCTTGCATAGTATCGGCCCCAGTAATTCACAACATCTCATTCCTCGACATCAAGCAGGGATCTTCATCGAAGGCTACGTTCGGTGTCTTTGGCTATTGCTCAAACATCATCGTGCGTCCCCATCTCTTGTCCTTCACCTCCCTCTTCGCTAACAGCTTTACAGGGGTCAGACTCTTGCAGCGACCGTAAACTCGGCTACGACATCGCCGACGTGACCGGCACCCTCACCAACTTTTCCTACGTCAACGACCACCTCGAATCCCTCACCAAAGCCCTCATCCTCCACCCCATCGCCACCGGCATCGCCTTCCTCTCCTTCCTCATCGCCCTCGCCTCAGACCACATCGGCTTCCTCTTCGCCGCCTTTGTTGCGTTCGTGGCGTTTGTGGTGTCGTTGGCGGCGATGATTATCGACTTTGTGATGTTTGGGGTGGTGAGGCATCAGGTGAACGACAATACGGATGCTTCGGCGAGTTTCGGGACGGCGATCTGGTTGACGCTGGCGGCTACTGTCGTTCTCTTCTTCTCCACCTTTATCGTCTGCTTTAGCTGCTGCACGAACCGGACGAGGAGCAGGCGGGATACCGAGTATGCTCAGCCGCCTATGGCGCAGAACGGGTTCGAGAGGAGGAGATGGTGGAACAGGGGGCAGTATAGGTATTAGTCAGTGTTGCAGTTATTTGCGTGTTGAGCCTGAAGCATCTTGATGTATTATATTCTACATGTATGTTTGGGAATGTCGGTACAAAGATGGGGAAGTGTGTCTGCGTGAAACCAAATAGCAAGCTTATGAGGCGCAACATCAACCCCAGCGGCACAGGCGCCGGCATATGTGCACATTAGTCATGGGGGCGCGTGGTCACAGTATGATTTATGAATGATGCAGAGGTAATACACCGCTGCATGATCCTCTGCTCGTTGCAGTGCACTGGTATATCAAGATAAGCGCTGAAGCCTTTGGTGGAGGGGGCACGAGTTGGTGGTAGTCTGCTTCGGCGTGGGATTGTATCACCGGGCAACGCTGAGGAGGTTTCGAAGGTGGCGGAAGAAGAGGCCAGCATGAGTGTTGGTCAGAGATTTGGTGGCAGTACTTGTTGTTCAATACGACGAGCAACAAAGCCATACTACCAACCCCTTTTCCATCAATCCCAACCATAACACCTCCCCCCATCCTCTCAGCCCTCCTCATCGCCTCCCTAAGCTCCCTCCGACTCTCAAACCTAACATACCTAAACCCCCTGCACCTCTCTCTCGCCCCCTTCAGCTCTTCAACGTCCCAGGTCAAATACCGCGCGACTCTATCTTCTGGTTCGTAGTATGATCCGCCGAAGCCTTTTTCGAGGACTGAGAGGAGGAGGTCGGCGGTGTCGGATAGGTCGTACAAGTCGGAAGAGGATGAGGAGGGAGAGGGAGAAGAGAGGGAAGAAGGGGGAGGAGGGGAGGAGGGAGGGGTGCAAATGTAGATCTTGACGTACACTTTTGTCACGTGGCTGTCGCCACTCGACCCAGAAATATCTCGAAGCATCTAGAATAATCTTTGCCACTCTGTTGGCCACTGTAGAAAACACTGGAAGGTCATGGAAAAGGGATACGTAGGCTTGAGGCTGGATATAAATACCACACTCTTTCATAGCTTTTAGATACTCTGTCGATCAAATATTGTTGTCTCTCTTCAACACAAGCGTCCATGTCCTCCGGCATTGGCTTGGCTACCTCTCATGGTCCTCAAGCCATCTCGACTCACCTCGACTACTACAAGGGCATCGCTAGAGGTCATGGACCCGTGTGACAACTTTCGAAACCCTCTCAAGTCGGAGAGGATTACCGTACCCGACCCAGGCCATGATAACCCCCTTCTCCCTAGGCTTCGTCTCATCCAACGCTGCATCCCGATTAGTTCGCCCCTTCAACGATGATACAACGAAAAGACAAGGACAAGGCCCACCATTCTCAGCAACCCAATTGGCCACTCGGACTTGTTCTCGTAAGCGCTGGATCTCCTTTTCGGCGTCGGTGATGCCATTATTGAGCGCCTCTTCGAGAGGTGGGACGCCTATCGCATTCTATCTATTCGATGAGTGGGGGCTGGTTCTGGTTAGGGCGGGATGTTCATTGATGATCGGAGACATGTCGCGTTGTGTATCGGTGGTGATGTTGTGTTTAGCTTTGCGAGGTTGTGGCGAGCGACGAAAGGTGAAAAGGTGGATGTAAGAGAAAGTGAAAGAGACTTTGGATGGAATCATAAACCTTTATACGTCTTCTACCGTGAATGGTGGAGACAAGCCACCCTTTGTGATGATGGGTCGCGACGGAAATTGTGAATGTTATGACACCGTTGGCCTCGGCGGCGTAGCGAAAACAACGTCGATTGATTGTGATACATGTCTAATCGCTCCATTACCGTGGGGGTATAATGCTCTTGAGGGGTAATGTAGCACGAGAGAGACGCCGCAAATGCGAAACGGAAAGGACGATGCTTGCTCAACGGCGAGGGGGCGACAAACAACAAGGGAAGTGTCGCGAGGAGGACATGATTTCGTCTTTTTTGAGCAAATGTATACAAAACCATCGCATAGCACAAACGACGATGATCTGGAAAAGACAGCTATGCAAAGCACCCATGTTCAAGCTCCAACCATCTCTTGCAGTAGATTACATGATGATATATGAAATTCTTTCGCTTGAATATCATACTGTCATTTCCGTCCACTTTTTTGTGCAAGGTTTTTGTTGTATAGAATCGTGTTTTGTGATATGTATGCATCGTGGATGTAGCAAAATCGACCCGGGGAATGTACTATAGTGGACCTCCGTGCTGTGAGTACGAAAAGCGAGACGCAGTGACACTTTTGGCTCCAAGTTGAATGACGCGACGGCCGGTGCTCGCGTAGACTGCTTTGACATTAAAGTCGTGCGTTGTTACAGTTTTAAAAGTTGGGCGATGTAAATACCTCAAATAGAGTTCATGCAGAACGGGATAGAAATTATGTACAGAGGCATGACGTCGCTGTTCAATGATGCACTGACGAGAACCAAAAACACCCCACGTTTTCGTAATGGCATCTGTAATGAAGCGAGTATTACGAATGCCTAATTAGAAACTTTACTAATTCCCGCATTTTGGGTGAGTTCAGAAATCTTTGATTCGTCTCTTTCTTTCTCTCACCTTCGCTTGCTCTTCCACGTCAACTCTTACGTATCGCTGGCACGCTCGCTCACTGCTGACCCGCATGCGGGCTATACAGCGCTCTATGGTAGGCCGATCACCCGGGCGCGATGCAGAGCTGACTCTTGCGTCCAGACACAATGCATCCTCTTTTCCATCCCGTCTCCGGTTTCTCATACTCTCACCTCCAGCTCACCGCTCACACCGCTCCTTCCTCTGCCACCACCCACCCCGCGGCCCCGCCCCTCTGCCATGACCCCCTCCTCACGGCCCGCGGACCAGTGGACACGACGACGATGGAAATTCTGTGGTACGCGGGGCCCCCTGTGCCTGGTGAGTTGCCACAAGAGCGGTAATGCCGCGTAAGGCCGTCCCTGAGGGACTTCCTGTTCGGGTTGTTGTGCGTCGGGGGGTGCCACCGTCCTCTCCGCCACAACATCACATCACAACGCGTCGCCCTCTCATTTATCACCACACGTCCATCCACGTCAACCCCCAGCGCCAACACCCCGTCCCGTCCCACCCACGCCCTGCCCCCCGCCCCCGCCCCGCCACCCTCGCGGAACATTGCGCACGGGGCTCGAGACCCATCTAGCCGCCGCGGCACTCTTACTCATCAGCGCCCATCCATCCACCACCCATCCGCATAGAGAGCCGCATCCCCCGCATCCAGCATCGCCCACACACCATGGCCACACCACCGGAATCACTCCCGTCACCGTCGCTCTCGTCGTCTTCCCATTCGCATCTCGGTTCGCTTTATCAATCCACCCGCGCTTCGTCTTCCGCATCTGGCTCCCAGCCTGCCGCTCAAAGGCACCCCAACTACACCAACGGCGACGGGCAGATCCCGTACGACTCGTCGCAGTACAGTTCCATGTCCTTCCTTCCGTCCACCGTCTCCCCGCCACCGAACCCTCCCCCGTATATCCCTCCGCCACAGCACGCCATGCCCCCAGACCCTATACACTCCGCCACTGGCACGGGGTACACACAGCCCCAGCCATGGCCTAATGGTCCCCCAGGCCCAGCCGGGTGGAGAGCAGCGGCGCCGCCGGCGGGGTATGGAGGGTATCGGAGTTCAGTCCCGAATGGGCGGCATTTGCCTACCAACCCCGACTTTCCCGGACAGAGAGGATTCGGAACGAGGCCTGGCAGCGCGCATGGGGAGAGTAGGGAACGGAGAAGAGACCGACGGGATCGGGATAGGGACGATGAGCGAGAGATTGAGGAGGAAGTGATCAGTACGATCTTTGTTGTTGGCTTTCCGGATGACATGTCGGTGAGTACATCTCTGTGTTTGGCTTGAGTCGTGCTGATACGGCGTAGGAACGTGAATTCCAAAACATCTTTACATTCGCCCCCGGCTTTGAAGCAGCTACGCTCAAATTCCCCTCTGGCTCCGCCCGACGTGAACCTGCCGCCGCCGCTCTTCTCGCCGAGCTCACCCAGCTCGCGGCGCATCAGAACGCTCAAGCAGCTGCTGGCAGTACCGAGTACAACGAGTACCCTACGGCACAGCTGGAAGAAGCCATTTCGTCTCTGACTTTGGCGACGGCTTCGACATCCCAATCGACGACTCCTTCCGCGCCCATGTCCCTCACCCCCTCCGTCCCTTCCAACCCTACCCTCGGTCCCAACCCCCTTCCCACGCGACGCCAGACCATCGGTTTTGCCCGGTTCAAATCCCGCCCCGACGCTCTTGCTGCCAAAGACCACCTCCAAGGCAAGAAGATTGATGCGCTCACGGGGGCAGTGTTGAAGGCGGAGATGGCAAAGAAGAATCTGCATACGAAAAAGACGACGAGTGGGGAAGAGCTTGTGGGGATGTTGTTGAGAGGCAAGCTTGGAGGGTTGATCGGATCTGGGGCGGGACAAGGGCAGGGTATCGCTGCGCCGACGGCGAAGGAAGCTTGGGATTCGTGGTCGTCTCTTTCCGATAAAGAACCCCGTAACCGACCCGATGACATTCCTCCCCCATCGCACGCACCGCAACCTTCCTTCTCATCCCAAACGACATTCGTGCCGTCTTCCCTGCCTTCTGCGAACCCGACGTCGCCGACGCTGGATGCAAAGTCGCCGACGCAGGGGCAGTTTCCGGGGCATGGGGGCGATTCGAAGGCGTTGTTGGCGTTGGCGGAGAAGGCGGATGAGTTGGTGGGGTGGAATATCCACGGCGCTGCTGGCTTGTCTCTTGACCCTTATTCGTCTATCCCCCCTCCTCAACCCGCGCAGGCGCAGGGGCAGCAAAGTCAGAGTCAGACGCAAGGGAGGTCACTGGGAAGTACGGGGAGTCAGGGGCCACAAGGATATGGGTTGGGCGTTATGGGCCCTAACTTTGGGGGTGGGAGAGAGTTTGAGGAAGGTGTTGGGAGGGATGGGCTTGGTGGGCAGGGGTTGAGTGGGCGGGGGGTGAATGGGGCGAACCCGGCGGATCAGAATCCTCCCGTACGTCTCTTTCCATCTTGTTCTGATAATGAGCTAATTGGATTGCAGATCAATACGCTTTATGTTGGCAACCTTCCTGCCGTCTCGCCTCCCACCCACCCACCTGGATTCCTCGAAGAGTCGCTTCGCGCGCTGTTTAGCAGATGTGCAGGGTTCAAGAGGATGTCGTATAGGCAAAAGATCAATGGGCCGATGTGTTTTGTCGAGTTTGAGGAAGTGGGGTATGCGTCGCAGGCTATCAAAGATCTCTACGGGCACAACCTTGTACGTCTTGTTCTTCTCAGGTTTGTAGTATCTTGCTAACATTCCTGACAGGGCGGACTTGTCAAGGGCGGCATCCGACTTTCATACTCGAAAAATTCGCTCGGCCAACGCGGCAACAACCACCCGCCTCAACTCAACACTTCTCTCTACTCTGGTATCCCACACAACGTCCCCATCCCCGGTCTAGGCATGACCTCTCCTTCCTCAGCTTCTGTCGCCCTCCCGAACGGCTCTGCGTCGGCGGGACCGATGCCGTATGGGCTGCAGCATCAGCAGGCGAGTTTGAGTTTGAGAGACAGGGAGAGGGAGAGGGGAGGGGAGCCTGGTACGGCACCGTTGGCGGATTTGAGGAGGGAGTCGGCGCCTGCTTCGCATGGGCATTCGAACGCTCATTTCTCGCCGCTGTCTGGGACGTCGCTTTCCCCCACTGCGCAGCCGTTCAACATTGCCCTCCCCCCCACGTCCCCTCGTAATCATTATATCACCTCGCCCATCCCGCACCGTATCTCGCCCACCGAATCGGCTTCGTCGTCGTACAACTCGAACCCCACTCCTTCTGGCTCAAATTCGAACTCCAACTCGGCATCGCACTCTGCGAGTGCTAGTGGGGTACCGATCCCGTCGACGAGGTCGTCGGGCTCTGCGTTCCAGCCGTTTGGGGGTGCGGGGAGTAGTGGGAGTACGAGTGGGTTTTCGCCCGTTTCCTCGCCGATCCGTACGCCTGGGAGTTTCCAATGGCTCTCTACGTCTGCCAACGCTACGTCCTCCAATGTCAGTGCCGGCCTTGGTTCCGGCCTGGGCTCGGGGCTGGGGGCAGTAGGCAGTCTGGGGGTTGGGAGCCTTGGGAACCTCGGGAACCTCGGGGTGGGCAGTTTGGGAGGGGGCGGCGGGCTGGGGAGTGGGAGTTTGGGAGGTGGGGGGTATGGGGGGTTTGATTTTGGGGGGAATGCGCCGGTGGGGAGTTTGAATGGGGCTGCTAGTGCTTGGGGGGCGTCTGAGAGGCGCGACTAGCCCCTATAGCCTTAGCGTGCGTAGTTCGGGCGGAAGGGGTGGGGTGGGGGGTGTAATTCTCTATAAGGACTTTTTGGTTTTGGTTTTCTCATCGTTGTGCTCTAGGGTTTTCTCGGTTTGGTTGTCTTCTTTTTCTTCTCCGGTTTGTGCTAGTCTTGCATTGTTTCTCTAGGTTGTGATCTCTCTTTTTTCTTGTCCTCTTTGATTTCTATACGTCTTGGTGCTCCCCATCCCCTCATCACTGTTTCTACCACCACTTTATCACATACAACTCTCTTCATCGCTTCTCTTCCGGCCTTTTCCCCAACTATTTTTGTCATCCCCTCTATATCACTAGTCATGCTCATTCATTCATCCCGACCTTTTCATAGATCTCTATCGGTTTCCCACACGTTGTCCTCTATTTCGTCTTTCGGGTTCTTTCTCTTCTGCCGGCTTTATACCATCTATCAAAGCGTGTTCTATTCTTTTTCGTTGGCATAATATCATATATAGCATGAATCACAAGTCTGAAGTCTGAGTGATGTTGGCGCGATGATGCACTGATAAGCAGCAAATCGGAGATGGCCGCTTCCGCTGTTTGTCGAGTCGGCGCACCGTGATCCGATCGAGTCCTCTCTATTCATCTCTCTATTCATTTCCTCCATCTCTCCCAAACACAATGGCCGCCATCCAAGCATCCAACCTCTTCTTCACCCCCCTCCCCCCTTCCCACGTCGTCCAGCCCGGCAAGGAGATCCATGGCCGCTACATGCTCACTATCCCCTGGAACAGGGTCAGTGGATGGGGCCAGCCCAAGATTGGGCCGAGGGCCGATCTGAGCTTCGACCCGCTGGCTGGCGTTCTGCAGTATGCTGTGACTTGCTTTGAGGGCATGAAGGTGAGCCTTTGAGTCTGTTTGAAAGTGACCGGGGGGAAGAGGAAGCAGCGCATGCCGAGGGATAGGCCCCGGGGTAGGCTTCGGGCAGGAAATGTCGTGGACACAAGCTGATCCTTCTTGATGTAGTGCTACAAGTCTGAAGAAGGCAAGCTTCGTCTCTTCAGGCCTACCAAGAACTTTGACAGGCTCAAGAATTCCGGCGCTCGTTTGGGTCTTCCCGTACGTCTCTTCACTATTGTCTCTCTTCCTCGCTGACAAACCTGCAGACTGACTGGGACAACGAAGAGCTCCTGGTCCTCTTCCAACGCCTCCTCGCACTCGAAGCTCCTATCGTCCCAGCGACCGACGGCGCTTCCCTGTACATCCGCCCCACTTTACTCGAGACCTCTGAAGGGTTCGGGATCAAAGAAGACGGCTACGCGGCGGATGCCCTGTTGTATGTGGTCACGACGCTGAACTTGGGTTTGGGGTTGTATGGGAGCGCGGAGGCGGATGGGAAGGGGTTGAAGCTGCATGCGGATAAGAACTTTGTGAGGGCTTGGCCGGGGGGTACGGGGAATTACAAGGTTGGAGCGAATTATGGTACGCATCGTCTCTTTCTCATATGCGACTCTCGCCGCACTGTTTCAAAAGCTGATAGAGCTTCTAGGTACTGTCAACATTGCCAAACAGCCCGGCTATGCCATGTCCCTCTGGCTCCACGGCGAAGAAGACTTCATCTCCGAAGCAGGCGCCATGAACGTCTTCCTGCTCAAAGAGGCTAAAGATGGCTGCAAGTCTCCTTCTTCCCCGCTCACGTATGACAACGCTGATAAATACGACCAGTCCTCGAATTTGTCACCATGCCCCTCTCGTCCGGTATCGTCCTCCCCGGTATCACCCGTGCTTCTCTTATCGAGCTTCTCACCGACCACGCTTCTGGTAAAGCCGATTTCCCGGTGGAGGGGGTGCCGAAGAATATTAGGGTTGTGGAAAGGGATATTTCTATGGGGGAGATCGTTGCGGGGTTGAAAGATGGGTCTGTCAAGGGGTACGTTTATCCCTCCTTCCTTCCTTCTTCCCTTCCTCAATACCCTACTTTTTCGTTTCCTTCGAATCAGAATCAAGCTGATGGATGAATAGCATGTTCGGTTGCGGCACAGGCGTCGTCGTCGTCTCCATCCAACACATCACATACTCTGGCACCCCCCTCACCATCCCGTACCACCCCGTCACCAAGATTCTGAGGGATACTGTGACGGGTTTGCAGAGGGGGAGGATTTCAGATGGAGGGAGGGAGTGGGGGGTCGAGGTGCCGGAGTGGGAGGGGGTTTGTGTGGCAGAGAAGGAGGGGGAGAGGGAGGAGGTTTTTGTTGCTTAGGTGGGTAGATGGGTAAGTGGGTAGATGGGTAAGTGGGTAGATGACGAGATGGGGGTGTCATAGAAAAGAGACTTGTAGATTTCCATATGGAAAGACTTCTTTTCGTGATCTCGTCTTCTATTCTGGTCCGTGCGCGAGGCAGAAGACAATAGATCAGTCTTCGTAGCTCCATGTGAAAGGTATACATACGATACAGTTACTATAGACGAGTAAAGGTTTGCCGGATGACGGAACCCAGCAAATCCAACAGGGGAGGAGGATCGACAGCACCCTTGTGACCGAGTCTTCTTAGGTGGATAGACGATGAGAGGGGAGGTAGAGTGGTTAGATGTCAGACTTGGAAGTAGGATATGAATAGGTTGTACGAGCTTCTTTCGAATTTTGGGGTTTACCAGACGTCAATATGCGACAAAGGATCAGCCTTCGCGGGCTCCATATGAAAGGTGTACAACAGACGAGTGAGGGCCCTCCAGACTCCCCTCGCTGAGATTATTCTATCCTTCTTGACACTTCTTGTAAAACCATACGAGGACGAGACGTCAGCAAGGTCTAAAGCGACAACGACAGCGACAACGATGACGGAGCCTAGTGAAATCAGCACCGGAAGGTCGACAGAACCCTCGTGGCTGAGTCGTCGCGCCTCAAACGAGGAGTCTAGTGAAGGATCCTCTCTTCCCTCCGCTACTAGCTCTCACAGTGATAGTAATGAAGGTACGGGGAGTGTTACTGGAGGTGGGGGGCGTGCCTCTAGCCCGGCTAGACGATTAGGGTCGTATGATGACGATGATGAGGAGGAGGAGGACGGCTCGTCGTTCGATCAACGCTCTTCTTCGGGGAGTGCAAGGCCGTCTTCTAGGACAAACGTTTTGGCCACCGAGGGCAGTGTGTTGAGAGATGACTTCCTCAAACGCGTCCAATGGTATCAATTTGGGGAAGAGATCGGGATGTCTGTACGTGATTCTGCCCTCATCGATGATCCGTCGGGATCAGAAGAAGATACACTATCGAGAGAGGAGCTGTGGGCAGTAGCGGAGAGTTGGGCGAGAAGCGTCAAAAGCAAAGATGACTCGTCTGTCAAATTTGGTACCGATCAGTTGGGAGTGAGCGTGAGCAATGTGAATGAGGATGTGTTGGCGGCGGCGACGTATAGGGTGTTGGTGGATTGGGAGATGCAGGAAGGTGGGGGCATCTTGTTGGAGACGATGGAGGAGGGCGGGGGTGGGGGGACGAAGTTTAGGGCAAAGGGGAAGAGTTGGGAGTTGATCAGTGGGGCGTCGGGGGCGTCGTTGTCGACGTCATCTACAGTGTGGTAGTGCTTTGTCTTATCAGATCCATATATAGGGTGGTCTCGTCTTGTAAATTTGGGGTGAGGGGCCTGCTGTTTTCCCCGAAAACCGAAAGAGCGTCTGATCGTGATGTGGGAAAGAGGACTCGTATCGTCTCTGTGAGGCAGGAAAGCCCAGTACAAGCTTGTCTTGGATGCTGTCATTGTACAGTAGATGCTAGAAAGGATTCGTCCTTGAGATTCTGCATGAAAGGAAAGGCCGTCGACGAGAGAATGAGACTTCCCACCAAAGAATGTATCTCTTCAGCCTTCTTCTTCGCGACGTTTACATATCTCACTACCAACTATAGAATCGTTTGACAGCGAGAATGTCTAGCACGACGACACTAACCATTCCCGCTAAAACGTCATCCATTGGAGAATCAATGGTCCCTTCTTGGCTCAGACTACACGCCCCCCAATCTAACGGATCCTCCAAATCCTCGGCCCCGAGCTCGCGCTATGAGAGTCCTGGAAAGGATGCTTCTAACGGGCGTCCGAGGCGTGGCTGGGGCACGGGGAGACGGTTGGGGTCGTATAAGGATGTCGATGGACGTTCGTCGAGTACCTCCGGTACAGCTCGAACGAAAAGTACGCCAAGCAGTGTGGCGACTAAGAACCGTACACTCAAAGACCGATTCCTCGACAACGTCAGCTTCTATGCCTCCGAGAAAGAGCACGGTAGATCTGTCTATCCATCAGCACTGGGCGATGATGCATCTAGGGGCGAGGAGAGGGGTTTCAAGGAGGACCTATGGACAGCAGCAGAGAACTGGACCAAACGCGTCAAGGCCAAAGCGGACCCTCATGTTAGATTTGTGCGTGATCAGTCGAGGGTGAGCATGAAAGATATCGACGAGGATGTGATGACGGCTGCGACGTATGGGCTGCTGTCAGATAGGGAGATGAAGGCTGGAGGTGGTAGTCTATATATGGGGGAACTTGAGAAGGAAGATGGGACGACTGAATTCAGAGCGAAGGGAGCGAATTGGCAGTTGACGAGCCGGGCGCCGACAGCGTCGCGGCTGACGTTGTCGTCGTCTACAGATTCATAATCAGACATTGACTTGCATGTCTTTGAGGGAAGCATGGATTCTAGCAATTACTGTCATTGCCAGCGATGTATATAGAACATCAGGCATTGCAGTGCGAGGAAGAGGGATTGTGGATCCTTTTTTGGCGGTCGGTCGGAGTTCGCGTCATCAAAGGTAGCAGCATGACTCGGCATCGTGTAATCCCAAAATGAGTGGCCCATAAGTAGGATGAATCTCTGCAAAATTCATCAAATTCAACCAACATTTCACCCATATATCACACTCGTACATGTCTTACTTGGGCGACGACATGATTAGTCAGTTGTCTTCACTGGCATCTGACTATGCGAGCTCGGCGGGCTCGCGTCGCTCTTCAATGACGGGCGAGGATCAGCTCGTCCTTCTCGGAGAAATCGTACTCGATTATCAATAGGAAGTCACAGTCGCAGCGCTACATCCGAGCGGCATAAGAAGAAGCACATGCGTCTGGCAAAGATCTTCAAGAAACACGATGAGACTGCGGCGACGTTTGACAACGTTACCCGCGCTTTCTACGACGCAGGCCGTGAATTGATGGACACTCGAAAGACTGTCAAGGCATTGGAAAGAGAAAGAGCGACTTTGCTTCACAGTGTGGCAGACGTCACAGGCCTGGATTACCGGTCGCTCCGGAGCGCTTTCCTCGAGTCGAGAAAGGAACAAGGTGCTGTCAGAGGGGATAACAAGATCTCGAATGCAGAGCTGCTGGAAGAGTGGAAGAATAGCTCAGCAGAGGAAAGAAGCACTTGGGATCATCAACCCTGGGAGAGTATGCGCTCTCGGCTGGAGCTAGAGGGACAACAGACCAGCCGAGCGAGTGTGATTGTGCAGGAGGACGTCGATATATTGAGGAGCATCTTGGATGATAACATCACCAGCTACCGGGACCAGAGCGCGCACATGTCATACGACAGACGGGATAAAGTCCTCCGTAGGATCTCGCGGATCCAAGGACATGTGATCTCGCGACGAGGAGGAGCGAGTGGATCTGCGTCATCTTCGATGGGAGAAAGCGCAGACGATTCCTGGTGGAGCGATCTGCCTTGAGAAACAACAAAGGCTACGTAGGCAGTGGGTGTTTTGGGAAGGTTAGCTCTATCGTTGTCTTAGCATATTCTAGTAGACTGAAAGAACGACGGCCATGTCGCATCAGTACAGTCACGCTACTCGTTCTCTCATTTCACTTTGACATTGTTTCATGCTTAGACTTGGCACTTTCTCTCTCGCATCCGTACATACGGTCATATTCGCAAGCACGGGAGGTCCAGCAATGTTCAGCAGTCAGCAGTCAGTCGCGTCGAAATGAAATAACGCGTTTTACGCGTCGAGGTGCCTTGGAAGGGATCGACGCCACCGAAGCCCTGAGAAGGTTGTTAACCTTTTTCTTGCTTCCGTCCTCTTCCTCCTTCCCGGAAACACGTTCAATTGTCCCTGAGAATGGCTGGAACAAGGTTTCCCCCTCTGACGCGACGATCCACTCAATGAAATCCTGCAGATGCAATTAAGTCACGCTCATCTTTTGCTTTTGCTTCTTGTTTCTCGTCCGACCTTTGATAGGCAAAATTCTTGTTCGTTGACCGAACCTAGCTTTGATAGCTCCACCGCCCCCCCGACAGACTCGACCACTTGACAACTATACATATATCCACCACAGCTTTGATAGCTTCTACTCGCCATGTCCTCCCCCATTCACAGCTTCCTCTTCTCCCCTCCCCCTTCCCCACCATCCCGTGGCTCCGACCACGACTACAACCACGGCTTGACCTCCCTCAAATCTCTCCTTCTCCCCGTCGAATTCATCCCCCGCTCTTCGTCTGAGAAGGGGCGTTCGAAGAGAACGCCTTCCCAGAGCCGGCTGGGGTTCGAGACCTTGTCTTTGCCCTCGCCGAGAGGGATGTCGACCGACTTAGAGGCTACGCCCAAAGCTCGACGCCGCTCTGTCGCTTCCACCACCATCACCCATCAACCCATCAATGTCCCTTCTTCCCCCCAGGTCCCCTTCCCTTCCACCATCCCGAAACCTTTCCTCCGCATCCTTTTCCTCGCCTGCGTCGTCCTCTCCTCCGCTCTTATCATGTACGAGTTCCCGGCAATGAGGCCGCACGGTATCGCGAAAGGAATAGCATCGGAGGGAGGGAGGGGCTTTGTGGAGCTCATAGACCCGCTTGGCGAAGAGGCCTACTACCAGCCTCCCCAGACTCAGGGCGCTAGGATGCTTTGGGGGAAGAAGAGTGTGAGGGAGGAGAGTGTTGTCATGGAGCAGCTCGCGCAAGAGGTTGTCGCTATCGGTGAGTAACCTCGTAACCCTCGACTGACGTATATGCTAAATGCTTCATAGCCGCGCACCCTAAGGCTACCCGTCCTGCTCTGCGCGCCCGCCCCCTTCCTGAATCCCACGAACTTCTTGCGCTCCAGTCGTACATCCTCTCGTCTGCGTACAACGTCGTTCCCTCTTCCGTCGACCCTTCTCTTCCGCTGGATGCGAACACCATCTTGGGTATCGGCTCGCACAAACTTGGCGCTTTGGGAGGTGAGAGGGAGACTGCGTGGTTGAAGGATGTCGAGAGGGAGTGGGCGGATGAGGTTGTAATCTGGTACGGTGGTGATGGGTGAGTCTTTCGCGCGTGTTTGTGTAGGAATCTCGAGCTAATGAAATGTGTAGCACAAGTCAATACCCCCACTCGGTCCTTGACATTATCGAATCCACCCACAATTCCAACCGTCACCCAACCTTCATCCCCGTCCACGCTCGATCCGACCGCGAGACTATCCTCGCGATTTTCGCCCGTCTCGGTTTACCCCTTGCCCAATCCCCTATTATCATGATCGACAACAAGCCTATTATTGGAGATCTGGAGACTCTGGAGGAGATGAAGCTCTCGGGTGAGCTTGGGAGGAGATTGACGAGCGTAGGGTGGAAGCACGTTGAGAAGAGGGTCGGAACGAAGCCGAAGATGGCTGTTATCAAGAAGCAGCCGCCTACGGATCAGGAGGAGGCCGAGGAGGCTTTGGTTGAAACTTAGAAGGGCGGTATAGTAGTATGGAGGCTGTACACGTACGGTAGTCAGATGTAACGAAGCGCTGGTCGCATTTCAGTTGGTCCCAAGTCGCCTGTTCTTAAAGTTTTATAATCCCCATCTTTATATACATTTCCCCAATTGACACCTATGAATCCTAGATGATCTCCTGCAGCAATTGGCCAAGATACGAGCATCATGAACAGGATAGGAAGGAAGCAAAAGTGCCACACTGGTTAATTTGACGCGTTAATAATTGACCTTACGCGTTTCGACATGAGCTTTGCGATTTCGCGCTCCCCTCGTCTGTTTTCTGTTTTCTCCCGCCCATATTCCTTTCCTCTCTATTTCTCCCCTCACCTTCTCGATTACAAACGTACGCCATGTCGACTGTGACGTTCGAGAACAGTGAGTACTGGAAGGGCGAGGTCAACCTGCGGCAGAAGCTTACGGCGTCGTACAGTCTATCATGGCGATTCGAGCCAGCTGGGCAGTAAGTCACATCGTCTCTGAGACTGTGATATGATAGAGATAGGAGCTGACGTCTATCGATAGAGCTGAGATTCAACCCGGTCGGCTTCGGATGGAAGGCGTATCAGAGCGAGGACAATAATCCCGAGACGTACACCGGTACCGACATTAGGCATGCTACCTTCTTCCGGTAAGTTTCTTCTACATTCCAACGAGATAACAGGCTCATTGGTATCGTTGCAGTGTCGCTCGATCATACCAGCTCCGGCTTACAATGCGAAATGCTGAGAGGCCCCGTATAACTTATGATGGATTCCCTCACGGCGTAAGTGTCGTGATCTTTTCACGCTCGATTCGTTCTGATCATCGCTACAGGAACTAGACAAGCTCAAGCGAACTCTGCAAGAGTACTTTGACATCAACATCGAGACGAAAGACATTAGTTTGAAGGGCTGGAATTGGGGGGAGGCTCAAGTCCAAGGTGCGTCGTCTCTACTTTCTGTTTGCTTCGCAATTAACCTCCGTCTCAGGAAATGACCTCGCCTTCCAAGTCCAAGGCAAGACCGCCTTCGACATCCCCCTCTCCCAAGTCGCCAACTCCAACATCGCCGGCAAAAACGAAGTCGCTCTCGAATTCAACCCCTCCTCCAATTACAGCTTTGACGCCAAAGACCTCTCCAAACGCCCTCCCGACGAGCTCGTCGAAATGCGCTTCTACATCCCGGGCAAGAGTATGAAGAAGATTGGAAGTGATGCTGGGAGTGCGGGTGAGGAGACGGATTTGGACGACGAGGGCAATGAGGTCAGCGCGGCGGATGCTTTCCACAACTTGGTCAAGGACAAGGCGGATATTGGCGCGGTCGTCGGGGAGAGCATTGTGGTATTTGAGGACTGTCTTATCTTGACTCCTCGGTACGTTCCCTCTCGCCGTTTCCTGTTGCTTGTCTAACGTCTTGATAGTGGTCGATTCTCCATTGAAGTCTACCAAGAGTCTCTCCGCCTCGTCGGCAAATCCACCGACCATCGTGTACCTTTCACCTCTATCCACCGCATCTTCCTTCTTCCCAAGCTTGATGACTTGCACATCCAACTCGTCATTGGCCTTGACCCTCCCATCCGTCAAGGTGCTACCCGATACCCCTTCCTTGTCGTTCAGTGGCCGAAGGACGAGGTCGTCAATGCCGAACTCAACCTTACCGAGTAAGTATATATCGTCGCCTTCTTTACTCTGCGCTGACTCCGTCATAGCGAACAATCTGCGGCATACCCTGATCTCGAAAAGTCGTATGACGCTACCACCTTCCAAGTCGTTTCTCGTGTTCTCAAGTCTTTGACCGGCAAAAAGGTCACGCCACCCGGCAGTATGCGAAAGTACGTCTTCCTTTCGTCCCCAGCTCTGAACGAAGCTGACCATCTACTAGCGCCCAAGGCCTCAACGGCATCCGCGCGAACGTCAAGGCTACGCAAGGCGAGCTTTATTTCCTCGAGAAGGGTCTCATCTTCATCTCCAAACAACCCATCTTGCTCGACTTTTCAAAAGTGGAAAGCATTTCCTTCTCTCGGTACGTTTCCAATCCGGCTCTCCCTCTTTTATATTGTGGCTTTGGCTAATGATGTGTGCAGAGTCGGTGGTGGTGTCGCTTCGGCCCGAACTTTCGACATGCGAGTCGTTTCCAAAACCGGTACCGCCGACCACGTCTTCTCCGCCATCAACAAGCAAGAAGTCGGCTCCATCAGCGCCTTCCTTCAAGGAAAGAACATTCGACTCAAGAACGAGATGGAAGAGGCTACTATCGATATTGAGGGCGGTTTCAGCGATGACGACGAGGAGATGGACAGCGCGAGCGAGGATGAGAGGCCAAGCAAGGCGAACAAGGCGAACAAGGCGAGCAAGGAGAAGACGAAGGCCGTGAAGAATGCGGCACCGGCGGACGATGATGACGACGAGTCAGGTACGTCTTTTCTTCCACTTTCCACCCATCTCGATATGGAGGCTCAGTCACTGATACAACTCATAGAGGACGAAGATTTCGCGGGCGACTCCTCTTCCGACGGCGGCTCAACTTCCGGCTCTGACGACGACGACGATGATTCGGGTATGGCTTCCGATGCCAGTGACCCCATGATGGAGGAACTGCGCAAGAAGCAACAGGCGAAGAAGCCGAAGAAGAAGGCGGAGGAGAGTGGGAGTGATAGCGAGAAGCCGGCGAAGAAGAAGGCGAAGAAGAATGAGGATGACGAGTGAGGGAGGTGATAGGGGTTCTGTGTGTTCTGCTATATGTATGATTGTACTGCATGCCTTGTTGCACACTGTTCCATACACAACCTACGCGACCGACTGCAGTTGATCAACAAGGTTGTGAACGAAGCCCCCAGGGACTGCCTCCACTTTTGCCTCCACCTTGGATAATTGCCGACGGCCAATCCGACGACCGACGTTTCCTTTACATCTATCATACTCTTACCACACAAGCTCGTTCTCTTCCTCCCTCATCCAACATGGCTTCTAGGATATCACCCATGCTGTCTGCCTTACGCTCCTCGACCACTCTGGCTCGTCCATTCGCTAGGAGAGCCGCAGCCCCCCTCGTCGCGACGGCTGTCGGCGGGGGGATAGTCTACCTTTCTGTCGCTGCTCTCGGTGAGCCAACCACCGGCCATGAAAACATAAAAACTGATATCATCTGCTAGAGCCTTGGAAGTACCAGAATCCCTTCCTTATACATGCCGACTCAGCAGCCCACCCAGATTTCCGAGTCGATCCGAAATCTCAGCTTCCCTTCCGTGGTATGCATCTTCCCCTTTTTTGTTGCGTATAGCAAAACTGACTCTATCGCAGTCGACCCCGAAACCTCTATCGAGTTCCCTATCACTCTCAGCACCACCACACCCACTCCCGCGCTTACGCTCGTCGGTCTCGGTGTACGGAAAGTGTCGTTCTTGAGGATCAAGGTGTACAGCGCCGGGTTCTATGTGCAAGAGGGTGCCACTAGGTGTCTACATTATATTCCAGGGTGGTCTGTGAGTAGTTATACTTCATTTGCAGCTTGTGCTAACCCTGTGTAGACTTTTACGGCGCAACATCTCTTGACTCCCCCTACTCCTTCAGCTGATCCTCTACTGTCCCCTCAATTGTCTGGCGAGGCTCTGATGGCGAATCTGTTGGATCAGAAAGTAGGATGCGCTGTTAGAATTGGTACGTCTCTCTCAGTCTACTAGTGGGTATCGTGTCTGATTCATTTGTCATACAGTGCCGAATAGAAACACGGACTTTGGCGTACGTCTCTAATCGCCCCCTCTAGCCCTCTCGATCATGACTCGGTGCTGACTTGTGCTAGCACTTGCGCGATGCTTTCGTGAGGTCTCTGAACGCCAGGCAGAAGGCCATGCACCAAGAAGGCGCTCTGAGTGAAGCTGAAGAAGAGGTGAGTCATATTCGCTGTCTACCTACCTCGCCTTCTCCCCCTCGCACGTCGCTCTTCTTTGCGATCTCGCTTGATCGCTTGCCTCTTCCTGCATCATCTCCCGGCGTCTCTTCTCTATCATGCCTCCTTCCCATTCCCCACTCTCTCAAAATGTTGTGGACAAGCTGACACGTCTCTAGCGTCTCACCACCTCGATCCAATCTTTCAAAGCCTTCTTCCCCTCCTCCGTTGTACCGAAAGGCAAATCTCTCGTTCTCTTACGTCCAGCTGAGGGAGGCATCGTTGTCGAGTACGAGGTGTGTTGGCTATTATCTGGAGCTTGAGGAGTACTGATACGGCGTGATATAGGGATCTATCCTTGGCAGACTGGATGACCCCTGGGTGGGCAAACAATTGATGTTGACGTACTTTGCGGATAACGGTGTTGTGTCAGAGAAGGTACGCCATCATCTTTCCAAAACACTCTCACTGTCGAGTCTAGACTGATATGATGTAGCTCAAGGAAGATGTCGCACATGGTCTTGAAGGGTTTGTGCAGCGGAACAGACCTCCTCCTCAATAGATAGCTGCATACGCACCTACCGTACAATAGCTATGTAGTCACCATCACTCACCTATACCACTCTTTGCCATGGTCCCCTCATGCGGGGTTACTAGGCTCTCCTAACCGGGGGGTTGTGCTGGATTCTGGCGTTCTTGGAGTCAAAAGATAGCTACGATTCGCAGGTACCATTTGGGCTCCGGGGGTGAAGAGGGTTACATAGGATTTGTAGTGCTCATCATTTCTATGTACTAGGACTGTATGTAAGACGATGTCGAAATGAGGGAAAAAGACAAGACGGCCCGACTTGCCAAGTCAATAAAAAACCCTCTCGCCTCTAACGGGGGTTAGCGGGGGTTAGCGGGTTAGGGGGTAGCGGGGTTAGCGGGGGTTAGCGGGTTACGGGGGTTAGCGGGGGGGGTTAGCGGGTTAGCGGGGGTTAGCGGGGTTAGCGGGGGTTAGCGGGGGTTAGCGGGGTTAGCGGGGTTAGCGGGGTTAGCGGGGGTTAGCGGGGTTAGCGGGGGTTAGGGGGGTTAGCGGGGGGTTAGCGGGGTTAGCGGGGGTTAGCGGGGTTAGCGGGGGGGTTAGGCGGGGGTTAGCGGGGTTTAGCGGGGTTAGCAAGGCAAGCGGAAGGGGTGTAGCGGTCGGTTTTAAACTAGCGGTTCGGCACGGAAACGGATAGGGGTGTAACGCACTCGCGGGGGTTTATGTTCGGAGCGTTACTCGCCCGGGGAACCCGTATTAGCGGGGAGGCTTAGCGCGGGTTAGC